AAACCCTAAACCCTAAACCCTAAACCCTAAACCCTAAACCCTAAACCCTAAACCCTAAACCCTAAACCTAAAATACTCTCGGGTTTCCACTAACCTACCACTCGGACAACGGGTTTCAACCCTAAAACTCACCACCCGGGCCCGGGCCCGGGTTAATATCAATGCCAAAACCCTAAAACCACCCTCTGACCGGGTTCTACCCCGAAAACCCTCATCTCATGGGCCCTGGGTCCCTTGCTATCTATATCAAAACCTTGTAACTGATTTACTGACTTTTGTTACTCTGATCTCTTCCTATGCACTCTCGGACGGGTTGGAACCACTTATCTAATAACAAACAACTTTGGAACACCAACATATATAACCCTAAACACCTATCTACAAACCCTCACCACCTATCTACAAACCCTCACCACCCATCCATAAACCCTCACCACCTATCTACAAACCCTCACCACCCATCCATAAACCCTCACCACCTATCTACAAACCCTCACCACCCATCCATAAACCCTCACCACTGGCATCTCTCGGAACATTCCCAACTTCTAAACCTCGATCTCCGTATAACACACGATCCCTATCACTAATGACCTTATCACTTACTATACAATCGTCCTGTATATCACCTTCCTAATACCCATCATATATCTATCCTCCTGACCCTATAATTCCCATATATTTCTACCGTAATCATCCCTCTCACCTGGAAATACACTGAATCAACCATGGAACCCGGCAACATGACAACATATATTTGGCCATCGTCTTTATTACTTGAATACGGAAAACACGAACGCCGCTCTCGATTTCCACCTACCCACCACGCTCAACTCCTTGATATGCTCTCCGTAACCAAATAAACTCTTCCGTAATCTGCGCTCGCTTTCGTCCACAATTCCGCGCCATCTGTCCCAAATACCGAATCAACTCTGTATCGTTCGCCCGGATATTATCCACCCCATGCTCACTCAATCGCTGGAACCACCGTTCTCGGATTACTGCATTGGCATGGGGCCCATGCACCATCATCGCAATCGTCGGAATCAATGCCGTACGATATCCATCACATGCCTGGACCGTCTGCGGACTATGCTCCGTTCGCCGATCGCTCCGCGGACATATATACTGCGGCATCCCACACCAAAAATGCGCCGTGAACCCATCGTACGAAATCTGCCGTCGAATCTTGACCATCCAATCCTTACTGGCCTGCGCAATCTTGCCGCTGCCCCCTTCACCATACCAACACTTCCACATCTCATGTCCATCGTCACGGCCTCCTTGGCTGCATGTCCAACAACGATCAACCCACTTCTCAATCTCACGGATCAAAAACTCTTCATCCTCATATTGCTGACCGGCCCTCCCATCCGCCTGCTGGCATAATTCGGCCCGTTGGATATCCTGTTGCCGAAATGTATGCTGGATGGCGATTGGTACGGCCCGGGCCATGGTGCTGGGAATATCCTCCGTCGGGCCGGCCATCACCGGCTCAACCGCCCCAACATCAACCATCGGGTCATCGGCGATAACGGGGGACGCGGATCCAATCCGGGACTCCTGGTCTTCCCAATTGGGCATACATCCATCACATGCGGACTCGACCACCCGATCACCACATCGCTGTCGTTGGTATTCCTCGATGGGTCCATCCAAATACCCATCCAATATCACTCGCCGGCAACCCGTCACCGCCGCCTCCATATACTCAACAACATGGGCATGGTCGTCCGGGGGCGCATCGTGCATCCAAAACGGACGGCATTCCCGCCCCATCGTCTGACCCTCGGCCTGGATGATAATCGCCTCGCTGGGCTGTCCATCACGCCCGGCCCGCCCACTTTCCTGCGCGTAATCTAACATGGTCCGGGGCTGACCAACGTGGATCACACTGCGGATATCGGGGATATCAATCCCCATCCCTAACGCACTGGTGGCCGTGATCACCGCCCCGGCCTGGTGGCGGAATGATGCCAAAATCCCTTCCTTGTCCACCTGCTTGCTATGGTATGCGGCACAACCTAATAACTCGGCCAATGCGGTGACATGGGCCCGGACGGTGGCATATATGATCACCCGGCCGGGGTACGCTCGGCGAACACGGTCCTGGATGAACTGGATCACACTCCGCATCTGCACCTACTGGAACGGATGGTCATATCCATCGTCTACGGGGATCGTATGGACACGATATGCGATATTGGGCCGGCTGGTGTGGCCCCGATATAATACCACTTGATCCCGGACCCAATGCATCCGATGGAATAATAATTCCTCGCTGCGGGGGGGCAATGTCGCGGTCAACATCACGATCTGGGTGGCTGCGGTTCGTAACTTGCCCAACTGCTGGAATAATGGCCGGAATCGCTCCTGTTGACTTAATACCATATGGCACTCGTCCACCACAATCCGATCTAATCGCTGTAACATCCGCTGCCGGGTCACAAAATCGGCAAATGCATCGCTGTCGGTGCTCTCGGGCGTGATCAATACGATGGATACCCCATCGGGTGGCCGTCGGGGGTCCCATACCGCACATGAAATCCCCAATCGCTGGCATCGTGCTTCCATGTCACCGCGTAATGCAATCAATGGAACAACCACGATGGTTAACCCGGCACGGCCACTCACCCACGCGGGCAACATAAACAACACACTCTTACCTCCCCCGGTGGGCATGACCGCCACAATGGGGCTTACCCCATGCTTGATGGCTTGTAATACGGGACCCTGTTGCCCCCGCAATGCTACGGTGTTGCTCCCCATCATGTGCTGGAATGCCTCGTCTATGTTGGTCTGGTGTAAATCATATCGACGCTGCGTACGGGCCTCGGCCGTTTCGACTTCCCATGGGTTGGGCTTACGCTTGGTGCCGGGGGCCCGGCGGTCATGTTCGATACGGGTGGACTCGAATCCTAAAAAATAATGCCAATCCTGGCTCACCTGGCGGAATAACTCGCGGTGCCGGGCCGTGGTGTTGGGATTCTCCATCATCATCCGGCCATATTGCGTCCCGGCAATGCTGGCGGAATGCGCGGCCTGGATATCCGCAATGAATGCTCGGATCCCATCATCATCCATGGATGTCTCGTCGTCAATGTCGGGGGCCTCCTCCTCGGTGTTGGCCTGGAACTGACTGCTGGGGCGTAAATACCGCCGGCTGATGGCGATGGCGATGTCACGGTATGCCTGTAATCCCAACTTCTGCCCATCCAATCCAATCGCGGTCTCGCGCTTCAATACCTCCCGTAACCGGACGCTACTCCACTCGGTCTGCCGATCGGGATCCGGGGACCATACATACTCGGCCCGTCGACCGATGGTGGCGGCTTCGCCCCGTATATGCCGCTGATATGACTGCATCTGCTCCACAAATGGCAATACTAACCATAAATACCATATGACCAACTCACCAATCTCCCGGGGTAAATATCGGAAAATCACCTTGGTATCATTGGCCACATGGAACCCCTTATGGTATCGACTGACAAATGTGACCATGCCATCCTCAATGAATATATTGCGGCGCTCTCGCTCACTGTTACGATGCCGGATGCTCATTAACTCGGGACCCCGGCTGGGTTGACCGGCACAAACATGGACGGCCACGCTTAACCGCTCACGGAACTGGCTCACCACTCGAAAAAACCGATCGATGGCGGGCATCCGGAACCCGGCCCCGTGGGACTGTACAAACTGACGCTGTAATCGGGGCTCGTGGCGGATACGCTCCATGAACCACGTCGGACCCTGGACCGGCCACGATGTACGTAAATCCTGTAAAAAACTCCATCCGGTGGCACTCTGCGTGGCATCATCGTACAAATGATCCCACGGGATGGCTGGGGGCGGGTGATCGGTGCAAAACATCAACTCGTGGACCAACTGCTGCCGTAACCGGCCAACCAACCCATGCACAAATCCGCGGAAATGGCCCATGGTAAAATGGATCTGTTTGTACAACAATTCATCTCCGGACTTCCACCCGATATGACCCTCGCTGGGGGTATTCATAAATATCGTCCGTCCGTACGTACGTAAATCTAACCACCACTGGACGGGGCCATTGGTCCCACGAACCATGAATAAATCCACCAAATATGTGACCCATTCGGGGAACGTTCGGTCGGGATGCTGGCGCTGCTCCTGTGTCAATGCTCCTAATATGTCATCGCTGGTGGGGGGGGACTACGCATGGCCACCGGGGATGGGGGGGCACTGCCATATCCTTCATCATCGTGGGCATATGCCTCATCGATGCCGATCATATCACCTTCAAACCATGGCGGGTTCTGCTGCCCGGCGAACCCACGACGGATCTCCGATGACCGGGGGTCTAACCGCAATGCTTTGTGCAAAATAAAAAACCGCGCGATCTTGATCAAACTGGATATCCGGGGGGGGAAATTCTCGGGCGTGGCCCAACCAAACTGCCCGCATCCAATCACGGCGGTGGCACAAATCATGGCACATCCATATTCATCGTTGCGGATCTTCTGGCGTAATAAATCGATGCAAAACGTTAATAATGCATGCTCGATGGGACGAATCTCGAATGGCTCGGGCTCATCATCCTCGGGGTCGGGACAACTGGCCTGGGCCTGGGCATGGCGCCACACGGCATCCCATAACTGCTGCTGTCGGGGGGTAAATGAATACTTGGGTGATTCCCAATCATGTTCAATCTGGGATGGTGAATCAACCTGGGTGTCTGATATCGGGTACGGACGTGATCATACCTGGGTTCGTGCAAAAAACATCATAATCTGCTGCCACGGTGCCACATGCTTTTGAATGGCGGTGGCATCTAAATATGCCAATAATGGCTTATGTGGACTCTCGTCCTTCATCGTACGGACCACATCAATGCGTACTAAATGCCCGCACGCCTTGGCGATCTCCTGGCTCACCGATGCCAATCGCTCCATGGCCTCCCAAATGACCAATGCGATACGCTCTGGTCCCTCGGCATCCTCCTCGGGGCGCTGGGTACTCTCGAATAATGGCTGCCGGGGGGTCCCTTGTAAATACCGAACCCACCCCGTCCGATTCAACCATGGCGTGGCTTCATCTAACTCCCCGGCCTGGATGATGGTTTCATGGGCCTGTTGATCTTGCTGCTGATACTCCTCAACCATTTGCACTAACTGGTGAATCCGGTCGGGGTCTTCCACGGGGTCTATGGGGGGGGCTCATTGGGATTGGGCTGCACAATATGAATATAATGTGAACCGGGGCCTTGGCTGAATATACGCTGACACGCAACGGCTCGGCTATTGGCGTTAATGGCGGCCTGGATGGCTTTTTCCTGTCTGGGTGTGGGACGACCGCGGCTTTGCTGTACACGATACTGATGGGCCTCTATCCAATGTGCCTTCATCGTACGGATCTGGCGGCATGTATATACCTCACATTGCTGGCACAATAATCCATCCTGATAAACGGGTAACTCGGGGATGGGTTGATCAATCTGGCGGGGCCAACTATCCACCTCTGGGTGATCATCAATATGATCCCACTGCTGGATCACTCTGTCGATATACTGTACCCACGAAATGGGTATCCGATGTACGGTACTACTTAAATGGGCCTTGATCTGTCCCCGGCGTACGGCACATTGACATTTCTGGCAAATCAACACGCGAAATTCGGCATTGACACAAAATAATTCGTGGGCCTGGTATTCGGTGTCCATGTCGGATATGGAAATCTATATATCGGCTGGTATTGTATATCTGGGAAATGGGATCAACTCAATGTTGTTCAAATGGACCCAAAATAAAATGGGATGATGATGGGGGATCTGGGAAAACCCCCCCTGAAATTTGAAACAAAAAAAAACAAATCCTATGACTAAACTACATATGGTGGTTGTTGATGTTGGTGGGTTTGACTGGTCGCGACCGGCGGCTGGTGGTTACCCCATCAAAAAATCTTGCTACTTTGTGGGGGACAAAATCGATACTGGATATGCTCTGATTGTGCTTAAATTTGGCTATGGAATAAAACTAATACTAAATTAAAATATATCGAAATCTGGAAACTCTACGACATTATTTTGCTAAATTCAATGGGGGTTTGAAATCTAAATTCAATGGGCCCTGGACCCACTTTTTTCCCCCATACTTAACAAAACCCTAAAAAATTCAATGGGCCTCATTGAATTTACCCCCATGGGATAGACAGCCCTACAACTGGCAGTAGCAGTCTCAGTCCAGTACGCAGTTTCATTCCAGTGAGGAACCGGCCCAACGCAATAAGCATCACCAGCAACCAAGTTATTGTCACAGTCAGAGAAGGTTTCGCCGCCTTGAAAAGCTTCGCCGAAATTTCAGACTTCAAGCAGATCTGGACGCATAAATCATCAGCCGTTGCGGAGTACCACCGATCGCATTTCGTCGTAGTTCCAGGTGCAACAGTAGAGTTCGCAGGTGGTGTAACCACGCCTTGTGCATAACCTCCATTTCCAGAAGCTGTTGTGATGCCGTCACCAGTTGTATTATAGGTATCGCCCTGGGGAGAAAGGCAAAGGATGCCGCCGAGAATTTCGCGGGCGCCTTGCATGTTCAGACAGTCCGAATCAAGCCAGGGGTTGAATTGGCGAATGGAGTCTGGAGCGAGCCCATAGTCATACTCGAGTTGCCAGCAGTTGTCGTCATCTTGGAGCGTGTATTGCGTGTCACAGCTCAGGGGCATGCAGATATCGCGACTGGCTGGCAGATCAGAACAGTTTCCAAGGATAGTTGGGTTGGCATAGAGGATTGCGGCTGAAGCGACGGAATAATGCTTTGCTAGCTTGTCGCAGGTATCTCCAGACTGGGTTGTGTAGGTGGTGTTTGAGACACAAACGGGGTCCGGGGCTGGCGTCACAGTATAAGGCGGATCGTGCAGCTCGGTGGGTCCAGTCAGGCCGCATGTTGATTGAATCAGCTCGAGGGTTTCTTTGTCGGACTCCGTGTAGCTGCTGTAGATACTGGTCTGTCTCATTTCGAGCATGGTGGTGTAGCAGTGCGAGCACAACTCATCAGTTGACATGTCCTTCGCGCTTTCCACGGTAGTGAAATCCATGATAGTACCAAGACAGTATTTCTTTGTAGCTTCCAAGACTTTCACCACATCCAGCGTAGCAAAGCATGTCAGTGAAAAAAGTATTTTCATAATATTGACCAATGCCCGGGGATGTCCAGGTCTTAAAAATGGACTGCAAAGGACTTTCTGTGTCAACGCCGTGGTGCACGACTCGGTAAGACCCAATGCTTCAAGGCTTTCGGCAGTGTATATTTAGAAGCCAGTGAAGGTTCTTTCTCCAATGGTGGTATTGCTTCCGCGAACCCAAGCCAGAATCGATGACATGAATCCATTGACGTTATTGGCAGCGAGAGTTGGGTCTTCATTGACAGGAGAAATCATTTCTACAATGCCTTTCGTCACAAGGTTGTAGATCCAAGTATCAGTACACTGGGAGATCTCAACTGGACGTTGTTGGCAGTCCTCTGGATTCAGACAAGCTTGGCTATAGTCAGAGAACCAGCTGTAGATACCTTTGGAAAATACAAGTTAGCCTGTGGTCCTCCAAAAACAAAAAACACGTTGTGGTGTAGTTGTGGTACTAACCTGTGCCCATTATATGAACAGAGGAAGAGTCGATGATCCGAAGAGCCCAGGAGGCAAAGCAGTTGGCCGAGGAGGAATCACAATCTGCGAAGACTGGGTCGTTGGAAAATAGACCCGTTATGAACGGCTGGGGAGCGTGAGGAGTGTGTTGGAAGTATGGAGATTCGGTCTGGATCATGCCCATGTAGAGATCCTTGGCCTTGGACACTTGATATTGGTAGAGAACGTTGTGCTCAGAGGAGGTGCCGTACAACCACGTTGGGCCTTGGCTCTCCACCAGAATGCCTCGTCCGGAGTAAACATTGATTTGTTCTTGGGCTGTTGTATCAAGGTCATGGTCGGCGGTCCACGCCCAGATATTCTCAAGATAGGCCGAGGACTGAGAAGTTATATGTAGAAGCAACGATGCTGCAACGCAGGCTGAATTAACTGCGATATCGCTCTTGTCGCACTGAGAGGTTTGCAGAGAAGATACTTTTGCACCGCCAACTCGGATATGAGAGTCTGTGAGTCACGTCAGTAAGAAATTTTTGAAATATAATTCTCCGCCAGGGGAGGCATGAAGAGAACAATGATTGACTTACCCCACATGGCAGCTGAGCCTTGAGTGTATTGGTGGACATTCCACTCCACTAACACAGCGCCAGCAGTAGGATCAGAGACCGTGAAAAGCAGACTCTGAATCTCGATGATTCCCACATCGCCAGCTTGGCCAACTTGAACTCCGACATGGGGTTTTAATTGGTTCTCGAACTTCGACCCTTTCATCATTATCTGGGACCACGCCTGACCGATGATACGAGAGCCAACAGAAACATGCAGTGTATCTTCAACAATTTAAATACCATACGGGATAAAGACAATGGCGGAAAGGTTCGCAGCGCGGTCCAGGATGCTGTTCAGAACTGGCCTATCATTCGTTGTGCCATCTCCAGCAGCACCCCATTCTTTCACGTCGATAATCTGAGTGTTTCCAATTTTGGTGTAAGCAGGTCGACGATGCTGGAAGAAATTGGGCTTGTCATATCCCATGTACGTCAACGACACAGGTCTCTCCATGACGGGGATATCCTGACCGTTGTAGAATGTGCTGTTAGTACTAGAGGTAGCGACGCGACCAAAGCCCCACGATTCAACCCCGAAAGCAGCCCCGCCCACTAGAATCTCTTGACCCTGAGCACTATCGAGAACGGCGGTGGTCACGTCTCTGGAAACAGAGTTTTGCAAGAGGAAAGAGGTCGAATTTTCCGCGAACAAGGATGTCACGATTCCGTTTGTCGTATTGATGATCAGAGCATCCATTAAGATCAGTGAGCCAACGGATTGTCCAGTTCTCATGCTACCGCCGGCCTGTTAGGAGATGGTCAGTGTATGCTGTGCGATTTTGAATGCAAAACTTACTCCGCCAACAATCACCAGGCCATTGACACAGTTCTCGATAATCACGTCTTGCATAGTCCAGGCCCAGTCCCAATGAACCTGAAAGGCGTTCTTTGCGTTAATAAACGTAACTTCGGACGTGGTGAACTGTTGATTGCCAAAGTATGCTCTTTGAAGTCTTAGTCGCAAGCAGGCTGTGGGTTCTGGAGGGGGGATTACCCAAAGTTGCCACCAACGAATGTCAAGTTGGTAATGAAGCCACCACTGTCGTTTTCCATGTATACTCCCTGAGGAAAAATTAAGATACAGATTCTTTGGCTGTAACTTAAGACTGCTAATGCTCAATTGTTGGGTAGTTGCCTCATCTTGCGACATATAGAAGACCATATTCTCGAGCGATGTTCCTTGCGCCACTTGCCAATGGATTCCACATACATAGGCATTCTGTGGTGTTCTCATGACATCAACGTTGAAGTTTCGAACTGATCGAAGGAAGTTGTTGGTAATGATGTACCTTGTGCATCAATAAGCTTCAATTCCACCATGGTCTTTAGCGAGGGAATATTCATGTTGTTAACTCACCACTCAGTACTGTCCCCAGTAAAGACGTCGGAGGTGATAACGCCAAGACCGACAAAGCTGGACGCAGCCAAGATTGTGGGGTAATCAAAGGGCTATAATTTGTCAGTTCCGACAAAGTAACTGTTGTGGCGATCTTGAATTGCTTACATTTCCGAAGAACTCCGTGTTGAAGTATTGGATAATTGGCGAGCTCACCAGATCCCTGCTAGGGGGGAAATACACAAAGGCCGGGTAGATAGTACTGGAGCCACAATCAGCTCCGCATCGCCCTCCATCAGAGACGGCAAGATTGATGGCGGCAGTGTCGTCGGTGACGCCGTCACCTGGAATCTCACTATCAGCATCCATTGCGACACTTTGGAATTTCAGAGGTCAAGAATTACCTTTGGCACCGTATTCTTTAACATTTCTCCAGACCTTCAAAAAAATTTTAGAGTTAGGCACTAGACTTTCAGAAGAGGTTACTATACCTTATATCCTTCTTGTGCGTATGGACTGGAGCCTCTCTGGGTAATTATTGTGAGCCAGAAGTCCGCGGACGATCGCTTGGTCAGTTGGGACTCGTCGGCACCGGAGTCCGAAGCCAGAGCAGATTCCATGGGAGCTTGAGCATGCACATATCCGTCTAGTCCATTGGACTGCGCGTACTTCTGGGCTGGCCTGTTGGTGTCGTTCCGCTGGGGCCGATATTTGCGCCGGATTTCTGCAATATCCACACCATGAAAGCTAGGCGGAGATTGAGGAGAAGCTTCAGCAACGATTTTGGCAGCATGAGCAACCGCAGATGGAATGGTGTAGGTAAATTTTTGGCTGCCCTGGCCTTCAGTCTTTGACTCATTCAGGGCGATTTTGGCAACCATCGCATGAGTTGTTGCCAGATGCTCCGTGCCAAGTGCAGGTGCCACTGGAGAGGTTCCATTTTTCGACTCAGGCTGGGCTGTGTATTGATTTCATTGCGGATACGCTAACCGGCCTTTGTTCATAACCGCCAAAGACGCTTGCGCATTTTTGATTATCCCTTTGGCTTCCTCGAGAGTGGAGGGAAGGGAAGAAGAAGAAGCAGTCACGGTCGGGGAAGCCGAGGCTTTCACATCACGCACTTTATGGTGAAGGTGTTGGTGGCCATGGTGTTGGTGATGCGTTCCATACGCATTTCCCAAAAGAGAACAGAAGAAAGCGAGCAATAGCATCCATCGTAGGGACTGAGCCCCTGGACTGGCTATAGGCCGAGCCATCTCACAGTGATCGAGGCTGGAACCTTGGAGTTGGATGACCGTGAAGGATACAAACCAATCGTGAAATATAGGAGGGAAAGGGCAAGGGACCTTTACTTCAGGCTCACTTCTCAGTCTGCTTCCAGGATCAGTTCTTTGCCACAAAACTTCTCAACCAGGAGTAGCCGAGAAGCTATTTGCGCTATTTTTTCTGCACTCTCCACTTCTTGTGACCCTTGACCAGACTTGGAATGTTCTCCTTTGTCGTATTCGGGTAATGCGGCATTTGTAGTTTTGGTTGCTCTCAGATGAGAAGTGAATTCTTAGAAGACACCGTATCAAGGTGTATTCTCGATGAAAGATTACAGTCTGTATGGATGGGAACCGGTTCCCTTTTTTTCAGAGCGCCAAGCTATTTAGGTGCCGGATTTTCCGCATGAAATCCCGAATATTGAACTAAGCAAAAACTAAATCCACTTGTTTCGCCTTTTAAAACTTTTTTTTTTTCATCACTTCGACGCGCATTCGGTTGGAAGGCTCCTCATTCATCTGCCCCTCTAGTCTCTTCCTTTGACTTTTCTTTTTCTACACAAATTGAATTTCAAGATGGCACAGTCGGCATCAAACGCGTCTTGGCCAGCGGGCATTCCCGAGATCCACCTTCATCCGACAGATTTACCCTCAGATGAGCTCCCGGAAGAAGCCAAGGGATGGCTGCTATTCGTAAAGGTAGGGAGTCCTTGCAATGCTCTCGTATAAGTATTTGTAATATTGACTGGTACATAATTGCAGGAAGAATACCAACCAGTCTCAACCCCAGAAGAAAGGCTGCGTCAACGGCGAGCCCTAATTGAGAAATGGGCTACCGCCAGTCAGGAATTCCGCGAGGTTCGTACAGCCAATGTTGAATTCACCTTTCTTCAGGTCTAATTATTATTTGCAGTCTTACCATAGCCGTGCCCCAGCATGTACCTCAGCTCGCGACTACCCGGCTTCATTGCTCTTGCAGCAAGCCCCACGACCTGACAAGAGGTTCCTTTGTCTACCACTAGTATATTCACAGACTCACCCCCGGAACTACATTTATCTTGTAAAGCTCCTGATTATGATGTATATCCATCAAGATGAATGGAACGGGCAGCATCCCTTTGACCAGGCGGGGCCGGGCCATGCACCGCGCAGCCATATCCCAGAGTTCCTCAACCTCGCGACACCTATCGCGCTCAGCGGTATCCTCTCTGAGCTGTACCTTTCCTCAGCGGATTTCCACGCTCTCTCGATGACCCGGAGTGGCACGGTAGTGTTCGCCGATGGGCCAGACTACACGTGGTATGTGATCGAAGAGCCGGAGCTTGCCACAGGGCGAATGACGATAGCTGAGTTTGGCTCTGACGGCAGTGTCCGCGATTCGATTGTTCGTCGAGCCTGGAATATGGGTCAGGTAATGGCCTTTGGTCAGAGTTTGGGCAGGCGTGTCGCGGATTTGGAAGAGTCGTGTATTGGGGGCCCGCCGCAGTATAACGAGCCGTAAGTTCTTTTCCATTTGCAGTTTCCAACGTGAATTTTCTAATGGGAATAGATTGAACATGGACCTTCCTATTATTGAGCTCTTGGAGGCAACGAGAATGGACAGCAAGTTTCTCTATGAGGGATTCGGTTATATGGACCTGTGGGTGCGCCTTATTGAGCAGAATGCACCTGGATATCTGGACCTTGAGGCTCAGGGGCGGGAGGTGGAATTTAAGCTTGACAATCTGCGTGATGTTGGCATTGTTATTCTCTAAGATGATCTCCTGCGGTAGTTGGTCCTGACAGGTATTGTATCTGACCATTCCATCTTCGAGCATTTTATCGAAACAAATACTCCTACCTGCATCGATGTATTAAGGCTCGAGAATTGGCTTGGAGAGCACTAACCCAAGGGACCTGATGCAGTCTACCTGACTGCATGGCGGTCAGAAGTTCTTAGGTATAGGCAGAATTCAGAATTCGCCCTATAGGGTAGACTATGAGTTCTTTTCTTTCACGATTCTTCTTAAATTTTGGTAAGTTCTAAGTTAGTATGGAATCTCTAATAATTTTTAATTTTAAGGTCTATAGTTTCCTATAGTAATTGTACAAGTTAACCCTAAATCATCCAAAACCTTAAATATTTCTGGTTAGGGTGTGACTAGGAGGATCTACTTTGGGGTTTTAGACCTACTTCAGAATCTCTATTATAAGGTACTTTTTGATATAAGATCTTTTATAGGGCTTGTGTCAAAGAGGGTGAGCTTTAGTAAAGAGTAACGAACTCTCTTTGTATTTTCCTTAGTAATCTGATCTTATCTTAGCTATACTACAGATTTATACCTAATTTATACCTGATTTATATGATAGTCAGGATAAATAACTTAATATATTACTTCTTTTATTCTTGAAGTTTCTTTAGAAATTGGTCTCTGTTACTATTCATATATACTATTGGTTGATTCTCCTTTTCTTTGAGTTACTATCTGAAGTCTTACCTAGTCACAGATCTCTAGCCTATCCCTTAGTATCTGCTATTACAGATATATAACTTAGCTTAATTATACAGTATATTAATAATTATACTAAATAAGAACAGGTACGATAGAAAGAGAAGTAAAAAACTTCTAGATAAGGGAGAGAATATTAGTTTCTATATTAATATTCAAATTAATAGTGTACAAAAGTATTAGGAAAGTAGCTCACAAGGTAATAAGATTTATTCAGGGATTATATATAACTATAAGCCCGCTTATTATTATTAGAACTTTGATATAGGTTAAAAATAGAAAGGTAGGCCCTCTGTAATAATTAAGATATTGACTAGACAAGGCAAGGATGGCACAACTGAGATAGAAAGTATAGACTGAATTAAATCAAGACTAATTCTCAAAGAACTCCAAGAATTCTATATCACCAAGGTTTTATATCTGTTTCGAGCCTGATTCCTATTCTTCACGAAGCGGTGTAATCGGAGTAATATACTCCGTGGTCGACACCGCCAGTTTATATCAGATCTAACCTATCTCAGTATGAACCAGGGTTTTCCCGTTACACCCTCCAGGTCGCACCCCATCAAAAGATTTCCAGGGTTTCAGGTAATTTAGAGTTAACTCATACGACTGCTATAGTAGATAGCAGGGTTTTAGAGTGAAACTAGGTATAGATCTTATACAAACTTAGAACTCCTGAAGATTTGAGGTTCATCGTACGAAGGAAATTACTTATAGTCTACTCAAGAAAGATGACTTGCAGTCTACTTGGTGGGGCGAATACTGCCTATACTTTAAGAGCTCCTCACCGTCATGCAGTCTACTAGACTGCACCAGGTCCCTTGGGTTAGAGGCGCTCCGAGCATTCTTCCCCGACAGATCGCCACCTGAAAATGCATTGCTTGAATTCACACTCTGCTCGGACGGGCCAGGCATATGCACTGTCAAAGTCAGGCTACCATTGGCATACTCCATTGAAGCCTCGGATCACTCTCCATTGGTCAAGCTAGTTCTGTCCCGACCTCAACCCCCTTGGTTTCCTCGGCTAGCACTTGATTCACCTTCTCCTTTCTCGTGCCAGGCAGTTGCTTCCACTCCATTGCCCAGCTCGTGATCCATGCAAGGGCTGGAGTGGCAAGCGCCACCCAGAAAACATTCTTCAGTGCTGCATTAAATGCACCCACGACGGCATTCATCAGCTCAGGAGGAACGACCGCTCTGAAACCGCTCGCACCGGCCGCCACCATGGCTGCACTATCTATTCCCCGCACCTTGCTGAGGTTCTGCAGAAGGCCATCCGTGAAGAGGTTCTGCCCCGCCTTCGAGCATCTGGAAAAACATGATCATGACGAGACCTGTCGGTATATCTGACTTGTTGAGAACAACCTGCACCGCCAAAAGTGGCATTTGGCTACAGCTGCCGTAGCCAAGCCCAGACCGAATTTGGAAACCAATCCACTGTCCGCGCGCATAAGTTGATAGAGACCCCCTCCGGCAGCTAAAAGAGAGGTCCAACCCACATGAATGGTTCATAGTGCCCGAATCTCGATGCTGCAGAGCCTGCGCAGAGGGTACCAAGGCTATTCGACACAATCAAGGGGAGAAGATTGATCCCTGAGTCTCTGGCATTAGTACCCTTGACTGACTGGAAGTATATAGGCCAGAAGTACGATTGCACTACTACAGCCACCTAAACGAGCATCATGAAGCCGCATGATATTGAAAAGGTACGACTTCGGAAGATATGTAGAGGGATATTCGAGCTTGGATGATATTAGCAAGCATACAGAATAAGATGTCTCCATGACAGTAGAGACTAGAAATTTGAGACAAGGAACCAACTTTCTTTACCCCGGAATTGCAAGCACAAGAAGGTAATCAGCAGTAGACTGGATCCGATCAGGCACCCAAACACCTTGGAATCAGACCATGGATAGCTGATACCACCCCATTGCAATGGCAAATTCAAACACGATGTCGCACCAAGCAGCAGAGTAGCCCCCGGAAGGTCAAGTTGACGTAGCTTCTGCTTCCAGGGTAGGTCCCCCTTTACTGCAGGTGGAGGTTTCCTCAAGGTGAACCAGACCAATACTAGCCCAACAGGTCCGAAAGCTTGCAATAATCAGTCAATCATGACAGGAGAGATAGTGGGCTTTATTATCAACAGCGGCTTACGAAGATTGAACCAGAAAATAAATCGCCAGGTCAGCTTCTTCTTGTCGGTTATCGAACCACCCACGAGTGGTCCGACCGCTGATCCAATGTTTCATATGCCCAACACAATAGGCGACAGCATTGCCTGCTTTTTTAGGGACACGCAATACGATAGATTACTTGTTGTTCCGCTCATCAGGCCCGCAGCACCGAGACCAGATACTGCTCGCCCTATGATATGGGGCGACGGCCGCGATGATGGAGCCGAGTTCGAAGACGGCAAGCGAGATGGAGTACACCCACTTGATGTTATAGAACGCATACAGGCGACCACAGGTTGGCAATAGTGCCATCTGCGTGATCAGATAGGAAGAGCCATACCACCCGATATCGTTGAGGCTGTGGAAGTCGCTGGTGATGTGGGGTATCGCCGTTGCTTCGTATGACAATCAGATCTGATGCTCTCTCGGTCGGATCATGGAGAAGTACAAACAGAGAATGGTGTTATCAATCGCTAGCACGAGTCAGATGGACATAAAGGCCAAGGTCAAAGAAGCGAGAGCCCATCCTTGCATATATCGATTTTCGGGCTGGTCCTCAGTGTCCTTGGTGTTGGTTACCCCCGTGATTCCCTCGGTGGGAGGCGTAGGCTCCGCCACAATCTCAATCATGCTGATCTGGGGAGTGTCGGGATATCAAGCTTTGTGGGAAATGGACGTGATGAATCAGTGGATCTAAAGTCTGGAAGTTATACTCATCGAACGCGGTATCCGGGGGCGCCGGACAGCCCCTGTCCAGGAACATAAGTCCTCCCCTGACCGGAATTGTTTGATTTTTCAGGAGTCGTTAACTCTACGGAGTACTTGTACTACTAAGCGGGCGCCATACCGCCGTTAAGTGCGACGCTTGCACGCAGATCGGTGGCCCGTGGGTTTGAACCAAATACACTCAGCCACTACCCAGCCAGTCAGGTAGCCTTCGACAAGTCCGGGGCTGTCTAGGTATCCAAAGCCTGTGCGTGCATGTGAGCTGGAGGGCGTGATGATGTACCCGGCACCTAATTTAGCTTATTATTCTCTTTGTCTGGCACCCCTACCAGAGACCAGCTTCTTTTCCTTTGCGAACACACTCGATTGAAAATAAGGCATCCAAGAGATCCATAGGAGGAGAGAGGCTGCGCTTATCTTGAGGAGAGTATCGGCCCAGCTCGAGGCTTCCAAGCCACCGGCACCTAGCACCTACCACTCGCGATGGAAGCCGGTTTACTCTCCCTTGCCTTGGCTACCAAACCTATAGTGTCGAAGAAGAGCAAGGGAAATGTCTCAGAATCCTTGAAAGAGACTACCCCTGAACCGTGTCTCAGAGTACTAGGTATCGTACATACGCACGGCCTAATACCCTGTCAAGACCCATCAACTGTATGTTCACTGTCGCGACTCTTCTCCAATAATTTCTTACGAATGTTCAAAATGCTCGTAATCAACTTGGATATCGATTTGATTATGGTTAACCCAGTACAATAATGTGATACAGAATCCAACCCCAGGGAACCTCCCCAAAATGTACTAGCCTACCATGGCACTTGGGGGCTGAGAAAGCGTCATAGAAAGTAGAAAGTACAATCGGTGGCGACGCTACTTTCGGGATGGACTAAATCCTTATCCGAAAGTGATTTCCAACCTCCATGTTTAATTGGGTATATGGCAACGACTCAAGAATACTAGGCTCAACTCATGACAAGCTGTCACTTATGCAGGTGACCAGAATTGAGTGCCTGGGAGGGGTTGAATTTCCTGCTGTGGGCTGACGGCTCCAAGCTAGCTTCTTGGGTAGGTAGTCTTACAGGCCAGGATTGTCAGCCTATCAGGACTGTTCCTCTATCCACCCTCGGCTGGGTTGTTAAAACAATCTGTCTGCATGATACTTGCAGTAGCAAGTGGGACTTATATTTTGTCCGCATCCCCTATGGCAAATTGCAAGCTGCTAAGCACTTCGAAGGTGACTTATTGGCCGTTTGTAAATCCTGTAGGATGTTATTGGCTGGGTTCTCTGGCTGACGGGGAGGATTACGGACTAAACACCCGTAGCTGGGTATACAGATTGCATGTTTAACTACGAATAATCATCATGAAAGAAATGGTGATCATTCATGATGGCAACGTATAATTCTGATTGAAATTACCGTCGATACTACGTTGGTAGTCCATGAAGAGACACGGCAATCAAGAGAATTCCGTCAACCGGGAAGGAAGATTTAGAGGCTGCTTCTGAAGGGAGAGAATGAAATGGGGTCGCAGCACAGTCGCCAGGACTTTAAATTTACCTTAAGCCCAGGGAAACCATTATGACCTATCTACTGCAAAATCCACTACGCATGGCTTTGGATTCAGGACAAGCTATTAGGGAACCCAATCACGTCTTCCGGGTCTATACCAAAACACAGTCAGCCTTTTAATCCTCAATATTTGTCGTGTCCGCCGTTCTGGTCAGCCAATTGTCGTTGTTCATAGTCAAGTTGACGTAAATTTCCACAATGGGGCCAATGTAATCCATGAGCAGGAACGCCCACACTTGACGGCCGCAAAAAGGGTATCGCTTGAGGAAGTGTCGATGTTGGAAGCCATCCGTTCCATCCAAAGGCCATCCAAGCTATGTATGCGTAGCTACCAAAGAATTTGTTTCAGATAATGTAACAAATGCAGCCATCTCTATGCGGTGGGTGGAGTACTCACGCGATCCATGGCGCTGTGAACAACGTCCGAAGCCAAGCCCATGCGTACACGGTGGCCCAAATGGGGCGGGCGAGGCGCTCAATCATCTTCCATGTCGTGTATGGGTGTCTCCTAGAGGTAGAGAGTTAACGAAGCAAAGCAAGATAGCCCCTTGACGAAGTTCGTCATCGAGCTGGGGAACGACCTACTGCATCATTTTTCTATAGCCGGGGAATGCAAAGAGGTACCCGAGAAAGGTGCGAAAGTTACCCCGGTCCCAGTGAAGTATCTGCCAGACAAATCTGTGGTCCTGAGGAATGTTGTTGGTGACTTCGGCTTCCGGGGTGTTCTGAATTGACACCTTCCATCCGTGGTCAAATATCAACCCCGTCAAAACGACATCTTCAGCGGTGTTCACGATCCTACGGCCGATGACTTCCTGGGTATATGCATTGGCGAGACTCTGGTTTTGGAGGATAGAAGCCCTGATGAAAAGGGTTCGTGCCGACAGGCACCAGCAACCTCCATCCGCAGCGAAATGCACCTCCCGAGAACTTTTCCACTGGTACAAGTCAAATGTCGCCGTTGCTTCCCAGGACGTGATGACTCGGGCATCTTAGCGCTCAGATGGTATCTCAGCACTGATAGAAGTGTCAGTCAATCATGTGCTGTATCGAATGTGAATCAAGCGGTATATCTGCAAGGTCCTCATCGGTGTCGTCATCAGGATAATCGTTGAAATCGGGCAAGGCATCAGCGTATGTTGGGCGGCGTACGCGTTGTTTTGGATGATTTGACCGCCCGCTACAGTCATCGGGAAGACAGGTGGGTTCCGGGGTGCTCAGCCCGGTTAATTTTGAGGCGTCCCTAGAGTCGGAGTCGTCGGGGGCATCGAAGTCAGGCTCAAAAGACACCCCAGACATGTCACTGTCGATCGCGGGGCATAGATCGGCGACGTCGCTCATGTTGCCCCTGGAGAAACAAAAATACGTGCAACGGACGGCGCTCTGGACAGTTAAAAAGGCTGAAAGGAAAGGACAAGTGACTGTGCGGCACGGATTGAAGGGGGAGCTGGCAAAGGATAAGCACCAGAAGAGAGAGCTGGGTAGGAGGAAGCCGCAGAGGGACTGTTGGCAGCTTTATGGCAATGGATCCCTATTTCCCTGCGACCAATGAGCCCGGCAGGGAGAGTGCCATTTTTGGCGGCCTCACCAAGTGGAGGGTCATGATAGCTCAAAGGGCATGCAGGTCCAGAGGTGGGTAAAAGTCGATAGAAAGCACGAGCGGAACGTAGACGCAGGGGAAGGGGCGGGAGCCCACACGCGCCCCAGGGCCAGATCTAGCTGAACAAGGCCGTGACAATGCACGTTATTATATCTTATCTATAACTACTAACACTATAGTTTTACTACACTATTGAGTCCATTCGCCTCAATACATCACAAAACTTGAAATGGAGAAGTGCAAATGGAAGTCCCGAGGCTTAAGATTTGTTTCTTTTCTATACTCCGTACAAAGTACTGCTTTAGAATGATCCAAAGATTCCAATCTTTGGAGTTACGTGCGGAATCTTCATTATTAAGATGTTTTACCACTTGATTTTATTTTGTAATCAGAATGCCGACTTCCAAGGTCCCTCATTCCATATCGTTATGGCTTCAAACAAATGCGCATTATGGTAACATATAATTAAACCTCAATTACTCAAGGCAAGCCCCAGGTGTAAGTTTTCTTGGTGCTAGCAAGGAGCTTGTCGAGGTCTTTGATGGTGTCGGCCAAGCTACTTCCACAGCTAGGTGCGAGGATCTCGGTAAGGAGGTCGGCAAAATCCTACAACTGTCAGTACGCCAAACAAAACATCTAGCCTCTGATTCTGAAATATTTGTACTCACGTCGTTGGCACGCTCTAAGGCACGGAGGTGCGCAGCCATCTGGTATCCTTTCCCAACAAGCTCTACATCGACATGCTTTTCTTTGACCGTATTCAGCATATCAGTGGCAGCGGAAGCGTACTAGACATTTTTGGGTTAATATGATTTTGGTTTTGTTAGAGAACAGAACAACTTACGTTGGTGAATGAGTTACAAGCGGCCTGTTGTTGGTCGGCAGCCAAGGCTTCTTCTCCTTTATCTAAGAGACGATCCTTTGCTATTTTTTCAGCGTTGGAAAGCAGGTAAAAGCGATCGATAGTATCCTTAGATTCATGGTTAGTATATAACGTAAATTATTGTGATATGTACGTGGGTAAACTAACAGATGTTTTCGAGAGGGCGTTTGAGACTTCAATGGAGTTTGCGGTCGTTTGCACGTCCTTGGCTAATACGGTGAAGCCATCAATCCTGCTAGCTGCATCCACAGCGAGGGCGGGAGAAGCAACAGCAAGGAGGCCAACAATGGTGCTGAGTTTGAACTGCATTTCAAACGATTTTCTACTGATGGTGGTTGAATAGGGTCGGGAACAGGACTTCGGCTCCTTCTTATAGACGGTTACCAGGGATCGACACAATTCACCTCGATTGAGGGTGTACATGGAGCGCCATGAGTCCACTAGGCCCAATGAATTTCATATATATGAAGTAAAGATGATCGCTCGTAGGTACGAAAAGACTCCATACCAGGGCTAAGTGGATCCTGAGCTGAGCCTGGGCCCCACTCCATAAGTGGATAGATCTTGATCGAGAACTCAACAAAGTCCAGGGAGTGGGAATAGGTCTTAAAATTGATGACTGGAATACGAAAATGTATTAGATGGTCGATAGATCTCATTTAATTTCCAATTAGGAGGACGATTATGTATGAAAAGAGCCCACAAAGGAAGAGTGAAGAACCGGATAAAGCCTTTGAACATGTTCATGCACGGAGGTTTTAGTGGCCCGGAGGTGTGTTGCTGAAAAAGCATGATTGGCTAGGCATTTTAATAGTTTAATACGCACAGCCAGCCCCTGTAAAAAGAAAATGCAAGATCAAAAAGGGAAAATGTTGTACAACTAGAGAGCCTCGCTCTAAGCATGTTGTGCATATCAAGAGACCATCTCGAGCATATTATTTGATTGCCAATCACATATAAATCAAACATGATACGTGCTCATTCAAAATTGCTACATATTAGAGCCATGTCTCATCTATTGATGAATGAAACCCAGGCCAGTACGAGATCCGGATAATCTCCGTGCTAGAGATGATAGTGTATTTTCAGAAAGTCAAAGGATCGATCTAAGATTTTAATTGTAAGAAGTCGGTGAGGGAAAGACACTCTATTCATGACCAACCCCTCGATCTTCATTTCTTTGGGTCGGAAATGAGATCGCTGGTGTTCAGAGGAGAAAGCACAGACTCCACAATACGAACTGTGGTGGATACGATCGACACAATATTGTCCCAGAAGAAAATGAAGCGGGGTGGCGATCGATAGTTCGATAGTTGAACTTCGGGAAATTTTTGATCAAATGAGAGCGGGCCAGACAGGTGCTAGTGCCCAAGGCTGTATTTGGGTTAGAGCCCGATTACCCTGCGGTTCTCAGCGTAGCCAAGTGATCCATGGTAATTTTGACGGCTAAATCCCGCAAGCCTCTGTCATTTTAGGGAGTAAAATTATAGATCTTGGAAATCGCTCGTAGAAACGAATTGGCATCTAGCCGTTCCACTAGTTCCCGTTCAACATTTTGTTTCGAAAGAGCTTTTAGACCCTGTATAAACAGACGGTCTCCCCATCACTTGGTCATAACGGGGCAACAAAATTTTCACTCTATCAATTTCCGACAAGATCCATATTCTTGTTAGTAGTATGTATTGAGCAAAAATTCTCCGTGACAATGTTTTGGAACGTATTTGCTAACGTGAACCTACCACGAAAAGGTCTCTTGGCCATATTATCCTCATCATGGTAACGGCTGGCTCGGCACGTTCGCCCGTGATTTATAAGGTGCCAGATCAAGTATTCAGCCCATCAGATGTGTTATGCTTTCTTTCGGAGTCCAAGAAGTAGCCTTTTGATTCAGTTTCTTGTGTAGAGAGCTGGGTGGCGAAAATAAATATTTAAGGAAAGGGAAGGGGAAGGGGAACAAAGCTCTGACTGAGATGGCTGAAATGTAGAAACCCAAGAAAAGCTTGAACAAAAATCATTGTGAGGGTGCGTGCAGAGATGGAGCCGTTTCCGCAGATTACTAGTACGATGAAGGGTTGAGGATAGGTATATAATGAGAAGTGCGGTTTGTTTTCCCGCTGCTATCTAGATGAGACGTCGAGGTAATGTCTGATCTTTCATCGATGTATTCCTCTCCACTACCTAGGTATGTATTGTGATTTAAGTACGAGACACATAATAACTCGATGACGTCGAAACATAGGAATAAGGAGCGCACTTAGCCTCGGGATGTATAGGCGACAATGGAAATTTGGGTTTAAAAAAAGATCGCTGATCCAACAGATATAAGATAGCTTTCCTTATCAAGAAATCCCGAGACGTTTTGCATTTCCTGCGTTCTCTTGACATCGTCGGGTCTTCCTGCATTATGCCCAGGGCTTCAACCTCTTTGTTCGACCTAAGAATCTCTCGGCTCAGGTGTGGCGTAAACACCATCGTGGCCGTGCACTCACCGCCCCAGACCATTACGAGCATGTGGCGGATCTGTCCCGCGCCATGTAGAAAGTAGGTTTTTGCTGAGTCTTTGGTTCCCCGAAAAGACAGGCACAGCAGATGCTTGAGCATTGCGCAAGACCCGATATACCTTTTGCACCGGGGTTGGGCAAATTCGGTGAACGCGACCGTGGTCGGATTTTAGGAGGTGCACATCTGGTCCGAGAATCGTGTCAGCACAATTCTGTCGTCGTCCATTAGACAGTCACGCACCGCCCCCGGTTTGCGTACATTAAGTTGGATCATTCGAAGTGTTTTCTCCATTTAGTGACGGATAGGGCTTCCGACAGAATCTGCTATACGACTCGTCTGGGCTTCCGCATGGAACACACCCTGAGCCTTTCAATCGCAGTTGCTGTGGTGGTGACCCTCCGCGGCGCACTTTCCGCACCTTCTAATCCTCATGGAACGCCTGATGGCCAACCCTTTGGCAGTTGTAGCATTGCGTGGTTCATAGTCGATCTTCAAAGTCGCTGGTTGTCCAAGGTTGTCCCCCAGCATGGAAGAATTGATAGGCCAGAAGTCTCCATGCGTCAGAGCCTCATATATGTCTGATTTACAGGTAGACCGAGAGACAGATATCTTACATACTTAGGTATTTACATTCGCGTGATCCAGTTTCATTATCATCTCCGCAACCGGGATATATCAACACGACCCGTAGGGCGGAATTTTCGCGGTCAAGGGCCATGTGTATGCCAATACACATGGAGGAATAGAATATGTCTACTGAGGTAAGTAAGGTAGGGCTTCGTTTTGTTTTATTGCCAGCCATGTGACCTCACCTGTATCGCTGTTTCGAAAATCAACCGTCCGTCAAACCCAGTCGCTCGCCTACATTGCCAAAGCAACAGTATACATATGATTCGCTTTGAGCCTTTATTTGCAATGATCAACCCCCAAGACAGATTCTGGTCCGAAGGCCAGAAGTACTGCGGCCCGAGCGAAAACCCCACCACTAAAGCTCACTGCAACATCTGGGATTGGGATCAGCTTCAGATGGTCAAAGTTAAAGGCAACGCCAGGCTGTTACCACCAGAGGAGGATAGGGAGCTCTTGATTTTGGCGCAATTTGCCGATTATCTATCGCCGGAAGTTCGTGCTATCACAGTCGATGATAACGAGCTCCTTATCGGGGTTTTGACAGATCCGGAAGAAAGAGGACGATGCTCTATTTCTTGTACATGTTCCTTTCTCACTATGTAAAGCGCTCACCGATTGCCGAACAATCCAGCACTCTCGGCTATAGGAGCTGGATCGACTTGCACCGTTTGTTGATCTGGTATCGTACGAAGATACCTCCGGGAATTCTCAAAAGGTTGCTTTCAAGTTCGACGTCTTGAATAAGCCTCTAAGATTACAAATAGCCTGGGATGAAATCAACATTTTTTGAAGCCTACCGCCATATCCTAATATAATACCATTTGATAGTATTGTCCTCGAAGACCAGGGATCTCTGGTGATCGGGTTAACAACGAAGTACATCCCAGGGGGAACTCTTGCGAATCTAAAGATTCCTTTTCGATTCGAGTGGTAACAGCAGGTCACTTAAGTCGCGAATTTCCTTTACCTGGAACAAGGAATCATGCATCAAGATATCGCATCCCGGAATCTGCTTATCGATTCTTATACTCAAAAGATCGTTCTCTTCGACTTTGATCGGGCTGTATCTGGAAATAAACAGCTATATGACGGTCGAGACGATGTCACTAGTGTCGTCTTTACACTATATGAGCTTATCACCAACGACCAATCATTTTCGGATATCCCCGACTCATTTCGGAATCTCATTTTGAAATCTAAATTTGGTGCAAGATATCTCAGAATGGATTTTGAATCGCGAGCTAGACTCCGAGGTGTCAAGATTCCGCAAGTTTCTAACGAATGGGTAATAACACGAACATCCGATGGGGATATAGAACGATATCTCAATGCACCATATCGATTCGCATGGCCAGACCTACCGGCAGCGCCCGATTACTTATACCATTCGAGGTGGGCACAACCTGGGATGGAAAGCCAAGCTGGGTGACTGGCCATCGGTCTAGATACACAGCAATGAAGATGGGATAGTGTTACTTTCGCTGGGAGAGGCCACCACAATGCCAATCTTTGATCGAGGTCGGGCATGGTGCGATGTAGTTAATCGTGGAAATCTAGATTCGAAGGATGCTCATCACAATAAGTCAATGTCCAGTCTTTCGTAGTACAGTCATATTCCGAATTAGTTTGAACTAGTATCTAGTGTTGCAATTTGGCGGTCCGGCTAGACTTGACATATGAAAATCTACTGAACAAACCAAAGAATGAGGAGGTCGTGGACTCTTGAACATTTGATCTCCTTGTTACGATTGTGTAGGCTACGATTCATAGTACCTGTTCGCTTTCCACGGTTCACGGCGGAGGGAGTTTTATCATTGTTAGACTGCACCGAACGTAGTACTCATGTGTACTCGCGAAATTTTGGGCATGGTGTAGAGCGTAATCAAGCGTGTCAAGATGTTCGGAGTCTTCCTGCTTAGAAAGAAATGGAAAGCTATGCCGGATTAAGTGTACAACGGCCATCGGGTACGGGGCCCACCAGGGGAAGGAATCAACATAAGATACGTACCTGGAACATAGAGCCAACAAGGCACCATACGCCTTTGAGAAAACCAATATCATGGAGGCCACTTATCTATCCATGATCCGTGAAATGGAATGCTACCATGATCGCAGGAGTCCCGCACCAACCAGGGTTCGGCTTCGTTTTATCGCTCCACCAGTATTACCTGATGCGGAACCCATCCTAGGACAGACAAGGACATATAAATAAGTGAACCGATCTACTATGGAAAATTTTTCGATTGTTCCGAATGATCATTTAATTCAACCATGCGCTTCGTTGTGCTCTTCCTCCTCGCGACCCTAGCGGCTGCAGATCTTGCTTGGTGGTCTTTCGATGCTTGGGATGGACTGAGTTGTGGAAACGCACCTCAAAATGGCCAGGTGTTTTTCACCACGCAGGGAATGGGCGATCAATTATGTATCGACTTTGGCACTGGTCAGATGGCCTACTCCTACGCTTCCTCTTATAGCGAAGAGAATGTGGAGGTACGGGGTTATCTTCACGAACACTGTGAAGGATCAAGCAAGGTTCTGCAGAACAACACCTGCACCAATCCAGACATCGAAATCCCCTACATTCGCTCCTGGAGTATTTACAGTACCGATGAATAGACATCGTGGTAACAAAAGGTGTGCTCTACTGAGAACCAATAGAAGAAGAAGATGACATGGCTGACTCTGGCAGATCCTGTACGGCTACACTTTTGTTAACCACTTGCTGAGTCCTCTCATCGCGAAATCCTTTTGCGACACGAATCCGACCGTATGATTTTCGACAAAGTCTTTCAATGCGACCGTGGAAAAGGTTGCCGTTGTGGATGATCGTATTAGGGGCATATCACTATGAGCTAAATCAAACAATTTAATTAACTCAATACTTATTGAATCCTCATGAAACTCCTGACCCAAGCGCTCACTTTTGCAATGATAAGGATATTAAAAACAGATCATCCAAGACACCGTACTTGTTATCTAAAATTATCGGAGATCATCAGAATGTGGATACTCAGTGAAGCCATCCATGGATTTGTTCAGGTCAATCTTGTCTAGAGTAGCAAACCTGTATTTGTAGGATTGTCTAAACACCCAACAAGATATGAATAACGCACTTCTAAGTGAAAAATAGCTGAAAGCGATCGAGTAATCTTTGGGTTTCGGGCATCTCGCCGTCGGATGTCACCGAAGCTGCCAGTGGCGGTACGGGCCTCCCGCGCCCTATCGCTCAGGCTGAAAACGGCCATGGGAGACCTACTATCCAACTTTCCAAACTTTTCCTTTCGGCAATGTGATTTTTGAGGAGTTGCGCTAAATGCAAGATGTCTCCCATATGTGATTCATATATTATACTCTATGTCTCGCAAATTATGAAATCGTTGAAGAGGTTCTGAGGGGGATGAGTATCCGGGCATTTGGGTATGTAAGGGACACTGTCTTGCTTGTGCTCATATGCCGGAAAGGGGGATAGATGAATGATGGGATTAATTTCCCGGAGATTGGCCCAATGAAAAGAAATCAATCTTTTTCATCCGCCACTTTTGGTCAAATGGTCTAGAGGTGGCGCGACGTGTCACGCTGTATGCTTTCGTCCATAAACGTGGCTATAAACGTCTGAGTGGAGAGCAATCGTATCGAAAGCATTCTATACACGACACTCACGCGGCTAAATCATTCAGGTAAGCGAACAGAATTGAGCATGGGTATTTCTTTATCACCGGGATTTTCCCTTCCAAACACCTAGTTATCGAGGTAGGAAATTTTCAACGGCTGTGCCGCTCCTCTCGTTCCAAGGTTTTATCATGTTTAGGGCAAGCCTTCCGTCCTATTTTACGATGCATGTTAGGAAACCAGTACATGGTCTTAGGAGGATAATATTCCTCTTAATGTTGCCGATGGTCCTCTTAGCAATTCGCTACTACATGCCAGGTCGGTCAGACTGGATGTCGAAGGCAGTGAAGATCCAGGCTGAGCGTCTCCAAAGAGAAAGCCCAAGCCTTGGTGGTTAGTCAGAACTCATTTCTTTGCTATATCTTTTGGGGCTGGCTGGCTCATATATCCTCAGACGTGTCGGACTCCGACAGAGTCAATATTCCTCTAGTCAAGCTCACCGAAACATTTTCCTCGAATGAGGAAAACAGCCAGACTGTGGATGAGAAGGACACGACACCACTGGACCAAATCGGTCATGGTTTATTTCAAGAGCAGGTCGCACCTCACGACAATGCCGAGGACGTGACGATTGTAGCTGCTCAGGCTGGCTCAGAAGACACTAACTGGATCTACGACTTCTGTGAAGACTAGTAAGACATATATTCTCCCACAAAAAACTCTTTATCTATCACCACCTAGGTCGATTGCTAACTTTGGAATTTACCGCTCCCCAGTCACTGCACTGCTTATCTATACTCCTTGGATGAAAGTCATGGCGACGATTTCCTCACACCCAAATCCAGAAAAGGCCATGAGGCAAGTGCCTACCTCACCTACATCATCGATAATTACTACCTCCTTGCACCTTACACAATTTTCATACATGGTCGAGAGGATCAATGGCACAACGACGTTGCAGGCCCGCATACTCGCAATGTTATTGCAAATCTTCGTTATGAGGCCGTGGCTATCAACGGATATGTGAACTTGCGATGCACAAACCGACCGGGATGTCCGAGCACAATGCGCCAGGCTTTCCCAGTGGGTATTGATTTTGATTATCAATACATGATTGATCAACTTCCTCAGATCCTCTGGGATCTGCTCAGAATCCCTTCAAGTGAAGTCCCTGAGGACATTGGCCATCAATGCTGTGCACAGTTTGCTGTCAGTCGCGCACGTATTCAGGATCGGCCTTTGGAGGATTACATCCGCATCTTGAACTGGATTGAAACTACCGATATCACGGACAATTACGGACTTGGCTGGTTAATTGAAAAGCTCTGGCATATGGTTTTTGGTATGCCTGCTGTGTAGTAAGTTTCCTCAATCCCCAAGGTGTATTTTCGCTTATTAACTTTGGTTTCCTGTGAAGTTGTGCTTCAGAGGCCCAGTGCCGCTGCGATTTGTATGGATGGTGTGGTCCAAATCCATTGACTGGTAATAATATCCTCACTCCTATATTGTGAGCAGATATAGTACTAGTATCACAATCGTCGCTGTTATATAGCTACTATCATTATTCTACTATAGGTAGTAGGGCCTGTAATTACTTCATACACGAACACGAATTTCTTGTTGAGCGTTTAATATACATTCATTGATGTACTTTGTCGTTGATCGAAATACAAATAATCCAATATACTTGGTATATCATTCAATAATACAACTTGAAGACCTCGGGATGCTCGATGAAAGGCACAAAGTAGAGCAAGTCTGTCTTTAAAGTCTATCCAAAGGCAATCATAATTATTCAATTCAATACAATTCCATTGAAGATTTTATTAAGCTAAGTCAGCAATACTTTCGGACGTAATCGCTATGCAACGATGGTTAACGACAAAAGAAGTGGGGCCCAATATGATAACTAATGACCGCCGTATCATAGTTCCAACCGAAGATAGCACTGCACTCGGCAACATTAAGACTGCCAAACCTCCTGGTGGGAGGAACCTTCAAAGTATGATAATATACGGAGTGTACGTGCGGAATAAATTGCGATGCATGACTTGAAGCATGTGATACTACTAGTACTATGTGTGTAGTTTACGTGGGGTTTGCATAGGAGAAGGATTGGTTAGAAGTCATAGGAGACCGTATACCAAATGAATAGTTACTACATTTTTTTGAAAAACGCCGACGGTGTCTTCAAACAAGAATTGGAGGCTAAATTTACAATGTTAAAATCCATCGTTATTCCTAGTTAGGTAAACCTCACAAATTCTAATGTAAATCACTCAAACGAGGCTTTCCACCAAGACTCTCATACTAGCATTCCCATCCTCTGGGTATGGTACTCCGAAATCACGAGCGAACGTGATGTCCTTTTCGGCTGTTTGGTATAGACTGAAGTCAAATTGGCGGATAAGAATTGCGAGCGTCAGAAATAACTCAGCGTTCGCCAGACTGGGCAGGATATCAGTAAATGATCATTCACATTAGAGTTAAGACCTACTTCAAACCAATACAGTTCCTGCTTCCTTTAGAAAAATTAACGAGATAGCGTTCCAAGTGCTGGCCTTCTGCTGCAGCGCGAACCCATCTTTCTGGATCAAATACGTGGGGCCTTGGAAAGATCGTGGGGTCCATCATGACAAAATAGCTGATTTGGCTTATCACCGTCTGGTAATATTTAGAGTCAGTCCAAAGATGAGCCAAAGTGTGTCAAATAGGTACTGACTCCTGGGGGAATCACATGGTCTTCATAGACTAGCGCTTCGGTCGGTGCTATACGAGGGCATCGCATTGTTACTCCCGTAGCAAGGCGCATGGTTTCTAGTACAACACTGGACTGCGGATATATTAGCACAAATTCAACATTATCTTGAAATGACTAGTATACCAGATAAGGAAGCTGTTTCAGCTGGTCCCAGGTCGGACGAGATTCAGGCATCGGCATAACAGATTGGAGTTCCTCTCGAAGCTTGGCTCTAATACTGCTATTTTCGATGAGGTTATAAAGTCCGACCACAAGAGCTCTGGCTGTGGTCTCTGTGCCAGCGTTCAATATTGAAATTGCTTCGTTGGCAAGACGGCGAGAACCTCGCAAATGCTCGGGGAGTCCTTTATCGAACACCTTCTCCAAAACAGACCCTTCGTTTGTGCGATGCCCGGAGAGCGTTTTGACCACTTGATCATGAACACGAGACTTTTCTTCGACGAAGGCATGCATAAAAGGATTAATCAATTTCAAGATGCGTAATGGAAGAAGGCCGACAATTGTCGGAATGATTGGAAAGAAGAGGATTAGATGGGATTGTCGAAGGATACCATTTATGCCGTCTCTTACATGCTCATTGAAGTCAGCCTTGCCGAGATTATCGCTAGGATATCCCAACAAATATCCATAGATTATGTCTGAAGTCAGGCTAGCGAAACCGGCATCTATTTTTATGACCTGACGAGACTGTGACGCCTTTTTGATGTGTGCACATAGCTGATCAAGACTTCTATATATGATTGGGATCATGTCTGTAGTTGCCGACTTGGAAAACCATTTGCTCAGGGGCGCACGTCGTTCGCGATGTAGCTCTGGTGAGACAGTGACAAATGCTGATCCATCGAGATCAAATTGTCGGTAAAATTTCTCGGGCTTCTCTCTTCTGCGAGAAAAAGGAGCATAAATCTCTTCGTAGTAATCCGGGTCTTTAATGTGGATTTCTCTTGGTGTTATGCGAACAATCGGCCCTGTGGCGGTCGGATTAAATTAAGGTTCGGGCCGAGCGAAGACGCACTTACTCACCATATATTTCATGTAAACGCTCAATCTCCCAGATAAATTTGCCTCCTTTCAAGGCGTTGAAATAAAACTCATAGGCGCTAGTCGCCGCGGCTAGCTTGGGCCCGGGGAACTTTCTGAGGGGATGGAAAAAGAGTCGATAAACCGTTTGAGTAGCCAGATATAGTAGAAAGGCAGCAAACAATGTGCTTGCCTCATGAAGCATTTTGCGGTGTTTCTCTCGGGTGAAACAGAGTGTAATTCACCGGAATCACTGGGATGGTCAGAGAAACAACGAGGAGAGAAAGAGGGAGAGGTGGAGAGTGACTGCTCTTATCTAACACGGACTTCTGTGACCATTACAGCATGCAATTCATCCATCTGTAATTCCATCCGAGCTTCGATCGTTCTGTACTAGTGTAGCACTCCGTAAAGGTTTTCATTTGTGTACAAGAACGCCACGTGGAGATTCGCTCTCCAAGCGAAGAGACTAGTCTCGGTAATTAGACTCGGATGAGGTTATGAAGCCCGTTGTACCCACACTCAAGGAGGGGTGCATGCGATTTGATCCTTAAATGACAAGGATGTTCAGTATGACATGCCGCTAAATATTTTGGGCTTATTACATATGTGACTCTATTGGTCCATAAATTAACCATGATAAATACATGAGTAGAAGGGCCAGAAAGACATGACCGTATGCAGAATACACTGGCTATTCTGGGCGAAAGGGGTCTGATCAATCACCGCATAAGATGCAGATCCAGCAGCAAGGAAGATATTGATAGTACTCCGTAGGCTGGGAGGATAATCAACATCAGCTATGGGATCCTAGTAAACCAATGTATGAGAAATACAGATTGTCTCACAACCTTGGAACTTGCCGGTATGGCCTTCCCCATTTATGATATTGTCTCGAGAATTTCAAGTTGTAGTAGGGAGCGAAGTGATCTGGCGATGACTTCAACGATTCGCATTCTAACCAAATCTTAGATGGTTAGATATACAGGCTAACATCGCTGAACTTTTTTAATCTGGTCAGGTTCCTGTATCACTTACGCTAGGGAATTTTTTGTTTTCTTCAAATTTTCCACAGTTTCAGATGAAAAATGTGGTTTAATCTCTGTATCATCAACGATAGAAATCATGGCTCCGGTCGCAAAACCCAAAACCGACCGCCACTCTTGAATGGAAAAGAATATTGGCGGCTTTGCAATGTGTCTGAGGCTTTATTTAATCGAAGAGTGCCGTATTCATCCTTCATCCATTCGGCATTATATCAGCAATAGCACTGATGGCGCAGGGGTTAGCGCGAGGATTTGCAGTGTCCTAGGTCGGGCGTTCAAATCGCTCTCGGTGCTTGTTTTTTCCCCTTTTTTCTTTTTGCAAGCATCTAAATTTACCTCCGTACACTTCGGGCAGGGTAAGACTAGCAACTTCTATTATTCAATTAATAGCTAGCTAAGCTATCTGCGCAAAAATCTTTGAAAGATCTTGCTTCACATAGCTTGGAATATCATGGATGTGGTCAAAAACCTTGGAAGACTTGATGATAACAGTATAAACAACTCATCCCGCGCCCGGACAGGCATGATCTCTCTACCGGATAAGATAAGAACGCGCCCTGAACCACGAATCTGTTTCATACATTTTGCCGGGCAAACTATATACAGATGAGGCTCAATTTGCTTCTTTTAATGTTGGATATGATATACCTTGGTATAGTTAGTACTGGTCATAGACCACCTGCATATTGTGAAGGTTGTGTGTGCTGTCAGAAGTATTCGACTCAAGTCTTGGCGGGGGCCGGCGGTTCGTCCCCCAGTTGAAAAAGATACAATGAACGATAGGGGTTCAGACTATCGGAAAAGAGGCTCGAATAGGATATGGCGCCGCTTCTGCTTATTCTGGAGGCCGAGACTGATTCAAGAGGCTCAAGGGGTCCTTCCGCTACTTTTACATGCTTTAGTTATACGGTCATTTCCGTGGGGTGATCATTCAACAAGGCAGATTTTAGTCTCTAAGCGCTGACGCCTATGTTCCTGCGTCACTAGTTTCAAGGCTTGGACCCCGCCAGCACTTAGTTGGTAAGGACTGGTCTGGCAGATTGCATGCAGGCCATGTTTTGTTCAGCCCTAGCCAGGACCAGTCACCCGAGCGTTCCAAGGTTGTATTATCTGTACTTGCGCCGAAGTGGGAAAAACTTGGAGACACGTTCATAGTCCAGGGCTAGATCGCCACAATATCTATACTGGGAAGAATATTCTGGCTCTAGTACTAGTGCCTACCTACTAGTACCTACCTAGCTAGTTAGATAGACAGCTGCTCACGGGATATATTTTGGTGAATCAAACATGGGAAATAACCGTAGACTACTAGTCGGAGTACAGCCTGATGGCCCGGGGCTTGGAGGGTCGGAATGCGGCTCAAGAATCTTCAAAGCGCTGAATCGGATGAGGCTGAGCATCTGCATGTTGCGGTATCTTCCAAGGTTGGCAAAATGGATGAAACAACCTCATTGCTGACAGTGCATACGCGCCTCGTCCTTGGTGTTCAATTGAATTACCCTGTAAGGCTTCGATCGGCTGGCTACTACTCATGATTCGGAGTCACCCTGCAGCCTAGATGTATCGGTGTCTACAAGTCCTTATCAAGGTCTCGAAAATCTACATAAAGTCCCCTACTTCTACTTTCTTGACTTGAATCATCGACTTTCCCATTCATTCTTTTATATATACAAGTAGTATTCAGTAAATTATCAAAAAAAAACCTTGGAATTCTCCTTCCCTCATTCCTGGGAAACGGTGAGCTATGTTCCGCTTGATAAACTCTCACTACTAAAGTCTGACCGAAGACTTTTTTATTACGTCTAGATTAAGACATTGACCATCGTTTTCTACTATATTTGATCCAGCTAATTTATCAGTCTGCCCGTACGCGCTAGGCTTCACTTTTAGATCAATATGTGGTCCATCGGAAATATTTTTCGAGTTCTCTGTCTATTAAATTAGCACTCTCGGAGACTGGTTTCTCCCGACCCACGGTTTTAGACATCACCTCGGAAGAATTCGCACAAATTAGCGAGCTCTATGTGGCCCCAGGTAACAACCGAAGGGGCTTTTTTGACCCTATCAAGCATGGGTGGTGCGACGTTAAGTCGAAATTTGAATCGTGTGCCTCGCAGAAGTATGAAAAAATCGGTGATGGTGGCCCACATCAGAATTTCGTCATAATGCAAAGGACCGGTTCACAAGTGCATTGCACTTCCGAGAGTGATAGCATAGGCAATGAGGTCATTTTCCAATTATTCGAGGAAGAATAATCACACGTATACTGGCTTAATGTTCTCATACTAGTAAGTACTTTCTCGAGTACCGTCGGCTGGAGTATGGATGGGAGTTACGATGTTCCCTTCGGATCAGCAGGGCTTAGTGTTTGGAACTCCGAGACTTTCGCAGTCACACCTGCAAAGTCTTGCGATATCGTTGCAACAAGGATGGCGATATTTGCCTCCTCTTCTACCACGCTATGACCGCGTTTAGGGTAAAGGTGACAGAATGCCAAGACTGCGGTTGCGGTGTTACAGATGGATCAGAAAAGGATATTGGGGAGACTATTGTCTATGCACCAAATGAAGGAAAAGTGGGCAGTATTGTTTCCAGGGAAGTATCCATGACCGATATCCAGCAATGCGTTGGAAACGATGACAGAACTGTCGACTTATCACCGTGGACCCTCGGGAGACTCTAGTTGGTGGAAGGGCAGAAAATCGGGTCCATGGATTAAGGAATACGTGAAAGAACGTGAGCCTGCCGGCTGCGATATTCCTATCGAGGTCAATCAGTATTAGTTACTAGGACTGGGAAGTGTAGGGATTGGTGATAAGAGATCTCAAGATCGGTATATGTTGCAGTTCGATTTTGGATGCTGAGAATATTCCTGTACTTCTTACTTTTCCAAGGTTGTTGAGATCCGTTTTTTTAATTCAATACGATGCCGCTTTTTGGGGTACCAGACCGAACACTAACATCTCTTTGATACTAGTTCTAAACTCTGTCAACGCATCGTATCAAATAACAGATAGAAAATCATCTCAAAAGCTTCATACCCGCTTCCCTTCAAAACCTTCAGCAGGCCATCCCTGAAGTGTATCTTTATCCTCTACATGGTCACCCGACAGTACTAATGTATGTTCCAGCAGACAAGCATCCTGGCCCATCGAAGCCCCGGACATCAAGCGGGATCCAGCACGCATAATGCTCCGGTCGCCGACCTTCAAAGTATGTAATTCGAACTCGCCACGAGAGTTCAGATGGCAAACCAAGCTGCAATCGTCAACAGCCACGCGGTTACCGAGTGTGAGAAGGTCAGGCTCGGTAAAGTAGACGTTCGGTGTGCCATTGGCGTGGATCGCACAATCCTTTCCTATATTTGCACCTAAGAGGCGGTAGTACCAGGATAAATAAGCTGAACCCGTAATCATAGGCAGGAGACCAGCTCCACCGTAGCAGTCCTTGATGAGTGTCTCACACGACAAGAGGAATTGCCATCGTTGGTTATAACTGCTCTTGTCCCAATGGAATTCGCCTTCCTTGCGCCGGCCCATGACCAACCACTTGATGCCTATGACAATTCCCAAAGCCATGAAGGCCTGAGCACAGCTAATGGCGGATAAGAAAGCGGCTAATACACCATATAGCACGAATGGCCGCCAAGGTCCAAGATCGAATGCAGCAGTGTTGCTATGCTCAAGGCAGGCACGGAGACAAAGTAGTGCGAATACCACACTCAGGAGCCAGTACACAGTCACGACGACTACCGAAAGAACAGAATACATGACGATCTGCCAGATGCGCAGCACGTAGTAGCTGGCATTTTTCTGATAAAATGCACGACCAAAAGGTTTGCAAGTATCTGCCTCGGTGATATTGGGAATGGAATGTTTCGCATTTTGGGTTTTTCGTCCCATGTCTTTCTCATTGTCGCTGTTGCTTTGTCCATCAGTGCTGCTGCTGCTGCTGCCCACAACAGTAGGGGCAGTTGAAATTGGCACCGAGGACGAAGTCGGGAACTGCACAGCATCACCACCCTTGCTACCGGTCCAGATGGTATTTGCTGGGTATTCACCATTCCGACGAAGCAAGGCCCCCGAACCGATCATTGCCTCACGGCCGATCGTGACACCTGGTGAAGCGACAACGCGATCACCGACCATGGCACCGTCACCAATGACAACACGGTCACGGCCATAGCCATCTGATGTGATAAGGGTCGAGCGGGATCCAAAAACGACGTCGTTTCCAACTTCGATGAGGTCGAAATCGGGGAGAGAAGGGCCTACGCTGGGCCAATAGATTCGCTTTCCAACCTTGCCACCAAGCGCACGAATGGCCATGGAGACTAATTCGTAGTGACGACCGATTAGACGAGTGAGTTCATGAATATCGCCGGATGGAAGAATCTCTGCTAGAACAGCGGTGCGAATCTTTTGCAGGACACTCTGTTTAGAAGCAGGACCGGGCTTGGGCTTGCCGCAAATGACATCGAGCAATGATTTAATGATCAGCACCGATGCGAAGAGCACGATTGGGCCACCAATAGCACGACAAAGCCTTGCTGCAATGTGGAAGCCAATTCTCTGGCCACTGGTATACCATTGGAGAGTTGCCAGGAACATGTCAGATTGGGCCATCGGGAACTGCCTCACCATAGGTACAAGGCCACCCATCCATGTGAGACGAGCAGCGACCCAGACCAGAATTTTGATAGGTGTAACAATCAGAAGGTTAAATATCCAATGTGGCTGAGGAATGCTGGAGCTGAGCAAGTCGCGGTTTGACTCATCGGCATCTTGAAGTTCCCAGCTTGACGAGTTGGGGCCAATGCAGGTATTATCCGGTATATCGGCGCCAGGGGCGAGAATTGATTTGAGACCGATGGAAGAATTATTACCAATGCGAATTCTTTTGAGCAACATCGATGTGTTGCGCTCCACAGCGAAGGGACGACATTGACAGGTATCTAACACGACATCATCACCGATCTCGATCAAGTCATATTCTCCAAGCTTGGCAGACGGGGGTATAGTGACATTTTTGCCAATCTTGACGCCGAGCAGACGATAGAACAACACGCGAGACCAGTTAAAGTGATTGAAAATTCCCTTTCCAAACACCTGTACCGCCTTCTGGGTCAACCACCAACGAGTGTGATAAGGCCCCCACATAGGGTAAATACCCTCCTCGTAGCGGCCCACGACAAGCCATTTGAAGAGAATTGTGCAGATGGGAGCCACAACCTGGGCACTAACACGAGCTGATAGAACAGCCAGGATAATCAGGATCAATCGACCAATCAGTAAATCGCGAATTGGAAAGCGAAGGGTGCCTTCTGCCACAACATATGAAAAAACAAGCCATTGAAAGGCACGCTTCATTGGAAAAAAGAACAAAACAGGAAAAAGATGCAAGGCCATAACCAGCGGGTTTGTGCTACTGTATGTTCTTTCACAACCTGGCAACTCGATGACCCCTTTATCCCCTTTAGCAGCCTTGATCTCAACGGCTTCTGTGATCTTATACTCAATTTCGCCGACAGAGCTATGGTGGAAGAGAATATCTCCAGCTAGAAAGATTCCAAATTCACGTCGGAGTTGCGAAACAAGTCGACCTGCACTAAGACTATCGCCGCCAGCGGCGAAAAAGTCTGTCATGGCAGATACTTCCTCCGGTGCGCAAGACAAGGCTGTGGCGAAAATATCGCGGGTCCGGCGTTGAATGGGTGATATGCTACCATCTGAGTTTTGGGCGCGGACAGCCTCATCAATAGCTGCTTGATCGGGATTTCCGTAGAAGTCGACGGGCATCGGTCCCTTCAGAGAAGTGATGCGGGTGGGGACAAGATAACCATCCAGCTGTTTGTGAAGGACATTAGGCGTAAGCTGATATTCTTCCGGGTTGTCGACAAATAGAACAGCTTGGGCGAGTCCGTCACGTTCGTTGATTTGAACATGCACTTCAGAACCCTTAGCGATTTCTCCCAAGGTTGAACGAACTGCTTTGCAGTCAACAGCACATTTTTGTTTCGAAATCGGTGTGGTCAACGGAGAGCCGTTAGGTGGGCAGACAGCTTCGTAATGACGATGTCCGAGAGGTGTTTTTGGTGTCAACGACTGTAACGTGAGTCGCTCGGCAAGCTTAATGCGCTGGATTTTGTTATTAGACTTGGGCACACGATCCATGTACACCACTAGGGCGGGCCACTTGGGCTGATGAATAATGGGCTGTAGCGATTCGTGCAGCTGGCGAATATCTGGTCTGGGTGTGCCCGGAGGAGTCACAATGACAATTCCAACCACCTCCTGGAGTACTTCATCCGGCACTGAGAAGGCCAGAGTCTCAGAAACTCGGCCGTACAGTGGAGAGCCAGGATGCTTGGCCGCGGTGAGAACAGCATCCTCTACCTCGACGGGAGAAATGATTTCACCACCACGGTTAATGACCTCCTTGCTGCGGCCTGTGATGTAGAGATAGTTCTCGGAGTCAAGGTATCCGAGATCGCCGGTATCAAACCAACCAGCTTCATCGAAAGCACTTGTATCAATTTTCCCATCGGGGGTCAGGTATCCCTCGAAAGCAGGTGATCCACGAACACAAATGTGACCAAGGGTTCCGCATTCTGAGACAGGTTTGCCATCATTCAAAATGGCAACATCAGGACCGACGATTTTTCCAGATGTACCAGGACGGTCAAGAGTGTAATCTTTTGGCGGTGCTGCGATAGGCATGCATTCAGTCATTCCATAGCTGGGGAGGATAGAGCAGTCGAAAGCTTCACGAAGTTGCAAAGCAAGTGTTGGGGGTAGACCACCCCCAGCGTTGCAGATAAACTCGATGGCACTTTGACGGATGGCATCGGGGCGGTGCTCAGCTTCCCCAAGAATCATCTGATGCATTGTTGGTGTGGCATAGTACCATGTGGGTGTCATGGCGGGTGATTGTATAGCATCCCAGAACATGCTGGGGTCGAAAGACGGGCAGCATATAGTAGCGCCACCGGCGAGAATGGGAGAAAGGATGCTTCGCATTATACCGCCACTGATCTTGATTAGTTTGAAGCTTTTGGATTGTGGTAGATTGAAGGTCAACATACACATGGTTCAAGGGCATCATGTTGAGGCAAGTATCTTTCTCCGACAGTTTCACAGATTCAATCGTAGCGATCGTACCCGCGATGAGATTAAAGGTTGTAATGGGCACCAACTTCTTCTTGCCACTTGTGCCGCTAGTGAAAAGAATGATTGCAATTTCATCAGCAACATTAGGCGCAAGAATTGATGAAGATGAAGTGTGCTTTTCTGAAACAACGCGAAATGTCAAGTCTTCCAGCTGCTCAAGCCCAAATACAGGACGAACGCCATTGTCTAGACTTAACTTGCCAATATCATCTTCCAAAGCGACAACAGCATCAGCTTTCACTTGTTCAATATCCATGTGCAGTTGTTCTGGAACCGTATTTGAGGCCATGGGAACAATCGTATACCTATTGGCAAAGGCAAAGGTTGCGACTGCCATGAGAAGACCATTGGGCAAAATGACAGCCACGCGAGGCTTTCTATTGGAGGAGGACCCCACGGGGATATGGAAGCCTTGTACAAACTGGCGGATAGCAAGATGTGTCAGGTTTCGGCCTGTACTGACATCAATGAAGCCAGCACGGTCGTCGGTTCCTATCAACTCGGAGATACTAGGAGTAGCTTCCTTAATCTGTACCCGTAGACGATTGATTGCTTCATTGTTCTCGGATTTGGCAAGTTCAGGAAGGGATTTATAAATATCCTGGAAAGTGAGGATGAGCTCCCGAGTGGGCCATTTGCCGGAGTGTGAGGAAAGGAGAGTGGAGAGTTTATGGGGAGAGTCTGGATGGGAGGCGTCGGTACGCAAAAATCGAAGCTGTTCCAAGATGCTTCTGAAATGTCAGTAAGAATTGCAAAAGCCCCCAAAATTTGGATAGCACAGGATTCAAGGAAGAAAAAGAGGATGGGTTGAGTCATTTGATAGGACAGACTGGAAAGCAAAACCAAAATGGGCTATTGAAACTTACGAACATCTTGGCAGATCTGCCATTGTGTATCGCCAATCGGGAATTTTCTGCTATACAAAGATTAACCAGGATTTTCACTAGACCTCCCAGTATTCCACAATAAGGGGGCTGTAGGAGCCTTATATGGTTATAATTTTTGTTCCATAAGACGCAAGATCCACTGGTGAACCTGGAATTACCTCACGGACCCAACTCCAAGTTCTGTCTCCATACGGGACAAAATGGGTCAGGACCGACATTAGCACGACCCATATGGCAATCAGGTCCCAAGTGTGTACGGAGTAGTCTGGGTCCATGCAATGACTGATTTTACTGGAGAGCATGTTAATTCAAGCTGAGGAGAACGATGGTGAAACATCCATCCTTCGATTTGAGCTTTTCCATCAGCTAGGGCTGTTATTCCGCGTCGTAGATCTGGAATTACGGGGCTTCGCCTTCCTGTTGATAGATAGTACGTCAAGGGTCGTCTTAGAGCTACAGATGATACAATATAATTTGGGGCATGGATAGGCATTCTTGCATTAAGACCCACAGACTCTAGAGGTTACAGTCAGGCCCCGGTCGAGTTTGATCGGCTGCCCCCAAGTGGGTGCCTAAAGTCTGGTTCTTCGAGAAGATCTTGTTCTGTATCCAGCAGTTGGACGTACATACTAGTTCGGAGGGTCTCTGGCCCGTGCTGCGTATTCTTGATATTAGGTGATTCCATCAAGTCTGAGGTATATCTTACCCCACATTAATTTTGATATAGTCTCCGAGTATCAATCTCTATCAGCCCGCAATACTACCACTAGTAGTATACGATATGATTCTCAATCACAAAACCCCATGTGATCCATGAAAAAAACGTCCGAGTTGCACATAGCAAACAGTTACTAGATCTTTATCAGATGCAGGGTGGTTCGAGGATCGTCGCTAGCGATCTGCACATTGAGGCGAGGCCCACATGGGTATGCACCGGATGCTCCTTGGCAAGACTTGGCAGTCGTACCCGTTTATTCTCGACCTGTAGAGAATAGTAAGTACTCGGGACGATCATAGATCGACAGGACCTTGGAAGTTTCCAAGTCTCAGTTTGAACCAAGGTCCACTTCGTGGCGGACAGCGCCCCCAATCATTGCTCCGCGCTTGACTCCTAATTGTATCAATGCCAAGCTTCCGTCCCACCGATCTTCAGGACCGCTCTCGATGGGACCTCATAGGAGCTCGGCTGAAGAATCTCGACTTCTACAGGACGCTAACAAAGCAGGTACTGCCCAGTAAGGCAGGCTCATCCGTTCAATTTACCCCTCCTCCTAAATTCATTGCGGTATTGTGCTCCCGCTCAGCACATGTCGGCTGTGCACTGGCAAACCCCGGCATAGAGTGCTCCCGGGTTCTCGGTTGGGAGAAAAAAAACTCGGGCGTACTGGCTGAACGCTCGGGATACCACGGGTGCCACCAATTCTGTTCGGCAGATTTCTCCGACTTGATTATCTATTTGTATTCGGTTGCTCTATTTATACTAGGTGCGGCATGCCATCATATCGAGAGGGTGTGGTTTCAGGGGGGGAATTCCTGCGGCGTTTCCGAATCACTGTGCGGAGCAAATCACTTCGATACAATGTACTTCATTCGTCTATTCGCATATTCTTTTTTTTTCATGTGTACTCCGTCCGATAACCAGGTCCCGGGACAAGAGGTTTAATCTCAATGTCACCAATTTTCATTATTATAGAATATTCAATTACGGAGCACTCCATGCTAGCTTTGAAAATTCCTTTAGGCCGCGGAGCGAAGGTGGTGGAATGATTTCGGATACCACCTACCACTCGCTGATTTTTTCCTCAAAGTGGCTATGATGTAAAGAGCATCGCTCCTCTTATCGGGTGTTATCTCAACCGCTATTTCAAAACGTGCAAGATCGCCCCCAATGAATGGCAAATAGGGAAGGATCGGCAGCGGAGCGGACTGGATGAACCAGATCGTATATCTTATCAGATGTCGTAAGGGAGCGATGGCGGGATGGTCGGCAAATGCGGGTTGATTTTGCCACTAATATCTCTTCCAAGGTTCTGTCGTCGGTCCGGAGTATCCATGGGTTAAGATGATCTCTACGGATTACGATAATTGGATGGTGTCCCCGAGCTCGGTTCGCTTGTCGGAGGGTTAGCACTTTGAATGCCGTCGACCTCCGTCATAAAGTTCAAGTTGGATGCTTCGAAGCACATCCCCACCAGTGGAACTGGGCACCCGATTTATACATACCTAGGTATAGTAGGTAAATATTCTCCAAACTTGATAGGTTATGCACTCCAGGGCTGACGCGTCACATCTACTCCAGGGCTGGAGAAGCCATTCCGCCCGAATTTAGTACCAGTACTATCTAAACGAACGTCAACCTTCAAGTTGAACCTTGGAAGTTAGAAGTAAATTAGAATTGTATATAGTACATAGTACCTGTTAAGTGGTCAAACTTTGAATGCTCCAATCTCACAACAGAGAAGACAAACTGGCATCATCATGATCCTGCTGACAGAGGGTACTAGCCAAAGTTTTTCAGAACCGATGCTCGTAAGGCTTAGATTCCTGAATTCAGGAATTCTCCTGGCAAACTCCCTTCAAGTTGTCGGTTCTCTTTCGCTCTTGGTACAACGAATAAAAAGAAATATCCGGTGGCGGCGGAAGATGACGAGCATCGCCTTCCCGCCATGAATCCTGAAACAAAGACTCTGCACATTAATATGGCGCCCTATTATCTAACGCACTCTTCAGTTTCAAGTGTTGGAGACGTGTCAATGTGTCGGGTATACTAGTACCATCCCAATCCCTCTCTTTTATTGTCAATAGGCCCATGCCAAGTGATTTTCCATCATGCGTGAACTTTATCATTCCTTCTCTGGATGCTATTCAATCGCCCAGCAGTTTATTTTTATCCACGAGTAGTTGATAACGCTGCAAAAGATTCATTGATACTACTCAGCTTCTAGGATTATTTAATATTTCACACTGGCTTCTTTATCATCGAATTATCAATGGCTACCTAGTTACTCTCAAATCTTTATACCAACTAGTAGGCCTCCTTTTCTGAACAGTGTAGCCATCAGAGTGGCCCTTTCTTCTAAATCTTGGAGGCTAGATTTTTGACATGAAATAACTTGAAATTATTACGTACTATGGAAATCATTTCGAGTGAAGGTTGAGGTTCAACTTCAGACTTACATACTCGCTCCAGGGCTGGCATCGTCTACATAGTACTCTACCGCACACTCAGTGTGGGAAATAATGGAGGAGGACCACCTGCTACGGTGAAAACCACTAGGGCCTCTTGTCATTGTTTGAATTTGCAAAATACTATTGTTCCTCCCTGGGTCTATACTATTCAATTGAGTACAGTTGAATCTCTTTCCATGCTTTGAGAGCCCAAAGGTCTCTTATTGAAGAAGACTGTTCTCGCCCATATTCCCCAGGCCCGAAAGCTCCGATTTGAGGGCTCCGTATGAGATCGGCTACCACCTTGCTTCTCCCAGCGATCACCTCCAATACCAGTGGTATGGCGTACAGTATATACATGATCTCCCCCTTGGTGCTACCCAGGTATTTTCAGATTCTTTCTTCATCCCGAAGAACTATATTGTTAGAAGGAATACTCTTCTTGAGCCTTCTGACATCTGAATAGTCTATGGGGTATTTCAGTGTTTAATACGGCTTAAGAAAATTCCCAGCCTTGGGATTCAACAGCGACGGGCTCAGGGAAGACCTTCCTAGAAAGTAACAGCAAATTTTAACTCCGGTATCCACCTTGGTTTCTCATTCAATCTTCCAGCACTACTCCAAAATAATTTTTCGGGGTGCGAAGATTTTCACGGGATATTGCATACTGTGGAATAGAGCAAAACTGACTACGGAGTACATGGAACCTCCTTTGGATCCCACAGAGGGATTGAAACTGTAGAACTGAATTTTCGATCATAAATTGTCTACCCAGAGGACTCGACGTCTCGATGAATGTCTTCTTCTTGTTACGGGGTACTACTCGGTACCCTTTCGTAGGATGCTATATCAGGTGGCAATAACCCCCTCTACCCCTATAAACCCCGAGTCCAAAGTCTATTGAATCTCAAAGCCCACTGTGGATCCGGTCAGAGCTCCTCAGAGCAGGCCGACTCATTTTTGGGATTAGGCCGAACCGGATGTACACATGTACCTGAACTAGTCTCGTTTTATGTGAAAGGTTGAAACAGGATTTTTACATGTCAGTGAGCCTCGTACAGAGTACGAAGAAGCGAAAACGATTGGTTAGGTTTTCCGCCTATGTGTATCCGGGAAGCACGATGGTGGCCTTGGCACCCAAGGCTCAAGAGGTCCCCTGTTATGATCCCGAGGTCTCGATTTATCCCTTCATGACCCAGGCTTGTGCCAAGAACTACGCGGGCGTGTAGAATGTAGGCCTGCTCCGCTCGTCTACCCACACGAAAATTACAATTCGTGAGCCCGGCGGCACATCATTGTCCGTGCAATGCCGAGGGAGAAACGGTCAGGACAAACTCTGGGCCCTTATACTAGTACGTGGAGAGAAAAGCGTACATATAATATCCATGTCAAAACCTGGGCGATGTATGTTCTCGGCCAGGGAACTTGAAGTAGTTGGTTTACGGAGTACCTTGCGTTGAGAATCTAGCCCCTATGGCGGTGGGGTCATAATCTAATATTTAAGCCCTGTTGACCGTTGACTTTCCTAGCAGGTGGGCCAAGACGATCGCCTGTCACAGATTGACCAACGCGACCGTTAATCCTCCCACCTGGGCATGTAACTATTACCTAGAAGATGTAGTACAATGCTCAGCCCTCGAGAGAGTACGGAGTACGAAGCAAATTTTCCATGCTTTTGAATGTTCCCGGTGAAAGATATGGATCAATGAAGCCCACTCACTCCTTACTACTAATAGCACACACGCAAGTGAACTTAGTTCTTGCAATCTTCTGTTTTTGCGCCAACTTGAAGAAGACCGGAACCGCCCGTATAGAGTAGAAGTGACGTCACCACTCGTATCTTTTCCGACATGTCCGAACAGCAAAATCGACCTGTCTCTTTTATTTCCTTCCCTTGAGAATTTGATGGAATGCCCCTATCGAATTGCAAGCATTGATCCTACATGTGTATAGTGACAGGACCACGCATCCCCATGGGGTAACTATCTCCTGATAATGAACAACCTCGATAGTCTGAATTCAATCAGCTTGGTCACCCAGATCCTCTGCTTTTCTATTACTACACCTCTAATTGCACTGAGGCTATTTGCTCGTCTCAAACTTCATCATTCATTTGGTGTTGAAGATGGTAAAATAGAACAAATCCATTCATGTGTCTTCGCGCTTCCAGTTGCTGATCAATATTTAGCATCATGCTACATTGCATGGGTATGTGATTTCCCGAATTGAACCCTGGAATTTCTTACATCCACCTGGGCAACATACCTAAAGCACACCAGATTCTCTTCTTAGGACATTGTATTTGTACCCTACTGTGTATATACTCTCCGCAGTCTCCCGATGATGATTGATTTCGCTGATGAACAATCCGGTCTAGACACCTTCAATTCCGACGTGCCTTTTTCTCCCTCGGGTAACCGACATGAGCTCAAGGTATTATTTGAACCATCCCTAAATCAACCAGAACCTCGGAATACACTGATAGACTTTCAAACTAGATATTTTATATCGCAACGATGATCTACGTTCCGATGGTTCTCTTCGTGAAAACCTCTCTCATTTATACATTGATTCGACTTTGGAGCCCATACCGAGCGAAGGTCGTAGCTCTCTATACTTTTCTGACGATAATAATTGCCTATTACATTGTTATTCTTTTCGTGAAAGTGTTTTCCTGCACCCCAATTCATCTATTGTGGGAGGTCAACTACTTAGCTGGATCATGTCTCAATCGCTCTGCTATCATCATTGCCGACTCTGTGATTAGTGTCACCACTGATCTGGCTATTTTAACATTTCCGATAGCTCTCACCTGGGGATTACAAATGGCTGTTTCCAAGAAACTTCATATTATCGTCATTTTGGGTGCGGGGGGCACTGCCATTGCATTCAGTATCTATCGGCTGGCCCTCGTCATTCGTTCCAGGGATGCTCCCTTTCAGCGAGATCTCTACTTAAAAATTCTACTTTCCGAGTAAGTAAACCAATTTCTTCGCCTTGACTCATTTTACCACAAATGCCTAACAATTTCAGTAACGCCGAGGGTGGCCTAGGTCTCATATGCACTTGCATTCCGGCTATAAATAAACTGATTAGTCATTTGAAGCAGGTATATAATCAGAAAAGAAACAAGAGACAATTTCAAGTTGTTTAAGATCCGGTTGCAATCACCTTAAGCGCGTCTGCTGGCGGAATGGTTATCGTGTATATGCAAGGGCTCATCCGCTGCTTAGGATCCAGGAATCAAGGACTCCATGCCAATTATTGCGCTATAGCATTTTCTCAAGTTTTTTTAAGTTTTTTTTTTTCAAGATTCGAACCAGCTTTCACCGCTCATTGAATTAAAAAGGTCCCAGTCTGAACAGTGAATGTTCAAATTTGGATCTTCGAGAAAATTGAATGCAGAATCGGACGTGACCTGAGGAGAAAAGATCCCATCTACTGAATGTGATTGAAAATCGGCACGTAACGAGTTTTCGGCGTTCTCAACAACCATACCACTAAGAATTCCATGGCATGTGTTTAGGCTGTCACGGGCAGCTTTGCGTATAGCCTCCTCGGGGGAGATATCTTCAAATAAAGCCTGGACCCGCGCGGTTGCCATATTGAGAAACACGTAGCCTTTGACATTTGTTTCTCCGTGGCGCATCCTGCTTTCTGCATATTGAACCAACTTCTGAGCATCCTCCATCAATTGGAATTGACGGGACCGGTTCCTTTCTCTAGCAAAATGAGAAATGCCAGATTCCAGGCTGGAGGTCAACTCGACATATATCGCCAGAGCCCCTCTTGTAATGATATCTCGAAACATACCACCTCCATTGATAAGCACTCGAGAGTAAATCTTGTCCTCAAGCAGAGAGACAAGTTCTAGAGAAACTTCGAGGCACGCCTGTTGGGAATGAGTGTATATCGGGGAATTTTTGGCTTTGGATGCATAGGGGAAATGAAGGCACAGGAGAAAGCGGCGAATCAGGTGGCTGCAAAAGCTATGTGCAAAGTGATTTAAGGGATCCTGGCTTCGCAGAGAGACAGTCTCGTTCAGCGCACTAGCGACCTCGTGGCATGCTACTCCAAGCTTCTGGTCAATGGAGAGTACTTCATCATAAGAAGGCTCCACGTTCAGACTGTTGACGACACGCACGACGGTTAACCTGAACCCAATCGATTTTGCCAGAAGATATTGAAAAAAAGTAGCACTTCGTCCCGGGGATGGATTTTCGTCTTCTCCTGAATTTGTTGAATTGTCAAGGTCTTCATCACTCAAGTCCAATGGCGGTTGAGTGGTGTAGTCGTCCTCTGTAACCATAGGCGCCATACCAGAGTCCAAAGCCGACTGCACATTCATCTCCAGAATCGTATACCATAGTCTCCTTCGGACTTCCCTCTGTTGTATATCCATCTCTCGCAGCGAGCTCGGATCTTGGTGTAGCCCCATTTGCATTGCCATCCGCATGAGAGTTCCTACCGAGATCCAAACCAAATCTGATCCGACTCGGTTTACCTGACGAGCAAGAAGCAAGAGACAGTGAATTTGAATTCCTTTCAATGTCAGCCTGTCCTTCTCGAATGGGGCTGAAAGCCATGTTTGAGAAACATTGATCCAAGATTGCACCTTCTCAGATATATCCTTGCGAATTTGAGCATTATGGTGCATTGTGCCAGAAATCGACATGAGAAGCAGAAGAGTCACAAGGAAAGAAGTTTTGGTGTTCTGTGGCTGCTCGACATGGTTGTCATATTCCTTTTTGAACGAGGAAAAATGTAAGATCCTGTAACAAGACTCGAAAGTTGAAAAATACAGGCTAATCAGTTCCTCGATGATTTCAGGAGTTGGGAGTGACTGGTACATATGTGCCGGGATAGACTGTCGAAATGGACGCTGCTTTTTAGCCTCCCGGGCTAATTCCTTGCATTCGGCCATGAGTCGCGAGATCGGGTCTTGCTTGCCACTACTAGACTGTTGCTGGTATAATGATTTGTAATCTCCGGGTGGTCCCATGATAGACAACTCAGACGCCTTGACAGTTTCAGTGGAAAAGCCAGAAATAAGATGTCGAAAATATGATTTCTTACTTGAGCGATTGTATTCATCCAGTGTCCGTGGCCGAAAATCCGAGTCTTGGACATAGTGCCATGTATTTGGGCGAGGTTCACAGAACCTCGTTGGGATACTTCGTGGCTTGACCGACCAGCTGATTTGGGAGATTGTGAACTGTTTCCATTCCCTTCACTCGCTGGGCCAATATGGGTTGTCGGCGGCCCAGCGTTGACATGATTCGCGTAAGTGCAAGAAGGGGTGCGGTGGGAGACACATTGACCACAGGGCTTCTTTCGGTCGCACCGGACTTTGCGCCGGCGGCACTCAGTACACGAATGTGCAGGACGCCGGCGCTTTCGGATAATTCTGGGCGATTCGGACATACTCGTTCTAATAGTGGATTGATGGTGAAAGATTACCGACAAAAGACGGGGAGAGGGGGCTTGGAGACATGGGGCTCGCGTTTATCGGCGGAAGATTGTTAAATCCGATATCACCGACGGGTGAGAGAGAGAGAGCTTCACTTCGAAAATCTAGTAACCAAGGAAGACAAATTGAAGCATGCTCCGTAAAATACTGCGTAACGAACCGGGAGTACTGAAAGCATAATTATAACCAATTTCCTACTAGAGTATTAATGGACTATCTATGTACTAGTAGTACCAAAAGGTTTGAGTTCGAAGAGAATATCATATTAAATGGACACCGGGCGCTACCTCAAATTGACCCCGGTGGTTTCCACTAATTAATATGTGAATTGTTTTCTAGCTCCTCCGGGATAGTCGCAAACTTGTTGAGAACTTGTTTTAGTGCAGGGCGCCGGATCGGTTTACTAGTAGGGTTGTAATTAATTACAAGGTCAGCAATGAAGAGAGCGACAGCTACTCACCTGATGAACATATCCATGCCTGAGTCCATACATTCCTTTATGTTACTCTCCTCTGCAAAGGCACTCAATGCCACAATAGGAGCAGAGTAGCCCATTTCACGGATGAGTCGGGTGCTCTGCAGGCCATCCAGGTTTGGCATCTGAAATACTTAGTACGCAAAGCCTTCGAGGCCTGGGGAGACAACTTACCTGAATGTCCATGAAAATCAGATCGAAGACGAGTCCCTTTTCCATACTTAACTTAACAGTGTCGAAAGCCTCCTGGCCATCCTTCACCATCGTGATATCATATACTTCTTCAAGGGCGAGCATTCTACTGGATATTAGTGACTATTAACTGGTCAGAGATGCCTGGAACATACCGCCGAACAACTTCTTGATTGACCGTATTGTCCTCGGCAACCAAAACTCGAATCTTCCGAGGGCCTTCGCTCTGCGTCGTCGGGCCATTCTTCGATCGTGGGCCCTTGGATGCAGAAGATGCAGGCGATGCGGGAACTGTTGGGGTGAAGAACGGTTGACTGAGACCAACCAGTCGTGGTTGGATATCGGACTTGTCAAAGCCAGGCGCCGCATGTTCGCTTTTCAATGATCCGTGGTTTGATGTCGTGCGTGCTGCATTTGAAAATCCATCCAGAGACAGAACACTAGGTGTTCGTGAGCCGGGTGCACTAGAGTTGTGGGTGCTCGGGGCCAGTTCCTTGACGAATTTTAAGGGAATTCGGAGTGTGAAAATGGATCCCCGTCCCTCCTCACTATCCACAAGGATGACACCATTCAATATCCGCGATAGTTGGGCGCAAATACTCAGCCCGAGGCCGGTGCCTCCATATTTACGATTTAGCCCCAGGTCCCCCTGGACGAATGGATCGAAGATACGCCGATGAAGGTGTGCAGGAATGCCAGGCCCGTTATCTTCCACCTCGAACTGAAAGAACAACGGTCGGAAAAATGATTGATCTGTTGATGGTCTTTCCAGGCTATTCCGGTGAGTCGTTTGGATATTATCCGACACACTGTTCGCTGTAGGCCCTTGCTGCGGAGAATTTGAGCCGTCCAAGGCCAAGGGACCGTCGAAACACCGAATGCGGACTTCAACCTTTCCATTTTCTGGCGTGAATTTCAGGCTATTGCTGACCAAGTTGATTAGGACCTGAAGAAGACGATGTTGATCGCCCCAGAGGATCATATCCGTGAGCCTTCCTTGCGATGCTGGCTCAAAACTTTGCTCATGACACATCGAGTAGTGATTCACGGGCCGATCCATTCCACCAGCTATACAGTTGACACTGAAGTCAATTTGCTTCTCGTGCACCTGATTCTGAAAGATGATGGCCAGCTGAGATCTGACATCAGACAGTCTAAACTCTTTCTCTTCGAGATGGATAGCCTGCTCGATTTGATTTTTGCTGAACGTCAGCAAGTCATTCAAAAGATGAAGCAGAAGATCCCCAGATTGATAAACGACTTGAAGAGACTTCTTGATTCGAGGCAGGTCATCTTCCCCATACAAACAGCACACATTCCTAGAATTCCGTTGAGAGGTGTCTTCAACTCGTGTGAGATGTTCGCGATAAAAAGTGTTTTGCTTTCGTTGGCAGTCTCTGCCATTAGTTTAGCCTTCTCCAGCTCCCTAGTCCGCTCAGCCACGCGCTCCTCGAGGCGGTTGTATTGAATTGTCAATTCATCAGACATCTCGTTGAAGGTTCCGGTAAGCTCCGTGAGTTCATCCGTCACACAATGCCGGCGCTCCTTTACTCTGCCCGGTATCTCAAAATTATTCGCCGGATTTCTCTTGACAGAATCGTTAGAAGTGTTCAGTCTCTCCATGAAGCCTTTCGAGCGTTTCACCCATAGTGAAACAGTGCCCTTTTCGTCCTGTTCATGAGAATCTTCCGCTCCATTTGCTCTGCTCATGCTGTCGAAATTATCTCCATGAGAAGAACGGGGTGGATGTTGTTGTAAGACATGGGGCGCGACCGACTTCTGCGCGGCCAGCCTGAGTCTTCGGATAGGAGCAACCGCCCAATGAGTGAGAAGAGGCACCGTGAGAATAATGGCACCAGCTGTTCCAAATACACAGGCAAGAATTATTTTGCGTAGTCTAGCGATAGGTGCAAACGCCTCCGCATGCGTTTCTTCAACGATCAGTATCCATTGAACCAAGGGGCTCTGAGGGCGGACTGCGCCAACAGCCACATTAGATCCTTCCTCGTTCGTAGTAGAAAGACGGCTTATCGACTTGTTTTCGTTTGTAGGAGACTGGCGCATGACATCTAATGCGACGGCATATTTAGACAGCGCAAATGAAGTGTTGGTTGAAACACCGCCGTGACGACTATTTTGGCCAGGTAGAGGTGTCGGCTCAAAGACATAATGCACTTCTGCATTTTCAAGGGCTACAGCCTCCGGACCGGAAGTAGCAGTTGATGGCTGGGTTGTGCTGGCAAAGATATTCTCTGGCCTGGACGGCCCAAGCAACAGGGCCTGCCCCGTGCTTCCAAGTCCATCGCGTGAACTGATGACATTCTGGACATTCGTCGCACTGGCTACGACACTGGATGGGTGTTAGATGGATATTTGCACACGATAAAAATCGTGGCACATCTGAGAGGTTGCACGTACGTGAGGAAGCCCAGCAGGTCTTTATCTGACGTGTTATTCACAATTGGGACGGTCAAAGAGATGAGAGAAAATGAATCGTTGATAGTTAGTGGCCCCAGTAGTAGCGATGAGCCAATTTCAAGAGTGTAATCGGGAAATGCAAACACGGATGTTGAGTTCTCTCCGTTGGACGAATATGTATAGGTGAGGTTCGGGTACAGTGTCGATGGGTAGCCGAGGGCTGTAGACCCAAGCTTGATTGAAGTTCCATTTAAGTAGTCGTATGGCAGGGAGATGTCTGGGATAGTTTCGCTAGTGACGTTGAGCAGCCTTTGACTCGAGTTGCCCTGTTTCGGAAAAAGAACCGCTTGGTATAAACTCAAGTATCCCCGGCTTCCAAGTGCTGACTGCAAATCCGTAATGGCGTAAAACCAATTCTCACTCGAATGGTTGCCTCGATTGTAGCGTCCGAGAGCGGATTGAACAAGGAGACGCGTCGATATCGTTTTGCAGGTCGTCTCGAGAAGATCTAGGTTGGAAGCGATTTGGCTGGCTTTGATGGTAGCAACGAGTTCGAGGCCTTGGGATCTGGGCAAGGGTTAGTAATGATGTGGGAAGTCGAGAAGTGGAACGCTTACCCTACATCGACCACAAAATTGTAGGTGGTAATCCACTGCGCAAGATGTTAGATCGTCTGCTCAACGGGCGCCTTCGCCAGGACTAGCGCACTCACTGTCGCAATCGCAAGAACTGCTATCCCCACCACGCAAGTTAAAAGCACCAGCAGCGCAAGCTGCACAGCGATAGGAACGCGCATCCGATCGCGGTGGTGCCAATGTAGCTCATGGGGGAGATGAGTCGTCAGACCGGGGCATGGGTTATCGGTGTCGGGTGTCTAGTCGTTTGGTGTTAGAAGATGAAATGAACTTTTGAGGAAAGTTTCGAGCAAAAGAAAGGAACAGAGTCGCTCTCCCAAGTCAGGTGCCCATGCAACACGGCTGTGCCCAGACTGCAAGGTTGTCGGGTATTCAGGCTTAGTAGACCGGTGATAAGTGACATCCCGGGGTGGGCGGAAGCGATTCTAGACTGGACTAGAACCATTTAGCAGTCGAGAATGGGGCTTTGCCGCCGTCAACTAAAACGGGTGAAACTTGCCGACCCCTTTCCACCGAGAAGCCCACGCGTTAAATTGGGTAGCTGTCAAACGTTGATTTTTTATGCTCTGAAACATAACCTGATTTTTGGAGGTAGCAATCAAGACTTGGAGTTGAATACACCCCGATGGGTCAAAGAACCAGCATTATGATCCTAATTGATCTTCCCGAGTTTTTCAGCATTTCCGCCACGGAGTTTCGACTAAAGGAGGGTCCTATGTAAGCAGAAGTAACGTTCCATGTTTTATGAGAATGATCTCTCTGACGGTATAAGATCCCGAGGTCCCAAATAAGATGTCAGCCAATATGAAGCTCTGGGATAGCGAAAAGTGAAGCATCTCGCCGGTAGCGATTGTTGCCAAGACCGGTGGCAAGAATTGGAAGGAAAAGAAAAGAAAAGAACTTTTAATTTTTAAGAATCATTTCGTTTCAAGGCCAGTTCTGGCAGCCCTACGCTGTACAGTCCATGAGCCAAGATAGTCATTAATCTAGGGTAACTTTTTTTTCGCCACACAAATAAATGTGCTTGTATTTGAAGAATGTCCACGACCAGATCAGGGGGATCGCGCCCCTTTCGGTTTTGATTGTTTGACTGTTTGTTTGTTTGTTTGCTCTGCTTTGTTGCATGGAAAACCGGCAGGCAAAAAGCGCCGTATGACAACCTAAGCAGAATAAGTGATTTTTGGCTTCGGTCATATCATAGATTCTGTTCAGTAAAGTTCACAGTGTGAGCATTGGAATCAAAAAGGCAATGGATACTTTGAGCCAAACTTGAATCAATCACCACGGCCCCCTCCGAGTCGTGGGGCGTGGGGGGAAAAGGCGGCGGAGCATCCTCCGCTCAATAGTTAGTAATTCCCCACAATCCCCGCCCGGAATACGTACATAATCAATCAAAGTGAAATCATCCATACCGTTCCCAGCTACCTTGATGCTGAGATAAGTAATCTTGTACGCTTGCGAATTTCACACAGATTGTACGATCAGATAAATACCTACACTGCAGGTTCACCATCATGATGATCAATGTGCAATTTCACGCTACATTTAACCACTGCTCATAAGACCACATACCGAGGGCCGAACGCATTATCGGCAATCTCGCCGAGCCAACACAGCAGGTAGATTTCTGTGACCCCGCTCTATACTATTATACCTAGGTATTTCATAAAATAAATCTGGTTTCAGTCTTTCCATAAATCTTTCCCTCAGAAGCCTCGGAGAGTAAGAGCCCGGTTCCACTACGGAACATATTGGTAAACATTCAAGTATTTTCTTAAACATGATTTTCAGCTCGAAACATCCGGATATATCAGGTATAATATTCTCTACTACTGGAATACTTTTCTGATTAGAACGTTTAAAACTAACGACCTCGGGGCGTCGGATGCAGTACCGAATCTCACTTTGTGGGACTGGCTTTTTGAGTCTACCAGTTCTCCTCTGCACAATAAAAGCCCTTCTAGACTTTCTGGTTTCACAAATGCGACCACCAGGGAGCGGGTCAGATATGACGAGGTGAAAGCTTATGCTACGTATCTTTCAACAGCCTTGGTGCATAAATTAGGACTTTCCGCTGGGGAGACAGTGGCCTTATTCAGCCCGAATTCAATTTGGTACCCTGTGGCTATGTTTGCGACTAATCGTATTGGTGAATTCTTTTCTCCGAAAATTTCCTTTTTTTATGCTAACTGATATTCGAAGGAGGTCTTATCTCCGGTGCTTCGCCAGCCTATAACGTGGAGGAAATGACCTACGCATTACAAACCGCCCAGGCCAAGGTTATTATGACAGCAGCCTCATCTCTTTCGGTCGCAGTGCCAGCTGCCAGAAATGCGGGGATCTCAAATTCTCAAATCATACTTCTCGAGGGTCAGGCTGATGGTTTCTGGACCATCAAGGATCTTTTTGCATTTGGCCAGGAATATCGCGATGATCAAGTAATTCCTTATCAAATCCCGACAGGAATGACTAACCAGAATGTCTGTGGATTCCTGAGCTTCAGCAGTGGAACTACTGGTCTTCCAAAAGCAGTAAGCTTGTGAGACCACCTTTATTTACGATAAGAGCTTAACATCAGTCACATTACAGGTCATGATATCGCATTCTAACGTAATTGCGCAGTGTTTGCAAATTTCCCAGATAACTGCAGATAATCATACCAAGGTTCTAGCAGTTCTGCCGCTTTTCCATAGTAATTCATCCTGGATCTCTACTATCTCGCTGCTTTACTAATTAATATGAACATCAAGTCACGGGTCTTGTACATCAGATGCATCTCCCTCTATTCAGAAATTCAGAAGTTTACATGCTTCCCAAATTCACCATGCAAAATATGTTAGAAACCGTGGTTGAATATCAAATCTCCGAGATGCTTCTTGTTCCGCCTATCTTGATTCGCCTTCTACGTGACCCAATCGTACAGAAATACGACCTTTCTCATGTTCGCAAATTTTCTTCTGGGGCAGCTCCATTATCGGCAGAAGTTATACAGGCGCTGAAGAGCCGTTTCCCCAATGCCGGTTTCAAACAGGGCTATGGCATGACAGAATCGTGCAGCTGCATTGCAGCACATCCGTTGGAGAAATCTACATACGAGTACGCACACCGAGTTGGAACCATCGTTGCGAGTACCGAAGTAAAGATAGTGGATCCCGAGACGGGCAAGGAGCTTGGCTATGATGTACCTGGAGAGATCTTTTCACGAGGTCCACAGATTGTAATGGGTTATCTTAACAATGAAAAGGCCACTCGAGAAACCTTCGACGCCGATCAATGGCTTCACACTGGCGATATTGGATTCATTGATTCAGAAGGTTTCATTACGATAACCGATCGGATCAAAGAAATGATCAAAGTCAAGGGCATCGCAGTGGCCCCTGCGGAGTTGGAAGACCTCTTGCTTGGACACCCAATTGTTGAGGATGTGGCCGTGGGTGCCATTCCGGATGAATATACAGGCCAGCGACCAAAGGCGTATGTTGTTCTTAAACAGGATATTCACCAGAATAAGACTCCTGATCAGATTCGGTCATTGCTGAAAGTTATTATTGACTACGTTCGAGAGAACAAAGTCCGCCACAAATGGATCACCGAAGCTGAGATGCTGGACGAAATCCCCAAAAGTGCCAGTGGAAAGATACTTCGCAGGATGCTACGAAGGATGGAGAATGAAGGAAATACGAACGGGCGTCTCATAGCTACTAGTGGGGATATTAGAGCCAAAATTTGAGTATGATAGCCTCTTTCTCTCTTTTTTTTGATATACTAATTCTGACGAGAACCCAAGCTAGATGGGTTTTATGTAAAAGCAACCTTGAAATGATCTTATTCATCCGGATTATCGAGTAAATGATAGGTATATCACGGTCTCGGAACTGATTCTTTCTATTGAGGATAACGCCAAATCCCGAGAGGTGACTGAGGCCCGGTGAGGAGCACTTCCAAGGCTGTAATCAGACGCTCTACCTTACCTTTGAAGGAATGATGATCTCTACTTTATGGGCATGATTATAGCTAGCCGAGCATGAGTCTTCATATATTATCTAGAGTGTGAGCTGCTTGACATTTCCTTCCAACTAACGTGTTTATTTGCTCACATCTCCATCTTTCTACCCTCGTCCCGAAACTTGAATATCAACGGCTGAAGTGGCCAAAACCCAAGACACGTTTGACCATAAATAGTACACCTCCTGGATTGCGGCTCTTCCTCGTCGCACTGAATTTTTATCAAAGGTAAAGGTCGTCCACGGGTTTACACCCTTGATCTTAAGGTTCGTACATTAACCTTCCTCTTTTCATATACAATGCAGCCCGTGCTTCTTATACCAACTTGATACAAAGTCATATCTCTAGGCGGGTCGTTATACAACACTGGGCTCACGGAAGCTCGGGATGCGGCACAAGGCGATGTTGTCTCTTCTAGAATTGAGGTAGTTATTGATGCCGCCGCAGCTTGGGTGGCAGAGACCAATATGTGATCTTGGTTTCAGGAGACATTCGAATGCACTATTAAAACCTTGAAGACACGGTCTTCTGATGCGAAAGCACGCTCAACCCTCTACCTTGCTTCCTACTAGGAACATGCAGGTTGATAATTTCAAAGCTCTGCCATGTTTCAGATCGTTCGTTGATGTTTTTCGGGACGCCCAGCCTACCACTCAATCATAGACTCATTACCACATATAACGAAAGATCCTTTGACTGCCTAGGAGAAGGGGGTATCGCAGCCTGATGAGCCTAGAGTTGCAGTTGTAGAGAGCATTCAGTTTTCCTGATCACGCATATTGACAAATATAGAACCAGTCGAATTCGCCAAATGGTGTTATCCCAGTTCTCACGGTTTCTTGTCTAAGATTCTCTTGTTAAAGTCAGCTAGTTGCTACTCAGAAAGGGCTTAGGTGGGGTTGCAGGTTGTCTTTTAACATGCTGATAAGCTCTATTTTCTGCTGACTATATACTCGGAAATACCTAGGTGTGCAACGAGGTCAAAGATAGATCCGGTCTATTAATATGAAATATGCAAGGTAATCTATAAATACATTCCGCCGTAAAATGCGTGGCAACTCCAAGTCAGAACTCCAGGTCCAAGACATTTCTTATCGCAATATTCATGCAATCATGAATAATGTGGCTTTATATGAACATGCCACTCCAAGACTAAAAGCGCAAAAAAAGGTAAAGTTGCGGAATACGAGCAAACTGACTATGCGACCTCAGCGTGCTGGTGCCCTCCTTGCTCCTTTCGGTTGTAGAGAGTCTCGTCTCCGGTCCACTCCTGGCGAGGGGGAAGCTCGTAAGAGCTACTCTTCCAGGGAGTAACTTTGTTCACGTACATCCAGTCAAGTTCCTCCAGCGTGCGGCCCTTACCCTCGATAACGAAGAAGTAAACGACCAGCACAGCCAGGAAAAGGCAGCCAGCAAAGACATAGCCGTAAGCAAAGTCGATCGAGTTGGTGATGAATGTAGTGAAGAAACTGATGAGGAAGTTCCAAGCCCAATTGGAGGCAGTGGCGAGAGCCATGCCCTTGGCACGATACTTAGAAGGGAACAGCTCGGCGGCAATGGCCCAAATCATGGGACCCCAGGTCATGGCGTAAGCAGCGATGAACAGACAAGCAACGACGATCATGCCCTTGCCAACGTTGGGAGTGTTCTCGGGGGTGTTGATGTCCAGCATGAAGTGACCAAGCGAGGCAAAGATCATGAACATAACAAACATCCAGCAGGCACCGAAGATAAGAGACTTGCGTCGACCGAAGTTCTCAACGATGTACAAACCACCGAACGTAGTTCCGAAGTTGACAGCACCAAGAATAACCTGAGTGATAAAGCTGTCAGAGATTCCAGCACCCTGGAAGATGGTGGTTCCATAGTAGAAGAAGTAGTTGGCACCGGTCAGCTGCTGCAAGGACTGCAGGACCATACCCAAGGCGATACGGTAGAACATGCGAGGGGCAGTTAGGAACTCGGTCCAATTCTGACCTTCAGACTCAGCCTCGAACTGCTCGCGAATCTCGTCCATCTCCTCGATAATGCGGGTGTGGTTCTCTGGGATGCCATATAGTTTGGCCAGGGTGCGCTGGGCACTTTCAGCCTTTCCGTGGCGAAACTCGAAACGAGGGCTCTCGGGAAAGAAAACCATGCCACCTCCCAGGACAAGAGCAAATAGGAAGGTCAGGCCAAGGGTGATACGCCACTGGGCGGTACCCTCAAGGGTGTGGGTTCCAAGATTGATGCAGTAAGCGAGGAAGATACCGAGGGTGACAAACAGTTGATAGCAACTAATCATTGCACCACGGATATGACGAGGGGCACTTTCGCCCTGGTACATAGGGACGAGCAGAGAGCAGCCACCGACGCCGAGACCAGTGACCCAACGGCCGACAACCATCTGCCACCAGTGTCCATCGGGAGAAGAAATCTGGACAATAACACCGATATTCAGGATAAGACACCAGACAGAGATAGACCACTTGCGTCCGAGGTAATCAGCGAGAGGAGCGCCAACGAGAGCGCCAATCAGGGTACCAATAGAAAGCAGGCCGACAATGAGACCTGAACGAACGGTACTGAATGCATAGTCGCCTGAACTGTTCAGCTCACCGTAACGCTCCAGGTAGTTGCTCATTTCCTGGAAACCAGAGATCTGACCAGTATCGTAACCGAAAAGGAGGCCTCCCATAGAGACGAAGAGGGCCATAACAAGGGAGCGCAGGGTGATGCGCGGGATGGGAGTATCGACACCGGCGGGCTTCGTTGGCTTTTGGACAGGGCTATTTTGGTAGGAAGTTTCGGCACTCGACTGGAAAACACCCTCTGCCGGGGTGATAGACTCCCCATGATGGGAGGTTGACTCAATGCCCATAATGATGGAGGTAAGAGTAATTCTCTGCCGGGTATAGCTGGTAGAGTTGGTTGACAATTGTGTTTACCGGATGGATAATCAATCAGATATATCTGAGAAACCCTGTGAACCCCTGAAGTTTAGAAGAAGAAAGAAAGCAGGGAGGGAAATTGCCCATGGGGAAGAAGAAAGAAAAAAATAGGAAAAAGGCAGGACAAGCAAGGGCTTTTTAATAATTTGCCAGCAGGGACAGGAAAATTCAACGCTCGTCATTTCGCTCACCATTATTTGCCCACAATCCGCCCCGGGGGGACACAGAGTGGAGATGTGGAGAGGCCACCACGCGCTGCGACGGCTCTGCCACGAGTGTCTCTTGTTGGTAATGCCTGCCAAATGCGCGATGACAACAAGGAAACCGGCCGAAGCCGACTCGCACGGCCCCGAATCCACAGCAGGCAGGTGAACAGCCAGCCAGGATCGGTTCCAGCTGACGATCGGAAGCGGTTCGCCAGTCATACGGATAGCCGAGTGCCCCGGCCGGGGCAATTGCGTGGCACGGAGTGTAGACGAGGGGAATATCGGAGTGGCGAACTCGGCTTCGGGACGGGGTGGGCGTCAAGGCAGCCCTCCAGAGATGCCGGAGACGTGGCTTCGGCCATCCGACTCGGCTCGGGCCCGATCAAAATCAGATACCTAGGTACGAGATCTGTATACCTCGATATTATCTCTGGTAGAATGAATTCACTATATCATCGGAGTTTAAAATTCAGTATACCACCAGTTCTTGCTATTACATATGAAGTCGGGTAATTCCAAGTGGGCCGGATGCCCCGGGTTACTCCAGGCCTCCAGATGTTCACCCACAACTCATACCCGATGAGTTTCTCGGTGAGTCGCACTGCCCGGCTCCAGAAACGCCAGAAATAAGGGGATCGAGGGGAAATGCGGAGTCTGGAGACATCGAGACAGGGTCTTGCATCATCATGCATATTCTGCGCGGTTTCTACGAACATTTTTACTCACTCCCTCCCCTAGCAACTGCAACCCAGTAATACACATTGAGGCTATTCCTCTCTCTCCTAGGACATACCCTCGCACATCGATATTTGGCATCCGCCCGAAGCCAAGTTAACTCGGTGGCGCCGCCACAGCCGGCTCTTAGTTGTTTGTACGTCACTGCAGAGTCTGCGCAATAGCGATCGCCCCCACTAGTAACACATGGAATTTAATAGGTTACTCGCGCTGTCACAGAGTTCCCGTTCGAGAAGGTCTTAAGGGCAATAGTGTGATTTCGGAGGTACAGCTAACAGAGTTTTTAATTGTGGGGAACCCCTGGATGCATCTCTCCCGAAAGGAATGTCTGCCCAAGCGCTGAGTAATGGCGGAGTAGTTCTTAGCCCAATCCTCGCGCTCGCGAGAACGTGCCCAGGTGGAATATGTAGACTATGGATTGGAGTCTATGAAGTTTACGTGCGTTAAGGATACGAAGAAACTTTAAAACTTGGTACGACCTATAATACCGCGCAGTCTTTAAGGAATCCGATGGCACGGAGGAAGAATGTGCCCAGAATCCTCGTTGGAAGATACCGGCTTCTTTATTGGCAGGTGACGTCTTCGCTACCAACAGTGCAACCGTGGTCTGGCCGAGATCGAATCGGAAGAGCAGGGGAAATTGACCAAAATGCCATTCTCATTGGTATTTTCTAGGCATCAGTGCAGTACTCAGGGGGAAGCCGCCGAATTTCGTGCCTTTAACCGAATGGCAGGCGACAAACTTGTGATTCCACGGTCTTACAAGAAGGCGACGCATGAGACGCGTCTTAGGTCTTCATCCGCGGTCGCAGTGTGAGGACTAGCCATCCTGTTTTTGTGAAAATTTTCTGCTATGTACTCCGTAATTACTGCAAACTCAGTACTCCTCACGATCTCGCCTAACAGCCGGAGGTTCGACCCGAAACGATACGATAAGGTAATGTTTTTTTTTCTTCTCTTTTTCTGTCTTGCTCCCCACACCACGGCCACGGCCCCGGCGACGCAGCCTTGCTCCGTCGAGCAAGCGGGGCTTCGTCTTGTGAATTCTTCCGCCCCATCTCCGCATACTGCAAGGATTGTGTCCGGATCGGTGGTACGGACTACGGAGGATCTAGTTGAGTGGTGACCGGAACCGACTTTTGTATTTTACCTTTCGTCAGGCCATAAGTAACTGGCCATCTTCATGTTCCTGTGCTTCCGCAATCAATCTGGCACACCACCTCTCTGCTTCCCCACTTCTATGCCCCAAACAACACGGAGCCGGCGTTTAAACTACCCCAGAAATGCACGGCCACTATATCAATTTGATCTCCAAATGCATAACGGAGATATATCCGTCCCCCGTGATTTCCAAGGTTCATTGATGTAGATTCTAGCTGTTTAAAATCGTAAATTAGATCCATTGTCTCGTCAACTCAGGAACGCACCTGGGCACCAAAGGTTTGAACATCAATCATGCAGTCCCTCGCCATCCTGCTTCTCGCCGGTCTGGCATCGGCTGTCGTGGCTCCATATGGTCAATGTGGCGGCGTTAATTATTCAGGTGAAACCACCTGTCAGTCGGGATGGTCCTGCCAATACCAGAATGACTATTATAGCCAATGCTTGGTTTCCATCAGCAGCACAACCACGACTCTTGCCACGACCACAAAGACGACTACTACGTCAAAGGCAACATCCACTTCAAGCGCCAGTAAGACGACCACCAGCGCATCTTCCACCACCTCGGGAACATCGGTTGGAACTTCAACAGAATTCGTCGGCATCGAGGGCCTGAACTTCACTATCGATGGCGAGCCTGGTTATTTTGCTGGATCTAATTCGTATTGGATTGGGTTCTTGACGAACGTGAGTAAATCATATCATTCTGGGAAAGGAGAAAGAGAGACAAGCACTGATTATCTTTTCTTCTAGAACGACGATGTAGATCTAGTCTTGGACCACATGAACAATGCTGGACAGCGTATCTTGCGCATATGGGGCTTTAACGATGTCAACACTGTCCCATCTTCGGGTACAGTCTACTACCAGTTGCTGAAAGATGGTGTTGCAACGATCAACACCGGGTCCGATGGTCTCCAGCGACTTGACTATGTCGTCGCCTCCGCGGAAAAGCGCAACATTAAGCTGATTATCAACTTTGTCAATAATTGGAGTGACTACGGCGGCATGGCAGCATATGTCACCGCATTTGGAGGCTCCCAAACAACATGGTATACTAATGAAGATGCACAGGCCGCTTATCGCACATATATCAAGACAGTAATCGCGCGGTACAGTGGTTCGTCAGCGATTTTTGCCTGGGAATTGGCGAATGAGCCCCAATGCAACGGTTGCGATGTTTCAACTCTCTATAACTGGATCAAATCGACTTCAGCGTACATAAAATCGCTTGACTCGAAGCATTTGGTTTGCATTGGTGACGGTCAGTCAATTTCGCACAGCATCTCATTAGTTTGTCTTTGTTTTTACTAAAATTTCACAGAGGGCTTTGGTCTCAATGTTCAATCCGATGGAAGCTATCCTTTTACGTACGGCGAGGGCTCAAACTTCACCATGAATTTGGCCATTGACGACATTGACTTTGGCACATTCCATCTTTACCCTTCTAGCTGTAAGCACTCCGTCTTGGCTGGCCTTTCTTTCCCAAGCTTATTTCTTCCCTTCGACTGTGCTGTATTGACATGACCATAGGGGGCACGACTAACGACTGGGGAAATCTCTGGATCACCGCTCATGGGGCTGCTTGCGTTGCAGCAGGCAAGCCATGCCTCTTCGAGGAATACGGTGTTACCTCTAACCATTGCGCTATTGAGGCTCCTTGGCAAACAACGGCTCTACACACGAAGGGCATTTCAGCGGATCTCTATTGGCAACTGGGGGATACTCTTTCCACCGGTCAAACCTCCGACGATGGCAATACCATTTATTACGGGACGGATGACTACACTTGCCTTGTGACAGACCACATTGCGGCGATCGGTTGACCCTTGTAATCTCAGAGACTGCAAGCCAAGAGGAGTATATCTGGGCACTAGGTATCCTGTCTAAGGGATACTGGTAGTACTAGGTACTGTATTTCTCGACTCGATGTATCGCAGTACTTGAATGCAGAATACATCGCACATACCCTTCTGAAAGTAGTACTTACCATCTGGGCAGGTATCATGAATTATTTCTGGCTACTACTAGCAGTTTCCAACCTTCTCAGGTTGGAACTTTGAATTTGAAGGTCCACGGGTTCGTAACCTACCGAGGTAGTAGGTAGTAGTAACTTGAAAATCTTTGGTGGGTACTACCTAGGTACTAGTAGTAACTAGTTAGTAGTTACTCCAGGGCTACCCAGGTATACCTATGTATGTTTCACCTGGGTGGGCATCTGACTCCGACTCCCGGGGTCGGAGTCTGACTCGGAGTGGACTCAGAGCACTGCCAGTGGAGCTTGAACTTCAAGTTTCCACATTGGAAGCCCTGGAGTCGATTTGTATTTCTATAAAGTTGTTCAACTTCTTGTTGTGACGATAGCACGTGATGAAGTACAGCCCAGTAACGACGAGTCAGTTCCGACGTGTTTTCTTCACCCTGGAATCTTCCAAGGTTCCGAGTCATTATTCATTCAAAACCTCGGAACAACCTTGAAATTCCAATTATGCCTCCAGGGCTCGTCGGCTGCGATCAAATGCTATATTATCAGAACTAACAACAAACAGCCTCCCACCTGAACCCATCCCCTTCGTCTCAGCTTCCACTCCAGGGCTCTGAGCGAACCAAGGATTATCCTCAGCGAATCGCTACCAAATCTCAACTTTCCCGAGCTTCAGGCCCTGCGAAAGAAAGAGCAACGGCTGCGAAATGCAATCCCATCTCCAATTGACATGGCCCGCGAACAAAGTCCGCAGGCAGAACGCGCTCTACAATCCACGTTAATATTCGGTCAAGCCGAGACAAGTACAGCAGTGTGTATCGACGCGCGAGGCTGGATCCTCAAATGCGCGCAGTATTTCTGCGAAACGCGACAAGAGTGGCAAAAACACCGACGGAAATGGCTGCTATACTACACAGAGCTGTCGGTGCAAGCGGAATGTCGCGTTTGGGATCCACGACGCGATCTCGCGCTGGCCAAGGGTCATTCGCGTTGAGATGAAGTAGCCTCAACCGGGTGATGCCGACATGCAATGCCCCATCTTCAGCCACATCTCCCCCGCAGCAACACAGGACCCCACTGCATCGATAGTTTGTATTAGACAACCTGGCGCCGATGACCTGGAGTTCAGCCCACCTCGCAAGACTGCCGACGACCTGATTGAGGTATCCGGAGGTCGGCTATGTGGGCTTCCCAGCGTGGATTCACATGACGACTCGGAAATTGGCGTTCTCAAACATGATGCCTGGACGTACTGGGGTCATTCGGGGCACCGCTGTTAAGGTCATCGGATGGGGCTTTCGTCGGGATACATTCCTCGTGGGATGATTCTACGGCAGCAAGGTATGGCGCCCTGTTGGTTACGATCCGGGCTTTTCTTGAGGCCAATCTTCCGAGGTTCCGAATAGACGGGCTGGGCCAGAGGAAGGTTATTGATAGTTCTGAGTGACCTAGTATTCATCGGGAGTTCTTCAAGTTTGCAAATGCTAATTGGTAGGTATGAGACCGAAGGACTGTTGACTAATGCATTAAATGACAGGTAGTATATATCTATGCTTATGTACATCTAGAACTCCGCGTAAGCTACCTCAAGCTACGACCCCAACATTGGGATTTCAATGGCGCATCTGGTCCACGGTGATGATGTTGCATGGGAATGGGCGCCTGGGAGAGATCGAAAAGGGCGGAACGGGCGAATCGGGCGAAGTTGGCGGGATTCAAGGATAGAAAGAGCGCAAAGGCAAGGCAAGTCGAGTCCGGGTCCGAGTCCGAGTCCGATCCGTGGAGATCCGAGGGCTGCCGTGGGAGGGATGGGTCGTGAAGGATGGTGCCATGGGTCCTGTGCTGCTGTGGTCTGTTATTGCGATGGCGCTGGGGTTTGCGGTGCTGTGGTGCGGTGGTATTGCATTGGTGCGGTGCATAGGAGCGATGGTAGTAGATGATTGGGCGTTTTTGTTGTGCTTTATGGGCTTTTGGTCTTGGTGATCTCCTCAGTTGGGTCAGGGTTCGAGTCAGTCATCGAGTGGTTATCCACCGCATCAGTAGGAGGTCCACGGTAGTTGTTGTAACCCCAAATTCCGTACCAGACGGCGGCGATGACAACAGTTCCGAAGAAGACCACCGAGGCGTAGTTCATGCTGTCCAAAGTGACCTCCTTCAGAGTGGGCATGCAGAAGAGGGGGATGGCAAGGATACTCCAGCCTGGGATTATTAGCTTAGGGACTGAGGGAGAGGCGTTTCAACTTACCAAGAGCAAAGACGTTGGCAATCAGACCGAAGATGCCGAAGTTGAAACTGCCATTCTTGATATCCTCGCGACGGCGGAAGATGAGAGAGACGGCGATGGGGCACGCATAACTCATGGTCAGGAAGATGACACCAACACCGGAGAAGGCGTTGTAGGCGGCCTGGGAACCGAAGTAGATCAGGCCGAGGCAGATCTCGACGACCATGCTGAGGAGGAGGGCATTGAAAGGGATGTCCAACTTCTTGTGGACAGTCTTCCACCAACCAGAGCCGGGGATGCCACCATCACGGGCAAAAGCCCAAGTGCAACGCGAGGTAGCGGTGACACAGCCGATACCGCAGATGAGACCGAGCACGAGCAACGGTATCATCAGACAGAAAGCACCGACGCTGCTGCCAAGGGCGTGTTTGAAAATGACGGGAGTGGGTTGGGATTCGTTCAAGATATCGGCGATCGTAGGCATGACGAAGCAGAGGGGAACCAGGAAGAGCAGACCGGCGATGAAATTGATGACAATCGTGCCAACCATGGCCTTGGGGACCATGATGGCAGGCTCGCGAACCTCCTCACACAGACTGATGATCATTCCAGTAGCCGAAGTGGCATAGGCAGCTTGCAAGAGACCGATGAAGAATGACCAGCCAGCAGGCCAGCCAGCGTTAGGCTCGAAGCTGCCAAATACCCACGAGGCCTCCCGGCGGCCTTCCTTGGCGACGACGAGCAGACAGACGATGATACAGATCATACCGATGATGGTCCAAAAAATGGCAAATGTCTATCAAGTGTTAGATGAGTATGCATTGACACGAGGGTTGGGGAATAGCAAGTACCTCGATATAGGGCAGATACTTGTTGCCAAAAGCCGAAATGGCGTGGGTCAAGAAGGTGATGGCCAGGAAAATCAGGAAAGTCTGATAAGCCTGGAAATCCGATGTGATTCCATTGCCATTGGCATCCTCAAAGACATTAAGGCAACCAATAAAAAGCAAAGTTGTACCAAAGTTGACAGCCAATGTGATGGTGATGTTGCCAGCAACATATGACCAGCCACAGATCCACGAGGCGACACGACGACACCAGAGAGGCGACAGAACAAACGTTTGGTAATAAACTCCACCGGCGGTTGGATAAACCGATGTAATTTCAGCAAGCGAGACGGCGACACAGAAAATCAAGAAGGAGACAAGGACCCAACCCCAGATAATATTGGCGGGGCCACCGGCGGCGAGGGGATAATAGAGGGTGGTGGAGAGACCGTAAGGGACGGAGGAGAGAATGAAGCACATGAAAGTAACCTGCCAGACCGAGCGATTGCGCGCAAGTTCAGGCACATAACCCATATCCTCAAGGGTTCGATCCGCATTGCCCGAGCTGGCGCCGCCAGTTTCAGTGGCGACCGAGACGCGTGATGAGCGGCGCATGGCCTCGACGATAGCCATGTTGGAAAGGCAAGTGGAATTCAGTTATTGCATATAGGGTAGAGGTGTATGGGGAAGAGGAAGGGTGGATTTGTGGTTTTGAGTGATTGAAAGGAGTATTGAATGTTAAATGTATGTTCGTTAGATGGTGGGCAGAGTAGAATAGAGATAGTCGCGAAGCACACGCCAAAAAAAAAAAAAAAAAAAAAAAAAAGAAAGTTCGATTCGAACGGATGCGAGCCACGTTGGAGTAGACCAATTAGAATAGGATTATCATTCAGTTAGCCCCACAGCTTCGAGAAACGAGCGAAGTGGATCGTTTCGCCCTGGGATGAAGCAGGTTAACAGAATTTTGCGGAAAGGCCCCGAGAAAAGGGAGATTGGAGGATCTGAGACGCTAGAGAACTGAGGCATTAATCACTCCGTACATTCCTAAAATCGGGAGGACTCGCGGAATATTCTGGTTTACAACTAAATAGTCACTACATTCACTTCCTTTACGCTTCCATTCGGTATGATGTCAGTGCGCCACCTTCATATTTCTGGGTAAGGAGTACCAATTAAAATACTAAAGTCTAACTACGCGAGGTTACAACCAGGGAACCCCTTCCCTTTGAGGTTGAGGCCTTTTCCATTCTGTGTCCCTCGGAAGATAGAAAGTCCCGTAATCGCCTTGGGGGCCGACGCTAGCCTCACGTCCATCCAGCAAAAACGCCGAAGACGCTCCATAGTGGAGATAGGAACAAAGACACGCATGAAACGGGTGAGAGAGGACGGATGAGGAACGAATCGAGCAGGTCGGTGTCGATCGTAACCAACTCCACTCCGGAAGTAGGCAGTCTTGATAAAGTCAAAAGTCAATGGCCACTTTGAGCGCGCGATGCTGAGCAGCATTCTGAAAAGTGTCAAACGCAGCCGTTCCGTTGGAAATGTGAAAGTCTATAATGATGAGAATTAAAGATTAGTGACCGCGTCGTAAATACTCAAGTTCAAGTAGAGAATCTCCCTGCTATACTTGAACCTGAACCTGAAATTAGGGCTTGGCTGGGCTGCTGACTGTGCGTAACCAAACGAGAAATCTCCAATTGATTCGTGGCCACCAACGTTAACAATTTCCCAGTAGTTGTCGCGTTCACAAGCGACATGTGAATGCCTGCTGGTCAGTACGAAGTATACTAATATCTGGAACTACACCTCACGGTTCGGAGTAAGGAGTAACTTACTGATATTCCGATCCCATAGCCGGTCCAAGTGGAGAGCTGCCTGTTTACCGTGGACACCCACGTTGGCAATGCGTCCGCCTATCCCCACCAACTCCTGGGCCAATGCAAAGGTCTTGGGTATTCCGACCGCTTCAATGACCGAGTCGAACCCCTGACCCTCCGTCAGACTGAGTAGCCTTTCGCGTGCCACCTCCCCCTCCCCATCCGTCTGAACCGTCTCCGCCCCTAGCTCCCGCGCGGTAGTTAGTCGCGCCTCATCGCGATCTACCATCACAACCAACGCTGGCGTATAAAGCTTTGCTGTTAAAAGCGCCGCAATGCCCACCGGTCCCGCCCCGATAATTACCACCGATCCGCCCGGTTGCACGTTTGCACTGAGCACGCCCACCTCCAATCCTGTCGGCAGAGCATCGGACAAGGCCACTGCGGCGCGTGGATCGATCAAGTCAGGCAATGCGTGCAGCGAAAGTGTCGCATGTGGCACTCGGACATACTCCGCGTGTGTCCCATCGATTTGATGTCCCAATACCCAGCCGCCGGTCTGGCAGTGCGCCGGGATGCCTTGCCGACACCGTTTGCAGGCTCCACAAGAAGTCATACAGGATATAACGACGCGTTGTCCAACCTCAAAGTTGTGCACTGCTGAGCCCACTTCCTCCACAACACCCACGCCTTCGTGACCAAGAACCAGTCCCGGTTGAGCTGTCGGGACATCTCCCAGGATGATATGGAGGTCTGTCCCGCAGATCGAGGCGTGTAGGAGGCGTACTACTGCGTCGGTTGGTGCTTGGAGGGTTGGTTTGGGCCGCTCCACTATCTCGATCTTCCCGGGTCCGGTGTATACAAGGGCCTTCATCGTAGAATCGAAGGACGTGTAGTGTGCAATGTAGACAATAGGCGTAGTGTATGGAGGAATATTTTTACTTTTGCAAAATACAAATTTTACCAGATTTATACTATTCGACAAAACATTCAGTTGTGTACCAACTGCAACAATTCGAGTCTCATGTCGTGCGGGGTGATATCGGATCCGCATGGGTGTGGGGGTTAGTTTTGGTGCGGCCCCGAGGGTAGTATGCAAAGGGGCGATACATCTCTCGCAATTCCCCTGGAATGGATTTTTTGTGAAGATCGTTGAACTAAGAATAAAGTTGTATGATCTGTGAGAAGTTGCCTTGATTTCCAAGGTTCAAGTCCAGCTTCACCAAAGTCATTCCAAGACCGACGAACTCAAGATCATCCCCGTCATTGACCGCAAGTGGAGGCAACTCTGCATGATAGACTTGAAGACTTCGCGACCTCATCGAACCGAGTCGCAGGGTCTAGTATATCAAAGGCTCACACTGCTCAATATCGAAGTGTGACTACCAGGTTGTGTAACTGGCGGCGTCGGCCGATCGCTACTATGTTAAACGCATGAACTCTAAACTCGTGAGCAAAGGTCGACAAAAATTTGAGATTACCACTGGTGACTTGCATTATTCATTTCATTTGCTGTGGTTAAGTCTCTGGTCTTGTGTTTGAGCCTATGAGCAGGATGTTCTATGGGAATTACATATACTCTAGTAGTAAATCTATTCCCAAGATGATCGGATATTGTTGACCTCTTGAATCTATTTGCCGACCTCGACTAGGTAGAGTAACATGAATTATCATACTGATGTGCCGTCACTATTATATTGTAGTTTTCTTCTTTCAATAATCTCCCTCGGCAATGCCATCCGGTCTTCAAAATGGTTCCAGTTCCAATCTCTATAACATAAAGATCTCTCAAATCCGGCCCACCCCATGTCAAGTTCGTTGTGCTAGCCCCAGCCGGACTTTTTATTATAGTCCGCAACTCGCCAGTACTTCTGTGAACAAAGACCCGCCCAAGCGAAGAATGAGCAACCAGAATATTGCCCTCTTCATCACATGCCATCCCATCTGGCCCACACCAATACCATAATAGCTCGAGAATCGGCCAACCCTCTGGAGCGAGCCATCAGGCATCAATGGTACATACCACACCGCATTATCTCTAGTCATCGCAACAAACAGCGCAGTTTTATCATGGCTGACCAAAAGTCCGTTCGGCGACGGTCCATTGGTAAAAACCAGTTCCAGACGCCCATCAGACAGGACCACTAAGTCATTGGGACCCTTAAGGCGTTCAACTTGATAACGAGCTGCGAGGGTTTTCAGGTCTCTAGTGATGGGATCCAGCTAAAGAAGCCCTTGCTCGACTGAACGGCGTTAGCTCCAACAACAGAAACGTCGAATTCGAAATCTCTCGGATACAAAATGCCATAGAATCCACTCCATCATCATCATCTAAGGTTATATTTAGAAGCAGCAGTGACTGTCGTCTTGGGTACCGTTTCATGTTGTGCATTGTGATTCAGACGCTTCAGCAGCTTGTCGGTGGCAGTCTAATCTCGATTTACACTTTGAGAATAATTTGCATTTTCAGGGTAATATTCCCGAAATAGTCGCTACATCCTCCTTGGCTTGGAAATTTTTGTGTTTTTTCGTGACATTTGCAGTCGTGGACCGTCTTGGGCGACGTTCTCTCTTTGTGGTCAGCGGCTCCGGAATGTGCCTCTGCATGGTTGTGATGGCTGTCACGAGCAGTCTTTCGGCCTCTAATCAGATCTCATCAATTGTTTCAGCGGTGACGATTTTTGTTTTCAACTTCTTCTTTCCTATAGGGTTTCTTGGGGGCAATTTTCTATACTGCGCTGAAGTTGCCCCAATTTGTCTTCGGGTTGCAATGTCTTCAATTTACACGGCCAACCATTGGCTCTAGAATTTTATTATCGCAATGATCAGCCCGGTGGCATTGTCCAGTATCGGCTGGAAATACTACCTTTTGTTTGTTTCCATATGCGCCTGTGTTCCTGCAGTTGTCCTTCCTTTTTATCCTGAGACAATGGGCCACAACCTTGAAGCCATTGATCAAGTGTTTCCTGAAGCCCCTTCTATATGGGAGATTGTTCCTATGGCTAGCAAAGTTCCTCAAGGGGACGTTGTGGAAGTCGGCCCAATCAGTGAGAAGAGAAACACAGACGAAATTGTAGAGCATAAAGAGCATGTGTGATCTTCCAGAGCAAAGTTTTAGGGAAACACCTAGGCAGTGACTGCCGAGATGCCCGACTCTGTACTACTTGTACTAGTAGTGCCCAAGTGTATTTAATATTTTTGTGTCGATATATCTAGGTATATACTAGTAGCCCTGGAGTCCAACATACTACTGCTAGTGACAAAGGGTCACGCATCTGGGCAATTTGACGGTATGTTATATTGGATATGAAAATTTATTTAGCCTCATATCTAGGTAGGGTGGCGTACCCTCTCGCACTTCCTAGGCAAACTGGTCTCTTTGATGATCCATCCTTGCTGAAAAAGGTGCCTCAGGCATGTAAGTCAAGATCGCTTTCAAGTTCCCCTTTCTGCCTCGCCGCTCTCTCCCAGATCTCTTGTCAGCTCGCATAATTTCACCGCTTTCATGATTCTGTCTCGGTTAATGTCGAGTTTTGTTGAACTTCCTGAGCCCCTCCAAGCGGCAAATGCCCGCAGAGCATCATATTTGCCGTATCGGGTTCGGATAGTCACCGATTATGGCGGAGCGGAACCGCTCCGTCTCCGCATCCCGCCCGCATCACCCGTGAAATAGAGCCCACAACGAGAAATCAATCCCTCGGGATTTTTGCTTCTAAAGGGAAATTCAGTAACCCAAAATCCTGTTCACATTCTCTAAGATTTACCGCCTTGATTATTCGATAAGCCATTCTCGCGTTTTCTACCTGTCAGATACGCAGCTTTCGCATCACCTACTCTGCAACCATAGTGACCTTCACTATGGAAGACACCCTTTTCTCATGTGATGGCAGTTTGGGAGCGCCAGCGCAGCAGCAGTCCCATCTACTCACTTCTCCTCGAGTCAATAGAAATATACCATGCTGAACATGGAATTATTCACGCCACATTACCGATACGAGCGCTTCATGTCAACTCCAAGGGCACTCTGCACGGCACATTGTCTGCATGTGTTGTAGACTGGGCCGCTGGAATGGCGATCGCATCAACAGGACACCAAGTTACTGGCGTTAGTACGGACCTATCGGTCAGCTATCTTTCTACAGCGAAACTGGGCGACACATTGGAAATTCAGGGGAAGATTGGGAAGATCGGGAAAACCCTGGCATTCACCACAATCACTATCGGCAAGCGAGTTGAAGAAGGCATAGTGAACGTTGTGCAAGGTTCACATACTAAGTACATAAGACAATAATGTGCATGATTGAAAGGAGAGAAAAAATGGTCTACGGCATGTCCCGCCTTTCTAGCTATCTCGCTTTCATTCATCATCACCTCCATGCCGTCTTCATTTTCTCCATCTTCATCTCACACAGTACCTCCTTCTGTATTTTATTCATACTGCTGCTCATGAATCCTTCAGCATGGTATTTGTAAGGGCACTATTTCCGTTGAGGCTTGAAGCCTTGCATCATCAGGCATCCAAGATCTTCCCAGTCGTCCTCTCTCTCCTAAAGTTCAGGTCATAACATAAATGCATCAATTCTCATTGTCTCGAGCTTTCGTCAATTCCCTTTTACAGAATGGAGAAATATTATCGCCCAATTGATTTTATGCATTGATCTGTTTGAGTTTTTTTCCAATCTCATCTTAGAGGGAAGCTAAAGGAGGTATGCCATCTGTCCCACAGTGTGCGAGGCTTGCTGGGGAGTAGCTGGTCGCCAGGACCCACGACAAGGAGACAGACTTTTGCATAAGATAATTGCAGAGCCTCAATACTAGAAACGCTTAGTTTTTCTCACCAATGAAGAAGCGAATTCAAATTCAGCATTGAACTAGAGATTCCTGTGCCAAATTGAAGACGCTTCTTTTGAAAACAAATTTGGTTTCTATTAAAATATCAAGAAGTTATGCACAACCTTAGAAAGATGTGGTTTTTCGGTCCACTATAGACCCGCTGCTCTCTTTTCAACCAAGCACGACTGCTGAGCGAAGTCCACTGGTTGGGATGCGGGAAGAGGTGTTCTTTCAATGAGGCATCACGACCGCCATATTCTTTTCATTTAGCAGGTCATATTTTTATTTCTACCAGAACTATAGAGGTAGTGATTTTTGAGCTCCCCAGCACCAGGAGAATATTGACTCGGGTTGTATTTGAAAATAAAATATCCGGACCCTGAGGCTCTTTCAGAATCACCAGATACCTAGGTATTTCATCAGCAGCGTGTCATCTAACCCCTTTCGATTAAGTGAACTATAGGCATGTGGAATATTTCGGTCTCCAAAGGAAATGGCGAGTCGGCTGGCATACAACACGAGTCAGTTGGTAGAATACTTTAAACATGTGCGACGGGTAATTTACCAGCTCGTGTGCCCAGTGATTCGAATTTTCGTTGGACAATGCAGGGATCTTGATTTTCCTTGGTCCATGATTGCGGCTAACCCCTCATTCGTGCTAGACAGGCTCTGATGTATTCCGTCTGGGCAGCGCCTCGGCCTCGTGTCACTGATGAAATTAACTTATCATTGGCAGAGGCTCATTGTCGGGCATGTCCTATTCCGTTTTTGCCCTAGCGTCAGTTTATCAAGCCGCCACCACCACCAAATGCTGCCGTCGCTTCGATCCCTGCATCCTTCCTGAATGCTGATAAGACAAAGGAAATTCTTAGAAGCCGTCGCTTGCGCGCTCGCTTACCCAGTCCTTTCAATACACCGTGTGTCGCATCTTTGCCGGTCCGGCCACCGGTCCGGTCGTGAGGCTATTGTTGTGGCATATTTGGCTCGAAGCGCAAAGTAACCAGTCTCGACGTCTCAGAGCTCTAAATTGACGTGCGCCATTCCGGTCCACCGGAGAGCTGCCGGTGTGGCTGCCCAGCTTGGCAATTTTTGTTTGGAACGAGGGAAGAGATTGTACTTTTTCTTCGTCTGATTTTTCGCGAGTTTGCATTAATCGCGTTAATGGTTAGGAATTCACTGAGAAAAACGAGAAATGGGCCCCATGCTCTCTCGTTAGTTGCTAGCTAGAATGTAATTGCGGCTGGGCCTCTTGTCGCTCCTCTGGAACAGCCTATCAGGGCTTTCAACTGAATACGGAAGAACAAAACATAATGAGCATATGTTTTCCCCGGACTCCTTAGCGTCTTTGGCCGTGGTTAGCTTATCATAGGCCCCTCGCAGCTTGGCTTGGTGCACGGGATGCCGGGGCTGGAATGAAACGTTTATTTAAGAACGTTCGTATCCCCACCCTGAATATCTGCTCAGCAAGTATTTACTCGTGCAGGCAACAAAATGTCGAATATCGAAACGGCCCCGCCGACCAAGGGCTATAATGAACAGCCGATGACTGAAAAAGGAAGTGCAGTGCGCAATCTAGTCCAGGAAAACCTTCTGGATGAACGCTACGCGACAACTCAGCGTGGTCTAAAGAACCGCCATGTGCAACTGATGGCCTTGGGTGGAACGATCGGGACAGGTAAAGCCAATCGAGTTACCAGTAACGTAATGTGCTAACCATTCAAAGGTCTTTTTGTGTCATCGGGGCAATCTTTGGCGATCGGCGGTCCTGCTTCCCTTCTGCTCGGATATCTTTTTATCTCGGCTATGGTCTATGGCCTTGTAACTGCCATCGCCGAGATCGGTGCTTATCTTCCTGTACATGGTATGTCAGCATTAGGACCAAGAAACTCTAGACCCTGTCGATTCCATGTCGATCTTTCTTTCACTGGTGGCTTCTAATACTTCTAGAGGTGCCACAATGAGCTTCAACGGGTTCAGATACGTCAGTAGGAGCCTCGGATTTGCCATGGGCTACCTATACTGGTACTCGCTAGGTATCTTAGTCCCATACGAGATTACTGCAGCTGGTCTGGTCATCGGCTTTTGGGATACAAATGGTACTGTCAACATCGCTGTCTGGATTACCATAATGATGGTTGTGATCATCGCATTGAATTTCCTGCCGGTCAGGTTCTACGGGGAGACCGAATTCTGGTTTGCCGGAATAAAAATCATCACTCTCATCGGATTGCTCTTCTTGTCCTTTATTTTATTCTGGGGCGGTGGCCCTTCTCACGATCGTCTAGGTTTCAGGTACTGGAAGGATCCAGGGTCGTTCAACACATACATTGTGGATGGAAACGCTGGCCGCTTCGTCGGTCTACTGAAATGCACCGTCTCCAGTGCAATTGCCTTCATCTTCGCACCTGAGTTGATAATTATCAGCGGCGGTGAAATGGAATCCCCTCGTCGCAATGTTCCACGCGCTGCACGACGCTACATCTACCGACTGGTCTTCTTCTACATCTTCAGCGTGCTCGCCATCGGTGTTATTTGCCCGTCTAATGCGGCACGACTGACGAAAGGGGATGGCACGGTCAATTCGTCGCCCTTTGTGGTGGGAATAAAAAACGCCGGTATTCCTGTTCTGGACCATATCGTGAATGCAGCAGTCCTGACTTCCGCCTGGTCAGCTGGGAACTCATTTCTGTACATGTCCTCTCGTTCTTTGTACTCTCTAGCCATGTCAGGAAATGCGCCCAGCATCTTCAAATCCTGCAATCGATGGGGAGTGCCATACTATTCCGTCGCCGTATCGGCCTGCTTCTCATGCTTGGCTTACCTATCGGTTGGAAATTCGAGTTCTATCGTATTCAACTGGTTTGTCAACTTTACTAACACCTCCGGCTTCATCTCTTGGATTTGTTGTGTGATTGTCTATTTCCGTTTTCGGAAGGCAGTAAAAGCACAAGGAATCGAACAGCCTTACAAGTCTAAAATTCAGCCTTACGGAGCCGTCTTTGGTCTTGCAGGTGCAACTGTTATGGCGTTAATCAATGGTTTCACTGTCTTCTTCCCCTCCGAGTGGTCTGTTAGCAATTTCTTTACCGCCTATATCGGGATTCCAGCGTTCTTGATACTCTATTTCGGCCACCGAGCCTTATTCTGGAGCGATCCATGGGCATGGAGACCAGAAGAGGTTGATATGCATACTGGACTTGAGGAAATTATATCTGCCGAGGGACCGGAGAGGGCCCGTGACCCCTGGTGGAAATTGTGGTGAAGAGCGGTGGTTCAAGTTGTTTAGGCTAGTAAGGGGGCCGGCGTTGAAGTATAACCCCAAAGAAATTTGAAAGTTGATTAAGTTCCTGCCTAGGCACCGATCCGTACACCTAGTACTAGTATTAGTTAACTAGTAACTACGTAGTCCGTACTTGATTAGATGTGCCTACCTCGGTCTGCATAATTCCAAGGTTCCTTTGAAATCCGAATGAGATGTACCTCAAAATGGGTAGATGAATACACCTAGGTATGCTAGTAGACGTTCATTACGATATCGTAGATTCGACCCAGTATCGGCTATCCCTATGGTCTTTCTTTCTCTTCGTGGAGTTCGATGCGCAGATCTTATCAAAGAAACCCGCACTCACCCGCACGCGTCCGCACTTGATAATCAACACAAGTGACCAGGCTACCGATTGCTTGCCGATGAGACTTGCCTATAAATTCGGCATGCACCGCAGACCGTGTCTTTCTCGGCTTCTGCATCCCGGATCTTTCGGAAGATCATATACTGCACGCTCGGACTCAAACTATAAACTAAACTTCCTCCCAGTTGGGCTATCCGTGCCGAAACTCGCTCGCCGAACATTCATGTCCGCTACTATGACCGTCACATTGCCGACCGTCCGGCCGTTACAGCCACCGAAAGGCTCCGACCTTGATTTTGGCGCCCAAATTGATGGAATTGATTTGGAAAACTTGACCGGTTTGTGTAATCGCCGGACATATGCCCCAGTTCCAATCGCTGATACGTTCTAGATGCGCAATTCGCCTCGGTCCGCAAAGCGCTATACAACTACCACGTTGTAGTCTTCAAGAACCAGCACAAGTTATCTCCAAAGGCACAATATGAACTCACCAGAAGATTTGATCCGGCCTCGGAAAACTACGGACACGGAAAAACAATCGACGCGAAACGCTCCATCCTGCATCCAGATCTCAAGACTGTCCCGCACCAGCCCCAGGTCCAGGTGATCGGCAACGGCTTTGTGCCTTCATACGAAGGACTAAAGGATGTGCAATTAAGACACCCCCATCATCGAACCTTCCACAAAGATCATATCCCAGACGAGCAAGACTACGACTTTACCCGCTTCTATCGGTGGCATATCGATGCTGCCCTATACGATCTTTACCCCCCACAAGTGACGACACTTTTGGCTGTCAATGTTCCCAAGGGCCGTCGTCAGACACTGCTTTACGATGATGGAAGCGGTGAAAAAATGGATGTTCCTCTTGGGACAACAGCATTTGTGAGCGGGCAGCGAATGTACGAACTGCTCTCTCCAGAGGACCAGGAGTTTGTCCGCACAAGCAAGATCGAATACGCACCTCATCCGTAAGTTCATGTCTCATCCGCGCTCCTTTCAAGGATCTTTGCCAGCTGACATAAAGCCAACAGGTATATCTGGATGAGTCCTGCTCGCTCTCGCTCCACTGGACTAGGCATGCACTCCGAATGTCTCGAATTACCAGATTCAGAGCTACCAGCAATCGATCCATCAAAAATCATGGTTTTCCCCATGTGCTGGAAGAATCCAGAGACAGGAAAGCTCGCATTACAGATCCATCCATCTGCAGTGCGCAAGATCCATCTCAAGGACGGAACGGTGCTCGATGACTTAGAGAAAGTGCGCGAGATCGTCTATAATTTGCAGCGCCCGGCAATCAGTCCTCAATATGTGTACTTACATGACTGGGAGGATGGCGATCTTGTTTTGTTTAACAATCGTGGTGTACTGCATTCCGTGGTTGGAGCCTTCAAGCCAGATGAGGTGCGCCTGTTTCGACAATGCAACTTGGCCGCGTCAGAGCCGCCGATCGGGCCTTGAGAATGCTGTGGTTGCATGATCTTAGTAAGCGTTAGTTAGAACAAATGAATGATAATAAAAGTGTAAATAGTACTATACATCTGTTAATTAGTAAGAATATTAGAGCCCAGTACCTGCCCTGGTAGGCGCATAAAAATACACGACGTTGATGCTCAAAATTATCGAACAATCCAAAATCCATTGACAGCCACTTGTCTCTCCCGCCATTCATCGGTCGCTGAACGAACCCCAAGTTTATGCAAAGGCACTTGATCGACCCATTTCTGCCCTTTAGCTCGCATAGTTGTGTATCCTTCCATGGTTCGATCAACCCAGTTCGATTGTTGCTTCTGGATCTCGAGTGCACTGAGTGTTTCAGGTGACCAACCCGGATACGTCAGGGTATTATGCACTATATCAGCATCATATGCATCGGCTAGGATGGCTGCTTCTCCAGCCGCAGCCTGTGCGTCTGCAAGTTCTTGACTGGTGCTGCCCCTGGGATGCGGAACCTCGACACGGAGGAACCCCAACACCCTAATTTGAACCTTGCTTGTCTGTAGTGGTACTTCGTCCAATAGACGCAATGTCACAACATGTTTCGAAATTTGTGAGATATTGATGCGAGCAGCGTGAAGTGGATCCAAAGTTCGAACGGCCAAAATCATGGGGGACCAAGAACTTGATGAGGGATGTTTCTCACTACTTGCTTCGAACCTTGCCCAGCCAAAAAAATACCCACGAAGCTGCTCAGTTACCCAGTCGGGAGTGTTTGTGACGATCAGCTTTGGAGTATCTGTGGGACTATTGAAAGGTAAGGAGTTGTCAAGTTGGCTTCGAGCTTTAAAGGTCATTGGGAATGGTGCCTGTGGACCATCCCCTACGGGGGGTTGATATGCGACTGGGGAAACACTTTCATCGACGGCGACAGCTTGACCAGGGCCAGCAGAAGAGTTGAACAGTCCCGCGACGCGTGTTTCAACGCCACTTGCGGTATATGCCTTTTGTACTGCGGCCTGTTTGATCCAGGTCGGGCGATACCGATCGACTCTGGTAGCAAGCGCCGCAGAAGCGGGGGCAGCTGCAGTTCTTGCGGCGGTTTTTGCATATAAACCGACCACCATTGCGCCAACTTCAAGGGGCATTGTACTAAGGCTAGCACCGCGAATAGAGTGAGGGCTGGCCGAGGTCGAAAGAACACGAAAGACTGGACTATTACCCAGTAGCTTTTTCTTGGACCCCTGACAGAGTACCAGCTGGAAGTAACCATCACCGGCTTCGGCTGGGATGCGCACGACAGCGGTCTCGCGCAAATAATGCGTATCCCGGGGACGTGGGGGGGGCCTTCTTGCGAAACTTCTTGATATCGCGCTGCCAAGCCCGTTCATCATCCGGGTTCACCTGGTCGGCTCGTACTGGCATGCCCGGTGTGACATCAAGCCAACTGTCGTTTAATCGAAATAAGGCTTTAGTTCGCATTCCAGTTGTTCCGGACCAGCCTCTACTCTGCAACCAAAGAGTCCGATCGACCGGCAAGTGGCTGTCGGAGAAGATAGACACCGCGACCGACGTGGCATTTCCGCGATAGAAGACGATTGGGAATCCATGGCGCAATAAGGTGTAATGCTTGTTTGACTCTGCCGGGTGACTGATCAAGCCTCCGAGAAAGTGCCGAGCTTCTCCATACGCCTTTTGAATCGGGGTTGGTAGCGGTGGCGGTGGCGGTGGCGGTGTTTGTGATGTTAAGGAGGTCGATGATGATGTCGCACCAGCTGTTCGGGGCCTTTGGGGTGTAGCAGGGCAGTCTGTGTGTGCCGGACCGAATAGATCATTGTATGACGGAGGTCTGGATAATGAACGTGGCAGTGCTAGCGAGCTTGTGTTGGGAGATGGGAGATCGACAGTCGCCCGCAAGTTGGGGTTGGAGACGGGCTTGCGCTTGATGCGAAAGGCATCGGGGGGTTCAGGGCGTAAAGTCAGGGATTCCATGTTTCCATCGTTTAATAATATGTACTGTTATACAGCATTTTCTCGTTGGGAGAGAAGTAGTGATGATGAAAAGGGGGGGGAAATCAAGAAAAAGAAACGTGAAGGTTGAGAAAGAAAGGGAGCGGATGTTGGCCTCAGGCTCCACAATATCAAGTAACAATCTTGGCAAACAGTCTTCAAAAGATGAACAGGTTTGAATAAAAAGATGACTCTACTATTTGTGCCGTGATCCTTTCTTAAAATTCAAGGTTGCTCTTGTATTGGTATCATGTCTACGGTCATAATTCATTATCACTGCCTTATATCTTTGAAGGTTCCCTGCCCACATAATTAATTGGTGCAAGGTTTTATGCTGGCTTTTGTCCTAATGCAAATCCCCTATTTCAGTTCCAAGGTTAGCTTTAATTTGACAATAATGGCTGAACCAGTCAGTGCACAATGATATGGAAGGGTCACATACATTCGAGAATAAAGATGGATCTTATTCTGTCGAAGCTCTGCTCTCACCCGAGCCAGCAGTACTTGCACTTCGGCAGATGTCCAATTCCCAAACCGTGTGAATAGAGCAAGCGAATAACTCTCCACGGCGCCATCGACAAACTGAGCCCGGAAATATCGTCCTATCTCTTTCAATTTCGGATCCTTTGCCCAACTCCCCACCGGAACTCGGAATTCTGAAAACTCGACATTCTCGAATCCGGCTTCTGAGACTAGTTCTTTCAGACACGTTGACAAATCCCAAAGTCTGCCCTGGACTCCGGTTATTCGGTGGTATTCGGTCTTTTCTAGAATGAGCATTTATCCCTGGGGTCCGAGGAAAAGTGATGAATTTACCTGCCAGGTCCGTAGATCACTGTCTTTTGGCCAACTGTCATCGTCACATTCTAGATGCGGATAGCATTCGGCCACTTCAATTCGACCTCCAGGTTTGAGATGACTGAAATCCGGTAAGTAAAGATCGGTCCCGATTAGACTCGCTGGTCTTCACTCTTTGTGAACATACTCGTAGCAGCGGCGCAGGAACGCAGGCCAGTCATCGAGGCAACCCGCCAGGCATCGAATATGGATCAAATCAAATGATCCCTCAGCAAAGCTCCAATCCGATTGGTTTATATCTTCGATAACGAAACGAACGTTTGGCGGAACCCTGTAATATTTTCAGCATCAATCTCACTGGAAGAACGTAGATTGTATTTACCATCCGGGCTGAATCGGTGACAGGTCCACACCAATAACCTCTGCTCCTGGGAATTGGTCTCCAGCTGTCACTCATCGTAAGCCATCTAAGATTCAAAGGCTGGAGCGGGCGAAACAAACCCTCGATGGCCCAAATTCCTGTCCCTGTGCCAATGTCGAGAATCCTTTGTGGATGTTCGAGCTGCGTTTGACACAAGTCACCCCCGTGGACAAGGCGGAAAATATGATGCAGAACATCCAATCTATCTGTTTTTGGCGTTCGTATCAGTCGGTCTGACCAGCTCAGCAAGTCGGGGTTGATCATACCTTGTTCTCGCTCATCATTGGGGAGGATCTATCTTGTCAGCTGGTCCAGACGAAACTCGACGCGGGGCGAGGGCACCCATACATAAGACCCCGATCGATAAGCGTGATAGGTGCGCCCATTCTCGTAGACATAGGAATAAATGGACTCCGTCAAAGACGTCAAGTCACTGCGTATGCTGTCGTAGTCGCTAGATGAAGTCTAATACACGTGTCAGTTGTTGGGCCGCCATGGAATTTCGAACTGATTTTGACTGACGCTAACATCTGTATCGACCTGAATATCTTCAATATCTGCAATATTCGCCATGGTATCAAGAGAGCAACCGTATCACCAGCATAGGAGCTCTAAGGGCTGGAAACGCCGAAGCTAACGAAAGTGGGGGAAAATCAGCTAGAAGAAGGAAAAGTTGGTCTCGGCGGAGAGCCACCTGCACCGTTTTTCAAGGTTAAGCCAGCGCACAAGGGAAATGTACGCGATTCCGGCCCAGACTGTCGGGAATCTAGCTCATGCGAATAGTGTTGTTTCGAAGTTAAAGCATTCCCATCTCCACCAGGTTCAACCAGTGTGTCGGGACAAGCCCCGGGATGGGAATGACGGGCCCCTAAATTAAAGTCATGCGGCAACAGGGATGTGCACGGAGTCCTCCGTACTGATCATAGATTTTCCGCTTGATTCTTCCAATACGAACCATTTCGGCTGAGTCAATGGGCCCATGAAACGACCAGGATCTACAGTTGTGATCTACAGCCCACTTCCAGGAAATTTACACTTATGTATGTATGTACTCCATCGTTAGTCCACTCCCATTCCCCACGGCTTGTATGTACTAATTTAGCCCATAGAAAATTCCGGAACCCCCCCACTCCACTCTAGAAATATGCGACTGTCAAAATTGGGAGTTTAATCGAAGGTTTGGACACGAAAGGGGCGGTCTGCGTCCCTTTTTGGGCCGAATGGCAGGCAATTACCCGCCACAGACCCGACACGATGGTGCTGGTGGGGAGACAAAGGAAGGAATACCTAGGCCCTGGGGTACACGCCGAAGCAGACACAAAGCACTAGGCTTATGCAGAAGCAGGACATGTCTTTTCGCGGTCAGCTCTGGGACCGGGATTTGACTCGCGTACCGCGTTACTGGAAGAGGGTCTATCTGCAGGCGATGTATCACCTTGACCCCGTGTTTTCATTTTAGCCTGAGCAACCCGGAGACGCAGAATTTTTCGGGTAGACGGAACCTTTTTTAATCTTTATTTTCAAAACGTGCTCTCGAAACAGACTGCCTCCCAGGTGCAGGTGGATGCTTCGCTCACTGGGCTCTTCTTTGAAGTCCATGTAACGCGGGTGAATTCCAGATCGGCGCTGTTCCAAGCCCACCTAGAACCCCTCTATGTAACCCGAGACGTCGGTAACCAATGCCAGTTGGTGGAACAGGGATGCCAAGTGGAGTGGAATTGTTGAGCAGACGGCCCCATCGGCCCAACTCGCCCAGCCCTCTCGTATGGCGGCCCAAATTTGAGTTTGTCAAGGCTGAGGGGAGAAGGTCAAGGGTTCATGAGAATCAAAGGTGCCATGGGGCATTTCCTGAGGAATCCAGGACTAGAGTGCTCGTTCTCTCCGAACATCAGGTCCTTGCATTTGCCGATCAGAGATAGCGACCGTTGAAGAAGGATTATGGCTCCTTCGTGATTCTGCGGGGCTCCTCCGAGTCGCGCACATCTTACCACGTCAACAAATCTCCTGTGTGATCCGAGAGAAAGGTTCTAGTTTGTCGTCCCCACTTTGAGACAAACCTAGCTTATTATTTCACAAATACATATGTAACGATGTCTTAGAACCGATAGAATTCCCGAGGGATCGGGTCCATCTGCACGTAAGGAAAAGAAATGGAAAAAGAAGGAATAGGACATCGAAAAAGTTCGGTGTCTTTGACAAGGTTACCTGGGCTAATCTAAACTTTCGCATTCCTCCATCCGCCGATCCTTCGATCTCTCAATTGCAGTCCGGGCTAGGTAGTGCATTTACCTGGGCAACAATTTTTGAAACATTTTCGCTCGTTATGATGGATGCAGGCGGCAGATCGGCATAAAACCGATCCTCCCAGCCGCTGCCCGCGGATTTAGGTACATTTCCACTAAGGCGTCAACAGAGGAGGAGCTCACATGCGATCCGAATAGTCTCCGAAGTCGCCCATCTATGTTGATTAATGCAGTCAGTCTCCTCTCAGTCTAAACGACGTGAAGACTGCTAAATGGTCGAATGCTATTCTTCCTTGCTTTCGTGCCGAGAGAGGGAGAGCAATGTTGACTGCATCCTCAATCATCATCATACCACCCTGTCCCATATCCCAGTATAAGAGACATTGGCTACCGGAATATCAGAGTACTAGTGGATGGTGCTATTTGATTAGCCTGTGAGGTGGACTAACTAGACATCGACTCCTACAAATCTGGGTCGATGAAACCGAAAAAAAAAACAAATCAGGTCAATGGGGCCTTTGGTGATGTTTTTGTTCAGAAGGTCGATCACCTGGTCGATAATATTATGGGTTATTTTACCCAAAGTTTGTACAAACTTAGAAAACTGAGTGATTGGCCACGCCGCACGCGCTATCCCTATAATACCCGCAAAAATAACCACTTGCCAACCTACGATGACGTCCTTTACCGAGATCCCACCCGCACGAACTCTTTTTTTGACCTGGTTCTATCCACTCCCCGCAGATACCACTTGAGCTTCTCCCCGAAACCCACACTTGTATTCAATGCTTTGAAGTTCCGCACCGATCTCTACTGAAATGGCATGTTTTTGGCTCTCTGGACGATCGGATTCAGCCAGTCACCCGTTCGTTCACGGTGAAATGTCGTCATCATCATGATGATCATGATGCTTTTCGGCACGTACCTAGTAGGTACTAGTACTACTAGTATGTACAAAACGCAATAAGCCCTGCCAGTGGAGATTCAAGTTGAGATACCTTGGTATATTAACCTAGGTAATATCCCATCCGCCCGACCTTGAACTTGAAGTTGAAGTGAACGCACCTGGCGTATCTAGGTACCAATTCAAACTGTCAACACGAACACTGCCTACCATTACTACTTCAAGTGATCTTTATCAGACAACCTTGGAAGATAATTCAAAACCCCTGGAAGTTAGTACATCGCAGGCGTTCGAAGGTACTGGGAAAGAGCCGAAACATGTCCGACGAATACTATACACCAAGCTGGCGGGCACGCATCGGGAACACCGACGAGGCTGGTGAACGTAGGCAGTGGCAGGATGCACACAATAGCGCTCACAGGCAGAAGATGGACAACTTCTACAATTTGTCGGAAGGCGTACGGGCGCGTGATAGAGGAGAGCGTGAAATGAAAGATACAGTGGAACAGAAAAGAGAATGGGTGGCGGCTCGCCAAGCTGAACGCAGAGAATGGCGTTTAAGTGAATTAACACCAACTTGATCCTTGGCTCTTTAGCAACTAGAATCCGTGCTAATCAGAGGCATTGGTAGCTTGATTTTCCTGAGGGATACTCGCAACTGAAAGCGGATATCCAAGCGGAAACCCGTCGACATGCTTCTGCCGCTCATTATGGCATGATGGCGGCTGGGCGAACACCGAAGATGACGTAGAAGCAGAGAGAGATGCAGAGCATCCAGAAAGCGAACACGAATTCGATGTTCCATTCATCCATTCAACGACTTTGGGGTTATGTCGTGGCGAGTTCCGCCGGGAGAAGAGAAATTGATTAAAGCGTTACTGGAAAGAAAATCAGAGGTATTGACGACCCTATATCTATCTAATGATCAAGCAGTGAGGAAGCTAACAGATGAAATGAAAAGGACTTGGAAGATTACTAGGCAGTCAAAAACGCCAATAAATATGTCTCGAAAGAGCCAAATGATGAATAGTATGGGCTCTCGCTCTCGCACTTAGCTATCGTATGCTGATGTTCCTCAACAGGATGATTTTTTGGCGAGGTCGCTCTTCCATAATTTGGGTTGTTCACTGAGGTCACATTGCCGAGGCGAATCTTCGGTCGAGATAAAACATACATAAAATAATGTGGATATTACTTTGTATTGACTACTAGTATGTTTGCCCCTATTCCAGGTAGATTTGGCTATATTATACATAGATACTCCTGAGGAAACAAATGCTACGCTGCTTAAACCCCTTTAATAATATAAACCATATTACGCACTGAATGTGTTGAACCGGGAGGTTGTGTACTATTAGAGATATTTCATCTTCACGAGATCTTAACTGTCTGTCGGAGCCTCTTTCGTGTGTCAATGATTAAGAGGAATTTGAATTTATGGCCTTTGAAGATTCTCCTAGCCTTCGCGGCCTCGGGAGGTGGAATACTGAGTAGACCCCACATCGCAGAATGTAAGGTCGTTTGTCCGTCCCAGTACTTCGAGGACTGGTGCCTAGGTACCCGTGCCTCAGGCATTCCAGGGCGCGTGCCTGCCATGTTTAGATAGCTTCGTCTCTCTCTCCTCTCTTGATCTCATCACGAGTTCCGTGCCATCTGCTTCCTCCATAGTAGCACCCTCCGACAGAGTTCAAGCAAGAATTCAGTTGCCTAAAGGGTACTCTCGAGCCTTTCTATGAAGTGGCGTATTCGAGGACCTTTCACCCGCATCATCATCAGCCCTTTCGTCCAAGAGAAACCTAACAACCACGAGATAGCCATGGAAAGCAGCAAGATGGAGCGGAATGGTGCTTATGCGACGTAAGCCTAATACCAGCATGGCGTTCCTCCAGGACTTGCACCAGTTTTCATCGGGCAACCAAGCTGCCTGGTGCAAGCGTCGATCACTAGTGTCATCATGGAATATTTACCTTGTAAGTGATTGGCTCCCCGCGATACGCAATACGCAATACGAGATGAGGATGCATGGTCACACATGTGATAGCATCCTTGGTGTTCTGAAAAGAAGAATGAATTAGTCGTGAATTAAGATGATAGTTTGATGATATAACTTGAACGCCATCTAATTTACTGTGTTGAGATTACCGGTGGAAAGTCGGGCGCGTCAAAGGCTGTCACTCTCTTTTTAGAACCACGCACATATTTCAAACCTTGAAGCAGCATCATGGTGCGGTATAATTTAAAGAGGCTTTCTAATTAAATTACTCGGAATTCACTCTAGTAAGCTTGCTATCGAAGTTTCTGGTTCTTGGGGACCTCGACCTGAGCAGTAATCAAGATATTACCACGGCCCAAGCAATGCCAACTTACAATTGGCCATGGTTTCTGAATCTCACCCGCATCGAAAAAGGCCCAAATTTGAAGGTCTGGAAATTTTGCCGTCATCAATAATTGAGCCAATTTGAGCTTCGGGCTGAGGCCAGGAGTCTATTTGAAATGGCTTATTTGGGCGACGATCATGTCAGATAAGGCCCCCACCCCTACAGAAGCATAAATAGCGTTCCCAGCACCTGCAGTAAACATGACCTTCTTGATTTCTTGATTTTTCAAGGAACATAGGGAGTAAGCCACCAGAATCACCATGGACCAACTCATTCACTTCCTATCGGCAAACTCGAATATTCGTCATGCAACTCCAGAGTCTGCGGACTTTGCGGATCTTCGCGAGCAGTTTGTTATTCAGGAAACTAGGACCCCGGGCATAATCGTGCGGCCACGTACTATCGAGGATATTGCTTCCTTGGTAAAAGTTCTGACAATAAACAATCTGCCTTTCAGTGTCAGAGGAGGCGGGCATGACATGTTCGGAAGAACTGTTGTAGAAGATGGTGTCTCAATTGATATGCGTGAGGTCTCTCATATCCATGTCGACAAGGCTTCCCATACTGCGCGGGTTGGTGGTGGGGTGATCATCCTGGATCTACACCGAGAGTTTGATAAGCAGAAGGTGACTACAGCCCACGCAGTGACGCCCACTGTCGGATTCACCGGATGGGCGATTCATGGCGGTTACGGTCTTTTGAGCACTAACTACGGGCTCGGCTCAGATCAGATCGTGGGCGCTCGGGTAGTCGATGGACAAGGCAATATTGTGGACGCCGACGAGACCTTGCTCACGGCCATCCGAGGAGGGGGTGGGTCGGTGGCAGTTATTTACGAGCTAGTCATCAAAGTCTACCCCTCAGAAAAGGTAAGGTGAGATTATCTGCAAATAGCTTTCTTTGGATTCTAAAGGTCAAAACAGATACTGGGGGGGGGGTTCATCGCCTATCAATCGGCAGATTTGGTCGCCACGATACGTCAGTATAACGAGAATTATCGCAAGCTTAAATATGAGAAGATCCCACCTGCCATGGGCTTATATCAAGGCGTGATGGATGGACCGGGAGGAAGGCTATTCACCATTTTTGTACTTTGGTCTTCATCCGATCTCGAAGAAGGCCAAAAGTGGGTTGACCGAGTAGCCGAACTGGCTCCCATTGCCGTCAAAAATGTCGCGCCAACTACAATTCTCGAATTCAGTGAAGTAGTTGCCACTTTGACAGAGAAGAAATCATACGCTACAATTTTCTGCCCTGGATTCTACGACTTGACACCCGAAGTTACCGATGTAATTGGCACTTACGCAAAGAACCGGCCAAACTACCCAGGACCTGCACTTGGCATACACGAACTCCGTGCAGAGGCACCCAGAGAGTTTGCAAATTCAGTCTTCAACGCAAGGGATCCGCATTTCCTCGTCGAGATTCTTGCCTTGGCTGCCTCACCAGAGGCTTTTGAGGAGTTGCGGGAATGGGGCCAGCGATTCTACGATGCCCTCATGAAAACAGATCCAGCCAATGTTTACCCTATTTCGTATATTCCGCTGAATCCAGATGAGAGATTGAATTTCAGGCTCATCTACGGTCGGCGTTATGAGATACTCAAAAAGGCCAAGCAGCAGTATGACCCATCAAATGCTTTCAAGCACTCGGTCGTGCGGCCCTGAAGGCCAATGCCAGCGTTAAGTTGGAGCAATTTGGTTTTCTTTTCAAGCAATCGCCAGATAATATTAAGCTGGAACCTTCCAAGGTTGGAATTAAATATATCCTTTTAATTCCAATGGCTTAAGCCCATTTTCTTCCATTTTGAAAAGACAACTTGAACTCCGTAACACTAATAGCGCAGCTCCAGGACTCTCAACCCCTGAAGAACTTTGGAAAAGAAAAAAACCGCCCGGGCTATATACAATCAGCCGAGAGATTCACATTTACTGATAAGTGACAGTAAACTCAGTATCACTCTCAACCTCGACATGGGCCAGCACCTGTCCATTCTGTTGAATATCCAGAATCGAGCCATCGTTGATGCCATACTCGCTGTCACCAACCTTGGCCTGTGCGCCGGTGAAACTAATTTCACCAAAGTTGGCCAGAGGAACCATAGAGCTACCACTGTTGAAGTCCTCAACAATCCACTCGGCATTTTGTCCCCCGAGAGTGGCAGAGGTAGAAGGAGCCGAGAGAGTCTTGGTCACGCTCTTCCCGGAGGACTTGTTCTCGATAATAGCGACGCCTTCGCTGGGCGAGTTGGACATGACTGTGGCAACGATCACATCGCCGGCAGTGAGGTCGATCTGGAAGTTCTCCGCTGGGTTGGGATACCACTCATACCAAGCGTCGAAGGACTTTTGGTCGCCATTGGAAACGTAGGCATCAATTCCAGTCTGCAGAATAGCCTTGGTATAGGTATCGCCATCAATACCAACCCAGGCCGAAGCAGCTTGAGTGTCTCCAGAGTCATCAGTGGCCGTGGGGTCTGGCACGGTAAAAGTAGCGGAGACGACATTATAAGTGCCGCTAGCAGGAGGCTGCTCGCGAACAATACCAGCCCAGTTCTTGCTGTACTGGATCTTGGCCGAGCTGGAACCTTCTTTAAGAAGGACGCCGTTCACCTCGTCTGGATTATTGATCTTAGGGACTGACTGGCGAGTGAGAACACCACGAGCCTCCAGGCGGGCGGCAAGACCAGAACCTCCAGGCGCCGCGAGGGCATTGCCAGCCAAGATGGCGGTCGTGATAGTTGCGGTAATGAACTTCATAGTGAAAGGCGAGTGAAATGCGAGTGGGTGGTGTCTTCCGAGAGAAAGTTTGAAGAACAAGAAGGAATATGTGACGCGGTAGGCCTACTACTCCCAGGTTATAGGGCTAGTCGGTGGTTCTTATATTTCGTCTCATGAGTTCGCATGCGGCGCGTGAGCCGCATGGGGAATCAAAACTCGTGCTGATGTAGGCTTCGCAAGACTTTGGGGAATTGCCCAAGACCCGCTGAGAGGTGGGGGTGTGGGAATCATGTTGACCAGGGCGAATGCTGACCACACTTGGAAGCACGAGTGATTTGCTGTTCTGGTCTCGAGACTACGCCGCTCTTCTGCCCTCTGTGTCTATATTCTGCTCGGTATGGTTTGTAGTGGGGCAATCAATCATCTGCGATCATCAGACACGAGAATAGGTGAGAATCGGCGTGCGCGTCTGGGTGTAAGATACATTCCAGTCGAGATCTGGTGGTCGCATCTGGTTGACAGCGGCGCCACGACGGATTCGACGAAGATCGCCATCTTTCCGATCTCACTTACGTGGATTTTTCGAGAAATACAATTGAGGTTCTAGGTGCGCTCAAAAGGGAAGAGCGTCCGGATTATTCTTGGTCAATAATATCAAGGTCAGCAGTGCTGATATAGACTTGTTTCCCATGACGACTCTCTATGGGATGGGCTTATAATCAATTGATGTGGGCGTTGTGGACAATCTTCGGTCGAAATTTCGATTTTACTCAGAGGTACCCATTCATTGGACTCTGAAAGCATAGTATGAGGTGGTAGAGATGATTCCTTGTTCTCGAAAAGTCTAGGCAATTTTAATACTATGCGGCTACTTCCAACAGGTTTGAAATCGATAGCCTTTTTTCAAAAAAAAAGTATGACCAGGAAGCTGAGACTGGATCACACGCGATTGACAGGCTACGGCTCGTCATCGAAGCAGAATGAACGGGTGAGCTGCACATTCCTAGTCTGCCCCTTGCATATCAACACCACCGCCACGAACTCTGATTGGGCCACTGTTGACTCGCAGCAAACGAATGCGGCGTACTATGTTGATCGTTTCTTAGCTTGTAAAAGCGGCGTCCTCCAAGTTTTGTTATGCGTCCCGATGCGCGTTGGGAACGCCGCGAACGATCGCCTATGGATTCGGACATCGTGGCACGGCAAGTCAATCGTGCGTGAAGATCGACAGGTGCTTCGATCTTCATTGCAGCGATATAGCCGGTGAATCTGCAATTATGAAGCGTACATATATCAAGTGGTGCTGATCAGGTGTCGATCGGGGGATTGAGGATGGATTCACGGATAATAGCCCTGGAGTCATCAGAAGTTGAACGTAGTGTAGCCAAAATAATGCAAATAGTATCATACTACCCCCTTTAGAGGTATTCAATCTACCGCCTCTATCTCGAGAGGGCAAAGACCCAATGAATTACCTACTAGGTAATAAGACCCAACCCCAAAGTTCAAGTTGAATTTTCATAAACACACGAATTCATTAAGACCGTGACTAGTAGAAGGATGCGAGGGTATATATCCAACGATCGAACAAATTGAAAAGAATCACATAGGAAGGCGGCGCATTTCCTCAACCGACCAATATTGGCGCATATTTTCCGCCTTGAGCGTCTGAACCTCCTCATCAAGATGCTGCCAAAGCACCTTACCAAAGCCCTCCATGAGCCGGCGCACCTCCTCACGGCGCATATCCTCCTCGCCTGAGCGACATTTCTCAAGGTAAGCCTCGAGCTTCTCAAGGCCAGCATGAATCTGTTTATGCTGCTTCAGAAGATCCAATTCCTTCCGGAACTCGGGCATTTTCTTCGCAAGGACTGGGAAGATATGTTGCTCCTCGATGGAATGATGGAAGTCGAGTTGCGAACAGAATTGTAGACCCATCATGATCATCTGGCGGGCTGATAAACCCGCAGGACGCTTGCCTGTGGCATTGCACGCGTCCCAGAGCTGATTCCAAGTCAAACGAAAGTGACTATGCTGTTCTATCATGAGTACTGGTTCCTCGCATGAACGTGGCTAAATGCTGAACTTACAAAACCTTCCATCTGCTCCGATAGACGATTATATGCTCGAAAGTCACTCGCCGAAAGCGGGGGTAGAGACCCGGCGCTTTCCGTGTCAGTCTTCGTTTTGCTACCCATGATAATTGGAGGTCTTGAAGATGCAAAGTATAAACGAGAGAAACTTGAACTTGAAGCCCGGAGAGCTGGTGGGGGTATCAGATTTCGCAGCCCACGCATGAGGCGGCAGTTGAGTAAACTGGACTGCCGAATATCGGTCGTCAAAGTATTTTATTACTGGGAGAGAGGCGGGGATGCAATCAGGATTAAGGGAGGAATGAAATGCATTAACTGAGGCGAATCCGGGGTGCTGAGAAAGCAGAGATTTCTGATTCGGCGGAGTGGGCCCGATTTCAAAGCATTTGCAATCATTTATCTCTTTCCTCTCAGGTTGGGGATAGATGATACCAGGTTGGGATTGATGTTGGTGCATGCATAGTATTTGAGGAGGTTTGAGAGGAACATTCTCAAACCTCCAGCCTTGGAAGTGTCCCACTGCTGCAGCTGTCATGAAGATGGAATTATTTTTAGAAAATGGACCAAGGGAGTGATCATTTTAAAATCGGGAGTGACTACCGACTTTTTCCACGATGGTTTCAAAATAGAAGCATAGCAAATGAATAGAATAAATTGTATTGATGATTTTACGAAAACTGCAGGATTACGCACCATATACACCCAAGGTATATGGTATGTGCCAGATCTTCAATGGACGTGTGCTATCTCGGCGAACCGTAGAACACAAATCTAGTACATCACTGGTGAATGAGACGAATCTCCTAATAATATCAGCACTTCTTCGGCACGACCTCGGCCATTAGAGGGCCGGATCGTAATTTGACATCCGTGCTAACCCATTCAAGGGTCCCAATCCTATTCGAAACAAGTCCAACAGGGTCCAAGGTCAGTGAACACGGAAAAGCGAAGAAAGAGAAAAAATGGTAAATTATTATCAATACACATCGTGGCTGCGGTGGCGACGCATGGTAGCTGGGTAATGGGGGAATAATAAAACAAGGCCACCGGAGGGGGAATCGAAGATTAGCAGTAGGTCGTAACGCCGTAGATGTACAGGGTAATTTGTGTGGTCAATTAAAGATCCTCATGGATGGCGGATGGCGCCGGAGGCCGGAAGTTGCCACCCATGAGCTCCTTGAAGGCAAGATCGAAGCGGGCGCCCATCAGCCAGGCAAAGAACATCATAGTGCCGGCGACGAAAAGGACGATGCAGCCCATGAGTGCCATCATGAAATAGACATCACTCTTGTTCTCAGCATCTTCTTCACGCTTCTTCAATTGCTCCTCGGAGAGAACACCCTGGACCCGACGGTTGGCCTCCTCGGCATTCTGCGAAGGGAAGATGGTCTCGATGAATTTCTCGATCTTACCACAGGCCATGCTGATCTTGAGGAAATTGGGGTCCTTGGGAGTGTTCTTCTTGTGGATCTTCCGGGTCAGGTCACGGAAGCGATCACACAGGACACGAAGGTTCTGGGTAGAGGCAAACATCAGAGAGCAGGCATCGCCCTTGGTGATCTTGATGTTACGCTCAAAGATATCGTAGTTGCGGAAGCACAGCTCCAGCGTAGCGATAGCCATGGACTGAGGGATGGCGCAGAAGTTGAAGACACTTTGCTCCCGGAGGCCAGCGAGGTAGAAGAGACACTCGTCAGCGTGCTCCAGGGCGTTGAGTACCATCTCGGAGTTACAGTTCAGAGCAGCCTCCTTGAACTCAGGCTTGAACAAGTCATCGAAGTTGTCAACATACTTGGACCAGATCTCCTGGGGCCAGAAGCGACGCTTATCATCGTTGTCCTCTCGGATGTCTCGGATGATGTTGGTCTTCTGCAGGAAGAGACCCATCGACTTTTGCAGATGGGGGCGTTCGAGGAGAGCCGGGTTGGCCAACTCGGCCTCGACAAACAAGCGGGTGAGACCCTCACCGACCAGGCCGGCAACGTAGTAGCAGTACTGATCGTATTCCTCGATTGTCTTGACACTAGCATCCGACAATTCAGCCTTTCGGCAGTAGTCAGCCATGCCGTTGCCCATCTTTGCTGTGATGTCCTTGATAATTGCTTGGTAGGCGGGCTTCATCTTCATGAACTCGGTGATGACACACGGGAACTGAACCAGCAGCTCACGGTCCTTCTCCTCCTTTCGGTTGCCAGTGAAGTTCCATCCCTCCTGGGTCAAGAAATCATCAAAGCCACGGAGCAAGGGCTCCTTCGTCTCAAGAGATATGGAGGTATCATCTTCGATGGTATCCAGACCACGGAGGACAAGGTAGAAGACGCAGACGGGCATAAGTAGCTCGGAGTGGAGCTCCTGGATGACAGCGCTGAAGCTTCGGCTTGTCAGGTCCAGGAACTTGAAACAATCCTTCTCGGACTGAGTCTCATTGGCGGGGTTACGCTCATGAGGGGGGGTTGTGCCAGACTTTCCTGTGGGAGAGACGATTAGCGATGTGATCCTCGAACTCTCCACGTGGACAGGCAGCTCTACCATTGAACGATCGACCTCAATTGGTACGGATGAAAGCTGTAGTAGAGGGCATTGCCAATGAAACCCATGATGGGCAGATGGCAAAATGGCAAAGGGACACGAAGTCCTTGGGGAAAGAAAGAGAAGCAGAAAAAGAAAAGGAGGAAGTGGAGGAAGGGAAAGAGGAAAATGAAGAAATCGCCGAATTAAAAGGGGGGACCCACGTGATACTCCGCCTGATCGCGGGGAGGCGGCAGAAAAGTAGCGGGAAAACCAGGCAAACACTTTTGATATTCACAACTTCACTCTTGATTACTCGGGCATCTGGTTATTTTGATCCTCTTGACAGTTTGTATCGATCATACATCTACTGTCATATCCACTGTCATCCACCACGACCATCATGGTCGCAGATACTACCTACTACGATGCCCTCGGCGTTCAGCCCACAGCCACCGAGCTGGAAATCAAGAAGGCCTATCGCAAGCTGGCCATCGTAACACACCCTGGTATGTCGCAGCCTTGCCTTAGATCAGTATCTTGAGTCTAACCACTTTACGATTATTACAGATAAGAACCCCGGCGATGAGACCGCCCACGAGCGCTTCCAGCAAGTACGCAGAGCTTTGATGACACCCACCTTTCTCCCACTCCAAGCTAATCCCAACCTCATCTCACCAGATCGGTGAAGCCTACCAAATTCTGAGCAACGAAGATCTTCGCAAACGATATGATAAATTCGGCAAGGAAGAGGCCCAGCCTAGTGGAGGTTTCGGTAAGTTGGGCTGACGAGCTGACACGCTTATATACCTACCCCCGGCATCCGGAGGAAACTAGCTGACAACCGCATAGAGGACCCATCCGAGTTCTTCAGCATGATTTTTGGTGGCGAAGCCTTCGTCGACCTGATCGGCGAGATCTCCCTCATGAAAGACTTGACCGCGACCATGGATATCACCATGCAGGAAATGGAGGAGGAGGAGTTGGCTCAGTCTGCCGAGGAGAAGCTAAACATCCACGACGAAGAGGTCAAGGCCGGTGAAACCGAACACCCCGCCGAGGGCTCCAGTGATGCCACCCCCGCCTACACGGAGAAGCCATCTGCTTCGGAATCCACATCCGCGTCTACCCCCGCCGGTCCGGAGAAGGCCTCGGCCTCGACTACCTCTGGCCCAAGCTCCGGTACCAGCACACCCCGACGGAACTGGGGACAACAGGCGCTGATGGACCGGTCCGAGGAGGAGGCGCGCATGGATGCAGCTGGTCTGTCCCAGGAAGAGAAGGAGCTTCGCAAAAAGGAGAAGAAGAAGGGTCTGTCGAAGGAGCAGCAGGTGCGTCTCGCTGCCTTTGAGGAGGAGCGGAAAAAGGCCCGCGAGGACCGTGTCAATACCCTCGCCAATAAGCTGGTAGACCGCCTCAGCGTGTGGACCGAGACTGATAAGAACGTGGATGTTACCCACGCCTTCGAGGAGAAGATCCGATTGGAGGTGGAGAACTTGAAGATGGAGTCTTTCGGTTTGGAGATCCTCCACGCTGTCGGCGCCACATATGTGCAGAAGGGCTCTTCGTTCTTGAAGTCACAGAAGTTCTTGGGTATCTCGGGGTTCTTCTCACGTCTGAAGGATAAGGGTACTCTGGCCAAGGAGACCTGGACCACCATCTCCACAGCCATCGATGCTCAAATGACCATGGAGGAGATGGCCAAGATGGAGGAGCGCGGCGGCGAGGACTGGACCGACGAGAAGCGGGCAGAGTACGAGAAGAAGGTCACTGGTAAGATCCTGGCCGCAGCTTGGAGAGGCAGCAAGTTCGAGATCCAGAGTGTCCTGCGTGAGGTCTGTGACCAAGTTCTGGGTGACAAGCGAATTCGTCTGGAGAAGCGGGTGGAGCGTGCTCACGCCCTGGTCTTGGCTGGTAACATCTACGCCAAGGTATGTCTCATTCCCATCCCTCCCCCTGCTGAGTTGAGTAATCATCATGTACTAACAACAATAGGCTGCGCGTGACCCCGAAGAAGAGGGTGATTACATGGCGTTTGAGCAGTTGATGGCGGACTCGATGAAGAAATCCGAAACCAAGGATAAGAAGAAGGAGAAGAAGAAGAAGCACAGCCACGACGAGACTGAGGCGGAGCAGAAGCCGGCGGTTTAGATGGAGCGAGGATTAGTCTTGACCTTGGACATATGATCGTTTTTTTCCCTCTCTTTTCTTCTTTCGGGTGATCGACCCCTGTTTCCAGCGACGCGCCGGGGTGCGCAGAATTCGAGTTATGACATAGATTGCCCTATATACCAGGCCCATGCCCGAATGCAGAGATTCTTCGCTCAGACAGAGCAGCAGCGCAGAATTCAGAAGGGAGTTCCCAGTGGAAAAAAAAACTTGAATAGTAGAAGAGAATAAGATAGAATAGAATAGAATAGACAATGATATAGATGATCATATAAACACGGGAGGACCAAAATGATCCTTCCGACACCCACAGAACGGATGATTCCAGTCTGCATCACACATAGCCATTACACATTATTCGCATTGTCGAGAGGACGAACACCATGAGAGATCAAAAGCCCAGATACATGTAGTGGAGGTGTAGCATCGTCGCAAACCTGAACACATAACCTTGGGACCAGCTAGTCGAAAAATCGAGTTCGAGTTGAAAGTAGTGACCGGTTACCCACTAGTATTTATGCCCGGTGCTCCCTTCGAGCTCCGAGCTGTTGATGGCCGATGGCGAAGAGATACTATGGGATTGGCTGTGTGCCTGATCATGCAAAGCCTCAGCATCGCGCGCATATAGCTCGGAGGGGACAGCACCGGGGACAGGGGCAGGGGTAGCAACTGGGGTCGTACTCATGGGTACATCATGTGCCGGGGCAGTCCCCGGCACGTGGTTCTGGCGCATGTTTTGGTGGCCAGGCCAGCTGGAGACGAGGACACCGACAGCAGTGAGGATAGTGAGGATGACGAGGGCGACAAAGATGAGCCTGAGCTCGAAAGGTTAGTGCGGTTCAACAAGATACCGAGGTACAGGGATGGAGGGATTCAAGCATGGGACCAGGAGTGAACTCACCACAGAAGGACGGCAAAAGCAACAACCGCGTTCAGATAATCGCTGTAGACATTGCCGGCGCCGAAGATGGTCACGATATCGGCGAAGCAAGCCAACCAAAAGACGGAGGTGATGAAGTAAACGACGATAGTGGAAATTCCAAGAATCATATTCAACTTTGAAGTGACATTTCCCTTTCGCGCATAGAACCAGGGCAAGACGGCGGCAGCGACCGAGACGATCATCGTCCATAGAGACACAAAGACAAGGAAAGCTAGGATGCCTGGTGTGGAGACCTTGACGGTTTGATAGCCACACGAGAAGCCATTACAGGTGTATTCCTCAAAGCTGCCGGAGTATCCCGAGACAACATAAGCGGATAAACCCAGTTCAACAATGGCGAAGAGCAGGGCTGTGCCCAGGAGGACATAAAGGGCGATATGAAGCGCCAACATGATGCCGATGGAAATTGCTAGAAGACAGAGCAGAGAGAAAAAGGCGAAGGTTGCGATCAGGGGAAATCTGGCTGCAAATGCAAGCAGCAGCAGCAGCAGCGGGGGTCGAGAATATGAGCTCGGAGGAAAAAAATATGCAAAAATGATTGATCACCCCCCGCGCGAGGGGGGTCCCTTGCTGGATTTATTCCTGGGATTTGCATGGTTCCACACCGCAGCTGGCACACGAGAGAGCCGGGATCAGGACCGGGTCCGGAACTCGTAAAGTTGGAGCGAAGCGACAAAATGCGAGAGCCCTGGAGCCGCAGGATGCAGAAAGCAGAGGTTGACAAGCCAGCCGCAGGGCTGTTGTGAGCAATAGTGGGGGGGATATGCGCCACTAGACCCTGTTCTGCCAATGAGTCGTGACGGATACGAGCACCACGTCGTGATGGCGTTTGACCCTGAGCCGAATCAGTGTAAGACAAGCGAGAGGAGTTCAAGGTTGGGACTGGGCTGAGGTTTCCGAGGCTGAAAAAGGGTCAACTTGAAATTCGAGGCAACTTGAAGTGGAATAGTGAGATTGGCCGAGGTGGATGTAGTTGAAGTTGGAGCGGGAGGAGGGAAATGCGGGCGGCACCTGACTGGCACCTGACTGGCAGTAGTATACCTAGGTAGGTGAAGGCGCTTGCAATAGTACTTCCAAGATTGAATACGAGATGCAGATGCTGCGATAGACAGGGGCGATACGAGATGATCTAGGTAGGTAGGTACAGAGTACTCCGTAGTAGGTAGTAGCTACCTACTACGAGTATTGTGTGCAGAATGTTGAAGTTTCTGCTACTACCTAGGGGTACCTAGGTTTCCGACAGAAAAGTTGGGACACATCCAAATACTCTGTAGTGCGCAAATATATATCCCCGATCAATTGTGACGAGTGATGATCGACGCGGCGCTATCTAGATCGGGAATGTGAATGTGGATATATTTATACTTCACCTTGACTTCAAGTTGGCAGCTCAGCTACCTTAAGCATGATCCAATCAGCGTGTAGATTGGATCTCCCGAGTGTATCCACCCGGGGTATATTTAACCCGCACCGGAAATAGGCGGTAGGGTGTACCTGGCAGAATATCACGTGCATCGATCTGATAAAGCGGTGTAAACCCCGGCTGATTCATTTGCCGAAAGTTTTATCTCTATTTGCTCTGTTTACAACAGGATGACAAAGGCACCTTCCCGATAGATCACAGCAACATAATTGATACTACCTTCAAGTCAAAGTTAGGGTAGGGAGTTATTTAGTTACTACTAGTATAGAAGGAACTAAATAACTCTAGCAATATACCTGGGAAGGTGGTACCCGTGGACTACTAGTAGAGTGGACGCTATCCGCCGAGGGCAACCAACGCCCAAGAGTAACAACCATCCGGTTCGTTATAGATTATTTTCCTTCTCCATTCATCGATGATATAAGCTTCCTCATGAGCTACTACTCGTAGTATTTGCTGGACACAAAAAGAATGATTATCTGACATAATATCCACAAGAGTAGGCAAGTATTTCCCTGCAAATCACATGAAGTGGCGGCTTACCATTGGCATCCATAGATGCTACTAGTATGGCTTTGCTCATATACCAATTTCCTTTTGTAGACACAAAACACTATGCAATCCCGAAATCATGTCAGACTAACCCATCAAAAATGGGGTAGATTGATGTTCAGGTCTGACATGATCATGTAGAAGAAACTAAGTCAGAAATACCGTGGAGCGCCAAAGGCTGACAGAAATTATTCCACTCCCTAGGTATAAATACTCGGCAACATGCATCAGCTACTAGTATCATTATTCAATCCAAACCAAGAGCCTGCTGAAGCCTGAATTTCTTCAAGTTGGAATTCGCAAGTGATTTTTCCGTCAATTACATCCTAATTGCGAGGAACTTTTACCACTACGACCTACCATTTTCGATTTTTGATAAGCCCAGATGGCTACTCATCCAATCGGTAAGTAGCGCTGAAATCACAAGAAAGTGGCTATTCTAAATCGTTTTAGTTGTTCCAACTGGCCTTCCTGTCGCTGGGGGCACAGAAGTTGGCATGGCAAACTGGAAGAAGCCGGAGCCAACATTTTCTACCGGGGATGAGACTCTCTGGACTCAAAACATGACTGGTGGATGCAATAGTCTCGCAACGTTTTGTCTCAAAAGCAAAAAGCGAAGCCTAACCCACATCAAGGGTGGTGATTTTTTGCCCGAGCAGCTTGGCACTTTTGCCAAAGAAGTAGCCCAGGGGTTGGATGGCGACTATGAACTGATCTGGATCAGTGGCACTGAATCTCTACTCCAATCGAACTTTAAAGGGCTGCTAGATAAGATCTCGAATGCCGTCCTAGATGAGGTTATTAACCTGGGCAAAAACTTTGATTGTGGTGATGATCACTATTTCATGCAAAATGCAGATGGATATATGCAGGATGATTCGCATACTGTGATAGTACCAACTGCGCCAAATTGGACAACCTTCAAGAAGGGTTCTTTCGCTATTGATGCAAATGGAAATTATGGCCTAGCTCAGCAATAGGGAACTCAAGTTTCAACATCGGCACCCGTTCTAGGAAGATGGTGGCAAACGTATGCGCTGGTAACTGGCTACTTCAACTTGGCCAGAAGTGTTAAACTGGGCCAATTCCTGTCAAGTCTGGGAATTCTGGGGACACTCATTTGCATACGCTATTCCATGAGGGTTGATGGCATGGTATCGATATCAGTAATGATTTTTTCTTCTAGAATGTACATATTTTGAATTTTAATGGGATTCAGTTTCGTGGTTCCGTCCAGTGGTAGTATCTTCTATTATATTCAGTTTGTCGATGGGTTCCAAGGTTTGATGGACAGAGTACGGTCCAATTAATTTTGGGTTGAACAAATAGAACCAATCGGGATGTTCTAATGCCAAGGGGCTATAATTGTAGTAAATTACCGGGGTATCCAACGGAGGGTCCGTCTACTGAGGAATTTGGCAGACCAATCGAGAATAATCGGCTTACCATGCAACTTTGAGGGCGTGATACGAGATACTGTATATTAATAGTAGGTACTGGACAAAAATAAAAATAAAGATTCATCAGAAATGAGACCCGGCAGCCAATACTAGGATGATTATTCCCAACCCTACAGCCTGGAAACAGCAGGAAGCCCTATAATCCCATGGCTCCCATAACTCGCTTGCATATCAGGTTGCCAGGAAGTAATCGGGCCTATCAGTCTTCACCATCTATTCACTGAGCCCCAGAAAGAAAAGTGATACATTAGAGAGATTCGTCATTCTTGTTCATAACGCAGAAAGGGCCATTGGGTGTGTCTTTAGTTCAAGCCCAGAATCAACGGGAGAATAGCGGCATTGACGATCTGGATAGCCAGCGGACCGATCGCGATGCTGGCAGTCGAATATTCGCCGGGCTTGATCTTCCAACCCCAAGGAGTACCAAGGGCCATAAATATCATTGCTAAATGGGCAAGTCAGCGATACGTTCTCTCCATATCAATGAATGATACCAACCGCCAGCAAGGAAGGCGCAAATAGCCCAAGTATACTTGAATTTCTTGACCATCTTGTCAAGACCGATGAAGAAGCCAGATGGACCGGGCTCTTTAGCAGTTGAGGACCACTCGATGTTGATGCTGAACGCGTGACAAAGAATAGCCTTGGCGCAGTTGAGACTAATTCCACCAAAGAATACGATCAAGAATGGGAGCCACATCAATGACTTGAGAAGGGCTTTCCAGAAAACCATCTCTTTCAGCTGATGGCGAGCCATACTAAATGCAACCGAGGCAACACCGTTGAATACCACGACCAGAGAAATCCAAATTCCCCAAGATTGAAGGTAGATGTGATCAATCGAGGAGTTGAAAAGACCGACAATGACATAGTTCACTGTAGCCAAAAGCATACCCGATGCGATTGCGTAGTCTATTGATTGAGGTTAAAATCTGGAGAAATATCAACGGATAGAAGAAACTCACAGGTAAAGATATAAGCAATGATGGTGATTTTGCTGGTGACGGGCATGTTGCTCCACAAGAAACGAAGGAAGAGTCTTGTGACGGGTCCCTTGTAAGGCCATTTATAGCTGGTTCACATGTCAGCAGACGCATATTTTGAAAAGCCCAGTATTACTCACAAGGGATGGAAAACAAGCTCGTTACAACCATATGCATACTTCTCCCAACGCGTCAACTCATCATACAAGGTGAGAGACACGCCTTCTTTAAAGCCACCGTTATGGTATGTAGCCAGACGAACGGTCATGCCTTGCATCTGCAAGCGAAGACTGATGTCAAAGTCCTCAGAGACATGTGCATCAGACCACCACTTAGTTTCACCATCTGATGGATCCACGAATGAAATGCTCTGGATTGCCTTCCATCGGAGGAAGGCATTGTGGCCGACAAAGGGAGATACATCACCACAACCAACACCATATTTGATAGCCGTGTATACAACATCGGTGAAGTAGGCGACTTTTTATCGAGTAAGTTAGCTTCGGAGAAAATGAAAAAAGAATATGGGTCCGGGAGGACTCACTGCCGTCTTCAAACATGTTGTTGACAGCTTGCATGACACCAGAGCCGTGCTGAACAATTGCGACTTCGGGACTCTCGTGCATCTCCAATGCTCCGTAGAGAAGACAGTCAACAGGAACTCGAGTATCGCAGTCAATGCTATCAAATGTTAGAGATATTAATCAAAAGAAGATCACCGAAGACATACATGAGAATATGTTCACCAATGCGAATGTTTCCTTTGGCCCCTACATGGTGTTAGCGATCGTCTCCAGTAAAAGAATAGAGAGCCCTGGAAGAATACTGACAAGTGCGACCTTCATCCTCAGTGAGCATATTGGCAAGAGCTTGTTGGTAAATCCGATCATCATCTTCGACAGTTAAGTCTTCGTTCATACATCCACGACTCTGGCATTCCAATTCAACCAGGCGAACCATCTCATCTTCAACCCTGTTAGAGAAAGCGAGACCGTAATTCATATTGCTAGCCTTCTTGAATTTTCCCTTGCGCTCGAAGCCAATCTTGTTCGCGATGGCCTGGGGGCTAGTGGTGTCTTCCTCTTTCTCAGATTCGGTATTTTCCACGACTGACTTGCTCTTGCGGAACCAATTGAATCGCGACGCCTTCTTCGAAGATCCCTTCTTATTCGGCAGACGGGCGGTATAACCTATTCCGTTCTCCCTGTAGTATTGCCTGCGGGCCTCGGCAAGCTCAGGCTGAATACACTGCATGCCATCGTCATTGATAAAGACAGACGCAGTGCCTCCTTGCTCTTCATAAAATTGGACGGCGGCGAGGACACTCATCATGGTGGGGACAATAACACTATTGAAGATCAGTTTCCCGTGTCAAGTGAAGATGAAATGATCTTACATACCCTTTCAGACCCTCCTTGTATACGGGCATTTGGATAGTGATGTGGGGTAGCTCATAGTCGCGGTGGAATTTGAGGTTCGGTTTGATGGCTGTGGCAGAGTGAGTGCTGGGACAGAAATTCAGTCAAGAGATACTAACCAGAATGGAACTTGGAGTTCTTCAAGCAGAAGGTTGCCGGTAGTAGAAGTTGGAACGCGCTTGTAACGAGAACAATAAAAAAGAACTAGCCACTGTGAGTGATAGCGAAAACGGTGGAAAAGGAGAATACTCACCAGAGAGAATAGTGACAGTGGAGGAACGGTAGAAACCTAGTATGCATCAGTATGATGATCAAGCTAGTTGCAAAGATCTTCAAACGAGAAAACCTACCAATGCAAAGCGAGTAAAGTCTCCGTCCCATGCCCATTCATTGATCAACTAGAAAAGAAAATGTTAGCGTGGGTTCACGCAAAAGCGTCATGCATGGGATATTTGAACTCACGCGAGCCACTCCAAGCGACTGTGTCAGAATCACCAGCATGATAGCAAAGCTAATCTTGAACGCATGGATTCGATGGGTTGGCCTGGGAGCCATATTCCCTTCCAGATCCACAACCGGATCATCCTCCTCTTCGCCATTTTCCAGGGCGACAGCCCTGCTGTAAACCTCATGTTTCTCGTCAAGTGCTCCTCGAACCGGAACAATCATGCTGTTGGAGGGGGTAGAAGCCAGCGCATCGGTGTCGAGATCGAAGGGAGAGGAACGCCCGGAGACTCGGGGACTTGTGAGATTCGAGATACGAGGTCCCTGCCGGGTTGAGAAAGTATTGTCAGCTAGGTGCAGAGATATTGGAAGCGCCGTAAAGGGACTTACCGTCTTGCCGAGCTGTCTCTCGACGTCAAAGGCCACATTGAGAATTGCACCAGCATCATGAGACCATACCAAAATGATTCTCTCCTGCACTACGATGCAAGCTCGTGCAAAATGAACGAGATCGGGATTGACATCGTTGAGACAGGAGACAATTGGGATGCGAGCACTGGTATTGTCCATAATGAGACTCTTTTGACCCGGCGCGATGGAATCAATCAGAGCTGATGTAAAGGTAGAAGACATTGCAATTGCAGATGTCTCGCCAAGTCGTACGATGGCATCACTCAGTGTGGGATTGACATTGTACGGGAAAAAGGAATACTCATCAGCGAAAGTGCGAACTGCTACGCAGGTTGAAGACCAATGCTGGAGGCCATTATCACTTCTAGCTTCGTCAAACCAGCCGAGCAGAGTTGCTCGTCGAGCGAGATATCTCGCCATCTGCGAATACGTTGATAAATTGTTCTCAGAAACATTGGAAAATGGGGAACAAACCGAGCTCGGATCTTCTCCCTCCCCCGTTTCCGAGATTGATGGTGCGGCCATAGAATGCACAACAGAAGGCGGGCCTTTTCGTGCGCGATGAGACATTCCAGGATTGATCGAGCCAGGGGTGAGAACTCGGGCTATCTCCGCTGTATCAAGGCGCGCTGAAGATGGCCTCGATTGCAAATCGCCAACTTCGCCAACTTCATCTTGTGTACCATTTTCAGTTGAAGCGATTGACAGATCCCCAGATTTGGTTGGCTCCTTGGCAATGGAACCATCTCCCTGCGTACCCCCCATGATTCGAAAACAACTTATAAACAAAAGGAAGACTGGATGTCCCGCAAGATGAGGAGATCTATGAGGAAGTTTCTCGCTGCAATTGACACTCGGTAGGACTATAGATACTTAAAGAAACGGAAATAGCGATATCAAGGCAAATAATGCGAGGTGAGCTGATAAGCGGAGAAATCATTATTAGTCTAGACCTCGCGATTGTTACGGGGGCAAACCAGCACGGTCATCGCCGGCGCGTAGTGACCGAGAGCATTCCAGATAGATAAATCGGCTCGAGCTGTTGAAATGTGGCTCCGAAAGCCGATCTGGAGTTTTTCTGATGCATTAGAACAGTGACCTCCAGTTCGCGAAACTGGAGCCACCCTAGGCAGTCTAGTGCGAACATGGGGTAATTCTGATATGGCCAAATCTGGATCATGGTGGATCCATGTGAAGCATAGAGCTACTGTACTATTCGTATAATCCAGCTTGTGTTATCAGCGACATTCGGGCGCGCCGGAGTGGTAAGTTTCCAGGCGACCGGCGCTAGACGGCGCTGTTTTAGCGGCTTTGTTGGCAAACAAAGCGAACAACCGTGCTGAGGTACGGAATGGTAATATCTGGCGATGATCAGTGCCGCTATGGCTTTTCAGGAACAGTTCGGGCGGCCCGAGCACCTTCGCGTAGGTTCAACGACTAGCCCATGGAGGATCTTGATTGGAGGAGAAGAGTAGGATAAGTTGCCCCCGAAGCGGGGATTAATAACCTAAAAATTATGACAGATGACAGAAAGCTTCGGCCGGCTTGGCAGTTTCGGCACTTGTAAATTAAATGGGATTTTACAAGTATGGCCACCTAGGCAGATCAATATCGAAATTACAGTTCGTTTGAAAGTAGTCAGTAAATTGTATTGATCTCGGAGAACCGTATGAATTGGTTTATCCTACGGATGCTCTTTTGGTGATGTTTCATTCCAAGGTTCAAGTTATCTCAAACTCCGTCGGAAGATATTGTCCTCTACGCGCCCAGCCCCAGACTCGGACTCATCACAAAGTACTATATCAGAGGTCAAAAAAAGGTAACGAGCTTTACAGATATGGTATCGATGACCCAGCACCAATCGCATCTCAAACCTAATTCTTATTCTAATCCAGCTCCCAAACCAGGAGCGGCGTTGATAGGAACAGAACGGAATAACCGAGTGGCTGGATTGCCACAGCTGGTTTGACTCCGTATCCATGATGGAGCCGCTGCCTAGCTTCGTGCCCGAGCACCTGGTATTTGATGTCGAATACAGCCAGCCAATGCCATGCTAATGCTGTTTGTGGGTGGTAGTTAAGCCGATTGGAGTGGAAGAATTGATTTTCGGGCTTAGAGCTCATCTCATAGTCTTCTGAGTTTATTTGGAATCAAAAACAGCCCTTCAAACAGCCTGAAATACTAAGAGGCCTAGGTCTAGTTTTTGATTTCTCGATCAAGCCTCAACGAAGGCTGGCGAGCCCGAATGTGGCTGCGAAAAACAATAATTTATTTTAGTTGAATTATCAATTCAAAGATTGGGAATTGTAATAGGGGGTTTCCAGAATTTCAGCATATCAATTAAGATCTATACGTAAAGAAATCATGGCTATTCCAATCTAATAAATGGAAGAGAAAAGAACTCAATCAAGGAAGATTCAACTCATGCACAGGCTCCAAGCTCCCACATTTTCACCGATTTGACTATCATGCCACGGTCCTCGGGGGTTCCCCATGAAGGGAGCCAGGACTCCTGAGCAAGGTAAAATTCCTTCATAGCACTTTTGCTTGCATCAACCCATGGCTTGCCGCCTAGTTGGTCTCTAAAGCATTCGAATTCATTAGAATAATCAACCATAGGAGGCATCAAAAACTTACGGGAAGTAGTTGTTGGTTCCACCAACTGCCACATTGAGAATGATATAGAATTCTTGGTCAAATGGAGTGTTTTGGCGGCCAGTCTGACTCCATGGATCACTGGGGACAGTCTTGTTCACAGTACTACCCGCAAAGTTGCCATAGGTCCACATGTTCTTGTTTTTGGTGAAATCAAAGTAGAGGATTTGCTAGAGCCACAAGTCGAGTTAGCGCCCGTTTCGCGAAAGAAATCCAATGAAAATACATACTCTCAAACGACCGTCCAGCCAGGTAAACATGTAGTCCTCAGTCCATTCCAGTCCGTAGGTGTGGTAGCCATCGCCATACTTAACTCGCTGCGCACCCCAGTCAGAAGTACTTTTGAGGTAAGCATCGTTAAGGTAAGTGGTTCCCCAGTGGAGAGTTGACGTAACAATATTGTCACCAAGGGAGTACGTCTCCGCATCATTCCCTCGGCCTTCAATAATATCAATTTCACCACTTTTCGGCCATTCGCCATAGACAGAATCCTCGGGCATCATCCTATTCTCTGTTAGTGAATCTTCAAGCCATCCAGGATGCATATTCATTCTCACCAAATAGCTGGCCACAGCCAGTCACCCTTTGCTAGCTTTGCAACAACCTCAACCCGACCATACTTTATGCTCTTCTTTCCCTTTGTGGTGAGACGAGCGGACCGAACCGGGTTGAGAATCTGTCCAGATGTATCATTGCTTCTAACCTCGCATGCACTCCAATCTGCAAGAGTAGACACACGCTGCTCAGAGTATGTGCAGGTCCCATCGGAAGTCAAATTCAAAACAGTATTATTGAGCAGCTGCGCTTCGGTGTAATGAGTATCTTCAAGAGTCAAGGTTGGGACAATGTGAAGGCCTTCGGAGTCAACGTAGGAATTCTTCGAGTCAGTGGTAGTCCAGTCAAAGGAACCCGTTCTATAGCGAAAGAACTTGAAGTTAGCGAATTTCATATTTTAGCATGAAAATCACCGGGTACTCACCCGAACCCATTTAACTGGACCTCATGGCTCCAGATGCTGGTATCCAAAGTTTTGAAGTTTTCATCTAGAATCATGCACCACTGAAAATTGATAGTCAGATGATATGCTCGAAATTTGAACAGGATGATTGAGCAAGTACATCATGTCTGGGAACCTTCTCGTACTCGGACCAACAAATGTAACCTGAAACACCTTTTCAAAGAGAATTAGAATTATTTGAAGTCCAGCCTTGGAAGTTGCTCGAGGCTGTGAAATGCTTACAGACGGCAATAGCACAGCAAGTGTAGAAAATAATGCTGTCCCAGTTCGGTTTCCTTCTTCCATCTTCCAACCAGGGCTTTTCGAATTCCCCAGTCAGTCGGGAACTTCGGAGGCGCCTGCGAGGACGAGCTGTGGGTACTGATCGTGTCGTGAGCGAGATGCGAGAAAGGTATCAGATCTAGAGGGACATACCTGAGGGGTCACTATCAGCAGACTCAGGCCTCCGCGAGCGAATGGACCCAATTGGGGTTGCGAAACGCGATGATGTTGAAATCTCGTGGTCCAGGGCACGAATGTGACCTGTGGTGGTCTCTGTAGTCTCCATTGTAGCGGGTCAAAGTATAGTTCAGTCCAGAAGGGAAGAAAATGAACAGAGAGGCAGACTTGAGGTAGGAAACTTCCGAGACCCAAGGGCTGTCATCGTCCGAATATTATATGAAAGAGGCCATTTGCCATCTTTGTGGTCGCAAAAACTATCCATAATACCAGCTTCTAGATTCGTTCGCCGATGCCTGGATAATCCTAATGACCTTTTGCCATCGAACATAGGAGCAGCCGGCCGAAGACTTTGCGTGGATAAGGGACTCAGGCGCGGTCTGGCCGCATAATTCCAAGCGAAGTGGCACGGAGGACCAGGTATTGCAAGAAACATTACCGAAGAATACTAGCGATTACTAGTGAGCAAGACTGATAGGGGCTCAGGCCCGCTAAGCTACTCCCGGGAGGGGAAGGGGGAGGGGACATCCCTGTAGCCGTTGACTAAGTGGGCCCTCCTCGTCCTGAACCCCCCTCGCTGGTTGACCCGGCCGACTTATCTTGACCCTTGATTTTCTCACAAGTGGAGTATCAGTCCGAGCTCTATCAACCCCAATCACATTCACTGAAATTACATCACCATTGATTCTAGATCCCCTCCCGCTCATGATGATCGGGGTAAACATGTCCAAAAAGAGGAAGCTTTCTGCGACGCAGTAGTTTGTCCCTGGTTACTACTGGCAAACCAACCACCTGCAAGCTCCTTGTTTTGAGATCTCCTGCATGGGCTCTATTCATGCATAGTCTTGAATTTCGTATTGTTGCCTCATCCCAGTTCGTTGATCCCAGTTCGGTGATGGAACTACGCTACATAAGAAACGGAAATTCCAGACGAGCTCACGGCGCTTCCGTGACTGATACCGGCCTCTCCGAATCGAAAATACAAATCAGCTGAATTTTGGCGCTGCCTGGGTTGTTTTCAGACCACCCCGGCTACCATGTATGTTGTGGCTTAATGATGGCTGAGATTCTCTCCCAATGCAAGGCCATCGTACTTTTCTTCTTCCCTCGCTCATCCTGTGGCTGTACGAATAATCAGTGGGATCAAGCTTGTTTCCTATTTCTTCCTCTTTGGGGGGTTTTATGGCTTCGATGGTGGAAACTCTCGACGAGATTTACTATCTTTCATGAAATCTCCCGAGCCTTCGCTCACCACTACGTTTGCTTGCAGGAGGGTAAACACGGCTCAATGCTCAGAACTCTCTCGGCAGTTTACACCTTTGATCAACTTCCAGTCTCTTATGGCTGAGCTGAGAACCTTGGAATACGGGAATTCCTTTTCCTTCAGATTTAGGGATATATAATGTGTTCAAATTTCCAGAGACCATGAGCTATCCTTCTTTCTCATCATAGCCCTTGACCTCAACTGAACAAACTTTAGAATCCCAAATTTTTCATCAAAATGTCGATCGTCGCCATTCTCCTTGCTGGTGTGACCCTGGCCTCTGCCACGCCCACTAGTCTTAGCGTATGTCCATTATCCACCTCTGCATGCAAAAAGGCCGCGTGGCTGACCAAGTTGATTAACAACAGTTCCTCACTGAGAGGTCTTCGATATCTACCAATGGCGTTTGTGGAGCCTATAACGGCACAGCTAGCTGTGCTGGTAGCGGATTTGGGAGCTGCTGCTCACAGTTCGGCTGGTGTGGCAGTGACACCGATCACTGCGGCAGCGGTTGTCAGTCGAATTACGGAAATTGTGGAGTCTCGACTACTCTGAGCTGGAAAAGCTTAGGCTGTTACTCTGATATCACAGACTCTCGTACCCTCAACACCACCATTCTCGTTCCGGGTCATACCGTTGAGGCATGCCAGTCCGCCTGCGAGAGCGCTGGTTTCCTCTACGCTGGTTTGGAGTACGGCACCCAGTGCTTCTGCGGAAATGCTATCATGAACAGCGCTAGTTCAATTGAATCCTCCAACTGCAATGTCGCTTGTGCCCAGTCAGCCACTGAGATGTGTGGCGGATCCAACGCCATCAGTCTGTATGTTGTCGTGCCTATCTGGCAAAGTATCGGTTGCTACACCGATAGCACTCTCAAGAGAACTCTTGCACAATCATACAATATCGCCGGTAACACCGTTGAGAAATGCCAGGCTGAATGTCAGTCAAATGGCTATGTCTACGCTGGTATGGAATATGGAACTCAGTGCTTCTGTGGCAACAGCATTGATAACGGTGCTACTATTACTTCTGCCTGCGGTACCGCTTGTGCCGGAGATAGTTCAGAGGTCTGCGGTGGCGCGAATGCATTAAGCATGTATTATCTGTTCCATTGATTCTGGAAAGACATCATGATAGGATCGAGATGAAACTGTGCGAGGATCATGGATTGTGAAGTAATATAGGGAACTTGAAGGATCAAATGCATTCAAACTTTGGTCATTCACGCGATCAGTTTGTTGGAAATATTCCCACGCCTGTTATTACCTCTGAGCTTTCAGAGTAACATTCATTTTGGTAGTAGTAGCTTCATTGCCAACTTGGATGTCTCATCATAAGCTACTAGTTCATCATGCGTAAAGGCGAGACAAGGGAATTTGGTAGTTGTAAAGGACTATGGCGAATTGGGCAACCTTAGACAAATAGTTACTGCGAAAGTAGTACTAAGAATCAGTAGCAGCAAGAACGTGTGATTACTAACGTCAATCAAAGCACTTTGACCTCCAAGTTCCCGAGGGACATATACTAGTGATTTTCTCATTTCCGCGGTCGTATGACTCTTATAATTCCAATTTGGAACTTGAAAGCTTGGAAGTAAATTTGAGCATTGAATTCATTACGCTAGTTCTAACTTCAAACTACAGGGTGGCGGTATCTTGATCCGTGATTTTTGGTTTCTGACTCACATTTCAGCCCTTGAATTTTTGGCTTTCTAAAATATGTCACAAATTATACAGCATATAAAGATGTATCAGCAGGCGAAGACAAATAGCACATCGTTCAAGTTTCTCTTCGTTTAGCAAGTATTGGAAAAACTCCCTACTAGTTGTTGCTGGCTATTGTAAGATGGATGAGTCATTCGACAGCACCTCCCCCTTTAACTATTTTCCACTTCCACTTCCACAATCCCTTTTCACAACCCCAAGTGGGGTTTTTAACCATGACCCAATTTGAAATTTCCGTGGCTACTCAAGCCAGCCAGTCGGGACTACTGCCCGTGATTTTGATCGCATCTTTAATTAACCAGGCCTGCCCGTAGGTCAACCAAGTCCGATGCCATTTAGGGACGGAGAAGCTAATCTAGTTCTAGAACTCCAGTCATCAATGTCAACTATGAGGATACTGTCCTTCTTACTGGGTTTGAAGAGTCGGCCATCCGGCTTCGATAGGGTGACAAGTCCGTGACTGGCACTATTACTATTATGCAGGATCTTTGTGCACGGTTTCCTTTCCTGGCGGGCAGGGAGCGTGAAGAAGTAGGCTGTTCTCTCGATTTGCATAGGAACGGGCAAAAATACCTGACACGGAATTTTCATCAAGGAAAGCTTATGGATTTCTCGATTGAACTCCTTCGATACTCTCGACTTCAAGGCTCTTGAACCAACCCTGTAGGTGAGGAGAGCATACCCACAGCCCCGAATGACCTAACTCTTTGAACAAGCGTCTTAATACTCATCTACTGCTCCGATCCTTTGTTTCTGGTTGCTCTCTTTAACATCGGGTATTGCGCTCTGGGGTGCTCTTTGCGGGAATCGTGTCGCTGCTGTGGCCCTCAATAGAGGTACTCTCGTCAACCTAACTCGCTGATACAGGTTCCTGGCGGAAATTTGCCCCTGGAGGATTGCTACTGCGGATGTTCTGAATGCTGTGGCTCGCGAGAAGAAGGCTGCCAAGTCCAATGAGGGTGCCAACTACGACATTGCCCTGAAGGTATGAATTCCAGTCATAGCGATCATGATAGTTGTTACTCAATCGACTCTATGACTACTGTCTTCAGACGATCCGATCTGGGATGGCTTTTGCCGATGACACTGACAGGGAAACAATGAAAAGTCAGCGTGGGCATGGCATTGCCAGCGAGCGCCGTGACCTCACCCCTGAAGAGTCGTTAGCTCACTTTGCAGAGATGAAAAAGGGAACCCGAAGGACTCCGGTGGTATATCCGCGCAGGGACATCCTTTCAAGACAAAAACAAGACCATGCAGGACCCTGTGATTTACCGGTGCAACCCTGCTACGCACCACCGCACACGCGATGCCTGGGTCATATATCCAACATATGACTTTGCTTGCCCGATTTTGGATTCGATAGAAGGTGTTACTCACGCCCTGAGGACCACTGAATACAGAGATCGCAACCCTCATTACCAGTGGATGCTCGATAGTCTTCAGTTTCGCGCTGTGCAAGTTTGGGATTTCGCCCGCATGGACTTCATCCGCACCCTGCTTTCGAAGCGAAAGCTGGCCGAGCTGATATAAAGGGGCGTAGTGTGGGGATGGGATGGTAAGAACTTGAGAATTACTCTGTCAAACGATCTTACTGATGATTATTCCAGATCCTCGTTTCCCCACTATTCGTGAAATTCGGTGCCGTGGTATGACCATCCCCGCTCTGCGCGAGTTCATCCCCAAGCGGGGGTCCCTCCAAATATGTCACTCTTTTCGACTGGGCCTTAATCTGGGCCGAAAACAAGAAATAAATCGATCTGATTGCCTCCCACCACACCTGTATTGAAGATAAAGTTATTGTAAAAGCGACTATCACTGGAGGGCCTGACACTGCTTATACTCAAAAGCGCCAGAAACATACTAAAGATGCAGCGGCTGGCAACAAGGTCGTTGCATTCTCCTCCTCTATTGTCCTAGAGCAGGTTGACGCAAAATCCTTTGAGCAAGACGAGGAGATCACATTGATGAACTGGGGGAACGCTATGGTTCGCAAAATTCACACTAATGGTTCTACTGGTAATGTGACGCACCTTGAACTATAGCTTCATATAGATGGCGACGTCAAGAAAAATAAGAAGAAACTGAAATGGCTATTCACTCAAGGCCAGGAGTTGTTCCTGTTGAATTGGTTGACTTCGACTATCTTCTCAACAAAAATTCATTGGAGAAAGGGGACGTCCTCGAGAATATTCTCAACTTTAACAACGATCTCCGTGTGAGCGCTCTGGCAGACGGAAATGTCTCTGAAGTCAAAGCCGGCGATATCTTGCAGTCTGACCGTAAGGGCTTCTATCGTGTGGATCGCGCCCCGTGTCCTGGTGTTCCTGGTGTTTTCTTCAACATTCCAACCGGAAAGCAGAAGTAGATTTATAGATCATATGAAACAGCGGCTATGCATTTCCTATCTCCTACTAGTAGTACCTACTCTGACTCGATGGTGGCATGTACCTTCCAAGCAGGGAAAGTAGTCGCGTGATTGAAACAGGTCCAACTTTCAATTACAACGTCGCCTCTCTAATTTGTTTCTCATCATCCCCATCCCCCACAATGACGTTACCTTGCAGACGCCCTAGCAAGAGAGAATTGCCCCGAATTATCGGATTATCGGTCGCACGGGGCTCCTTTCCAATCACAATCCATGATCATAATTCAGTGTTGCAATGTGCACAAAATGCGGAGAAGAGAGCCTACATCCATCCCTTTTGGGAATCATATCTGTCGATCCCCCCTCTCTCCCCCTGGCCTATATATCCAAACATGAGCCCAATTCAATCATTTCAAGTTGGATCTTCAAGTGAACACTGGCAATTAATCTTCTTCGGGATTCTCTAGAATGGCCAACATCCCCACGATCGCCTTGCTTGCCCTGGCGGGTGGCAGCTGTGCCGCTGCCATGCCAAATTCACCAACTTCAAGCTCAATCTCGGGCGCCCCCGGACCCACAGGCACTTCTTATCCCTCCGGTTTCGAGATCAAAAAGAGTTGGGGCCACCTGAGTCCCTACGATGACGCTCGACATTTCGGCGTCGAAAAGGGTTTCCCCGTGGAGTGCGAGCTCTCCCAGGTTCATGTCCTTCACCGCCACGCGCAGCGATATCCTACCAGCTGGCCCACCGACGGTGGTGGCATGGAAGATTTTGGCTACAAAGTCGGCAACTACTCCAAGAGAAACCCCGAGAAGAAGGTAGGTTCTGGCCCACTCGCCTTTATCAACGAGTGGGAGTATATCCTCGGCGAGAACCTTCTCCTCCCCAGCGGGGCGGCCACTGAAGCCACTGCTGGCGCCCTATTTTGGAGTGAGTATGGTCGCCTATTGTATCGGGCAGGAAAGGGAGACGCGATCTACGATCCCTCCATGAATACTTTCCCGAATGGTACACAGCGTCCCAAGCCCATCTTCCGCACAACTTCATACCCGCGCATTTTGGAGAGCGCTCGCTGGTGGCTGAGTATGTGTACACCCGTCGATCATCCCAGGCAGATTGGAAAACTGACCTAATCTAGGTGGTTTCTTCGGCAACACCGGGGCAAACAGTAGCTATACCTCGTACGACCTGGTCAGCATCCCCGAAGAGGAAAACTTCAATAACACCCTGTCGTCCACTTCCACCTGCACCAATGGATCCTCATCTGGGTGAGTCTTTTCTCTCTTATTCCCCAAGGCCCACGGCACGCAGGACTGACAAATTTACAGAGACTACTCGGCGGAGAGGTTTGTTCCAACATTTACCAAAGCTGCTCTGAAGCGATTGCAGCAACATTTCCCCGACGACTTCAATCTCACAAGCAACGATGTCTATGCCATGTTGAACATGTGTCCCTACGAGTACGCCACTCTGGGTCGCTCCTCATTTTGCGCCATCTTCACTCAACAGGAGTGGACGGACTTTGAATACTCGCTTGACATGAGCTTCTACGGGAACTTCGGCTTTGGCGCTCCAAGTGGTCGTGCCCAAGGTATCGGATATGTCCAGGAGCTGGCTGCCCGCTTGCAATCTCGGTTGATATACAGCAGCAATAGCAGCATTAACTACACCTACGATGATAATACTAAACAATTTCCCTTGCACCAGCCCTTATACATGGATATGTCCCACGACGACATCATAATTTCGACCCTGACGGCACTTGGCATGGACTACTTTAAATACGGGCCCCACGGCATGCCCGACTCGGTGCCGCATGCCGTCCCGCGGAACTTTGTACTTCAACAGGTCGTTCCTTTTGGCGCGCGTCTGTTCTCGGAAATCTGGACATGTCCCAATGACGCTAAGCTCGACACCTTGCAGGAAATGAAGTACAAGAACCCCGATCTGTCGTCTCAGGTTGATACCACGGAATACATTCGTTTTGTGTTGAACAATGCACCCGTCTCCACCAAGGGAATGAAGGCCTGTGAAGGTTCTGTGAATGGATTCTGCCCTCTGCAAGCTTTCATTGAGTCTGTGCCCGAATTGACCGAGGAGGCAATGTACCAGGAAGCATGCTTTGGCGACTACAACATCACCGAACAGGTCGCCAATGGTCAGCCAAAGCAAACCTAAGTATGTAAAATTTATGGAGTCTATCACTAGAGTCTTGATTTTCTTTTAAACTTGGGATCCATAGATAATCATATAACCGATAGTACCTTGGACCAAGACCTCTGCGATATAGCGTGTTTTGATAATCAGTACTAGCATAGTGATGGATCCATGAATAGTAATGGGATCTGAAATATGAAAAGGAAAGACACAGTCCCGCATTCATCTGGCATATTCAAGTTCAAGTTTGAAGTTTGAAGTTAGACATACACACTCGCAAGTGGACTACCGTGACTGTTTCGACTCCCGGCGTTGCATATAACGGCGCCACTAAAAGTCTTGTGTCAGCAATGATCATTTGCGATATTACGCAAAGAAACACCAGAATAAAGTCGGCATCCATTAATACTTACCGCAGGATTGAAAAAGTACACCGGGATACCGAGGAGGAAAACACCCCCACAGACACCGGCCAGAATGCCCATCGCAGCTGCATAGCTATACTTCTCTATCATCGGATTCAACCCGTAGCTGATGCCAAAAGAAATGATGTTCTTCGTTCCAACTACAGCAACCAGTGCTGGGCCGGGGTTCTTCTCCCACGCCTCTGCTGCGAAGGAGGTCGAGAGAATGAGCACCGAGACAAACGCCACCTGGAGCAACGTCCATCCCATATATGGCCCACCCCAGGTCGACCCCTCTGTAGTAAGACCATAGAGAATAAGAGAGACCACGGTGAGAATACCAGGGAAGATGAGCAGAATCAATCGATGTTCAGGGGTGTGAACACCGCCAGACCTCTTCGCCATACGCAAGATAAACCAGTCACCGAACACACCAGCGTATAACATGCCCCCAAACCCACCGAAGACACCACCCAGATTGATCAAGCCGACATTCTGAGCAGGCCAGCCGTAGCTTTGAAGAACTGCGTCATAAGTGAGAGACATCCCAATCGAAGATCCGAGCACAACCGAAGACAAAAGCGTGGCATACAAAATACCAGGAGAACTGAACGCCTCGAACATATGAAACCAAGATGTCAGAACCAGACGGATTGGGTGCTCCGAGGGCTTACCCCAAGGCCTCAGCATCTCGCGATATGTCTTCTTCACCCTCGTCTCGTCGGGAATCCCCTCGTCACCATCTTGTTGCGCCTGTATATAAGCCTGTGCCTGCTCTCCAGAAAGCACCTGTGTATGACCAAATTGATCCGTCACAACGACATGGCCATTCAACATCTGCGCACGACGCTGATACTTTGTCTCAAAGCAGGTGAAGATGACGATGAAAAGACCAACACCAACAGCAATCACATAGACCCAGTAGAACCAGCGCCAGCCTAGCGCAGCTGCTTCATAGGAGCTGGCTAGATTCAGAGCACTGGTAACCACATTTTGTGTTGCCCAATAGGCACCAAAAATGAGACCGCGTTGGTGGACGAAGGTAACTTCCGAGAGCATTAATGGAAGCAGCTAGAATAGACAGTTAGTCAAAGCAATGATCCACTTTCAAAGAGGGTGCACGAACCGATTCAGTTGCTCCGGTAGCTAATCCTTGAAGGATACGAAGTCCAAGGTGCTGCTCGAATGTTTGGGATACCGCGCATCCCACCGTAGCAACAAGAAGTACAACGATAGAGATGATGGCGGCCGGTCGACGGCCATATACAAGGCCAAGTGGAAGAATCAAGTAATTACCTAGAGTGATCAGCAAATAGGAACGTGGTACAACGAGGTCCTGAAGTCTACCACTTACCCACGCCGACGAACAATGACGGAAAGGTTCCTAGCCAAACCACCTCGGTCGAAGTGTGACCCTGAGGTATGTAAATTTGGAAAAATACACCCAAGATAGCTCCCAATCCACCAACAACGGACAGTGACATGATGGCTAGAAGAAAAGGTCAGCATATGCACAAGAAATAGGGCATCATAGACGCTGAATGGAAAGAGAACTCACAAAACCAACAGCAGCTGACAATCACACCCATCTTCTCCCACTTGGTGAAATTCAATGGATCATTGGGATCAGCACTAGGAACGGGTAACCGCAGAATATCCCCAGACGCATCGACAAGAAGGCCACCATCTTTGCCTCCAACCCTCTTGCCGTCTTCAGTCGAAGTCTCGACATCCTCGACAAATTCAATGTTGACTTTTTGATCGATGTGCGACATGGGTAAATTCAGGAAGGCTAACCACCTAAATGTAAATGCGTAGGTGTGCCTGATGAGTTATTTCTCGCAGCGGCTCCGAAGAAAGAAGAAGAAGAAGAAAAGCGAAAGCGATGCGAGAAGAAGCGCTAGTAATACTTCTTGCTCCCGGGATGGTGTCCACCACGCGCTTGTGCGGGGGAGATAGTGTTGAGCGATTTCGAGACGGGGCTGGACTCAAGGTGCCGGGCAGCCATCACGATTGCCGATGTGTGTGGACGAATAGCGACATTACAAAGTTAGGTATAGTGAAAGCATGCATAGTACTCCGTAAAGACGAAGGATTTTTATTGACCTGTCAGTTGACCCCATGGGGGGAGAGTGGAGAAAGTGGAGCAGCTGTCCACTTGCCGACATAATGCCGAGTGGAGGTGGAGGGTGCCTTTGAAGGGGAAGGAAGGCAACACCAATCAAAAAGAAAAGAAAAGAGGACAAGGAAAAGATTTCGGATCTCCTAAACCAGCGTAGACCTTTTGATCTGAAGGAACAGCAAAAAGGAAACCGAGGCACATACGAACCTACAGCTCTTCAAAGCCAAGCCTGGTGGCTCTTCCCCCCCTGATTGTTCCAAGTTTGTCCAGTCAAAATACACTACACTATTGAGACTGCAGAAGCTCTAAATTTTTTTCTTCTGCGAACTTTTTTCCTCCAATAACTAGTTGGTGCGAGATGTGTTTTGAGAAGAGGCTGTAGAACTCACTCACGACATCCTGCGTCTGGTTTTGATGCAATTGACAAGTCAGCAATAGTAATATTTGGAAATAGTAGATCCTTCTCAAAAGTCAACTGCTTCTCCTTATCTTAGCCGTAGGCTCGTTGGGTATCATTAGGTTTTATATCTCAAATTTCGCGTACATCGCTCTACTATCAAAGGCACCAACCACCACGCACAACCCTGGAATTAAGGGAGATTTCCCAAATCCTCGATAAGCGCGCAAAGATTCTGAATCATAGGGGGAAGGATATCATCAGGAAGAGGCAGCGGACAGTTACCTTCAAACACTTGCCTCGCAACCGCCATAACTGAGCGCGGCTTGGTCAACTCACAAAAGACCTTGACATCAGCATCATTCGCACCTCTTGGATGAAACATCGTGAGCCCAGGTCTACCAACCCCCCCTCGCCAGGAAAACCTTAACCAATTGACTCTCCTCCCCATTCCCATCTCCATCCCCATCCAATGTAATCGCCGGGGGGGGATTTGCTGACCTCCCTCGCTCACAGGCGTTCCGATTTCCAACCGCCGGCTCTCACCACACTGCAACACCCCATAAACCCACAATACCAGGGCAGCGTGATAAATTGAAAGCGAGTCAAATCCACGAAACTGGTAGGCGATAACATTGCGCGCGGCACGGAAGACTTGGCCCGCGTGCCAGATTGCAGTTCGGGCTTCTTTTGTCTGGCTCCAGTCTCGTAGGGCTGGGTAGGCGCGCCGGGCGTCGGTTTCCCCCAGTTTGCCGACAAATCGCTGTATACCGTCCACGTCGATGTGGAGATACATCATGACAAACTCGTTGAGGAGGGTTGTTACGGGGGGTGGACATGGAGTGTCGTTTTGGATTGTGTGGAGGGTTGTGTATCTAGAGAGAGAAAGACAAGTTAGCCGAGTTTTATGGGCTCTGAGGAGTAGAATGCAAGAACTGACAAGTCTTCCTGTCGGCTCTGTAGCCAGAGGCGTGTTGTCGCCTTTGGACCAGATTGAGAGCCCTGCGAGAGCAGCATCTGCTGACGGAATTCCCAGGTTTGAATTGCAAGGCCGTTTAGAAGGGCTGTTCTAGCAATTTCGGCATCGAGTTCGGGTGGTATATGATTGATGAGGGACGGGTCGGAAAGTAGGTCGCGCAAATTTAGTTCTGAAATTTTCATTATCCTGTAACGACTTGTCCATATTTCCCTCCAAGCGGATGCAGTTGGAGCGAGCCATAACTCTCGTGCAGCGGGGAATGGGAGGGTAAGTTCAGCGTAGGATGTTAGAGCTGGTCGATTCATTGCCGTTGCTACCTCAACGTCGTGGCCAAAGAGGTGATAGACGAGGCTGATTGTTTGAAGAAGTCAGTAAGTAAGAGAAGATCCAGGTTTGATTTTGTGTTAATTTCAGACTCACCGTTTGAGAGACTCTTGTCGCACCCAACTATGCCATGCGCGCTGTAGTGCTGCGTCGTCGTCGCCGAGACAGAATGGTGTGATGGTGGAATAACTGGATTGATCAAATATCAAGGCGCGTCGAAGGGCCTAGAGAGGTAAGCAAATCTGGCACGAACATCATGCAAAGAGGAACTCACCGTGCATAGCGGCTGCAGATAACTCTCTGCTATTTGCATTTTACGAGTATAGCCACAGAATATCCCAATATCAATCCATAACATCGAAGCCTGGAGGTATTGTAAATCCCGCAGGACACTGTTATCATCCTCGACCTGTGGAAGCCATTAGCACTGCAGGGAAAGGACTATTATGCCATGATGGGGCCGGGAGGGAAAGGACTCACTAGTTCTGCCAGACCGACTCTGCTGATTTCTTGGAGAATAATTCCCGTCTTACTGATTGAGGGTAATCCACAACAAACGCAGCCTGCAGCAACCAACGCCGTCAAAAGCTCCGGTCGTAATTGTTGATACTGCGAATCATAAAAGGTATATGGGTGAATCCATGCGTCTGTCTCAGTACGCTTGCCAATTCCAACTTTGATCAGGGTATCGAGATAATCCGCCGAGGGGAACGCTGCAACAGAAACTCGAGACCCACCAATGCGAATAACCAATTTGAAAATATCATCGCGTGCTAAAAGAGATAGATTTCCCGGGATCTTGAGAGTTTCCAGACGATCTTGGTGTTTGGAAGGAATGCTGTCACTGTCTCGAAGGGGTATCCTTGTTTCGTCGCTGAACGCGTGTTGGTTTTTTTCTGGGACCCATAACCTAGAGGCCATAGTTCAGCCTCGATTTTTCAAGTTCTGTCGAGAAGAAACGAGGAAGTTGACTTACCACAACGACCGTTGAAACGCGGCTGCGCGTAGACGCGCGGATTCCTGATCATCGAGCAAAGGCTCTCGCGAGTCCTCAAATCCAACTAAAGGAGCAGTTGTGTCTAAAATGCGGTCCAAATCAGGAATGAAATCGGTCCCAAATATATCGTATTCCGCCAGGGTGAAATCGGTGTCCTGCATAAAGTCAAACGCCCTCGGCTGTTGGGTGTCTTGGAAAGAGTCCTCCGCCCCAATATTGGGCAACATGACCTGTTCAAAAAATGCGGGAAAGTTGTTGAGATTAGAATAGGAATGCATTTCATTCTGCGGGATAAATGTGTCAATTGTTAAATCCGTCTGCGATGTCATACTCGTGTCGTAAATATCGGCGCTGCCCGAATAGGAGGCAGATGCGGGTGGCACGCTGAAATCTGAAGGGCCGGAATCTGGCGTTGCGGTGAATGGTGGAAGAGTAGATGGATCTATTTGACTGTGACCGCTGGTCTGTGGAGAATAAGAGATGGACATTGGATAGGAAATTCGTTCGCTGTTTCGACGCGCGCCTCTAGGTACGCGTGCGACGCATTCGATCTGTTTTGTTTGACACCGCTGAAAGGGTACCAAAATTAATTCTGATGAATATTTAAATCTGGATAAATAGTATTCTCTGACTCGTACCTTGCAAGGTCTTTCATTATCGCAACTCAACTTTGCACTTGCACAAGCCTCACAAGCCTGGACAGCGCGCTCTTTCGCCCGCCGTTGTGATGGCTTTCCTTCAGTAGTATCTCGCTCGTGGACTGCCTGATGACGCTGCAAAACATCCCTAATCCCAATTAGCTGTCAGATTCAGATCATAATTTGAATACCAAAGAGATACCTACCGCCGATTAAACCCCCGCTGACAGGTCGGACACTGATATACACGCTCGTTGCGATCTCGGCTCACTTAGCAGCTATCTCACCAATACCGAGTTGAGTACTCACGAGAGTCCAAGTGTCGCGCAAGATGGTCAGGCCGTTCATACGCCTTGTCGCAATGGGGACACCGATGATGCGCAACGTTGCGGGCTGAACGCCGAGGAGTTTCCGGGCTGTCGACCATGATGTGATTGCATGAATTATACGCGCGACTAGAAAGATGGGGAAAGCGTGGGATTTATGGCTATCGGGAGGCAAAGTTTTTGCGGGCCACGTTGCGATGAGCCACTCAGCGACGTTCATTTACAAGCCGAAGTTATCCCACAACCTGGGGCCAGCTTGATTTGCGGGGTTAATTCCTGCCGACAGATCCACTGTATTAGTCAATAGAATTTAGCCTAACGAACCTTGGAAATATACCTGAAGTTGAGTTTGGGGATAGATTTATGACAAGGTTTATTTTAATGGCATTTTAATGGACTAGCTATTTCTATCTTATGCGGTGGAAGATACCTCCTGCTGTTGCTTCCACAGCTTCGCCCCCAGTACATGCAATTGTAATCCATAAATTCATCGGCCTTCCTAAAGGGGATTTAGAATTGGTCCTAACTCAGATCAGGGATTTAAAACGTACATGGTGACTTTCTTGGTGTCATCGGTGGCAGTAGCTGGCTTGGCCGCCTGTCGACTGTAGGCCTGAATGAGGCTGACTCGTGAGTAGCGAGCCTGGAAGATTTCCTAGAAGATGTTAGCTGGCTGTCAACTTGAATAAATCGAAGATTCGTACTTCAAAGATCTTGGAAATATTTTCTGACGACGGAGAATCTGTAATGTTTTCGAAGAACGAGCCCAATGCCTCCGCGTCCTCAATCGCCTGACTGGCTCCCTGCCCCTGAGTTGGTAACATGGCGTGGGCAGCATCACCAATCAGAATCAAACGGTCATTATGCCATTTTTCGAGGGGGTCCTGAATAGACATTAATTAGATCACATAGGTGGCGATCGGAATGGGGGACCAACTAAGTCACGAAGCTGCCACAGTCCAAGGTCTTGAGAATGCCTATTTCGGATTAGCAATTGCATTCTTTCACTATAAAGAATAGTTGACCGTACGTACTTGAAGATACTTGTTACCCAGGACGGATACTCGGAGAATGTCGCAAGCATCTTCGACAATTCGCCCTCGGCAACCCAAGATTGCTTTGCATTTGGGTCCTCATTCATTTGTTCTGTAGAGATCAGTACCCAGAGCTTTTCTCATTTGGATCAGCTGCTTACCATCTGGAACCAAAGCAACAATTCCATATACCTCTCCATTTCTACCCGGACCCATGACAAGACGGCAGTTCTGGGCAACCATCATGGAGGTGAACGGATCTCGAGGGTTGATCTTGGAGCAGAACTCGGGCTCTTCCTTTTCCAGGACTTCACAGGGGATCTGAGGAAACTTAGTCTAAAGAAACAAATCAAATGAGAAAGTCAAAAGCAAACCATGAGGCGATAGGCTGTTGATCAATTAGCAAGACGATCTTCAAGTTTCAAGTGCTCTTCAACTTACCAGAATGACCTGTCGGTAGAGCCGATGGCTCAGCATCAAGTACATGCTTCCGCATTGCGCTATGTCTGCATTTATTTTTAATACAGTAGTTTCGCTGCCTTTTTTGGATTGACATACATTCCATCTGCTCCGATAATCAAGTCACCGGTAACAATTTCACCACTTTCTAGGGTGACTGTTCCTTTCGAAGGATCGCATTCAACAACTTTCGAAGCAGTTCGAACGACAACCGGGTCTCCTTCGCGATCGGGGGACACTGCTGCTTTTTTCAACGTATCGTGAAGATCTCGCCTGTGAAAGCAAAGTCGATCACCCCCATACTCCTTCTTCGATAACAAGGGGACCGTATTCACCAACCGGCCGTCGGTGTTGTAAATTCGGAAACCCTCATCTACGATGGCACGGGCATCACCATGCAACTCTTCTTTCAGCCCCCAAATACTCTCAACAATCCGCGATGCGTTGGGCTGAAGAGAAATCAGGGCTCCAATCTCCTTGTTCAATCTCGACTGCTCCAGAACCGTGATGATTCTGTCTGGCCCGCGCAGAGCAATTGCCGCCGTGAATCCAGCGATACCACCACCGACAATAACAATACGAAAAGGCATGTTGATTACCTTCGAGATACAATTCGCTCAATTCAAACTCAACATACGCATTCGTTTCCTTTTGAGACAGCACAGACCTGTCCACATGATGCTGCCCACCAAACCACCAAACCTCCAGTTCTCCACCCCCACCCCCACTTACCGAACACCGGAGCAAAAAAATCCTCCAACAACCGAAGACCAATCGAGGTCAGCATTAGCGATAGAATGATTTGCCGTGGTGACCGCCGGTGGGCGATTGCCTCCAAGATCCACTGTTTGGTGTTTCTGGTACAAGTCCTGCTTATAAACGACGCGAAGCACATTCGCAATTTGATCTATTCCACGACTACCATATGAGGTTTTCTTGAACAAAGTTGGAAGACAGAATAAGATTTGAAATAAATCTACAGGAAAAATGTCTGCAACCACTACTGTCACTCAGGCGCCCTCGGCAAATCCAAACCTGCATGGCAATGGTCGCATGCGCGTCGATGGCACAGATCAACCTTATGGCGACTTCCGTGACGATCTTACTCGTGATGGCTTTGCCATCGTCAAGGGTGCTATCCCGCGCGAGAAGGCCGTAAAGTACTCTGACAAGATGTACTCATGGTTGGAGAACTTGTAAGTTCTGGGACTAGGTCAGTTAGTGTTTACGCATATTGGATACTGATTGTGAGACAGTAACCTGGGCTTCGACCGTAATGACCTCTCCACTGTGCACAAAGACAAGCTTCCTCTCATCAATGAGAAGGGAATGTGCCTTCACTATGGACTTCCTCACGAAGACTTTGTGTGGGACATTCGCAGTGAGCCTGGTGTGGTTAGTGCTTTTGAAAAGATTTATGACGACGAAGATCTGATTGTCTCTTTTGACGCGATCAACTTCCAATTCCCTAAGTATGACATCCCACCCAACTACCCTGATTTAAGTGATATAATTGACTGACACAACCTCGATAAAAGTCGCACCGATATTGCCCCCAACAAGCCCTGGCCTCACCAAGACCAGGATCCCGAGAAGCACGGTTTCCGCTGCATGCAAGGCCTTGTGAACCTGCTCCCCAATGGACCTGATGATGGTGGTCTCATTGTTTGCCGCGGTGGTCATCTCCTCTCCGAAGAATTCCACCGCGACATGGCGGACGAAGAGCGAATTCCTGCCTGGACCCCGGAATGGTACGGTTTCACGGAGCGTGGCATGAAGTGGCTTGAGGATCGTGGATGCACATGGGAGAAGATCTCTGCCGAACCAGGTGATCTTCTTCTGTGGGACTCGCGTACTCCCCATTACAATCTCAGTCCCAAGAACAACCAGCCCCGTTTCGCTATCTACACATGCTTCATGCCTGTAGCGGATGCCACACAGGATGATCTCCTGCGGAAAAAGGATGCCTTTGACCGTCGCGTCGGCACAACCCACTGGCCTAATGCTAAGCATACCGGCTCGAATGTGGCTCAGCGTGATGGCAAAGAGGATCCTCATAACCGAGATCGGCCGGTCAATGAACCAGTTCTCAGTGAAAGGGCATTCAAACTCACTGGTATCCCCTACATCAAGGGTCCATCTGCGGCTATCAACCAGACTACAGTGGCTGCATAGTGCGCAAATCATTTTCAGTTGTGGTTGTCTGACTTTTTTTTTTGTTCTTGAGACTACAAAATACATGTTGAAGTTTTGAGTCTTCCAAGTTTATTCTGATTCTGAGTGCAGCTTTTAAGAAGGCCTCGGGAGTGAAATATTCCAAGCTTTAGTCCGAATCAATCTTGGAATTTCCCGATATCACAATATCATGAACAGTCTCATTTAATTGAAAGTTGGTGCCAGTATATTTCAAGGTTGAAGGGGGGTTGTACTTATCTCCAGGGCTGCCGGAACAATAATTGTTAGTTTGAAAGAAATCAGCCATGATCCATCCAAATTATCCAAACCCTCTAGCATCATACTGTATCCAGAGCATGTACTATTATCGCAAGAATCACAAACATAGCATAAATCCCGATGAAAGAGATGAAAATAAAAATTCACATGTGATGGAACCAACAGACCAACGAGAGCATGCGCAAATAATCGGAGCCTGTCAGCGCAGATCATCGACCCCATTCGATTCATAATTGCAGATCTCCCCGCTTGTCCGCATTTTTCTACCGAGCTTCGATCCAAGAATCCAGTCGTACGATGCCGGGATTCACGAATTCCGATCTATTCACCGAGTAGCGCCAGCCTTGTGCGGGCATAAGAAACTTTATTCCAGGGATTCCCTTTCGTCATCACTGTATAATTGAGGCTTTGTCGATGATATGCCCAAATGGGCTGACTAGACCTCGGTTATACGTTGCTAGAAACGCTCACGCCACCTTTTATTTCCAAAATGTGGCAGTTCCGAAAGACGTTGTTGAATAGGATATACCCAGAAATAGGAAAAAATGTTCTTTTTAGGCTGGTGATCAGCAGCCAGACAGCTATTGTCATGGCAGTTTGGGCGCAGTTTGCTCTCGCTACCCCGCGCCCAGGGGAAGCCTCCTCGGTCCGCGCATGGTTTTAGATGCCTATCTACGGTTTCACGACTGTTTATTGCGCTGATGACAGTCATTCTGGACTAGGAACGTGGCATGAGTCTTAAAAAAACTCCAGAGCTGTATATTTAAGTTAAAATAGATATCTGTATAAAATGCCAGTGGCTCTACCACTCAACTACCCGTTTCTCGAATCAAGAGCTTGTGTTTGATAATCCAAAATCTTCAGGTCACCCTGACTCACTGTGATAATGGCTGCTGTGATGTTGCATACTATCACACAGAGCCCTGCGCTCAACAAAATATTTCATCTCTCCCCTGGGGAACGTTTACTCTATGGTGCTCTGGGGGTAATCGCCTACCTATTCCTAGCCTCATCCTTGCGATTCCGACGTCGTCTCACCCTCCAAGACAAATATCCTTACAGGACCCGCGAGTCAATGTCCAAAATGACCCATCATGACGCATGGGCGATCCAAAAAACAATCCTACAAATGGAATTCCCATTCATCGTCCTAAAATCACTACAGTTCGCCCTCTTTCGCGTAGGGACTTCCCATATCAAACTCACTACCCACCCAACAATACATCTAACAAAGCACACCACAGACCTACGGAATCCCAACTATATCAACCCTTCTTCTAAAAACCTCCCAATTCTCCGACTCAGCAACTTCATTCAAGCGCTACGCCGACACGGGCGCTTTAATCGGCGAATTCATGGCCTTCGACCCACACTCCGAACGGGCGCAAACAGCAATCGCCAGAACGAAATTCCTGCACAAGGGATACAGAGCCAGCGGCAAGATTCTCGACGATGATATGCTATACACCCTCAGTCTGTTTGCGACGGAGCCGATTCGATTCGCGTCGCTATACGAGTGGCGGGAAATGAGCGAGATGGAACGGGCTGCTGTGGGCACGTATTGGAAAGCTCTGGGTGATGCGCTGGATATTAGTTACGAAAAGCTTCCATCTGGAAGATCTGGATTTCAGGACGGTATTCACTGGCTTGAGGAGATTAGTGCTTGGAGCCATGAGTATGAGGTGCGACATATGAAACCTCATGAGCAGAATAAGGAGATTGCGGAGAAGACGATTGATGTGTTGGTTTATAATTTGCCGGGGTTCATGAAGCCGCTTGGTGTTTATTTTGTTTCATTCTTGATGGATGAGAGGTTGCGAAATGCCATGATGTATGGACCCCTTCTTGACCAAAGCCTGAGATATTCCAACTCCACTTAAAGTTTGGTGCAGGGAATGAGTATCCCAGGGTTCATGTCGATGTATTGACGAATTTTCACAGGATGACACCACCGCCAGCATTTTTCAGCGCCCTCTTCGCATCGGCATTCCAAATCCGCAAGTTAGCTCTTCGTTATATCGCTCTTCCACGACCGAGTTTCCTCCGCTTGGATGTTTTCACCGAAGAACCAAATCAGCACGGCCGGAACTTCGTGCTTTTCTACGAAGGTGCTCCATTCTACGTTCAGCCTACGATTTGGAATCGATGGGGCCCAGTAGCGTGGTTCAAGTGGGCTTTAGGGCAGCCGTTGCCAGGCGATGATGGTGATAAGTATTATCCTCAGGGATATCGCACTGCTGACCTCGGACCGAGATATTTCGAGGGCAAAGGTCAGAAAGAAGTGATTGGCATGCGAGAAGAGTTGCGGGCACAACGAATGGGACAGAATCCATTCCCGTAGTCGTGTTGAGTGTGTTGACGATTTGATGAAATTGAATAAGCTTCAAAGGAATCCATTGAGGATCGTGGTATGACGACCGTGGGTAAAAGCATAACAGGCGTATATCACAATATTTAGTACATAACGAATTGCACATCGGGTATTTATCACAAGATCAAAAGGGGTGGGGGCCATGTATAACGAGATGTCCCAAATCTATCGCTCATCTCCAGGAAATTTCAAACATGAAGGAAAAGTAAAGCCGGCCAGGGTATATATGGTGGGAACCGAATTTAGGTATATCTAGATACAACGCATGGAAGATCGAATCAAAGGAGGGGTATTTGGCAAAGTGGCAGAAGCGAAGGGAAAGGAGCAAGTAATTAGGAGCCTAGTCCGTCCCACCAGGAGACGAAGGCAAAGGGAGTGTAGCAGGGTCGGGTTCGTAGAATGTATCAAAGGAGGTGTCGTTAGATGGGAAAGCGACTGAGAATTCTGTCGAGGGGCTGAGTAGAGCACGTCCACTTGGGCCAATTTCGCCCAGCTCTTCTGGCGCGAGAACACGGCCGCCCAATTCGATGTCCTGAACGTGGACACTATATTCGAGGGCTCTTTGGCCCTCTTTGATGAGCTCTTCGGTCCAGCCCAGGCAACGTTTAAGACTCTGGTTCATTTTCTGGCTGTCGACTAGCAGTTCCTGATGTTTTGCGAGGTCAAGCATAAATTTCTTCTCGTCATGGGCGCGGTGTTTCGCATCGTGCTCCGCAAGAGAGTCGGCGGTCATGTCCTCCTCATCTGCAACGGAGTCTTCGTCGCTCACTTCCGACATCTCGGAAGACATTTCACTGACCTCTCCATCGATTTCACTAGTGGTTGACATCGTCACCCCCGAGAACGAGCGGGTCGATGGGGCCATTGAGAGACGTCCTGAGCGACTGAGACGGCGGAACCTCCGAAGCTCTGCATTCTGCTTTCGCATTTCACGCTCGAGCGTCCGGTTGATGGCGAGAAGAGAAGAATTGCTGATTTCCAAGTCCATGATCTTACGCTCCGTCCGCGCATTGAGCACCTCGCCGCCACTTTCCGACTTTCCAGGGCTCATCGGCCTCGACAAATGCGGATTACTTGGGCTCATTGACATAGGCAAATGTGGTACTCCGGGACTCATGGGCATATGGGGGAGCGGATCGTTGGAGATAGAGGAGCCATTGCTGAAGACACGAGGGCGAAGGGTTGGAATTTGCTCGGACATCATGGGCGGAGTATTCTCGGAATTGAACGTGCTAGACACGATGATCGGACTGGCTTTAAGACCATCATATGTGCCTTGGCTCGAAGAGCCTATACTGGAAGACTTTCGGTGTCGTGGAAGTGGGAGAGAGGGAGATTGTTGTCGATCGGGATGATAATTTGGAGTAGGGGAGAAGCCATGCAAGACACCTTCGATTCCATGATCTAAATTGGGACTGAATGTGACTTGTTTTTCGGATAAAGGGGGAGATGTCGCGTCGGATGGTCGGGGAGATCGGAGGCGCGGTGAGGGTGAGACTATCGACCTGGCAGGAGGTGCGGGGCGCGGAAGACTTCCCGGACCCCCTGAGCGTCGACTAGAGGTCGTTGATAGAGCTTCATCTGACGCGGTCTGTCGTTCTTGGTTGCCGTTCGCATACACGAAGCTCGCAACTGAAGGGGCCTTGTTAGGCTTCGGGCGGGAGGTATCGACTTCGGAGGAGGTTGTTGAGCGGGCGTCGGAGGCATGAAAGAATCGAGGGGAGCTCCCTGCCATATCCGTAAAAGAATTCGGGCGCGAAAGCTGTTGCTGTTGTCCCTCCGCAGTGAGAGTCTTTGCTCTCAAGCTCCTCGACTGCTCCGGCTTCACCCCGCGAGCCGGGCTGCGTTCGGTTCGACGAGGGGCGGCCAGCCCGAACCCGACCGGGGGTTGAGTATAAGGCTGCGGCGACGGGGCCGGGGAGGTACTTGTTGGAGAAGGAAATGTAGCATCACGGCGAGTGGTTCGTGAACCTGATCGTGGGGTGATGTTGGCACTGAGGAGGGATGGATGGACGGCGGGGGAATCGTCTTTGGAAGGGGTAAAAGGTTGATCATTGGCGAGACGGCGCGCTGCAGGATGACCGCCTGGACTGGCGAGCTTAGGCGTTAAAGGCGCGCGGTTGCGGTGAAAAGCGGCGCTGAGCGTGGGGGTGAATGGTTTGGCGAGGGAGCCATGATTGTTTTGTTTATCAGTCATGATGAGGCGGGCATTGCGGGGGGCATGACGGAGGGTAGAAAGGAGATGAAGACGGGGTGAGAGCTGGGGAGAACAGAGGAGAGTAGAATAGAGTAGAGTAGGTCCCGAGATATTAATCCCAATCAACTCGAACAATCCCACCAACTTGAAAGGGAATAAAAGATCGGAGCTGCAGACGTTGACGAAGGAGAAAACAATCCCGGAAAAGGTTTAGGGCGACCTTCACCGCAACGCGAGGAATGAAGTGGGGATATCCAGGTTGCAAGCTGTTTATTGCATGATATTATTGATTGATTGCCATATTTTATGGCAGGGGATGAGAGTTCGGTTCTCCCTCTGTTGTCTTTTGTTGTCTTTGCACAGCGTCCAGTTGTGTGTGTGTGGTGTGGTGTTGATGGCGATGGTGATGGCTTGAATCCACTGCAGGCCTTCGTGGGGAAGATCGACACTCTGCAGAACCAGGGGTGATCTCGACATTCGTGAATTCATGTATCCTTCTATATATTGTCTATCTATGATCAACGGAAGAACAGTCGCTTCTGACGTGGATCTTCGTTCCCCCCTGGATTGACAGGCTTTCGCTTGCGACTCCCCGTCCCTTGCGACGGCTCATCAATGACTGAATGAGTATCCTGTGTTGCCTCGCGGATCGTCTGACGTGACAGGCAAAAATCCACATGATCGTTGAACCCGCGATCATCCGCCATTTGTGGTTTACTACAGATCGGACATTCCCATTGTGCCGGCGATTCCTCAACGGGACCAGCCTCTGGACCAGCCTCGATAGTCGGAATCGACTGGTCTGGGATGGCCGCTTCCTGGCTTAACTGTTCCAGGTCATTCATCTCGTCCTGCACCTCCTGCCGAGCTGCTGCTTCAAACGCTTCTTCTGCACCAATCTCACGCTCCTTGGTCGGCTCCGGTGGTTCCACGGTGGGCGGCTTCGGTTGTGCAGTGAATCCAAAGAAATTGAGACCGGTCTTCTTCGTGGTGACCAAGTTCGAACACCGCAAACCTAGTAACCGTAACTTCATCCCCGGGATCTCCTTCTCCAACTTGATCAGCATGGGAAGTGCGTATGTATAGAGATCCTTGGCTTGGGAGACTGCCCGCGGAGGTGCAGTCTGGCGCGTCAAAACCTCAAACGTATGAAGTTTCACCTTGAGGCATAACGTCCGACTTTTAAATTGGGTCCGCGCGAGGTCCTTTTCCATCTCCTCTGCCGCCCAGCGGAGTTTCCCTCGCAACTCCTCCTTGTCTCCAATCTCATGGAATGTGGTCTCAGTACTCACGCTCTTCCGCTCGTGTGTTTCGACGGGCTCGATATTGGTCCTGCCCAACCCGAGGTAGCATTGAGCCAGGAACTGGAATGCTTTTTCCCCGAATAATTTGGTAAGTATAGCTCGCTGAGGGTATATGTCACCACAGGTTTTGATGCCAATGGAATCGAGCTCTCGCTCGAAGACTCGCCCGATACCGTTCACTTTGCGGCAAGGCAATGACTGCATGAATTCCATGACAGCTGTTCGCTCGTTTGCCACACGGAATTGGCCGTTGGGCTTGTTGATGTTGGACGAGATTTTGGCAATTTTCGCGTTCGGGGCGATGCCAGCGGACACGGAGATTTTGGTATTTTCCAAAATTTCTGCTCGTAGGCGCTGGACTGCTTCGTCTGGGTCCATTTGGTTCTCACCGCAGTAGGCAGTGATATTAAGATAGGCCTCGTCACAACTAGCACTTTCAAAGAGAGGATCGTACTGCGCGAGAATCGTGCGAATTTCGGTTGCCTTTGCCGTATACTTTTCGTAGTTTGAAGGAAGAAGAACCAACTGTGGGCATAGCTTCTTGGCCACAAAGGAGGCCATACCGCTACGGATTCCAAATTTTCTGGCAACGTAGTTGCAGGTCGTCAATACACCCTTTCCAACAGCCATGGGAACGGTTTTTAATTCCGGTCGATCCAGCTCCTCAACCGCTGCGAAGAAGGCATCACAATCCACATGAATGACGTATTGAGAGAGATCCCGGGTCAATTCTAGCTCTGCAAGATACTCATCTGCACGGCGTAAATCATGACTCAAGTCGAGTTTCTCCAAGCGGACCTTTTCTGCGGCGATACGCTCAATCTTAAGGGTCTGGTTGCGATCACGCTCCTGTTCGTGATTGAAGAACTTGGAGCCTTTGGAGGCATTATAGATGATCTCGGATACCTGGGATGGTCAGCTGTGTCACTTGGGGTTTTGAAATTTGATTCCTCCCACTTTTTGCTGGTCCACAGCATCTTGTCCTGCTTTAGTTAAAGATGGACCCAACAGTTGATATTTGAGAGTGTCATTGGCGTTGTCATTGACATTGGAATTGCCACTGTCTTCCTCGACCACTCGGTCGGTCGATTCGTCTGCCATTTGCCATGAATAGAGGAGAGTAAGAGTAAAAGTAGGAATAGAAGTGAAGAACAAAAGAGAAGTGATGTGAAGTGAGGCTCCAATGGAAACCAAAAAGGGAAACAGGCAGACGCGGTCACGTGCTTTCGCGCGTTCACGCGGTCAACTTCGACTTTGACAATGTCTCACTTCAACTGCAGGAATCCTTTCAGCAAATCTTCAGGGGATGCTGCAATGTGGATACTGGAGTCAACGGGGGAATTCCTGAACGGTCAGCTCTTCACCAAATGCTCCAAAATGATATGCGACCGCGGACTGACTCGTTTATATAGGGAAGCGTGTATGGCTCCGACCCGGCAAGCGCTATCTCTTCGGAAGAGCCGATGAGCCTGGTGGTGGGTTACAATTCTCGTCTCCTCATTGCTGTTGGGTCTATTAGGCGGGCATTCATAACATACGTTACTCACATCTGCAGTCTCTCATGGCAGCACAAGCCGTTCGGTCTCGCGCAAACACATGTCTATCGAGGTGGCTACCGTGACACCCCGCGATGGAGTATGCTATGCCACTCCTTCCTCTCGTTCGGCATCGACGACCATTATATCTGACCGCTGCATGTTCTTATAGACACGCGCACACGCCCGGACAAAAGTTACAGTGACCGACCTCGGCTCGACGAAAGGAACCTTTGTGGATGGTGAGAAGCTCACTGGTGAGCGCATACTCGATGGAGCGGACCACAGCATCGTCTTGGCTAAGGCTGCTTATGCAGTCAGGTGGGTGGTTTCTCTATCATCAATGGCAATGTACTCCTCCGGCTGGCTAAACTCCCGGATCCTAGTCTTAAATGGGAACCCGTCGTGCTCAGTTTCTCATTCTCTTCCAGGGAGATGAAGGCTGAAGATCCCCTCGCCAAAGTACGCGCTCGACTAGAATCCCTCGATATCAAAACTATCATCCCATATCTGGTGGACCAAACCACCCACGTCGTTCAAAATAAACGCAACACCGCAAAAGGTCTGCAAGCCTTGATAAATGGCAAATACATCGTCAAGAATTCATACCTCGATGCCATCGAATATGCAACCACCCCCACCGACTTAGAGAGCGAGGCTGCCCTGTGTCCTCTAGAAATTGACTTCGATTCCGCCTGGCCAGACCCAAACGAGCACCTCCCCCCAGCGGGCAACGAACCAACCAGTCGTCCCGCGGAAGCATTTGCGCCCAACTCGGATCGCATCAACGTCTTTGAAAAATATACATTTGTGTTCGGAGATACGACCCAATTCGACAATCTACAAGCGGCGATCACAAATGGGCACGGGAAAGCTCTTCTCTATGAGGTCAAGGACGGCGAGACAACCGCAGCGGAGGTTGTCCGATTCATGAAAAAGGCAGCAGGAAACCAGGGCATTGGGAATGAACGAGTCGGGAAAAGTGGTGTTGTCCTCGTGCGCTTCCGGTCCAAGGGGCACTACGAGTCATGGTCAATTGAGGTTGGCAATGAAGTCGCTTTGATGACGGACCAACGTGTAATTGAGCAGCGTGAGTTTCTTGACGCTATTCTGAGCAACGATGCCGCCCCGTTATGTCGCCCACTGCCGCATGAAGAGGCATCCAGCCAAGTCTCCATCACTCCAGCACCCGACGAACCATCGCCGCCATCACAACCACCAGTAATTCGAGATGAGACATCTATATCAATATCACCGCCAACGCCAAGCCAGCCGCCCGCGTCACGCGTCAAAGCAGGCCGTGAACGTAAATACGTGAGCAAAATGAAAACATTCGATGATGGATTCGATATGGACTCTATCCCTGTCTACGAGCCAGGGCCAGATGAGACCGTCGATACACAACCATTGGATTTCGAGCCCATCGAGGAGTCAAACACCAATCAACCGATGCCCACACTGGAGGAAGAAAATGAAGATGCTGATAAAGATGCCGTCTCTGATCTCCTCCCCGGTGCCCAGGCCATGAAGCGCCGACGAGCCGAGATGGGCGATGATCAACCTACACCCGCCAAGCGCATCAAAGCAGAACCCGCCCCAAAACCCCTGCGTCGCAAGATAGATGTGTTGGAGGAGGCACGGAAGCATCGCGAGGAAGAAGAAAAACAGCAACAGGCCGAAGAGGACACTGCTCACTCCGAGGAAATCGACGTTGAAACCCTCCGTAACCTTGCCATTGTCGAGGAGATGGAGCTACCTGTTCGACAACCCCCTGCACGAGAGGAAAATACTCCAGACCGCTGGGAGGAACAGTGGAATGGACGCAAGAACTTTAAGCGATTCCGGCGCAAGGGAGAACCCCGTCATGCTCGCCAACGCGTGCAAAGCGTCATCGTCTCGCTGGAAGAAGTGACTCGCAAAGACTTTGGCATCGGTGAACACTACTGGAGCAGCAATCGCAAGCCATCCGATCAAGCTCCCGCTGTGGAAGTGGAAGAAGTGGAAGTGGAAGCGGATGAACCTCCAGCGATAACGACAACGACTAGTCAACCTAGTCGCAATGAGCGATCCGTATCACGGTCTCAATTGTCTGTACCGGAGACCTCTACCCCCAATCCAACTGCCGAATCGCAAAGCACTCTCGATCGCAGTCGCAGCCAGAAACGACCTCGTCCAGTGCAAGATTCGGAGAGTGACGATGAACCCAAGTTCCGGTTCCGCCGCAAGCGCTAGGGCTTTTACAAGTTGCATCTTTATTTTAGCGTTTGTTTGTATCAATACCCTCGCCAGCCCTGTCTCCAATGTATCATATGTTTCAAAATATATTATCGACATCATTTATGCCAATTTCTGTGCTGGAATGTACTAGCATGTTATCCCTCTCATTCTCTGAGCACTTTTCCTCCCACGTCTACAACTTGAAGCAGGTTCCAAAACATACTATCCCCACGTGGAGAGAGTTCCATGGTATTCTCCGAATTGGACCCAACGGTGATCACATCAATGGCCCCGGGGCCTCTTATCCAAGACTGCACTGGTTTGGTTTTGCGGGGGTAAAGTTAGGCGTTGCGGCTCTGACGGGATTCCAAAGCCTAATATCATCCGGGTACCCTGCCTTAAGGTAGGTGGTACATACCCGTAAATTGTTATCTCATCAAGTCAAGTCATGGGTAATTTTGGAAACCTTATTGACATCTTGTAGCAGATCAACTTAAGCCTCGCTGGAAAAAGATTTGTCAATTTGCGAATGATCCCCCTCTTTTCCACCAACAATTCGATGTATCGACTCGCTTCCCGCGCAAAGAGAAACCTGTGACAAAAGTACCACACGTCGACCTATAAGATCTACCGAATAAGTCAATCCTTCCTCCACGGGAATAGCTGCGTATCAGGTGATAGGCAGGCACATACCACTCGAGGGGGCCAAAACCCAGCGGGGTGTCCCAGCTGCCCGGTTCCCGGTTTAAATTCCAAGTTATCGAAGCCCCTGTGGTGAATCTCAGCGAATAGCCCATGGAGAATCAGATCGGTAAAATGTCCCGCCTGCCTGACCTGGTAAGAGATTCGAAGCTTGAAACTCACTTCCTCCCGGACTGTAGCGTGGAGACCGTTCACACTTACCACGAGTCCGATCCGTCCTCGCGTCGTCGAGTCGTCGTCAGATATGAGCACTGGAAGAGACAAAGGAGAATCGGCGGTGGTGGTTACTCAACTGTCTGGTTAGAGGAATGTTTCCAGGGCTCTCGGGATGGTGTTCAAGTTCGAGCTGTGAAGCAAATCGAGACGGGTGGACGGTTTCAGCGAATCGACTTTAATCGCGAGCTCGAGACAATCGCCAAGTTTTCGCATTCCAGGGTATGTTCTAATGACTGGATTGAATGTTTCAAATCGAATGCTGATTGCTCAAATACTAGTATGAACGATGCTTTGTTCAATCCTTTGGGTGGTATCGAAGCCCCACGCACCTTTCGATTGCGATGGAGTATTTAGAACTAGGTGACCTGCTCGACTATCTAGATGAGAGGCCAGCTTTACCAGAAAGCCAAGCCCAAGAAATCACCTTTCAGATCTTGGAGGGGCTGAAAATGATGCACGAAAATGAGTTTACGCACCGGGATTTGAAGCCGAAGGCAAGCAACCTTTTTTTCTCACCTGGTTACTTGGTTACTATGAGTACCAGTACTAGGTGGTTCCTAGGTAACTTCTACCCGTCCAGATACTAACAGAAATAGAATATATTGATAAAGTCGCACCCACCGGAGACATGGTGGGTCAAAATAGCAGACTTCGGAATAAGCAAACGCAGCGAGGAATCGCCAGAAACATCAACAACATTACGAGGAACAACGGGCTTTATTGCTCCCGAGCTTTACGGGTTTGTCGAGTGTGGAAGCCCATATGCGACGGATATTTGGTCCTTGGGCGAGATTACCTTCCGAATGCTCACGAAGGCGCCAGTATTCAATCCAATCGCGCGGCTGTCATCTTACACCACACACCCAGAGATGTTCCCAGCAGCTCTTCTGGATGAAGCCGGAGTAACCAGGTTGGGGATCGAGTTCATTCGATCGCTCATGAGACCTGTTCCCGACAGCCGACTCACGTCTGAGATGGCAATCCTTCATCCTTGGATCAAACACTTGTCGCAAATACCTCTTTTATCGCACGCCGAAGCCCAGTTTCAACCAACAGCGATATCACCGGGGGCTTCTCCCGGCGAAAGGAATACATTTCCGGCGATAGAAGAGGTGACAGAGGAAATATCAACCATCCGCCCACCTAAAATTGTTCCAACGGAAGCCCCCAGCCAGTCTAATGATGGACAACAATCAGAAACGCCCAATGAAGACATGAAATCCAGGCTCAGCGACGAGCAGTTGTCAAGAAGTCAAAGCTCTCTAGCTCGGCGACCAAAAGCAGCATCTGTCTCTTCGGGGCAATCCAAAAACTCCAGCAGCCAAGCGACCAGTATATCATCCCTGCACTCACCACCCAGCGAGAGACTTACGGAAGAGTGGTGGACAGATCATCTCAGACACGCCCGGCTTCTCGGCACAACTTCCAAAGAAGAAGCGGTCGGAACCGTTTCAAAAAAGCCAGCATCTGTTCTCAAGGGTATATTTGGAAAACCGAAAGGTGTACCCGAATTCAAGGAACAAAAGAAAGCAACGCGAGTTAGGTCATTGGGCCCTGATGGTGGGATGGAAAATGCAATGACGTCCCATAATCAGTCATTCCTAGTAGATCCCACTTCTGCGCTTGGATTCACGCCAAATGATTCTAAGGACGAAGGCGAGCAGCACAGACTAGGAGCATCTGGCAGCGAAGAACCCGATGTGCGATGTCTAGCAGACACCCTAATGCCCTCTTTGAGTTTAGATGAAACTGTGCGCTGCAGAATCGGCATGCAAGGCCCCTCGATACGTGTTAGGCCTACATTACCAGTCTCTCGCTCAGCAGACGACGCGAATGTAGAATCCCGAATGCATGACCTGGAACAGAGACTCAGGTTCGAAAGAGAATGTAATCCAGCTTTATTATTTCGCACCCGCAATCAAAACCGCACTCGGTCCCAGACGGTGGATGAATCGAGAGATCCAAGTCGAGGGGAAGTTGCGCTGCCATTTATCGAGTCTGATGACGAAAAATATGGAAGGTCACCATCACACGCAGCAAAAAGGAGACTTGGCAAAAGAAGTGGTGTTGTCAACATGATTGCGGCTGGATTAGGCTTGAACCATGATAACAATGAGAAGGGCAAGGCACCTCCTTGCTCCCATGATGGTTTCAAGTTTCGATTCGTCCTCCCACTTGAAGCAAAAAAGCACAGGAAGATATCATTCTGCCCACTCAATCTACGTCTAGTAACCTCCTCGGGAGATCCTACTGGTGTTGAGGTTTGGAGTATTCCGAAGAGATGTCGGATATCCGCCGAGAATATTTTCAAGAGCAATTCATGCATTGCTATCTCTCATGGTGGAACTCTTTTTGCCTCAACATCAGGCGACTGTCTTACTATTTGGAGCAGCTTTGATGGGTCAAGCACTGCAATTACCTCGACAGAAGGCTTGAAGAATCCCCGGTTCTCTCATGACGGCAGTCTGCTAGCAGCTATCTCAACGCAAAGGAAGATCCACATCTGGCAAGTGTTTGATCATCATAGTCTCCAATTGCAAAAGCTGAACACTTTGAATCTGGATGAAAAGATTCTTGCATTCGCCTTCCAGACCAGGGGCAGGAGAATCGTGATCGCTCTGAACAATTCCATCAGGATATTAGGGATATTTTCGGATGAAGATGACATTGATGGGACGTATCAATTCGATCTTTCCGTCATGGGGCGTTCCTTCAAACCGAAGAGGATAGACACGGACCGAGATCTAGTAACCGCACTCTCGGGAAATGGGAGGATGGCAGCGCAGGCCTATCCGGATGGTCTGATTGGATCAATACTATTCATTCGAGACCTTAAGGGAAAAGCTGAGAAGAGAAGCCGGAAGTTTGTGGTGTCGCCTATTGTCCAGAATTTGACATTCTCTCCCGCTGGCGAAATTCTGGCAGCTAGCACGAAAGGCCGCGACGTCATTCTGTGGGATGTTTTTCAAGAGAAACAAATTCTCCGACTTGAAAATTGTCACGAAAGTTCTATCACATCCATGTTTCTGGCAGACGAGGGAAAATATTGGCAACTTGCTCTGGTGGTGAAGGTGTCAAGTTCTGGGGGACTGATGAAAGCATGGACCGGTTGGTCGAGAGAAATAATTTAGGGGCCTTAAGATAGGCGAGAATCGGGGGATCGCCGGATAACTAGGTATTTTCTAAGTAATTCCAAGCCTGCATTCTTCAACGGACATAATCTAACCAGGAATTATCCAAGTAAGTTCAAGTTCTTGATGTCTTCAAGTTCCCTTTGTCCTGGGGCCTTTGAGCTAGTTGTCCATCGGGGCATGATATACATAGATGTGCCCAAGTAGAGAACACGGGTATATGGCAATTCTACCGTCTCGCCGAGTTCTGTTGCCTTTAGGCTACCTAGTATACCTAATACTAATAAGTATACTTCGGATCGGCCCTTGTGGGCCTTACCATAGAGTCTATACTCCTAGCTAGGTACTACCTTACTAGCCGCAGTGGGGAGACCCACCCTCGTCACAATTCAAAGAATTTGGGCTAGTAGAGTTACTATGGAGTATAGATCTAGAATAGAATATGCCACTGTCACAAGCATAAATATTAAATTTAATGAATGACTGAATACAATCAGTGCAGTGTATACCAATGAAGTCCACCAATCATGTCACGTTACTATCAGGTCATCCCCCCCCGCCTTCCTCTGCATTTTTGGTTCTTCTTCACTTCACTTCCATCTCCTTCTCCCCAACCGCCCTTCTCCCTTTTCAATTCTTTCTGTCTCACCCTTATCTATTCGTTCATCCCTTTTAAGTTTCAATTGTGGATTCTGCGCGCCCACTACCAGGCCCTTGGTTTCGCAGGGCAGCCTGGACTCTGGCGCCGCCTGTCGTCCCATTGTCCCACCCGTTCAGGCGCCTGATACTCCGCTCAGTCCATTAATCAAAACTTTGCCGAAACTGTCTACTTTTCTGAAATCGCTTTCTACATCCTCCATGGTACACAGTGAGTCTGCGTCACCGATTTGTGCACCCCCGGAATGTATCCAAACTAACGATAGCCCCTCCACCAGATTTGGCTTCTTTCAGGCCACGGACTGATCACCATCGAAGATCCCCTCTTCTACGCCTGAAATCCCTTGCCTCTATTCTCTTCGCCATGATTGTTCCCCCATCACCCCGACCCGTCTCGGTCAAATCGTTGGCCGGCAGCCCAATCCGCAAACCCCAGGATTTCTCTGAGGATGTGGAGGAAGAGCTCCGGAGTATCAACAATGACTTCCCGCCCATCGACTTCAATTTTGAATTTACCCCTGTTCAATCTGTCCCCCAGACTGCACCTCCCTCTGTGTGCGACCCCGATGCTCATCAGCATTTATTCGCAACTTCGTCGGAAACGTGCTCGTCTCATGGAGCGAAACATCCCTCCTCGGCTTTTTCGAGCTTGCCCTCCGAAATTCATGACAAGATCCTGGATCACCTCCTCGGTCCGAAGGTTTCCATGTCCAGCCCGAGTGCAACAGTTGATTCATCTCCCAAAAGCTGGGCTAAAGCGCCTCGTTTTCCTCGTCGCAAGAAAGTGACAGATCTGACGCTGGTTTGTCCTTCGTGGAGAAACCTCATCCAATCTCGCCTCTACAGACACAGTAGGTTGAATGGGGATCAGATCTCTCTTTCGCATGATTCAAGGTACTAATTCGGCTTAGTCGAAGTGAAGGGCACGAATGATGAGATGCTCGAATGTCGAGAATGGTTCCTCGCCAATCCACACCTTCTTCGCTATGTTCGCTTGGTGGAGATCTGGATCCCCGTTTGGGGAAAGCGCTCTTACACTCCAGTTCCTCGAAACCTTGAAAGAAGATCCAGCCATCACCGGCTGTTCATGTCGAGGACGATGGGCTGGGAAGAAGTGCAACACCCCCCATATGACATTCCGTTCCTCCCATCGGAGGATAATGCAACCATGGAGGAGATTTTTCAGCATATGCAGCTCTTTACTTCTGCACGAGTCCTCATCTTGCAAGGTGGTCAGGCAAATACCCCTCCTCAGCTCCGACACTTTCGGAATGGGGAAGACGATGAGCCTGCTCGCAGCCTTCCAAGACTGCCTCATATCGAGACCTTTGTTATGCGTGGCGCCTGGAATCTGGTCCGCAAATATTACCAGTGGAAGAATATTGCTCGGGCCCTGCCTGCATTACGCGAATGGCACGTTGTTTATCCTACTCTTCGAGCGGATGTCGATGAACTCATTTGCGAAATCTTCCGTCATCCGCCAACCCACCTCCGTCATGTTAACTTGAGCCTCGAAGGGACGGGGGTCGGAGAGGAGATAGGACCTCTCCAGCATTTCCCGGATACCGTCTGTCGTCTACTAGGCGGGTTCGCCTGTCGTCTTGAAACCCTTTCCTTCACTGGAAAAGTATGCGATCTATTCTTCACGCATTTGGCCTATCACGCTGGAAAAGCACCGTGGCCACCTCGTCTACGATCCCTCGAACTTTCCGTTTTGAGCTGCTGCCCTCCGGCTGACGCCTATTTGACGGGCTATCCAGTTCCTGTTCGAGGAATCACCGAGATGGGATTCATTCACGCATTCGAAGGGATTGTCTTGCAAGCCATTGTCTCCCTCGAGTTCCTTCCGGCACTCACATACCTCAATATTCGCTTTCTCGATGTTTCACCCTTCATACCTCAAGTGAAACCCTACTTCCGACTCGCCGACGACAAATGTACTGGTCTATGGAGTGATGCCATACTCAAATCCTTGCAGCGAAGTCGCCCCCTTGCAAAATATGTCGAACTCACTGATGGAATCAACCCGTTGTTCAGCGATGATGGGCTTCTTCTGGGTATCTCGCACGTACCTCGCCAGCCGCTCAGTATCAATGCTCGTATGTACGAGTACATCGCCAGCTAGAGGCTCGATTCTTTTCTCTATTTTTCAGGTCCTATTGACTTGCTAGCTCGAACTTCTGTTCCGCTCCTCCTTTCTTTCTACCGTTTGAGCGTTTGTCGCGAATACCCCCCGTCATCGAGTATTTTTCCTCATGACAGTGTTACTTCTATGTTCTATTGTATATTATGGTGATTATTACTAATGTCTCATGTCAAGTGGCAATCTACGTGGTTTGGATGTGGGTGGTAGTTATCAAATTGAAGCCATTCTCGTCTCAACTTTGTTTGTCTTTTTGTCTTTGAATTCTAATCAAATTTTTATTGTCTTCTATGATGGTTTAAGAGTACTAAGAGTACTACTAGTATCGTAGATACTAACAGTCCTCCACTTATGCTAGACCGATCATACTTTTATTGTCGGATTTGACTAATGTTCAGGCACTCAGACCATCATTCCCTCCGAATCCTCTTCAAGCTGTAAATAGCTCCACTCTCTTCTTCTCTCACAACACAACGAGCACCACCGTTCGTGCTTTCCTCGAATTTCCATTCACAACCTCCTAGCGATGACGAGTTACACTGTCAATCCCACAAACCCCACCAAAGATTCTAAAAGTGACCAGCCAGTCAACGCAGCCACCATGGACCTCATAAAGGAACGCTACGAAGAAGAAAGAACCAAGCGACTCTGCTCTAACGGAAACACCCAATACATCGAGACCAGCAAATTAGTTGAATTCGAACAGTTCATGATAGACCATTGGGTCGATTCAGCCTCGGTCAAGCCAATCTTGTCCAGTCTCGCAAGGGTGAAGAACCGCAACGACTGAGTATCCGCTCTAACTTCCTCTCGATAATGGCGGACCTTCTCGACTAGCCCAAGTTACCTGGCGTTCCTGGGATCCTGGATTATCGGGGTGATATCTTCCACACGTCGCGTTGGGCATATGATATCACAGGTGAATCTCCCAAGGACCCTAAACTCCCCACTGAAATCGCAGGATACACAGAAAGCCGCTTGAAATCGACACACCCCGACAATACCAAATTCGGGCGAGGATCGACTCGCAAGTCAATGGCCCAGCCATGGCAGAGAAACTGAAGCCCTGGTACCCATCCTTCTGCAAAAGACCCCTCTTCGACGGCGAATATCTCACAACCTTCAACCAAAAAAGAAGTCTCTTTCATCGACAAAGATGGAAAATGCGTGGATAGGGTCACTGCCGATAGCCTCATCATAAGGACGAGCGAATACAAAGTAGACGTCATAAATTTCGCCACGGCATATCGGTCCTCAGCAACAGGAACACCAGCCGACAAAGCCAACATGACCATGATCGGCAAGAAAGGAATTTCCATGAGCACCGAACGACCTCGTATCGGACCAACGACGTTGCACGGCGTTGTTGACACCAAGTTTCTGAATCTATTGCTTTCAGGCCCACACCAAGCCGGTGTAAGCAGCAGCTATGTCTGCGCATTGGACGAATGCGCAAAGCATGCAGCTTACATACTCTCCGAAGCCAAGCGTCGAGCAAATGGGAAAGCTTCCGCCGTTGCACCGACTGCTGAGGCTGCGGAGGCTGCGGAGGACTGGGCTGCACGGATCGCCATGTATGCGGGGGTGATGGCGCCGATGCTCGGGTGTACGCCGGGGTATTACAATCTCGAGGGTGATGTGACGCGCGTGCTGGTCGAGTATCAGTCTGTCATGGCACGGTCGACTATCTGGGGGGGCTGGGATCGATAGCTGGCTCGGATTGATCGAGAAATGGCATGTCGAGGGTAGAATGGACGGTATCGAGGTGCGGGTTTAGTTGAGTAGGATACAGTCATAGGCCGGTTATCCTACGGCACATGCGAGATAAATGCAAGAATGAAGATAAAAACGCTTGATTGTTATTACAGAGAACTCAATTTTCCCAGTGGACCTTTTTAGCCAGGGCAATGGGATCGCCATTGAAACCAGCATCGTGTACGATCATGCCAAGTATCCAAATGTTGATAGAGAAGAAGACCAAAGATGCTAGGAAGAGACCAGGAACAAAGGAGGAGAGGCCGAGGAATTCGAGATTAAAGCCTTGCCATAACCAGAGAGCCTGGCCCAGGACCCAAAGGACGGCAGCGGATATGCCCAGCGTCGGCTTGCGCATAAGTGATGAGGTGGGGAGATACAATGGTAGAAGAATCAGGTACCAGAGAAAGTACTAGAGCAGAGTTAGTGAAGGTAGGCAAAGGCCTTAAGAATAGAGACATACCTGACTAGTACAAACCTTGTTAAAAGTAACAAAGGCAAAAGTCTGAGCAAGCATAGCAGTAGCGAGATTCTTCTTCGCCAACGCCAACGGCAAAGCCACAACTGAAAGAATCAACTGCGGCAAGAAAGCCAAAGATTCAAACTGGAAGCCCGCCGCACCAGTCGAAGTAAGATACAGCAGTGTAGCGTACGGCGAAAAATTATGCCGATGATCAATGCGAGTAAGGTGATGGAAGAAAGTGTGTTGGAGAAACGGCATTCCATACTGGAGATACATGACACCATTAAGCGCGACGAACGTCGCCAACGCCGAAAGTGTAAGCCGAACTCTTGAATGCGTCACGAACTCCATAGCACGCGTAAAGAGATCAGCATCCGAGTTCGCAGCCGGTTTCCCATCCCGCTGCGCATCCCACCACCAAAGAATCGAAGCCCCATAAATAAAAGGATAAATCTTGAAATGCACCGCAAGGCCGAGAATGGCACCTGCGGTGATGGGTCGTTTTGTAAGAGTGGCCCACAAAAGCGCCGCAACAAACACACCCAGCAAACCCTCAGAACTACCACGAGTACTGATATTCGCGACCATGGGATTCCACAACCAGACAGCAGAGATGTATTTCAGCGCCTTGATGGTCGACATGCGATACACGCGCCGCAAGAGCTGCAACACAAACCAGCCAGCAAGAACATCAGCGGAAGCAAAAAGGATCTTGCCAAATGCAAACGAAACCGCAGACCATGGGGGTGGGAGTTGCCAGGCTGTTGGGACAAGCATCCACGCGAGGAGCGGGGTGTATCGATACGTATCACGCGCGTAAGGAGATTCCCCATTCGCGACATAGCGAGAGGCATCGGTGAATACCATGTAGTCGATATCAGTATATTTGACAGCGGAGTTGGCATCCTGCCAGCCTCCGTAGACGAGCAGAATGATGCGGAGAAGACATGCGCCGATGAGGACGCGGGGAACTGTGAAGATGATAGAGGAAGGCATCTTGAAGAAACAATTGAATGAACAAGTGCGTGAAAGAATTCGAATATGAAATAAGATCGAATTCAGGTTTGATGATGCGATCGATCGGCTTGATATTGCCAGTGGTTTGTTCTCCGGACAGCAGAGTGGAGCAAGGCGAGGACAATTGAATAGCAATTCACACCCCCTGAAGAGATGCCCAGGTGTATCCCAGGAAATCCGGGTCGGTTCAAGATAGAAACTTGAACAATGAGCCGGATTGCCTAGTCTTTGTTCCGAAAGCCGCGGTAGTTGCGGATGTTTACAGATCGCCCTAAATTTGGACGCGGTTTGCCGATGGATGACTCAGCAGACGGAAGCGGAAGGAGCGGAGTGCCGCTGCAAGGAAAGGACGATGCCGCTTTAGACAACAACACCCTATACCCTTGAGGAACTATGAAAACTAGTATCAACTATAGAAAATACAAGATTGGGTTTATAAACTACTACGGGAGAGATTGGAATAACAGAAATAGACATATTTTGTGGCCGATCAATGCGATCTTGTACAATCCAATACCAGTAAATACAATATAATGAAAATGACTATGCTGCGTTGCTTCGTGTCTGACCCTGCTAAACCTACATGCCCAATTCCAATCAATCCAAAACAACCAAACACAATAATCAAAGAAATAAAGACCAAGAAAAAAAAAATAAGAAAATGCTAAATAAAATGCAACTACTGCAACGACATCAGTAATAAAGTGGCGCATTGACAAAATAAGAATCCGGCATCGGCTCGAAATACGGATGTGTCCCGAACTTAGGACCCTTCTCATGATCCGGCGTCAATAAAGCCATCGCTTCGGTGCGGGTATCCAAATCTGAGAGGCCGGGCCAAATATTCGAGTTATCACTCCAACTGAGATACTCCCACAGATACTGTCCAGAGTCATCCACGAATGGAGTGGCCAGGGGGTCGGCAAGACCATTCTCGCCCAGTGAGATGCCCATACGAGATGACGGGTCAGACGTGGAGAACATATTGCTGTGTATATCACGACCAGCAGGGAAGAAATTCCCAAAGGAGCTGGGTGCACTCGTTGCCGATGATAGATCATGATTGCGTTTGCTAGCCTCATAGATGCGGCTTAGCGCATCTAGGGACCGCTTAGCGGTATGACCAAAAGACTGCATGCGGGCCAGTGTAGCCATGGCAATTTCAACCTGCGCCTGACAAGACTCAATACTTGCGCGGTGGTCATTGGCAGTCGGGTCGTTGAGGAAGAGGCCGACAAGTGGAACGAGTGATGCCTGGAATGTCCACCAAACGGCATTCCACCCGCACAGCTGATTGAGTTGCGCGGTCGCGGCGATATTTTGGATAGAGATTTCCGCCACTTCGCGGCACTTCTCGATGGCGGTTCGCTCCTCGGCGCGGAGGGCGATGTAGGGGACTCGGCGCATGGCGTAGCTAAGTAGTGTTGGTCGGTAAATGAGCATCCGTTGGTTATAATACCGCCATCGCATGACTGTGCGGACGGTGCTGATGGATTCGTTGCATGGTTCATGGTCTTTTAGGACGGGTGGTAAGTTGTCCCACCATTCTAGGAGCTGCACATCTGCGTGGGCCATCTCTTGGTGTTTGACGAGCGGAGCAGCAGCAAGTGATTCTTGGATCTGGTTTGCGATCTTCGTAAACCGGATATTTTCAACGAGCGGGAGAATTTCCAAGATATTTTCCTTGTGTCACAGTTAGTCACTAGATTATTGGGTTCTATCTGGAATAGTTCAATACATACCTTGTCTCTACAGTTTGGAGGTTTGACTGTAATGTTTGGTCCGAAACGACCCATACTTGGTCGGCCAAGGGTCATACCCTCCCCAGGTGTCCATGACAAACAACGACCACCAGACGCGTCGCTTGATATCCATCGATGCCATCTTAGCCGGGGTCGGTATTTGCCGGTTCTCCACAAATTCCTTGTGGAGTCCCTGGCCTGCAGCCATTCGCAATGCGGCGCCCATCAGAGAGTAGGCGAGATTGGGTTGACTGATATAGTGACAGTACCACCCACCGACAAGACCAAAAGCCTGGATAGTTTCTAGGTGAGAACTACCGAGAGAACTTAAACTCAAGTGGCTCTTGCAACGGAGGAAGTAGGTTTGGTGTGTCGTGTCGTCAGGAGTCGAAGCGGCCACACAGCCCAAGGCCAGGACAATGTTTAGCAGGGCAAGCCAGTGGTCATCTTTGCGTCGACCGGAGATATACGTTTCGCGAAAATGCTGCTCATCGATGAGCGGTGCAAAGGCCTGGAAGTACAGGAAGTAGGAGTCCAGCATCTGCATCTCGGTTGGGATGAATGGATGTGGCGGAGTGGTAGGCGGGTGATGGGACCATCCCTGCTGCACGTCAAATGCAGGGGTGGCTTGGTTGCCCGAGCTAGTAGGCGGGGTTCTATCGAAGTATGAAGCGCAGCCTGGGTCCAGCCAGACGATGACCTTGAGTACGGCCTGGATTGATGAAACGCCCAAGTAGGATGATGTATGTCTGGCGGAAAGAGATAGCGCATTCACATCGTCCGAAACACCCTCGACTAGGTCGCTGGAGCTGGTGTGACGACTATCGTCTACCTCTTCCGGCATGCTTTGGAGGGATTCAAGGTTGTCATCTTCATTTGAAAGTGGCGAGACGTGTGCATCAACAGAAGCCGACGTCGCTGGGGAAGCAGGGTGCGGCGCAGTCACACTGTGAGTTGATGCCATGGATGTTAAAGGGGAGTAACTTGAAGTCAACTCTAGAAGCTTTTCTCTGGGAAGGTTGACGAGAGACTCAGGGGCGATGTTTGGGAACAGCTTCCCCAGAATATTCCGATATTCATCAAGAGTAGTCGATAGTTTCTCGACATGCCTTTGGCAACTATTTAGTTATCATCGCGAGACCTCACTAGGAGAGCTGGATAGACTTACCTCCTTGAAGGTCGAGGGTCTGAATATTGACATTGATCGGACTTCTTATACCAGCGGCAGGCTTCGCATGGCTTCTCGCCGTCGCACTTGATCTTGCGATGCCGGCATGATGTGCAAGCACGGAGTGTCGTCACTCGCCGACTGACGGATTCACGGCGTTCCGTTGGCGGCCGGTTAAAGTTGCTGGCAGGCGATGCTGCTCCGGGATTCTCAAAGCCTTCAAAAGTGTGAAACATGGTTGCGACGGTCACCCAAGATTTGCCGATCAGAGTCACATATTTTGAAGGGATCGGAGGTTAGTGAAAAGGCGGCGGCGTCGTATGATAAGCGCTAATCCCGGGGTGGGATGTTCCAGTATGGCAATAGGGCAATATGACTATTGATACGTCGGTGGGATATGAATGTCGCAGTGACGTGGATGTCATGAAAGATGGCAGATCATGTCGTCAGAAAGATTACTGGTAAATAAGAGAACCAGGGGGAAGGGAATATAAAGAAAAGAGAAGGCAACAGAACGAGCAGGTCAGTGCGTGCGGGCCGAAGGACGACTAAAACCAAAAGGAAATAGTAAAAAGAATCGTGGAGAATAGCCTGATCCGCCTAAAGCCCAAATCTCCCCCGCATTCTAGGGAACGCAGGCTCGTTGGTGAGTCCGGGGATCCGAAGACCTCGCTTATTGGGTGGCAACCAGGCTCTTGGTCCAGTCATTTTCCTAGAAGACATGCATTTAATATCCCCAAAGGCACAAGACCGGTGATGTGCGCGATCCCCAGCGCTAACTGGGATCGGCTGTGAATGTGGAGGTGGAGGTGGAAGTTGGGCAGGGTCAAATTTAAATGAGATAGATGCAATTTACAATAATTCCTAGACCATCCGCGTCATCGCTGTCTGGCTAAACCACTACCGGCATAATAAGACTAGGACTCTCATTCCCGTCCTTTGGTGAATACCGAGGGGGTAGCGGTGTACCGGGATCCAGGATGCATCGAGCATTCATTACATCCGGCCAGTGCTGACGACCACGCGCCAGGCTGACCGGGGTCCGGGGTTGCTGAGGCAAATTACGGATGCAGTAGGCTCATCCCCACGCCACAAGGTCGGCATCCATGCGCCGGACTGGCTGTCAGAATTTCTCCAGGGGGAGACAATTTTCCCGGGTCGCTTGTATTCAGAGGGAGATGGGATGCGGTGGAGATGCAGCAGTGGAGTGTGGAGTGGAATGAGCCCTGGCCCTGCAGATGCGACGATCGTATGGGGGGGGACTGCTGCACAGAAGATATCGTGGATCCAGGGTCTACCTCTCTTGAACTCATCATCTGGCTCATCTGGCTCTTCTCACCCGTCTCATCACCCGTCCGGCATTTTTTCCCGTTTGCCCGCAGTAGCGAGGACGATTTCGTGTTTGTGTTAGCATAGCGTCATGCAGGGGAATTAGCGAATTGGTGAATTAGGGGTACTCCGTACATTCGGATTCGATGTGGGCAGAATCAACGATCTCCGAGGGTCGCATGAAAATATTGGAGGACTGCTCGCGGACCATGGTCTGAGACGAATGAAATCAAAGAAAGCAATGAAATGAATCTTGTTAAGCGGGTCCCAACATGCAATTGCCCCAATGGTTACTGGGAGGGGCTCGCGAAGGCCGAGGGACATCCGGGCATGATGTCCGCTTTGAGTCAAGTACCCGAGATGGAGTTTGGATCCAACGGCTATTCTTCGAGTTCACGTCGAATGCCGGACTGCATGACATGACAGCAGAATTCAAGTTTAATTCAAGACTATGGGGGGCAGAGTAAAGTGGAGAAACACGAACAAGGGGGCAGTGAAGGAAACACCTGGGGGATGCGAGGTCAGCTTGTGCAGTGGCGGGGTTAACCAGGATAGATTGCACATGGCAAGAAACAAGGGAGGAGGGATTCCAGTGCTGAAATGCCAAGAGTGGAGCGCGTGTCCCTGTTACAACCGACAATAAACCGTTGGCCAGGGTCTGTGACGAAGAGATGCCATTGGCTCGGTTAGAAAGACTGGGCTGACTGGGTGGGTTTTGGGTCGAAGTTAGCGGGTTTCAGCGGAGTCGAGTACTCCAGGGCTGGTAGTATGGCACTGAAGGTGCAGGGAGGTGCAGAAAGAGAGGAGCAAGCGTCGATGCGAATGTCCGATTCTGTGTAGGCTAGTTCTCCGAGTACCAGGGAATAGAGTTGAGGCCGGTGAGAGAAGAGAGAAGAGAGAACCTTGAAAGAGTGCAGCCTGGCATCGCGGTAGTACCTGGTAAATACCGTGACAGACTTTGATACTGGATATGAAGTACGGAGTAGACTTCGACCATACCAGTGATGAGGTGTCCATATGGCAGCTTGGCGGAGTGGGCTCCGTGTCAAAAGGGGTAATTAGTGAGCCTGATCGACAGTGGGTATACATACTATGTAACTTGGTACTTAGTACTCGTATAATATCAACATTCTCTGGTGGTTAGCCTTATTAAAAATTGATTGAGAGTTGACATACCTTGAGGATTGAACTGTGGTAATGTTCAAGTTGATGAGAAGGTAGGAATAAAGTGTGTTTATGTTTGTCTTTGTGTACATAATAATGCAGTTTCTGCCTGAATGCCTGACTCATGTGACTGCGGGGACTCCGTGTCGAAAAGGGAAGGCGCGGGGGGGAGCTTATCGATAAGAGCACCTTCCTCAGCAACAACACTTGTAGTTACTCGTGACTTGCTGACTTTGTAAATTAAAAATAAGACAGCTCCCTCTTTACCTTGTCATACTCTCTACATCTTGAATGCTCTGCTTATTACCTTTACCCAATCTATTCAAATTATATCAAAAATGCCCCTCGAGCGTCATGTCCTCTCGTCCAGCTGGTACTTTCGTGACCGCGACTCCGATGAATGGCTTCACGTTCCTGTAGTGCCATCCTCCGTGCAACAGGACTTGATTCACAATAAGAAGTATATCAGCACCCTTCTCATGAATACCGGTAATCCAATGAATCTTTGTCGAATTGCCGGCTAACTCTCACACCCTCCAGATTAAAAGATCCATTTATTGGTTTCAATGAACTTGATGCTCGTTGGACAAACGAGAAATCATGGGTATACCGGAATACCTTTACCAAGCCACCAAACATCTCCGATGGAGCCATTGTGGATCTGGTCATGGAAGGTTTAGACACCTTTGCTACGGTCAAATTGGATGGGGAAATCATCTTGATCAGCGATAACATGTTCCTGGGTCACAGAGTCAACATCACCAAAGCATTGGCCACAGAAAAACGGGAACATACGATCGAGATCGAGTTTGACTGTGCCCTACTAAAAGCTCGGGAAATCCGCAATCAACATCCAGAACACACATGGGTTGGCTTCAACGGGGACCCCTCTCGCCTCGCGGTGCGCAAGGCACAATACCACTGGGGCTGGGATTGGGGACCAGTCCTTATGACCGCCGGAATCTGGCGCCCAATTCAATTGGAGGTCTATAACGCACGGATTGCAGATCTATGGCCGAAGGTCGAGCTCGCTGCAGACCATCAAAGCGCAGAGATCAAGACTGTGGCCACAATTGAAACTCCTATCGACGGGGACTTCATTGCCCATTTCACCTTGAGCCTGCGTGGCAAGGATATCAACAACATTGAAATTCCCGTCGTGCATGGAGCCCCCACCAATGTATCTTTTCTTGTCAATCGTCCCGAGCTTTGGTGGCCACATGGCTATGGTGAACAGCCTCTATACGAGGTTTCTGTGGCACTACTGCGCGACAATAAAATCATTGATCAGACAAGTAAAAAGGTTGGTATTCGAACAGCTGAGATTGTTCAGCAACCCGACAAACATGGAAAATCATTCTTCTTCCGCATCAATGGCCAGGATATCTTCTGCGGGGGCTCTTGCTGGATCCCAGCCGATAGCATTCTGACGAATATCAGTGCTGATCGGTATCGACTCTGGATTGAATTAATGGTTGCTGGTAGACAGAACATGATTCGGTCGGTATCTCTTTTTCCCTGTTACTAAAACCTTCCGACTCATAGTCTAACATGTATCTAGCGTGTGGGGCGGCGGTATCTACGAGGACGATTATTTCTACGATGTTTGCGATGAGCTTGGCGTAATGGTATGGCAAGACTTCATGTTTGGCTGTGGCAATTACCCAACTTGGCCAGCAATGCTGGAGTCAATCCAGCAAGAAACAATTTACAACGTGAAGCGACTCCGTCACCACGCATCCATCGTGATATACGTTGGGAACAATGAGGACTATCAGGTACAGGAGTCGGAGGGACTGACCTACAATTACGAGGATAAAGATCCAGAGAGCTGGCTTAAAACGAATTTCCCTGCCAGGTTTGTTTACGAGAAGCTCCTCCCTGAAGTGGTGGCTGAGTACTGCCCTACCACCTTTTACCACCCTGGCAGCCCATGGGGTGATGGCAAGAAATCATCTGATCCGACTGTTGGTGATATGCATCAGTGGAATGGTAAGTATTATCTGACGATAACCTGCTACCCATTTAGCTTCTTGTTATGTCTCAAATTTCTGATGATTGGCTTTTTCAGTTTGGCATGGCACGCAGGAAAAATACCAGATTTTTGATACTCTGGGCGGTCGCTTCAACAGCGAGTTCGGAATGGAGGCTTTCCCACACATTTCTACAATTGAGCATTTTGTTGAGAAGAAGAGTGACTTGTTCCCACAATCCCAGGTGATGGATTTCCATAACAAGGCAGATGGCCACGAAAGAAGACTGGCAACATATTTGGTTGAGAATGTCCGATCGGCGACCGATCTTGGGGTATGACTCCATCATGATGGCTCTGGTTTTGAATATGCTACAACTTACATCTACTGATTTTTCTAGACCTACATCTATCATACTCAGCTGATCCAAGCCGAAACAATGATGTTCGGATACCGTGGCTGGCGACGACAGTGGGGCGACGAGCGGCACTGCGGCGGTGCTCTCTTGTGGCAATTGAACGACTGCTGGCCGACTATTTCATGGGCCATCGCCGATTACTTTTTGAACCCGAAACCAGCTTACTACGCAGTGAAGAGAGTTCTAAACCCAATTGCGGTCGGAGTTCGACGCGAACACCATGATTGGAGTGTAGCGCATGCTCAGCCAGCTAAGACAAGCAAATACGAATTGTGGATCGCCAGTAACAAGACGCAAGTCGTCCGTGGTCAAGTAGAGCTTCGATTCATCTCTGTCAATACAGGTCGCGAAACTCGCCCACCGATCGTTCATGCAGATATTGAGATCACGCCGAATGGAACAACCAACATCATCGATGGGGTATTGGACCATGTCGCAGAACCCGAGCCAATTGTCCTGGCTGCACGCCTCTGGGTGGAGAACGAAATCGTCGCGCGAGATGTGGACTGGCCACAACCATTCAAATATCTCGATCTCTCGGATCGCAAGCTCGACGTCGAAACCGTGTCGGACTCCGGGTCAGTTCGCGTGACTTTCCGTGCGCATAAGCCTGTCAAGGGTCTGGTGGTGGAGGAACAGGTCGATGTTAAGTTGAGTGATAATGCTTTGGATATCGTTCCAGGCGATGAACAGACCATCACCGTTACGGGACTTGAAGGGCGGCGTACTCTGAAATATCGCTATCTCGGCTTGGATCAGGCGGGCGAGATATCCCTGTAACTGACCCTCTGGGTCGTCCCAAATCGATAGTGCTCTCTATGAGCTAATCTACGTATATAAATTGCATGATCCTATGGATCCAGGATACTGATTATATTACTGGGCAGAAAACCAAGTAGTAAGATGATTACATCTCTAATCGTTCCTTGAGTTAAGGTTATCCGAGGATCTCCCCGCTTGCCGAAGAAACGGCAACGAATCTCGGCAGTCCCGCAATTAGATATCCACCCCGCATATTCCAAGGTTCTTCTACCCTCGCCAACCACCAGGGTTCTCACTATAATCACCTCAATTACTATATCCAGACAACACTTCTCTAAATGGCCGCAGATCTCCCCCCATGTCCAAAAAGCCTTTGTGGTGCAGAACCCCGGCCCCAACCACACCATCGTCCTGCGCGATGACGTCCCCATTCCGGAACCAGGGCCAGGCGAAATCTTGCTCAAACTGGAATGCACAGGTCTATGGTATATCTTCCCATTCACGTAAATCAATCTGTTCACATCAGTCACTGACATCACAAACAGCCACTCAGAAGTCCGCGCAGTCCTAGGCTGGGGCGCCTACAACCCCATAATCGGCCACGAAGGCGTCGGAACAGTCGCAAAACTCGGCCAAAATGTCTCAAACACATCCATTGGTCAGCGCGTCGGACTCAAATGGCTCTACAACGCCTGCACAGAATGCAACACCTGCAAATGCGGCTTCAAACACTACTGCCCCAACCAGCAAAACACAAGCCGACACGTTCCCGGCACATTGCAACAATATGCCCTCGCCGACGCAAACTTCATTACGCCTATCCCAAACGGCCTCTCCTCTGAGATCGCCGCACCCCTGCTTTGCGCCGGACTTACAATGTCCGGCGCCCTGTCTCATCTAGAAACCTCGCTCGCACCGGGTGACTGGGTTGTGATATCCGGTTCTGGAGGCGGCCTCGGACACGTGGGCGTTCAAATGGCCGCACGTCTAAACAAATATCGCGTCATTGCAATTGACAGCGGCGAAGAGAAGAAGGAAATAAGTCTCTCCTCCGGCGCGGAGGTATTTATCGATTTCAAGACGGAGAATGTGGCCAAGCGTGTGGCGGAGATTACGGGCGAAGGTGCCCACGCGACGATAGTTGTACCCGGTACGAAGGAGGCGTTTGAAATGGCACCAGCTGTAGTGCGAAACTTGGGTATTATTGTTAATGTTGGGTTGCCGAGGAATGATATTGAGATTCCGATTTCTGCAACCATTTGCGCGGCTAGAGGTGAGTTTTATTCGCGCTGATGTCTTATTGCGTCGAGTCGCGATGTTAACTTTGATTAGGTATTACGATTAAAGGTTCCTCGGTTGGAACGGAGGAGCAGATGGCGGAGCTTTTGCAGTATGCATTACAAGGTGTGATTACGCCTGCTATTGAGGTGTTTGAGTTTTCTGAGGTGCCTAGGTTGATTCAGGCCCTTATTGATGATGGTATTAAGGGGAGGGCTGTCGTTACTATCCCCTATGATACTTAGACTCGTCTCCCTAGGTAAAGGCACCTGGACATCTGGCAAAATCTATATTACTCTGCTACTAACTAATACTGCTTGCCACGTTCGTAAGAATTGATCAACATGATCAATTGGCCACAAGGAGTAGCCATTCTAGAAAAAAAAAACATTTCTCAGCTTTTTCTCAGCTTTCGTTAACTTCTGGAAATCTACACATGTGGTAGGTAGTTAATAAGCAAAGCATTTTATACGATCGGCCAATATTAACTTTAGAACGTCAAAAAGCCGTGTAGCCTTAATAGTAATAATATTTTTGTTGTTCTTCAAGGCCCAGACAGTAAGTAAAATCCTATATTCTTGTTTGGCCAATTTTTAGCGCTTTCTATTACGTTTTCATGCTATTGTGGCTGTCTGAAAAAGGAGAGTTACAGCCCTTAGGAACGCGCGACGCGTTTTAGTGGGGACCAGCTGACCCGCTTGGGTAGCCCACTCGCTTGTACAAGACGTTATCCATAGTTCATAGAACATAACCATCTTACACATGCTTCATGATAAGTAAATGGTCCAATGACACTGAGACCTCTCAGGGTAGGTTTTTCGTCTACATTATTTCCCAAGTATTTGCGTAGTATTCAGGTTAGGTATGGACGATACGGGCTCTAACGAGTGCTAAAACTTATGGTCTTTAGTGAATCAACGATTTCTATTGAATGAGCTCTATACTCATCAGTACATTAATTTCTCAAAAATACGAGAGACGACGGTGAATTGAATAAACTGTTGAAACACTAGTAATATTCTGCATTCGACGTCATACACTCTTCCGCGCTGACTCGGACCTCTCCACATTGTTAATCCACATTTTAGTGAGACAGACTCAGCATGTATTCGAGACATATTTCTTGCCCTGACAAGTCTTTTCTTTTCCTTCAGTCAGGACATTGCCCCCTGAAGTCATTTCAAGAATCTTGACATGCCCTAGCCAAGTACCGTCGTACCAGATAGTAAAACATGCAGCCGCCCTCTTCCAAATAGATTGGTGGTAAAGCGCTTCTTCGACAATGTTCTTGATCTTGGCTTTGTCGGCTGTTGTGTGGCATTTTCCAGTAGCATGGTAAGATACTTGAATCTCGTTTCTTTTCCATGTATACCGTTTCTCAAGAGATCCTTTATCGGTTGACTCGGTATCTGCGGTTGTGAAAACGCCATTCAAATGACCTTCGTTGCTGAGGATCAAGTTTCGAACATATACTAAGCCATCACTCGAAGTTCCTGGTAGCAAGGATCAGAAAATATTACAATACTCGAAATATATGTTCATACATACCGTGGTATGCCATATCACCATTCTGTTCACTCCGCCATAAATTAGACGAAGTGTTGAACCCGCTCTCGGCCAAAGAGGTAATAAATCCAGTGTGGTTGACAGATAGGGAGCCAGTATCGGTGGAGTATGGAATCGCATCTCGCTTTAGATCGCCTTCGTACTTAACATCATTGGTGATAACGGTACAGGAAGATGAAGAAGACGATGCTGAGATGATGCCGGCTATTCCGCTGGCAAAGGTCCCAACTCCGGCCAATACCGCGCCTCCCGCAATACACCAATTTTGCCAATAGGTCATCTCGGCACGTTTCTCAAAACTGTTGGATGCGACATCGTGTAGCTGGGCGATGACTGTCGAGGCCACTAGCAACATGCCGAGTGCAACTTGAACCGCCCTCATAGTCAACTTGGTTTGGGATCAAAATTAAAAGTGCAGTTGTAATTTGTTGACGTTTTGGAGTTTTGGAATGGCCTTCCAATTTGGAATATCCCCTAGGTATTATTTATACTCGCGGGCATAGCCAAATACTGAAGTTGTTGTAAATATTCGTACGAAATGCAAAGCGCTAGTTAGTAACGGTGTGGACTTATCATGTTTAGGGCATTGTTGAATTTGCTAGAGATCCAGTATCTCCCAGGACAATTTCATGGTGGTTCAAGCGAACGAGTAAATAACAAGGTACCCTTGAGTCGTTCCCAGGAATCTGAAAAGTGACCCACCCGCTGATAGCACTGATTACATTGATCATGAGGTCAGTTACCGATGAGGAATCAACTAACAAGATCACAATATTTACCTTCTACTTATTTAGTTTCCATCACTCAGCGCCAGTGTTCTTTTAACTTTTGATCGAGTCCGAGTATCCGGCTAATTTCAATTTCTTTTGGCACCCCTCAAAAGGTTACGTGGCAAACCATCAACGACCCCACTTTCAAGAATTAGCGCAAGAACTGCGGTGCAAACTAGTCGATTCTTTTACAATGCCGACTCACATCGCTCGTTGACTTTTTTTTCTTCTTCTCGATTTTCCCATTCAGTTTTGCCGGCCTAGCGGCCAGGCAGACACGGTTCTTGAGATACTTCTCAACTGTTAAGGTACATATGATATCGAACTTTGGAGCGACCCAAACCCTTGCAAGCAATTACTGATTTTGATTTCTGCTGAAGGATTGAGCAGCTAGCAAAGATCAGGTGTGAACGCAGAACATAATGTTCATTATGTTCTCGGAGCTCTTCGATCTCAACAGAGGGCTTGTCACTTCTTTGATTCTTTTATGGCTTGGTTGGAGGACCTATCCACGGTTCACCAAGTTCCAAAAAAAGACATTCCAATGTGCTTTTATTCTTTTCATCCTGGGACTCACTTTTCATATCGGAGGGAGATTCATCTAGGCAGGGATTAGCATGATTGTACAGTTAAGCGGAGGACTTGGACCCAGATGGCGAGGAGGCTATCTTTCTTTTGTTCCCCAAAGGCTCCTTGCACAGCTGTGAGGGGTAAGACTTTAGCTTTTACCAAATAATATTAAAGATTTACACTTTCAGCAACCATAAATGGTATACTAGTTAGCTACAAGTTAAAACTACTCGATCTTATAGATAGCCCATACTTTTATATACGGCAGGCGGTGCCACTCGGCAGATCCGTAGTGGAGCGAAGCTTATCGCTTATCGGGAATTTCCTCCACCTTGAGGCACTTCATCAATTCCACCTACTTTTAAGCTACCTGCAAGAACCATCTCTTCGACTCATTCACATTCATGGGCACTAAGCGATCCTGGCAAGGCCAGCCAGTCACCATGCAAAGCAAACCCGAGACTCAGTCCTCCGAGTCGGCCGGTCCGACCATCTCCATCTTCGAGAACTTCCGCAACGAGCTGGACGAGCACCATGACAGGCGCGAGCGCATCATCAAGACTAGCCGGGACATCACTGCCCTCAGCAAGAAGATGTACCTTGAACCTCACCTTTCTGTCAAAATTGAGTCTTAAACTAACGCTGGGATACAGTATTTTCGCCCTCCAACGCGTCCGCGCAACCAACACCCCCATCCCCGCCAACATCGCCAAAGAAAACCAAACCCGCCTCGATCAGATCCAAACTCTTTTCACAAACGTCGTCCCCGACCTCACTGGCATAAACGCCTGGCGCTACCGCTCAATCAGTAGTGGTATCCAAGAATACATCGAAGCAATCTCCTTCGAGCACTACCTCCGCACACAAACCCTCATCACACACGCAGAAGTATGCGCCCTACTACCCGCGGGTATCATGGTCACAGAGGAGGATTATCTAATGGGTCTTTTCGATTTGACTGGCGAAATGATGCGATTCGCCGTACTTTCCTTGAGCTCAGGCAATGCTGCTGCTACATCCACCGAGCCTGTTGAGGCTGAGATGACAGACGCGAAGAAGCAATTACCTCACCTTGCCGCCTCGCAGGCAGATCTCGTCGTTGATTTGCGCACTATGCGTGCGGGCTTCGAGGAATTGTCTGTACCCAGGAAGTACCACATGCTCCGGGACCTCCAGAAGAAGACCGAAGTCATGCAAAATAGCGTGGAGAAGGTGGAGCGGGCGGCTTATGGTATTTTGGTGCGAGGTAGCGAGAGACCAAGTGGGTGGACGCCAGATTTGTCGGCACCTGTCGAGGTGGAGGCTCAATAAATGAGGCTGGCGACTGCTCATTCACTAGTCTGCGTGGTTGAACTCCCGAGGCTAGAATTTACAGCAAAAGCTCAAAAATGTTATTACTTGATACAATAGCGCGTGGTTGATATAATCATTATTCAAAATCAAAAACAACGCATCGATTGTGAGGCTTTTGCCAGGCCTCTACGAGTCTCCCTTTCCCAGATAATCCCAGACTGTGGATGCATGCACTTTGGTTACATGGAAGAACTCGTCAAGCGAAGCAGACTCGTTTACAGACGCCACTATTTCGATCATCGATTAGCCGGTAATTCATATTCAAGCAGGCAATCTTTTCAACACTTACTGCTCAACGGGCTACATCCGTAAACGTAGGCAGGAATGTCCGCATATCGGTAATGTTTGCAATCCGTAGCTCCCATAGATGGAATTGCCACTGCATGTAAAGCCCCCGCATTCTCTGCGTTTTCTTTGATGATGGCTATGATTGGGTGATCAATAGGTGAGAAACTGGCCGGGTTACTAGCTGCTTCTTGCTTCTTGAACTCCATCTTTGCGTCTGGATATTTCAACGCTGCTGATTCGAGCACAGTCATCACTTCGCTAGCGACAAGGCCGACTGGTAGCCGGATATCAAGCTCAAAGCTGCAATGATCTGGTATCATGTTTACCTTGACGCCACCTTTGATCGTTCCGATATTAACAGTTGGCCTAGCGATGATCGATGAAGTATTTGGCCCCATGGCTTCATCCACGACGGCAAGAACCTTCGGATCGGTCAAATACTTGGCAATCTCAGGTGGAGGATTCGGCTCGATGCTTTCGACATCTCCGATGACAGCGCTCAGAAACTCGGCCGCTGTTCGAATCGCCCCTTGGCTGTTGATTCAAGTTAATTTTCAAATAAAACCAACTTTACACTTCATATCTCCTACCTGAGATTCAAATAGGCTCCATGAGCGGCCTTTGTAGTGACAGTCCCAGAAAGCCTCAAAGTTCCCTTCTCAGAAAAGCGAATAGTCTGACCCGTCGGCTCGGTGCTCAGCATCACATCTCCTCCCCACCTGGATTTATCTTCTCTAATGAGATACTGCGTTCCCCATCTACCGCCAGTCTCCTCGTCAGACACAGCACAAAGAGCGACACTTCCACTAAGTGATTTTCTTCTAGCATAGAGATATGCATAAGCAATGACAAGGCACGCGGTTCCAGACTTCATGTCAACAACACCCCGACCATGAACACGCCCATCAACCAGATCTCCCGACCAAGGATCACGAATCCACCCGGGAGCATTCTCATCGACCGGGAAAACATCGATATGACCATTTAGAACAACTCGCGGACCCGGACCATTGCCCCCGGAGAATTCACTGGCAATATTTGGACATCCCGGCTTCGGCTCGATGATTTCATAAGGGATATTTTTCGAAATGAGATATTCAGTCAGTACTTTGGCCGCAGCTTGGGTGTTTCCTGGTGGATTTGGCGAGGCGGCTCGAATAAATGATTGCAATAATTGTGTTTGGCTCTCCTGGTCGGACTCCAACGCGTTGATCAGTTCCAACTTTGTAGACATGATTTTTTCGACAAAATTTCCGTGGAAAAAGATTTATTGAACTTCTGAGTGATAATTCCTAGAGAGATGGCCAGTCCTCTTTTTTTACAGGGTTTACTTATTTTGATTGATGACCTTCGTTGCGGCGCTAGACTGTATCTGTTCCCCGCCAAGTGCCGATCACATTGACTATGACTGTGACTGAGCGTGGATATTTCTCTGGGGGCCGGGGATCTTGGATGCACAAAGCAAACATCCTATAGAACAAGTTTCCTGCTTCTATGGGAAATGATAATTGTCCGATTCAAGTTGGAAAGGGCTCAATTTTGAGATTCCGGTTTGATTATAGAACAAAGCTAGTAGTCACTATTTATCTAGTTATGAAAATATGAAATTGCTGCTCATTTGATTTCAACAGTCAATTCAGCAATCACTAATCAATGTAGCAATCACTAACCCCTATATGGGTGCAAAATCATCCAAGTTTCTCTAATTATTATCTAGATAGACTTCAAGCTGGATATAAAAGACAAATTCGGAATTTTCTCGCGTTCAATAAAATTCCCGAAAATCCCGCCCAGGTGTTCACACGGCCATAAATGGCATTAACTTGCTCTGCCTCGAGGATTCATTGCGCCAATTCCTTCCATGTCCTTCTGAGAAAATTTCCCTTCTTGAAGCCATTTTTATTAACCAGTGTCGCTCCCGCCTTTTGCAATCGAGTTCGTTATTGTGTCATAGATCCTTCGACCCACTTTTACGTGATAAAAACTCCAATGGTCCACGATCGAGCAATAACATCATCTCGACCCCATATGGTTCATACGTGCATTTTAAGCCCATTCAATGCTTTTTCTTTTTTTCGAATCATGCCCGGTTGCATTGATATCTTCCTACTTTAAATTGAATACTACACTCAACCAATTGATACTTGAAAAGAGACTTTGAATCTCACTATCGATCTAATGCAAACTATTAGCATCTTCAAGTTTTCTGAAATATTTTGAAAGCCTAGGATTTGGAAAATGACACAATCGAATGTCAAACTGACTAAAATAATCAGATCCACTTCGGATGATTTTGAAGATATTTAAGCAACAAGATATATGGCATTTCGTGAGAAAAATAAAATATTTAACAAGCCTTTTTTACTTGATCTACACTTTTGGGGGGCTTTCTAAAATATGGATACCAAAAAGCCCCCAGTTTCAATATCTAATGAGGTCAAGACCGTGCAAGAAAAATATGCCGATGTCACTCTACGTCTTCTCGAGGATCATGGCGATGATTTTGAGCTATTGGCCCCTGAGAAAGAGAAAACCCTCCGGCGAAAGCTATACTTCCACATTATGCTCTTGCTTTCAGTGATTAATATTATGTTATTCGTGAGTTATTTCGGTCGCTTGGCAAATTCCCACCTACTAACAGATACAGATTGACAAATCCACACTTGGATACGCTGCCATTCTTGGAATCTTTGAAGAGACAGGAATATCAAAGGCGCAGTACAACAATCTCAACACGTTCTTCTATGTTGGTAGGCTTTTCCCCGCGGGCATCATTAAAATATCATTCGACTTATTCCTCTTTCTAGGTTATCTGGTGGGGCAGGTGCCTGGCCATTACCTCCTACAGCGACTCCCATTTGGCAAATTCGTGAGCGGAACCATATTTTCTTGGGGAGCTGTCATCTTGCTCCACTGCGTTGCAACGAGATATGCCGGTCTGGTGGTTTTGCGACTGGCTCTTGGCGCGACAGAAGCAGTGATTGTCCCTGCGCTGGAGATTACCATCGGTATGTTCTTTAATCGCCAAGAACAATCATTTCTACAGCCTATACTATGGATTACCTGCGTCGGCGCTCCTATTCCCGCCGGTTTTATCTCATATGGTCTGCTTTTCAGTCAGGGGGCTATTCTTCCGTGGAAGCTGTTCATGATCGTCATTGGTGGGCTGACGATTTTACTTTCTGTATGGGTATGGTTTGGCTATCCTAGCAACCCAGCTGAAGCTTGGTTTTTATCTCTCGAAGAAAAAGTGCAGGTCATTCGCCGAGTTCACGAGTCACATCAGAGCTCCATCGAGCAGAAGCAGTTCAAAAAGTCCCAGTTCATAGAGACGATGAAGGACTCTGTCTCGTGGCTTTTTGCCTTGCAGGCATTTACTCTTATGTATTGCAACAATCTGACCTACGGCCAGCAGAACCTCCTGATCACCTCTCTCGGGGTATCCAACCTAGGGTCCACACTCGTTGCCGCAGCAGGCGGAGGATTCGGTGTTCTCCTTTGCATTGTCGCCACCTTTGCATTGAAACGTTTTCCGAGATATCTAGCCATTCATAGTTTGGTATGGTGTGGGTTGGCACTGATCGGAGGCGTATGCATGGTAACAATTGCTTGGGATCAAAAGCTCGCATTGCTTGCCTGCATGCTTCTCGCCGAAAATACATACTCGATCACGTATATCATCGCGCTTGGGTGGGCGACATCTTCTGCTGCTGGATATACCAAGAAGCTCACGCGAAATGGAATGTTCATGATTGGATATAGTGTGGGAAATCTTGTTTCGCCGCAGATTTGGGTTCCCAGCGCTGCTCCCAGGTATTATGGTGCGTGGATTTCGATGATTGTGGTCAGTTGGGCAGGAACACCTACGATTCTTGGTGTGATCCATTTTATTTTGAAAAGAAGAAATGCAGAAAGAAAGGAATGGATTGCCGAGTTGAGTGAGGACGAGCGAGAGGGGTGCATTGAGCAAGTGGATGAAGCTGGTGCAGTAACCAGGAAGAAGGTTAACCTGGCGGTTCTGGATTTGACGGATTTGGAAAATAAGCTCTTCTTGTATCCGTACTGATTTTAGCTAGTTCAATCTAGATACTCTTTTCTCCTTTAGGCATGGAATACTACAATATTTTTCAAGTTCTCATTGCAGCCGTACGGGCCAACTTGGGGCAACTTGAACAATATTGAGGTTGCTAGTAACAACCAACGCACACTGGTTAGTCAATTATTGAAAGATTCGATACTATCAGCTCATTGTATTTAATGTTTCCAAACTCCCTGTGATATTTCCAACGATCTCCTCTGCTATCTCCACTAGTTCCAAATTTGTGACGCATTTCTGTCAGCCGCACGGGCCAATTTCCAAAGTGGCGTTCGACTTTCATTTCTGGCAACTTCAACTACTCCAACTTCAATCTCACTTTCCTGCTCCTCATCTTTTCCCCCGCAAATCGTGAAAATAGACATGCGGGATGCATGCTGGACATGTCGCAGCCGCACGATCCAATGCGACCGCTCCAAAACTCCCTGTGCAAAGTGCGACAAAGCCGGCCTTGAATGTTTCGAGAAAAGACCAATAAGATGGGTGACCGGTGTGGCGATCCGCGGTAAAATGCGCGGACGTCGCTTTGAAGATGACCGCAGAGCGTCTACCAAGAAATCTTCTGTTCAGCCAAAGCAGAAACGAATCGCTTCGTTGCAACAGATGGCTTTGACCAACAATCCACGTCCTTCCGTCGCCTTGGATGCCCCTTGCATACACAACTTGAATTCTTCGTCCAGATTCTATCTTGACTACTGTGAGTTGGCAACCTTCTTTTTGAGAAAAAAAAAAGCAAACATATGCTGAGACTAGTTTTAAGTCAATGTCCGTATCTGCAAACTATTCATCCTCTGCGACAGCGACAATAATCCGTTTCGGCATTTACTTACTTACGCCATGGATGATGTCCCCTTACAAAAATGTATAATTGCCGTTTCCGCACGGCACTTCACCAATACAGGACAGTCGTTTGACCAGACTCATATTGATATGGCCCCTCGATTCGTTGTTGCTAATTTAGATGCCCTCCATTTCAAACGGCAAACCATTCAAGCAGTGACACGGGCCTTGAATGGCCATGAGATATCCCGAAAGGACACTTTGCTGGCATCAATATTCCTACTTATCTTCCTCGATCTTCTGGAGTCCGGCATAGACGGCTGGAATCATCATATTTGTGGTGCAAGGGGCCTCGTCAACCTTGGCAGCTCACTACTAGATTCCAGTCACGACCAAGCGACAAAAGGCGATATGAAGCATCAACCTGGAGATATGGTGACCGAGACAAGAGTATTCATTTCTCGGCAGTTGAACCTGTAATTCCCCTCTCTGGAGAGTAGTACATAGTGAACTCATGGTTGTACTGACAAACCCCAGGATCTCAACACTCGGAGAAGCATTGTCGGGCTCGCAGTCAAGGTCAGAAGAATTTCCAAACTTCGATGGAGAAATAAAACACGAGTCAATCGTTCGGAGCTTCCTCGGCTGTCCGGAGCTTTTGTTGAGAGCTATTCGATATTTCTCTAGCCAGAGAGATTTTCTCGGCGATTTAAACAGTCAAACGAATGACTCTATTAACGACCATATACGGGACACAATGCTCATGCTTGACATGACCAGAAATTTTGATTGTCAGCAGTGGGCATCAAGAGTCATTGCCTTAACTGCCTCCGAGATCGAGATCCAGAACTTTTTCCTACTGGCCAACGCATATAAAAGCGCTGCATTAATTTATGGGACCAGAATATTCCGGGCTTTCGCGTCGCCGGTAAACACGCCTATTAGCATACAAGGAACAGAAAATGAAACCCTGGTTTCAGAATTGATCCTGAAAATTCAACTTCTTGCCCCGGACGAGATTTTTTTCAAATGCCTCATTTGGCCCACATTCATCGCAGGGCTGGAATGCCAAACGGAAAACACCAGAGAGTCCATAACTGCGCTTTTACGGGGCCTTTGGAATTTTACCTCTTGTTTGAATGTCATCAATGCCTCCAGAATTTTGCAGGAATACTGGCAAAAACAGGATTCGAGTGATGACTTGGAAAAGGCACATCAAGAAATCGAAGTCATGGGCCAGGGATGGCTATTGATCTGACAATCGCACGGAAAGCACGAAACATCATAATATACACTTAATCCATAATTTAATATAAAGACCTTCCTCGTTTCCCGTCTTCCTTGTGCTATCCAGACCTTTATCACGGATTTAAAGGTGCGGGTACAAGAGAAATCCTTCCATGCAATGTAACTCTAAGCCATCAGAGAATTGTGGCGTTTTATTTGCGAAATAGGCGGGGTAGAATACCAAATCTTACGGAGTACACAGTGCACAATTCTACAAACTAGCAAAATCGCTACGCAGCTCAATTTTGGTTCTACATGGCTCAACTTCCTATTCAGAGCACGAAAATCCACCAAGCATTACGCTAGAGAAGAACCGGATTAAATATTTTGAAAGGCTTACCTGGCGGCATGCAGTCTTACAAGCGCACGGCATGTGTCACTGCTCAAGTTTCGCGCCGACCTATCAAATTGCCACTGTGCCCCACCAGAATCAACTTCCTAATCCGGTAAGCGTGGGACTACCACAGTAAGTCAATGTTGGGAAATCTCAAGGTATTCCGACGTATCAAGCGCGAATTGGATTTCTAAGCAGTGTGGTTCGAATTCGATTCCTAAAACAGAGTCATGCTGGCTTACGGGATCAGTAGTTCCAAGGTCCGTAGGTAAGATTTAAAAATAATTCCATTCAACTCGGCTTGGAAGATGCGGTATATAAAGACCACAATTCGCAGTCCGGATTTCAAGATTGAAGTATCCAACCTCTTCAGAAAGTCCAATCGCCATTGAAATATCCAATCTCTGGACATATATCTACATTCTATTCCATTTACAGATTTATCAACATCCGATACTATGTGCCAACACGAAATCGCAAGCAATGGCTGGACCAGCGTGCCAGTGGATGCAGGTGTTATATTTGGCGATAAACCCTTCATCAACGAACCCGAAAACCTCTCCATCAGTGAAATCAAATTCCCCTCTGATGATCCCGTTGTGGCAAAAACTTTCGATTATGCGAAAAAGGTTTTGCATCCGGCAGCTTTCAACCACTCAATGAGAGTTTATTATTATGGTGAGGCTAGACAAGCCGCCGAATGTTTTAATTCCATTATTTAACTCTTCTATAGGGATGGTCATTGCCAAGCAACAGTTCCCTGAGAAGGCTGCCCCTCTCAGCCCAGTGACCTGGGCAGTGACATGCCTCTTGCACGACCTCGGCACAGCGGAGGAAAACCTGACAGCAACACGGATGTCATTTGATCTATATGGGGGTATCAAAGCCCTTCAATTTTTGAAGGACTTTGGGGCCACTATCGATCAGGCCGAGGCCGCCGCTGAGACAATCATTCGGCATCAAGATCTGGGTGTGGATGGTAATATCACGTTCCTCGGCCAGTTGATCCAACTGGCCACGATCTACGACAATGTCGGCGCCCACCCACATGTCCAGAACATTGGAAAAATGATTCATGACAACACTCGTGCCCAGATCAACGAGGCCTTTCCACGACAAAAATGGTGCCCGGTCTTTGCGGATACCGTCCGGAAAGAAATCTCAATCAAGCCTTGGTGTCATTCGACCCACATTGTCGATTTCGATAAGCTCATCGAGGCCAACACGCTGATGAAGCAATGGGAATAAGTACGATAGTGCGACCGGTAGCTTCCAGTTTGTTTCCAGCTCCAAGCCTTTCATATTCAACCCCCTTGAACTGTTCAACATGTGAATGTTTCATGTTATTGATCTAAAATTCGTTCCAAGTAGTACGTACCTATCTAGGTAGACTAGGTAGTTACTAAACTTACTTGCAAGGTCGAAATAGCAATATTGGCTTTGAAGGGCTTGAAAACCTTGCAAGTTCAGGTTCAATATATTCATATTCAACCTTGGAACCTCCGAACCCTGGGGGTTCCAAGGTTTTTTTCATGGGGTGAGAACTCTCAAGATTGAGGATGGTGGTACGTCCCTTTGTGTTTATGCACCGTCAAAATATATTCTTCATCGCTTCCGAGAAATTTCTTTTTCAGTCAAAGTTTTGATCATTTATGACTGATTTCAGAGTGTTATGCTCTATAATTTGCCTCCTTCCAAGATTGGTTACCCGATCTATAAATCATTTCAGATGACCGATAAATATCTTTGGCTCCCTCTGACTTTAGATGTCCCTTTCAAGATGGTAAGTGTCACATGTTTAGATTGATGAAACATTATATCCTCACCAATCTTCATCAATTGGGCTTGTGGTTTAGTGGTATAATACTCCCTTAGCATGGGAGTGGTCCGGGGTTCGATTCCCCGCGAGTCCATTTTTTGCTCGTTTTGACTTTTTTTTGTCTTCCCCGGACCCATCTATTTATGTCTCCAGGGCTGTGCACCTGGCAATGGCCCTCCAAAGGGGATTTCATTTATCTAAAAGATTACCCGCAATACTTGTGAAACACATTACTGATTTGATCCTGGGGCAAAAGTTTACGCAGTAACTTACACGATTCAAGTTTCAATCAAATTTCAGACTCGTCATTTCACATAAATCTTTCCAGAATCATCAACCATGCAATTCATAATTTGATCATACCAACTTGATACCCCACTCCTTACGGATTCGCTGAAGCCAATCATCCTGGGACATAATTTCCTCACCGACCTTGACATTGCCTTCGCCGATCCTCTCACGCTCAGCTGTATCGTACGCTGGAACATGCAGTGTATCATGGTGCTTGGAGCAAAGCTTGCCGTCACCCGTGCCATCTCGGTGTTTTTCCAAGCACTCCTTGTCGAACTGCACGTAGTGGCAGGTTTTGCACAAGTAGAAATCATCGGCATATTTCCAGTACTTACCACAGCCACCATCACAGAAATTCATGAATTCTGCCTCCGGGTCCTCCTCAGAAAAGTCAAAAATAGGCCTGTTCTCATTACCGTTCGGAGTTATCAGAGACCACGCAGCGAGAGCATCTGCGTCTTGACCGGCAAACATGAAATGGATTGCCAAGCCATTATAAGCCTGCCAATCATTGAGAGGATCGTCATCCGAAAGAAGATCCAGGTTCTGCTTGATATAGGGACGCAGGATACTTCGAGCCTTCTCAACATCCCCTGGAGAATGTGGTAGCGGGCGAGGAGACGGCTGGGATGTGAGACATAGAAGCCGCACACGAGATCCTCTGCACCTTTGAAGGTCGCGGCGTATTCCATGTGCTTCAGATATTCCGCGGCATTCTCAGGATACTCTTGGGACTTTTCGAAACAAATCAGAGCCAGCTGTGAGCAGATTACTGCCTGCTTGCTGACGACGTAGCCGTCGTGAATTTCGTTGACAGCTAAGATGCGCAGCAAATGGTCGATCGCACATTGGATTCGATCGGGATTTCCAGCACCATGTGCTGTGCACAAGAGTGCAATCTGAGTCATGAGCTCAACCTGACACAATTGAGCCTTCCACTCTCCTGTGCTGTTTCCAGCCTTTCTCTCCTTGGCAGATTGCTCCCTCGCAGCGGTAACGGCGTCATTATAGCCCTGGAAGATGATATCAAATTCCTGATCACCCTTCACAGATGCAAAAAGAGCTTCATTGTAGGGGTCCTGCTCGTAGTGTTCTTGGAAGTTACGGGTTAGAAGATCGAGGCCAGTGACTGCGTCTGTGCTTTGCTTCAATGACTGTAGTAACTCCAGCAGATTCTGGTGTTTTCCCTCTTCATGCAAAAGCGAAATGAGGTTATAGGTGGTGCCGTAGTCTTCCGGATAAACCTTCAGTCGGGCTTCATAAATGGCAAGAGCTGCCTCACTGCGGCCGAGTTCTCTGTTCCACCTAGCCAGATCATTGTTGATGTCTACCAACCAGTCATCAAGCTCAACTGGATCCCCAAACTCCCCACTTTCAATACCCTGCTTTGTTGCCTCGAGGGTCTCAATGGCTGCGGCATACTCCTGCTTCATTCCATAAGCCTCGGCCAAGCCAATCTGAGAAAGCCAATTCTCTTTCGCCAGCGCCGATGTGATTTTGAACTGCTCGATGGCCTCGTCAAATTTGTAGTATTCGCGCAGAGTTCGCGCCACATTGCGGCTCTCCTCATAGTCGAGTTTCTCAATTCCGATCTGCCGCTGGGCCCAGGGTACAGCGTCCATGATGTGGGAAGGCTCTATTTGGGAAATATTGGGATCCTGAGTCAGTCGTGGATGGCTAGGGTCCTTCCGGTTTTGAATCTGTAATCTGTTAGATCATTATGCGAAATGGGAGCAATTTTCTGATTTTACCTTTGAGATATAGCCATGCGCGGCGTCAAATATGAATGCAATGCCGATTTCACCGGACTGAAGCCATCGGCGAGCAAGAAACCTGCCGACGTGTTCAAGAAGATCTGCCTCAAGTTCGGACTTGGAACTGAGACTCTTGATCCACTTCCTCTGTTCTTCTGGTATATTCTTAGTGACAGCAGAATCCTGCAACCACCTCAGAACAATGTCGGCGTATAAATCGGCATAAAGCCACTGCTTCCGCATCCAATTGTTACTCAAGGTCCACCACCGCTCAATGACTTCGTCATCCGTGAAAACTTGAAGCAACTGCGGACCCAGGGCAATTTTGTGTCGTGGCAGCGTTAACGAGGGGTCTGCGGACTCGAGATGCTCACCAAAATAGGCGACTGCATATTCAAGCAGAGGATCAAGGTTGGGAGACTCCTTGGCACATATGACCTCCAAGCAGGCTGAGACGATTGTGAGGTGTGCCATATCAGTATTGACACCAACCTGAGCTGTTCTCCCCTTGAGCTTGCGCTGAAAGAATTCCTCGAAACCAAACTTGTCGAACAATTTGGGATCGCAAACAGATTCCAAGAAGCGTTTGACAATTCTGACTTCGGAATCATTTACGTCACCTGTGTCCTTCAAGCTTTCGTCATCATCCTCCTTCTCTGGACCTGCATTTCCGCGCAGGAAATCGGCAATCGAGTCAGAGACAAAGTGGACACGTGCCGCCGCAATGTGGAACACTGAGGAGTATTGATCTCTGATTTTCTCAGCCAGAGGCCGGAGGGAAGGTTCGCGGGATTTCAAGAAGATAACCGCTTCCAACTCTTCAAGCGAGAGAGGACGGAATGAGAAAAGGACCCAAGTCAACAAATCGTTCAAATCAGAGATATCCTCCTCGCTGAGAGTTTCGTTGAGGAACTCGATCTTACGAGCAATTGTATCTGATCGATTTTCGCCCGATCGAGAGAGGATCTCACGGATCTCGCCAGGGCGCTGCTTGCCACTAATTTCATCCAGGAGGAGTCCAACGTTGACGAAGTCGCCATTTGTTTGTTTTGTGAGTGCTTCCAAGATCTCCTCACGAAGGGATCTAATCTGGTCAGAAGATCCGCTCAGATTATCCATCTTGTCCATGCGATCGTCGATAAACTTGACCATGTCGGCACGGTTCTTTGATGCCATATCGAGAACGGAAATTCCGTCTCCGAGCTCAGTCTTAATTTTGGCGATTGTCTCCGTTCGACCAGTCAGGAGAATGCGAAGACTAAACTGAGGCCATTCGGCTGACTTGGCTTGCCAATTGCTTAGGACCGTCACAAATTCTCTGAGGTGTTGTTTATCGACTCGATCCACACCGTCAAGCAAGAGGAAAAAGGTGGAATCGGTTTTATGAGATTTACCAAAAAGCTGATCGCAGAGATCCCCAATCTGGTTCACCCCAACTGTATTCACCGATCCCAAATCCTTTCGGTATACCATGTCTGTTTTGGCAATCTGCCAGGCAAGGGCCTCCAAAGCCTTGATCAGAGATGTATCTTTTGTTTCTTGGTCGAAGAAAGAGTAGGCTGCTGATTTGCATCTCAATTCGTCTCCATCTTCGCCACAGACCTCTCGCAGACTCCTCGCAATGGCAGTAAAGAGGAACGACTTTCCAAACCCTTCATCCCCAGCCACCCCCAGAATTGAAAATCGCGACTTTGAATCTAGCCATGCCGTATACAGAGGGTCTTCTTGAAGCCATTCTCCACTGCCCTGAACTTGTTCATTCAAATGACGTTTGAAGATAGCTTGAATATCCTTGAAGGTCTCACTAGGATTGTCCAAATTATTATCAATATTGCTCAGAAGTCGCTGCGCCACATTGTCGGCATCTCTCTTCTTCTCAAACGTCAGAAGCTTATCAACCGAAGCAGTGACTTTCTTCGTTCCATCGCGAGTTTCCACGATGACCTTCTCGCTGATTTTCTGAGACTCGAATCCAAGCGTCGCGCGCATCTGGGATTCACGTTCAACCAGTGTAGCCAAACGACCCAATTGACTGCTAACACCTTCATCACTGTCGAAAGCGAAAACCTTGAGCGCAGTGAGGATCTTGTTACCCCTCATAACCCTAATTGACAGGGCGCAGATATCAACAAAGCACACCAACTCCTCATTGATGATCTTGCGCAGGGCGATATCGACTGCTTCGGCGGGCAACCGCATGTAAATCTTGCATCGCTCGAGCACATCGGAGATTCGCCGAAAGAGCTCGGCCAAGCTGCTGAAAATGCGCTTGTATTTGGCTCCCACATCAACGAGATATGAAATCGCGTTGAAGCAAAGACTACTTGGAGCGAAGACCTAAAATCGTAATGTTAATGAATGATAGACTCTCCTGCCTCCCTCTCAATCACCAATCAACTCACCATACTGGCACCTTGAGCAGCTATGCCTCCCAACAGCATGATAAACTTGCTCGTCTTGGCGATGGCATCCTTGGCGACCCTGTATTTATTATTTTTCTCATCATCATCTTGTTGTTTCTTATGAATCTGGTCAAGGACTTCATCCACAGTGAAACTTGGGGATTTGGTCAGATCGACCTTGGCGGTCTGCGCGAAGGCCTGACATGCCTTATTCCACGCCTCCTGGATATTATAGTCGTCTGGAATTTCAGCGGACATGTGAACGGCGATGTAAATGCCAGTGGGTCTTGTTTGTTCTTCTGACTGAAGATTGACTTCCAAATTCCTACCGAGTCGGTGGATTCCTTGGTGTATTTAATTATTTTGCGCGACGAGGCGAGCTGAACACAAACGGCGGGCATCGGCGCCTAGAAAAAGCGGCTGAGGGTTGCAGGATGAAAAGAGGGGCGTGGCGCGATCGCGATAAAGTCATAGGATGGAATTTTAGCTTACAGTAAGCTCTGAAGTTGGGCCTGCTTATGTGCTGTTTCACAGTATGCGTCTATACTATACTCAGTGGTGTAGTGACCTTATGATATATGCGGAGAACTCTTGGCTTCATCTGTGATTATTGAATTCGCGCACCATTTGACGTGGGAAATTATCTCAACTGTACTAAATCTCCCAGGATTTCGAAACAACCTGGTAAACATAGCATTGACACTCTGCTCGATCCCCCCCCCCGCCCCCACCCAGTCTCGGTAATGATTGGATGAAGACGGCTCGTGTCCGCGGGGACTGCCGCACAGTTTCCGTTCAGGGGCAGTGTACTTGACACACACAAACATCTCAGTGAGGCCAGTCACAAAATGTGTGTGTTTCGAATACCTATACTTCCATACAAACTTGATCATACCTGGGAGGTGTGGGTTGCCTGATTAGATCACTTCTGTTTTCACAAAGGTGCCCAAGGTCATGGCCTGACTGACTTCACTATTTAGTTAGTGAGCAGATTACTATAGATGCCTGAGGCACCCTAGCCTCACCATTGGTCCAAGCACAAACGGCTGCGCAGTGAGTTGCCGAGGTCGCTTAATTGCTTTGTTTGGTGTCTACTATGACATTTCCAGGACGACAAACTGACCCTGCTCAAAATATCGAATATTCAAGGCTTTGCTCCATGTCCGTACTTACATGCGAGAATTGGTAACAATTCTGAAAGAGCCGTATCATCTTGGTCGTCCATATTAGCAACCTGCTTTTTTTCTTTTTTCGAAATCCCCCAGTGGCTTCGGCGATATGATAAAATCATGGTGTAATATTTAATCAAACTTAAGAGTAGCTCTCTATGTGCTATTCATTAGTTTTTCCGACTGACAGCGCTGGTATACCTGGAGAAACTAGCGCACATCCATGGATGTAATTCAAAGTTACATCAAAATCTTAGAAGTTTTGAGACTCGGAGATTTAGAGGAAGCACCGAGAGCCTAAAAGGATTGCCATGTATCTGTATAAGTGATGAATAGTGTGTTTATGAGCTCCAATCCGAGAAGTACTCTTGTATTTATCAGCCCAATTCAAAAGAAAGTCCTGCACATCCAAGTTGTTTGACTCTGCTTTCCTGGTTTGATGCTTGAGATGGTTGGTGACATCGTCGAAGTCATGGTGCCGCAATTTCCACCTGATAAAATTTATGCCCTCGGGTGTATTGTGGAAGGGTCTCCAATGCCTTTGGTAGCATTATAAGGATGATGCTGGGCGCCGAAGATGCTGTCGTACTGCCTGTGATAATCGAGGTTCCGATATGTTCAGGGTATTGAAAGAGGCAAAAGCTGGACAGGAACACCTCCAGCATCCTAATATAGCTCCTCTTCTTTGTGTGTGGAAATGACGCAGCCACCTTTCGGATAAGCGTTACAGAGTAAAACAAAGCCCTGCCCAAACTGATCATCGTTGAGAAATGATTGATCGCTTTGATCAACTTCGCCCGAAACTAGAAGTCCCGCGCAAGTTGAACATGCGCCTGCACGGCATTAATAGGGCAAATCCATGCCAGCTTCCTCTGCTGCGTCCAAAATGTATACATCATCCGCACACTCAAAACTCTGGTCCCCATCGGGGCCATTTATAGTGATTTCGTAGCCCATGTTGAACAACAACAGCCAGAAATGGTGACAGGGAAGAATGGATATTCCAGGAATATTGCTTGAATGGGTTGAACAAGAAAGATGAGGAATTGGCCACAATTTATACCCTTGTACAGGAAATTAGCGAAGATTCCTAAGCGTCCAAGTTTACCCCTCTGGCAATACGAGGATGTGGGCATGAGTCAATGACGTCTCAATGCTTCAGATCCATGCTTCATCAGAATCGGCAACATGAAATATTACCCTCTATTGTATAATGTAAGTCCAAAACCAGTGTAATAAAAAAAAACGGTGACTGACGTGGTACAAAACTGACCCAATGAAAACTGTTCGCCCGGACCCAAGCAGGATTATCAGCTTGCTCACTTGCCACTTTCGTTTGAATCACTCAACAGACACATGAGAGCAGCATGTTTAGGTATGGTGCCGAGTATACCTTCTGTTAATGCATTGGATTTCCACCCCATTCGGACTAGTGTTGAACTCGGGCATGCATCACCTGCATTTACTGAGCCTTTGCAGAAAGTAATCTAGCTTTGAGGGTCCTTCCATCCTGCAAACTACGAAAGCAACTACAAATGCGAGATTCTATGCATACAAGCCCTATGAAGCACTTGGTGTTAGTTTAAAAGAGAAATTGCAGGTTAGCCAGACATTGACTCCTGGGTGTTGAACTCTAGTTATCCCAGGATAGTGGGGCTGCTGAATAGCTGCATCTACTGCATCTACTAGTCGTCTTCTGCAAATTTGAGAAACGAGGCTCGCCAAATGGTAATTAGTGATTGGCCTCGAATTCACTCACTCGATGGTCTGTGCAATCCCCAATACTCGGCATCCCCGGGGTTGTATCCAATATTTTGTAATGTTGATAATACGGATGTGTTGGCACGGTACTGGCTGCTATAAAACCACAGCGAAATGCCAAATTTGACCAATAAAATTCCGAGATATTGCAATATTGCAAGTTGGTCAAGTCTGCTCCTGTTACGTTATTCATGAAGGGGACACCGAAGTCACCTCTGTGCCGGTTCAGTCGACGAATGGTCGCCGTTCTGAATGAGCATGATATAAAGTACGATTCCTTCAATATACTGGTTGATAAGGGTGTTCGTGAGGGTCTAAAAGAATTTGGTGACTGGCCTACATTTCCACAGTTATGGGTTGACGGTCAGCTTGTTGGTGGGTTGGAGATTGTAAGTATTCCCGGTTTGCCGTACGGCTTGGAATTATTGCTGACTTCTTCCATTAGGTTCGCGAGGAAGTAATTTCAGATGCCAACTTCATCCGTCAATACTCGGTCGGCAAAGCCGTCGTGACTGAGAAACCTGCAGTGTGCGCATAAGCAAATTAGATAGCTGGTCAATAGACCCAGCTAAACAGCCTCTCTTTAAAGCTTCGAGTATGAAAACTGAATCAGATTGACTAAGACGTGCACTGCAATCTTTAGCAAGTACTAAATAGTAGATCCTTAGTAAACTAGTACTAATAACTAATTAACTAACTACTAACTCTTGGCAGCCCTATGGCTCAGCCAATCGGGATTTTTGTACTACAAAGGCGGGTATGCACGACACGGATTATCCTTCAATTGCTATTCGTTTTCAAGGTCTTTGAAAGGATTTATATTGGCATTTTGAACTGAATGTAATTCTATACCAATCTGATTATCTCAGCGGCATTGGTCAAGCACTCGATCGAGGTAAATTCCACCGATATGTAGAACTTTAAAGGTGTTGACGCGAATTAAAATACCTACTATGTAACATCATAATCAATTCAGAATACTGATGGTGCATCAAGAATAAGATATATGCCTAAAGCTAAGGGGGGCCCCTAGCACTAAAATAAAAGTGAAGTGCTTGGACCTTGCATCGGATTTCGGATACTCCGTACAGAGTGCGGAGAGTCAGATGCACGGACATGGACTTGGTTTGACTCCGTGTCCGTTTCCATAATCCACCATAATTCCACACGTCATTAACAAATCCTTCACCTTGATACGTCGAAACTCTTAAGAGTTTATCCATATAGGCTCCAAGATTCTAATAACATTCATATTCCAATGATATGACCACCAGTTGACAGGACCCCACAACAGGACTTTGTATCTGACAGGCTCGGGATTCAAATCTGGCCGCCCCGCGAACAAAGCTAGGCACGAGTGTGGCTTAGTGCTTGACTATTGCCTTCATAAACGACACCTCACCCCATAATCAAGATTCCTCATCACTTCATAGCCTTTCATGAGCATTCTAACTGCTCTATAACTCAACATGCATATTCTTGTCCGGCTCCCACCTAGTTTGATACTTGTGCTGGTCACAGTGCTAGGGGTCATAGCCTACATTTCTCTCAAAGGCTACTTAGCCCGTCGCCAGTTCGCACGCGCCCATGGATGTCAGCCCGTGGCGAAGTCTGCCAATAAAGACCCTTTTTTTCGGGCTCGACACAATACCAGCAACCATCCGAGCGCTAAGAGAAAACAGAATCATCGCAAGAACACCAGAGTTTTATCGCCGCTTTGGCAATACACACAAAGTCATCGGAATAGTTTCGAAGCAGATAACGACTATTGAGCCAGAAAATATCAAGACAGTCCTATCGCTTAACTTCAAGGATTATCGTCTCGGTTTCCGTCTTCCTTCCTTCAAACCTCTTCTGGGAGAAGGTATCTTCGACACAGATGGCGATCAATGGGCCTCATCGCGTGCTCTAATTCGACCCAGTTTCACTCGCGATCAGGTAGCGGACTTGACGATCCTTGAGGATTTGATTCAAGATTTATTCGCATTATTGCCCCGCGACGGGAAAACCGTCGATTTGCAGAAACTATTCTTCCAATACACGATTGATTCCGCGACGGAATTTCTATTCGGCCAGTCAGTTGGGACGTTAAAGAAGTCACAGTCGGAGTCAGACCGTGGATTTGCAGAAGCATTTTATAATGCTCAGGAGGCCATCTTAACGCGTGGCATTCCATTCCCACTTAAGCTATTCTTCTCCCACGACGAGGCCAAGGCAGAGAAATACAACCAAATCTGCCGAAAATTCGTCCAGCAATTTGTCGACAAAGCCTTCCAAGCCGTCGAGCTTAAAAAGCCCGAGACTGAAAAATCGGATTCAGATATAAAGCGGCCAAGGCACATTTTCTCCCATGAGCTCGCTGCACGAACGACCGACAGGACTCGCGTTCTTGACGAGTTGATGAATGTCCTTCTCGCTGGTCGTGATACTACTGCCAGTCTGCTAAGTAATTTATTCTTCGTACTGGCCAAGGACCCAGCTATCTGGGCGAAGTTACGCAGAGAAGTCGCCTTTTTGGAAGGTCGACCACCAACATACTCAGAATTGAACAACATGAAATATGTCCAATGCTGCATGAATGAATGTAAGATTGCCCCATCATGCTTGGAGCTGCTATCCGCATAATACTTCAAGTTTGCATCCTCTTGTATCTTGAACCTTGGAAGACCGGTTCTAACTCTCCCAGCACTCCGTTTACACCCAGTCGTACCACGCAACAACCGCGAGGCAATTCGCAACACCGTCCTACCCCTCGGCGGAGGACAAGATGGCCTCTCACCAGTCTTTGTACCAAAAGGCACATTTGTATCATACAATGTATACGCAATGCACCGACGAACAGACATCTACGGACCAGACGCAGAAGTATTCCGCCCAGAGCGCTGGGAAGATGGAAAACTGCAACCACGCTGGGGATACTTGCCATTCAACGGCGGACCACGAATTTGCATCGGCCAAAGATATGCATTGACCGAAGTCGGATACGTTCTTGTTCGCATGGCGCAGAAATTCCGCGTGCTGGAGAGTCGGGATCCTGGGCCTTGGGAGGAGTCGAGAGGGTTGACTGTGACATCCAAGAATGGAACGAAGGTTGGTCTTACGGCTGATTGAATCGTGATATAATTTTGAACGGGTTGGGTGCGCGGTGTTGGGGGTATTTTAATCTATATTTAATGTAGTATAATTTGCATAATGGGACTTGAAGCTCTTCAAGTCAATACAAAGCTTAAAGTCTCTCCGAATGCGGGGAATTATCATGAACCACTGCTGGATGATCTGACCCAGGGTCGCAGGGTAGCATGGAAGCAAACATCATACTACGGGCTCTACGTTCATTAGTCAAGCTCAAACCAACCAAAGAATCAAAGAATAAAAAAGTGAATTGATTGCGGAGAAAACTATGGACAGGCGTCACGGTGATGTCACGACCACGGCTGCGGGGAGTTGAGTGGGACTGGAACAATCAAAGGATACCTCCTTGCAGAAAGGAAAAATATAGAAAGATCGAGCGTCAAGCCGATAAAGTAGTCGAGTCTTGAAGAAGTGGATCCCAAACCAGTCAAAGAAAGTCGATCGCAAAGGCAAAAAGGGGACGGGGAAGCGCAGCGCATTTCAGAGTAGTAAAGGCGCGGTGAAACAAAGACTGCGGGGTAAGTCCAAAGTATGAAACGCACGCTGGTTACGAAGTCGAAGTCGGGGAGCGCGGATCTTCATCCTCCTCGAGAATGCCCTGTTCAATGAGATCTTCAGGCTGGGGGCGATTTTGAATTTTGTGCTCAAGGTTATCGGCCAGCATGTGTTTTTCCAGCTCGCGGGCGTGGGCTTGGAGAGCGGGGGCGGCATTTGTGGCGGGGAGGATGTTGCCTTTTGAGTAGTTAGCAAGTACTACCGCGATTACCGCGATGGGCGTCGAATTTGAGGGGCAGAGGGAATGGCTTAGTTTTGGTGAGAGAAATGAAACGGTATAGGCATACGCTCGATCAACTCATCGCGCTCCGGTCGCTTCTCCAGGTGCTTCTTTAGGTTATCTTGGGTACGCTGACGGTCGAGCTCCTGGCGGGCGGCTTGGAGGGAACTGTCGTATTTGGTTAGCAATGGAATCGACAAGGGAAACGTAGAGAAAAACGTACGGAGAAATGTTTGTGTCAAGCAAAATGTGACGGTCCTTCAGGTCCTGAACGCCGGGGCGCATCTGAAGGTGTTTCTCCAGCGAGTTGCGGCGCTCGTGAGGGGCGGCGCTGAGGGGAGTCTCGTCGACGCTGGCCATAGTGATGGTGAAAATAGTAGGAGTAGAAAAGAGAAGGACTGATGTGTGGAGTAAATTTAAAGGAGAAAGGGAGGGGGAAGTCAAAAGTAAAAAAATAAAGAGGAGGTCCGAAGTGAAGTAGTTTTGAAGTCAAGTGAGGCGGACCACGGGACTGTCAGCTGACCAGCAGCAACAACAGCAACAACAGCAACAGTGTACAACTGGCGATTTACAGGGAATATTAGTCTCCAAAGGAGATAAAAACAATAATTTGAAGAGATAAATTCATGCAGATTCAAAAGAGATCCACTATCTAAGCCGGTCCAGCTCATGGGCGACCAATACCGACTCCCAAAGAAAGCCCATACCCAAGAGTAGAGGCAGCAAAGGCATAGGCAGAGGTAGAGGCAGCAGAGGCAGTGCCCAGGAATATTACCTCCAGTCATCCATCACATTCATCACATCACATCACATCACATCATATCCCGCCGAATCTGCTGACGTTCGTTCATGCAGTTCGGGGGTCATCACGACCGATCATGTGGGGAATCGGATCTGGAGGAAAGCTTCATGCCAGTTGAGATGCCATGGGCCATGGGGGATAGGGGGAGAGACAACCACATGTTTCAAGTGAAAGTGAAAGTACCCCCCTTCCACGATGTCCTGTTAACAGGAAAGAAGATGACGAACTCGTTTCGTTCCGGTGGATATGCAATGGTTGTACAAAAAGAAGACTTGGTCTGTCGAACGCCTTGAACGATATCAAAAAAACAAAGAATTTGTCCAAAGGAAAAAGGGATCGACAGACCCGTCCGGCTCTTCAAGGAACCCACAACTTACCCCGACCTCGTCCATTGCCGCGTGCAGCGCCCCGACCAGAACCTCCACGACGCCCACCACTGGGGGGTCGACGTGAGGCACCCGAGATATTTCGGGCCGCTCCTTGCTGTGTGCTCAGATCGACCGTGGGGGTCTTGTTGGGACCGAGCGATCGGCTAAAGGAGTTCGGATCGATGGGTTGTGTGGGGACTTCGATCGGAGCAGTCTCGGTGGTGATGGGCGCAGCGGGTGCGGGTGTGGATGTAGGCGCGGGCGCGGGCGCAGTCTTGATTTTGTTCTTTGGGCCCTTGCGAGCAGAAGAACCAGCCTTGGCTCCACGAGGAGGATTGTTGCTACCTTTCCCACGACCTCCACCTCCACGGGGCACAAAGACTAGTTCATCTTCGTCGCTATCCTCCTCGTAGGAAAGGAGGGTCTTCGGCTGGTCGACGGTCGGTTGGGTCTGAGTCTTTTCAACGTATTTGCAGCGATTCTTAAATTCGCGCTCCTCGTACTGGATGGCCGTGCGTAGCTGGACAATATTCTTGACTCCGATCCCGAATTTCTGAGCCCACACCTGCGTCGCGCGGTCGTTAGTGACCAGGATGCAGCCCTTGGCCGAATTTTTAGCATCCGGCCCGCCGTGCAGTCGCCACAAGAGGGCGCTCAACAACGGTCGCAAAGTGGGCGGAGCGACCGGGATGATCGACCCAGATGCTGTGCGCTGATGCCCCGACTTGGGTTTGTCCAACTTGGAAGTACCATTCTCGTGCTGAGCGCACTCTGGGCTGGTGCGCGAACTCCGGGAGGATGTGCGCGAGCCCGGTCCGCTGGGCGAACCGGCGGACTCGATTGATGCGGCCTCGGCCTCCCGCTTGAAGTTCAATTTACTCAGCAACATCTGCGAAAGATCCGCCGGGCCGTTCACGCCATTGATTTCCTGAAATCCGGGCGTAGAGAGGGAAGGGTCCGCTTCGTTCATCATGTCGGGCTCTTCCTCGAATTCGGGGAGAAAGAACTGTTCGGCATCTTCCCAGTGTTCGTACTGTTCCATCGGCCCTTGGAGAGTAACGCGGTCGGCGGTGATCTGATCTTTACCGGAGGTGACTCGGTCGAGGAAGCGAACGGCCTCGCGGGCATTGATGGCGATTTGCGATCCCGCCCGTTTCAAGGCATGAAGGCGTTCGAGGGCTGGTGGAGAAGAAGGTCAGATCACCACAGTGCGGTATCAGCCGAGGAAATACCGGCGATGTTGAGGGCTTCAAGTGAGGCGTATCCAGCAGAAAATCATCACTTACTGTAAAGAGGGACAATGAGGTCGATAGCCCCGTTGGTGGTCCATTTCTTGATTTCGCTGATGTTGGTGGTCAAAGCCGTCTCATCCACGGCGCAGTGAAAGACTTTGCGTCCAGTCGACATGGCGGGGGCTTATGAACGAGAGAGAAAAAAAGTAGAGGGCAGAAGTGCCCTATACTGAGGGGGTTGAGGTGTTGACAGCCGCAACTTGGTGGAGGAGGACTGGAGTCAGCAGAGAAGGAGGTTGGAGTTGGGAATGTGGGGGCACAGCGGGCCGGCATCAGAGCAGAAACATGAGAGGTCGAGAACGAAAATAGTACTCACGAGGAGAGAATATGATAGTAGGCATCAGAAGCATCTTCAAGTTTGGATAGGATAGAATAGAAGGGGAATTCAAAGGAAGTTGAAAGAGTCAAGAGAACGCGAAGAGAGAAAGAGGAAAGAGAGAAGTGTGTAGTATGGATGACTAATCGAGTATCAAGGTATGGGATATTAACAGAGTGATATGAACTTGAATACTTCTTACTACTAGTAGTAGGTATATTCTGATAGAATTGCGAGAAGAAGAATCATTTACATATATACTACCTAGGCAGTACCAAGGCTATAATTAACCAGTTCAACTGCCAGTGTTGAAGTTCGAGTTAGGTGTTGTTGACTATGACGGCAGATCACAGTACCTCCCAAGATAAATAAACAAAGATGAAGGTAAGTTCAAAGGATGAATGAGCTGAGAGATAAGCTGAGAGTATAATCGTAGCTGAATAAAGTGGTGAGTGCTGGAATGAGATGAGATGAGTGAGTGAGTGCGTGAGTGCTGATATCTATGCAGTCTAGCCTCCAAGTGCCGCCGAGTAGTGTACAACCCTCCACCTTCATGCCTTGACCTTCTTGATCAGTCCATCCGACTCCTTAACCCTTTGCGCCCATTCACTAGAGAAAGTCAGTATATTTGATTGATAGGAGACCCATATAGAGAACCGATACTCACGTCCAGCTGCCATCATAAACACGGCGTAAGTTTGCATCTCCATACTCTGCCTCGCCCAGCGCAGTCTCAATAATCGAAGCAGTGACACCAGTGCCACAAGAGCTGATTATAGTCCGATTAGCATCCACCTTATTATCCTCAAAGACCTTCCGGAGTTCTTCAGCGGGGAGATAAGTCTTCGTCTCCGGGTCGAGCAGTTGCTGGAAGGGCAAACTTCGTGAGCCCGGCACATGGCCTGAGGACAGACCCGCTCGGGGCTCAGGGTCGGTACCAGCCCAGCGACCATATGATCTCGCATCCAGGATCTCCACCTCCTCAGCACCCTCCTTTCCATAATCCCCGGCTAGCTCCTTCATCTCGCGGAAGGAGATCACCAACTTCGAGTCATAAGTTGGAACGGAATACTTGCTCTTCTCGAACTGGGCAGGTTCCCCACTCTCCGTCGGAAGACCCTGCTGAGTCCAGAGACGATAATTGTTCAGGATATGCACATTGGGGTGACCGAAGACCCGCAGGGTCCAGCCCACACGGGGGGCAGAGAAGATACCCAGCTCAGCAGTGTCGTACACAACAATCTCGTCATCACGACGAATCCCCAATTCACTCATGGCCTCGGCGAATGTCTCGCAAGTTGGGAGCATGTGGGGATAAGGTGAATCCTGGTCCTTGATAGCATCGAGGTCGAAGAAACGCGATTGCGGAATGCGAGATTGACGGAAGGACTCAATTCCCGTCCGACCCTCGGGATCATTTGGCATGAACCATGCTGCACAGAGCGGAATGACTCTAGGCGAGGTGGAGATTTTGGTCGGTGGGTTCTTCTTCAATGCTTCGTTTAGCTGTGTAGGGGTGACCAGGTATGAGTTGAAGGAAATATTGCGGGTGGACTGGCGGCCAGCAAAAGCAGAGACGGGGGACGGCATGGAAGAACGTAAGGCACGAATAGGCTGCACAGAACGAAAAGCCATGGAAGCCATGGTTTCGGGGTGTGAGGTGGATTAAATGCAAAGCAGATTGGAATGGGAGGGGAAGTTGGAGGTGGAGGAAAGTGGAGGCCAAACTGCGGAGAAGCCGCAGCTCATGTGATGATAACAATTATCACTTATCTTGGGAACATCCTACCTTTTCACAACACTCTACTCTATTTACACCTACCTTCCTCGAGGGTATTCACTCACACAATGAAAGTCACCCTCAAAGAATGGAATGCAATCGCCACTTGGCACTGGGACATCCCCGAAGATGAGGTCTGCGGTATCTGTCGCGTCCAGTTCGACGGCACCTGTCCGACCTGCAAATTCCCCGGCGACGATTGTTCCCTGCGTACGACCAATCTCTCTTGCTTGATAATATCAAAACATGACTAATACTAATACATTCCGCAGTTCTCGGCAAATGCGGCCATTCGTTTCACATGGTGAGACTCCCTCCCCCGCTGGTTGTGGGCCTGTGGAACTGTGCTGACCGACTTCTTCCGGATAGCATTGCCTTTTAACCTGGATCCAGCAAGAATCATCCAAGGGATTATGTCCAATGTGCCGACAAAGTATGTATCCAATTCGTAGGACCGTTTTTGTGTCATCGAATTATCATATACTAACTCGTCGCGCCTAGAATTCGAATGGAAGCAAACTGAGGAGCCGGAAGAGACAGAGGCATGACCGACTTCTGCGTGCATGGTTCAGGCGGAGTTCATTGGTGCAAGGATACCCCTTTTCTTTTACTGCATATTTCTATCTCAGAATATTTTGCGTCAGGTTGAACGGAGACAAGCTCTTATCGCATGCGATAAATAACTAACCGATGATCAATTATTCAAAAAATTGAATTCATAATATCAACCTAATATTGCGCAACTTGAGCGAATTTCAGAACTTGAGGTCGAAATCCTCCGTCTTAAAGTGGATTGAATAAAATCTCCATTCATGCATGAAGCAATCTTAGGACGAAATTGCGTCATATCCAGGTGTTGATGGACTTTCAACATGCCAAGCCTTTTCAGTCCTATATTGACGGTATTCCCAGAGCGGTGCCACTTCAACCAATCTCTCAAAAACCAGTTTTCATACGAGCAGTCTATCATCGTTTCGTCCTTCAAAGGCCTCATGACTGCTAAGTGCGGGAAATGGAGCGGAAAGGTGGCCTACACAACTAAGGAAATCAACAGTGTGCTGAAGGCAGTGTCTCTACCCCAGAAGGATGACGTTCCTAGACAGAGTTACCGAAGTTGGACAAGGGATACCATCCCGATGATTAAAAAGAATGGCTTCACGAAGAAGTTTGACATGGGTTGGTTCATACAGAAGGTAGGTACGTATGCCGATGATAAGATGAGGAGCAGGCGGCCGATATTATCTTAAATAATATGGACCGACTTGATACTACTGGACTAACAGCCTTCAAAGATATTGTTGAATGAGATGAACCATTGCTTGAAAATTGGATTCTGGGTAGAATGCAGATCTCCCACCCGCAGAAAATAATTTAAGTAAATTGTAGTTACTAGTTAATATCTTAGCATTCTTATACTAGGCCTTGATTGATCAATTGATACTATCTTTCTAAAACTATACTCTGTTTTATACTCTAGTTAGAATCTTTTGTTTTTTACCCCTTCATTGTTCCCAAAGAGAAACAGATTTAGGAAATCCTGCAATACAGCCCCAGAGAGCCACTCATCGGTCGACGGGAGCAAATGCAAATAATTCCCACTCATGAGTGCGTACAGAGCTTTTTGCATCTCAATTCAAGTTCTATATTATGATTTATTTGCTTCAGGAACTTGAAACAAGCCAGTTGTGAGGACAGAAATGTTGTCCCACTAGAATCTTCGAGCTCGTACTATTTACTCATTTTGAAACCGAAAGAGTTAATGGCTTTCACTTGACTCAAGGACTGACCTAATTTACTCAAAATTTGATAAGCTATTGACTATCGACTTCCTGACAAATGGCGGGCTCGCCGAAGACGAACCCATAGTGGCCGGTTCTCCCAAACAATGTAGCTTTTGGCTTTATCCCAGTTGTTCGCCCGTGGATCAAGTTCTATGTCAAAGTTCCAGAACAACTTGCAGAGAATAAGACGCATCTCTGCATAGGTTAGACTGTTTGAATGGCGAAGTAGGTTGGTAAAAGAATCAAAAGCCATCAGAGAGATAGATACTTACTTGCGACCAATGCAAGCCCGTGGGCCCATTGAAAAGGGTTGCAAGGCCTCGCGTTTATCGTTTTTGAACCGGGATTTGCCATCTTGCTGAAGCCAACGTTGTGGAATGAATGAGTTGGGTTGTTCGAAATTCGACGCCCCTCGGAATGCCGAATAATGGGCGCCAGACACAGAAGTCTAGGTTACGGAGGGGGTATTGTCAGTGTCTGAAGTAGCCCCTTGGAGAAAGCATGCAATTTTCTATTTCTCAAGTTGCGCATAGACTCACATCTTCTGGAAGAATCTCTCCACAAACCAGTGCTCCTCCTTTAGGAACGACCCGTGGTCCAATCGCTGGCGATGGAGGATACATCCGCAAGCCTTCTTCGATGACAGCATTCAAGAACGGTAACTTCGCAACCGATAGAAACGTTATCTCGTCCTCAGACTTGAAAGAGTTGCGGATCTCCTCAATAAGATTCGTGTAGCAGTCCCTGTTTTTCTGAAGATAGAAATTGCATGCCGCTAGGGCTGTAGCCGTGGTCTCACTGCCAGCCTGAATGATGAGAGCCGCATTGGTCTGGATCTCTGAAGTATCCATCGTGCGATCATCATTATATCTCAAGATATAGGAGATAAAATCCGGACGCGAGGTCTTCATTTCTAATCGCCGATTCACACGCTCTTTGCTCAGCTGATAATGCTGTATGCGTTTTCGGATCAAACTCTTAGGCATGGCGTTGCGGATTAGGAAAGCAAGAATAGGATAAATTGAAAGCGCTCAAAGGAAAGCCCCTATTTTAATACTCTGGAACATGGTGCTAACCCACGGGTGATATTCTGAGTCTTCCAGGCAGCGAAAAGGCTCACCGAAGGCAAGGTCACCAATAATTTCAAATGTCAAGAAGTTCAGTCAGTGTACAAGGTCCAGGGCATTATGCTGGTCATTTGAAACTTGGGTGGCATAATTGTCCAATCGAACAATGAAGAGGTCGATGTATCCAAGAATCAGTTCTTCTTGATCTCGCAAGGACCGCTCAGAAAATGCATGCGTCAATAGCCGCTTCTGGTGACTATGGTCCTCTTTATTAGTATTGATCAAGTTAGGTTTCCCGCCGCTGGAAGAAGCTATATAAAACTGGGGATCTTTGTCAAAAGCCGGGTTGCCAGTCTTGCGATGCGAGTAGATATCCGCCCAGGCCTGTGCGTTCCGGTAGGTTAGGGCATTGGGGCGGATCCGAATCACATCGCCGTATCTATCATGCAATTCCTGGATTTTTGTATGAAGCTCGCCGTTGAGACTCCACTTAACATAAGGCAGATTCGATATTGCTGCCAGTTTGGGACAGGGAAACCGGCTTAGCGGATGGAAAAAGAGTCTCCAAATGAAACGCGAACAGATCGCAATGATAGCCTGTAGAGAGAAACATCCAAAAAAACCAGCAATCAGCAAGGTTTGCTTCCAGTCATCGCAGATAATCTGCCAGAAACTTACAAGTGACAACCATATATTTCCCTGTAGCATAGTGCCGATATCGTCAGGTTCGTCTAATACCCGCTCAATTGGAATTGTCGTCTAGTTACTATTCGAGGCGTAGCAATTGAGGGGTTTGACGGAATGACCAATTTAGATATTCACCGCGCATATGCCAGTTTAATCTAGCCAGGTTTTTCTTCTTTTGGGCCTTTCCCTTTTCCATTTTCAGAATTTTCATGCGATTTGATACGTCATTTCTCGCCTATGCAGCGAAATGAGATGTATCAACCACCGCGAAAATGAAGGGGGCTGGAAAGGCTAGAGTTCGAAAGCTCCATGCTAATACGGAGTAATATGTAGTGTAACTAACATGCATTGGGGAAGTAATCTAGAGCATTCATATGCTGTCTAAATCATATGCATGTAGGAAAGGAGAGTCCGGGGTCATCTGTCGAATCCTAGGATACTAGTAAAAGCTAGTACCGAGGCAACCAATCGAACAAAACTGGTTTAATGGTTAAATTATATTATATTTACCCTCCAGCAATTTTCTGATTTGTCCACGAACCTCCTCGGGTTATACTAGGTGCAGCTAGCAAAAACGCAGCCAATGTAGTGAAGGGTTGAAATACTTGATTTGTCTTCTTTCTAATGTATTTCAGTTTTGAAAATACGCTATACTACCTGCATTACTTCATCGTCAGCCACCAGACAGCCCTTCATGTAGTAATTAGCTAGTTCATTCAGGCAGTCCCACCAACCCACATCACTGCACCCACCATACTTTCATATGGAAGCAATACGTATAATAAAAAAGGAGCTGCAGGTGCATTGGTTATGAGCGGCGAAATCGTCGCAGTTTGTCTTTGCATATGAGCTCGCGGCGTCAAGTGCATCCAGCAGCCCAGAAGTGGGACGGGTTCGCGAAGTCTTACAGCATCCTTTCTGGTGACCGCTATATAGAAACGTCACAACTCTTGGAGAACTGCAAGCCATAGGAATATGATAAGCTTCTACCTCAGTTCTATCCCTTGCAGGAAAGAATCAGGGTCATACAGGCTTTGCGGGCAGAATTATCTCGCATGCGTTCTGTCTTCCGATTAAGAGATTTCAACATGAAAGAAAACAGACAGGCTGATCCCCGAGGTCGGTTTCATCCATCATCGTAACAAAGATCGCCTCGTGCTGTTGGTAAGGAAACTTGTATTCCTCCTGTTCCAGAATCACAAGCCAGATGTAAACCGACCTCATCCTTCTTGACATCACGGATCCCAATCTTGCTATCGGTTTCCATTATCATGAATAGCATTCTTGCCTCTTTTCCGGTCCTCGCACTGAACTTTAGCAGTCTCGTGGCCATAGTAGGTCTCTAACTGAGCAATTGACGCCCGTATTGACGTGTTGCTAACTGCTTCTGCGCTGGAGTTACTCTTGACAATTTTCGTCAAGTTTTTTTACAATTTATGACTGCACCCACTATCGCGATTCCCGGGGTCACCCGTGCACGGAGCATCCTCAATCCCAGTAGCATTATCCCAACTACAGGGTAGATTGCATCGATATACCAATGCTGCCCACGCGAAATACGGACCTGTCGTGCGCATCAGTCCCAATAAATTGTCTTTCATATCGCCCGAAGCTTGGAACGAAATATATGGTCGACAATACGGAAAAACTCCGTTTCCTCGGGATTCTACATTTTTCAACGAGATGCTTGTCGATTCCCGCACCTTGACTATGGCGGATGATGTCAATCATGCCCGGCTTCGGCGCGCCATGATTCCAGCATTCGCGTCTCGGATGCTAAAGGGCAGGAAACCATAATGCAGGGAAACATCGACTGCTTTATCGAAAGAATGCGGCTAAAATCTAAGCAAGGCCATCCTGTGGATCTTCGGCTGTGGTACAATTATTTCACTTTTGATCTACTAGGAGATTTTGCTTTCGGGGAGTCGTTCGACTGTATGAACTCATCCACCTGCCACCAATGGGTGGATTTTGTCTTGGACCATTTCAACATGTCTACTTTGCTCCATGTCATCCACCGTTTTCGCCCTCTCCAGCATGTTCTTGCCGCCATGGTGCCCGCATCCTTGACCGAAAAGAGAGAGCTACACGGTATAATGGCTTTGAAAGGTGCGGCAGCGCATCGAGGGGGCAACCGACAGGCCAGACTTCATCAGTCCGATGCTCGAAGCAAACCGCAATGGACTTCTCTCGCTCGATGAGGTGGAGCAACAGGCCAGCATCCTCATTCTGGCCGGGAGTGAGACCACCTCCCTAGCATTGACGTTTACCACCGCCCTCCTTTTGCAGCACCCAGTCATTCTGAACCGACTCACCGAGGAGATCCGAGCTCTTTTTACCTCTGACACTGATATAACCACTTCGACCATTAACGATCTGTCATATTTGCAGGCTGTCATCCAAGAGTCACTGCGAATGGCTCCCCCCCATCACTAATGGATTTCCCCGGCAGACCCCTGAAGAAGGAGCCATGGTCGCTGGTCATTTCATCCCTAAAGACGTAAGTTCCCTCCGTATTACATGCGAGATCAGCCCCGAGAGATGCTGATTGAATACGATGTAGACGGTGGTCAATGTCAGTCAATGGAGTGCATACCGCTCCGAAACTAACTTCATTCGAGCCAACGAATTTATCCCCGAGCGTTGGCTGGGGGACTCCGAGTTCACGAAAGATGCAAAGGGCGCTTTCCAACCCTTCTCGGTCGGCCCTCGCGCCTGCATTTGTAAAAAGTACGAGCTGATATTCTCTCTCCACTTCTATGCTTTTCCGCTGACGATGCTTCTATCAGATTCGCTTACGACAGCATGAAGTTACTAGTCGCGCATGTCCTCTGGAACTTTAATCTAACGTTGGAACCCGCCAGCGCCTGTTCTTTGAGCGAATGGCTAGACTGCCCATCCTACGTTTCCTTCCACCCAGCTCCTTTGCTAGTTAACATGGCCGCAAGAGTGACCGTGTAGTGGCATGAAGCAGGACCTAGGCTCATGACAGTATTGCTTGCAGGGAATTTAGAAAGAAGGTAAATCTGGCAAAACGCCGGGTTAGATGACAATAAAATGCTATGGTAAAGAATAATTCAAACTTAATGAAACGTGCATAATTCAAAATTTTGTCTTATCCATAGCATTCAACTAAAGCTACTGAGTGCTTTGATTGTGTCTTCCCTGTTGTGATAATGGTATTCAAAAGAATTGAGGTAGGAGCTTTGGATTAGGGGTGTTGAAGTCAAAGATCCAGTAATGATTATCCATTGCAATGCCACGTAATACTTTAATAATCGAGTGCAATTATAGAAAAATGACCTAAAATGCTGGGTTGGGTTTATTGTTTAGTGCGAAATTGTCTCATTGAGGTTAAAATGAATTCACTACTTGGTAATCTCTAGAAAATCACCATACTTCCCAGACCTCCAGGGCTGTTGAATCAAAAATAGAACTAGATCTTCTGACTAATAAGTACCATGCTGCTCTATCACTTTAGACCGTCAGAATCCATTTGCGAGGGCTCTGATGAATGAAATACTGAATGTATACCCAATATTAAAAAGATTATCAAAGCAAAAGACCGCAGAAAAATACAAAATTCTACTAATACTACTGAAACGAGATAAATCTGTGTGTTGGTGTCTAGGTCGGACTGTTAGATAGATATAAAAACGTGTCAAGCTTTTACAGCCAAGGTTCATTAGACTTTTCCTTGTTTACTAGTAAATTTTCTCGATATTACTATCAACATTGAGAACCGGAAGGAGTCCACTGTGAGAAATACACTCCAAGCTCTTCCAAGCCCTGGAGGCTCAAGTTAGCATACGCTTGGAACGTCATGGGTGCTAGTCCTCCAGGGCTATAGGTGGTAAAGCAGAGTGATATCAATGGTACATATACACATACCTGCTACCTAGCTAGTACTACTAGTACTGCTCCACTTATATACCTAGCGACCTAGTTAACATTCCACCTTGTATCTATACTAGTGCTTGAATACTATTACAAACCTTGGAAATGTGCGCGCCAGTCGACTTGGCAGGTGCAGCATACTAACCGGCCCCACATTAAACTTCTCCAATATTAATTGGACCCTCGCTTACGAGGGTCGGACACCCAAATGACAATGTGCCCCCAAATGACACTTTTTTACCATTCCTACATTCAATACTACGATATACCACACAATACTATAATTACCACTTAATTGCATATAACCATATATAATATAGCGTATAAAGTGCAATATATCAAAAATTCAGCGCCGTAGACGCCGCCCTGAACGCCGAGATTCACGCTTCAATTCCTCCATAACCTTGCGCCATTTAGGGCGTACTTTGTTAATTGCTTCCAATTCCGTTAATTTTTCCTTATCTCGCTTCATTTTTTGTAGATTCCGAGCTGATACAATACCTCGCGTACGAATACCTGATCTTGAAAGGTTATATCGCTCATCGCGACGTAGTGTAGCAGCTTTTGTTGCTTCTATTTCCTGTCGTACTTCCTTCAATTAGTATGCAGCTAACTGCGCTGACTTTGCAAGCTTTTGAATAGCTATTGTATAGTCATGTATATCTTCACTACTTCGAAGAAGCTCCTTTTTAAGTTTTTGAATCTTCTGAATAGTTGTTGGTGTACTAAAATTGGATGAGAGTAATAAGGTTGAAGATTCAGATTTATTTGGTGATAGGGGCAATTCAGTACGTTCAGGTGTATAATCAACTATTTTATTATATATAATAGTAGGATTAAATAGCTAGATACTAGATAACTGATATCTAAGCTTGATTGTACGTAACATAAAGGTTTTTGTGTAGATTGAAGTAATTATAGTAAGAAAATCGACTTTCTGAAACTTCGTATATCTAGTAGTAGTTATAGCCTCAATTACTTTACTGTAGTAGTATTTATAGATATTAAATACACTAACGTCTAATAGCTGAACCAAATATGAAGTATAGGCGTTCAAGAAGAAGGGTTGAATAACTAAAGCTTCGTAAAATTTAACAAATTCATACTTCAGATACGAACTAAAACCGTCGCAGATAAGCAACCGCCAGGATTCTTTAGTATATAAATATATAGGTCTTTCAAATATTTAAATCTACTGATATATAAGTAGATTATTTATATAGCCAGTTTTAGTCACAGTAATTCTTTCGTCATCCTTAAGGTCCTTAAACCAGTGATATTAAACTTATTTTACGGCTAAAATAATCAACGGTAGAACGGTAAAACCATCTGTTGATATAGCCTCAACAACAGTCACATATTCACGATTTATATAGTTTCCAAAAACAATTTTTCGACGTGGCTCTCATGTGACAATCCACTGATCTTTACCAACCCTAATCTAAAAGCCTGTTTTGTCGAAATTGTAGATATCCTCAGGTTGAATCCCATATTTTTCAATCATACGCTAAAGGCTTTTAAACCATTCCTCCATAGACTTTTTAGTATATACACGAAGCCGTTCAATATCAAGACTTTTGCGCCTGTGTACACAATACTCAGGGTGTCGATCAAGAAAGTATTTAAGCCATTTGTCACTGATTATAGCTGTATCAGGTTCTATTTCTTGTAGAATTGACAGAGCAGCTGTAGCAATCTCAGAATGTTTTACTGATAATCCAAGCTTATTATGATAATCAATCCAATGACATAGAGCTTCCTCTTGTATAGAATTGAGCTTACAACCGTTGGGTTCTCGTTCAAATAACGAATTAGTACCCTGCACGCGGCGAAGAAGCCGTCGATATGGCACGTCAAATTCACGCACAATTTGTGCGTAATTCGGCCGAGATTGTAGGAGTGCTTTTTCGCATGCTTGATGAATACGGTGCTCAATTTGCTTATTGGTATCTGCCATAGTGGTGGTGTAGCGATGCGACAAAGTTGAAATGTAATATTTTCATGCAAAGTGTCATTTGGGGGCACATTGTCATTTGGGTGTCCGACCCTCGTAAGCGAGGGTCCAATTAATATTGGAAAATTTAATGTGGGGCCGGTTAGTACTAGGCATGTGGCATTGTCTTGCCAGTGCCTAGTTGGGTTTGAGTTCTCGATCGCCCGTATTACGCCATACTTTGTAAGACATGGATACCCCGATTTATTATCAATTAATTTATAAATAAGTTCTCAAATCCTCAGCTAGCCATTGTCAATGAAAGAATAATGGCTAGGTATCTGCATCATGATAGCGTTTGTGACATATCATACCTGCATGATCTAAGTTGTGATATATCGTTTTCAAACCTTGGAACCTGTTATTCAAGAAGTTTCCAAGGTTGCATATGATCTTCAATATAATGCATTTATTATCAAACTTGAAAAATTCATGCCTCGAACGACATTTCAATTGCCAAATAGATTGACATGTTGCTGCAGCAGTCTCATCGTGATGATGATCAGGGATGTACTGGTCATGCACATCCATGGATGCAGAGATACCAACAGCTTATTAATTCTGCCTGTCGGCAAAGGAGTAGTGCGCATGGACTAAGATCCTCGATTGTTTTGAGAGCAGGTCATTTTTTCACAAAATACATATATAGTTTTGGTGTCGGGGCCAGTGACACCTTAACCGTCCAGAATTTAGGGTCCTTTCGAGCATCTGGACTACCTAGTACTACTACTCATGGATTGATCCGTATTTTACTTTGGAAATCCCCTTTTAGCACTTTTTCACCAAAATGCATCTGGAGCATGACAAAAGACATGACTTCCTCGTCGAAAAGCTTCCACCGACAGACCTTGGCGCTTATAAGAGACTGGCAAAACGATGGGATCATCGACTGAGTTATGAGAGCCTAACACAAGGGGCTTCGCCCCTAAAAGACTCTTCTAAGACACTCAACCCTTCAGCGACTATCCCATTCAGCACAGGAAGACCAACATCGCTATATTTTCCATGGCAATCCATGATAATGGCTGAAACTGAAGAGTGTCGTCAATCCCAAGGATTTAACTACCGAACACAACGCATGGAATGCCAAAAGGGAGAAACAGCGTTTGACCTTTCATGTGCTTTGAACTATGCCGAGCCTGCGGGCTGCAGCCAATTAGTTGATTTTTTTCGGAAGAATACTGGTCTCATTCATAATCCTCCTTATCAAGACTGGGACACAACCCTCACATGTGGATCGACTTCTGCTATCGAAATGGCCCTGCGCATGTTTTGCAACCGGGGAGATTGGGTCTTGACTGAAACCTTTACCTACTCGGGGACGCTTATGGCCCTACGAGCCCAAGGGTTGAAGACGCAGGGCATCGAAATGGACGATGATGGCTTAATACCAGAAGATTTGGACACTAAACTTCGATTCTGGGACACAGCACAAGGTCGCAAACCTTTCTTCCTCTATATTATTCCGTCTGGACAGAATCCAACGGGGACAACCCAGTCCACAGCTCGCAAGCATGCAATTTACCAAGTTGCTGAAAAGCACGATCTAGTGATCCTTGAAGATGACCCGTACTTCTTTTTGCGACTCAGTGGGTCATCGTCCTCATTATTGGATACCCGACCATTTGACAGATTGCGAACATCACTGCCGACTTCATATCTGTCCCTTGACAAGTCTGGTCGTGTTATTCGTGTAGAATCCACTTCCAAAATATTCGCTCCAGGTCTTCGATGTGGCTGGCTTACAGCCAGCAAGCAAATCATCGAAACATTCGCCAACTTTGCTGAAGTGGGACCTTCATCGCCCAGTGGACCATCACAGGTAATGCTGTACAAGCTACTTGTTGAGAAATGGGGCCAAGAAGGCTTCGTTGACTGGATAAGTCATTTATCAGGAGAGTACCGGTTACGAAGAGACATCATGATTGCCGCATGTGAGAAGCATCTTCCCAAGAATATTTGTACATGGACGACACCAACTCATGGAATGTTCTTGTGGGTTACTGTGAATTTACAGAAATACCCCCACTGTGTAGAGAAGCGAGCAGAGCAGCAATGCGACCATATTGAAAACAAAATTGCAGAGCGGGCAGAGGCTCATGGGGTTCTTGTTGCAAGGGGAAGTTGGTTCAATGTTGAGAGCTTCACGGACAAAGTATTCTTTAGGATGACGTTTGTTGCTACAGATTCGCAGGACAATCTCGAGCAGGGTGTTGAGAAGTTTGGCAGAGCTGTGAAGGAGGAGTTTAGGATGTAGCAAAGGCATTCTTGAGGACTCGGGACGAATAGAGTTTAGGGTTTAGGGTTTAGGGTTTAACGAATAGATTCTTGTACAGTTGATGGAAATCTTAAGACTAAGCAAAAAAGAAGAAAGCAAAGCCATTCAGGGCTACACATATTGTCTCCAGCTCCTAGTAATAACTACTAGCATCACCCCCAGCTCTGTTTTAAAGCGGATCTAATCCATCAGCATTTGTACCCGCAAGCCAATGTATAACGGGCATTAGAGGAGGAAATAATGGATTGCTGGTTTCACTCTTCACAATAATATCAACATACGTTGAATTAATATTCCCCTCCGTCTGATTGACGTGTAAGCACTCCATAGTACTTGAAACACGCGTCTTGTCCACATCGTCCAGTGTATGATAATTGAAGTGCATGGCTCAGGCATATTTTCAGATAGTTTCAACATCTTGCGTGGTATTCTGACCAACTGGTGATATTAGAGTGCAACTTTACTCGCCGCCCACTCCTTCATGCAGCGTCTCTACATGTGCTGCCACACCCAACGCTTGACCGATGAAGCTGATCCGATCTCGATGGCTAGTCCACCTCAGCATTTCAGTCCCTGTCGCATGTCTTCCAGGTGCCGCTTTATTTCTATAGTGACCCAACTTATCCATCCCCCTTCTCCTTCTTCAGCTCGCCTTTTTCTCCACTGGCCCTGTTTCCCGAATCCTCACTGATCAAAGTTTTATGTCACCCATCATGAGTATCATTCGAAACAGTTATGACATCCTCGTTATAGATGGAGGTCCCGCAGGCCTTGCAGCCGCGCCATCTCTCGCAAGATCATGTCGGCGTGTGGCAGTCTTCGACTGACGCGAGCATGCTCCTATGTAGCTATATAGTATAAATAAGATTTTTAGTTAACCTCGATCTTTAAATTTAGTTTCGCAATCTAAACATACGACGATGTTCGAAGAATACATGCATATTAAAAATCCTTCAGCCAAATGCACCAGAAGGAAAACGCACAGGTCTTTGGAGCTTCTGCTCAAAGATAGCGTCAAACGGATGGCCCCACCTTAAATTCCTACAGCAAAGGTTGACGCTTACGCGTCGACTACAGAGCGACCGAGCTGTTGGAAAGGGCAGAGTTAGGTATACACCATCTCCTCACATGTCAATGTTTAATACCCGTCAAGGTGAATCAACTCCAAATCCAAGCCATATGTGCGGAGTAAAGAGTTCGATTTAATCCACATTTTGTGATTTGAATTGAATGAAATTGCGAACATCTCCTTTCGATGACTTGCAGCATTCCCCACGAACGATCTACAACACTTAAGCAAGGCAGAATTCACCACTACCAATCATTTACCGCTATCTGCGGAGAACCGAAATCACAATGCACGGGCACACGGGGCGACATGGATGATGAACGCCCCCTTGGAGATGTGCAAACCCCCTCTAACCACTCTAGTCAAATAATGGTACTTTGTATATTACCATTTCCCAACTTGTGTATTTTAACAGCTATGAGAATTCATATTCTGAGACAGGCCAATTTTAAGTAGGATGATTGAAAATAGTCGCATTGGTGAGCTAGAAACTAAATTCGAAAAACTTGATGCATCTTTAAAGACCAAGTATTGCAGTCAGGATGTCGGTGGATGTTCGGAGCCAGCTGGAAAATAAAATACATGTACTTCAGATTACCTGATACGATGTACATAAATAGTCAAAGGGACTGTCGCTTTAATGAATGCCCGGTTTAGCGCATTGCGCCATCGTATCCTTGTAATTGAAAGCCAATCAAAATTGGGGTTCGGGGCAGATTTGGAGCTTCCATCTGCATATCACTAACCGAGGATATTTCGCCCCCAATAATTGATCAGCTAGGGCTTAGAGTGGGGGGGGAATCATCTTTCCCCATCAGAGCATTTGATTTCAACTACGGCTTCATTTTGATATTGCAGCCAGTCCAGGCGAGAAAATCAACGATATCATGACTTGAATTCAAGTTATATCCTTGGAATAACTGCAGTTTTCAATCTCGTTCCGACAAGCCAGTTTCACGCTATGAGGTTGTCATAGTGATCCGAAAGAAAAATGATCGATCTACGTCTCATTTGAAATTTTCGTCTCGGTCGCTTTACATGGTCGCTTGCTGTGATTCTGTACTGAATTTCCTCTACCAGTATTGTCTTCTCACTTAAGATTTTGTTCTTCGAGGCTCCCGGTGTCAACTTTGCAGCCTATAAATATCAAGTCTATCGCAAAAGAAGACACGAAACCGCTTCTGAACGGGAGAAACTACATTCCGTGGCTCAATCATTTGTTTTGTATCATCTTGTGGAGACAGCAGAGCGGTATTTGGTTTGTCTCTTTGAAAATTTTCATTCTCGTTTGCTCGAACTCTGCCCTTTTCCGCCCATTTGTACTACCTACTGCTATTTTATTATCTCTACGATTGGGATATTCATTCCTATAGGGCTGCTATAAATATAGGGTTCCAGTGCTTACAAAAGAATCTACCAGACATAAAGTTCTATCGATCATTCATTCCTGTCGAGCTACAAGATCGGGCGGTTCATACTACAGACTCGGAATGAAGCAAGGCCCCCGAAGAAGTATGGGTTATATACGACGGAAACAAAACTGGTCTATGTTGGAACACCGCGTTAAAGACAAGACATCGATGTAAGGACAGTTGAACTTATACGCAGTACCGCGAGGTGTGACATCTCCCAAAACACAGTGATTAACAAAAAGAAGCCCCCCAGGAGGAGAGGCTGGGAAGATAAGAAAGCCCAGGCATCTTATAGCCGCGAAGATTTGTGTTGAACACTCTTCCTTTAGCTGTGAACAGAACGCCGGTGATCCGAGACCTTGTCTTTGCGACTGAAAAGCTTCCCGCATTGGGGGCAGCTGTACGCATTGGGGGCAATGTGTTTCGTGCGGATATGCCGCCAAAGTGTACTGTTGCTGGCAAAAGGTAGACTGTAGTCACAGCCCTTCCAGTGGCATTCAATCTGCTCCGAGATGAGATGGCTTTCCTTGATATGCTTCCAGACGGACATTCTATCAGAGAACCAGCCGTTGTAAGTGCAACCCTCCCAAGCACAGATTATGTAACTCTCAACGACCGGAGACCCTTCTGCGTATGGACTGACGCTTTCACAAAGTTAGCCAACCAGTAGTTACTGGAGAGAATGCTGGCCCCAACTTGCCTTGCATACGACTCGGGTGTTGGCACATCCCACGGAACCTGCTGATGGGGGGAATTTCCAACCGCGCCGGCGGAACGATCATCGCGACCGATTCCACTCAGCTCAAAACATACTCTCGGGTCAAGAAAATTGCCACTGGCGACAGGTTGATTGAATCTCCCTCCGATAATGTCGTCGATCTCGGGTGTGAAGGTTTGGGGTGTGCCACGCCAGCCTATCCCGACGGGAGGGTCGACATAGGATGCGCTTTGCATGAGCATCCTCTGGTGTTGCATATTCATGAACTCCTGAGACGGATAACTATCTGTCTGTGGTGCAGTATGGTTGACTGCTTGTTTTTGAGAGGTACCCTCCGGTCTAGTCATGGTGGGTGACCCCACACCGCGACTTGACCCTTGACCTCCCGTGGTGGGCATGTCAACGTTCAAGGTAATAAGAACAATACAATCTGGATGAAATAGATCAAATATGTTGATGTTCGATGAAAGAGGAACTTTGAAGAGGGGTGAGTGGTGATGGAGAACAGAAAGGGGAGCTTCGAGTTCTGCAGAGGAAGCTCTCAGTACACTCCTGCAGGGCTCTGGGGTTGCCAACGACTTAGCCACAACCACGACTCTGCTTTTCCCCTTTTCGGTCTAGAATTCGTCGTTAATACTTTTTTCCCGACTTCCAGGAACCTTCTATGCCGTTTTTCGCTTCAAATGTCCTCCATATTTTCGAAATTATCGCCTGTCTGTCCGCCGTCGCCCAACGTGTACTCCCTTGACATAGCCCGAGGATCAACGCTTATTTCTCCCGATTTGTATGAATACTACGCACCAATTGAACTGGCTAAAATCTAGGTGGATATGTCGGGGGTGCGATACACTACAAATCTATGTTGCAGTCGTGCTGTATCAACTTGTTCGCATGAGGTGTACGTTGGGATTCTCCGGAATCCTGGGCTGTTCACTTTTTGCATGATATGGCTAGTCTATTGGGGCCGGTATAATAGCCCTTTTTACTCATATCCTCGGCAACCACACACTTTTGCTTTAAACTTGTAGATCTAGGGTATCTTTCTGGGCCGCTTTTTGGGATCAAGTTGTTTTGGCGGAAATTTCATCCGGGCTCTCGAGTTCCGGTTGTGAATCACGAGATTGTTTGCTCTTGACCGTGTTGGTGAAATTTAACTTTGCAAAGCCATTATATTGAAAATAGACTATTGAGCTTAATCTTGTACTTATGAAATACTAGCCTGCAAGGGTAAAGATTGAGGAGTGAATTCTTTACTTAAGGCAATTTTACATTGGCATTAACCAATCAAGGTGAACATCAACCGCCGAACAGTCAGCTTTAGAATAGACTCCGGGGCTGATTTAAACTTCAAATTCAGGATTAAATATCCCTCTCGATTTGGTTGGAGATTTGGAATAAGGAAATCTGCTTCGGACGCGAAACTTGGGGTATAATAGTTGTGTAGGAAAGGGATCCTTCAGGTCTGAAAGGTCCGTGTTACAATTCTTTATTTCGCTGACTTAGCGCAGAATGACAAAGGGGAAGATTATGGGGCTCAAGGCAGATTCTACGCGAGAGCAGTGCCACGTCAGGCATCACCTGGGTTTCTGGGTATCGTACTAGTAGTGCCCCGAAAGGGCGAAAGACTGATTGCGAATGGGTTACTATGTGGGCCAAGGGGCTTTTGAGAGAAAATTTGGCGTATTGAAGAGCCACAAAGAGGTACATCCAGTACAGTACCGCAAATAAGCGCCTTCTATACGTCATGAGCAAACATTTCTGATGTGATGAACCAGCGGTCTGTCTGGCCCAGCATCATTCGCCAGCACATCGGACGATTCTTGAAGGTGATAGCACCCCGAGCTTCGGGGGCAAGGTCCCAGATATTGGGTCAGGCAGCAAAAATTGTTCTGCGCGGAGCTGCTCTTTTCGGTGGTTCTGAGGGGGTGAGGCTCTGCCGCTAACGTTGGCCAAACATGCCCCGATCAATACAGTTATAGAGACTTTGGGGAGTATGATGATAAAAGTCTTTTGAAATTTATCTCATTAGTATCAATACGGCAGAAAGATAAAGCTCCGAGCGAAAATTCTGAAAGATTTCATGTTTTGATCATTTGGAAGTTCTTGATCTCGAGATAGTCCACGGATATCAAGGTCCACCTTTCGACGTTCTTTGCCGCAAACCGCCCTGAGGCATCAGGGATAAAGCCATGCCATCATTTGCTGTAAATGAGCTCTGTAGTATCCGCAAACATCTTATTCATCGAAAATAAGCGCTCCTTGCGAATATTCACCCAATGCCAATTGAATTCCAAACTGGGGTATGTCGAAATCACGTGTCGATGGGAGATAAGAACGGCTTCACGTGCCGATAAGAGCTCCATGAGGAGAAGCGGCGTCCCGCTGACTTCTCCGCGATCCACGATGCTGTGGAGATGGAGATGGCTGACAACCCATCTCAGACGTTGTCGCCCTCGGAGGATTTTTCGGGGGCTCTCGCAAAGTCACCGCTGGCTCGACTAGACCCCAGCTTCTCCCCGAGCTATGGGTCCAGCAAAGACCCAGAGCCGCTCGTGCCGGTGCTGGCGGAGGCAGAGCACCAGCCAACAATCCCTCAGAGCTACGATGAAGCTGGAGATGGACAAGGATATCTAGCACATGGGATGGAAAGTGCAGAACCAGACCAAAGTAGCCCCGACCCACCATTCCAGCCCTTCTTCACCATCATCGAAGATGCGCATAGCTCGGCCGTCCACCACCCAACAGTGCATTATATATTCTCCGACGACGACACGGATATCATCAAGGAAGCCGGATTTCGTAGTCTCGAAATCCAGGGCATCACGATACCTGCGGAGAAAAAGGAGAAAGAATTCGAAGACGATCCCGATAGCCCAACCGACCACGATCCGAACGAAGAAGATAAATCCATCCTCCCACCTGCTCTTCCGGGCGTCCGAACACACTACCTCTTATTGGACGTTGAACCATTCTCCGCGCCAGCCGATCAAGTCACGCCCGATGCAAAAAACACGTTTAGTACCTCTCCTGCCGGGCCCGGGGTCATAACTAGCCCAATGTCCCCTTCGGCAGCGAACCCAGCCGCCGTTCCCCCCACACAATATCGTGTCACATCGGCGAAGAGCTTCTCTCCGACCTGGCAGATCCTCAACGCCGATCTAGTTCCCGCGCCGACGTTCGACAGCCAGGATCCCAACGACGGGCCTTCTCACGGGATGATGCTGAATATTCGTGGAACCGGTGGGGTGCCGAAAGACCCACGAAGCAAAGAGGATGGACTCGAAGCTCTGATGGGGAGATTTGAAAAGCACATGAGTGAGCTACAAGCCGTGATTGATTCTGCCCGGGTAGAGGAAGTGGATGCAGGAAACGGGCAAGCTGCCGAACACGAAGGCGATAGCGAGGCAAAAGCGGAAGCAGACGCGGAGGCGGAGATTGAAGTCCACGGAACCGAACTTCCTTAATCAAAGCTCGCAGTATTGCAATGCTGGTCTCATTTATTTCGGGAATTTGCGGCATTTATGCCTTTATGATAACAAATCTGGCGCATATTTAAGCATGGCGTTTGGCGCGGTTGTTTGCTTTTTTGCACGGAGATACCATGGTCGGGAGTACTATCTAAGTTTGCTATCTCTGAAACTCTCCGCTATAGTAAAAAAATATTCAAAAATAGAGAGTTTATTCAGGTCATTCAAATACTCATTCAGCAGCCAACCGGGATCTGTACGTATGATCAAGGTCATATCAATGCATCGTAGCACCCAAGGGATTGCTCGCCCAAGCAAGTTGGGAAGTTAACATCTAAGAAATTCTCAAAAAAAGTCTCGAAAGAACCCGACAAATCATGACTTCCGAAGAGAAGGTCCAAATCAGAGGAAAATGGTGCTCCCGTCACCATATCTTCCGGAGTATCAAGGTTATCCTGAGGTGTGTTGAGATTGTCAACCGAGTCGGAATTGGTCTGTGTGTGTGGAGTGCTGTAATTGACATTGGATACTAAGTTCGTGCCTTGTATCAATGGAGGTCGAGTCCTTAAACCCTCCTCCAATGAATCCGTAGGAATTTGCGATTCGGATTGGGTATTAATGGCCGGTCGATAGCTTTCCAGGGCATGTTTTCCAAGGCGTACCATGACAGCTGCTAGCCACCAAGTACTACAGAGTGATTTCAGACTCTGGTGGAATGTGAGAAGATTCTCTCGTGCCTGAACCCGATGGCCTTGCAGCTTTGCCCTTTGCAGCTGCCGGTAAGTGATTGAAAAGGCGAGCGAAAGTGAATAAGCCGATACAGGCATAGGGGAAAAATCATTGACATCCTTTCTTCGGCAAATAGCCGCGAGAGCTAGGATTGCCTGGCTTTGATGGATATTCGATGCTCGTGATGGCTGGCGGCCTTGAAGCTCGGTCGAGTATGTTCCAAGAATTATGGTGGCATGATGATACAGCTCAAGTGAATCTTTTCAATTATCGTTAATGCGTTGTTCAAACAACTCTGGAAGAAATACTCACCGAGCAGCTGTGGCTCTATATCCCATGCCTCGGAAGTTTCGACGAATTCCTCGAAGGTATAAAGATCAGCAACCTGGTCTCGAGCTCCTTCCAGTCTTGGTCTGTAGGTGCTAATAACGCGACCAAGTTGATCTGCAATTAGAAGCCAGATGCGGAACTGTGGTTTGAATAGAGGAAGGACATCGGTCACCTTCTGGCCGTGATCATAGTCATGGATCAAGACCGGTCTTCCATCCACGACGGAGTTCCACTTGTCGAGACTCCATAGACACCAGAAGAGAGATTTTGCCTTCAGGGAAGATTCGCTATCGGGCCCTCGTAGATGTAACCCGATAGACTGAGCATGGTGTACAGCTTGGGCTAAGGAAAGAGAGGCATCTTCTGACCCATTAGGGCCCCACTCATGGAGTGACAAGATGGCAAGAATTCTAATAATGAGGACCCTATTTCCATCTCTCCTGTTAGGCATATTCTGTGGGATGTCTTTCTGGAGTCGGGGGCCGAATTCCTTCAGAGGCAATAACGTCGGGTCCGATCCCAAGAAAAGAAAAGATGCCGCAGCGCGGTCCTTTGCTGCAACAAGGCATATAGCCTGAAGAAGCGGTAGTGGTAGAGAGTCATTGTTGAACTGATGGCGTGTGTCCTCCTCGTCCACCAAGGGTAAGAGGGGATATATGCGAGAAAAGAAGATTTCCACCAGGGCGATCTGGCATTCTTTCGGAGGTAAGAGGCCAGAGTATCCACCTCGCTGGGGGATATCTGCTCTCTGGGGCGCATGTTGTCTAGATGCGACACCTTCCTGGTATGATGTGACACCTTCTTCGTATGACCAGGCGCCTACACCTCCCTGGCAGGATTGACTTCTAAGCAGCCTTGGTTGCGGAGGTTGCGGGTCATTCTGCAACGCCACCAAGGGGCTGGTGTCGCACAAGAAGCGGGGAATATCCAGTTCTTGCCTGATGCGATCACCAAGGGTCGTTGGTATGCCGGTGACATCTTGAGGCCGTGAATCCTCAACTTCTCGGGATACCGATGAACTGCGCCCGGGTAGAGGTAGATGCTCCGACATCGTCGGAGTCCTCTTTCGCAGAACATCTACATCACCCGGTCTGCTGAGCTGTTCTTGCAGCTTTGACTGGGGCTCTTTTTCTAGCTCAGCTGAACTTCCATGAAAACATCGTTTCTATCATGAGATATTAGCACGTTCTGCGTCATCGCTAGCCCGGGTCTGTCCATTCCCGTGTATACCTTTCTTTGGCGGCACGGGGTGCATGCCCGACGGGGTCTTTTCACATTTTGACCGTCTTGTCCGACTAGGAATGTCAATTCCATCGCATTACCAGATACCTCAAGCTGATCGGAGGTTTCACGGTGGATGGATGATTCAATATCCCACCTGGGGAGGGTGAAGGCGGAGGTTGTTGCAAAGAGGAAAGTCGCCGCAAAGCGGTGGATTTCCTAAAGTAGAAGCTGGCCCCATTTGGCAGGTCGGCCAGCAGCCAAGATAAAATATTATACAGTATTTTATTAGTCGGATTGCATGGAAGGAGGGAGAAATTACCGAAAGAGATATGTGTAGTCCTCATTACTCTCAATCCTGAGTTATAATTTATTTTCAACCCTTTCATATGGGACATTGCAAATTGCCCAATCCAACTCAGCGAACAGGCATCTACAGAGTAAAAATCTTGCTACTATTTAACTCGAAGGATACTGCCTCGAGCAGCATACCGAAGTACCTAGGTAAAATTGTAAGCGATTAATTATTGTCAAGTTATAGCCAAGCCTCCAAGATAGAAAGCTACCGGGAAACCCCCAATAACACCCGCGATGGGATTGACGAGAGCTTATTACTGATACTTAATCTATACTATTTCTTATTAAGTTCCGACCCCGATTAGGAATGTCGCCGAATCCGACAAATACTATGACTCTGTTATAAATAAGAGAAAGTGAAAAGAATGTGCCAAAGTGGCTGGTTGAGCTCAAAACGATCGATGATCATTCCAAAATGTTCACCCAAAGCTGTGAGACCTACGATTTGACGTATGATAAACCCAACTCTCTAATCTACGACCCGCAGGGCTCCTAACTAACTCATATGCAACATGTAGACTCGACCAGGCATGCATTTTCCTGAGGGACAGAACGAAAGCTTCTATCAATGGAAAATTCCATGTCAACCTACCACATAAGAGCTCCTTCAAGAGTATCCAGGTCAAACTAGTCGGCATATTAAAAATGTGAGCCGCATATTCAAAACCAAACACACGTTCATTACTGACCAACACTCATCGAATAGCCCTCGAGACGACTACCTCATCCGCAACGATCGCCAATTAATAACATCCACATCTCACCAATCCATCGGTGCATCCAAAACCCTCAACTCCTTCCAACTCCCTGCCGGAAACTATGAATTCCCCTTCAGCCTCCCAATAGCTGGGAGAATACTCGAGACCGTCACTGCTCAACGCCACATGTACCACACCTACCATGTCCAAGCCATAATCGAGCGCCGCTTCAAAGCGGACTCAGTATTCTCTCGACCCATCCGAATTTACCGCTATCCTAACTTATCGACCGAGCCTCAAATGACATCTATACCCACGGTATGTTCGCTCTTCCCCGGGAAGCGAGAAACCCAGCAGTCTTAACAAAATTCAAACAAACCAGACCATCGTACGACAATCCGAACAAGACATCCAGTACTGCATCTCAATCCCAGAATCAAACATCCCCTTCGGAAGCAAATTCCAAACCAAATGCCATTTCTCCCCTCTCTCAAAAAGTCTCAACCTGAAGACGATATCGATCTCAGTCCTAGAAAACCACAGTCTGCAAATCGACGCAACAGCAGCAGAATCAGCAACACTCGGCATGATGAAAATAAATTCAAATCGAACATCTACGCTCTTTGAAGCCGAGCACGACTTCTCAAATCAAATACCCGACACATCATTAACAGAGAACGGCGGTAGAGATGGCGATATACGCTCTGCAGAATGGCCTTTAAGCCTTCCGGTGCAATTACCAGAGAGCTTTGACCTGGCTTCACAGTCTGTTTCGACGAGTGTTATTCGCATAACCCATGAACTGGCTATACAAGCGCAGTTCCATAATACCGAGACAGATACACCTATACTGGTGAGTGATTACTCGTTCAAGAAACCGTCAATAGAAGAAAGAACTAGGAGCTGACCCAATTACATACAGATCCAGGAACGAATTCCCTTCTCGATTTACATGACACCCGCAGTTATCGGAGATGATGGAACAATCTACGGTCAAGATCTTCAATGTTTCCAGGAATATGAAAATGCGCCTCCAGCCTATGGTCGACATAAGTGTGATGCGATTCCGGAGGAATGGGCTGAGTATCTGAACCAGCTCAGCGTAGAAAGGGCACGAGTGGCGAGTGAACAGTGCTTTCAGCCAGGAATCAGTAATGTGTCGTGTGTTCCAATTCCTGGGGTGTCTTTGGAGACTGAACCACCCGCCTACCGGTTTTGTTCTACTTAAATTGTCGGAGACTTCGATAGTAGTAAAATGAATCATGTATTATTATGAAGTAATCCCATTTACCATGGGCATCGACAGAAACACAATTTTCTCAACCTAAACTCCGGTCCAAAGAAGTCCCATCCAAACGATTAGGGTATCAAGATGTCACACGAATGGAAACAAAGAAAACAAAAAAAAAGGTAGTGAATGCAATGAATGCAGTGGATGCAAGGGGTATGTATAGACTGCTCTAGTGCGAGCCGTTTCTGTAGTTTCTGCGACCAGCAATGCCAGATGGAGGCATGTTCTCACGGCCTTCCATCATGCCAGCCATCTTCTTGGAAAGCATTTTGTGCGGTAGTTTGTTCTCAGCGATGGTGCTTATCGCGTTGGAGGTTGAGCGGCGCTTCTTGAGGGGTGGTTCCGAGTCGTCCTTTTCAGATGTCTCGTCTAGATCTGCGGAAGCGATTTGGGCGGGGGTTTCGGGTTTCGCTGACGTATCGGCTTCTTCTTCAGACCCGAGTGGTCTGGCGACGTTTATATTGACTTCCCTAAGGCCAGTGTTGGAAGATGCGTTGAATGATGATGGAGGAGGGTGGGTCCCTACCTCTTCCGCTGCATCGCTATAGACATACGAGCGTTTCGTCGGCGAGGACACAGGAGAGCTGGATGCGACGGTCGGCTGGATATCGCCATCAAAGGGAAGGGCGGAGAATTGTTTAGAGGTCCGATGACGAGAACGAAGACCGTCATGTGATTCCGTGCTTGGCAATTCGGAGGGATAGTCATAACGACGCTTCTGGGGAGTCGCCCCGGTGGGTAAATATTCTTTCATGGGATGGCTGTGGACGTTTTCTCGCAGTTCGGCGAGAGGTTGGCGGACGTGTTCTTGCAAAGGAAGGGCTGATTGTTGGAGGTCTTCTGCGTGCACATCCATATCCTCTTGCAGTTGCTCGACATTCTCACCAAGACCGTTGAGTTGACTGTCAACAGCCGAGCGCATTTCACGGACATTGTTTGCCATGGAATCTAGGCTACCCAGTTGGGCTTCGTGGAAACGGCCATTGTGGGACCGAGCCTTCGCAACAAAGTCATCGAGGGCTTCCATCTGCGTGCTCATGTCGCTCATCTGAGCATCCACAATTCGAACAGTCTCCTGGTGCACGGACTCGGTAGCCCGCTGAATCGAGGCGTTGCGTTGGTCAAATGTCTGCTACGGTTAGAATGTATTCGGAAGATTGCCAGTAGAGATTTCCTTACCTCCCAGTCATTTTGCATCTTTGTCTTAATGTCATCGCGGGATGCATTGACGTCCTTCGCAAATTGCTCCTCCTTAAAGATCCACTCATCGACACTCCGATCATAATGCGCCGTGGCTTGCTCAAGTGAATCGCCGGAGGCTGACAAGTCGGTTCGCACTGTGTCGAACTTGCCTTTAAGACGACTGGTTTGTTTTTGGCTAGACTCTTCCAGCAGGTTCCGAATCTGGGACATCATGGCGTCACGCTCAGCTTGCGCGGTTGCATGTTCCTCCTCAAGAGCTTGGGCCAAGTTTGAAGAAGCCTTGCGGTTGGCATCAACGGTTAGGCGATTAGCCTCCTGGAGCTCGAGACGAAGACGGTTTATCTCGGACTTTTGCTGGTCAATATGGGAGGTTATATGTTCGAACATGCTCTTGAGATCTTTCCCAAGGACACTATAGGACGAATGGAGCTCCGAGTGGAATTCTCCGAACTCGCCGATGACTTCTTTCGAGATTCTAGCAGCCGCAGCAGAAAGACCATTGAGGCCTTCGCCAACTTTCGTCTTCACATCCTCGCGGAGAACCTTGATCTCCTCGAGTACCTCATTCATTTCGTCGTGTGCACTGGAAGTTTGATTTTTGGCCTGGGTCTCAACCTTTTCAAGAGAGGCGCCAAACTCCTGCAGCTGAGAGCGGGTTGACTGAACGCTGTTCAGTTCATCGCCGACAAATTGGTGGATTCTGATTGACATATTGTCCAAGAGCTCGGCATGGCGTGATTGGAAATCCTCCAGGCGAGTATCGATGTGCTGGGTTACGGTGGATAGCTCGCCGGTGGAAGCCTGCCAGATTTGACGGTTATCGGTTTCCAGGTTGTCCTTGCGGTCCAACTTTGCATGAAGTCCATCGACATCTGCCACGGTATGGTCAAGAGTCGTCAGAATCTCGGCACCGATTTCCCGTAGCCTACTCTCGGTTTCCTCATGGGCCTTGCGCACAGCTGTCTCCTCATCCAGCTTTTCCGATGTATCTTTGAGGGTTCCCTCGGTTTGTTCCAGGTCGGCTCGTGTGCTGCTCAGTTTACCCAGCGTTCGCTCGTTATCATCCTTCAGGGTATTGAAGTTGCTAGTCAATGCAAAGAGCTCTTGGACTTTGTGGCGGAGGCTGGACTCCATGGACTCGATCTTGGCACGCTGCTCCTCGTTGACGATTCGGCGTGATTCACTCTCGGTTCTCATCTCCTCGTATGACTCTGGTGTCATATACACGCCATTCCGGTGACGCGTAGCGATAAGCTCACTCTTGAGCTTCTGAATTTCCAGGCCAATATCACGGAGAAGTTTGCTTTTCGAGATGATCGAGTTTATCTGGGGTTTATTGCGGATGTTCTTAGCACGGAATGCATAGTCCAAAGTTGAAATGGTTTCCTCCAAATTGCTCCGCGATGGTGACACAGTCGCAATGATGCATGTCTTTGTCTGTCCACCAAGTGAGTCTTGCAATAGGCGGGTCAACTTGGACTCGCGGTAGGGGATGTGAGAGCCTTTATCGACCAGGGCATTGATCACTCGTCCCAATGTCAACAAACTCTTGTTGATCAACCCGGCCTCGGCTGCACGCTTGTTTTCGGCACCGCTTCGACCGATATTTTCGCTACCGGCCAAATCCACCAGGTTGAGCTTTCCGGAGCTGATGTAGTCCTCGCCAGACTCTGTCGTGCGCTTTGTCATAACTGTGATCGTGAAGACAGTGTGACTGCGGGAGCTGAGGTCGTTGCATTTAGTCGCAGCCACTTGACGCTTGTGGCTGCCCATCTGCAAAAGCTTTATGCCGTTTGAAGCTGAGTCAATATAACTCTCCTCCATTCCCTGAACCACGGTCGCAGACTGGCCCTTCTTCTCATTCTCAAAAATCTTTAATTTCGCGTTCTCTTCAGCGGATAGAAGATCGCGCAGCTCCTCGTTGTACAATTCGATAAAGGAGCACTTGACCATGCTTTCGGTTCCCTCCAGCTTGTTGAATAGGGAATAGAGTGTTCGAGGGATGATACCCGCATCATCAGATAAGATTCCCAAGGTGTCGGTCATGTCTCCGGACATGGTATATGTCTTTCCTGTTCCCGTCTGTCCGTATGCGAAGATCGTACAGTTGAAGCCGGTGAGCATCTCGTGAACAATAGGAAGGACGGTGTCCTCGAAGACTCTTGTTTGATCGGCGGCGGGCGAAAACACCTTATCGAAAGCATAGGCCTTGTTGGATAGCGCATTTGGTCCCATCGAAAGCTCCACCGTTTTACCATTAATACCTTCGGGGGTCGATAGGACGACGCCACTGTTTTCCTTGACTTCGCGCTCATTGCGGCCACGACAACGTACTACCACGTGAATGCTGGTGTCTTCGTTGATTTCGCGTTCATAATCTCTTTCCTTCCTCTTTCCGGCGGCGGCATTTAATGATTGATCCGGAGTCTGTTTTGTTGCTCGTGTGCTGGTTGTCACGGCGGCGGCGGCTTTTGTTGTCACGGCGGGTGAGGCATGTCGCTCTGGAACCGCAGAACCAGCTCGTCGAGTGGGTTGTCGCAGGTTCGACCTTCTCGCGGGAATCGCAGAAGTGGGCCGAGCTGGGCCGACCATAGTGAAGAAAAGTGAATATCAGGGTGATCTCTGGAGGGGGGGGGGGGTTGTTCAAAGTAGGTGTAGTCAGTGGTTAAGCTTGCATGTGCGGGAGTGCTCGAGTGGATCCTTTCGGGCAAAACATAAACAAAGACCACGTGATCAGGTCACACCCCCCGCTCATGTGATATGGGTCACATGATCCTGTCCGTCATGCTTCTTTCCCCTCTTTACTTTCATTCCACCCCCTCACCACTGCCCCAGATCTCCTCTTCTTGTTCTTTTGACTGTTTCATTCTATCGGATGGTCACCCCTGTGGCACTTAACCTGGCATCATGAGCGCCAAATCGGCGCCAGTTCAGATTCTCCCTGGCAAAAGCCTGGGCTTTATCAGTATGTCTGATGATCGACATCTATATCTAGATGCGGGGAGAGCGTCAAGCTTACTTATATTCACAGCTCTCGGTGCTTCTCTACACAACGTTTTGACTCGAGTCAAATCACACCCTCAGACCTATCCTGCGATCGATCTTGCCTATTCTTCCACCGATCCTTTGCGTAACCCTGTTGTTCTCCAGTTACCTTCAAATGGGCTCCGCCTACGGTTCGACGGTCCCGATCAACGACTACGTCTGATCGAAGTCCTGGATTTCTCTCGGGTGGACCTATTATACAAGAACCAAGATGTCATGAAAGGTGGAAAGTCAACGGAGCAGCCGACATCTTCTCAGGGGCCTAGCTTCCGTCATGTCTACAATCGACTCTTCGGTCCATCCTATCCTGGTGAATATATACCTCCACCAGACCAGTCACCCTACGGCACCTATGTGCTCTCATATCCCGGGGTTGCTTTTTCTTTCCCACTGCAGCATTCGGCCTGGTCCGAGCAATGCGATTTTGTAGCACTTCTATCTTCTTCTGCTGCGCAGCCAGCAACCTCCATGTCCATTTTCCAAGGGTCCTCGTGGCCCGAGGTCCGTGCGAAACTCTTCATTCAGCAACCTCAATACCCCCGCGCATCGGCAGTAGTCAGCAAGACCCGTGACTCATTCGCAGATGAAGTTGAAGAGTTTCATATTCTCGGCGCTGGAAAGTTGGAAGCATCACGACGAACAGGCCCTCCGGTATCCATCGTCCTTGGGGAGACCAGTCCACAAGACTTGATCGCGGAGTTCGGGCCTCCCGATGCGATCTATCGTAAACATGATCGCCGCATCTCTATTCACCGCGCAACTGGGACCAGTGGCGCAGACCCGTTGAATCCAAATCTATCGCCAGGAAGAAATTTGGATTTACCTGATACTGATCATTCATCCACTAATAGCATCGCTGATGATTCCGATGAAGAAACACCCGCAGGACAAGTGAGCGATCCAGGTTCCTTGCCCGCTGAAAGTTTCTTTAATTATTTCCATCATGGATTTGATGCATTTATTTCACATCCATGTACACCGGGCCCTGCGTTCCCTGCGTCCGGCATTCCAGACCCGACCGCGCCATCACTTCCTTCTACTCAGTTGGTCGTGACCAAGATCATCCTACATGGCAATGTTCCGGGGTCATACCCGTTTAACCGCCACCGTCGAAGTCGCTGGACTATTCATCCAGATGAAACCAGCCTAGGACTGAATGCCGAGTCACCTTACGATGAGATCTCGGAGCGGCTGCGTGCAGTATGGAAGGGGTCCTATTCTAACCCTGGAGAGGAGCGCGCCACACAGCGACCGATGGTTTTGAACCGCGACTGGGGTGACAGCCCCGAGAGCAGTGTTGAGTTCCTCGGAGGTTGGGAGGAGACCACCGCCAAAGGACAGCCCTCCGGTGTAGATGGACACGACGGTAAGTTAGGCAACACGGAACTCTTTGGATTCCCGGGACTTTTATTTGAAGTCTTGAAGAACGGGGCTGTCAGCTCTCTGACGGTCTACTGAGTGAGACATTATCGAGACATGCGATACGACTTTATGACTGGGCTTGAGCGCTTGGAATGACTTTTTGTACACATTTTACGCTGCATTGTAAGATGTATTTAGATTTCATAATATTACGTATTATTACCAGAAAATGCACCCTATCAGTCAAAAGATTCGTATTGGCGGGTAAACTTGAAGACAACCGCCTTTCTCGGCCGCGCGATAATCTTCTCCATCTTCAACTTCCAACCTCACTCCTCAAACCTCCGAGAGGATATGCAGGGAGGATGCAACAACCAGGGCGATCGCTCCCTCGATCCTGGACCTCGACACTAAAACTTCCCAAATCAAGTTTCCCTCCACGCGTGTCGCCAGCCGACCGAACAAAATATCTGAAACGATGCACCGATGAGCTGTACGCCTGGCAGCGTCGCGAACGACCTGCGACCAAACCTTTCGTCCTCCACGATGGCCCACCCTACGCGAATGGTGAATTGCATGTCGGACATGCCTTGAACAAAATCACCAAGGATATCATCAACCGGGTGCAATTGAGCCGGGGCAAGCAAGTGCGCTATGTCCCCGGATGGGATTGTCACGGACTGCCAATTGAGCTCAAGGCGCTACAAGGTCTGCGCAATACCGATGTTTTGGACAAGTCGGTCAGCGCCGCTGTGATTCGCAAAGCTGCTAGGCAGCTTGCGCGACAGACAGTCAAGGAGCAAATGAAAGGGTTCAAAGGATTCGGAGTCATGGCGGATTGGGAAAACCACTGGAAGACAATGGATCACAACTTCGAGATGCGCCAGCTGGGAATTTTTCGCGAGATGGTCGATCACGGACTCATCTATCGGAAGTTCAAGCCCGTTTATTGGTCGCCGTCAACTGGAACCGCGCTCGCGGAAGCGGAACTGGAATATAAGGACGATCACGTTTCGACTGCGGCTTTAATCAAGTTCCCGCTTGCTCATATCCCTGAACACCTCGCCAACGATCCTCTTCTCGCAAATAAGGAGGTCAGCGCTGTTATCTGGACCACTACCCCGTGGACACTGCCTGCGAATGCTGCAATTGCGGTGAGCGAAGAGCTACACTATGCGATTGTCGAGTCGGAGCAACATGGCCATCTACTCATCGCTCAGTCTCGTATCGAATACATGGAAAAGATGCTGAAGGAAGACCTGTCCGTGATCATCCCTGACATCCTTGGATCCGAACTGGGTGACAAGGCCACCTACCGACCTCTTTGCAAAGGTCCCGAGGCGGAAGCGCAGCCGATTATCGCCGCTGACTTTGTGACCGCTGATTCCGGATCTGGCTTAGTTCACTGCGCCCCTGGACATGGTATGGATGACTACGAAGCTTGTCTAGCCCGCGGAATCGAGGTGTTCGCACCAGTCAACGACGAGGGAAGATTTACGTACAAGGCCATGCCCCAGGATCCTTCGCGTTTGAGTGGCAAGTCCGTCCTCGGCGAGGGTAACGAAGCAGTATTGGAATTCGCGAAGGAGCGCAACCAGCTTCTCGCTCAACACAAATACGAACACAAATACCCCTACGACTGGCGATCCAAGCAACCGATCATCATCCGCGCGACTGAACAATGGTTTGCCGATGTGGCTGATATCCGCAAGAACGCGCTGCAATCGCTGGAAGATGTTCGATTTGTTCCTGAGACCGGCAAAAATCGACTCCAAAACTTCATCAAGAACCGCAGTGAATGGTGTATCTCGCGTCAACGTGCCTGGGGTGTACCCATTCCCGCTCTTTACCATCGCGCCAGCGGCGAGGCTGTTTTGACCAAGGAAAGTGTCTCGCATATTATGGACACTATCAAGGAGCGCGGTATCGATGCCTGGTGGACAGACAGCGCTGATGACCTCGCTTGGGTTCTCCCATCGCTCCGTAATGACACTACTGGCTACCGCCGTGGAACCGATACGATGGATGTCTGGTTCGACAGTGGTACTAGCTGGGCGGAGATTGATGTGCCTACGGAAGGCCGAAGCCATCCTGCAGATGTCTACCTCGAGGGAAGCGACCAACATCGTGGCTGGTTCCAGTCGGGTCTTCTTACCTACACTGCGCACCAGCTCGCCTCCGGCAAGACCGATACTCGTGCTCCTTTCCGTAATTTGATCACCCATGGATTCACGCTGGACGAGGCTGGACGCAAGATGAGCAAGTCTATCGGTAACACCATTGCTCCCCAGACCATCATGGACGGTACCCTATTGCCTCCTCTGAAGCCCCGAAAAGGCAAAGGCAAGAAGCAGGCCGAAAACCACGAACCTTCCTTCGACGCTCTGGGTCCTGATGCGCTTCGATTGTGGGCCGCGGGTAGTGATTACACCCATGATGTCGTAATTGGAAAGCAGGTCCTGCAAGGCGTTCATACCAGTTTGCACAAATTCCGGGTGACCTTCAAGTTGCTGCTGGGTGCTCTCGGTGACTTCTCACCGAAGGATGCCGTGGCATACGATCAGCTGCAACAGGTTGATCGTATTGCATTGAAGCATCTCTCCGACATGATCGTTGCTTCTCAGAAGTCCTATGACAACTTTGAGTTCTACAAATCTGTCAACATCCTCAACCGCTGGGCCAACCTTGAATTCTCGGCCTTTTACATGGAAGCCATCAAGGATCGCTTGTATACTCTAGGCGAGAACAGTGCTAGTCGCCGTACCGCCCAGACAACCTTGTTCTACATCTTCACCCATCTCCAAGAAGTCCTTGGCCCCATCACCCCGATCCTCGTCGAAGAGACGTGGGACCACACTCCAGAAGCTGTCAAGTCACACAGCGGCCACCCCTTACAGCGCCTCGCCGCCCACCCTCCAGCGGAATGGCAGGATGCTGCCCTGGACACCAGTTACCAGGAGATCGTCGCCGTCCACTCAGTGATCAAGAACCTGCAAGAACAAGCCCGCAGCAAGAAACAGCTCGGCTCCTCTCTTCAATCATTCGTGCACATCTCCCTCCCTGGTAACGAAGCCTCGGTTTTCCACCGCCACCTGTCCGAACTACCAGACCTCTTCGTCGTGTCCTCCGTCACGATCGGCAAATCTGGCGAATCCATCGCCGGAGATATTGCCGACGCAGAGTGGCAGTATGAGGAAGAGTGCGAACTTCCAAGTGGCGAGAAGGGAATCGTGCACGTTTATTCTCCCCAGGCGTCGAAGTGCCCGCGATGCTGGCGGTATGCCGTTCCCGAGACTGAGGCGACAGACGCAATCTGTGGTCGTTGCGAGTCTGTCGTGGCTGAGCTGGATGCGTGATTTCCTCCAGCAATGCCTCTGTAATTATATGCATGTACCATAGAACTGTTCAAAAACCAACCCACCCCTTTCTGGCGAACTATCTCAATCCAAATGTACTTCTATTGCAATTTCAGCCTACTCTATTCAATCAGTGACTTGGTAACTTGATAAAGTACAAATTTGCCCATCCCTCACAGGAACGTCCACAGATACTCCGCAAGAGCCATAATTGCCATCGCCTGGCCATATGGCATGGAAGTAATCGGGATATCCTTATAGAACTGCAGATTATGACCCATAGGCGTGCCATAACTAGTATTCCTCAGCTCGCCCTGTTCATCCACATCTCCCAGAACAGACTGTATAGCCCTCCGTCCAACATCACGATATTTATCCCCAATATAACGTCGTCGCACGGCCTTCAATATACCATATGCAAATCCAGCAGTGGCAGAAGCTTCAAGGTACGAATCCTCATGATCAAGCAGAGTATGCCAAGCACCAGAGTCCGACTGAAGGCGTTTCAAAGCCTCGCACTGAGCCTCAAGCGTTTCACACAAATGGCATCTCAAAGGATCATCAACATCCAAATCCAGCAATTCCAGAATCTCCGGAATAACCATCGTACACCAACTATTCCCCCTCGCCCAGCGCGCATCAGCAAAATTATGACCACCAGTCTTATCCGTGAATTTCCACCCATGAAAGAAAAGACCACTCCTCGTATCAAAAAGATACTTCACATGAACCAAACACTGCCTCTTTGCCTCAGCAATATACTCATCCCGCCCCAACAATTTCCCAATCTTCACCAACGGCATCACAGTCATCATAAGCGTGTCATCCCAAAGCTCCTGCTCATTCTCATCAACATATGTAATATGCTGCATACCACCATACTCCGTCCTCGGCAAATCATACATAGCCCACTCAGCCCAAGCATCCAACCAAGGAAGATACGCCGGATTCCGCGTCCTTTCATAAACGCACGAGAGAGTCAAAAGTGGAGCCATAGTATTGATATTCTTACTCGTTCCACCCTCGCTAAAGCGCGCGGCGAACCAGTCTTCGATTATCTTTAGGTATGAGTCTTTGCCGGTCATTGAGTAGATTTTCCATATCCCGTATAGTCCGACCCCGTGCGTCCACTCCCACCCATTCCAGCATTTCGCTTGGATTGTTTTGCCGTTCTTGAGGTGGACGAGGAATTCGCCCGTGTCGTCGCGGATGTTGATTAGATTATCGATGAGGAGGTCGATTTTCCGGTGAATTTCGACTGGGTCGGGTTTGAGTTCTTGTTTTGATGACATTGTGGGATGGTGGGGATGTAGGTCGGACTCGGACTTGAAACGCTTCAAGAAATCAGGTTCTCTTGAGGTGAGAGGAGTAGACTTGGAATAAATAGCGGTTGTCATATAAGTCAACAACTTCCCCTCACTAAGTCTACACTCTGAGTCGGATATAACTCCGGTCCAGTGCGGGGATATCTCCGTTCTATTACTTCGGCGTATTGGATACCGACTCTACCCCAACCATGCGAAGTATACCCATACCGGCAAAATTGCCGAGTCAGAGGTAGAGCGAGGGGACTTAATAAGCCTCAATTCTACTTGTATGAAAAGAGGATGAGATAACCTTTCCGTTCAGGATCTAAATTTGTTCTAGGGACCGTATGTCAGACCCCTCAGAGGAGACGTGAGAAAGGTGGCTTTTAGAAGATCCATCCATCAGTATATTTAGTATGATATTGAAGCTTGCCGAAACATTGATGCTTGCCGGGATAACAGGAGACTACACCAGGGTTAAATTTATCTACTCTGTACTTTGTAGAATCCGAAGTACCAATGACGTTAGTTGGGTGCGAAGAGTTTAAGTTACCAAGGTAATATATTCACAAATCCGAAGATGCTGGAAGAGAGGAGAATAATATTGAATTGGTCCAGTTCCTATTGAAGGTAACTCAGCTTAAACTAAATAAAAAACAACAATTTGAAATCCAGCATATCTCATCGAAAATTCATGACGCACTTATCAACCTAAACCTTTCACCAAAACAAAAGAAAAAAAAACAGATCCCGAAAACCTCCATGCGCATATTTGCATACGGAGATTCTTTCGTGCCCAAAAATAGCTCTATTTAATCGGGATACACATCCTCTCGAAAAAGAGCTTGTCAGCCTGTTGGATCTAGGGTACTTTAAGCACCCTCCTCATCTTCCGGAAGACGAATAGCACCCTCGGTAATACCGTTGGCCCAGAAGCCATTAACGTGGGTGGTACTAAAGCTGTCAGTAAGAATGAATCAAGACGGAGCTGGTGATTAAAATTACTTACATGCCGGTAGCATTGTCATGTGACAAGATGAGCCAGTAGCCGACAATTCCCTGGGTGAGAATGTCGTGGACAGCGAATACGACGGTCTCAGCGTCAACACTCAGCTTGAGAGCCAGGGGACCAGCAGCAATGGCACTAAAAGAGTCAGTATCGGAGAAGTCCATGGGAACACAGAACATAAGGGAAATACAGTACGTACATCGGGTACAAGGCAAATACGATAAACGTCAAGCCAGAAATAGCACCGAAGAATCGTCGAACCTGGGCATCCTTATTCTGGCTAGCACGGTGGGCATGGAATCCGCCGAAGTGCAGAACAGTCAGGTATGACAGACAACTGATGGTCAACCACGCCCAACGGGCCCTGGTATGACCATCGTAAGTACCGAGCAATCCCGCAGCCAACATGACCCAATTGGCCGCAATGGCGGAGACCAAGTGTGCACCAGGCAGACCGCTCACGAGAGCAAAGTTGGTGAGGATGAGCGGGGTGGAGAGGGCCCAGTTCACGTAGCGCAACCAGGGAATGGAGCGGTAGAGGTCGTCCTGGGTGTTGGGGACATGTTTGTGGTGGTTTACAATGGGGGACCAGGCCAGATTGAAACCTTGGCCAGTTGCGAGGGCGAGATAGGTGATGAAGGAGATGGTTGTGACGAAGGCGGACAATGTGTGGAAGACACGCTTAGACTATAGAATAGCAAAGACGAAAATGTGGGGTTAGCGCGGGCTCTATTTTTGACGGGTGGGGATGCGGAGGAGATCTGATCTTACCAGCGGGGCCCGGGCGGCGAGGGTGTAGAAGACCACAGAGGAGATACCCATCAGCACAGTGACGACCCTAAAATTTTCACGGTTAGCTGGAGCTCACTGGGAAGCGGGATTTAACAGGAGAATCAGTACCAGAGAGTGCGTTGTCCAGTTACGTGGAGCTCCTGGAAAACCTCACCTACTCCCGGGATCACGGTGGGGATAGGGTCGATCGAGTGGGTGGGATGGGCATGCTCCACCTTGGTGGGAAAAACATCAAATTCCGAGGGGACGATCATGATGGATGAAGATGAGTGGGAAGATGGGGAGGAGAAGAGAGGTGAAGAAGGAAGAAGAAAAGGAGGAAGTTAAGGGCAATGGCAATGGCAATGGCAAACTAGGCAGGAGCGGAGAGCAAAGCAAAGCAGGATTCGGAAGGCGGGTAGCTCCTTCCTTGTAATGCGTCATTGCCACCATGTATTTTATACACATCCATACAGTATAGTACAGTATATTATATAATATAAAATTATATCATATTATATTACATTGTATTATTGGTATATTAGTATAACTATAATACTACGCTGTATTAAGTAAGTATATTAGGTATAATCTAGCTGGCAGCGGGTACCTTGTGTTGCACAAGGGACTTGAAAAGATCCTATGACAAATCTCTATGCACTGTAGCTGCAGATTATATGCAGAGTATACTGTGAGGACTCGAGTATTGGAATATTATAGTATTTTGACGAAAAGTAACAAAACTAGAGAAGAAAGGAAGAGAGAGAGAGCTCTCATCGCAACTATCGTACATGAACCGGTGTCTAGCCACGTGACGTATCAGGTGACTGAAGCAACAGCGGTCAGGTTCGTCACATAGACTAGTATGCACATTGCACAGATCTAGAGGAGGCTGGGAGTTGAGATAACTAATCTACCTACATACCTAGGTAAACACGTAAAGGCTATACGAGACCGCCCCATCTTATTATCTCCCGCAACTGGCACTGAGGCTGTCTGGAGATTTTGGCTCAATCTCAGGGGATGCAAGTTGAAGGCCGTGGGACCAATATCAAAGACTGAATGTCCATCACAGTGCATCGTGGGCAATCTGGTCGGTAAACGCATTGGAGTCATTTTTATTGGCTTGAGTGTAGTAGAGATATCGCTTGTCGTACCTAGGTACGCTGCTCGGAAGTAGCGCCGCTGTTTGGCTTCGACACCATGGGGTCGGAAGACTGGAAGATGACCGGAATGAAGTTGAAGCAAATGGAGGGACGATAGGAAGTTTAACCGGTCAACTTACAAGTCCTGACCTGACCCAGCACTTACGGACTGTGTTCCTATTAGTAGAAGTCTCTGCCATACAAAGTTTTTTAGCTCCTGGCACATGTATAGTATACTACAAGTAGTTTCACCTGGGCATGTAAGAAAATAAAAGGTACTGTGCTCTGGTTTTCTTATACTAATGTACACTTTATGCGCGATCCTTTTTAGGCACACTGTTTTCTAGTGAGGTGATTTTCTCCTTGTTCGACCCCTCGTGAGTTTGTGCTTCTTCTCCGGCTGCGGCTTGCGCACTCGCATTTCCACGATGCCAAAGATAATACATCGAGGCAGCTCCAGTGCCCACAATCAACCAAATTCTAATAAGAGTTTCAATTAGCTACGTCTTCGAAAATCAAAAAGGAGATTTGAATTTAGTATCACTGCCCTCGGACTTACCGCTTAGGGTACCCGCCATATTCAACGGGCTCACCTTTCATCGTTGAAACACTTTGCCTTCGATGTGGGAACGGACCTTGTACACCCCGGGATTTGAAGAGGATAAGAGGGGTCCCAAAGACTCTCTTTGAAGAATGTTGAATTAAATTCATGTTTTCTCGGAAAATATCCCTTGATTAATCGACTGCCCAGGTGTAACAGATGAAATCCTACCTGGAGACCATTTGAAGACTTTATATGCACGTACACTGGCTTCAATCTGTTACATCATTGGCTGTTAGAGCAAGGGCTTCTCTAGAACAATCAAGGACAGCAACAAAATGACAAGCATTGAGAACCTTAACCATTCTACAAAACTTCTCGATTCAGGTTTGTGGGGCTGGTAGACCCGCCTAGATGAAAGTGACCTGATCATGACAGCATCTCATCTCAACCTCAGCCTACAACCAGGATTTGATTCTGGGAAGCGGGCGTAAGCATATTTCAATATGTAAGACCACTGCTTGAGACAGCTTCAGTGAAAAACCCCTAGCTTCCGAGCACGTTACACTGGTCTCCACGCTGATCGCCTTCGCGGTGGCGGTTCCACCAATAAGAGTCTAGTTCGATCTGGACATGCAGGTTTCACAGCACAGCTGCACGCGTCAATAATTACTAGCGCTGGTATCGTCGGGAGTGATTTGATTAAGGCCACGTACTAGTATCTATCCATTTTGATACTCCGCATATGCATTGGCTTAAACTGGCTACTCGCAACTTGAAAGTCAATCGCTAGAGCTTGATAATGACCTTGCCGAAATGCTTCCCAGAATACAGATAGTCAAATGCAGCTTGCGACTCTTCGAAAGAGAAAACTTTCTGATCCAAAATGCCCTTCAAACTGATCTCTTTCTGGGAAAGAAAATCGTACAAATTCTTTCCATCGACTTTCGACCCGACAGCGATCCCCCTATTCACACAGAATGTTAGTAACCAAATCCGGGAATATTCACGATATCTCTCTGCTCATACCTGATCGTAGCACTTTTAACCAATGCCGGCAAAAGCAGATCTGGCGGAGTACTCTTGGATAGTCCGCCCAAAAATCCAACCAACGACACTACACCTCTCCGCGCGATCGAAGCCAGGCTTTTAGTGGCGGTATTTGGACCGCCATTTTCAATCACGACATCTACACCACGCCCATTTGTCAGACGAAGAACTTCTTCATCCCATTCCGAATGTGTCCGATAGTTAATGGTATCGATGGAGCCCGAGCTACCGAACGACTTTGCGATTTGAAGCTTCTCGTCGGAGGAAGACGTCACTATCGGGCGGATCCCGGCAGCTAGACAGATCAATAAGGCAAACATGCTGACTCCGCCAGTTCCTGATCACAAATCAGTCACAGATAAAAGATTTTATCCAGTAGCGCTTTATTTCATACCCTGAAGCAGAGCTGTTCCTTTTGATCGAGGCATATCCAAAGCCGTCCATGCCGTCACGCCGGCGCATGCAAGACATGCCGCCTACAAAGAGTGAAAGGTGTAAGTCTCAGAAAGGTAAATATGGCCCGTCTCTGAAGGGCCTGGTAACTCACCTCTTCCCAAGAAAGATGCTTTGGCAAGTGCAGGAGAAGATTTTGGTTGAAAACAGCATACTCGCGAAGCACACCCTCTGCCTCGCCACCGAGACCGCTGCTCTCGTCTTCCGTACCGGTCAAGTTCTTCAGGTCAAAGATCGCGGTGACACGGTCTCCGATCTCAAAATCGTGGACTCTAGAACCGACTGAAATAACTTCAGCGGCACAGTCCGAGACGGGGATTCCTTCGTCAAGGAATTTCACAGGGTATTTTCCGTGTAGCATTGCTACATCTCTATAGTTGAGAGAGACAGCATGAATTCGAATGAGGACTTCATCATCATCCAAGCTTGAAGGAAGCTCTTCCGTTGTCAGTTGGAGGGTTTTAGGTGTGGCCCCCTTGCTGCGTCGGTAGGCTTTGTATGTGTGCGGTGCTGCCATCTTGGAATCAATTAACTCAATTCATTTCTCTTTCGACTTGGGAGATGGGAAGTTTCCCCAGGGCTGGTGTGCTATTTATGCCAGTTTCCGCTTACAGGGAACACCACCTGATAAAGATGATAAATCACTGCCAGTGGGATTCCGGTACCTAGTGGATTTGTCATTGTTCAAGAAAGTTTGCCTAAGTGGATAATGAATTCTGAAATTTGTATAAAAGCTCAGCACTTGGATTATTATTCAGCGTAGAAAATACATTTTATCTAAAAATACTCTAATAACTCAGAGGATTTCGATATCCAACTATTTTCGGCGACGTCGTTTAGCTCAAGTCCAATCGATCCAGCAGGCACTACACGATTCCATTCATCTCTAGTAGCGGCATCCCAAACAAGACGGCTTTTTGGCATTGGGAATTGAAGCTCATTTGTTGCAACCCACCAATTCAGGGTAAGTGAGTCTTCCTGTATAGATCCCAGATGCCCAATGTTTGTAAGGCTCAATTTACTGCCGAGTTTGTACAATGAAAGATTAAATCGCTTGACCTCTTCAATAAACAAAAAAGCCAAAGCTTCGTCGCCAGTTTCCCGATATTGAGCGAGGATATTGGGGAAGTAGAACATCCCAAGCTTTCTGCAGCTTCGGATGAGCGCGGCAAGTAGTTCAGTAGTATGCGGGGTGACAGAGGCTTTGAGCTCGAAGTCAGAGTTGTGCTGACTTTCTATCATGCAAGAGAATATGATATGCAATAGGATTGCTTGCAATGTCGCCAGTGGCCAGCGACAATTGCTGGAAACTTCATGATCCGTAGCGTCCCATTTCCCCTATGATCCAGTCAGTATTAGAGATCAAAGCGACAATCCCCGTGAAAGAATCTTACCGTCTGCTCTCGGATAGCTGCATCAATCTTATTGTGAAGATCTTTCGCGGCGGATTGCGAGGCCTGCTCACCACTAGCCCATAGACCAATAACAATCATCGACTGCACCATTAAAGGCACCTCACGTGGCGCATAAAATGATGCTCTATGAACAAAAGGCCAATGGGAATGGAACTTCTCGAAATAAAGCTCAATGCACTTATCTCTCTTCTCCAGAAGGCTAGGAGACTGAGACATTTTTGGCATAGTGGTTGATTGCTGATCTTCTAGAGGCTGGCGATGGTCCTTGCGCCCGATAAAATCCTCTTCTTTGAAAGCACACACAATTTCTCGGCGTACACATTCCTCGCATGGTGGACCTCCTTCACAGCGAGATTTTGCCATCTGGCAGGCTTCACAGGCTTTCCGCGCACGATTGGTTGGCTCGTTGATCTTATGATGTTGTCGGAGGTGTCGGCGAAGGGTATCACTGGACAATAACAATTTAGAATGTACTTTCCCAACAGATCCTCGAATATAATGCGCAGAACTGCCTTACCTCCGACCGAACTCCCGCTCACAGTTCGGACATCTGAAAGGTTCGTGCTGAGAATGTTTTGCCCGGTGGCGTTGCAAATGCTCTTTTCGACGATAGCTTGCTTTGCAACCGTCAAATGAGCATTTGAACGGTGTCTCATCGACATAGCTGGCTTCTTGAATGCCTTTGGGGCTTTTTCTAGTCGGCATTGGGGTGTACTGTGAGTTTTGAGGTTTCTCGGTTCAGATGGCGGCTCCCACCGGATCCCACCGGAGCCCATCGGCCTCCCACCGGTATCCCACAGCATCTGTTTGTCGTCATCAGCCCCACTACTTTTCTTGTATTCTGTTGCAAATATCTACTACATGTGATAACTCGATAGGTTTGCTCCCTTTCCACACACCAAATACCCGATGATGATTACATTGGTTTTTTTAGAGTAAATCGCAAAATGTCTTCCACTAATCACCGAGCAAGAAAAGCCATATACATGGATCCGGAATACGATAAGGAATCGAACCCCTTGACAGTACTAGGACAACCTTGATACCCCTGAGCTCGGACACAGACATCTTACTTGCAGCAAGCTGCCAGTTCTCTTATTCCTCGCCAGTTCAGCCGTATCTCTGGGGTTGTCAACAGAAAGCCTTTTGTATAGTCGCATTCCTTTGCAATTCCCAAAAGAATCCTCCAGAACCTCAGAACTATACTTAGGTACATATTAATCATTACCATGGACAAAATAGGTCTTGCTGGCACAATCAGCACCTGGGTAGCCGCCCTTTTAGCCATCGTGGCTTTGCTCGGAGTCGTGGGGCCGCTTTTGATCTGGCGGGCAAACAGAACCGAAAGACAGATGGCTCTCAAAGCTGTCGACTCAGAACTTGCTGAACATGGAGGTTTCATGGCAAAAGGCCTGAAATTTTGACCTGACATTCGCCTTTTCCATCGCGTTCGGGCGCCATTGCTAAGAGCTGAGGCCAATCTTAGCAGAGCGCCGATCAAATGGGATCGCAATGTGCGCCGGGTGTCCAAGTATTCAGCAAGGTGGGGAAAATTCGGCATTCTGGTCAGCTCCTACAGTGCTTTGCCCGGACGCGTTGTATCTGGTTCAACATGTTCGACCAATTCACGCACATGTAGGAAAGCGGGGAGGGATCCATTTGATGGCATGCTGATAATTATTAGCCGTGGCACGGCAATTAGACCTGATAAAAGAGATACTTGCTTTAAAACACAACAAAGTAGTCATATAGAAGGGAAGGCGGGTCAAAAGCAATGAAGAGGTGTGTCAATTGGGCAATTCACCTCTCACAGTCTACAGTCTGCAGATACGAGCCAAAATATGATGGATCTTAAAGTATAACCAACTACGCAAAAAAGCGATGTATTTTGTATGCGAGACTGCTGCTTACGAATCCACGATTATGAGGACGCAGATGATTACAGGTTGAAGACCGACAAGTCCTTCAGAAAGACCTAGTCATTAATGCAACCGAGATCGAGATGAGGTTGTCCTTCATAGATATCGAAGCTGAAGTCTAATGCTGGTTCTTAGTCAAAAATATGATCGTAGCGTTCCTAATCTGCTGCAATTTCTCTCCCGGCTCGTGCCGCCGGCTCGTGCCGGCACGAGGCGCTCCCTTCTATCCAGCCCTTCAACTGTCGTTGGTCAAGCTTGGTACTGAGTCGCTCCCGTGCAGCCACAGCATGTTCTCAATGGAAGCATCCCAATCGAGAAGCATCAGATCATCAGAATTCAAATAGTCCGTGAATTCCGGGTCCGGAGAGAGGAAGCTGAGCCATTTTTGATGGAACGGTCCCTGGAGATGGTCCGAAATTTGAAGGATATCTTCTGCACTCAGGGAGCCCGAGATCTTGTTTGTGAACGTAACTGAGCAGTCTGTATGATATGATGTCAGAACGAATAGAAGAATTACTGTACTTCAACAGTCTGGCATGTGTCCAAGGGTAATTTCTTACCGAGAAGGAACCGAAGCAGCCTCCAGTATGAGGCGTAGTTCTCAATAAATAGGTGGACCACCTCTTTCCGGCGTTTTAGCTGTGCAAGCAATACTGCATTCGAGTTTGCGCTTGACTTGCTATGAATAAGCAGCATCACGAGCAAAGATGAAGCGATGAAACAAATAGCAGGGTCGACGGTAAGGCTAGACTGTGAATCCCAGTACTGGATCACCTCAAACATGCGATGGCAAATGTCTTAAGTTCTCCTGCCACTGGGAGAGCCAAGGGTTCGTATCCTTCCTGAGCCCAGAAAGGTTAAGCAGCAGTCGAATGCTATGAAATTTGAGTTGGGTCTGAAGGTGGGCATTGAACCCAGGGAGCAATTCGCCGCCGATCGCGTCTGGTGTCCGTTGCATGTAGTAAGGGGGCAGTGTTAATTGCAGAGCGGCCAAGCGATCTCATAACGCAGATATGCGTCCGGTGATATAATTACCTGGCCTTTGCTTGCTTAAGCGATGAATGGCTACTGCGGCTTTGAGTAGCGTGTTCACAACCATATGGAAACCAAAGCCCTTATCTACAAGACCTCTCCCAATATCCTTGGTAACAGCGGGCAGACCTTCCAGCTCAGCAGGCAGTAAAATCTTCGCCGATTGAGACCACTTGCTTATTACCACTGCCGGATCAAGGGGAAGCGCTGCCTGAATACTCTCGGTCTCCACTTGCGTTGGTGTTGCTGTTGAAAAGCTAGAATATGAATCCAGGACGTAGACACACCACCAAACACGACGCCAATCTTCCAGCCTGGATTCATCTAGGACGTCCCAACCATAGCAGCCTCGGCTTATTGGGCTATAGATTTGATGCAGACCAAGATGGTAAGCCTTTCTCGTCAAAGTAATGATGGCTATGTGCATCTCGTCTTCATTGCCAAGCCGCTGGTGGAATCCGTACCACGTGAGCAGACACACAGCTTGCTATTCGTGAAGCGCTTTTGAATCGACAAAACTATCTTCCTTTCTTTGCTGATTGTGGACCAACTGCCGTAATTTGCTGTCGATGTCGGTTGCTACCCCGATATTAGATTTCTCGATCAGTCTCACAGAGATGCCATACACGACGAACGACAAGGGATGAGTATTTCCAACTTCCAACAACTTCAATAAGACATCCCGTTGAAACAGAGGAAAGCATACATTAATAGTTGAAGCGAAGAATTGGGCCCTGATCTTGTATTATATATGGTCCATCTGTGAAACAGCCAAAAACGTACAGTTCACTCCGGGACCTTGAATGGAAAAGCGAGCAATAGAGATTGATGTATTTTATATTGCCTTCGGACTCTGGTGGAGTTGCTTGCACTGGTGATTCTGGAAGAATCGATGAAAACATTGCATTAGAGAAGGGATGTGATATAGGATCATGCCGGAGGTATCAAAAGCAGTAGGCAACCACTCTAATTCTTCGATCAGCTTTAGGTCTTAGGTTTCAGGCAGAGAGTAGCTTGCCATTGAAGCAGTCTGATTCTCCGACATTTCTGGACTGTCTCTGCGGTCTTCTGGGCGGACCAGGTCTTTTGCGAATGCGAGTAAAGGTATAATTCTGCTTGGATCGGTTACAAGCCGAACAGATCGGTTGATTCATATCGCCTGTTATCCGCGTTAGAGGCACTTCAATGCATTTGTGCGTAATTGTGTGGATACATTTGATTTTTTTCCCTTGTTCGTTTTAGCATATTCCCACGACGGTTGAATTCCTTTCTGTTTACTCACTCGGTGCATCGATCGCAAACTCTCGCTCTCGAGCCTTTTTCTTGCACCCACCGGACCGACTTCTGTCCACACATCGACTTGCCACAATCGGTCATTTTGGGTGAATAGCTTCAAGGCTGGTGCAAATCCATTGAAACCTCGAAGAGGGAACGGCAAGTCAAGATAAGTACCAACCAAGCAGCGATCGATTAATCAGGCGGGATCGTGGGGCGGTTGCTATTGTTAAATGCCCTGAAACGAAGGAACGTAGTGAAAGGGTTTACAACCCTGCGCGGGCTGCCCGCAAACCTTCGCTGGCCTCCCACTGTCAAACCCTTCGCCGTTCTCGATTCTGATTGGTCTGTTTGTGTGCCAAGAGATACTCTTATTTGCTGCCCACCTTCTCGTCTTATATGCTGCTCCGATTCTCTAGGCTCTCTTCCGATTGCTGCTCTATTTCTTCATCCTTCCTTCTGATTACTGCCCGCCCGCTTTCCTTGCCTTCCTCCTTAGGCATAGTTGACTCGATTCTTGACCGTGTTGTCATTGTTCCCTACTAGAAATGCATGGGAAGATGGAAAGGAATTAAACGCGTACAGCGAAGCTTGGAATCTCTAGGTCATCCTGACCTATGTTATGCGACAAGAGGAGGATCAAATCAACTTGTGTGTTTCACCGAAAGTTTCAAGACTAGAGAGAAAAGGAAGGAGGAACCATCTTCTTAGGGGTGGGTAAGCCGCCTCTCGTTCGAATTCGGCTAGTATAGTTCATCACCCACGCATGCCGTATCAGTTCTACCATCCTAGGGGCCGATGGCCCGTCACACCGCACTCGGCACTCCATACAATCACACAGATGTAATAATACCTAGTAAATAAAGTTAAAGTCCACAAATCTTGAGAAAGAAAATTAACTGATGAAAATTTAGGCACATACCACAGGCAAGACGCGCGCCTGCGTTACCATTAGCTCTCGAAGCTGGGTTACCTCCTCTACCAAGATCATCAATGCCTTCATGGATCACAATCGTTCTCTATTTACTCACGCATAAGCCAGAATGTAACCGAATGTAACGTTTATAGACTCATACTCACACCTATTATGCTATGAACCCCGTCCAGTTTAGCGACATGATCTGTAAACCTGAGAGAATAAGGATCTGAATCGACGTCGAAGTTGCCCCAGTCACCAACGTGACGGTCTAAATCCCCGGGTCCTCCGTGGTCTTGGCCGGTTGGATTATCTATATCTGTTAGAAAATTGAGAAGTGATTTTTCTGTTGTGTAGCTTGGGAAAAGGGAAGTGATGCTGACAGACGTACAGTGGCCACCTGCGTCAAGACATTTATTCCCTGTTGCTCCAAACTCGTGGACATGGATCGCATGCTTTCCAAATGGTACGTTTTCTAATTGCCCCTCAATGAGAAGATCGCTATCCCGCTCCTTGAGTATAAGCGTTCCTTTAATGCTGCCGACAAGCTCCGCGGCTTTTTAATTAATGCAGTTAGCGCCCGTCATTTATGAAATCATTAGAAGAAGGATATTTTGAGTAATACACTTCATTCGATAATTCGTTATATATGTAATAGGTAACGATAAATTACCCTCAAAAGGAGACTTACTAGCTAAGGCTCTCACAGTTTCCCCAGTTTTAGCCGACTGGCTAAATACAGCAGGTAATAGCAGATAAATAAAAATAGAAGATAACATATCCAAGGTAGCGTTATATTGGAATTCGGTTGGTTGCAAAAGAGGAAAAGAAGATGTAAATTTATCACAAGAAGTAGATACAAACTACTTCACAGGAGTGTGGGAAATCTTAATCTTGGTAAAGAGAGGAAAAGAGAATCATTATATAATAGACAGAGCATAAAGTTGGCCATAGCAGTAGCACGGCTTTCCTTCAGCTGCGCCGTCGAAAAGTCATTGGTTCATTGCCGAAATGCTCCTGTTCCGGCAGGACCGCCGGCGATAGTTTATGCACCTCAACGCTAAGCAAGCCGACTGCATCATGTCTTAGTTACGGCAGTGGTATCGACCACGACAATCATTTCGGACTCTTCGAGCTTTTCTGACTCTATAACGTATTATTAGATATAAAGGCATTCCACGATTATTGTTTATCTACACTTGTAATTACTATTTTTTCTTTCTTGAATTTGAGTTCACCTAGTGCCTGTGGACGCATACGATTTATGAGATATCTTTTGTCTCAAACCTCCCCTGCCCCAGATTTGCAGTTCTGATAATAACTCGGTTACTTTACCTTTTACGAACACCGTAGTCTAATGTCGTTTCCCATTTTTAATTTATTGAAGCCTTGAATAAATTAGGGGATAGAAAATGAGCTCTACCGTTCGATGTTAATGTATTCATTTCGTAGCTGAACATTCGTTGTATTTATCCTAGGATCCCTAGTTGACCTCATCTCTGCTTTTCTGTGGTTACACTGCCTAGTTTTACTAATCAAATCGTGTTACGCTACTGCTTAGTATTTGCAGTCATAGCGGGGACTATTGAGACTCGTGGAACATGCTGCTGTCCTCTACAAGTAAGAGCGAAGGGTTGCGATTCGTTTTGCACTACATGTACAACTATAACTACGAGGCCTATGCCTGTTAATAATTTCTTTTATTGCTAGCCATTTGCCTGAGGTAGCTGTACAGCTAGTCTCAGGCGATGTCGATCTCTGAAGTTAATAGGAGCGTTATTGAGTATTGCACATTAGTGGGAGCCACCCAGATTAATCTGCGCAAACCCTGGAGCATGTTTCGTTAGTCCTGGTCCGTGTTTCTTCTTATTTCTTTATGCATTTTCATTCAAATTTCACGTTTCACAAATGTCGGAGGGGGTACTGGCTCGGTAAGGAATGATTAGTTATCAACAATCCTGTGATAACTCATCTTGGCTCCTGTCGGAATATGTGGAGCTTTGTTTTGTCATATGCTGTATTTAGTAACGTGATTGTAATATTCGGTAGGCAGCGTTACCTCGTCTGCTCGCGTCCCAGCTTTTCGGCCGTATTGAACGGTCGCGCCTGGCATATGCTTATTGATGCTGAGAGAGAGATAGAGTGAGGAAAACAGAGAGGAAAAATGTACGATTCACAGAGGTGTAGGAAGCCAGGCTTGACTAGATGCCTGGAGAACCCTAATAGTAGATGGTTATGTAGCCTGGAAAGCAAACTGGTACATTGTAACGATGTTCGCTCCAAGTGATTGGCGGATCTAGGTTATACATCCCGGGTAGTCCTCACTGCGTGGCACAACAGGGCACATGATAAATTTTGTTCGTTTGCCACCCACATGGAGGGTATCAAGAGTACTCTGACTATGGGTCTCACCGTACCAGAGCCTCATCGAAGGGCCATTGTACTCCGGAATGTTTGGCTGATTTTCAGATGGGCATATGTCCACGCGTAGGATCCAGCCCTTACGGACACGAGCAGCAGGCATAATTTCCACGGTGATTTCCACCACATCACCCGGTCCCTGGAGCGGCATCAGGTCATTCTGTAGGTGGGTATACCATGGTCTCCAGGGCAAGGATTGTTCTGGGTTGGTCTTCCGATGACTGACGCGCAAGAAGCCCTTTGCCAGCGGCTCTGGCTCATTACTATTTGCCCCATAAGCAACAGCACGGCCATGTTCATCAATAGCCCAGGCAAGGACGACAACGTCTGCATCCGGGGCTGTCGACGAAATGCACAACGTTGCTGCAAGATGGCCTGCCATCTCGACATCTTCTTCGAAGGGCAAGGATTGGAAACTGACTCCGTTGTCGCCTGTAAGGCGCTTCTGTGCGGAGTAGGAAAACCTGGCATCGGATGACCCCAACGCTGGTGGAGTAGTTGCGAGAGATTGTTCATGACGGAAATGCCATTTGATGTATTCCGTGCCTGGAACCGGCCAATTTGGCTCCTTGCGCCAATTCCACCTTTGATTCCCGAGGCGCATCTGTATTCCCACTCGCTCGGGAGCAGGACAGGCTTCAGTCTTGAGGTAATGGTTCAAAAACTCCAAGACTTTCCCAGCTGCCTCCTGACTCGGCCACGAGTAGTAGTCCGAGTCGACTAGTTGAAGATGGGTATTATCAGGTCGCCGCACCATCCAAGCTTCGTACGCGCCGCGGCCATGGATCATGAAGATTTGGGATGCGGCAAGGAAGCAAGGGATTTCGGCCGAGGTCTCCGGCTTGGACTCCATCATTGCAAAATTGTGTTGAATGTAGAATTTGTTTTCATGAGATTTTCCACATCCATATAGTCCATCCATTTAGGAGACACGCCTCGGACACGAGCGAACCAGTTTTCAAGGTATAGTGTTGAAGGCACACCCCCAATATATGCGGCATCTCGATACGAGTCAACGTCGGCTGTCAGTCTTGTGATTAGCTTATGCTTCCTTTTGACACATAACTGGGGAAGAAGGAGACTAACTGGCATAAGGAACAAAACATTTTAACCCTTTCGGTCGGAGGCCTGCCACGGCCCATTGTGTGTTGGCTCCATACGAGTTGCCAACGAGGGCGACATTTCCATTGCTCCAAGGTTGATCTGCACACCACTCGCAAACAGTGTAAAAGTCACCAGCAAGTTGACCAGGCTCCCATCTTTTACCAGGCGTTTCTGACACTCCCTTGGGATCCATCTTCACCATAGCGTAGCCTTTGGGGACATAGGAGAACGTATTGAAAGACGCGATGCTTTCAAACCCTCGCTGCGTTCTAAAATAGGTTGACCAAGGACCCCTATCAGGTATCTGCAGGTCTGTGTCAACTCCTGTCGAATGCCATTCGTCTTCTGCACGCTCAAAAGCGACTATTTCCTCGTCGTCATTCAAGTCTGGGCCTCCCCAAGGAACTCGCCGTCCGTATATAGTGCAGCTAAGGAGAACTGGAAATCGTCCCTTTGGCTGCAGGGGAAGGTAGAAATCTACTAAAACATATCCACCGTCTTGAGATGGTATCTGGAAGTCCCTCAGGACCTTGAATCCTGCTATCTCACGGCGAAGGTGATTTCGGGTGTGGTGAACAGATTTGGGACGTAGGCCCAGTATATCGCAGATCTTATTGAGAGGCCGATCGAGGTCATCGTAATTGTCGGAGTCCAGATTGATTTCATCTTTGTGCTGATTTATCACAGCTTGAACTTGCCACAGATGTGTTAGAAGATTACTGTCATCAGTTGAAAAGTCAAATGCAATAGAACCTGAGACATACGTGATCGTCAATGCGAATTGGATTTTCGAAACCCTCCCCAACGGACAGACTGAACAGCAGCCGTGTGCTAGATTCACCGACCTAGGGTGATAAATTGAGACTCCATTCGGAATCACATCGGAAATCGTAGTAATGGCCCTGCCCTTACACTGACCCAAGACAATCTCGCCAATAGAGAAAGTCACTTGAGCTCCTGGGTTATAACTGTATTCAAATTCAGCTGATGTAGTGCCTTTGATACCCTCACTTGAATAGGACAAGCCAACGACATCAACGAAAATTCCTGTAGTGGCCATAATAATCAAGTAATACAAAGAAAATATGAGTGTTGATCACCAGGATTCTCCTAGGCCGCGCTTGTCCGGGACATATATCATATACCCGTCTATCAGTAAAGTCAGATGAAGTATCCGATGCCCGGTATATCTCCCAGTAGAGATTAAAAACGTAAAAGAATTCCATAGTCTTCGCGAGTTCTAACCTGAAACAGATCAGCAATCTGTCCTCGTTCCTACGCGAAATTGGCGGGATATCTCCGAGTGTGGATTAGTTCGTCCCGTCCGGAACATCACTGTATCCAAGCAAGGGCCGATATTCCTACTGCGTACACTGGCTTCGGATGATCTTCACATTTCCTCCGAAACCTTCACCCGCATGGGGCTCCTCAGCGAATCGGAGAAGGGGGGCCGTTTTCTCCCCGGAGAAACATGAATATCATTTAAGGTAACTCAATTCGGAGCCTCGTCCGATTCACGCGTGTATGAGTGATCTGGACAATTGTTCGCTCGCCGTGGACCGAGGACAATTTAATAGACTAGAGATTGGTGACTCTGCGTATCATGCTTTATTGAACTTAAGCGATGGTAGATGGAACCAGAAGGAGACTATAACTTGGCTGTTTTGAGTTCACTACCTCCAGAGCTTGTGCAAACAAAAAGCTACTGTAATGGCCGAGGGGAAACCTAGGCATCAACCTCTTTGCTCGCGGCATCGTAACAAGCAGCAGAACTTAACAAACTACGCTCCTGATAGATATTATAGTGGGAATCAAATTCATAATTGAGAAGTTAGTACGTCAGATATATGCCAGGTTTGTTGCATTAAGTTGCCAGGCTGAAGACGCCAAAAAGTACAATGAGCACGAAGGAAATCCAAAGAAAAAAGAATCGAGGAGTACAATATCTACAACTATCTAGGATAGATGGAACGAGAATCAAGAGGCCCGACTTGCGCTGAGGAAAGGGAAGTAAACAAGCAAACGGGCTGGTCCAATGGAAACATTGGGGGGGAGAAAACCTCTATCATAAACTTGTCACCATACTAGTTATCATCATCATATGCCCCATCTTGGAAACATTTCCAGTCTCACGATGAAAGGCTCGAGTGCATCATCGCTTCCAAAAATGACCTGATCAGACCATTCAGTGCCGAATCCTCATCGCAAATTGTAGTTTTGACTTCCTTCAATCTCAAGCGGCTATCTCCCAGAAGCCTCGCAACATCTTTCCACTCGATCAACTCCTGGCTACTAACGCTACTTTTATCATTCTCCGTGATATCACTAGGAATGTTAATTTTGTAGAGAGAGCCATTATCCTTTCGAATGATACCGTCGACGATGACAGTTTGGACGTCTCGCACTGAGCTGTGCAGTATAATGGCCGCGATAGGATTAACGTCACTGGCAGGAATCATTGTCGGCGTTTGAACTTGGAAGGTCACAATGTCCGCCTTCTTTCCCACCGTAAGAGTCCCGATTTTATCTCCAAGGCCGATAGCCCGCGCTCCAAGCACAGTCCCGAGGTTGAAAGCATCCTGCGCATTGGGACCCATGGTGCCGTCCCAGGTACCATTCTTCATGTTTTCTGTTATCTGCCGTCCACGCGTAGCCTCTAGAGCTGTGCTCGCCTGCGCAGGTATGGATGAAGTGCAGATGCTATTAGAGTCTGTCCCAAGGGATGAGAATGGTAGAAAGTCTGCTTCGAGGCAGATTGGATAGCCGTGGCCCATTTGTAATTCTGAAAAGGGCGTGCTCGAAAGATGGGCATTTGCAGTTTGAATCCAACACAGTTCCTCTGGTTCAATGCTGTTGCCATGGACAACAAGACGTCCGGCCCGAGAAGTCCGTTGTCATTCAGTACTGCCACTGCGGACGGCATGTCTTTATCAATGAGTCAGTGAGGCGTAAAATGAGTCAGAAAACAGCTCATTGGGAGCAAAGCGACAAAAATGGGAAAAGCATGAATGAACTCACTGTCCATCATGCTTACTCGAGTTACATGAGATGTAATCAACTGCACGCCCTGTTCACGAGCTTCGTTGAAAGCTTCTTTTACCACTTTTGGTTGAACAAACATCGTATCCATCGCGAACCCGAGTCTGGTTCTTCCATTTGGTCCAAATGGCTGTTCATGGGCTAGTTTTCGAAAACTGTCCATTTCTGCGTCGAGACAGATATCATGGTGGAGTTTGAGTTCTGGCTGCCAATTGGAGACGCGTGGGTGCACACAATAACAGTACATAGATCTAATCCCTGAGGCAATCTGCCCGCGAATTGCCTCTTCGTCTAACACCGGTCAGTACAATATGAAATATACATGCAGATGGGAGAATAATCAGTAGAAAGGCCTTACTATGCTGAGAAGAATAATTGACATGTGCATGATCAATAACAGTAGTTGTTCCGGAATCGATTGCCTCCATGCAGCTCGCCAAAACGCCGCAGAAGACATCACGTGGCTCATAATGAGAGCTAGCGAGATTTCCTTCTATTTGTCAGGTCCCAGAAACAGAGGGAAAGTCGCTTGGCACTTGAACGTACCGGAATGGTAGTAATCTAGTAAGATTTGGTCAAAATGAAGACCTTTCTGCTGAGATTGCCACAAATGTCTGTGGGTATCAATGAACCCAGGGGAGACCAGGCTGTCTGCGCAGTCAATTACTTGGATCCCTTCTGGAGGCTGAATATTATTGTCAATTGGAGCGATGCGGTCATCTTGAATCAACAAATCAGATTTCTTTGGAATGACACGGTCATGTTCGTCATGTATGAGTAGTGTTCCTCCCCTTAGGAGAATATGCGATGGTTTGTTGTCCATTTATCTTTTTAGTATTAGAGAGTAAGAATTAAAACAAGTTGCGTTGATCTGAGACTATTTAACAGCTCACATACTATCACAAATAATACTAGGTATAAATACACATTAAGTTCGGGTGAAATGCTCAGCAACTGTTTTAGGCGCATGGACGTCGGAACTAGTGTTCCGGATCAGCAATTCGGCTGTATTTCACAATGGGAAATGATCCGGTGAATCAGTCATGTGCAAGTTCTTTTACAACTTTAGCGTACCAGGCACTATTCTGCCGTGCGGCAGATGTTCCTCTCCGTTGCTCGAATTATTACTACATCGAGTATCCCGGTCTGACGGACGATGTTTCCAACTCAATCAAATACTTATATGTTAGTTGATATGTAAACCCGTAATTCGAACTTACTGCAGGCCAAACTGAATTATTCAACTTTCAAGAAACCTTATCGACATGGCTGCTCCGAGTGATATTACGATCGAAAATCTTACTGGAACATGGATGCTGGTGGGTAACATTAGCTATATTCACTAAAAATTCACTTGCATAGTCTTACTGACATTTACGGTACATTCAGGACAAAAGTCTATCGACCGATTCTGATCCACTTCTCGCTCTGGTAGATTCCGCGACATCATTCAATCTTTCTCCGTTACTGACTTTTACATAGCAAGGGGTGAATTGGGTCGTGCGAAAGGCCATCGGGATGACTGAAGTCACCATGAAGATGAAACAATTCGAAGGCTCCAGTCCTGGCACCAGCAATGCGGCTACTCAAATTGCTATAAACCAGTCAACCAACGCTAACTTGGGCGGGAGCTTTGAGAACCGCTATCTGGACTGGCAGGAGTATCCTCAGGATGATCACATTTTTGGAAAAACGGTAGTTCAATCTCGATTTATCGGCAATTCCAGCCAGGCGGCAAGGCCAGTTCCGTGTGCGGAAACACGGACGGCAATTAATGACCCAGAGGTTGTTAAATTTCTGCGAGCAGAAGCTGATGAGAACTGCACGCCTTGCAGTGGCTTTATTGTTGATAAAGCCGAAGCAACTGAGCCTCTTGAAGGCGGTAAAGACGGCCTCTGGATCCACGTGGTGATCCGTAGTCAGGAACCTAGGTGGATTGCAGAACAGGCAAGTCATACCGAGCTTCGCTGCCAAAGTTATATCAACTGTATACGAGATCCTTGATTCTAACTGTCATGAAAAGGTCTGGGGCTTTGAAATTATTGACGGGGAGCGTCGGTATGTTCGTCGGACGTTGATGTCAGACATCAAGGGCAATTACCGCATGGGACGACTGGTATACCGTTTTGTGGGCCGAAAGTGCGATTGAGTCACAATGTACGCCTATGAAATGCGGGAATGGAAACGTGTCAAATTTAAGCTCTAAGGCGAAGTAAAAATCCAATGAAAACGCCTAAAACGGGAACCAGATATGCCCCGTTCATAGTATCTTTTTTGCGGTTTTCAGTGACCCTTTTTGCCCTTTACATCCTATTTCATAGACAGCGGCAATTATAACAATACAGACTCTCCATGCCTAAACCTCATGGTATAGGTCCATTTGTAGCAGGAGAGCGTCTGAGAAACATCTAGAACATGCGTACCTACGAGCTGGGCTTGGTACGGTGAGTCGCCGCTGAATGCCAATTTAGTAAAAGTAGGGGATTACTAAATTGATCCCCCTCCCTACCTGAAAGGGCCTTTCAGGAGATCAGGAATAAAGATAGAAATCATCGATAATATAAGATGATAACCTGATTCCTAATAGACCTAATCAGCCTTCATCGCGTTTACCCCCTAATTAATTATTATTATCTATATTGTTAAAGGATATATAGTTTTTTTATGTAAACTAGAATAATCGACTATGAGAATTAGAGTAATAGAAAGAGTGTTCGAAAGAGTACTACGAAGAGTGGTAGGAATTTCAGGCAGAAGGGGGGTCAAAATGTGCAGACGAGGGGTCAATTTAGCAATCAACTCCCATCAAAAAATGAACACTAAAGTATCACTTATCAAGCAATATAATATTCACCTGTCTATCTGGTGAAAAGGAGACAGGGTCGTCAAAAAGGAAAAAGAGAGGGTGGTGAAAAGTGTTCGTTCATAAAGTGATGCTTCAATTTTCATGTTATTGAGAAGAGTTGGCAGTGGAATCGGTTTTGGATTGGGTTTTCATTGGGGTGGATGGGGTCTATATTAATATCCAATAGTTAAAGGTCTTGATAAAGCACAATTATATCCAAAGTTTCGATAATGCGGCACATCGAACTGGGCCCGTGGAACGAAGGTTCAAGGATTAAATTAGTTAAAATTACCTGTGTCATTGGATGATGTGCTCTGTGAATTCTCCGCGGGATTTTGAGATCCGTGGACAAAAAGTGGAGTTACAGGGACTCGGGCCCCGCTGTGGCATTTCCGACCGGAGATACGCTTATGAATGAAACATTGGCATCGTCGGAGAAATGGCCAATTGGCTACAAGGAAAGCAATCTTTGAAAACGGCCTTTGAATATTCCAGTCGCATCTGATTCCCCCGCTGTTGCTTATCCTGGATATTGGCAAACTTGCAAGTTCTAAGCTCTCCAGAGCTTATTTAAAGGTAAAAGCTCCTTCATGGATCACCGACACAATATGGCAACTATGGGTTCATACGCTTCAGAATTCCCCGAATACTGCAATGAACAGGTCTTCCAACAAAATCGTTTGCCTACGCGATCTTATTGGATTCCTGAAGATGCTCTTCTTTTGAACGGGAGCTGGGATTTTCAATACGCACCAACGCCATTTCACGAAGTTGACAAGTGGAAACCGATTGAAGTGCCGGCTCATTGGCAATTGCAAGGTTACGGGAGCCCTCATTATACCAATGTCCCGTATCCGTTCCCGATCGATCCACCCTTTGTTCCAACTGAGAATCCAGTTGGGACTTACAAAAGGTCGTTCCGGGTTCCACCGAGCTGGACAGTTCCTTCCCAGATTCGATTGAGGTTTGATGGTGTTGACAGTGCTTTTCACCTGTTTGTCAATGGAAAGCAGATTGGATACAGCCAGGGAAGTCGAAATCCTGCCGAATTTGATATTACCGATCATGTCCTTCTCGAGGAGGACAATCAAGTTATCGTTCGGGTATACCAGTATTGTGATGGGTCGTATCTTGAAGATCAGGATCAATGGTGGCTATCAGGTAGGCGATAAGAAACCATCGGTGGTATGAACTCTTCTTACTCACAAAGTCAAGGTATTTTCCGGGATGTCTACCTTCTAGCTTTCTCAGCTACCGCGAGAATCGAAGACTTTTTTGTGCAGACTTGGCTGGATGACTCTTACAAAGATGCCACATTGCAGATTGGTCTTGAGCTTCACCTTGAAACTAATTCGACAATCGGTATCAAAGTCCGAGACCATGATTCCTCTCTCGTCGGACAGACACAAGAGTCAGTATCTGCTGGATCTCCATCCTTACAGCTAAAACTGCCTGTGTCGGGTCCTCAGAAGTGGACAGCAGAAACACCCTATCTTTACGGCCTTGAGATTACCCTCATGTCCACAGATTGCAAGCCCCAAGTGATTAAACACAAGGTCGGCTTCCGGCAGGTGGAGCTTCTAAATGGAAATGTCACAGTGAATGGCAAAGCAATTCTTTTCCGTGGCGTCAATCATCACGACTTCCACCCATCAAGTGGACGTGCCGTCCCATTGGAATTTCTTAGGCACGATCTCATCTTGATGAAGCAACATAACATCAATGCTGTCCGCTGCTCCCATTATCCTTCCCATCCCAGATTTTACGACCTCTGTGACGAGATAGGATTGTGGGTGATTGACGAAGCCGATCTAGAATGCCATGGTTTTATTCGAGGCGATGTGTGCATGAAGAATGTACCCAGCGAGGTCTGGCAGAAAGACGGGGCCGATTCAATTGAGGAGTATCTCAGTCCTACATTGGCCAAGTATACCAGTAACAATCCTGCTTGGCAGGAAGCATACCTGGATCGTATTCGACAAATGCTTCAACGAGACAAGAATCACGCCTCAATTATCATCTGGAGCCTCGGGAATGAGGCCTGGTATGGATGCAACCAAGTCGCCATGTACGAGTACGCCAAGAAGCATGATCCCACACGGCTCGTCCATTACGAAGGAGACAGGAAGGCCGAAACGACAGACATGTGTTCATACATGTACCTTGAACTCAGTAATATGGAACAGAAGGCATTGGCGGAAGGTGACGAGTTCACCAAGCCCATCATCCTGTGTGAGTACGGAATGGCACTTGGGAACGGACCGGGAGCATTGGAGGAATACCAGGAAATGTTTTACAAATACCGGCGACTGCAAGGAGGATTCATCTGGGAGTTTGCAAATCTCGGGTTGTGGAAGGAAGACAAAGGCTACTACGGCTATGGAGGAGACTTTGGGGACTATCCAAACGATGCAACCTTCGCCTTGGACGGCCTTTGCCTGTCCGACCACTCGCCCGGCCGTGGCATGATCGAGCTCAAGAAAGTCCTCGAGCCGGTTAAAATCAGGGTCATTGATGGTGATGTGTCGCTTCACAACCTACACGACTTTGATTGCCTTAATAATCTTACACTCGTTGTGGAATTATTGAAATTCAATGGCCGGTCAGTCGTACTCCTGCTTTTCAACTCAAGGTACTGATCATTAAGCAGTGAACAAGAGATAATTCTTCTGGATCGCAAGCCATGTCCTACCGTCGGGCCCTCCGAGACGACCACCATGCCTCTCCCAGAGCTTCCTGATATCGAGAAAGTTGTTCTGGAATGCCAGATAAACATCAGCCTTGAGGTGGATAATCCTACCGTATGGGCACAAAGTGGCCATGAAATCGCATGGTGCCAACACTTAGTCACAAGACGCGAATGGACAATCTTGCCCGCTGTGGTCCAGCGTAAGCCGGTTGAAGTTCAAGAATCTAAAACCTCCTGGACGGTCACAGGGTCCAACTTCTCTATTCAGTTTGACCGGGTCAGAGGCTGTTTAGCTGGCTGGAGACTTGGTGGTCAATCGGTGTTCACGTCAGCACCCACCCTTGGAGCCTGGAGACCCCCAACAGAAAATGACAAAAAGTACGACGCGGCACGATGGAGTGACTATGCCCTGGACAATCTCCAACGTCGTGTAATCTCCGCCTCTCTCCTGTCTCTCAGCCCAGACCGTCTAGATATCATCGTCGAGGCTTATGTCGGGGCTGTCATTCGGGATTGGGGCTTTGTGACCACAATCACGTACTCGATCCACGGAGACGGCACAATGATCATCGACCACCAGATTCGTCCTCGTGGGTTCTTTCCTCCTATCCTCCCCCGCTTAGGTCTTGATATGCAGCTGCCCCCTGATTTCGAGACCGTGGACTGGTTTGGATGTGGGCCGGGAGGAGTCCTACGCCGATAAGCGCAATTCTCAAAAGGTATCCTTGCACAGTCGAACCCCTGATCAACTCTATACGGCATATGAATATCCACAGGAGAATGGTAATCGCTCAGGGACGCGCTGGCTTCGGCTAGCAGGTAATCGGAATGTGGGGCTGGTCGTTGCACGAGTGGATGAATCTGGGAATGCAGGGGGGAGTTTGACTTCGCAGCTCTCCATTATACTGGGTGCAATATAACCGATGCACGCCATCCAACAGATCTGATAAGGCGGGAGGACGTGTTTCTTCGACTTGATGCCGCGCACGCTGGTTTGGGAACTGCGCGATGTGGCCCTGCGACGCTTGACAAATACCGTGTTCCATGTCGCGAGACCCGATTCGCGTTTGTTTTCAAGCCGACTTCAATGTGAGGGTCGAATGGAGTTCTTTGATTTCATATTATTATTGCGCCAGTTCGCATTACATATAATTGTGCTTAACAGATAAGACTTTCTATATACCTAGGTATACTTCGTGGTTTTCATGTACATACTGCTTACTTTCACAATTGTATGAGATGACACCAGTACCAAGTTCATAACCTTGGAATAGCACAGAGGATGAAGCGGCAATTTATCCTCTTTACTTACTTAGCCTCCAAATCTGTGTTGTTAAAGACACTCTGAACTCTCTGCTCGCTTCTCAAGACGCTAAATTTACCAACGTGCAAAGTGTGAAGACCCAAAAATTATTCAAGAGTGGTTTAATCTTGTCCAAAAATTGATTTTTGCAGAGAGCATCGATCCGGATGATATATATAATCTTGATGAGACTGGATTTGCTATGGGCTTGATTGCAAATGCAAAAGTTATCACAAGAGCAGAAAAGTATGCTCGTAGATTTCTTTTGCAACCCGGAAATCATGAGTGGGTAGTTGTAATTCAGTGTACAGGTGCATCAGCATGGGCTCTGCCTCCATGTGTTATTTTGGAAGGTAAAGTCTATATTAAAGACTGGGCTGATAGCCTCCCAAGAAACTGGCACTTTGAAGTTAGTCCAAATGGATAGACTTCTGATGAGATTGGGCTCCGCTAGTTCCAATTTTTTTTTCTTCCTTCGAATTCTTCTAGGATAAAAGCAAAAGATCGACTTTTGATTCTTGATGGTCATGGAAGCTATTCAATCCCGAAATTGGACGAAACTTGCAGTCAAAATGATGCGATTCCAATTTATAAGCCTGCGCACTCATTACACCTTTTACAGCCTCTTGGTGTTGTTTGCTTTGCAGTTCTAAAACGTGCATATGTTCAACTTGTTGAAACAAAAATGCGAGCTGGAATTAATCATTTTGATAAGTTTGATTTCCTTGAAGCGTATTGTCTTTTACGAACCAAGGCGTTCAAAGTTGGGACTATCATAGATAGCTTCACAGCAAGTGGCTTGGTACCCTTTGATCCCGATCGAGTGAAATCCGGGGTACTGGGAGCCAAAAAAGTCCTCAGATTACGCGCAATATCAAAATAACCCCTCAGTCGTAGATCTATTAGCGGAAGTTTGGGCACAGCAAGAACACATAGCGTTTATCTTACTACCCCTACTCGAAAAGGCGGCATCTATGTGGTGGCCGGTTGGGGTTCTCACCTAGCAGCTCATCGCTCCAGTGTTGTAGCGTAGACAGGTAATCACTGAGTGCAATCTTGTCGGCCTGCATGTGGACCAAAAACAGGCTCCACGTCTATATACGCGATACAAACCTGAATATGAATTGAAAAGACGCGTGTTGCATAATAGAAATCAAAAACAGCAAGAAGTTGTGTCAATGGAGTCGCGGAGAGATCTAATTTCATGAATGTCATCCTTCCAGATGTCCACGTATGGATTGCATCAATATTGTGAGTATCTGGCACAGAGCACGGTGAACATACTACTTGAGAAGTCCAACCGTTAATCTATTGAACATTCCTATACAAAGCATGCGCTGGCATCGACAACAACTATCCGTCCATGAAGAAGAAGGTAGTTAAGACTATGATTGAAACCTCCTATATCCCCTCTTGCATCAAAGGTCCACAGTATCCCACTTCTTGAGAGCCCCTTCACCAAAATCCCTCCATAAATAACTAAAAGTCCGAATGCTTATCCCCGATATGAAGAGTATTGAGCACGGTCTGAAGATCCTTAGCCTCGAGACTCCGCTTCACAGGATTTGGTGCCTGGAAGACCTCATCAAGCTCTTCCAAGGTCCTGTCTTTGGTTTCCGGCCAGAAAAGATAGATGAAAACCACCTCAAACAGATCCCAACCGATAAAGACGATGTAAAAGTAATATTTAATGTGCTCAAAAGCCGGGCCGGAGCCGTACTGGATGATGGCGGAAGCACAGGCTGTGAAGAACTGGGCCAGGGCCTTTCCCTTCGCACGCGTGTTGGTGTCGAGGCACTCAACGACGTACATGGGAGACAAAGGAGTCCACGCAAATGAGTATGTAATGCCAAAAAGATAAATAAATGCAATACTTGCGTTCGCTGTTGACCCTTGTTCTGGGTGCTCAGATGCGACCTTCGAAAGAGGCGTCAAGATGGCGAGGAAAACGATGCAGCAGATGAGACTGAACATGAGGAGTGGACGTCTACCGGCCTTGTCGAGGAGCATAGTCCCCATGACCGAAGAAATGAAGCAAAGTGGTGCGTTTATTCCGTTCAGCAGAAGCTTTCGGCTCTCTGAGGTGATACCTGCGCTCTCGAGCATGACGGGAAGATAGTAGCTGGTGGATGAGTTGCCGGACCATTGGCCGAATAGAGCCATCGAGAGAACACAGATCAGGCGACGACGGTGAGATCTAGTCTTCCACAACTGCGTATAGTCCCACCACTTCTTATCCGATCCCTCAGTTGAGATCTGGAGCTCCATTTCGGCCATCTGTAGTTTGACGATGGGGTGCTCTGGGCTACCTTCGCCGTGGTATCTTGCGAGAACATTCCGTGCTGATTCAGTCCTTCCATGGCTTACTAACCACCGAGGAGACTCTGGTAAGAACCAGACAGCTAGAGCGATGACGCCACTTGCAATAAACTGGCAGTACAGGGGGGTGCGCCATCCATTAGCCTGAGTCTGCGTTCCGTATACCACCCAGGCTGCAACGATAGATCCGATGTACCTGAACAATAATGAATAATGGTTTTTGGGGTTCAGTTGGGTTTTATTACTTGCCAGAAACAGTTGTAAAGGCCGGATAAGGGACCACGCCAAGCGGGATGGGCCATCTCGCCAACATATACCGGTCCATTGACGTTGACAAAGCAGACGCCAAATCCCAGGACGAAACGCCCACCCATGAACATTCCATGGTTGATCGCTCGAGAGGTAATTAGCGTCCCAAGCATGACAATGGTCGCGCCAATAAACATGCCAGCTCGTCTTCCCCAGCGATCACTCGTGGGGCCAACAAACGGGACCGCACATGCAGTACCTGTGAGATTCAGTTAGAGTCTGTTTTCACATTCGCACAGGGTTGAAGATACCGATGCTGTAGATAGCGAATATAATCCCGGTACTGGAGGACGCGCTCACCCTAGAATATGTAAATCAAACGAACCCAACGACACTCAAAGGTGGTGGGACTCACATATGGAAATAGTTCTGGTAAGATGTCATGGCATTGATTCCACTGAATTTTTCATGAGTTAAGATCTTCGTGCGCGGATGTCTCACTTACCCCATGACAGCACCATCGAAGCCGTTCACTGTTGCGCAGAGATATCCAATCAACAAGCAACCGTACAAGCGAATCATGCTGAGAGTCCAAAGAGCGGATTTTGTGTTCCCAGCGCCGTTGGCCAACTCAGCTGCCTCGTCAATATTGAGTTGATCAGGCAAGCTGGAATGCTCAGCATGCTGGACGCCTTTATCCATTTCCAAGATATTTGCCATTATCATGAAAAAGGATGGGGATGGATTGGTTTGAGAACAACATGAAGTTCTCGGCAAGACATAGTTATATACTTATGGCCATACATCTCCGCAGCCGGAGTCCACACCCCCGCCCACCCCGCGTCACGAGCAATGCAAGGCCTGGAATCTCGGGTGCTTGCATCCGAGCGAAGGGAAGGAATTTACTGTGGCGCCAATCTTCAAGCCCTATTCCTCCGCGGGAAAATACAAACGAACAGCGCCTGTCGCTGACCGACGGAATTTACGGTTCAAGTCCAGAACACGTGCGGATCTTAGATTATAATCTTCTACTCAACGTCTTCTGATCCCATATACATCAAGGCGGGGATTACCCACCGTGCCAAAGTACGCCAATAAAATATGTACCGTGCTTGTACAGTCTTTATAACGAAATTGCGATACAAAGTCCACAAATATTGAAAATTTGAAGATTACAGAGCAGTGTAGAACTCAGACCGAAAACCTGGGCATTCAGTTTGAAATCTGCTGCTCTAGCTGATTTTTTGACCGTATAGGAATCACTGGAGGACTTCGTTCTGCCGCGACTCGGCTGTTTCTTCTCCCATTTCCCTCATTTCGACCAAGACATCAGGTGACTTTGAATCAAGCCGGGAAAGGATATCTAGAAGCCGTGTGAATAAATTATTGGCACGTGCCCGGATATGACCGTCCTTGACTTGATCGAGGAGCTCAAGAAGTATACTGCCGACTAGACGAATCCGTTCGACCTAAAGTGTCAATTTAGTGAACGGCCACATTGAGCCTCAATGTTTCTTGCCTCACCGTCGGCTCCCCTTTCACCAACAAAAAGACAAATGGAATATCATCCAGAGTTTGAACAAAGTCCTGAACCATTCCAACTTTGGTCATTTGGAAAGTCATTGGCTGATTGTTCAAGCCCATGATATCGCATAATTCCAAATCAATGCATTGTTGTAGAATGACTAACCGCAGACACTGGAATGATACCTGAATCGTACACCTTTGAACCCAAAAAGATGTCTTGTGGAACCGCGCTACATCACCGTCGTTAGGAGTAAATATCAAATGAGAAGCCTGTAGCCAGTATGGAAGGCCGTCCATGATGCCTAGAAATTCCACGTATGCTTGAAAGAATCGTGACTTTTCTGCTTCATTTACCTGTCCTTTGCACTTTCTCATATCAAACATCAACGCAGCTGCCGTCGACCAAAGCCGAGGGATAATATGGAAGGAAAGCAGCATGCGCTCCTCAAACACCACATCATACCACGCGGCTGTAGTATCGAATTGAGGGATTACTGGTTTTCTCCCTGGGATGCATATAGTTGATTCCTCGTTATAAAGCAGCTCATGTAGATGAAAGGGGCGACTGCGCAAACATAACGCCGTTTGATCCGCTGCATATATTTGCCAGTAGATATGGCGCAGCAATTGGCACTCAAGGGGATCATGAGACTGAAGGGCGTCTTCCCTGTATAGACGCATGTTTGTGATGAGCAGCGCCGCTTGACCAAGAATATGATAAGTCAGCCTCGCTTTGCCGGTAATATTCTGCGAGGCGGTGGTATGAAAAATCCGCGTGACTATTGAAGATGAATTCGGATTGTCCACATCGTAGTCCTCAAACACTCTCAGCATGTCGCGTGAAGCATCAAGACATGGCTTCGCGATCAAATGCCGGTAAGACAATAGAGAGCTTGGTATTACCGACGCGACAGACGCACATAATCCACTGAGAAGAGCAAAAGCCCGCATATGCGCCATTTCCTCTTCGGTTGTGAGTGCGGCGAATAATCTTGTGCTGGCGTCAGAAAAGAACGTGACCGCGTACTGTCGCAGAGTGGGCTCATGCACGATCGGAGCAGTGGGGAAAGTGTACTGCATGTAGAGAAGGATGCAGCGGTCCACAATGTCCAATGGCACCATTGAGGGCATCGCAGAGCTCATGGAGTCTAACAAGCGATCTCTGATGGCCTGTGCGGACAGGGATGCGGAGGTCTCCTTTATTCCAGCCAATGGTGGTGCCATGTTTTCTGGCTCTCCAGGGGGTGAAATCACTGTATTACCTGTCGGAATTGGATTCGCCGACAACGGAACCAGAACATGGTTGTCCAATGCAGGCCCTGCGTTTCGTCTTTCCGAGGACAACTTTTGGACGCTTTTGGGTCCCCGCTTTTTAGGGACTGTTGTATAGAGGCATGAAAGCCCAGATGTTCGGCAATTTGCACAAATTTCCAGTGCCTGTTTCCATGTCAACTCGATCTCGGGGAAAGAGGCTCCGCACTCACATCGCATTTGACCTTTCGACGTCGACAGGGATCGCATGCACGGGTTGCCACTAGACGCCGCGTGGGTGGCATGTCGATGAATTCTCCGAGGGCGACAGAAGATGAAAAGGAGAAGTTGAGGGAACTTCCGCGGAAAAATATGCGACTTTCTCACAAGTACGCCACAATGCAAGATCCAGAATTTTTCTCCATACCCCGCAGTGGCAGTGATTGGAAAGTTTCAAAATCTTGGGACAAAGTCTATGGCCCTCTCTATTCTCTGAGTGTTTGCGAACACCATGAGGGTTCAGCCTGAGATTTCAGACTGCCCAGGCACATGCAATTAGGAAAAGTTTGAGTGTATAAAGATAAACAAACACTGTCGGCTGTATTTACTATGATGATCTCCTACGTTCGATGAAGGTATTCCGCAAGTAATATCCCGAATTCTTCATCTTCCGCTCCAAAGTCTCAAAATCAACATGAATAATTCCAAAGCGAGGCACGTAACCAGCAGACCACTCTACATAGATTAGAGTGTGTTAGCCAGACATATATCACTTTAGCTTTCAGAAAACATACCGTAGTTATCCATCAAACTCCACACATAGTATCCATCAATGGTAATCCCATCTTCATATATGGCACGAGAAATCGCATCGAGGTACAATCCAAAATACCACTGTCGAAATTTATCATCAATGGCTGTGGATACATCGTCCTCTCCTGGACAAGGACAACCATTCTCCGTGACAATGATAGCAAGTCGGTACCGGTTCCAGATCCAATTCAGCAACTTCCGAAAGCCTTCTGGTGCAACCCGAAGCCAAGATACCCCCGATACAGGCCCGATCTCTTTGCCCTCACTGTTGATTGACAGCTCCTCCGTGTTCCCGGTCCAGTCGTCATCTGCTGGCGGATCCGATAGCGCACGTACGTACTTGGTAGAATAGTGATTCATTCCGTAGTATGTGTTGACAGGCGCAGCTCGCCGGAGGAGCTCGAGCTGCTTAGCTGTGAAAGTGGGGAGACGGGCGCCTAAGTAGGTGCGCATGGCAGCAGGATAGTCCTTTCCAAGGAAAATGGGGTCCCCAAACCAGGCGATATAAAAGAGCAATCGGCACTCGGCGGCGTCGCGATCTTGGCTACTCGCTTGATCATACGGTTCGTAATAATGACCATTCAGTACGATGGAGATCTCTCCATTTTGGGACTCGCGGAATTCATTCGCGTATCCCAGAACAACCGTGGCATGGCAGAGGATGATAGTGTGCCCGACTATCCAGGGCTCTGTTTTCGTGTCGGTACCGACTGCGCGGCAGTGTCCCGGAGCCAGAGTTCCATTGAGGTAGGCGAATATAGATATGATATACGGCTCGTTGAATGTCACCCATTTCCGAACGCGATCTCCAAACCGACTGAAGCATAGATGCGCGTAATTTTCAAAGTCCGCCTGGAATTCTTCGGTGTTAAGAAAAGCACCATACCGGTCGTATATTGCCTCAGGTGCGTCCCAATGGTAGAGGGTCACCACAGGTGCAATATTATGGGCCAACAGTTCATCGATCAAATTGTTGTAGAATGCGATGCCTTGTTCATTGATTGGGTCGTTGCGGCCTCCAAGTGGAATGATGCGGGACCACGCAATCGAGAACCGGTACACGTCCACTCCCAGGGAGGCCATTAACTTGATGTCCGCTGTCGTTCTGTTGTAGTGGTCGCAAGCAATATCTGCATTCTCCCCATTGGTTCGAGAAGGACTCAAGTGAGAGAATGTATCCCAAATGGATGGACCTTTCCCATCTTGACTGGCACCCCCTTCGATTTGATATGCCGCTGTGGCAGTTCCCCATTGGAAATCATGTGGCAATGGGAGTCTCTCTACCTCCGGATAAAATGCGGGTGTGTCGTGGGCCGCCACTATACCGCCGGCGCTAAACATGCCAGCCTCTAGAGACATGTCGAACGTTTTATTTAGGTGTAACGAGAGGACACAGCCTAGGAATATATAACAGGTAGTGTTTTATTTCCACAAGCATACCCGGTATACAGACAGCTGATATTTCTCCATGGAATCCAAGGCCGAAGCCGACCGAGTACAGTCTGGGAGTTCCCACATAGTAACTAAGGAACAAGCCCATTGGTCGGTCTTAGATGAAGCCGCGGAAAGTCGCGGAAACCGGGGAAATTACAAACCGCCTGGTGCAGGTACTCTGTACAGGAGAATGTACACTTACATGCCGCAAATTTGCCGATGCCTGAATTCCTGGGGTATTAACGCATGGGGAGCGCGGTTCGGTAGCCTGGACGGTCTTTTCTTCCATTGGCTGATAATCTGGTTCAGATCCACTACGAAGCAGTAAACGGAATGAATACGCGTATGCACGAACCTCGGGAACTTGAAATGGCTAAGCGTAAAAAACTAGTGCTAACACGACGACTCAGCCGAGTATCCGAACTCAGCCATAGATACGGTTAGGCCGTACAGGCCTCTCTGCCCATAGTTTTGGTCGACGATCATGCGGTCCTGTCGAACCCCTCTCCGACTTGGCTTTCTGCGGCAAGTATTCCAGGAAATATTGGTGAAGATTTCGATCAGCTGCAGGAATTGAGGTATGTATAAAGCGTAGTCTTTTTGCTACATCCTTCGAAACGGATCCGACTCTGTCACGCGACACAACAATATGTACTTCTCAACAGCTTTCCTAGGAACCTTGCTCACTGCAGCAGCCCAGGCAAACCCATATATCCAGGAAAACCTACACCCAATTCCAAAGTGTGTGAGCAAGCATGAGCCTATCACGGTGATCGAGCTCCCTCTGCCTCCAGTCACCCTCAATGAGACCGAGGGTGGATGTACCCGACAAGTCAACCCGCGTGGGACTGGATGCATTGGTGCAAACTCCTCCAATCTACTGAGCGGGAACTTTCTTCCGGATGGGGATCATGTCACAGCTTCCTTAGTGTTCACTGGAGCACCGGCTTCGCCAGATCCAAGAAGTAATTATACTGGTCTCAACCTGATAATTGTTCGTACGAATGGAACGCTGTTCCCGAACGGCGACGCTTGGAAATGTATCACCTGTGGTATTCCGGCGGACCAAAAATATGGATTAACATCGTCAATGGACTATCAGTATCCCCAGGCGTTTGCAGATGGCACTCGCGTTCTGGCAGGAAGTTATATAATCGACTGCGGGACTTCACAACTGGCTAGCCCCAAGTGCACCCCGGACAAGGTCCACATCTATCCACTCCGCTGGAATACTTCCCCCACTGGCTCCGGGGCTGGGGGAGCCATTCGTGAACTTCGAAAGCACCCAGACGATGTTCATCTGACGTTTAACGCTCTGTCCTACTCAGGTTCTATCGTGTCCCAGTATGCTTATTTTGCGCGGTTGCAGTTCAACCCCGCACCTACAAATGGAACGCCGCTCACGCCGCGATACGATCTGGTTAATGTGACAGGGCTGTACTCCTCTGAGCCTACGTCTATATTTTCCTTTAAGGGAAAGAACATGATGATCAATGAGCAGGCCATCGCGGTGGGAGAGGCACGCGGCCTGAATGGAGTGGGTAACGAAGTCCAGTACATTGGATTCCCTGCAGAATCTTGCAACATTGACATATTCGACATCAACCTAGAGAGTGGAAAAGTTGCTCGAATGACATACGGCCCCGAATATGTCGACCCGTTTGATGTATCCCCAGATGGTCAATGGGCCGTCATAATGGACACTACTACTACCAATCGCATGATGTTTTTGTCAGGGATGAGAGGCATTCCGCCACTCGTCGATTCGCTCCTCACCGCTGCAATCTCATCCATCCGGAATAATGGTGGGCGGCGCTTCTTTGTGCCATGGGTCTACCCTCGCAAAATTCCTTATGTCAATTCCGACCGCAGCTATGAAGGGCAGCAGGTCAATGCTGCCGGTGATGGGAGCCCAGGCAGTGTGAATGATCCTTTTTGGAACGGAGGCGCCGATCCTCGATGGTCGCCGGATGGCACTCAGATTGCATACTTTCAACTGCTTACTGTAGCCCCCGATTGCGGTGGGAGTAATCCATTACCCTGTCCTGTATCCACTGCCCAAGGTGGCCGCACCGCTAGGCTCATGCTAGCTACTCTCACGAGCCGCAAACCCCAGAAAGCGACCAAGGTGCAACCCGTCTCTGATACCATCCGGTGGGGCGTTCCATATATCCCAGGGAGCACAGTGCCAGCAGGATTAGGCCTTTCATACGGCAACTTCAGTTTACCTGGTAAAGTGAGCGGCCATGCTGATGTGACTTTCACTGCTAACAGCGCTGGGACTGCATTGGAGACAGTGGACGTCACATATTACAATTACTCTGATAATGGTGACAACTTCATTGCAGGTCACGAGAAAGTGACTGCTTTATCCCCTAACGCTACGCTGATTCATGTGAATTGGATCTCCAACCTATCTTCGACTGGTACTAGTAGGAGTACAAAAGTCACAAGCCCCGACGGGTTCCATTTCGAAATTGACATCGAGGAAAATAAGTTTTACGCAAATGGTACTTTGACAACTACTGTCGATGACATGATCTATCAGCAGCCTTGCAACGGTTGTTAAGCTACGCGGATTCTCGATGCAGCGAAAGTCGGCGTTATGATCCTGCACAAAGGCTCCGAGTCAACTAGTCCAATTACGAACTCAAAGACTTATTTGATGTAGATATGAAGCCAGGATCTTCTGCTTACCACTGGCATTTGAGTCAAAATCCCAGGTTGTGTCCGTGGGGCTTTTGGGTCATTCGTGTTGTCACGAAGTCGCTAGTTGCAATGAATCCAATAGCTTGTTGTATACTGCTCGTATATAATCGCATACATGCATATTCTTGGATTATATCCGAATATAGTTGTACTACCCCGCATATATGGGCACAATAGTGAAGTACCTGCGGTCTTTAAGCTTTATACAAGCGTGATTAATGTTCTATTTGATCCGTTTCATCGGCCAATTGCACAACATCGATACGCGTATACTCTGACCAAATTGGATCACGCGGCAAAGTCGGGGTTCTATGTTTTGTGGCACGGGCACCTGTGGAGACGTTCGGAATGCTGAAATATTACCGAAAAATCGCTTTATGACCGTGCATGTACCATTTCTGTTTACCCGTACTCGTATAGATGAGTGTTTTTCGTGAGGAGCGCCGATCTCAGCACCCACTATGGAGCCCTTTTCTCCACTCTCAAGTTTCTTGCCCAGATGACGATGAAGGGAGAATGCCCAAGTACTTAGTCTTCGTTAGTCTTCGGAATGTCTAACTCTCATCAGCACTGCTCTCCAAGCATTCAAAGATGAAGATAGCTTCTATCCTTGCCCTGCTATTGGTGGGCGGGTACCCTGTCAATGCTGACAGCCAGTTGAGTCGCCACATACCCATGCGTGCCATGATCACACTAATGCTCCAGTTAGACCCAATTTCAATGCTCAATATATTGCTTTGGGCCGGAGCCTTCAAAAGCCGAACGCCCCCTACCATGAGTTCACGTTGACACCGGATTCACCTTACGCGACCCTCGACTATGGGGCTGAGGTGGCCGGTTTCCCTACCTTTGAGATCACCAATATCGACGGCCCGACACAGATTGAGGTCAAGTACAGTGAACAGCATAGTGGATTAGCCGAGCCTTTCAGCGACGGTCCCAGCTTATTTGTGGCCAGTCTCGCCAACTCCTTCCGCGTGGAAACCTTCAACATCACCAGTCCTGGAAAGTTCAGTTCCGAGCTCTTGCAGGGAGGCCAGCGCTGGCAAAGCATTCGCTTGCTTACCCAAAACACGATAACAATCCGATTGGTGTTCTTTAAGTCATCCGTCGGTGCGGTGGACATTGGCAATATTCCTGGCTCATTTCACTCGTCAAACGAACTGTACAATGAGATCTGGAATCTGGGTGCTCGTGCAGTCTCACTGGCATGCTTCGACGCAGGGTCACAGAAGCCCACCATAAAGGTCAGTCGCCAAGGATCCAAGGTGTCCAGCAGCGTCCCCAACTACTCGTCTTCAACCTACAACTTCACCGAATACGACATGGAATTCGATGCTAAGATTGCCCGAGGAGGTTTTATCTGGTCAGTTGGCTACAATTTTGGCATTCGTTCTTCGGGAGGCGTTCTCATCAACTTGGCCGGCAACTACCCAGAAGAGAAGACATACGTCAACACAAACAAGACACTTTTCCCCCCATCCACCGTCACCCTGGCCCATGGAGTGAACTTCGTCAACCAAACCACATTGACATCCTACAAATTGGCCTCATTTCAGGTTCCATTCGATGTAGAAGAAGACGTGTGGTACCGAATCTCTACTAGTGTTCGCTCCGGACGTTTATCTGTCAGCTTGAATCAGACAGAACTATTCAATGTCTGCTTGTCTAGCTATTACGTTGGCGGATCATCAATCTCAACCTCTGGTGCTTTTGGCTTTGGCGCATGGCAAGATCAGTCTGCCTACATTCGTGGAGTCTCCGCCCGTGATACCTCTGGTAATCTGATCTACCAGAACTCCATGACGAACGCCACCGCTGTTCTCCCTGAGTACGGTCAGCATGAGAACTATTTCCCAACTTGCGTGGATGGCGCTAAGCGCGATCGTTTGGCCTGGCTTGGAGACTTCCTGCATACCACCAGAATCATCGGAGTCACAACCAACCGCAGCGATCATATCACTGGTACCTTCAAGCTGCTTTTGAGCGGTCAGCTTTCCACCGGCCAGTTGCCCATGGCCCCATCCCTTGGCTATTTACCAGACATTGCATCGGAGACATTTGCAGTCAGCGGTGTCGCGTACCTGCTGCCGGACTACCAGATTCTCGCCCTGATCTCTTTTTCTTCTTACATGGAGCAATCCAATGACACTGCATTCGCCCGTGAACACTGGACTGGGTGGAAGGCTGCCGTCAATTGGCTTGCAGAGTATCGCAGCGACTCTACTGGACTCATTGACTTTTCGCTGTTCGGCAATGCCTTCTTGGGCCCCACTAGTGGCTCAGCCGTCAATGCCGCCTCTGTCGAGGCATTCAAGGGCATGGCCTCTGTTGCTTCAGCCATCGGAGATGCCTCATCGGCTAAGAAGTGGGCTCGAATCGCTAAATACCTCCAAGCAACTCTCAATACCAACCTGTGGAGTGAGGAATATGGCGTCTACTCCATCCAAGAGTCGCAACCCGGGAACTTCTCTCTTTCCGCTCTCGGCTTCGCCATCACATCTGGATCAGCCAATACCACTCAGATTATCCGTGCATTGTCTAAACTACCTTCTCTTAAGCTGGGACCGGGATATCGTGACTCGAGTCTGGTCGTCTCATCAGATTCGAGCGCCAAACTGTCACCCAATACAAACGGTTTCCTTCTCTCAGCCCTGCTACAGCAAAAGCAGGCAGCTCCTGTCGCGTTCTTGCTGAATAATCTCTGGGGTGCAATGGTCAGCAATGACTCCACCAAATCGGGTGCTACCTGGGAATATGTGAACCAGAAATCCCAGCCAGGCTATGGCCAGTTTACCTCTCTGAGCCACCCTTGGGGTGGAGCTGCGACATACGCACTTACCAACTATGTAGCTGGTATTCGGCCGGTTAGTTTTGGATATAAATCGTGGATCATGGAGCCGGCCTACGCAGGATTTGAATTGGATGAAGTCAACGCCACGGTACCCACACCCCATGGACCTTTGAGTATTGCCTGGACGGCGAAGAGCAGTGTTGTCACGGTTATCATCGATGCTCCGGCGGGAACAACTGGAAGGCTAGTCTTGAGCAAGGACTGGGCGTGTCAGGGTGGATTAGTGAGCCAGAACTGTGCCAAGGTCAAGGACTTCGTTCGTGAGATTGAGGGAGGAAGTGTACAGCACTTCACTCACCAAGTTAAGTCTGAGTAACTGCCGGTAGCAGCGGATCTGTTCCATGTAATTTATTTGCTAGGCTAGTAGAGCTACTTTGAGTAGTTGCAATAAATCTTACTGCACCCTGGCTAGCTGACGTGAGTCAGGAACGCTCCCAGTCCACTCACAGGTATTCCGGGGCTTTATGCACTTGGATTTCACAATGCAGCAGGCCGCTTGATACTGCGAGTTCTTTTTGCAGCCGAACCATCGTGCAGGCTACTAATCTCGATATAACTGGCGTGATATTCGCTTTTGCAATTTCTTGTGCGCGTATTGCCCATACCTGGGCATTACCGAAGAAGGGCAGCAGGGCATATGCATCCCTTTGCCATCGCAGCCAGTTCTATCTATCATGAGTCGCCGACATTGTTGGGCCCTTTGGCATCGCGCTTGGCGGCGCAATTTTCTTTTGGGCACGCGTCGCCGCAATTAGTCCATTTGCACCGGTCGATACATTTCTTTATTTCGTGGTAGTCTAAATCACTTTGTGGGCTAGCAACTGACCCACCCCATCCGTGTGTTGTCCCAGCGCCTTGGTGAAAGTTTCACTGTACCATGGCTCACAGCCCTGGACATGGCCCCTCAAGGCAATGTTCAGCGGCGAAATCGAGTTTCGGTTCTTAACGTGTCTCCGTCGTCATGTGCCATCCATTGGTCATCTCAACTGACAGCCTTCACTCCTGCGTACTTGTATAGGGTGCATTTCAGTCCCCTTTCCTCTTATCATGTTGGTGATCTCGCTGCTCATCTAGATGCTGTTCCCACAGCTGCAGGTTCCCGTATATCATGCTGGTTCAATCAAACAACCTGGGGTGAGGCAGTCGGCTATAGTGGCAGTGAAGGTCCGTCCGTATAATGCCATCCTCATGGCCATGTTTTCAAGGGTATAACCCCACAAGAGATCGAAATGCTTCTGATGACTATACGAGTATGCACATACCACATGTTATAGTGGATTGCGTGCAAATTTCAATAGTGCATGCATGGTATTGTGATCTTAATAAATATTACGGAGGGTCAGGGATCGTATGTTTAGAAGGTTGTATATGCTAACAATGTTATGGAATGGATAGACCTGCGTATTTAGCGCCGTATCTTAACCTATTTTCCCTGAGCAGGCTCGGTAATTGTCCTATTGGACCGAGGTTATAGTGGGTCCCAGAAAGTTCATCTATACGCGTATCTTGACTCATTTCGCCAGAACGGGCTCCTACCAAGACGAAGTCACCGCACTAGTTCGGTGAACTTGCATGGATGCAAAACAAATCAAGAGAGATCGTTACGTAAGATAAATCTCCATCTACCCATCGATGCGTTCTTCCGACCCACAGAGTCGAAGGTCCTCTTTTGTTGGCTGTCATAGCTCATGGCTGTACTGTTCAAAACTGCTTTGCCTTTAAATAACTTCCGATGCGTGCATGCGTGAATATGAAGCACCAAGAAGCTGGTATAGCAACAGAGCGGCCTGAAGATCAGCCTCCACCATATGAGGCGGTACCGCAAGACCTGGAGGGTATTCGTGTAAACGGTAAGAGGCTCTCATTTAGTCCATTGGGGGGGGGGGGGTAAAGTCTAACAATATGTGTAGATGATGGTCGCATTTCGATCGATGCGAGCTCTCGACTCTGCAGGACTCTATCCAGGCTGATTCCGACGTCTCCCCTCCAAAGCACGCCTCTATCAGGACCACCACCAAATTATGAAGACCTGGTTGTCGTACAACCTAGAATTAGTCTCAATATTGTCATCCAAATCGTGGGAAGTCGCGGGGATGTCCAGCCTTTTCTTGCATTGGGAAAGGAGCTACAACAAGTTGGTCATCGAGTCCGAATCGCCACGCATAATGTTTTCGAGAAATTCGTAACTGAAGCTGGGCTGGATTTCTACCCCATAGGCGGGGAACCGGCCGATCTGATGGCTTACATGGTCAAGAATCCCGGTCTCATTCCCAATATCAACAGCCTGCGGAAGGGCGATATCCAAAGGAATCGTCTGATGATGGCGGAAATTCTTCATGGATGCTGGCATTCATGTCTGATGCCTGACCCTGCTACAAATGCGCCATTCGTCGCAAACGCAATCATCGCCAATCCTCCCAGCTTCGCACATGTTCACTGCGCCCAGACTCTCGGGATTCCACTCCATTTAATGTTCACAATGCCATGGACTGCAACCCGAGCCTTTCCACATCCTCTGGCAAATCTGTATAATATCCCTCCTGATCATGACTGGATTAACCGGGTCTCTTATTCAGTGGTCGATTGGCTATATTGGCAAGGGTGAGTTGCAAATGATTCTGCTCCGTGACACCATGCAGATAATTGACCTTTTCAACTTTCTATTTTCTAGTCTAGGGGGGGGGTTATCAACGATTGGCGCAAACATGAATTGGGATTGGAGCCTATATCTCTATCTGATGGCTCCTTTCTCCTGAAAACCCTAGAAATCCCGTACACATATTGCTGGTCTCCTGTTCTTGTTCCCAAGCCATATGACTGGCCTGCGAACGCAGGTATGGTTATCTCCCTTGCCATCTGGTTCCAACCCAATTACTGATATAAGGATAAGATGTTTGCGGTTTTTTCTTCCGTGACCCTCCAGATTACCAGCCTAACTCTGAGGTTGTTGCATTCCTTAATTCCGGGCCTCCTCCGATCTACATTGGATTTGGTAGCATCGTCATTCAAGATCCAGAAAGGATGACGGAGATCCTTTTACAAGCGATCGAGGAGACTGGTGTTCGAGCTATTATCTCTCGGGGATGGAGTAATCTGAGCGGGCCGGACGTGCCTCATATACTGTATTTGGACGATTGTCCACATGAATGGCTGTTTAAACATGTCAGTGCGGTTGTACACCATGGCGGTGCCGGTACAACAGCCTGCGGCCTACAAAATGGCAAGCCAACCGTCATTGTGCCCTTCTTCGGCGAGTGAGTTATCTGGCTGGAGTGTCATTATTCCCCTCCTCTAACTCATTTCTAGCCAACCCTTCTGGGGAGATATGATTTCTGCAGCTCAAGCAGGCCCAAATCCCATACCACATAAACAACTAAATATAGCGAACCTTGTTGATGCAATTCGTTATTGCCTAACACCAGAAGCAACTCACGCTGCACAAGATATCGCAAATAAAATGCAGCAAGACCAAGGAGTGAAGGCCGCTGTGGCCTCCTTCCACACACACCTCCCCCATCTTACTGAATGTGAGCTTTTGCCGCAATTTCCAGCATCTTGGACATACAAGAGAGGGAAACGGCGATACTTCCTATCCAAGGTTGCTGCAGAGATCCTGGCTGAGAATCACGTGCTTGACCCGAAGAAACTGAAAGTGTAAGTTCAAAGATTGTTTTTGGTAGATTTGAAGTTAATCATTCTCTAAAAAAAGATATCAAGCGTGCCCTATCCATATCGAGAATAAACGCTGGGACCCGGTGACAGGCGTTTCATCAGCTGGCTTGGGGATGGCATTCGAAATGCTCAAAGCGGGAGGCGATATTATCTACAAACCCTACGAGGTTTACAAGAGGGATAGCAGAGACCCTCCATCCTCGATGCATTCACCTAAAATCACGTCACAGCTGCTTTCACCTACATTGTCGAATACCGGAGAAAGTTCCTCGTCTCTTCGGAAAGCTCGATCCATGCCTTATTTGGAAAAAGCCGACAAGTTAGAGCCAAAGGGGAAAGGCAAAGCTCGCGCGATGGCTTCAGCGTCGGCTCAGGCCTCTGGAAAATTTCTGGGAAAGATTGTCTCTGGTACCATGGTCGATGTACCATTGGCCGCTGCGGAGGGGTTTCGTGTGCTTCCGGGTCTGTATGGGGGCAATATTCATGAAATTGATAAGGTCACGGACTGGAAATCTGGTATGTTAGCTGGTGCCAAAACCTTTGCTGTTGGTATGGCTGAAAGCTGCGTTGATCCGTTCTATCAGCCCTACAAGGGTGCCAGAGCCGGAGGCGCTTTAGGCTTTGCTGGTGGGCTATTCAAGGGAACCTTTGGCGTACTCGCTAATATGGGTCACTGTAAGACCTTATTTCCATTGCTATTGCTCAATCTTTCCTTTCTTCCAAGGTTTCGTTGTCGCTGACGCCTTGTGTTCTGCAGCTTCCATTGGCCTTGTCGCATACCCCGGGCAAGGTATCAAGCGAAGCATTAAAGCGGCCTTCTCTGACGGTACCCAAAAGGGGATAGCAACTTCTCTACGCGCAGAAGGCCAAGACATGGCTCGGAAATGGAGGGTGAGGGGCTCACATGATGCGGTGGTTGTCGACAAATTCATGCGCATGCACCATGAAGATGATTCGGGAGATGACAGCGATTATCGGTAATGAACTTGAATTGTGAGCTCTGCGCAATATGAGGGAAGGAATTCTCTTATATCCTAGCCAATCTACTTCATGTGGTTTCCCAGTGATATAAAGGCTAAGACTGATCTCGAGGGAAGCAAGCCCCTTTCCTTTGTGTACTCGAAGATTTGGTTGAAACCTTTGGAGTCGGCATTGTATTGTACTTTTCTATTTTCTTTTTCTCCAATGATCATCTTCGGTGGTCTCTTTTCTTCTCCTTTTTTCCGTAAAGAAATGATAGCATTGTAGGCGTCGTTTTGGTTGAAATTCTATGTGGTAATCATACAATGTTTAATAGACTGGAGAACCTACATGCTGACAAGGCAATTCTTGAAAATTATCATGCGAGATGGGCTAGTTTCGGCTAACGGGCAATCGGAATGTGGAACTGGTTGCCGCGCAAAGGGATAAAATAAGACCAAGGGAGGGGGGGCAACTTCGCAACTCTCAATTATACCAGTTCCAATATAATTAATACGGGCCATCTGACGGACCTAAAGAGGTAGGATGACGTGTTCCTTCGACTTGATGACGCACATGCGTCCTTAGGAAATGCGAGATGTGACCTTGTAACGACTCACAAGTACCGTGCTCCATGCCGCGGAACCAGGCTCGCATATGCTTTTAAGCCAATCTTGGCTTATATTACTTGGTTGTTGGAAATTATCACCTGTTTATCTTGGTACACTTGTCTTAAAGAGACGAGAGGAGGCTGTTTTCAGAAGCGACTCGGATTTTTATCCCAACGCGATCCCGATCCCTATAAAAGCATCCAATTCATTCATATCACACTCTAGAAATTCGTAATTTGCGCAGCACAGCCTTGCGTGAAAGCCACAGGGGCATATGTCTACGATAGTAAAAGTCTGAGATAGATCATCTCTTATATCTCCAGTGCATGATAGTCTTAGAAAATGACGAAGAGACTCTTGTAACAGTTCAGATCACGGCTCCACCTCAAGGGTGTTATAGATATAATCTTCCATTCTCGATCCATCACGCTATTGAGCTGCAAGAGTGTCTTCGCAGGTTTGAGATATAGTAAGATCTCATTTTCCTCGGAGTTCTCTGATTGAGCTGTACCGTTGGGGATCCTTTCAACTCGGGGCTGTCTTATCTGCTTAAATCGGGTAAAGATGTCAAGTAGTGTGGAAGATTGAATATCCAAGACGTGAGAGAGCAGAAAGACATCCTCCAATGCTATAGAGGCTGCTTGGCCAAGACGCGGCTGTATGGTGAAAGCTGTTGATGGTAGGATCGCGAACCTTTATATCTGACATCCCAGAATACACGGTTTAACCTCGGGGGTTAATATGTAGCTTGTGAATAGCAGAGTGAATTTTGTTGTAGTTAAGTAGAATTTCAGCTGAATTCTCCGCGCTATTGTTCAAGGCGATTGTGACGGTCTCTTGTGTCTCGACCACTTGTATTCATCTTTTTCCAAATATAATGTTGACGTTTTCGCGCTGGGCAGCAGTGAAAAGGACCTTAATAAGATCCGATCTTAACACTTGCTAAACACCGAATCTAGTAGTCTGCTTGTAGTCTTCTCTGACCTTGTATTGAATTGTGGGAGATCTAGGTATTGATTTGAGAGTTAATAAGGAAGGTGAGGAAGCCCGGACGTTAAGCTTGTTATAAAGCCTAAGCTTGTTGAGTAATCTGATACTGTTGGGAGAAATATTGATAGCGCCGTCTATTGTCGATGGGTTTTCCCGGATCTTGTAAACAATGTAATCAATTCTGTTTGATTTTTTTTTAGATGTAATGCAGCTGTAAGCCCTGCTGGGCCACTGCCAATGATAATGACCTATCGTCTTCTTAACCAAATGACCCATCAATATCGCACAGAAAAATACCCGGTGATGTCTCAGATTCGGTGACGGAGTTTCAGTGACGGAGTTTTGGCAACGGACTTTCGGCGATTACTCAATCCAATGATGTCAGACAATTGGTATGGCCCGTGACAATCCTACAGCAGAGTGAATTAAAGCGTGACCACGTAGTACCTGTGACGATACACGCCATATACCGTGCTTTAAAAATTTAGTAATAGCTTAATTGGCCCACCCATTGCCAGATGCCGATACCCGCGAACCACACGTGCAGCGGAGACGTTTTCTCGGGCCTTCGGAATCGTAGCCATGGGATGGAAGTCACATAATTCGCATTTCCGAAATGCCGAATAGTGGAACCTGAGCTGCCTCTGTCCTAAAATGATGGTTTTGATTGCAGTAATTATCATATTTTTCGTATCCCAGAGGTGCGCAAATCCGCGGTAATAAAGCTAGAAGCCTATTCCCTTCCAAGCCCCATCAATATCCATTTTTTTCGACTTTTCGACCTAGCCTAGCCACATCTATGGCTTCAAAGAATTGGAAGGTCGGAATTGTGGGATATGGCTCGAGCGCCAAAATATTTCACATTCCCTTCATCCAGGCACTACCTGAGTATACCCTTCACGCCATCGTCCAAAGAACCCCGCGAGTGGGAAATGACGCCGCAAAAGAACACCCCGATGTGAAATGTTTTCCATGTCTAGATGAAATGTTGAAAGAAACCACAGTCGACATGATTGTGATTTCGACCCCCGTTGAGTCGCACTATTCGTTGACCAAGTCGGCACTTTTTGCACAGAAACATGGTTTGTTGCCCTACGTAAACTATTTATCGGAGAGAGTATAAAGCATGTTGCTTTCAAGCGGAGTGCTGATTCAAAGTTGATACAAAGTTCTTTGCGAAAAACCTTTCACACTGACAGCAAATGAGGCTGACGAGCTTATAGCTCTGGCCAATCAACAGCATAGGCTTCTCTCGGTATTTCATAGTGCGTAATATGTCCCCTGTTTCCTATATTTAAACAAATTGCTGACAAACACAATCTCCAATCAGATCGTCGCTGGGATGCTGATTTTGTTACTCTGAAGCAATTGCTAGTCAGCCGAACACTAGGACTAGTCACTAATTATGAGACATGCTTTGAGTTTTCTGACCCTAGACGGTCAGTCCAAAATTCTGCAGATCCTATGAATACCGTCTCGCAGATCAAAGCCATTTACGATCTTGGGACGCATCTTCTGGACCAGGCAATTCACATATTTGGGTTGCCTCAAAGGGTCACCGGTCATCTTGGTGCCGAACTAAAGGGAAATGATTCATCCGAATGCAGCAATATTTTCACGGTGTTAATGCACTACGATAATGGTCTTCTTGTTACTGCTAAGGCTGGCACAATAAGTTCGAAAGAAAAACCGCTTCGATTTTTGGTCACAGGAGACAAAGGGGGTTTTAAGAAAGTGTGTCTGCCACTTGAATTCTGTGAATTCCGAACAGACTGACCATATACCAAGTTTTATTTCGACATTCAAAAGGAACATCTACTAGCCGGCAAGAGTCCTAGAGACAATGGGTTTGGTGAAGAGCCTTTGGAAAGATATGGTGAGTTGGTTTCCGAAACCGGTATGGGTTTTTGTTAATATAGCAACAGGAGTTCTTGCGACTAAGGAAAGCGGCGGGTCTGCTATTGAAAAGAGCATCGCAACTGTTGAGCCACCCACTTGGGCTGAGTATTATCGGAAACTGGCACGCGCCCTGAGCGGAAGGGAACCTGTCCCTGTGAGCGGTTCCGAGGCTCGTGATATTATCCAGATCATTGAATTGGCTATAATTAGCTCGCAATTGAAGGAGACGGTGGAAATTCCATAGTGATCCCTTAGTGGTTTCACCAAAACGCAATCTCCAAGGTCCCTCGATAGACATCAGAAGATGAAATCACTTGTAGATGGCTAAGAGAGTTATGCTGGTGGACAATAAGGTTGCTACTCTATTCTCCCGTATGGTGCTTGCGTAATACAAGGTCAACAGCCTCGCGCTTTTCTGCAGGTGACCAAAAATGAGGCCATGTCGCTTGCCGGGATAAGACATGGGCTTGTCAGTTAGGCGATCGTACAATCAACATTTTGCGGCAAGCCTCAAATTTTTTGGGATGAGTTGGAAGGTATAAGCCCAGCCGCAGGGTTCTCTCATGGCTATCAAACCAGACTGCTTGTATCTGCCACTATGATCGCGCTAAGAATCCTCGCAATGGGGTTACTTGTAGCATGCTCAGTTGCGTATACCCTGCTCTGCTTACCGGGCTTAATTGTACGCTAATAAAATATTAGATGTCTAGGCCCCTGATGAGAGTTGAGTCAAAGAGCAAGAATTTCAGAAACAGCAGAATTTAGCAATACAATTGAAATTTCTATTCCCATGGTGCATCTTGTACTACATTAGCGTGCTTTCGCTACCATGGAACGGCCAGCTGCGTCATTTTCAGATTTGGGGGCTGAAATAGGTCCGCCTGTAGATCAGCCCAGCCTATATTTTCAAATTTTGGGCCATCGAATTCTCCCGTGGGGGTGTAGAATGAATGCTTTTGGCTTGCAGTTTGCCGCCCCTTAAAGTGACGTCAAGAAGTCTGTAAGCCTCCAAGACGACGGCAATACGGCCTTATCTCCCCCTCATCAAACTCTTCCTCGAATGGGCAGTGCCGTCTGTCAAAATTCCGAACTTCCATGTTGTGACCCCTCTTGCTCGAACCGCCACCGAAGGCCACGAAGGTGTAGTTTATAGACCTCTTCAAGCTTCCAGGGATGAAATGAAAATTCCCGACGACAATGGAGACACCCCTTTGATATGCGCCGCCGCCGAAGGAAGCGCTTTTATTGTTCGGACTTTGCCCCAGCAAGGTGACACCTCTAGCACTGTAGGCTAAGTAATGTGGTAAGAGACTGCATTCAAAGCTACCTTGGTTGGAAATTCCCTTCCAATGTTCTGCTGGAATATGAGCAAGTACAGCTGACTGGGTCATTGCCGTCTTACTTTCTTTTTCATGCCTAGCGAAGAGTCTCTTCAAAAATGCTACATCAACGACTGCATAGGCATTCATATCTAAGACTCCACACTTTTACCAACTCGTGAGCTGAGCACAGCCAGTTCAATGATATGAATAAGATCGCGAGCCTTGGGGCCGCTCACAGGAACACATCCCCGTCCGCTCATGGCACGTGATAGTTGCCGATAATATTCAGCCAAGTGGGTGGCTCAACAGTTTTGATAGTCTCTTCGACGATAGACCCATCAGTTTGCGTGCTTGCGAGACATTCTGTTGGTCTTATCAGCACCTGTGTACTTTAAAAACTGGCTAGGAAATTCACAGACCGTATCTTTCCACTGGCTCTTTACCAAAATTGATGTCAGTGGGACACAGTCCAGCCATAAGGTGTTCTTTTTGGACATCGAAAAAAAACGATCATATAATGAGTCTTGTCTGGATTTGAATAAACAAGGCGGCAGAGGCACCTTTTTGAAGCTTCCTTTGTCCCCTGTCTCGATAAATCGATGCGGGGTTATCCCTTGGCCTTAATATACCAGCTTTACTAGTCACGAGCAGGTCATGATCATAGTGTAATAACACTGTGAAGATATTGCTGGATTCGGAAATATCTCTACCTTCCGCATGGATACCAAGACGTCCGGTGACTATTCGGGGCAAGTCAAATATGTGAATCACCTGGTCTAGGAGGTGTGTTCCCAAATTGTACATAGCACTTATCTGTTCGGCGGTGTCTGTAAGGTCCATGCGGTTAGAGTGAGGGAATTCAATGTGTGTCTCATTGCCTGTTACCTACTCTAGTGTGCCAACATTCAGTAATTGGCTTAAAGTGACGAAATCGGCATTCAAGTGTCGATTTAATCCGTATTTTTTGCGTCAGCGATCATATCTTTCATATAATTGGCAGATCTGATGTTTGTCAAGCGAAAAGGATGAAGATCGACTCTGCCACTTATTGTGATACACCACAAGGACCTGTTGCCGTTCTTTAGCTAGAGCTACAAGCTCATCAGCCCTACCGGCTACGAGGGTAAATAGTTTCTCGCAAAGAACTATGATCAAACCCCATTTCAGCACAGCGCTGTTGCATCCTCTCTTCAATGAGCAGCTCAGTTAGGGTGATACACCATGTTTATGTGCAGAAGACTCCGACTTGGTCAATGAATAGTGCGATTCACTGGGCATCGAAATCGCAACCAAGTCTACCGCACGTTCTTTCAGTATGTCATCTAGACATGGAAATTTTTCACACCTATATGCTCTTTTGCTGCATCATTTCCCACTTTCGGTGATCTTTGGACGATGGCATGAAGTTTGTACTCTGGCAATGCCTGGATGAACGGAATCTGAAATATTTTGGCGCTTGAGCCACATCCCACGATCCCGACCTTCCAAGTTTTTGAAGTCATCGACATGATGAAGTCCAATTGAGATTTGCGATATTGATGAGTTCCCAGGAGGCAGGCAATAGGCTGCTGATTTCACTTCACAGGATATCGGCGCATGCAAGTAGCTAGATTTCGGTACTCAGCGGTTGAACAATAGCTAGTGACATCAATGGCTACAATTCCAAAAACCCGAGGGATGGTTTGCCTGCATATGTGGGTCGCGGGCTTTCGGCGTCTGGCAAGGGAAGAGTGGGACCAATCAAGCTATTGCTGAACTATGCAAGTGAAAACCTGTGCCAGAATCTATTCGGGTGTATTCCGGATCACCTTGAATGAGCCTTTCTAGCCCGGCTTGGCAGGGTTGGTGTAGTGCCCGGGTTTTGATGGGGTAAGGGGTGACGAATACGTTATAACTTAGAGCATGTCTTTTAATATACACACCCTCCCTAATGCGACATGAGCACATGGTCTACAGTATCTACACACGACCAATTAAAAGACAGTCATTTCAAGTAGGCGAGGAAAGATTGCCAAGCGGGCGAGGTATTCAGGGAACTCGAGCTGTCGTTGTTGTCTAATTCTTGAACACACGGTTTAGGCAGAAGTCCGTGCTCCTAGCCAGGCAAGTGTGAGCATTCATATTTTTCACGAAGTTGACCAAGGCCGACTGAAAGAGAGTATCGTAAGGTGGTAGCAAGAGGAAATGGTGAATAGATCGCTATGGCTATTGCAGGCTACAACTTAACATCGAGGATGTTGTAAAGATAATCTTTCATCCTGGCTCCATCGCGCCATTGCGCCGCGAGGACCTCCTCGCGGGTCTGAGACATTTTGGGGTCCAACTTCCCCCGGAGATTTCCTGTGTGAGTTGCGCCTTGAGATATTTTCTCAACTCGAGGTCGTCTGATCTGTTCATACCGAGCAAATGTTTCATCCAACTTGGCAGGTCGACTCTCCAAAAGACGTGAGAGCAGGAAAACGTCTTCTAATGCCATGGATGTCCCCTGACCAAGATGCGGCTGCATGGCATGAGCAGCATCGCCGAGCAGAAGACAACGACCCGTTGACCAGCGGCAGGATGGCGACATCTTGTAAACCGGATAAAATTTGACAGTTTCAGTCGCGGAGATTAACCCTCTCAACGCATCCCCCCATGCTCCGGTGATGTCCTTGAGCACGTCATACATATCCCTCTTAAGGTCCTGAACAGCCTTTTGACCGTATGCCTCCCAACCATCGCGACTGCCTTCATCGTCTGGAATTGCAACTTTGCGGGAATAAAACCAATATAAATGCTCGCCTGACGCCGTGCAGGGAACGACAGAGAACAGGCCATCAGAAGTAAAAGTCATGCTCATCTTTGGCTCTCTAGGTGCTGGCACGACAAGACTCGTTGATGGTAGGATCGCGAACATGTTTGACACCCCAGAATACATCGGTTCCACCTGAGGGTCAATATGCAGCTTGCGAACGGCGGAGTGAATTCCGTCGCAGCCAAGAAGCATTGCAGCCGAATCCTCTGTGCCATCGTCAAAGGCGATTTGAACAGCATCTTGCATCTCAACCACTTTCGTCAATCGTTTCCCGAAAACCACTTTGATGTTTTCGCGTTGTACGGCAGTATAAAGGACCTTGATGAGATCTGATCTCAACACCCTCCAGACGCCGAACCCTGTGGCATGCATGCACTCCTCCCCGACCGCGTACTGAAAATCAGGAGATTCAGGTGCTGATCCAAGGGTCAACTTTGAAATTGAGGAAGCCCGGGCATTGAGCTCGTCATACAATCCAAGCTCGTGGAACAACCTGACTCCATTGGGAGGAATGTTGACTGCGCCACCGATTGTGGATGGTTTATCACGAATCTCGTAAACCACGCAGTCAATTCCGTTTGATTGTTTCAGACGCAATGCAGCTGCAAGCCCTGCTGGGCCACCGCCGATAATAATCGCCTAGGGTCTGATAAGTCAAATGTCATTTCCAAAATGCATGTCGCAAAATACTGCGTACCTTTTCTGCCATCACAATTTTTTCCAATAATTCGTAATCGATGAAACTTCTGAGTGGAGGAGGGAAAGGCTGTTGTATTATAGCACGTGTCTTGATTTTCCTGCCGATACCCGGGCGTGACGTCTCAGACTCGGTGTCGGAGTTTCGGCAGTTTTCAAGTCAATCATGTCAGACAATCGACGTAGCAAATTGGAATTCTGCATAAAAATAAGTAATTTTTTCGCCACGTCGGTAGCTGGGCCGTTACACGCGGTGTGCCAATAGTTCCGACTAAATACCGAGTAAGCCCAAACGTACTGCCAAATGCCGAGAACCCGCGACCCGTATCTCGGAGGCGACATTCGCTCGGGTTGTCCGTATGATCGCCTTCGAGTCGCAAAGTCTATTGCTTGTGCGCTGGATAACTAAGCGGAAGCTTACACGTACCCAGCGCGGATTGTGACGTGTCACTCTCTCCCATGAAGATATAACGGACCTCATCCAACAAAGTTTCAAATGACCTTTCCTGCCTAACTCAGAACGATGCCAAACTTGCATTTTTGACGAATTGACCAAAAACACATAGCCCTACAAGAATGTATGCGCTTCACGGTTGTCTAAATCCTGCATGAAAATTGAATACAGATTTGCCCATCCAATGTGGCCCTTGATTGTTGAAATACGAGATAATTACTATTTCTCATGGAAACCATAGGAAAGCCTATTCCAAAGGTCACCAGCTGTCATTGGGTACCCCCTTACTTTAGCATGCGTGGTTCACTGGCTTTGAGACTTGTTAGGCGAGCCATTTTGTAGGGTGAGGTAAGTATTATCGGGTGAGAATTGAGTAGCGTGACTCGAGCGTCAAATTGAGCTACTGATAAACGATGAAAGCTAAGAAATTGAAATTATCACTGCTTTGCATACTTGTCAGCATTGAGACGCATTAGCCTGATATATGCCTCAGTCAGCCGCTCGGGTTCATGAGCATTGGCTTCAATGATTGCTTGTTGAATCCTTGCACGGCTAGACAACAGTTCTTTGGCCACACCTTCCCATTCCAAGTTGCGACAACAGATCTGGACACCTGGTAGAGATGGTCTCACATTCACCGAATTTAACTTTCCATTACGCTTGCGAATGATACCATCAACGATTACAGTCTCAATGTCACGAATTGAAGAGTGTAGAACGATTGCTGCCACAGGATCCTGTTCAGTAGCACATATCATCCCTGGGGATTCTCCGTCAATTATAATGAGGTCTGCAGCCTTGCCGACTTCAATGGATCCCAACTTATCCGCCATATTGATGGCTCGCGCCCCTTGAATAGTTGCTAATCGGAAAACATCCTGCACGTGCAAATTCAATCTTCGTGGATTCAAGCCTTGAGTTTTGATTGACGTATTTCGACGGGCCCGCTCGTGCTGCAAGGCAAGTCGCATCTGTGAGACCATGTCGCTCGAATTATTGCTGTGACAATCGACTCCCATAGAGCTAATATCCGAGCAGCCGTGTTTGAAACAGACGAGTTCGCCGTGTCCCATTTGGAGTTCTGTCTCGGGTGTGGTTGAGATCCATGCATTTTTCTCGATGAGCTTTTGAACATCGTCTTCAGTAAGATTGCTAGCATGTGATAAAAGAATATCGGCATCAAGGAGACCATAGTCATCTAGTGTAGCGACAATCGACTTGTCATCTTTCGGGTGTTACTATGAAACTCATCTGGCACCGTAACAAAATTTCAAGATACTCACTGAAAGCATTCCGTACGTAATGCGAGGTAATCAGCTTGACGCCTATTTCGCGCGCCTTTCCGTAGAGGGAGCAAATGTCTTCTTTGGGGAGCCTGAAACCATCGAATGCCAGTCCCAGCTGAACCCGCCCGTCACCAAAAGGTGCCATGGAGCCAAGTCTTCTCAGTTCGTCGAGGACCCATTCGTCTAGCAAATTACCAGAGGTAACAATATCTGGCTTCCAGCTCTTGACTCTCAGGGTGGGTGTGTAACAAAAAACCGAACGGATACCCGAAGCTATCGCTGCTTCGATACCATTTGAAGCTATATCATCATTAGTTTATCACGCCCTTTCTATACGCAAAACAATACTCACTATGGGCGGGTGAATCATTCATATGGGCATGATCAACAATGGTCGTAGTACCTGAATCCAAAGCTTCAAGACAGCCGGCAAGTTCACCCCAGAATACGTCATCTGGGGTATAATTGGCATGCTGCAGATTACCTAATTGAATCAGAACGGGGGAAGCTTCAACCACAGCTCGAAAATTGCTCCAAGACACACCATTGGGTAGATATTCAAGGAGTGCATGATTAGCGTGACGACCTTTCAGCTGCGTCTGCCATACATGATGATGACTATCGATGAATCCAGGTGACACTATCTTGCCCGTGCAGTCAATGAGCTGAGCACCGGTAGGCGGGACTATACGCGGTGCAATTTGGGAGATTTTGGTATCTGAGATTAGTAGCGAGTGTCCTCGCAAAGGCAATACTTGATCATTCTTTTCTCCAGAGGGTATCAAAATGGTGGCATTCTGAAGCAAAATGTGACGTGTCATGGTTGCGGGTGATCAAGTACGGTGACAAGTATGAATGGATGACGGAAATCTTGTATGTCCTGAGCAGCAAAATGGTATCGTGTGAATTTCGCGAAAGAATGAAGAACGAGATAATCCAGGCATTTGTGAATTTAACAAAGCGTTGAAATATCGCCGATTGGATGGATCTTCTTGACGGGGAGAACTCTACGGGCATTCGCATCTTCGGACTTTCCCGGTTTGGTTCGAATGAAGACGAATTTCGGACTTTCGGAGATCAAACGCTGTGGAGAAAGGCGACCGACACTCCGTACAGAGGCATTCGTACCAAGAAAGAGATCCGAGGACGAGACTCAAGTCCTTGAGATCATCATCGGAGTAGTCGCGAAGAAAGCTCCTGGACCTCAGTCAATACTCTATTCGCAGCTGAAATATTTTCCGCATGTGTCTCAAATGATATCTTTGGTACGATCTTATGGTACCAAAAAGGCAGTGCCCTACTCCCCGAAATACGGGCGACGGAGTTTCGGGATCTGAATATGCTTTCCAACCCCACCCACCCCGACCGCCTATAGACTTTGAAAAGCGGCATTGAGGTTTTTCTATGTTTGAACTTTTCTTGGAGAGAAAAATAAAATTGGACTGTTGCAAATCAATAATAGAAAACCCTGGAACGTGCTCAATGGCCCGGGTAGACCGGCTTCGTGGTTAGAACTATAATAGGACGTCAAATGATCTATGCGATTCAACTGATTACGCTACTTTACTGTCTTCTCTCCAAACCACAATGACGACGGATGGATTGGATTTGTCTTTCTCCCGCACTGTTAGTACTGGAGATAAATCTGTTGAGAGCCATCAAACGTCCCCTGATCACAATGCAGAGCTGCAAAGAGAGAAGACGTCTGGCTCAGAGCGTTCTGGTGTCGACCAAAGAACGAACCGGGTCACATCTCGCATTCGTAGTCGAGAACCAAGCCGCCCCTTTACACATACATTTTCGCACACGAAGACAAGCACTGAGATGTTGGTGGATTTCGATGGTCCTGACGACCCATACAATCCGATGAATTGGTGCATGAAGAAAAAAGTCATGACCACAATCCTCTATGGTCTCACTACAATGGGTATGGAATTTTGACGCCAACGCATCGCTTGAAACATCGCTAATGCTTGATTTGACTTCAGGTGCTCCATGGGCGAGCTCAATGTGAGGATTTCTTCTGGCTTACTTCGAGGTGCTCAGCTCTGACAAAATCAAACTAGCTATTCAACGGGCCAGACGGAGATCAATGAAGAATTTCACGTGTCAAATGAAGTCTCCACACTTGGCACTTCTTTGTTGCTATTCGGACTCGGGGTAGGGCCACTACTTTGGGCGCCGCTCTCGGAGGTTTACGGACGCAAGCCAGCTGTTCTTGCACCTTATTTTGTGGCGGCGATACTTTCATTCGGGACGGCAATTGCCAAAGATCTGCAGACCATCATGATAACCCGCTTCTTCGCCGGCTTCTTTGGATCTGCCCCTGTCACAAATACTGGTGGGGTCCTTGGTGACATCTGGACGCCAGAACAGCGTGGTGTGGCTATTGTAGGATATGCCATGGCAGTTTTTGGTGGTCCTGTCTTGGGTCCCATCGTAGGCGGTGCAATTTCACAAAGTTATCTTGGCTGGCGCTGGACCGAATACCTGACAGGCATCATGATGCTTACCTTCCTCATCTTAGACGTGATATTTCTCGACGAGAGCTACCCCCCTGTTCTCTTGGTCCGCAAGGCACGTCGGTTGCGTTTGATGACTGGCAACTGGGCTCTTCATGCTCGTCATGAGGAATGGGATGTTTCGTGGAAGGAGTTTGGGAAGAAGTATCTTGTACGGCCTTTTCAGCTCCTTGCAACCCCGATATGCTTTCTGATCGCCCTCTATGCCTCATTTGTCTACGGGATCCTCTATCTTAGTCTAGCCGCGTTCCCTATTGTATTTCAAGAGGGCAGGGGATGGAACGAGGTTGTGGGCGCTCTACCATTTTTGGCTTATTTGATTGGGATACTCTTCGGTGCTTGTGTCAATATAAGCAACCAAGTATTCTACCTCAAACGAGTGAAAGCTAATAACAACCGACCTGTTCCGGAAGCTCGTTTACCACCGATGATGATTGGGTCCGTCTTCTTTGCAGCAGGGTTGTTTGTCTTTGGTTGGACAAGCCCGGCGCACATTCCTTGGATCGCCCCCAACATTGGTGCCGTGATGATGGGCTTTGGTTTCTTCACGGTCCTCCAGTCATCGTTGAATTATCTCATCGATACGTTCCAGACCACGGCCGCAAGTGCTGTGGCGGCAAACACTTTTTTGCGCTCAATCTTCGCGGGCTGCTTTCCGCTCTTCACCAATGCCATGTTTCACAACCTCGGTGTTCCTTGGGCCTCGAGCGTATTGGGCTTCATATCTGTCGCTCTCATTCCCATTCCATATTTGTTCTACATCTACGGGAAGAAAATTAGGTCGAGGGGGGAATGGTCTAAGCAGTCCATTTGAATAGACTCACACAGGCTTCACAGCCACGTGCCTGCGAAAAGTTTTTCTGCTTCCAGGTCCTTGCATTCGCAATAACTGCCGGTGTCTTCTTGATGCTTTAAAAGTATCTCAAGAAGTATGACATCTTGCCTACTGGAGGCACAGGATAGGGATACTCGGAGAGAGAATGAATATAGTAGTGGAATGAATATGCGATAGAACCAAGCTCGGGATTCAGACTATCTAACTGCAGCATGGGTAGAAGATTCCTATCCATGGTGGGTCTAGTTCACGAGCTTCTATTCGTTTTATTGTATAGCCCCTAGTTTTAATTGTCACTCTATACGGCACTCATTTCTATTTGACTTCCACAACATTTAAAAACATATAGTATTCATGTGTACTTGGTAAATTCAGGCCGTAGGTAGTAATTCGATCGCGCCTTCCATTCACTAAACCTGAATGAAAGAGATGGAAAGTTACGAGTGATTGTAAACAAAGGGTGCCTCAATCATTGTCGATAGTGGAGCTAGATCACGTTGCTTTTTGACCCACGCTTGGCTGTATGCCCTCAGTGTTGCCTACACCCTTCGGCGGTCGAACGGCTTGAATATGCTTTTTGATCCTCTTAAGAGCAATTGGAATGTTATCCTGTGTGTTGCAGATACTAGCGAGATGATCCATGTACCTTGCAAGACGAAGATGAAGCGAGGATCCAGTGACTAGCATCTTATTGTCACTCCGAATGCCCCAAAGTCGCCCTTGAAGATTTAAAAGCAGATGCGGGGAGTAATCACCATGTACAGCTTGATGTCTTTCTTTCGCCTCGCTGTCCATATATCCGGTCCCAATTGCGAAGGTCGTAAATCATCTCCCGAAAGGAAGAGACCCCGCTCAGCATACAAAGAAAATCGTCACATTATTGGCGGACCATAAAGTCAGTTTCTTGAGATACATGCGCTGCGAAGAGATCAATGTGACCTGACAAGTCGCCCGCAAAAAGACCTGCCAAATCAAAAGCTTCCGAAAAGCCATCATCGACGGAAGGGGCACAAAAGTCTCCACTGAGAAGATGGGGGGGGGCTCATTGTTTACATCTAATTGTGATTTTGGGTCTTGGAATAACGGATGTGAACTCTTTGACTGTATAAATCAGTAGCAGTTAGTGCTTGAATTGCCAAAGGTAGGCTTTGACGTACAAGGTCTTGCTGGTTTCCTTCAAATTCTTCTCTTGGGTGCGAATGACTGTGAGTATATGAGGTATTTGAAAATCCCAGTGTCGCTGCTGGAATATTGGCGTTCATATCTTTTATGTAATCACGAGCGATTTGAGTCAAATCCGAGAGAAGCGCGGTTTGAAAGCGCCCATTCGACGAGACTTCAAGACGGCAGAAATATCCGGCGGCCACGCCTAGCAATGCAATATTCGTCTTCGTTTCCGCGTGGGAGGGGTGATGAACTACAAAATCGAATAGTATAAAGATAGCGGACAATGGAACTGTGAGAAGAGTTCTTGCCAGAAATCAGTAGATGTTTTCATCACTTGAAATGGCAATCGGGAGAGGAGACACTGACGAGACTGGGGTGTAGGCTTCCAAGTCAATGTATCTTGTGAGATCAATGATCGCACGAGAAGTGTGCAGAAGCCTTTGTTCAGCTTCTTGTCTTTTGTGACTTGACTCCTCAGGCAAAACACTCAGTTTTAATCGAGCCAGGGCAATAACTGAGCTATAGTACTGGAAGTTAATTTTCAGCTTTGTCTCCGCTGATAGGATTCCCAGTCCAACAGAATGTAGGCTAGACCCGGGCCGGAAGTGCTCGGGAATGGATTGTTTCCATTTTTCAAGCTCAAGCTCAAAGTCGTCAATAGCGGGAACTAAGAGACTAGGCGATATCAATGTGGCACTTATCGTGAACAGGGCACTCTGGGCTTTGGATAGCAGCCGGCTAAACCGACACATTGCGCGGAAGTAATCAAAGCCGCCAAACATCGCCTCTGGGATTTTGGGGACTGGTGTGCCAATATTCGAGTCAACGATGACCTATCCCCATCAGTCGTTCGAATTGACGTCTCGGAGAAGGCGCAATGACCTACAGAGTCCCTATCGCAAATGAACGACTGCGTTTTTTCCAATATATAGACCACCCAGTATATTCGCTGGCACAAATCAATATTCTCGCCATCGTGGATAGCTCGATTAAGACCGAGCGTCTGCACAACCCTGGCTGCGTGAGTCGTAAGCGATTTTTCAATGTTAATGCAGGAAGTGTTGCGGGCGAAGATAGCCTGATTTTTGTCAGCACGGAATTCGTATAGACAGACTGGATTCTACGACCATTGCAATCGCGGCCTATTTTCGGTTGAGTCAGCACGCTGTCAGGTTTTAAGAAAGGTTCCTTACCTGAGCATGGCCTAAAGTCTCCTTGGAAGCGATGATTCTAGAGTAACTATGAAATGCAACTTCGAATAGCCTCCAGGATGTCCCTTGACCTGGATGAAAGCATGCTCTTTCTTGACGTTGGCAACCAAGTGCAAGCACTGCATGATATAAAGCCGAGAAAAGCGCGCTTTCTTGACAATGTTGGCGGCATCGGCTATCGAGAGCTTTTTGCTCAAAATCAATCCAGTGTAAGAAAGGGTACATCGGGTGCACGTATTCGAAGTATGCTAGATTGAATTAATAAAGAAGTTTACAGCGCAGTTCAATTTGGAAACGCACAGGAGCAGTATGCAGCGGCACTGGCGGTGTCTATCTCAACATGCGTTGAGATATTTAGAGGCCCTGCATTCATTTGACTGTCCGCAGGGCGAATATCGTGACTCACTCGGGCCTGCGTTGTATCAACTAGCCCTTTAAAAAAATCCCGAAACCTCGTGTGACCTAGAATATGACAAATGGACGTTATCTTGCGATCGGAAAATACAGCAATATTAGAGCTTCCAGCTGCTTTTTGTTAGCGATGGCAGATAGTGGGCCTGTTTCCCAAGGGACAGGCCTACCGTGTTGATCATGAGCCTGGTGTTTCCTCGTCAGAATTTCGTTCAGTGAAAAGGTTTGGAGAATTCAGACCTTCAATAATGAACTTTCGGTTCGGCGATCTCCGGGCAACGCTTCATCCTCCAGTAGATGGTCCACGAAGAGCTTCGTTGGTGTGGTAGCGATAGCCGTTGTCCGGACTTCCGCTGGAGCCACGTCCCACGTGGAAGTGATCTGTGGATCAGTATCACGCTCTGTGGAAACTTCTTCGAGTCAGAGTGCACGACGACGAGCTCGCAAAATTTCATGTTACTTCATTGAAGCGACTCACCACTATTGGTTCGTTGGGACTGACGAATACGACTTTCGTTTTTATCCCTTTGCTTCCGTGGTCTGAAATAGCATGGGACGTTACGGTTCTAGCGCTTGATATGAGCATGGATGAGACAGCAGTGGCTCACTCCTGAGAAAATTACCGTGCATTTCAGACAAGCTCGAGCGTTGATATCAGCAGGCACTATATTGCGTTCGATGTATTTAATTTGGGCAAATCATCTGTTGAGGGAGCAAAGTGGTGAATCTTACTTTCGCATCTTACTTTTCGAGCCTTGCACTCATTGCAAGATCTGGATAGTTTGATGACCGGCGCCATGATATGATTGATGGCAAGAAAGAAGTTAATCACCACGATGACAGTTTGCCCGCAGGAAACGGGGATAAGAACAGAGGGAGAACATCACACGTGATACTTTGTGTCTGTCGGACACTGAACACGTCGGGTACCAGTAAATCCGTCCCGAGGCAGCCCTATTAGTAATCTGCAGTCTTAGCTTGCCAGTGCGCACGAACAAAAATACCAGACTGTAACGCCTGCAAGATTCTTTAGTTGGCTGGTTGCTTAGATTACGATCCACGTCATGGTCCGACAAAAGCCGTACCGAAAGTCCTTTGCAGGACCATTCCCTTTTCTAGGGGCCGAAGCGCATAGATTGGTCATGTCACTCGATGACTATAGGGGTACACTTCCAAAGCGATGTGTGAATACTTCAAATAAGTCACTGTACTACTTTATGCTGCATACTGTCTCGTCTGGTTATGCGCATACTGGAAGGTCTCGCTCGTAGCCAGATATATCAGAGATGCGGAAGATGCGGATACGACGGTCCGAGAATTACCACGGGACATAGACACACCTCACACCACTTAAGCAGTGCCGACTGCGGGATATATTTCCCATCTTTAAAAAGTCTCAACTAAGATTGGGCCTGTGAATTAGCTTTCACGTCCAAATCTGTTTTATCTTTCTCAAATAAGTTGATGTGTGCTTGAGTGATCACATCCACACAGGTGGTTATAGTGTCTCGAATAAGCTCCCTTTTCTCGGGAGCGGGCGCTGCCATAAATTCTTAGCTCATCGCGAGACCCTCGAATATAGAAGCTTTCGGGTCTATTTTCCAGAACAGGCCTCTCATACTATGCTACTGCTTTTTGGCATATTACGTTGCTAGTCAAATTATCGGGAATAGGGTGTACAGTTTCCTACAAGATAGCTCACATAAACAAGATGAAAATAATACTTCTTCCACTCTTCGGAACAACACCAGGTAGTCATAATCATAAGAGCTTGTGGTAAACATTGATCCTCAATAGCCAAGGGACCAAAAACAGTGCTCCCTACTTCGGAAGGTGGCGAGTATCTCCAAAGCTGTGTCCCCGGCTTCTACCGCATTCAGCGAAGGCGGTGGGGACCGGAAATGTTCAATCCCATTTAGTGCGAGTGGTCCTATTTGCAATTTGCTTTCCTTTGTATCGTAATAATAGATTATCGATGGATGGTTTCAGGTTGATCTCCAATCAGTTTCATCTTCCTGCTATGTATTTAGCCTCATTTCTCCCTCTGGATAATCTGGTGGAATCCATACCTCTGAGCTATATCAATGGCCCCGTGGCGAATAAGTATATTATGTCCCTAAGGCGGTTCAGATACACCTTCGTCTGGAGGGTCCAAAAATTGCTCCAAGGGCAAACTAAGCTTTTTAATTGCTTAGTTATACAGTGCCCCTTTTTCCTCCAGTAAATCAGGCTCTCTCACGGGTGTAGAATGAGGTCTTGGCCAAATAAAAGTGCTTTCTGAGCAATTTTCGTTTGATCCGATCCTTCACTTCTACAAGTTTTGGTAATCCAGTGAATTGGATGTTTAAGATTCATATTTCGTCCGAGGATCAAGCCCAGGATCAAGGACAGCATTCTTCCAGCGTATCCGTTCCTTCCGGCAATCGTGCTTCAGACCTTGGATACTCTCTTGATTATGAGGTTGACAAATAGACGTTGAATTTGCAAAAACCAAAGCGATCTGAATTCGAGGTGGTGGCGGCGCTTGTTTAAAACCCACGAGATGGGACGAAAGTATCCATTGAAAGCGATGCTCGTCTCGCTGTACCGCATCCATGAGGCCTCATTCGCGTTCCAAAATACCAGATTTTGGGAATTAGTTGGCCGGAGAGCCTGAGGGGTTTAGACATGGCAAAGCACCATGGTTGCGGTGTGATCAGTGGTCTTGTCGCCATTGATCATAATCCGCACTCCGAGGATCTTGGTCGCAAGGCCTAGGATTTGGATGGCCTTTTAACGATGTGTCCAACGATGAAGAAGACCGACCAGCGGACCGGCAAAGGCCATAGCGAGAGCGAAGGTGCTGCAATAATATACACAGCTCTGAAAGGTCCATGGTTTGGAGACATAAACATGTGAGCTCCAGTATAGACTCCGCATTTGGCCAGAAAATGTGCAAGTATCAGTGAGAAGACGAAGCTGGAGGAAGTTTGTGTTTCCTACTTTCGTAGAAAGTGCCAATCATGAGAGACATCAAAAAGGTCTTGTTGAAGATCAAGCGGCGCGGAGCACTTGGTACTCGTGACCAACAAATCTCATAAACAACGTACACGATTAGCAATAGACCACCCATGATCATCATGGTGATGAGCGAGAGATTGCGCCAAACACCGTTTGCATAGGACCTGAAAGAAGATGGAAGAAGAATAAGAGACCACCCAAAGCCCAGGAGGACTGAGCCAAACGCATCAATCTATACGAGGCTATCTTGGAGCGCTTGATGCCATGATCGGGAAGGTTGTGTGGCACGAATCATCATACTTTGATGGTCAGGCTTCGGTTCCTTGACACCATCCGTCACTTCGTTTCTGGAAACTTCAAAAAGAACAAAATGCATGCCTTTATCCTAAATTGTCTTACGATTAAGCCATATCAGGGTTACGATGATATGTATTTTATCTATCTATCAAAAAAAGGTTAATAAGGCATTGAGTAGAAATTACAGCACTAATCTAGAGGCACTAAGCCCTCTCAAACTCTGTATACATTGACGGCAGTATACCAATGACTACCTTGTGCCAGAGACGCTAGGCGCGCTTCAACTGCCGAGGATAGGATGTTGAGCACTTGGATGATCCTAAAAGGCTATGTTGTCTCGTTCTGAAACCCCCGTACGTGAAATTCCAAAGGCACATAATATTTGATGTAATTAAGATGAATACTTGAAGGAATAGTTTCCTGCTACTTGTCCAGATCATTAAAACATGATCATTTCCTGGTCTACGTTATACCTCATTTTTCGTCATCGAGTGGTGGACTCGGCATTTGGACGGTATTAGTATCTTCTTGGGAACCTTTTTTCCCCGCACCAGTTGGCGACTCCCCAATATTCGCAACAAAAAGATATCATTTGAATTCATCCACACCTCAAATTCTCGACAATGTTGGCCTGGCTTATAATTCCCCTCTATGAAGCGACTGACGCCTTGCTCGACCAGTGCGGCTCATTCAACTCTGTGCAAAAGCTCCGATTGTCGATGATCAGATACCACGCCCGACATGACTCAAATGAAGTCAAAAGGAAGAGATATGAGAGTTCCCCAGAACTCTGGAGCATCGCAGTCTTTAAGCTCATCGAATACGATTTGCACCTTCGAGAATTGACACAGAGAGAAGAAGTCATTCGACACCAGCATCGGGCACTCAAACTCTTAGGCTCTCAGAGCTCGTGGGAAGAGTATATGAAGTACTCGAAGATGCTGGATAAGATTGCCAAGGAATACAGGGAGGGAGAACGAAACTACTACTATCTAGAAGCTTCTCTCCTAAATGGACCTGTGACGCGAGCATATTCCAAAAATCGCGAGAACCCGAGATGGTATCTTCACAAAGAACTTCGAAACGATTGTGCCGGAAAGGGGGGATGCTGTGGTCGGGATTGTGGATGCTGCCAGAATCGCCCTATCATCCCGGGAAGGGTAAAAGGGGTTGGTCATTGCACATTGGAGTGCGGGTGTTGCAATCGAAATCGTGGCTTTGAATTGACTTCGGTAGAAAAGAAACGGATCGTGAAGATAGGACTGGATACATTGAATGATGACAGGAACCGGACTTACCGACGTCGGCTCCTTGAGGTGTTTCTAAGTGGCGTTGAGTCCACAAAGAAAGCAGCTCCCAATTGGCGAGGATGATAATCGACTGGCTTTGAGAACGTTTACGCACTGCAAGGTTTTATTGAACTTGATGAAATGGTGGTTGAGGGAAATTTGCCCTGATTGCTTAATTGGTGGAATGTGAGAAATACTTGAAGAACCGAGGAATGCTATAATTGCTTCAAATGTCTACTTCGGGTGCATTCCGGTCTTTGTATTACTGTAATATACCCGTGGGCTAAGATTGAAGTGATCTTTGTGTGTATTGTAATGAAACTAGGACAGCAATCAGCTTATCGCCGAGGTAAATCACCATGTTCCACGCGGTTCTCAAATTTGGGAAAGCAAGTGGGTTATATTTAAACCCCTCTTTAGAGGTTCTTCTAGGAGAGCTTTCCATCCAACCAATATCAAAAGTATGGCGAACGCAGGAATTGAGCGGCGCGTCGACATCCAAATCCCATCCACTTCCGATGACATGATGTGTGGATGGCTTTATTCATCAGACCATTTCACATCTTTAAATCCCGGACCAGCTATAGTTCTAGCCCACGGACTAGGCGGAACGAAGGAGCTGAAGCTTGATGTTTATGCCGACAAATTCAACCAACTAGGATACACGTGTGTTGTATTCGATTACCGCTGCAATGGAGGGTCTCAGGGTCTACCAAGAGCATTGATTGACTGGTCTAAGCAGCAAGAGGACTGGAAATCCGCCATTGAATTTACACGTCGATTGGAGAATGTTGATACCAATCAAGTGGGGTTGTTTGGAACATCCTTTAGTGGAGGACATGTTATCGAGCTAGCCGCGAGAGGTGCGAATATCAAGGCTGTCATATCACAATGCCCCTTTACAGATGGTTGGAAGAGTTCCCTCCGCACCGGAATTTCTAAGATGCCCAAGATGACAGCACTCGGTCTTATGGACTCACTTTTTGGGTCTGATCACAATCCAGTCACTGTATCCCTTACGGGGAAACCTGGCGATGGTAATACATTCCCCTTCTTCGCCTTTTTTCACACGCTGATTTATGACACAGCTGCGCTTATGAGTGCTCCCGATGTCCTCACCGACTTTACACAACTCATTCCACCAGGTCACCAAATTCAGGAGAGGGTCCCAGCTCGCTTGATATTGAAAATGCCCCTTCTAAGGCCAGGCTCATATACCTCGGATATTCAATGTCCCATTCTCTTCGCTATATGCGGAAAGGACTCGGTGGCTCCTGCAGATGCGACCTTAGAATATGCGAAGAAAGCACCGAAGGGGGTAGTCAAGTGGTATGAAGATATAGGCCACTTTGAGATTTATTATGGGGATGCGTACCAGAAGGCCATGCAAGACTATGTATCTTTCCTCCAAGAATATCTGCCAATTTAGGATTAGCCTCATGAGTTGAGCAACCATTGGGCACTAATTAATCATCCCCACTTCTCGCTTACCTCGCAATTTCTCAAGGCCTGAACTTGAAGGCAAATAAACAATAAGCGGCGGCGAATGTAAGATTTATTTTCTCAATTGCAAAGGCATTATGGAATGAGGAATAGCAATGGACATAGCTTCAGCCATTCCAGTCAACCATACTCCGAAGTCTGATTAGCTGCAGTCAATAGACCTCCGTTTGTCGGCCCCCACTCTTCTTTTCAGCTGCCCACCTGGGCATCCAACCCCTCCGCCAGCATGGCAGAGGACAAGCTACGCAGGCGACTCAAATCTTTCTTCAGAAAGGACGCTTCAGGTAAATCATTTCTGACTAATAAAGAGGAAGAATCCGGATCACCCTCTCCGTCTGTGCATTCGGCCGATCTACCGATTCGTACCACGACGAGTGATTCGAGAACTCAACCAGCAGCCAACCAGCTAACACCCGGTGTGGAGCATGGGGAAATATCTCTCTGGGACAAGGCATATGATTCATTGAGGAATGACAAGCCAGAGCTAGTCTCCTTATATGAGGACCTGCTTTCCCGAGTCCTCAACAACGGTTAGTGTTGATATATTGTCCTTTCGGGCCAAGAAAAGACTAACAACCAACCAATCTGTAGCGAAAGCAAAAAACTCAATATCTCAACCTAATCAAACGAATGATACATCTCAGATACCTAACGAGATCCCCCAGAATGACACAATTGCGCGGCATGAAAAGCTTAGCCAAGTTACGGAGCTCGGGCTACAATACGTGGAAGATCGCGCGGCCAAGGTTACCATTCTCGGCCATAAGATCCTTCTCTGAGACGCAGCTTCCAATGTCGCCGTCGCTGTCAAATGGGCGCAGGAGTTAGTGAAAGATGCCATCAAAGACGTCCCATATGCGCCCGCGGTCATGGCAGGGATTGCGTTGATACTTCCACTTCTCAAGAACCCAGCGACGGTTGAGGCTGCAAACAATGAGGGTTTCACATATGTGACATCACAAATGCGATACTATATTGCCATGGAAGGACTTCTTTTGCCCGACATAAAAGCTGATGTAAAAAGTGATCTCACGGAAAGAGTAATTGATTTGTACAAAAGCATCATTGATTTTCAACTGCAGAGCGTGATCAGATTCTATCACAGTCGGACCAAAAACTATTTTCGAAGCGTCTTCAAGTACGATAACTGGACTGATATGGTGAAAAATATCCAGACCAGCGAAACTGAGCTCCATCAGAAGCTAGAGCAGGTCGCATCGAGGGTCAATATTGAGCTACTCGACAAGCTCTCTCGGGAAGCCCAAGCCTCAAGACAGGAGTTGGCCAATATAATTGGCGAGATTCAGGAGCTGGTCAAGATTTCTCGCGGCATAGCCGAGCAATGGTCAGAAGCCGAGAATCGACGATGTCGTGAGACACTACAAGCGACTGATCCGAGTCTTGACAAAGATCGCATTGAGGAAAGCAAGGGTGGCCTTTTGAAAGACTGCTATACTTGGATCCTTGAACATACTGAATTTCAGAGATGGAGTCTTGGAGATTATGGACAGATGCTGTGGATTAAAGGGGATCCCGGAAAGGGCAAAACGATGCTAGTTTGTGGAATAATCGATGAACTGTCGCAGCCAGGCTCGCAAGACACCATACTCTCTTATTTCTTCTGCCAGGCGACACACGATACTATCAACAACGCTGCGGCTGTGCTTCGCGGACTTATCTACATGCTTGTTCGACAGCAGCCCTCACTTCTTGAACATATTCGCGACACCTCTTTTGAAGGTCTGAATGCTTGGACTGCCCTTTCGAAGGCTTTTACCAAGATCATCGAAGATATAGAGTCAGAAAGCATCTTCTTAATTATTGATGCGCTCGATGAGTGCATCATTGGCCTAGACAGTCTACTCTCCTTCATTTCGCAAAAGTCCGCCCAGCATCCAAAGGTCAAATGGCTTGTCTCTAGTCGAAACTGGCCACGAATTGATAAAGATCTTGAGGGTGCTGCGGAGATCAAGCTTAGGCTAGAACTAAATGAAAGTTCCGTCTCGGTCGCTGTGCAAAGATTCACTGAGTACAAGATCAATTGGCTGGCTGAGAGGAACAAATACAGTACAGAAACTCGTGATTTTGTTCGCAGATATCTTCTCTCAAATGCTAGAGGTACCTTTCTATGGGTATCCTTGGTTTGCAAAGAGCTCAGCAGCATCGACAGGTGGAATGTTCAGAAGAGAATTGTGGAATTCCCACCAGATCTCGATGAATTATACAAACGTATGCTCTCACAAGTCTGCGAGTCAGATAATTCTCAGATCTGCATGGCTTTCCTTGGTGTCATTTCCATGGTTTATCGCCCCCTCAACCTAGAGGAACTGGTTACTCTCGTCGAGATTCCCGAGGAGCTCCGAGGTGATCATGAGGCTGTTGGGGAAATTATCAGACTTTGCGGCTCTTTCTTAACCCTGAGAGGTCATACAGTCTCGCTGGTCCACCAGTCTGCAAAAGACTTTCTGTTAAGTCGAGCTTCACCGCAACTATATCCGGATGGCACAGAAGTTATACATCATGGAATCTTTCTCCGGTCTTTACAAACAATTTCTCGTGTCCTTAAAGAGGACATATACGATATTAGGGACCCTGCCTTCGACATTCTGGATTTAAAAGCCCACGACCCAGATCCATTAGCACCGGCTAAATACGCCTGCATTCATTGGGTTGACCATCTAAGCAGTTGGAAATCTGCCTCAAGCACACTGGGTCGACAAGACGATACCTTGATTGAATTATTTTTCACAAAAAACCTACTTCATTGGATCGAGGCTCTGTCTCTCATCCGGAACCTTCCTGGCGGGATAGACTCCATGTTGCGGCTCGGGGATATGATCAAGGTTTGTCCACTACTACACTACTACCAAGACATCTCATCTGGATGCGAAAACTGGTTTCTTTCTGTAATAATCTAACTTCGTTAATTTAGGGAGACACTGGCATTTCTCATCTCAGCAACCGCGCACAGGATGCGTCTCGATTCATGATCTACCACAGGCAAATAATCGATCAGCACCCACTCCAAATATACGCATCTTCGCTGATATTCAGTCCAATACAGAGCATTACCAAGACCCAATTCAAGCCATTGAGTTGGATTATTGGCAGCCCAGCGATAGAACAGAATTGGAGCTCCTGTCTACTCACAATCGAAAATACAAAGGATTACTCTCCCAGTCTAGAAAACATAGCTTGGTCACCCGATGGAACCCAGATCGCCTCACAAGATTATGTCGACGTCAAAATCTGGAATTCTATGACGGGTCAATGCACAGCAACTCTTCGTGGTCACACCGACCAGGTTATCGCCTTGGCCTGGTCACAAGGTGGCAGGCTTGCCTCGGCATGTCAAGCTGGGGAAGTTCGGATCTGGGATACTATCACCCACCAGTGTTCCAAAGTGTTCAAAGGCGAGGATGGCTATCTCTTTGCTCTTGTCTGGTCACCTGATGGGTCCCAAATAGCACGAACAACAATACCAGTCTCTTGGACTCCCAATTACGTCATGCTCAAGAAGATCGACTGGAGACAGGAAGGTCTGGTCTGGGACACGGTTACTGGAGAGGAAATCTCGAATGTCAGGCCGTTTCTCTCGTTGGGTTGGTCGATGGGTAGATTTCTAACTATCTCTCCTCTCGGAGTCGATGGTGTTTCCATTCAAGAATTCGCAACCGGACAGGAAGTATGTGTTTTGAAAGACACTCTAGATCAAGAGTACTCTTCTGCTCCCTTTGAGAAGGTATTCTGGGGACCAGATCAAATCGCGATAAGCCATCACACCCATATCAATATTTGGGACATCAAAACCTGCACGCTCGTATCCACGCTCCGGTATCTTCCTGGAGATATGTCTTCTCCAATCACTACGCTATCTTGGTCCCAAGACGGGATAAGGATCGCATCTGGGAATGCCAAAATGACAGCAGTGTACATCTGGGACGAGAGGTCTACACAGGAAACGCTGCTTTTTGAACACAGAGGTTCGACTCACACTCTTTTATGGTCACCTAATAGCACAAAGCTGGCATCCTGCTCGCAGGATGGGGCAATTCGAATCTGGGATCCTGCATTTGGTGAAAGTGCTACTACTACTACCTCTACGGCTCTTGATCTCCATCCAGAGCCGGTTAAAAAGTTGACGTGGTCGCCAAACTTGAAATACTTAGTATCGTCGTCGCCTCTCGCAGATGATACCAATGGATCTCGTTGGACTAACTGGACTACCTGTAAGGTCTGGGATCCTTCAACTAGTCAATGTCTACTCAACCGTGAGTCAGTGGGAAGCCATACCTGGTCACCGGATGGCAATAGAATTGCCCTAATGACTGAACACGGCATCGAAATGCACAGCCTCGAGAACGCGACATACAATTCTATGTCGAAATCGCCTGGTTTCAACTCCCCTCCCAGCCAAGCCTTCAGTCCGCATTGTCTATTGGCTTGGTCACACCACGGAGACACGCTAGCATGCTCATGGCTCACCGGTATCACTAGCTTCTGGAGTGTAACGAGCGATTTCTCACTTGGAGCTCTTGATCAAGATGTGAAATTCTTCGATAAAGCATCTCCAGAAAAACCTTCTCTCTGGTCTAACGCATCTCGTCACATCCAAGCTCTATCCTGGTCTGAAGATGACAGCGCCCTTGCGATAGCAGCAACAGATGAAATCAAGATCTTGGACATGAAAACAAATCAATGGACAATAAGCATTGGCGATCAATCGCCGCTCCCGGAATCGGAATTCAGAACGCTAGCGTGGTCGAAGGATGGAACTCGAATCGCAGCATCGGGCTATCATTGGGTCAAAATGTGGTCGGTAGCAGGTGATCTTCTGGCAAATATTGAGATACCTCGACTTGAATCTCGCGGATGTCTCGTTGGAAACATTCCGGGAGAGACGTGCTACATAAGCCACATTGATGATGTCCAGTTCGATGGCTCAAGTCGGGATAGATTGCGGGTTGTTTATGACGAGATCTATACGAGCTACTATCAATTACCTGATGTTCTCCCAGATACTGATCCCTTGGCCCATTTCTCTCAGCCAATCCTCGGGTATGGCTGGGACTCTGTTGGAAACTGGATCACGTATGAAGGAACACGAATTCTCAAGGTACCCGCAGAATACCGAGTTCAAGAGTGGGCAGCTGCCACTGTTGGAGGAAAGCTTGCTTTGGGTTGTCGATCAGGTCAGGTTTTGATATTCCAATTTTCCCATTCGCCATGAATGGAAGAAGCTGTGACGACTTCCATGATTTATTCTTTAAACCACCACACGAATACATGATCCATAGTCCATTAACGTATACTATAATCCATTAACTACTACAATTAAAGTCAAAAAACGAACCCTCTCACCCTACCTACTTGTTCATCCTAGAATAAGCCGGAGGCGGCTCATCCAGCACCGAGACTCCCTCCGAGCCTCTCTCTAACGCCTTCGACAATCTCCTCTTTTTCCAAAACCTCCACCCAAAGAATCCCCCAAGCCCCAGCAGAACAGCACCCACCGCAACACCAATCCCAATACCCGCCTTCTCTTTAGTACTGAGCACCTTCTTAGGCATAGGCAATTTGAAAGATTCCGTCGGAACAGGAACAGCCGAAGAATCACTAGCCTGGAAACGAATCTGAATAGCCGAAGCCGTAGCGCCCCAGATAGTTGTCTGAATTGAAATCGTCGAATCAGAGTACGTGATTGTCGAAGGACTATTGAATGTTTTGGCGCAGTAGTCTTGGAACATACAATCGAAGCCACTATAATATCAATTATGTCAACACCTACAAATGAACCGCATCCACAACTTGAAGAAATAAAAAAGCGCCCATCGATCTACCGCGAGAACAAAGGAAATTTACCTCGGACAGCAAATCTCAGTAGTAGTAACCCTCTGCGTCACCGTAGGCAAAGTACAAGCCTTATAACCCGACGGACATTGTCCGGGACTATAATAGCGATCGGCTTTCCAGCCCTCCGGCGCACAGTCGTCGCCATTCGGGCCATCAACGCCCTGTATCAGATACGGTAGGCCATAGTATGCGCTGGTGTGTGTGGTAAAGCATGAAGTAGGAGGGGTGAAGACTGTCGTGAGAGGACCCGCGTTGGAAGTCCGCGTGGAGTCGGGCCTGTTGGCACTAGAGCTTGACCAGGATGCGGCGTCAAAGGAGAGGGAGGAGGTGAATAGAGTTGATAAGACAAAGAAATGGGAAAGTACATTAAAGGTCAGAGTTGACCTCATTCTGGCATCTTATACAAGTACCGCGTGCTGGCTCCGTTGCTGGACAACGCGACACTAGTATGCTGTATACTTCACACCTGTTGTGTAATCAATTAGGCAGTCCGTAAGTAATTCGAATCAACTACCTTATTATTCACTATTCCGCTACTTATATTTACGTCTGAAAAAACCAAGATCCATGTAGATCACGCTTGGACGGCTCCCACACCTCGTATTCCGCCCTATTTCGCGCCGGAGAAATCAACCCAGAACCGCTTAAATGGCCCGGGTTGGAGTCAAAGCAAAGAGCCGGGCGCTGGACTCCCCCGGTTGCCCTGCTGCGGTTCATGGCGCAGGCGCTGTCCTGGCGGATGTCTAGCCTATAACGGTGGTATGATACGAGGTTCCGAGTCGACTTAGGGTTTTCAAGGGTCTTTGCATGATTCATGGGGATGTGTGTTGGAGAGTCGGCTGGGTTACGTTACTAGTATCTGAGCTGGTTGGGTTGAATTATCACCGTAGATATGTGCTAGCAGATAATAGACCCTATAGGCTGATCAACTTGAGAGTATTAAGGTAGAGGGATGGAATGTGAAGGCGGTAGAACCCATGTTGACGAGCTATTGATGCCGATGGATTGATTACATTCAGTGAACCGTGACTGACCAGTACCTTTTTACCCACCAGGGTAAGAATAAGAATACTAGTACTAGTACTGCGAACTTGAAGATCCACAGGGCCATGACTTGCATTTCAGATCCAATCTAGTTGAGGCCTGGACCTCTACGAGATATAGATCCCCACTTCCAGACCATCTGGGCAGTCTATGTCTTTCATACACTACTCTCTAACATCTACAACAGAAAAAAAATGATGGTAGATGGCTGACTTCGCTATTTTTGTAATCCCATCCCGATAAATACATCCAAAGGACACCTCGTCCGAGCCCGGGGGGGGATACCTCAAATCATACCCGCAAGCCATTTTTCGTCATCTAGCGCAGAGAGAAAATTTGGGGGTGTGTGTAAAGAAACTCGGAACTAAATCATGCATCGTCGCAAATCGCACTCCTCTAGTACTTCTTGCCCTGGCGGAGGACATCACCGAACTCCTCGAGAGGGGAGCGGATGAGCTTAGTGTCCTTCCACAGGTTGGGGGTGAGGAAACCGTAGGTGTTGACGACGGCAACGAAGGTGGCCTTGAGGGTGTTCTCGAGGGTCTTGGTGGAGCCGGAGGAGGAGGTGTAGGCATCCTCAACACCAGCGAGCTGGAGGAGACGCTTGACGGCGGGGGAGGCGACAAGGCCGGTACCACGGGGGGCGGGGATGAGCTGATGGAAAATGGATTAGTGGGGTTCAAGGGGGAAAAATATCTGGATTGATTCCCTTGATTGGGATAATTCCAGCGGGGTTGAGGGTATACATACACGGACGGAGACGGAACCACACTTGCCGGACTGCTTAACGGGCAGAGAGTGAGGCTCACCAAGGTTGGAACCCCAGTAACCGCGACGGACGGGGAGGACAGCGAGCTTGGCAATGGTGATGGCGGCACGGATGGCAGTGGCGACTTCCTTGGAGGTCTTGATACCGAGACCGATGTGGCCCTCGGAGTCACCGATGAGGACGATGGCCTTGAAGCGGGTACGCTGACCGGCACGGGTCTGCTTCTGGACGGGCTTGATCTGTAGGTGGGAAATCGGATTAGCAATTGTGTTCGGTTCGGTTCGGTTTGGATTCGAGTGTGCGACTGCTTTGCGATGCAATGACGCAGATGGGTGACGGGCCAATTGGTGGATGCTGCAGCATAGCATACTGTCGCATTTTGATGTTGATGTTTCCGGTTGTTCATGCTGGTGTTGTCCTCCTGCTGCAGCTTCCAGTCCAATTGGTGTCTCTCATCGCATGATCACAGTTCGCAGTTCGCAGTCGCATTCGATTCGATTCGATGTTGTTGTGGATCGCACCTTCATAACCTCATCCTTGAGCTTGGGCAGGAAGAAGTCGACAATCTGGTACTCCTTGATGGGGAGAGAGTGCAGGTAGATCTGCTCCATGGAGGTGATCTTGCCGGCCTTGACGAGACGGCCGAGCTTGGTGACGGGCTGCCACTCCTTCTCCTCCTGCTTTCCACCACGACGGCCACGGCCACGGCCACGACCGCGACGGTCACCACCACGGTCGCCGCGCGAGCCAAATCCTCCACGTCCACGGGGAGCAGCGTCAGCCATTTTGGATGTATGTAGGGGCGACGAAAGCGAATTTGTCGATAGAGGGTCGAATGGTCGAACTTCACGGGCAGCGGTTAGCACCAAAATTTCGGGCGGAGGTGGGCTAAGCGAGCGTGTCCAGTGCCCTACGCACCCTAGCCCTAACTCCCGATTTGGAAGAGGGACGGTCACATGATTATAACCAGGGCATATCATGGGATATCATGTGATGATATCCTATCAGTGCTGACTACACACAGTCACCTGACCTGATCCGGGGAACCCTTGAAAACCTGCTTGGCTTGCACTTGCCATCATGATGCATCAGTAAATACAGGATAAATACTACATACAGGATACTACATCTACACAACATGACACTATTTATTCCTTTTACTGTCCCCTAAACAGTGCCCTGACAAACTACATTTAATTACTCTTTACTCTATATACCATACTATATTGTACTATACACTACACAGCTTGTTCCGATCCCAATCGAGTCTCCCGACGCGGCTGCATTTCCCCTTTGGGAAGCGATAGCCCTCCCCTCGATCCCCTCGACTCCGACTCCGCAATTTAAACATGCGGGCCCGCCTCTGCCTTCCTTGACTTCATTTTCATTACTTGACTTGACTTTCTTTCTCCTTTACTCTTTTTCAATCCCACTTACTCTCTCTCTCTACCTCACACCCTCCCTCATACTCACCATGTTGCGCTGGTTCGTTCCACGGTACTCCTTCTCCGAGGGAAACGAAATACTGACTTCATTCAGGTACCAGTCCAAGTTGGCCAAGCGCCCCATCCTCACTGCCAGTATCACCAGTGCTGTACATTTCCCCCTTCGACCCTCCTTCATTCTTTCGCTAATCGCAATCTCAGGTCCTCTTCGCCTCCGGTGACACCCTCGCCCAGCAAGCCGTTGACCGCCGCGGTCTCGAGAAGCACGACTTTGCCCGCACCGGGCGCATGGCCCTTTACGGCGGAGGTACGACATTTCCCCAATCACCTTCTCCTCTCCTTCACAAGAGTGCAAGAGCGTAAGATCGCAAGAATTGTTTCTAACGTCCTCTTCTCTTAGCTGTCTTCGGCCCCGTCGCGACCAAATGGTTCGGTATCCTGCAGCGTCATGTCGTTCTCAACAGCACCTTGACCACCACTCTTGCCCGTGTCGGCTGTGACCAGTTTATCTTCGCCCCGGTCCAATTGACCGCTTTCCTTTCCTCGATGGCCATTATGGAGGGTAGTTCTCCACTCGAGAAGTTGAAGCACTCCTGGTTGCCAGCCTACAAGGCCAATTGTATGGTCTGGCCGTTTGTGCAAGGCGTCAACTTTACATTCGTGCCATTGGAGTTGCGTGTGTTGGTGGTGAATGTGGTCAGCTTGGGTGAGTATTCCTATTCTATCTTTTGCTCTCTCTTGATGGGTCTGAACTAATTTATTTACCTATTTTCCAGGCTGGAACTGCTTCCTCAGCTTGATGAACAGCGATGAGGCGTAATAGGCATGTGATATTCATAGCTATCCCCCATACCCGTCATCTTCATGTGCATTGTTTGCGATCATCGGCATATAGAGGTTTTGTCTTTTGATTCCCCGGCTGTTTGGTTTGGTTTGGTTTGTTCATCGGTCTGGTATATATTGTACTATGTATTCAATTTTTTACAATTTTAGCGAGTACTGGAGATAATTAGAATAAATTATTCAAACTAGTACTCAGTTTCAATTCAAATGGCATACTTCCTAGTATTAATTCATACTCAAGGTCAAGTTGTAAGCAGTGTTTAAGTCTACCACTATTAGTACCTACCGCTCCTCCCAAAAAGGAAAGGCAGTTTTTGTGGTCCGCATCGCCCGACGAACTTCAAGTTCAGCGAGAATTTTGAAATTTCCCGACCACTCACTTGTTTCTAGTACCAACTTCTGCCTGGTGCAGATTCAATCCTTTCAGTCACCTTCACTCGAGTCTTCAACTTGAAGTTGTTCGAGTCCTTCATCTCCTTGTGCCCACCGACGGCACCTTCCCGGCCCGAAAATCTTCCCCCTCCGCCTTCGCCTTCTTAGCACAACTTCACCTCTCCCACCCCTCACCCCATCACAACTTCACCCACCATGGCTGCCGTGGAGAATGGTCACCCCGTGACGGACGAGAATGCCGTCCCTGCGGTCTCCGCCTCGACGGACGAGGTCACCGTCTTCCATGACCCCGAGAACTTCAACGTGAAGCACCCTCTCATGCACGAGTGGACTCTGTGGTTCACCAAGCCCCCCCAGTGGAAAGGTAACCCGCGACCCTATCAGTACTAACAAACACTGCGCAAGCCATCGCTAACACACATTCCACTAACAGGGCGATAACTGGAACGACCTGCTCAAGGAAGTCGTCACATTCAACTCCGTCGAAGAATTCTGGGGCATCTACGTATGACCGCACCCTCCCACCCATTACCCAACCCACTCCATCCTCTTCACCCACGAGCCCATCCTAACTAACACCACCAGAACAACATCACCCCCACCTCCGAACTCGGCCTCAAAGCCGACTACCACCTCTTCAAGAAGGGCGTACGACCCGAATGGGAAGATCCCCAGAACAAGCACGGCGGCAAATGGTCATACCAATTCAAAGACAAGCGCTCCGTCCCCATCGACGACCTCTGGCTACACGCACAGCTCGCCGCCATCGGCGAGACCCTCGAGCAAGACGCCGACAACGAAGTCATGGGCGTGGTGGTCAACGTGCGCAAGGGCTTCTACCGAGTCGGCCTGTGGACCCGCACCGTCGGCAAGAGCATCCAGGGCGACAAGAGCACCCGCACACCCGCGCAGGGCAAGGATATCCTCGAGGCAATCGGTCGTCGGTTCAAGGAGGTTCTCCGTCTCAAGGAGGCGGATGTGGTCGAGTTCTCTGGACACACTGACTCTGCGCACAGTGGTAGCACCCGTGCCAAGGCCAAGTACACTGTCTAGACGAATTAGAGCCCCGAGGAGGTGTGGCAGTACTGCTGGCTAGACTTGCGCTGCACTGTGCTTTGCTGGCTGGCTAGCTGTGACGCCCGGTGGATGGATAGATGGCGCGGGGGACGTCCACGGGCGTTTCATGATTGATGGGACCCTCTGGTCCTGGAGTGAAAGTGAGAGTGAAAGTGAAAGTGAAAAGTGATGATATCCAGTTATGTTACTGCTGCGAATAAGCAGCGACGACCTGATTGCTTGCGACATGTATCTTACCCTTAACAACGCATTTTATGAGGCATATGTCGTGCGTGGCTGGTGCTGGTCCGTGTTTATGGTTTCATAGTTCAATACTTAAGTTTACTGGACATTCCGCGTTCAGATAATGGTTCTAGTAGCTGTGTACTGGTGGTAGATTACCTAGGTAGGTAGCTAGACCTCGGTCGTGACGTACTCAAACTTTGAAGTTCTGATTTGGTGGACTAAGAGACACTAGGGGGGTACTAAGTGCTAGGCCGCCCGGTTTATATATCTGCCCAGGCCCCGAGGTAGATCCCCACCTGTCTGCCACCTGCGGGCAATGCCTATTGTACCTAGGTAGCCTGAGCTTGACTACTACTAGTACTGACTTCAAGTTGAGGTTAACTTGAATTCTGTGCAAATCTGGTAAAAATATATACATAAATTCCAACCGCCTTATCATGACGTTACTAGTTCTTGTACTACTACCTAGGTAGGTAAGCTCTAGTCAGATCGCAATGCCAGCCAAAGAACTTCCAACTTCCAAGGTTGAAAGCTAGTAGTACTATACCTAGATATAGAGCATTGCCCACCTGGGCACCTGCCAGTGGGCAGGGTGATTCAAGTTCAAGTTCTCCATCAAATTTCAACTTAAATTTGAACCCGTCAACCTTAGAACCACCTGGTATGGATGTCCTCCAGGCATATATATAAGTATTACGAATAGTGGTACAGGACTTGGAGGTTCCAAGGTTAGATCAACCAAACTTGTATTCTTTTACATAAATTATGACCTTGGAACACTAGTACTGGGTGGTTATACTTTAATCTCGAAAAGCGCGCAAGCTCACTAAAGATATTAGTATAGGACTGGAGTATGCTCGTCCACAATCTTCCGAGTCCAAGTCTTATGCCGCACAAACCTTCCAAGGCTGGAAATCGACTCAAGTCTAGCCACCATGGTGATACAGAATCTCAGCTCAGCTGCACCGTCAGCATGTTCCACTGGATTTCAATAGCTATTGACATAGTATCCGACTCGGTTCATTCCGGCTGTGAAGCCTCGTTGAAGCGGGGGTAGTCAGCACACCTGGCCGATACGCACAACGGCAACGACTATCAAAAGGCTGCTCAGATGAACTGAAACTCCATACTTTCAAGTTCCAGTCCCCTCTCTCATCTCCAATTCCCAGGTGCAAGTTTTTCATACTATCGATTTCTCTTCCACCACTCCTTCACCATGGACTGGTCCCTCCTAAGCCTTGCCCGTGGTGGCCTAGCAATCCTCCTCTCCCTCCTCCTAATATTATACTGGTACATCCGGATACCAAACGACATGCCAAAAAACATCCCAACAGTCCCAATCTACATCTCAATAATGGGACTATGGAGCGACATGGGCCAAGACGACATCTACGACAAATGGCTGCGTCCAAAGCTAGAAAAATACGGCGCGGTGAAGATCTGGTTCGCTGGACGGTGGAATGTCCTCGCCACCAGACCCAAGTTACTGGTCGACATGTTCCGGCACGAAGACGTGTATGCAAAGGCAGGGTCCCAAAAGAAGATTCCCTGGAGTGTGATTGCTTCGCTGGTTGGGGATAATATCATCAATGCGCATGGGGAGAATTGGAAATTGTATACTTCGATTATGAAGCCCGGGTTGCAGAGGCGGATTACGGACTCGGGGCCCTTGCTGATGAAGTCGCGTCGGTTTGTGGATGTTCTTATTGAAGAGCAGGGGAAATTGGGTGAAGGAGGAATAATGGTCAATCCAATTATTCAACGCTGGGCGTTGAGTTGCATGGGGATCAGTTTTATGAATGTTGATTTAGAGGTATGTCGCATCCACCATATACTATCCACCACCTGCAGAATATATCAACTTCAAGTTGAACATCATTAATCTGAACACTACTAACCTGAACACCAACGGAAGTGCCTCGAAAAACCCAATCAACGCCTCGAACAACTCCAAACAATCATCAAAAAGACCCTCTTCAAACCACTCTTCTTCAACTTCCCCGATCTAGACCGCTACCCAACCCTCTTCCCCCAACGCGCAACAGCCTTCACAATAATGCAAGAATTCGGCGACCTCCTCGTCGAAACAGTCCGCCAACGAGTCCAAACCACCGACGCCGACGGGCTCCAAGTAGTCGACGGACTCGACAAAGCCCTCTCAACAGGAACAATCAGCACAGAGCAATACCGCGCAAACCTAAAAGTAACCTTCCTAACCGCCCACGAAAACGCCCAACAACTCCTAAACAGCGCAATCTGGGTCCTAGGTTCCAACACCTCTATCCAAGACACCCTCCGCACGGAAATACTATCACTAGCAACGGCCAACCCAACAACAGACCAACTAAACAGCCTCCCTTACCTCTACGCCGTCATTCTCGAACTCCTTCGCCTCTACCCGCCCGTTTCACAGCTCATAAACCGCGTCACGACATCTTCTGCCGTTCTGGGCGGCGAAATCGCTATCCCGGATCATACGTGGGTGGGATGGAATGCGTATGGGGTACACACGGACCCGAACGTATGGGGTAGTGATGCGAGGATCTTCCGGCCTGAACGGTGGGGGGACGATGTGAAGGGGATTCATAACGCAGTGCGGAGTAAAACGGTGCAGTGTCATTTTATTGCATTTAATGCGCATTCGAGGAAGTGTTTGGGGCAGGGGTTTGCTGTGTTGCAGATGAAGGTTTGTTTGTTTGAGATGGTTAGACGGATTGTTTGGGTTGTTGATCCTGGGTATGAGTTGAAATTGACTTCGGTGAGTTCTGTTCTGACTGTTCTGTTCTTGTTCTGGTTATGCTAGTATAATTTGGGTTTCAAGTTACTTTTTGGCTGATATTTTGTCTTTAGGGCGGGATTATGGCTCCTTTGGGGTTGAGGGCTATTGTGAAGGAGAGGGTGGGTGAGATGGAGACAGAAAAGGAGGGAGAGCAGGGGTAGAAGATGCAATGATGACAGAGGAATAATTACTAGTAGCCGTGTAATGATATACTAGTAGTGCTAGTAGTATGAGATGTCTGTATTTGGACGTGGAAAGAACTATACTGGATACTATCTGGGGTCAGCTGGTAGACACACCTTTGGTCTCTATACACCGAAACTGAATTCAATCAACCTTGATATCGGCAGATATTATCTCATAAAGGTCACACGACTGTATGATAGTAGCGAGAGTTCGTCCCAACTCAAACGGCACTGCGCCATAACTCTATATCTGCTCACAACGTCCCCTACACTCCGAACCATGTACTCCGAGCCCTGCAAAACCACAACCGCTCCAACTTGAACCAGAACTCACCAGTATCTACACAATGAGTCCAATAATCTACAAAGTGGCCGTCCTAATATTCCACGGCGCAGACATCCTCGACTTCACCGGACCAATCGAGATCCTCTCCCACGTCTCAAGCAGATACAAGGACAAAGAGAAAGGCGAAGACAGCGACATCAGTGAACCTCCCCACGGAGATGGACACCCAATCTTCGAAATCACGACCATCGCCCGCGATGAAACCATCACAACAAGCTGCTCAACGAAGATAAAAGCAGACATGCTCCTATCAACCGCCTACTCAATAATCAACACCTTTGACATCCTCATTGTGCCCGGCGCCGCACCAAAGCTGATTCACGCTCTGATCGAACACGAGACGCCAGAGAAAGATCTCGTCCGCGCATACGCCCGGACAAACCTGTCCCGACACCGAATCATCTTCTCCATATGCACGGGGGCATTCTTGCTCGGTGCAGCGGGGATTCTACCAGGGACGACGGTGACGACGCACCAACATGCACTAGAAGTGTTGCGGGGGATCTGCGCCAGCGGCAACGGCAACGGCAACGGCAACGGGACGAAAGATATACCGCAAATTGTCCGACGACGATTCGTGGACGGTGGATATGTGCGTGAATCGCGGGTTCAGGTAGTGACAGCTGGGGGGGGATTAGTTCCGGGCTAGACGCGACGTTTTATATTGTATGTTTGTTAGCTGGGGCGGAGACGGCGTCGTGGATTGCGAGGGTGATGGAGTATGGGTGGAGGGAGCCGGAGAGTGGGCTTTGGCCGAGGGGGTTTGCTGGACCGCGATCGTATTTGGGTAGACCATAGGCAGAAAGGATATCTTGCCCTGGCCCTAGTCTTCGGAAGCTACGGAGTAGATACCATTCAAATATCCGGTGTGGTTGTTCTGCTCCACTTTGTAATTGCGGATGTCTGACTGGAAAGGGAAGATGTCTGACTCCACTGGGTTTGGCGTTGGCGAATACGGATGGCTGATGATGTCGCCATTGAACAGCGATTTCGGAGGAGGAGGAGGAGTCAAAGTAGTCGGGGTAGAGAAGAGCTGTGGTTAATTCTGGCTAAGAACCGAGACGAGGGCGAGTGTGTGAAAATTTGTGTGTGTGTGAGAGAGGAGGAGTGGAAGAGTGTGTGGTGGTTGAGAGGAAAGTGCGGATGCAGTCATGTGCGCGATCTTCAACGTTCAGCCTCATCTTTTTAGGATTCATTCACAGGAAGATCACTATTCGAGCTCCAGTCAGGGCTGATTTTTTGCTAATCTGTGCCAATCTGTACCAATTCTTACTATTCTTACCTATTCTCCCCAATTGTGCCTGCCAATCCTTGCCCAGCCTGGGCACTCTTGGCCGCTTCTTACTCCCTCCAGTTGGCCACGCCCTTCACAGAAGCTAAACCCAGCCACGAGCATCTCGTTGGTCGACAGAGCGAAGTCGGAGCGATAAGCCTTGCCAACACTGTTTATTAGACGGGTGTGCCCCCAACTGCGTTACACAAGGCTTGTCTTAACTTCTTGCAGCTTATTCCTGCCTACAAACTTTCCTTTGACTTCATCCAACATCAGAATACATCCAATGCATCTCCAGAATACTCGATCTGACTAAACTCATACTCAAGACATAGTATGACCAATACTCACGACTCACCTCTTATCTTCCGACCTTGGCGCGGTCGAGAGGACGCCCGACTCCACCGCACCCCCTTCGCTTGAACCCGCCATGTCCACACGAGGTCGACTTCCACTTTTACGTTTACGAGAGAAAAATTACCCCGGATATTAGACAACTCCCCCTTACAGCTACGATGGATCACATCTCGGGCTCACTTGCCACTGTCCACGACAATAACCTGCTCGAACACAGTCCAGCCCTGGATCTGTACCAACTAAATTGAACGCATTGGTGCACTCCCCGCACAGCGGACTCCGGGGTAACATCCCAGTGAGACACCATGGCCGAAACTCAAAGCGCAACCAATTCCCATTGGTAACCGCTGATTGGATTCCTGCACGCGATAAGCCTCCAGCCTCCCGACTTGTCGCGGGGATTCCAACGTTGCAGTGGACTGAAACTGGGGTGTTGGGGCGGAAAATCGACAGATTGCCGAGGATATCCATTCACTATGGGGAAAGGAAAGGGGTGAGAATACGGAGTACACAGAGTACAGAACAGAGTACTCCGTACAGAGTGAGCAAATTCGCTAGGCAAGTACGCAAGGGGAGAATAAACCTCGGTGCCTGCATCAGCCATGGCATCTCAATGGCACGGCCAACGCCAAAGCCAGCCAAACACCAGTCGAACACCAATCGAACACCTCGGCGAAGGCGAAGGTTTGGTGCAGAGATAGGAATGCGGGTGAGCCCATTATCCGCTGCACGCCGCGGCACGCCTCGCGTGGTGGCGGCATGTCCTGATTAGCAAAGTCCACGCAGTCCCATCACCAAATCCCGCGAATCTATCCGTATCCCGTACCCTAACTACTATGTTCGCTGGTCGCCGGGGAGTCCGGATGGACTCCGAGTGCAGAATCTGCGAACCAACGATCGGGGATAGTGGCGGCCCTCCCGTGGCGCATTCCGGCATTCCGGCCTGTTTTCGGTGACTCAATTCACTGCAAATTGCAAATTGCAAATTGCAAACTGTCGATGACAATTGATACCGAGTACTGCTGAGTACAGACGAGAGTAGTCCGTACACTCAAGTACAGACTCCATTCACTTGATTACTATGTCCTGACGCTTCCCCCCGGTTGATACGCTGGGAATGCATGCTACTGCAGATAAGGCTGGCTAATATCCTGGGTCAGCTGGGACCTCCGGCCGGCATTTCCTGGCCGTTGATTGCCTAACAATTAAACCGGGCCCACTGCATCTCCTCGCGTGCTTGACACTTTTTCCATCGCTTGCGTCCGTGCCGCGGGGTTACATTCTGTGGGTCAATATTGAATGAGCCAACACAATTCGCCATTGACCGGGGACCGCCGATCTCATCCACGGTTGGCAGGCCGCGAACAACAGGCAATTGGTTTATCTTTGGCCACCGGAGAAGACCCAGGCTAGATAATTTCTCTGCCCATATCAAAGTGGGACGTTCGTTGTGGGCAGAGCTAAGTTTTTTTCGGTTCACGCGCCGATAAGCATCTCCACTGCCTCGGGGCGAAATTTTGTACACAAAGTACATATAGACCGGAAGCGATCCCCCCCCGGAACCTTTGAATCGTCTGTTCTGTTTCTCACTTCCATCCTTCGCCATGACCGACCACGAGGTAGCGGCTGTGTATGTAACCATACAGCTTCTGATCTGATCTAATGGAATTCGAGCTAACCTACCTTGCGCAGCCCCCCCTCCTACGCGCCCAATGAGGAAATCGTCGTTTCCGACGACAAGACCGCCTTCGACGATGTCAAGGACGTGAGCCCTACCCCCGATGGCCAGGAGCCCAACGAGCAGGAGAAGGCTTCCCTCCGTCACATCGCCGAGAACCTGCCTCTCTCTGCGTGGCTGGTCGCCATTGTCGAGCTGTGCGAGCGTTTCACCTACTATGGAATGTCCGGTCTCTTCCAGAACTACGTCCAGCGTCCGCTCGACGGTAGCGAGGGTCGTGGTGCCCTCGGTATGGCTCACCAGGGTGCTACCGGTTTGACCACTTTCTTTCAATTCTGGTGCTACGTGACTCCCATCATCGGTGCCATTGTCGCCGATCAGTACCTCGGCAAGTACAAGACCATCGTCTGGTTCTGCATGATTTATCTCGTCGGTCTGCTCATCCTGGTCTGCACCTCCATCCCCACTGCTCTGGAGCACGGTGCCGGTCTGGGTGGTTTCATTGTCGCTATTCTGATCATCGGTCTTGGTACCGGTGGTATCAAGTCCAACGTCGCCCCTCTGATCGCTGACCAGTACAAGCGCAAGAAGATGGCCATGTCCACCACCAAGAAGGGCGAGCGCGTCATCATTGACCCCGCCCTGACCATCCAACGCATTTACATGATCTTCTACGGATGTATCAACGTTGGTTCGCTCTCCCTGTTGGCCACCCCCTACATGGAGCTATACATTGGTTTCTGGTCCGGTTACCTTCTCTGCCTGTGCATGTTCGCCGTGGGAACCATCGTCCTTTGCCTCGGACGTAAGTACTACGTCGTCCGCCCGCTCAGGGCTCCATCATCACCGACGCCTTCAAGGCCCTCGGCATGATGATTGTCAACCGCAACATGGACGCGCCCAAGCCTAGCTGGCAACTCGAGCACAACGGTGCCTCGACCACCGTTCCTGGGACGACCACTTCATCGACGAGCTGAAGCGTGCTCTCGTCGCCTGCCGTGTCTTCGCCTTTTACCCCATCTACTGGGTCGTCTACGGCCAGTTCTCCAGCAACTTCGTCAGCCAAGCCGGTCAAATGGCCGGACACGGCGTTCCCAACGACCTGATGCAGAACTTCGATCCCATCTCCATCATCGTGTTCATCCCTCTGCTGGAAACCTGCGTCTACCCCCTGATGCGCCGTCTCCGGATCCCCTTCCGCCCCATCACCCGTATCTCGCTCGGTTTCGTCGTCGCCTCCCTGGCCATGATGTACGCCGCCATCGTGCAGCACCTGATCTACAACGACACCACCATTGTTGACGGCGTCGCCGGACAATCCAACGTGCACATCGCCATCCAAACCCCCGCCTACGTCTTCATCGGTGTGTCTGAGATTTTCGCCTCGGTCTCCGGTCTCGAGTACGCCTACACCAAGGCCCCACCCAGCATGAAGTCCTTCGTGCAGTCGATGTACCTCCTTACCAACGCCTTCGGTTCCGCCCTCGCCGAGGCCCTGACCCCCGCCGCCTTCGACCCCGCTATTCTGTGGATGTTCGTCGGTCTGGCCTGCGCTTCCTTCGCGGCTGGTATCATCTTCTGGCTCGTCTTCCACCACCTGAATGCTCAGGAAGATGACATGAACGCCCTCGATGCGGAGGATCCCATGCCCGAGGCTCCCCGCGAGGAGGAGCGTCGCGCTTCGGCCAAAGAGTGATATGATTTCGTTTGCTCGGTAGATGAGTATAAAGAGTAGATCTCTTTGTTTCGCATTTGCATTGTATAGCTTATTTTGTTTTTTGTTATGGTTATGGTTCCGCTGCTGGATCCTTGCTTAGGCGTTATGCCTGCTGCTGTGCAGATATGAGTATGAGATATGATTAATCTCTAGTAAATAAATAAACATAATTACTATTAAGTGGTCTCTTTAAACATTGTAGAAACTGATAGTCGCTAGTAAATATCCAGTATCATCTACTAGTACTACTACTAGTACTACCTGTTGGCAGTGTGGATGCCTGCAGTTTACCGTTCAATGGTTGATGCTTGGCTTGCTTATGTGAGATAAATTTAGAACATTGACAGCTGCCTTGGATTCGGATGGTTACCTACTTGAAGGTATCAGGCAGATGGTATTTCTCAACGGATGAGTACCTCGAATTCATGAATCGGCATTATTAAGTTACCACTGGAAATAATTATAATAGTAGACTGCAGGTACTATTTCCACCTGGTCCGAGTCCCTGTAGTCTTGGAATTGGCGGCTCTGATTGGTCAACAGCCTAAGATTAGACATGCGACCGATAGACTTGCATTCTACATAATAATAACCATTGGGAAGACTACTAGTACTAGTAATATTATTAAATCAATATTTTAGTATGTTTTAATATCTCCTATCATCACTAGTCGTACTATAAAATATGCTATAAACTATGTGTATAGTATACTAGTATGGAGTGACACGCCCCTGACTGCATGGTCTAGATGCGGAAGGTGCGATGCACATGCAGTGACCGAACAGTACAGATACTACAATAGTATACTATATCATTCTATAGTATGCGCTATAGTATATTTCATATACTATAGCACAACATCTATAATAGACTATATTATAGACTATCCTCTTACACCTAGGTACTGTACTTCTCTAGCCACCGCCGATCGACTGAGAATAGAACATCAGCCACAATGGGGGTCCACTGAAAACTCATCGCCCCTGAGACTCTTTCACTTGGCTATCCCTTCATTTCATTTCATTTATTCAAGTCTATTCGTTTAATACTGTCATTCATCCTTAATTTCTTTACTCCTTCATTTTCTACTTAGGTCGTTACGACTACTGGTTATCTAGTTACCACGACTGGTTACCCTGCTAGGCGCCGTACCAAAGGACCACGACTCTGACACTCTCCACTTTTCCGTCTCACCCTCCCGAGCTCCCTTCCCTCCTCATCTCCCCTCCCTTTCCATTCCCATTCCCACTTCCACCCCCATCGCCATCATGAGCGTGAGTTTCCCCCTTGTCCCCGAATTCTTGTGCTTTCTAACGTTGCTAGTATCAGAGTCTCGGTGATAACCAAGGTGGCTACGGCCAATATGACCCCTATGGCGCGCAACAGAACCCCTACGCCCAGCAGCAACAAAGCTACGGATACGGTGGCGCTGCCGAGCAGGGCAATGGCGGATATGGTGAGTTCCCACCTCTATCACTGCTTCAAAACGATCAATCCGATCTACCCCCGTCCCCCCTCGCCCGAATCGCGTCGCGAAAGACTCCACCCAGCGCTAACTTGTACTTCCCCCCCTCCCAGAAATGTCCAACATGCAGCAGCAATCCGGCGGTGGCCCCACAGCCATCCTGAACAAGTGCAAGGAAATGAACGACGGCATTAACCAGCTCCGCACCAAGCGCGAAACCTCCCTCGTCCCCGCCCAAAACACCCTCCTCGACAGCGCAACCAGCAAGGAAGACCAAGTCGCGCGCCAAAATGTCGACTACATTGAAGACGAGATCAACACCGCCCTGCGCTACCTGCGCGATCAGTTCAAGCGCATCAAGGAGACCCCCGGCTCTGGTGACCAGCGCGTCTCCGGCCAGGTCGAGAACGTGAACCGTAACCTCCGCCGCGAGATCGAGCAGTACCAGCGCACCCAGTCGGATTTCCGGAAGCGCTTGGAAGAGCAGATTCGCCGACGTTACGAGATTGCCAACCCTGAAGCCACCCCCGAGGAATTGGAGCAAGGTGTACAGAATGTGATGGCTGGACAAGAACAAGCTTTTATGGTAGGTCTCCTCCGCTGCCCTCTTCCACGACCGGGAATTGCTATATATGCAATCTGTGACTGTACTAACGCCGTTTAGACCCCCGGAACCCGATCCCGCCAGGCCAACGATGCCCGCCAAGCGACTATGGAGCGATCCGCCGCGATCCGCAAGATCGAGCAGGACATGATCGCACTCGGCCAGCTGTACCAGGAGGTTGCGGAGCTCGTGCACCAGCAGGAGCCGGCCGTTACGCAGATTGAGCAGGGCGCCGAGGAGACACACCGCAATGTGCAGGCGGCCAACACCAAGTTGGACAGCGCTATTACCAGTGCCCGTAATGCTCGCAAGTGGAAGTGGTATGCGTTGATCATCGTTAGTAAGTAGTCCACAGCCCACGGCCCACCCAGCCCAGCCCACTCTATGCGACATCCACCTTGATGTCTACATCTCCCCCACCCAGTCCATGGCTAACACGACATTCTAGTCATCATCATCGCTATCATCGTCGGTGTCGCAGTCGGTGTCACCGAAGCCAACAAGAGCAGCAAATAGTCGCCGTACGACCACGACACGTTTCCTTCCTGTCTGTTTTACCTATCGCTTTTATTCTCTTTTCCTTTCCTCTGCTCTGCTCTGCCACTACGCCATCTTCGCTTCGTTTCCTTACACCGTCTGTACTCCCGACCTGTCGCTGCTCCGCCACCGTCACCGTCCCTGTTCTTCCCCCTTCGTTTCTATACCACCCCCTCTCGCATGTCATTTGTAAAAGCAATGCCGATCGGCTCTCCTTGTTTGACCTGGTCTTTGTCTGTGTACAGCGCGCCGACTGCACGCGACTGATGATTGCTCCCGGGCCTCACTAATGTGATCTGATCTGATCTGATCTGACCTGATTCGATTCGATTCGATCTGATCCGACCTGAACGAACGGCTTTGGGATATATATATACTAGACTGTTCGTTTCTCGGTGCCCGTTTTGGCGCTAATCTATGTAATACCGATATCTTGGATCGCAGTAAACAGCGTAGCGTAACGTACACACTCGAAGAAGTAGAATAGAGAATAGTCGAGCGGAATACGAGCATAAGATGTACCTGTCCCGTAGAAAATAGATTGGGTATATCGCCACAGCCACGCCTCGCCTCGCCTCGCCTCGCCTCGGCGCACTTGATCTCAACTCATCTCAAGTCAATCCAACCAAGTCTCTCATTGGCCCTTCTCTCGCTCAACTTCCCTCACCTCCTCAGCCGGCGTCTTCGTCCGCAACTGCAAAGCATGAATACCGCCCTCCCGCGCCATTTCCTCTTTTAGCAGGGCGTAGACCATGCGATGGCGTGCTGGTTGCATTTTCTTCTCGAAGGATGAGGATGTTATCGTTACGCTGACTGTGTTAGTAATCGTGCCCTAGGTCGAGTGCGGTTTGGACGGACTGGACTGGGGGGGGGGCATACTGGAAATGGGTCTCTTTGGAAGTCGAGCCTTCCATTGCGGCGTGGTGGGCATGTTTGTGTGAGTCATTGCGGATTATCAGGGTTGTTGGGGTGAATTCGTGGGCGAGCTGGGGTGGATGTTAGTATATAGCTCATGAGTGAGGTGTAGCTGGTGGTGATGGTACCTTGTCGCGCATGATGTCTTCCATCGGAGTCATGGACATGGTGGAGAAGGGGCGCAGAGGGAAGCGCGCGATGAGGGGGCGGAGCATTGAAGATTGGATGAGTGCGTGGTGAGTGGTGAGTGGAAGGTTCGGAGTGGCGTGGTTGAGTTAAGTTGAGTTGAGGCAAAAGAGAAGGGAGAATTGCGGAGAGGAAGAGATTCCCGCGGAACGCCATTCATTTCACCACTCCAATACTTCTCCAATACACATTCACACCTACACCTGTACTCACACTTACTCTTCCACCCATCTGGTCCCAATTGATATACAATAATCACCACTATACCAATACCAATGACGGCAATCCTCTCGCGCATAACTGCGCGCCCGCCTCCGCATCTGCATCTGGACCTCCATCTCCGTCTCCAACCACGACATCTCCAACTGCAAACAAAGCTACATTCTCGCTACTCCTCCTCCTCGCGCAAACTCCCCAACATACCCATATTCCAAGCAATCAAGGACCATGATCCGAGCAGTCTAGCTGTAATCCACAGCATTTCCGGCCGCACCTTCACCTACGGAAATCTGATCGGCGATGTCCTCCGCGCACGCGAAGATCTGCGCCGCAAAGCCGGGTCCAGCTTGACCGGCGAGCGCGTCGGCTTTTTAGCTGAAAATAGTTACGATTATGTTGGTATGTTATGCTCGCAGTTCCTGTTGGGCTGCACTGTAGTCACTGGCGCTGCTACATTACCCTACTCTATACCCTGATACTGACACTCGCAGTAACAATGCTATCAATCTTCGCCAGCAACGCAATCGCCCTCCCACTCTCCCCCGCATTCCCAACCAGCGAGTTGCAATATATAATGGACAATTCGTCCGCAAAAGTCCTTCTCGCCACGGAAAAATATGCCGAGAAAGCAGACCAGGTGCTTGTCTCGGGATTGGCCCGCGAGCCGGTCTTTGATATTCGCTCCAAGCTGACTACCGGTGCTGACCCGAGTGAATCAGCCCAGCTGGAATTGGAGCCGCTGTCCGAGGAAGATAAATTAGACCCGACTGTTTCTGGAATGATGCTTTATACTTCTGGAACTACGAATCGGCCGGTATGTCAACATCCCACCTAGATGGATGAGATGGATGAGACGAGATCCGATCCGATCAGATCGATCAGATTAGATCCAATCATCCCATTCAAGATCCATCGATCCAACCACTGGCACCCTCCTGACCAAGCCCTAACAAACAACAGAAAGGCGTCCTAATCCCCTCCTCCGCCCTCGCCGCCCAAGCACACTCCCTCCTCCAAGCATGGAACTACACACCACAAGACCGCCTCCTCCACCTCCTCCCCCTCCACCACATCCACGGCGTCGTAAACGCAATAATCACCCCCGTCTTCGCCGGCTCATCCTTCGAATTCATGTACCCTTTCAACACAGCCGCAGTCTGGAATCGCCTCGCCTCACCATTCCTCCAGCCAACCGACAAAACCACCACCGCAAAGGAAAAAATAACCTTCCTGACCGCTGTCCCAACAGTCTACAACCGCCTAATGACCTCCTACCCAACCCAACCAGCCCCAATCCAAAAAGCCGCCAAAGAAGCCATCTCCCCTTCAAACCTCCGCCTCAACATCTCCGGCTCCGCAGCCCTACCCACGCCCACAAAAAGTAAATGGACAGAACTAAGCAACGGCAACGTCCTCCTCGAACGCTTCGGAATGACAGAGGTAGGCATGGCACTGAGCTGCGGTCTAAACAAGACCGACCGCATAGACGGAAGCGTGGGGTGGGCACTCCCAGGCGTAGAAGCGCGCCTCGTCGACACAGAAACCAACCAAGTCATCCCTGCCGAAGTTGAAGTCGATAGTGCCGGGAAACCAGTCGAGGGCGAGATCCAACTGCGTGGCGAGACGATATTCCACTCATACTGGGGTAACGAGGGCGCTACGCGGGAGAGTTTCGTCGAGGACGGTGACGGTGGTAAGTCCTGGTTTAAGACGGGCGATGTTGCTAGTCGGAGGGTTGTGCCCGGGGCTGGGGAGGGGGCCAGTGGGGGGTGGGCTAGGGGACCGATGTATTTTATTTCTGGACGGAAGAGTGTTGATATCATTAAGAGTGGTGGGGAGAAGATCAGTGCACTTGAGGTGGAGAGGGAGTTACTTTCTTTGTGAGTACCACCACCCACTACTACTTTATACCCGGCACACGATTGGTACTGGTACTGGTGCTAACATGACTGGTAGACCCCAAATCGCCGAAGCAGCTGTCCTGGGTCTTCCGCATGAAACATGGGGTCAGAAGATTGCTGCTGTGGTGGTGTTGAATCCAGACGCGGCGAGCAGTGGGCGGAATGGGAAGTCTTGGGGTCCGATGGATATGCGGAGGGCGTTGAAGGATCGGTTGGCTGGGTATAAGATTCCGCAGGAGATGAGGGTTTTGGAGAGTATTCCCAGGAATGCGATGGGGAAGGTTAATAAGAAGGCGTTGATCAAGGAGGTTTTTGGGTGATATAGCGTGTTCTGTATTAATCAGTATAGGTTCCGGTTAGAGAGGTGGTTTGTATGATAGATGTACTATATTAATCATGATTAGATTTCCTATCTACTATTCACTCGTAGTAGTTGTAAGACTGCCTAACTATATTCACTACCTAGGTAGTACTAGTACTAGCACTGGTAATATCATGGCCAACTTGAACTACTCCAGGCTCCCAGCTATCTATCTAGTAGGTACCATACTACTAGTATAGTGACTATATGCATCCATCCATTCAAGTTTACAGGGCCACCTGGGAAGGCAACAAAGGCTGCTACTGCGTACCTCGGTACTAGTAGTGCCAGACAGGTGTGCCTTCCTTGAATTACTCATTTGATATTGGAAAGCACGTTGCCTGGGTCACGGTATCCATATAAACAATAAGTTCTACTTCCGAATTTTGAACTTCTCTTCTCTCTACTTCCAACTTGAAGGTTCCAAGGTTCAACTTGAACCACTCCGGGTCTTGATCTTGGAAACTTGTTGATTTTGCCATAAATCGCTACCTAGGTAGTAGGTATCAACTTGAACTTAAAGGCATCCCCCCCCTCCCCATGGGTTTTAATGCTTGCTGACATTGATATCCAGATCACAGTTCCCAGTCCGGGTTATATTGGAATTTATTCAAGTTAGCAAGCCCTGGTTGAAGATGGGAGTTTCAGCATGTCCCTCTTAGGACGTGTGTTAGCCTATCAGGCCAGGTACGATATGGAATCTCAGCGATGGAATCGTTCTGCTGTTAATAACTTCATGACCAAAAATTCAGCCTCATCATTTTAAGCTCCGGGGATGCTGTTCGAAGTCATCGATAAATTTGACGCGAGTCCGATGGGGACTGGGGATTTCAGAGAATACTGCACAGGGTATGAATCAAGACGATTTACCCATTTCTCGCCAAGTTAAGATCAGAAAAATACCATTTTATGACCAATCTTTAAATATCTTTTTTATTTTCTTTGAGAGATTGCTTTTATCTGCTTTTCAAATTCACCTCATATTTGTCTTTGAAAGATGACTCTTTCCTTGTATCGAAGTTCAGAAGAGCTCCATCCATCCAGAAACCTCTTGTTATGAGAGGCTGCTGCAAGTCCGTTTTGTCTGACCAGGCAAGATGGACTGTGTGAAGGCTCGGTGAAGTCCAGGTCTGCGATACTCGGCATACAGTAGCACATTTCCAAAGTACCCGTCCAATGATATTGTTGCTTTACGGGTTTTAAGTGATAAGAAGCTCATGCTATCTTGCAATCCCAGCTCTAGTTCTACTATGGTAAGCTGTGTGCCTCCCATAGCTGAGCTTCACTTCCACAATTTTACCCTCTGCTCTCACGTCTGTTTTCCAAGGTTCATCTCTACTCTCGTCCCTTTTTTTCTTTTCATGTTCATCGTTTGCCCATCCTTACTTTCGACCCTGGACAATTCATTCCTGATTGTATCTGGCTCAGCCCAGCTCACTTCCTCACTCCACCTTCACCATGACCGTCGCTGACATGTTCACTACTGCCGTCAGCGACATTCTGGATGCCAAAAGCAGAATCCAGATCCTTGCAGCCACCTGTCGAGGCCTTGCTCAATCAAATTCACAGAAATTACCTCTGGATCAGAAGCCTCAGAACAATGTACCCCAGTACTACCATGACAAAGAGGGTATCCTCAAGATGAAGACACCAGACCCCAGCGGACACCTATCGGACCAAGTCGTCTTCGCCATCATCCAATGTGGAATGGGAGGCATGTGCCGCGGTCAGATCTGGACAAATGACTTCGACTCGAACGGACACATCAAACGAGACCGAATTCCCCGAGGGCCACCCGTCATCTCCTGGGCAAATGGCATACCATTCTTCACGGTATACGGTGGATACTACATACTCGGCGGTGACTACCTCGCTTCACGAAGTTGGCTTCTCAGTCCTCTTTCAACCCCAATCCACCCAGGTTGTCTCGCCGGACTAGTCATTGCATCCCCGAGGGCTATTCCCGCCGACGCAAAGCTCTATTCCGAACAGATTCACGCCTTCCAGATGGAAACCTGGAAGGATATCAAATTGCAGCCCAAGACTGATCTGGAACGCGTCCAAAAGAATTTCACTACCTACACTAAAGACCACTCCCGCCTGTCCCTCATCTTCTTTGATGACGACTCCTTTGCCTTTGTTCCAATCATCGGGGTTGCCTCTTACCACCCCTTTCTTGACCCGGCCGGAACCATGTTCATGCCGTTGATGCAGGTATCCGTCGACGTGGGGAACAAGAAGATGTATCCAAGATACTACTTGAACGATAGGAACTCGGAGTTTAGTTCCCCTATCCTGAGATTTCAGCTTTTCTTCGACAAAGTCAAAACTTACTCCCGTCAGACAAAGGGACAACAGAAACAGCCACAGCCGCAGGAGCAGCCACAGGGGGAGGAAGAGGAACAGGAACAAGAAGATCAACAACAGGAGCCGCAATGGGAACAGCAACGAGCAACCCCGGCTGAAAACATCCCAAACACAGTCAACCAAATCGGCCAAGCCTTCACAACTAAATACAAACTTGACGAAACCTGCCTCGCCTTCGACGCATTATCAGATATCTACAACGAGATCATCCAAGACCGAGAAACCCTCAATACATCGCCGGCGCAAAGCATCATCCAGCTATACGAGGCCCAGCGGGACAAGCATGCCAAATACCGGGCTCTCCTCCAATCCGTGCAGGAGGGAATTGGGGACAAAGATTGGGTAGTGAAGCTTCTATTCCGGGATAGAATTGCCCGGGTAAGCTTTCAGGATGATGACCAGGTTCACATAAATGATGGGAGTAGGGGAGAAGCTATGGAGTTGGATATTGCGGGGAGTTCTGATGTTACTCTCGACTTCACTTCAAGTCCTACGCGTGCCTCGAATGAAGGCTTGTCTTTGATTACACCAATTTTGATCGATGGGGAGGATGATTGATAGGTTGGTTGCGATATTGCATGAGCGCGGAGAATGTCTACTGATTGTAGTGGTTACGTTGGGTGGGATGAGATGCATTCTCGAGCGTGACCTCTGGGGCTGCTGTGCTGGTGCTTGACTCGTCTCATGGGTTCCAAGTTGTCACTGGGACTACTTCATACCGCTCTGTAGATAACTTTAATCTGATGTCATACTAGCTTTTCATAAATGCGAAAGTAAACAAGTCGAATGATGTCAGCGGTGCGAACCAGGCCGAAGTATTGGGCTCGGTTCAAGTTCCAAAATTCTCACTCCAAATTCTGATGGGTGGGCCTGACAAGTTGCTAGTGAAGATGGAACTTTGTTTGGAGATTCATTATACACAAGTCACCACCTGATGACTTAATAATCATAATATACAATAATATACAAGGACCCTTATCAGTCCTCCACTGGGCACCAGTTAAGCCCACTCTCCAACCCTCTCAAACGCTTTGATAAATCCAAGACACTCCATCTCAACATCAAGCCGAGACATATCAACACCGACAACCCTAGCCTCAACAATGCCAAAAACATCCATATCCTCGACGCCCGGGCAACCGGCCGGGATCGATACGGTGCAGTTAACGCCGAGATTGGAAATGACGCCGGAGTACTTGAGGCCGTCGCGTTCGAGGGTGAGTCTCTTGGCGCGCAGTAGAACTGGGAAGGTCGTTGGGAGTTCGCATTCGCCGAAGTAGAATGCTCGGAAGAGGAGCATGCAGGACCAGTGTTGGCGGGCAAAATTTGAGATGTCGCGGACTCGGGTTGTTATTTGTTGGGCATGCGGGATGTACATGTCCACGTCTGTTGTTGTGTACGGGAGAGGCGAGGATTGGGGGTTGGCATTGTCTTCAAAATCCACATCGGCGGTGGATTCAGGCTCAGCTTCAACCTCGGAGGCAGTCTCCGGAAGGTCAATGCTGCCATCGAACCTCCTACCATGCTCATTCTCAAACCGCAACGCGGCTTCAATTTGATAATGCGCAATTACATCGGTAAACCGACGCAACGGACTGGTACACTTGACATAAGAATCCAAGCCCATGATATGATGCTGCACCGGGCTAGACCTTGCCAGCGACTTGGGCATAGCAAGTCGATAAAAGGCCTGTCCGCCGAACTCGGCTACATTATCGCGAGTGACACGTTGATACTCCGGATCATACCATGTGCCATTGAACACGACGGGGATGTTTCTGTCCGCGCAGAATCGGCCCGAGATATGACCGGCGAGATTCATGAGTAGAGAGATGAGATAGTGTTTGGACTCATTGCGGACGTCGTGCGGATTGAAGTCTTGCATGCGCAATTTGATTTTCGGGTCGCCGACATAATACCGGCCTTCTGTGACTTGCATTTCGTAGGGTTTGAATGGGGCGGTGCCGATTTGAAGGGAAATCGAGGGGCCTGGGTGGGAAGGTTGAAGGTCCATTGCGCCGTTCTTTTGCCGCTGGGTGCGGAAGCCTTGCATTAGTTTTTGGAGGATTGTGAAGGATTCTTTGTCTTCAGCTGTGAGGGCTTTGCGGAAGGTCTGGTTGGTGGGTGGCGAAGGCCAGGTAGATTTGTCGCCGACAGCAAGGTAGTCTGCGGATTCGGAGGAGCCACTGAGGAATTTGGATAGAGTGCTGTGTGTGATGCTAATCACGTTTCGAACAGTGCCGTTCACAACAGCGGTATCTAGAATCTCACCCTGGAGGTTCATTTTCGCACTGAAGGTCAACGTCGGCCTACCGGCTGACAGACTGAAATGTCCCTGCGTCAAGGCATTCGGCAGTATTGGGTATGTTCGCTCAGGGACATAGGTAGTAGCAACGCGTGCTGCAGCATAATCTATAATGGGATGATCACGGTCCAGGAAAGCCGTTGGGTTGGCGACGTGGATGTGCACCCAAAACGTGTCGTCTGAACCGGGGATGCGTTCCAACGAGACTCCATCGTCGATCTCTTGGGCTGAAACATCGTCCACGCAGTAGACAGGTAGATCGCCCCAATCTTTGCGAAGGTTTTGCATGGAGTCTTCCAGAGAAATGTTCTTGCAGGATTCCCCCACTTCTTCCCACTTCATGTCGTCCAAGAGAGACATTCCGTGACCTGGGAGTAGGAGACTCTGGTCCAAGACACCCAGGTTCTCCCACGGGGATATGACTCCCAGCTCTTGCAGGAACAAGCGAGTCGATGCCTCGCTCAGTCCGAGAGAGTTGTACATTCCCATGGCCCGCATGATATGCGAAGCAGCCGATCTCAGTGCGCCGGAGGGCATGATGACAGAAGGGATCGCGTAGTACTGCAGGAATTCCAGGATAGTTTGGTCATCAGCAGTGAACTTTTCCGTGAGGACTTCACGGAACATCATGGATTTTCCATCATCACCGGGGCCAAATTGTTGTGAAGAAGGACCGACGCTAGACATGATAGTTGGTGAGCGGACTTTCCGACTCAAACGGATCATGCGTTGCGATTTCTGAATGAACAGGTGCATGGGGTGGTCCTTTCGCCCGGGCTGTTCTTTTGACATGACGGCGCGAATGCAGAAGTCCTGGTGTTCGCGCACCCAATCAATGACCTGATCAACGACTTTGGCAATCCGCTTGGGCTGGATGAGATAAGTCCGACTGAAGAACGAGGGCATATCCTTTTCCATTTTGAAGGGGTGGCGTCGCACAGCCTGGTGCACGTTGAACATGTTTATCGGGTTTAGTTCCGACTCGTCGATAGAGAGAGCCTTCATGGTCAAGTCTTCGAGGGTCAGACGCTGGAACTCTGTGTCATCCGCTACCAGTTCATGCAAATTATCTAGAACTTGTGAGTTGTCTCGATAGAACGATAGGAGATGTTCTTCAAAATTGTTCATCATATTCACCAACGGCGCTCCAAGAGGTCGGGGAAGGCCGCCCTCGGGAACAGACTGGATTTCTGAGTTGACCTGAGTGAGGCCATCTGGAAAGTGTGGAATGATAGGGTCGAGAAGCTCTGGCGGCGCGAAGTTCTTGAATACGAAGTCGACTTCGCGATTCGTGCAGACACGCCAGTTTCCGCGACTGGTGTAGAACTGCTTTTGCCGGTGTACGGATCGTACGTAGATTGAAAATATGAAGATACCATCTGTGGTGAGACGAGCTACCATATCACCTGGTTCGAGATGTTCCCCTTCACATTCCTCAGAGGTATCGAAGTCGTCCTCTTGTTTGAGGTTTGAATTGGCCCAGAGAGACTCGCTGGATTCACGACCGTTGATCATCGAACCTAGAACTCCTTGCCCCGGTGAATGGGTAGATATTCCGATACCGGTGTCACGGACCGGGTCAAGAGCCAGCGGGTTGATTTCTTGCCATCTGCGGAGGTATTCTCTGATATCGCGATAGGTTTCGAGCTCGGCTTGTGAGAAGGCTTCGTTGAGATGGGAATGTTGTTCCTCCGAGTTCTGAAGAAGGATATACGTTAGTGAAAGTTTAGGCAAGGGAGGTTTATGGACATACCGCGTCTGCAATATCGTTTTGCTCTGTTGTTTCTGTCGGAATGGCTCTCAATATGCGCGTGGTTGATAAGAGGCGACGGTCAGTCGGCCGGAGAGCGTGTCTCATCCGTACAATCGAACATGATGGCTGGCGCTGTCTGGATGGACATCGCAGACAAATCTGCTGTGCATTGGCGACTGCCTGCAGGACGCCAATCCTTGATCGCAGCATGGTTGACGTGAACATAGCATCGTCTGTTGCGAAATTGGTTATTCTGCCTCAAAATGGAGTTCACCGCCGAGAAGGCGGTGACGGTCATATTTCTGCCTGAGAAAGAAGGCAGTAAGACAGTCAGGCATCACATCAATCACAAACGAAGACAATAAACAACTGTTCAAGACATTCTCAATCCCACTTCTACTTTGTTACCTCATCTTGTTTGATGGGAACACCTTGGTGATATTCTTTTGCCTCGTCCTCGATACATTTTCGAGGTTATCATTTTTTCAGTCAAGGCTAATCCTGCCAAGGCGTGCCCCATCACGGCCACGATGTAACTCAACACGCCACCGCAGGAACACCCCAGTCCATTTCTTGCAGGGGGTTTGGGCGTACACCATCTGCCGCAGCTGATACGGATCTGCCCGGCTATTGAATGGAGATTCGAGCAGGGATTACACCCTGTTTGCTGATTCGTCCTCGGATAGCTTGCTCGATTGGCACTTCCCCTGAACAGCTTCAGTCTTGTGAACCAGCCCCCACATCTGGTCAGGCACCAAGACGACTTCTCAAATTTCTCCATATTGTCATCAAAGACGCCTAGGAGCAGCCTCATCCCGCGTATTCAACGTATTCGTTCTCGCGTACTACTCCGCACTGTTGGGAGATCCTAATATCTACCCGGTACCCTTGCCGTGACCCTCGGTAGATTTAAACCATGTGAAGGTTATTTCATCCCACATTGATCGCCCTGCCTAAAGTGAGCCCGTCGTGAGCCCCGTCGATCACAAACAAGAGCAAATCCTCAAAACCTTGATGACAGCGACTATCATTTCTATACTAGTCTAAGCGAAGTCGGCCCGAGCTTGATGGCGTTGCTGGCAATGCGCCGGCCCTCTTACCAAATTCAGGTCCAAGATCCAGGAACCATTCAGGAATCTTGCGAAGTCTGATTTGCCATTCGATCCACTTCTTTAGTGCCAGGGAGGATATTCCGTACACCGTTTGTTGGTCCACTCCAATGGCCGATCCTTAGGTTGACGGACGGTTCATCAAGCAATCGATCTCGTGAACCACAAAGGAGTTTTGATTTGCATCTTCCAGTCAGTGGACAAGAGGCAATTCATTTTTCAAGCGTCATTCACTCACAGACCCTGAGATCTAGTTCGACTCGTCAATTCCCGAGTTATGATATGGTCAGGCCATCCGTTCCCTGTCTCACTCTTGAGACGAGCAGTGGGGCCAAGGTGAAGGAACCGGTCTGGAATCTAGCCATGGTTGGCTTACGACACAAGCCGCAGTACTTTGTCCAAGCCCAAGGAACGAACTATTGACGCCGCTTATTCCGGGTCTTACCCGTCTTTGTTATTCGGGGATTTTAAATCGCTGTCGACGCCAGATGGCGTCCTGTCGCGTGCATGGCATGCATCCGCGCCCACTCATAGCGCACAGTGCATCAGCGATCGACAGCGTTAGGCTCTCGGCTGCGGCCTCATACTTCTCTAATCAGCCTTTCAGCCTTCGATCCTGAAGAGTTTCTCCTCGCTGCCCTCTTCTCCCGAGGCTGCAAGGCCCATGTTCGCCGTAGATACCACTGCCATGTGCATCTTTACGATACCTTACTTACTCAACCGAGATGAGGATGTCAGATCAATGTTTCTTCAGCCGACCGCTCATATTTAGAGGCCAACAGCTAGATACTCCTTGTCGAATTTAGAAACTGCATAACAATATCCGGTCCGGATGGAGACCCTCTTGATACCCACATCCACCAACACCCCGCGGTTTGGTCTTGTCCACTCTTCACGCCCCCATCACTAGCTCCACATCGTTCCGGACGCTGATCAGTGGCTCCTGAATATCCACCGAATCCGGGGGTACTCCCTAATCCATATTTGCAACCAAAGGAAAAGGGAAAAAAAAAAGCCTTTAAGTATTCGTTGCAAATCCGCTGATTTGAAAAGAAAATTGAGGGTTTGCTTGCAACTTAATCGGTTCCCTTCTGCAGAGAACTCAATTTTTTACTTCACCTGCCCGGCTCTGAATATTTCCACCCCTTATAATAATTACTTCACCACACGAAATCGCTCATTATGTTTTCCACCCGTGGGTGGCATGCTCTAGCGCTTGCGCTAGCAGCCTTGCCTCTCGTCCAAGCGGACATCTGCTCGACCCTCGAAAATGCCGGCATCGATGTCGAATACCCGATTTCCATCAGCTACAATACCGACTTGACTAAGTACTGGTCAGCAGCATGTGGCGACCTGAAGCCGACATGTATTGCGGCACCCTCCAGCGCGGCCGAGATGTCGCAGGTCATCAAAGAACTTCACGACGTCGACACTCTCTTCGCAGTCAAGTCAGGCGGTCATATGCCAAACAATGGATTCGCAAGTATCCAAGACGGACTTCTGGTTTCTACCAAGAACCTAGACCAAGTATTCTACAATCACGAGGATCAAACAGCAGTTATCGGTCCTGGTCTATCCTGGGAGGAGGCCCAGAAGGGCCTGGATGATGCTGTTGGCGGACGTGCGGTGGTGGGTGGTAGACTTGGAGGTGTTGGGATCGGAGGGTACATGCTTGGATGTAAGTTTTCAGCATAAAGTTCGTGCGGTATTACAACTCAATTGCTAACTCTAACAGGCGGAATGAGCTTTTTGAGCACACAGTATGGCTGGGCAGCCAACAATGTGAAGGATTTCGAGGTCGTGCTGGCCAATGGTACTATTGTCAATGCCAACGAGAAGGAAAACACTGGTGAGTTTAGCCAAGATTCAAGGTCTTGTCAACCCACGGCCAGGGCAAAATACTGATTCGTCCGTCCAGATCTCTTCGCCTCGTTGAAGGGCGGCGGCAACAACTTCGGCGTTGTCACTGCGTACACCATGCAAACACACCCCCAGGAGCACAAGGTTTGGGGTGGTAACTATATTTTCACGGCCGACAAGACCCCCAAGGTGCTCTCAGCTTTGCGCAACTTTGTCGACGAATACCCCGATGACAAGGCAGCTATCATTCTAACCTCGGAGCACGGTGCGCTGATTGACTTCTGGATCATGTTCCTTTTCTATGATGGACCCGAGCCTCCTGCGGGCGTCTTTGACGAGTTTACCGCCATTGATCACACCTCGACCACCAAGACGTGGGACACATACTACGATCTGCTCAAGAACAACGACTTCTTCATTCTTCAGTGAGTTCTATTTGTTGCCCATATACAACACAAGTACTAATAAAATCAGCGGCCAACGCTACACCATTGCCACAGAGACAACGCCGGTTCCCAACAAGACCGTCGGATCTAGCGTGCTGCAGGAGTACTATGACCACTGGTACAATGTCACGGAAGACGTCCTGGGTGTTGCCGGTGTCCTGGGCTCCATCGCTTTCCAACCCGTCCCCAAGACCTTCTCCCAGAAAGCCAAGGATCGCGGCGGCGACCTGCTCAACGTCCCTACGGATCAAAACTACATTTTCATCGAGCTCGACTTCTCCTACGCGCTCTCTGTCGACGATGACAAGATCGACCAAGCCAACCAGAAGCTCTACCAGGGTATGGGCAACCTTGTCCAAAAGAACATTGACAAGGGTCTCCTGCCTGACGTTTATCGCCCGCTTTTCATGAACGATCTGTATTTCCGCCAGGACTATTGGGGCCGTATTGACCCCGACTCGAAGAAGGAGGCCCTTGCCACGCGCCTGCGATATGACCCTGATGGGTTCTTCCAGAAACGGACGAGTGGTGGGTGGAGACTGAATTAGTGAACATCTTATAATGTTTATAACACGTGGAGGGACGGTGATTTTGGCACCGTGGTTGAAAATATTTCTTGTTCATAATGTCTTGAACTAATTTCAGAATGAAAGATAATGACCAACGTATCGAATTTTACCGACCTGGGGGTCTGTCAGTATGATCAGATTCGTGACCGACGGTATCGACATAAATAAAATCCTTTGACGTCGTCAGCGTATGTTTTCACCTGCATTGTTGGGCGGGTGGGCATCACCCATTGTATCGAAAGCTGGCAATCCCAACAATAATTGAGAGAGCATTCTTCAGAAAAGATCTGCACACTGGCAGTGAATCAAAGCGCACACAGGTAGGCTATGCAAGAGTTAAACAAGAAAATCGAGATCCTCATCAGTCATGGCAATGTATATGAGTAGTAGAGCAGAAGCCACCACTAGCGCACCAAAGACACTGTTTTGTTTTGAAGACCTCTGTGGCTGCCAACATACTTGAAACATGATCGCCCTCGCATCCACATCCTAGCAGGATCTCAGCCCGTACCTGACTTATTTATGTAGGCGCCTGCGTCAGAAATGCAAAGGCCAGGGGAACGAGTGGCTGTGGCGCCCTCGTCGGGATTAGGGTTTCCCTTCCAAGCGCCCGCGGTGGAGCCAACCACTTACGGCGCGATCGCTCCAAAATCCCCGACCAGTTATTTTGAATACGACCACGATCTGCCTTTAGCAAAGGAAAAGCTCTTGCAGCTAGAGCTGTCATTTCTACGAGCGCCTGCTTAGGGGAGGCCGGAGCTTTGGCCATGATGTTGGTGGTGAGCCACCAAGTGGAGCGGATGGGATGTTTTGAAGACGCAGACGCTTTCATTGGTTTGTTGTTGGCGCTTGGAATCTAGTAAGATCTTCTCTGACGCCAATTCTCTGGGACTATGATTTCTTTTCCGGGGATGAGTCTAGATTTTGAACCGCGTTTTGAATGCTGCTAAATTTGTCCGGTCTAGATCGTGTCTCTTTCCACTGGGGCTGTTAGAGATGGTCTGAGTTCTTTGAGCTGCTGTATATAAGCTGTCTCAGCCCATGTCTTTCAGCACTTCACTTCCATTCTTCAATCTGCATCATTAATTGCTCGGTTTCCTTTGTCTTCTGTTCTAGACCCGTTCACACACTCCTTGACATCTCATTCTACAAGTGATTTCTTGCTTCATACATCCGCAGTCCGTTATAATAACCACCTCCTTGTTCTACCACGACTGTGTCGATTCTGCTTTTCTACCGCTTTCTCGATATCTCCAATCGCTTTTTTTTGAACATTCCTTTCCAAATTTCCTTGACATCATTTTCAAAATGGGCGGTCGCTACGGAGCTCTCGGTGCTACATTCCAAATCGCCCGACTCTTCCAATTCTGCTCGCTGATCGCGATAATCGGCATGACAGCCAAATTCATTGCGTCCATCGTTTCTAACGATGCAACTCCTCCGAATATTCTCATCGGAACTATCTCAGTGGTATGATTGCAGTAACCAGTCTTATAACTGCACGGAGTCGGGGCAGATACTAACGAAATCCAGACAACTATCGCAGTCGTCTACTGCATCATCTCAGCAATCCTCTTCGTCGACAACATCCTTCCCTTCCTTGCCAGTGCAGTCGCGGATTTCGCCGTTTTAATCGCCCTCATCGTTGTGGCTGTTGTAATGGGCAAGCCCTTATCATACTTGAAGTGCAACACGCTCGCCGAACTGGGATACAAGGACGCGACCGTCTACGCATTCTCCTCGAAGCTGTCCAGCTACATTGCCACGATCAACGGCAAAATCGGCTACTCTTCGTGGATTGGTGCGTCGAAGGCGATTTGCATCGAGACCAAGGCTATTTGGGGATTGAGCATTGCTTTATGGTAAGTTCAGACGCTACCCTTATGCACCGGATTCAAGGAAATTTCTAACCGGAGCAGTATTTTGTTTTTCTTTTCATCTATCTGTAGCGTTTGCTTGTGGCGCCAGAAGAAGTCTATGGTCGAGCTCGACGATAAATAATCGGTTGAATAGAGCTGAATTCACTATGACTAGGAATCACAGTGACTGGGCAGACAGTGCTGGTGCAACGACTGGATCGGAGAGCTTCAAGTTCTTAATAACTCTGAGGCTCACGAATAGGGAGCATGAGACTGGGGGATATTTTGCTTTTCATTTTTGACTTTGAGCATTGCGCTAATGATCTGATCTCTGGTGCTTGGAGTTCCTTTTTTTTACCAGAAAATGTAATGAAAGACTGCCAGCTTACTCTCGCTAAACATATTACTCATACTGGCAAATATCGCCTTTTCTTGTTTCCTAGTACAATAACCTGATAGAATGGGTAAAACCAGTCTTCGGATGCATTGATAGGGAGCCTCGTGTCTCGTAATTTCGTGAACAACTGCCAGTGTGTGTTTTCAATCACTGCCCATGGAGTATACTATACCGTGACCGTGACTGAATATCTCGCAATGTGTAAACTTTGATATCCATCCAGTGATTCGAGCCGTAGACCTGAGGATATCAGCTGAAAGGGGCTGGAATATTGAAAACCGTGATCAGTTTCTGTCGCCGGCAGTCCAGGATACCGTAATGATCTCGGATGAAAATACCGACAAGTGTCTGGCTTCACCAATTCTACATCGTCCAGATGGGGCGACAGCAAGATGGTCATGTCTGCTCGAAACATCGTTCTTGGAAAGCCCAATATCTGAAAAGTGTTGAGCCCGTGTCTGTTTCCAGTGTGGAAATTGATGCCGGGCCTTCGGAATAGTGATTAATACTATGACAATAGCCATGGACACCTGAGCAGGGACATACTCCAGAGCTACTACTAGTACATTTTTGACTATCCTGCCGACTCGGACGCAATGGCAGATTTTAAACCCGCGAGAATGGCCATCACGAATTATGAATAGTATACTATGGACACTACTAACAATCAATAACTACACAAACGTACGCACTAGCACATAGCCAACTTACAAGTTTCTATGAGCCCGAAGGTCCAAGATTCAAGATCACCTACTAGTACAAGATAGATCACCTACAAGATAAAAGTACACAGTTCGGGTGAAAATACAGTGCAAATTGAGGGGTAGAGGAAAGAGTACTATGGCTAATAGAATTTACACCTATGATAACTAATCAGAAATAATTTGACCACGGTAACAAGTATGTTTGTCTTTGAATTTAAAAGCAACTTGAACTGGCAGATAAAAAAAAGGAAGAAAGCAGCAAGGGATCAATTCTCCCGGTATAGGACTTGCATGGCAAGTTTCAAGTTCCAAGGTTCCAAATCCAGATTCTTCCACACTCGAAGAAGAACTTGACGACAGCCCTGGAGCGGCTGTGTGAAATATAATTCCAAGGTAAGTATGTGTCACTCAATATACCAGTCACCTGCCAGATAGCCCCTTCTCAGTGCAATCTCAGCTATGGGCTGGGCGTGAAGGAATGGTTCTGACAGAATCCGTCTATCCGGGCTCCACGTGTGCATTCAGGAAATTGGCACATAAAAGTTTCAGGCCACATTTCCTTCGCATGTTTAAAACATAAAGTTTTTTTCCAGGCCTTCTTTTCGCATTCGGTGACGGTACAGGCTCTTGCTTCCCCATGCTGTTCACAGAATCCGCCCTTCTGTCTTGTACGTGTACAATCAGGAAATCGACAATGTATGGCCTCAGGCCACATTTCCCTCGCATGTTGATAGCACAAAGTTTTTCTCCAGGTCTTCTTTTCACAGTCGGTGGCCTCGCAGACTCTCGTTCCCCCATGCTTTTCACAGAATCCACCTATCTGTTTCTTATGTGTGCAATCAGGAAATTGACAAAGCATAGTTTCAGGCCACATTTCCCTCATATGTTGATAGCATAAAGTTTTTCCCCAGACCGTCTTTTCGCATTCGGTGACCGTGCAGACTTTGGCTTCCCCATGCTTTCGACAGAATCCACTCGAATGTTTCGAATGTGTGCATCCAGGAAATTGACAAAGCAAATCTTCAGGCCACCTTTCCTTTGCGTGTTGATAGCATACAGTTTTTCTAAAGGCATTATTTTCGCATTCGGGGACTGTACAGTCTTTCACTAGGTACTCTCGACGAACTCGAGTTTTCTCAGAGTGCTTTTCACATAATCCCTGTGCCCATTTCCTATTTGTGCACCCAGGGAATTCACAAAGTATGAGACCAGGCCACTCTTCTCTCGCATGTTGATAACATAAAGATTTTCTCCATGCCTTATTTTCACATTCAGTGCTCGTGCAGATTTTCGTTACCAAGGAAGAATGCCCCTGGCAGTAGCCACCTATCTTTTTATTATCTGTACATCCAGGAGCCTCACAGAGCATGAATTCAGGCCCCATTTGTGCCGCATGGTCATAGCAAAGACTCTTTCTCCAGACAATCTTTTCGCAATCAGTGGTCGTGCACAGAGGCTTCGATGAATCAACCCCCTTATCTTTGAGTCTCCAATGGCGTTCGCATAGTCTGTGTTTCCATCTTCGATTTGAGCATTCTGGATAGGAGCACCCATCTCGTGCGCTATACTTGGGGAGGCTTTGAACTAGGTCCTTTTGCTTCATATGTCGGCCACAATATAGTCCTTGCCCCGACCGTATGTTAGCGCAGCGAGCATGCGAACAAAGCTTGCTATGAGGGTTTAATTCGTTCCAATGCGTCACGCAGTATGCCCCCTTTCTTTTCTGCGCAATGCACCCCATATACTCGCATTTCCGGCGCCTATAACTTTCATCATCTAGATCCCCTCCATAATTATGCCCCGTGCATAATACGGAACCAAACTCGCTCTTATTGATACATCCAGCGATCTGGCAATCAGGCTCCTCCTTGTCGGGCTCGGGGCCACGCGCTTGTATCCAATGGTCAATACAATAGCCATCTGTAATACTCCAGGAGGAACAACCCAATTCGTTACAGGTAGTTAGTATTTGCTGCTGCTTGTGATATTCGCAATGAAGACCATCCACCATGAACTCTGTGCATCCTGGTAGAGTGCACATTCGTATAAAGCCTTGACCCTGTGGAAAAATGTAGTCTTGATTTTCGGGAACTTGGGGTAGATGCTGACCGGCCCCAAACCAAGAGTCCGTCGCGTCGTTAGGCTGATAGTCTAAAACTGTTTCGTTGACTTCCATGGCTGTATCATCCACCTGCGCCGCGGCATTGTCAAGGTCCAGAAGTGAATCGTCAAACTGAATAGCCGTATCTTCGACATCCATACCATCAATTGCATAATCTAAAATATTCTGATTAACGCCAGCGTTTTGATTTTGGGGACTACTTGCCAGTGGGCTGTTATGATCCCTCTGGCTCTGACGGTCTGGAGATACATTGGTGAATATTCTCCTGACTGCAGCTTCATCTTCAACCTGCCACTCCATATCACCAGTTTCGAATGGCCTATCCAGCATGTCAAGGTCCTGCTGATCCTGAGAATAACTGTGGCTCTGGGAATTCATCGAAACTGAGAGCGGACTGTGATAAGAGGGCTCGTTCTGGCGATCTAGAGATGGATTGGTGAGCCTCTGCCAGTCTGCAACAGCATTATCGACCTCCCAATCCATAACTCCAGTATCCCACTCCCACTCCATTTGATCTTCCTCTTTGGCTTGGTTCGACATACCTGCTTGTATTCCAAGGTTATATGTGATAAGACTTTGGTAGATATCAAGGTATTCGATAACGGATTTTGAGGTTAAAAACAGTTGACAATTGGCGGGAAAAGACTAACTTATATAGGTATTACTCAATCCAGACCAAGCTCAGCTTTTCTAGTATTCGCGGATATGAAACAGAGGATAGCGGACAGTCCTCGTAGAATAGTGAAGCACTATGTCTAGCTCAACTTTCTTTGTCTTTGAGACAAGGCATTGTTCTGTCAACCTCGATCCATTCCAACAAAGGCATCATCGATCTTCGATTAGTTGAATCTGTAGACCAATATTCGATCCAATGCTCCTTGTTTGAAAGTGATTCATGCCACAATATCACTAGAGGTCATGGCCCCTTTGGGTTTGAACCTCAATCCATCTCCTATCTTCCCATCTACATATTGACACGCACACATAGTATTGCGAAGGCTAAATTAGAAACCCTCTATTTCCAGAGCCTACACATTTCAAACCGAGCTGCAGGTTTAAATAAAAGTACGGCGGGTTGGACTCGGAGAGGCAAGTTGAGGACTTCATTAGATATGTTCAAATTTGTCGCATACGCTTGCAACTCCAAAGGTATTGGTTTATCCACACTCGAATTAAATTCAATCACAAATCCCAATAAAGGGCCTAAAATTCATTTTTAGAGTTGATGTGTACACAACCATTCACCTGATTCGCACCGTTTAGATACACACCAACATGTAAAATTGATGAAACGTTGCAAGCGGCCACTCAAAGATGGGGCGGCGATGATGAAAAGTGGTGGTCGGATACTAGTAAGAGAGGTCAGTTCGGAACGAAGCTTAATATCTTAAACAGAGGAGGCAACGCACAGCAAAATTAATGCCTGAGGTACACAACCAAAACACACGTAGGGGCCGTAATAAGAAAAGCTACCTATAACTTGAACAAGCCAATAATAGTGATTGAGTTCCAGTCATTAACGATGACGATTAGTTACGGAAAGAAGTCAATGCGACAGAATATGTGGCGATTAGCCGATCTTAGACCAGAGCCTCGGGGCAGTTTTTGCCTTGGTTTTCCAAGAAAGAACCCCTGTCCAATTCTCCGTCAATCTCCAAATGCATCAATTAGTTACTGCTTTGATCAAAGAGATTGCATTGCTGTTTGCATTCCCGATTAGCGGCCAGAAAGAATCCAAAAGACACGTGGCATCGGTGGTGAGCGGGTACCTTTGTTTAAACGATAACGAGACATGTGGTTCTTGAGACAAGCTTCCTCGAAATAAACTTTCTTTTGTCAACATCAACCAGGACATTGACAAGACAATCGATAAAAGGTCATCAAAAATGGAATTCGAAGACAAAAAAAGGCTTCGTTATGGTGTTGATAACGACAATATCCATTATTCATTCCTTTAGTTTGAAAAATAGCTCGCAGTCCGGTGCTGTCCACATGGGGTATTTATAAGAAATACCACAACCGTTTGAGCTTCAGAAATATCTTCACCACCAGTGCAGTTTCCGATTGAGTCCTTGAATTTTCTATACTTTCTGCAAATTTCGGGCTGTTCTTTTCATGGATATTAAGATAATAAAAACACGTTAGGAAAACCCAGCATCAAAGAGTAGTATCCTTCAGACACCCCCGAGAGCTGTGTAGCTATGTTTAGATGTAACGCAAGAAATCAGGTAGAACGTAAATGAGCTACAATGCTCAATTCAAACTATTGGGTGCTCTCTAACTGGGCCTTTGTCAGACTGAATAATATCATTCAATTGAATCAAGGTTGCATTCTAAGATTATCTCAGCATGATTCAGGGTTCAAGTGAGTCCCGGGGCTCTGGGGCAGAATCTCGACATCTATCGCTACTAATATCTAGAAGGAAGAAATTTCCTAGGTAGTTTCTACTTGCCGTCATTTTGCACGTGGAATAACTAGCAATTCGGAGCATGTGACGCGAAAATAGTCGCTTTTCTTTTAGACCATAAAACGCATATCGAACACAGATGTGGCGGTGTAAAGAGACAATTATCTTTTAGCCTGAAGAATGGCTTACTTGGTGAAAGGATTTGTGATTTGTGAAAGAAATTCTAGCAGTGAAGACAAAGGGAGGAAGGTAAACGAGACTTAAAGGGACTGTTTAGGTAGTAGCATAATTCTTCAACTCAAAGGCATTGTCCTCTTGGACTCGATCATTTTTATGTATTTTGATCTGATATCCAAAGACGCCCAAGCCCTCTAGGACCTCTATAAATACCAGTTCGACCCCCTACTCAAGATTGATCCAATAATCCTGCACCACTGGCATTGAAGTACTTGTGTATAGTAAAACTTGAATTCGCAACTAGTATCCAGCCAGATACACTCAACATGTCAGGTATTGATATGAATCACTATGGGCTCTACTTGGCCCATAGCGGGACACCCGAAGAAGAGAATTTCCATTGGATGATTCTTCTTGCTCACCCTGGTGCAGATAAATGCTTTAGATTTCATTGTGAAGGTATTTCAGGTAAACGTGAGTACATTTCAGAGTCAGATACTCCATTCACGGGATTTGGAGACAGCCGGTATCGAAGAATCGAGAAAAAGGAGCTCATCTGCCGGATTCCGATAGAGTCTTTCGATGTGGTTGCTAAACAGACTGAAGCTACACCACTACAGAGCTCCGCATTCTGGGTACTATATCTACTGTTTCGACTTGAACGCAAGGGACTTGTACCGGAAGACACATATACTGAGTGGATGACCCATTATTTGACGCAGAATGAGCAGAACAAGGAAAACTGTGATAAAGATGATCAGGGGCCCGGTAACCTTTGGGTCGAGGAGGAGTAGTGGACTATATCTCAGGATCTGTATTTTCCATATACTTAATTCACTATAGCGCCGGGTGACAATTTTATTCATAATTTTCTACCTTCCATATATTCCCCAATGATCTTAGTAGTGGCGAGAAATAACGTAAGTAGCTTTATATCAATCCGTAGTCAGGTTACCGGACTTTTTGAAGAAATTATAGTTCTTAACTACTTTCCAAGATTGCCTAGGCAATCCGTCTGACGACTGTTAATTTTCTCCCTGACTAAAGACATTCAATAGCTACTTTCCATTTATCATTCCGTGATTCCAGATTAAATTTCGATATTGTTTCGAGGCAGTCATATGCTGTTATGGCCCAGGAATTTTAAGATCACCTATATCAGCCTTTTTCCTTTATCTCGGAATCTAAACCTTCCATCATTCTTCCATTCTAACTAGTAGCTGTCCTTATCATATTGAATAGTTCAGATATAAAGCAGAGCTGCAGGCAAACTTCATGGTCCTAATTTCATGATTGGGTCCATATACTTTCATCTCGAGGCCTACTAGAGCATTCAAGTTGTTACCGGCGAAATGCAGCCCATAGTTACAGAAGGACCCGACATCGGTTTCCATGCTGCGAACATAGAAATGTTCTTTCCAATCCTAATCACATGATACTGATAAATAACATATTCTCTACATACCAGTAATAATACCAGATCCTTTTTATAGATTGTAACACGAATACAGTAGCCTCAAATTAGAGTCCTGGAATTTCTAGAGGATTCTTAACAAACGTAACAAACACTGCAAACAAAGCAACATCTGAACTGACAAGGTGTCAACTTCTCCCTTCTGCATCTTGCTGTTGCCTTACTGCAGCGCTTGGTGCTTCGGGGGGCTATCTGGGTCAAGGTGACACATAGCGCACGCCTGAGAACGCCGAAAAGAGATTGCATACTCAGAAGAAGTCAATGTGTGCTTCTTTGCCCGGGTGGGTCTGAGTGGTTACAGTATGTATCGCCAACCGCGATTGATCTGTCTATGCTGGATCGGATCGACCCATTCCTACAACCTTTCATTGTTCCCCGAACAATAAATGCCAAGATACACTAAACTAATTTCGAGGATGCTATGTCAGCCTCAGTTGTTTGAGGGCGTACCGTAAATTACCGGGTGTTATTGTATTAGCGGGATCATTTTTATTACCTGTAAGGCGTGAAGCTGCAACCTGAGTGCCCCACGTCAACTCGTCAACTCGTCAACTTTTCAATCCTCACCTGGGATTCGGACGCGGGTGACTCGACTTCGCGCTGCGCGTTCAAGTCCCGCTGGCGTCGCTGCTTCCACATCGGAGAAAAATAGTGTGGGGAATTGTGTGTTTTGAGGCGGTGATAAGGAGTGTTTTCCGCTCTACTTCACTCAATGTTTCTCTATTCCGGCGGTGAGATAATGGCAGCAACCATCTATCGCTAAGCGCTAGTCCTACCAAACACTTTCATCCATGTCGCGCAATATTCGATATCATCGTAAGTCAAGAAACGGATGTCAAAATTGCAAATCCCGACGTGTCAAGGTAATGACAACTCGCAAGTCGCGTTTCAGAGATGTCCAACTAATTTATTTATAGTGCGACGAGGAACGACCATCATGTGCGGGGTGTTTACGTCGCGAAGAAGAGTGTTCATTTGTGGAATTGGCAAGAAACGCTACTCCAAGTCAAGAACTCTCTGAACAAGATGCACCGCCAAATGATTCAGATTCAGAAGGATTTCAAGCCCTGAAAGAGCCTCATTATACGCCGAAGAACTTGTTGGATCTTCGTCTTATGCATCACTACAGCGTTTTTACGGCAAAGACTTTATCTGGTACTTTCAACGAGGACGTGTTGAAGGCTCTCCAGGTAGACCTTCCGAGCCTGGCCTTTGAACATGATTTTCTTTTGGATGCCGTTCTTTTTGCTGCAATGGTCCACCTAGGTTGTAGTGGTATACCAGTCAAAAACTTGCCTTTCTTTGCCTATCGTGATCGGACGCTGCGAGCACTACGCGGAGCGATCGGCAATATATCATCAGGTAACATTCATGCCGTGAGAGGCGCATCCGTGTTGATTGCGGCTGTTTCCTTCCCGACCGACCGAATAACAAACCAACCTGGCCTATGGATGTCCAATTGGATGGCTTTAGCCCTGGGTCAACGAAACTTCCAAGCAATGCCAGAGTTTGAACAATATACACCTGGCGAGAAGAACCCCATATCAGCTAGAGGTCTCTATGGGTCTTTCTCGGATCTTTTTGCGCCAGCAGTCATACCGCATCCTATCCAGCCTTTGCTTAATAGAGATTGCAACCTAAGAGAGAACTCATTTTATCACTCTACACTGTCTACAGCTGCAGGAGAGCTGGGGAGACTAATATCTATCCTTGGAACTCCATTCGAGCCTGTTTTTCTTGAGAAACAAGCCAAGGCATGGACTTTTGACGTGGTGCCGCCCGATTTTCTCTCTTTTATACAACAAGAACGGCCCGAAGCCCTTGTCATTTTAGCCTACTACCTGGCTGTTTTGAAATTTCTCCCGAGAACATGGATTTATGAAGATTGTCTCACTCATGATATTGAAGTCGTTGCTTCTATCCTTGGTCCCGCCTGGGAAGAACACATTTCATTACCATGGAGAATCATACAGATGGATGACAACATTGCTGCTGCACATCTTCTAGTCAGCTGTTTGGGGGATATTGCTGGATCTCAGTAAAATAGACCAAGGTTGGCTTGGTACTTGCAATCGATCTTGAATAATGGTGGATTGTTCTTCTTGACATCAATGCAGGTCACAAAGATGTAATTTTAATCTATATTCTCTGAAATATTGAAACCACCGGGAAATGGCAATGCACCGCTTCCCCTCTAAATGCAGTTGTTACAGGGAACATGTCGAGTGTGAATATTGGCACCCATCTTGCACGAATTTCCAGGTCCAGGTCAATAAAGCTCTTGACTGACTTCCTGGAAAGACTCTTTGCCAGTACCTATATACTTAGCCGGGTGCCAGTAAATTAAAAAAGCCAGAACCAAAAACATAAGAGTTGAATCGCAGATATAGAGGTAGGCCTCCGTCTTCATCATGGGGGATTCGATGTCACCAGTGAACTCAACAAATCGAAAGATGGAGCGAGCGAATATCAAGGCACTGGCAAGAAATATCACTCGTGTCACATCTCTCCATCCTAGTTTCGAATTATCCTCGTCAAGGCTTAGCGACACGCTTGTTGGAATGCGAGCAAGACGACGATGAAAGACAGTGGCGCATATGACAAATAGACCAAAGAATAGTATTTGAAAGGCAAGACCGACAAGGATAATCGCTTTGCCCACACTAAAATTCGAGGACAACATGCCAGATCCGGCGAGTTGTATCACAAATGACAAGATATCACCTCCCACAAAAATCTTTGTCAGAAGTGATGGTTTTATCGGTGAGTATTCTTCTCCTTTGACTAATCGAATGAGTCGACCTAAAACCATGTAGATTGATGCAGCGAACAAGGCCGGTGCGACCAGTATCGTGAGGGTTTGAATGATGTAAAGGGTGATATTGCTGGTGTCGTTGCTTCCTAAAAAGCGGCAAACGTATCCTGCGATTTCAACTGGGTTGTTTTAGTAAAGTCTCGAAGATATCGGTGGGAGAAGGCAAAAGGCCTCGAGAAGAATGTGGCTTACGTCCACCACCAGTGATAAGCACGACGAAGTAGAAGGTGCGAAGTTTGAACATAATCCAGACATGCCAAATGGTTGTGATTGCGAAAAGAATGACGAAAATTATCGCAGCTGCCTGGCTAGGGTCATATTTGTAGACATTGGAGCCAGTCATGACTGGAATTCGCGGTGGTAGGTAATCGCAAAATATAGAAAAAGCAAGGCGCAAAAAGAGAAAATTGTCAAGAATTTCCTGCGAACGTATAAATAAGAATCGAGATGAAAAATAAAAGAGTGACATGAAGCATTATATGGGTTTTGTCTCGCCAACGGCCACTTTCTGAAGCGTTGGGCTAGGTGGGTAGTTCGCATCTCGCATCTCGCATCTCGCACCTCGCACCGCTAATAATGAGCCCCACAAGTGGGTTTCGCACAGTAAACGCCAACAAGGCCAACAAACGTTTAAAAGGGTTCATGAAGCACCTCTTGCCCATGGATTGACCAGCGCATCGAGTAAATTGAAGAACCTATCCTTGATACTATACACACACACACACACACACACAATTCATTAACGCCCGGCGGCGAAGCCGAAAGGGCAACTATCACTATTTTATCAATACATGTCCCTAGTATATGCCGTGTCTCCTTGCAGCCCATACATGGTTACTTTCTGTATATGTCATCTCAACTGTCATTATCGTGGTGGATCCTCGCGGGATAGTAATTTTGTTAGTAGGCTGGCTTGAAGGCGCTTCTTCAAGTGTTCAATATCCTATTCTCGGCAGTTGAAGCGCGTCTACCGTCTCTGGCACGAGGTGGTGGGTGGGGGTTAGTTCGGGGGGGAGGGGTTCGTTTATGTTGGTCGACATGGCTAAGTGGCGTCCAGTTGGCCCGTGGCGATTGCAAACTGTATTGAGACTCGCACTACTTCTAGATTCGGTGTCCAGTTCTGATCATCTGACGGCGACTTTCCGCCCAGGAAGAAGGATATATTCCCTCGGTGAGCATGGGTACATTGCAGCATTCCTGTCCGGTGTGCGGTCCACTTCCGATATCGAAAGAGGAAGTGTTCCACGGTCTCTCTTGCTTGTCTACATATATATTGATCTGTCTCGGCGACGCTGATTTGGTAAAGATATCCGTTGAGTCTTGCTATGCCAGTCCGGAGTTGGGCCAGCACGCTTGCTTCTTTCTACGATAATTGATTATATAGCTGCTGGGTGTGTTTCCCTGGGAGTGCTGTATCTACTTATTTAGAATATCGCCCTATGTTCTCTGGTAAGCCTTTACTAGTGACTACTTGGGACCGTGCGATGTTTAGGGTAGTTGACTTTATTCTGTGGACCTGTGCTTGAGGAGTAGTATCCTCTTGTGTCGCGGCTCTGGCCTACTCTTTCGCCAGGCTCAACAATTGGTTATGCTTGCTGGTCGGAACCCAGCGAATGTCCATTCGGTTTTCGTGTCTCCGTAGTCTTTGGGTTAACTTGTATATCTGGCAGATGTGTTCTTGGCCTGACTGCTGTCGAGGATTCCTTAGTGTAAGTCCTGCTGCTTTGTTACTGGTAAGCAGCGTGACCCTATACCGTTTTAGTCCCTGTAGCGTACCTAGTGTATATGCTATTGCTACCAATTCGCCGGAGTATGGGTTCTGCTCTGCTCTTGTGCCCAGTGTGACAGAGAAGGTCTTTAGCCTCGGCTTACGATACTAAGGTGGCTGCTTCTCGATTGCTACGCTGAATCCTACCTTCTTATTTCGTGCTAAACTGCTGACCGCAATATATATGACTCCGCCTGTTTTGGTCTGTATCTCTGATAAATCCTATCTATCGCTGTGTATATGTTCCTCCTATGGCACTAATGTAAATGGATTGATAGTTTCTAGTGATTCTATCTTAATACTCTTCAGCGTGTCTGTGACCTGATATAATGGCGACTGGTGGTATCTTCTGAATTTTCTAATCTAAGCTGTACTCCTGTGGAGGGGATTGGTTGCTGGTAGGGTGTGAATGTTAGTCCATATCTTTACGGCTTGTCTCCAGAACCGATATCGTACAGTAGTAATGTGAGCCTCGGCCTCCACTACGCTGGTCGTAACGGTGAGGAACGTTCCTACAATCGCCTATGCTCTGACTCGTTGAACCTAGTTGATCGGCCCGATATTCTTGTTCTTGAAAGTGTGTATCTAGATATTAGAGGCATAGTCCACCACCGGAGCTATAGTGGCTGTAAAGAGCTGCTGCGCTGTCGCTGGGGACAGACCTTGGAGTTGTCGAAGCTCCATCGCTACCTCTAGGCCTTTGGACGTCGTTCTTGCAATATATTCCTTGTATTTGAGTCTTGTATCTATTATTACGCCAAGAATCTTAATATAGTCTTTAGGTTTAATAGTCTCTCCCTTAATGATAAATGGCTCTGGGTCCGATTTATGGGCCTTAGGGGCGAAGTGTATAATAGCAGTTTTCTCTACTTTAAAGGTCGCTCTACTTCTCTTTTCCTAGTTGAGTGCTTTATTGACGATCGCTTTAATACTATTCCGGTTGCTCTGTGCAGTCGGTCCGGTCACCTATGTAGTAAAGTCATCCACGAAGGTAATCGCTCCTCCTTGGCCGTCGATCTATTGTTGTACGAGATCTATGTTGAAGAAGAGAAATAGGATGGGGGATAGGGGTGATCCCTGAGGTAGCCCCGCCTGTGGGAGACTTCGGGCCTTAGATACTTGCCTATTGATCTGGATAGTTGCTGTTTGCTCCGAGTAGAATGCTTCGACCTACTGGAGCACGACCTCCGGTATCCCTTGTGCTTTTATCCTCTGGAGTAGTCGTTCTTTACAAACCCTATTGTAGGCTCCCTTGACGTTGAAGCTGATCAAGCTCAAGACCTATTGGCTACGCTACACTGTATAGATTTGCTCTTACAAGAGTAAGAGTGCCTGCTCCGCGGACCGCTGCTTTTGGGCCCTGAAGTGACTAGTTGGAAGTAGGCCATAGGTCTCCACTGTATGTGAGATCCTTTCTGCGATGATTGATTCTAGTATTTTCCCCAGTGTCGCTAGGAGTAAGATCGGCCTCTAAGCCTTCGTAATAGTATAGTTCTCTTTGTTCGGTTTCTTCAGCGGTATGATCTTTATATGTCTCTATTGCCTCGGTAATATACCTTCGTCTAGAGATACCTGGAATAATTCTAGGACCCGGTATTTAACTGTATACTACGTTATCTTCTACACTATTACCGGTAGACTGTCCTTGCCCGGCGCTTTCCAAGAATTTGCGGCCAATAACTACTGTTTGACCTCTTCTATAGTAATAACCGGCATATCTACCGGTGCTCTTTGTGGTCTAGTTCCTTCTCTGCCGATATTTTCTAGCAGGGGCGGGAAGAATTTGGTCAGTAGTTCTTCTGCTTGCTCTTTGTGATTAGTGGTAATAGTTCTATCTGCCCTGAGGAGCTGCGGGACCTTCCTGAATACTGTACTGTCTTCTGACTTCAGGTATTTCGTGGCTTTCTATATATTATCGTTGTCAGTCAGAAACTTATTCTAGTGTTTCTTCTTTTGTTTCTGAATTGTATCGTAGTATTGTTTCGCTGTACTTGCGGCTATTTTCTCTAGGTGTGGCACCTTTCGCCCTATATATTGCTGTAAGCGGGTGTGGTTTCTCCAATATATATATATCTGATGGAGCTATATTAGGTTACCCGTCCACTATCGCTTTGTGTATGGCGACGGTTTAGCCCTTAGTATCAAAGTATATACTGCCTCCGATACTGTAAATATGAGACAGTCGGTTTTTAGCTGTACTATGCCTTCTAACGGAGTTGTGGCTAGAGTACTAGTAATTCTAGCATTAATTTCCTTCTATAGTACGTTCTTTAGCAGAAGTTGTTCCGCATACTAGGGGGGTTGGCTACAGCGCATCGAAAACAGTCTCAATAGTATAGTGGTCCGAGCTATATTCTGTTCCGTGTATTGTACACTTGACTATCGAGTCTGTTAAGTTTTCCGAGGCCAGGATGAGGTCGATCGTAGACTTACAGTCCCCAGTCTGCCCTCTACTGTGCTATGTCTTCGTGCCTTGTTTAAGTAGGTTACTTAGAGAAAATTCGTTTATGATATCGATGATTGGTTCTGCCTCTCCTTACCTTGTCAAAGATATGTTGTCTCCTCCCTAGAGTTGATTATAGTAGTTAAAGTCCCCTATAACCATAACCTCTACTACCGTCCCTGAATCTCGCTATACCTCTATGATTGCTTTTCTAAGGTGATCGCATACGTTATCCAACACTAAGGTATCCCCTCCCTCTACGTAAACTGATACCATAAAAATCAGTCGCTCGGGGAAGTGGATGACCACTGCTGTTAGATCCGGTGACTCGATCGGTATTTACTCTGCTTCCACTTCCTTGTTGATCCAAAGTATACTTCGGATCGCCTATCGGCCCTCCCTCCAGGTAGAGGGAACTATCTTGGTCTATTTATAATGTTCTATCGGGGTTATCAATAGCCGGTCTTAAATTCTTCTTACTTAGGGTTCCTAAATCGCTAGTGCCACTGCTCCCTGAGTTTCTTTGTCGTTCATTAAACTGTTATATACTGCTCCCTGTTTCCTTACATTTAGTTGGATTATTCAGAGTGTTTTATTTATAATGTGACGGATAGAGCTTCTAGCAATTTTTACTGTATGATTTATGTGGGCCTCCGCATAGAACGTACTTTGGAACTGTTTAGGCGCAGTTACTGTGGTGGTGGCCCTCTATAGCATATTTTGCATACCTCTGGACGTTCCTGCACTGGAAGGCCTTGTGGCCAATCTCCTGGCAGTTATAGTATTACATCGGACGTGGTCGATATTCAAAGGTGCTGGTCACGCTAGATTCTCCTCTAGTGTGGAAGAACCCTTTGGCTAGGAGCCTCCGTACGTTAGAGCCTTTGGTTAGGTACACAACCATTGACCTATATGCCTTTGCACTTTCTTTCCTGCTGAGCCATACGATCTTGGCTACGGTAGCTTCGTTCTTCTTACTGAAAGCGGCTGTAGCTCCAACTTGGATCTTGTCTTTTTTGTCTAGTACTGCGGCTTTGTTAATACTGTCTACCTTAATCGGATACAGTTTGTTATGAAGTATCTGGGCTCCTGTGCCGATCTTTGCTTCTGCTGCCTTTTTGACTAGCTGATGCTCAGCTTCGTCTCGGTAAGCTACTCTGATCCGGTTAGTGTTCTTCGGGTCTATAGTGACAGCACGACAGCACTAGTGCATATAGCCTTCCATCATCTGGATCTCTATCTCAACTGCCACCCTGACTCGGCCTACAGACATTCTCTCGTTCTCATTGTCTGCTATCTTTAAGGTATCTATTGTGTAGTATAACGTGTCAGTGAAGGTGGTCGGTGTCGTATTCGACGATGAGAGAGTTCGTATATTGCTCGGTTGACTGGTTGGAGGGGTATGGGCAACATCTGCATAGGACAGGGAGCCAGTAGGAACAGTAGGGCTGATGGCATCGCGTAGGGAATAAATTTTGCGGAGGATCTCATCGTGGCTGTTCTGTGAGCATGATTCGCAGTGCGATTGCGGTGTCGGGGGTCTGTCAGTCAGGATCTGTAACTCGTTGCGAACTTCTGCGAGTGCGGCACCAAATTCATCCTTGACTTTCTGAAATTCTTTCTGAAATTCTTCTTGAACTTTCTGGATCTCTTCTCTATGCAAATCATCTCGCTGTCTGATCTCTCTCCTGAGTTTGACAAGCTCCTTCACTAGTTTGGCGGTGTTCAGGTCCTCGCTCTCTGTCAAGTCGTCCGAAGCTACCGCGTCACGTTGGGCTACTGTTTTGTCTTGGGTTCTCTTGCTCTGCTGGGAGCGCGTCTCTCTCTGCTCAGTGCATTTCTCCTGCTCTTGAGCATAGTTGTTAGGTGGTCTGGTGGTGCGTCTCGGTCTCAACAGTCGCGGTGGTGGGTCTTCGTGATCGTCGCGGTCAGGGGGTTCAGGGGTTCGCATTGCGGCCCGTCCCGACATTTTTCGCAATGGATACAGCGCTTCCCACTTTGGTTACAGGGTCTTCTAGGTGCTCACAATTGATACAGTCCATAGAAAATCGAAATATTCTCTGAGCTGTATAATTCAAATCCGCACTCAGTTCGCCCGGTTCCGTGTCTTGATACTATACAGAGCCGCTCGAAATCAGCTTCCTCAATTTATTCTCACTAATTCTATCTTGAACTAAGAAGAAGCGAGCTACTCCGTATCAGGTTTAGGCTACTGTGACTTTTTGAAATGTTTCGTAATCACAAAGCGGAACGGGTCTGTAATTTACCAGAATCTGGAATGCCATCTTTACCGGAAGCGTAGGGCTTCGCAACTTCGAAAGCGAAAGTCAATCCGCGTCCGCCATGGCATCTGTTTCATCATTCGGCGATTAAAATCAGGTTTACAAGTCGCTGTTACATATTAAAAGTTGTCGCTCGCCCGAAAGCGCTTATCTTAATACCGTAATTATTATTGCAACTGCGCTGCCAAGAGAGAAAGAAAAGTCTACAGAATCCGTATTTACGAACGAGGTATGGGGGCAAGTGTCTCCAAATAGGGTTCGGAATATAAGATATGTTAGTAGAGTGGACCATCAGATTTCGATTCATCCTGTATGAATCAAACTCTAATATCTTCTCTGAGTAGAAATATCGTAGTTGAGGGTTTCGCTTTTTGGCTTTCTGCCAGGCTGCCTTCTTGGTCAACCAGCCTGAGAAAGAGCACGTTGAATGTTAGACGACGATGGTAATACGTTGAACTCGTCCCATAGGAACTTAGCCATCTCTTCGAGATAAAGGCCGGGTATCTTAGCGAGGTGGTCACAAAGGGTGTCCAGCATCACAGAAGTGACGATTGGCGCCAGGCCGGGAGGGATTTTGGGAGGATTGGGACTGCCGAACAATCGCATTTTCTTGCGTATGTTAGTGATAAAACGCTCCAGACATTTTGCCGGCTTGGCCATTTGAGACGTAGTCAGTCTTTTCTTGCTGTTTATCATGTGTACAATCATCTTACGCTGCCCAGGGTTCAGGTTGCGCGCCATCTTGAAATAATTTAGGGGGCGAATGGTTGCTGGAGTCTTGGGGAGGAACGTTGAGGGACGACGACACCCCCAGGGGTTGATATTTTTGGATCAGTGATAATACATAACATTACATCGCTCGTCAGTTTGAATTTTACCGTTCCGAACTGAAACATGACAAAATTACGGGAGTGACCGTATCTGGCAATGTAGATTATGTGATTAGGATTTGAAAGAGCATCTCTATGTTCGCAGCATGGAAGCCGATGTTGGGCGCTTCTGTACCAACTATTTAACCCTGAGCATCTGTGTCTGTTTAGCTTAACATCATACTTGCCAAACTTTATTGTTTTATCTATTGTTCAAAGTTTCTTTTGTTTACTTGGGACAATAACCGTTGTTCTAACAAAAGCTTCGAGGCTAAAACAACTTGAACATTGGGGGTGATTGATCCTTGTTTATCTGTTGACCTCAAATCCATTGTCCTCTTTCCAAACATAAAGCTTGTACTCTGTCTTGATGACAGTCATATCGAGGGATCTTCTATAAGAAGCCTCGGGTATTCCCAGTAACTAAGTTTTGATATCATCGCACAGCTTTAATAGCACATCCACCATTGTATTTATCATCACTTGCTTACTCTGCATACTCACTCATCATGACCGAGGCTCAGGTCGATCAGACTCAATATCAAATTTGGGTGGCGACTGGTAGAAAGCAGCTCTCTGTCGACCCTATTCATAGATTGATAATCATGAACCATCCAAGAGCGGAGAAGTGCGTTTGGTTTCATTGCGAGGGCTGGTCAGGGTATTGGATACCTCGAATTGAACCCGACATGCCGTTGCAGAACTACTGGGTCGAGAGTAAGATCTTTGTCGCCAATATCCCAGCATCAGCCGGGCCTACCATCGAGAAAGAGGCCAGAAAAATTCCAGACCAGAATTCTGGTCTTTGGGTTGCGTATCTGCTTCTCAGGCTTCAGGGGGAGGGATTGCTTCCCAAAGGGACGTATGAAAAATGGAGGGAGAAGCTTGAGGACCCCGAGATCGATGTGGATCTAGGACCTAATCGCGTTCTGTAGGGCCTTGGAGCCGAGGGAAAGTGGTACGCGCAGGATCGAGCATATGAGTCCGCAACTGGTTTTGAGTTTCACAAATACTAGTATCATGCATCTTTATTTCCCCCTTAAATTTTTATCAGCAAATTAGAAAGGTTCGGCGAGCTAGGAAGAACGTCGTATCCCATTTATTCTCCTCGTAATTCTCATTTTATCGGATCCTGGTCAGAAGAAAGTATTAGCTCTTTTTGAAAAATGACACCTCTTTTTTTAATATAAAGAGACTGAAGATTTTATTTTTTTTCTTCAAATACTTGTTGTAAGCGTAATCTATCTCCTCGCCCCAAAAGGTAACGTGCAAATTAAATGAACCGACACATTAAGGGCCGCAATCTTGAGTCCATTTATTGCGAGAAGTTGTTAATCAAACTTGTTAATATTCTAGTGACTTTCTGCTAGCAATGGTAGAATTCCCCTATTATGCCCAACTAAAATGGGATAAGACAAAGACAAAGAGCACAAGTTGAAGGTCCGCAAGATTTAAAGGGTACCACTAGCCCCTCGGACTTGAATGACCATTTGATCGGTTCCCTCCGTGGCCAAGGGAAGCCTGCCTTAAAACTCGATAGTGGCTAAAGCAGATCCACTTGCACCACGCTAAACATCTTTCTTGGCATTATCGGCGAGTCGGAACATGAAGAAAAAGAAGCTAGAGGAGCTAGAAATCCAGAATTTTCAGGGCCATACGACCCTGGAAATCAATATCTAACCAGACTTGGCGCTAGCGGCATTTGAAGATCTTCTGGTTTGTAGATTCAACCCTGCCAAGCCGGAGTGGGCGGCAGTTCGCCTTTTAGCGAGCGCAGTGGAGATTGCAGTTTTAGCCTCATTCGAACGGCCCCCAATCTTAGACTGCCCTACATGCGATGGAAGCGAAGAAGATATTGTTTTCTTTATAATAGAGCACTTCAGTCTGATTAGGATGGAAAAAATCCTTTCACTCCATTCTTTGCTCCTCCTTGAACTGCAACCATGACTGGAATGAACGCCTCCGTTGCCGCGGGTTGGTATACCTTCTCCAACCTCGGCCCCATCACAACAACATTCACCCCTGCCCCGAGCTGTACTGCATCTGGGCGTGCCATGATCGGCTACCTGGTTGAGCATGGAGAATATTTGGACCTCGTGTATAATGCAGAGCCCACCTCTAAAATCAAGTTCGATGGCTGTACGCCATCTCCTTCGCCAACAACCACCACCGCGCCGAAGAAACCTATTCACTTTACATCTGAAGAACAATATTCTGCCTTTGTGGCTCACCAAGTGGACTGGGTGAACACAGGTGTCTACTATTCCCCTGGCTTGCACTGCCCTTCAGACTGGGAGACGGTTGGCTTGGTAGCCCGCGACGCCAGCAGCTCGCTCAGCTCATCGGGCATCTATGTTCCTACCACCACTACCACAAGTACCGACACGAAGACAACGGATCATTACTATTATCCCAGTATCGAATATGAGTATCCTGCTTCCGTGCTGAAGGGCATCTTGGAGCCTAAGGAAACAATGGTGGCGTGCTGTCCTAGGTAAGACAGATATGTTCGAGAGAGGAACAGAACCCTGGTGAAACTTCCCGACTAACATCTCTCCAAGTGGTATGAGTGTCGATATGGGTGGCTATTGTTACTCTGCAATTGAAGGCTACAAAGTCACCGCTGGCTACCAGGTCGGCGTGGGAATGAACTACGGCTACGGATCGACTACGGACACCGTGACATTTACACGAGACAGTACAACAATCGTTGAGACCGAGTATATTCGGTATGAGACGGCGACTACGTACCACACAGATACATTGACACAAAGCTTTGACCGCGTCGACAGGTCTTTCTACAGCGCGTTCTCTTATGCGCCTGTGATCACCATGCTGCATCACGAGTCCGATTTGAGGTCTGCAACTGCGACTGCATCTGCTGCTGCCGCCGCCACCACTACCTCCAATGCTGCTGGTAGAATCTCTGCTCGTGCGTCGCTGTGGAATGGGCTTAGCTATATGGTTGGAATCTCGGCGGTTACTGCTGCGCTGGGGGCTGCTATGATCTTGCCCTGGTAAATGTGACAATTGTCGACTTGGGTGTCAGTAAATTAGACTGAATGACCAGATCTAAGATATGACTCCGCTTCCTACTTTCTAAGAGCTTGTTTCAGAAGATGAACAACAGAATATTGTACCTCAATAGGTAGAGGGCAAAATACGCGAAAGAAAAGTATCCAAAAATTTGAAAGAAGTTATAAAATTGGACTAGATTTTTCAGAAATCAGCTGGAATCAAGTATCGTCTAAGTCTAAACAATCGAACAGATGCAACGATTCTCGAGTATCACCAACCGAGAAATCCGCCGCCATTCTTAAGCTGAACCTTCCCATTCCCAGTCTTATCCTTACGAGATGATCTAACGAGCTGCCCACCAGAAATAGACATATCAACATAGGTAGTCTTCTTCGGGGGCGGAGGCTTCTGCTCAGCCTTCTTCTTCCCATGGTCAGCACTCTTGCCCTTCGACTTCTTTCTCTTTCCGGTACTAGCAAACCATTCCATCGTTGACATGGGCACTCCCGCAGTTAGCTTTTCAAACGTGCCTGTATAACCCTTGGGTTCCTCGGTGCGCTGGCTGCGGGAACTACTAGCTTCTCCGGATCCTACGGTTAAAGTTAGTTTCTTTTCAAGGCCATATATTTTTCTGGGGGTATCTTACCTCGAGCCTTGCGCAGCTCGCGAACGGCAACGGCATTCTTGCGTTTCATGGCGCTGGAAAAGGTTTCGTTCTCGAAGTTAGGACGGGGACTCGACATGCGGACCTATTGGATCTCTGCTCAGATGCTCTGGATCCTCTGACGAATCCCAAAAAATGACGATGATGATTATAAAGACTGTTTGGCATGATACGACGCTCTGCTATATAGATATTGTATGTACAAAGAGAATCGTAAATAGTATCTAGCAACCTTGGATCCCAACCTCCTTGTTTTCGGGCGGCTTTCATCATCTCGGTTTTCTAATATGTGTTCCAAGATTCTTCCTAGTCGAGATATTAACAAGGAAAGGCAACTCAATGGAAACAAAGAAGACTGGATCTCTCGCCTGCGGTATTGATGGGGGCATCGTTAGACAAAGCCATTATATAATTCCACCTCTCTGAATAGATCACCGTAAGCTAATTAAAAAAGAAAAAAAGAAAGCGCAGACGATATTTGCCCTAGTATTGAGATTAAATTTAATCTACAACCTACCATGTATTTCCCTCTCTTTACCCAGCGCAGATAGAGTCAAAGTACTTCTCATAACCTTCTTTCAACGGTCGACTTGATTGGTAATTCAATTTCGGAAATAATCAACAAAGGCTCATGGTTAAAAAATCGGCAATTGGGAAAGAAAGTTATCCTCCATTATGCAATCCCGAGCCTCTTCTCTTCCTCCAGCCACTTCTTCTCTTCGAGTAGATGATTCAGTCCTCGCGAGGGAGCGGTATTTGAAATTCACTTGAGACCTCGTTTGTGGCAGCCATCACCGATCGGTCTTTATAGCAGTAAATATTCAAATAACTATTTCTTCCTAAGCCTTAAATTTCATGAATACCCACTTCCCTTTATCCCACCCCCAAATGCCCAAACTTTCCATGGATCTCTCTCCCCTTTCCAGTTCGCGTGGAGTCGAGCGAGCGACAATTCTGTTAGAATCACATATCAATTGCGCATGAGACCGGCCATTTCTCAAATTGGCTTCAGAAGACCCGCAACGAGCGGTACCATCAGAAATTCCGACACTGGAGTCATCTCCTGAGCCAGGATTTTGTATAGGCGGCTCGCAGCTATTGGATGACGATGACGACGACAACGATGGTGATGATGGTAATGAAGAGGATTCATCTTCAGATAGTTCATCGGGTGTTGGAGGTGGCGACGATGTAACCGATTCTGTCTCGGGGGATTGAGATCTGGCTCCTTGAATAGGATTTGGCTGGGGACCATCCGGAGAGTCTCCGGAGTCTGGCTTATGTTTAGATCCATTCCCATCAAGTCGTTCCGATGACTCGGGGTTATGTTCAACTCACCATTTCCATCCACGACAGCGGCTCCAGCATAGCAGGTGCATTTTTGGCGTATCTCCGGGCCCTCCGTATCATTTCCTTTGATTTTATTCCGGCTAGAAATTGTGCTTCTTTGGAAACCACGGACCAAACTATTGGCCGGATTGTGCACGGGACACGCCATCATGGAAGAAGGCTACATATGTCCACAAAATGACCGCAATGAAACAATGAGAAGGGGAAGAAGAAAGAAAAGAAAAAAGCAAACGACAAGAAAATAGCGCGGGGCAGCACAAGAATAAACCCGGGCTCAGAAGGGGGACTACCTACGCATAGGCACAAGTGGCTCCAATCGAGATACCCCAACGGCGACAGTGTTTGCAATGAATTGTATGGAACACGAATCCAATCCTTGTAAAAGAGCCATGTGATGTGGAAGCAATAACTCAAAGCAGTCAAGCGGTTCGTTGCGTGCAGTGCGGCGTAGAATTGTCGTTTATCGTTGGAGGATGAGGAAAAGCCATGGGGCAAAGTGCTGCAGTGTAGATCAGGCGACCAATTAGGAAATAGCATCGAAGCCCAGAAGGCCATGGGACTGGGTATCCTCCTCTGATGAACGAGAGTTCGTGCATTCCAGCTTGGCGCTTGACTTAAGAGGGTAGTCGATCTAGTATTCCACGGGTGATGTAGTACATTGAAGACTTCCATTAATATGGATACTCGAGACTCGCAATGACAATATGCATACAGGCGGACGGTCCATTGAACAATGAAGATAAAAAAAGAAGGAAAGGAAAGAAAAGGAAGCCCCCAATTTGATCCAATGATGTGCTCGTCATGCCCCCCCTTCGCATCAATATGACCAACCCCACCAAGCATCCCCTCATCCCGAACTAACGGGCGGAATAATAGCAATCTCATCACCATCTTCAATAACAACACCCCCGTCACCCCCTAGGGCTGAATCCCCACCCTCATTCTGATCAACATAGCCTCCATTCAGACTCACCGCGCACGAAGTCAGCACCTTCTCCCGGATTCCGGGATACCTCCTCTCCAGCTCCGGGAAGAGGTCTGTCAGGCGGAGTGGGGCGGGGAGGAGCTCTGTGTTCTTGGAGGTGAATGTGCTTGCGGCGGCGAAGTAGTGGATTGTGAAGAGAGATTTTGATGTGGAGGCTGTCATTGTGGTCACCCTGAGAGGAAGTATTTCAGGTGTGTGTTGTTGGATGGGAGTGGAATAATGACTTTCGAAGGAAGGTTGGAGAGGGGTAGTTATCTTATCAGTTAGTTACTTTATGGGATTCTAGTTAAGATACGCTAGTTTACTTTATGTTTAAGCATGGACTTTCCTAATCAATCAATATCTCGGGCGCTCCCGATTTGATCATATTATACAAAGCTATATCAACTATATCAATATCCAACATTATGGACAAACAGCCAATAAAATGTAGAATAAATAATATATGGTAGGAATATAGTAAGAATATATGGTATCACCATCACCATCTCCATCACATCACTCCTCTGGCATCACCGCCAACTCAGCAAAAGCCCCCTCCAAATCCGCCCTCAAATCCTCCCAATTCTCCAAACCAACACTAATCCTCAACAACCTCCGATCAACCATCCGATCACTCAACGTCCTCCACTCAATCAACGACTCAACTCCACCCAGAGAAGTAGCATGCTGAAAGAAATGCAACTTCCCCGGCAAAAACCTCGCCAACCTCTCCGTCCTCATCGTAATTGCAAAAACAGGCCCAAACCCATTAGGCATCTGCCTCCGCAACCACTCCCCCCATCCGGCTGAATACTAGCATGAAACACCTCCTCCAGCACAGCCTGCACGTTCGCCTCAACAGACCCAGCCACAGGCCCCTCAGCCCGCAACGCACTATCCAACCACTCCACCAACCTCGCCGCATTCCCGGACTGCCTCTGAACCCTAACCTCCAACGTCCGTAAACTCCGCACCCCAAGCCAAGCCTCCATATTCCCCATAACCGAGCCCAAAAACACCCGATCTTCAAAAAGCTGCCTATACCACCCCCGGCCCACATCATCATCCCGACAAACAAGAACCCCACTCAACAAATCACTATGACCACCGAAATACTTAGTCCCCAAATGAAGCACAACATCCGCCCCAAACGCAAACGGCTCCTGTAACCCGGGCGGCGCAAACGTCCCATCAACAACCAACACCGCCCCACGCGCATGCGCCTTCCCCGCAAAGTACTCAATATCAAACGCCGTTCCTTTCGGATTAACAGGCGTTTCGAGAAGAATGACGTCTCCGGGCCCGAGGTCTTCGGGCGCACAGCTCTAGGGGGGGAGTTTCTTGAGGCCTGTGTTTCGGGTAAAGAGGGCTATTACGCCGTGGCAGCCGTGGTAGCCTTCGCCTATGGAGATGGAGCGCGGGTTTAGGAGGGTTAGGAGGGCGTGTAGGGCGGAGAGGCCGGAGCTGTAGGATAGGGCGTGGCCGTGGAGGAGGGAGGAGAGGATTGTTTCGTAGCGGGTTGGGGTTGGGGCGGACATTCGGGAGTAGATGTGGGATGTAGGGGACTGGTGGGGGGAGGATTGTTATTAGATTTATGATATTTTTTGCAGGTAGGCTGGACTATATTCATACAGTTGTGGCAGCGGCGTCGGCGTCGGCGTCGGCGTCGGCTGCGGGGACTAGGAGGTTTGGATCGGAGGGGTAGCGGAATGTTGTGGCCACATGGAGTGGGGGAGCGACGTCGGAGACGATATTTAGTACGTCGTCAGCGTGTAGAGAACGCGTGGAAGTGCCGGGATGCGCCATTGTTATGCTATGTTCTTGGAATTGTATGCACAGGAAGAGGTGGCAGAAGTGCGGGAGAAGAAATGTTTATGATACAATTCGGAGGGGTGGTCACGTGGTGCGGGGAAGCCCAAAGGGGGAAACCATTGATATAAATGTAATGTAATGTAGTGGTGTGATTGAGGGTATGATGGTGATGATGATGGACATAATGGACAGGATAGAGGTAAGGTATAGCATGGTCTGCTCTGATCTGAGACTATCGCCGCAGAGAACCCATCCGAGATGGTTCACGCACAGAGCCTGGCAAGACCACCTTGAAGTTGGTGCGCTCTGTAAAAAAGAATTAGCTTAGTGCACTCCTTAGCAGGGGGAAACCACTCACCAGCCTCCGAATCGAACGTAATAGCAATATCATCGTGTTCAATCGGATATTCAGGCATGTCAAGACACACAAAAGCCGAGCTCGGATCATCATCCTTCTTCGGAAGAGCAAACTTCGCATCGACAATACGAATACCGAATTTGCCGGACCGGCCAAAGGACTCGATGTGGTCAGTGCCCTTGAGAACAAAGTTCATGCATGAACCGTGGTGGAAGTCTTGGAAGAAAGCAAGTAACTGCACGACCTTCTCTTGCTTCACGATTTGGACACGCGCCAAGCTGGCCTCCCATTTCTTGTAGATCGGGACCATACTGCGACGCCGGGAGATGGTAAAGGAGGATGCGATGCTGGTTCAATTGGTTAGTAAACACCTTTATGAAAATTCCAGACACACAGCCCAGCACAGCAACACCCGGAAATCGAATCTCGACTCACCCATCGTAAACCACCGAAAATCCGGTGACGGCTGCCTCAAACGCGTGAAGAGCTAAGAACGGTCAGCATAATCCATTCCAACACAACCCATGTGAGCATCAACACCTACCCTGGATATTCGCAAAGTCCAACCGACGAACCATCGGCTTCGCAGTCATCTTCTGAATGAATTCCGCGATCTGATCCGGCATCTCAGGACGAACAAGATTATCCGCCAGCGAAACCGTGAGATCCTGCTGTGCCGGTCGATACAAGCTCATGCCAGTCCGATTCTTGACATCCAGCCCAAGTTTCAATTCCCCAGGTCCTACGCGAGTCAGCAATCAAAGCAAAAAAAAAATACAAAAAAAAAACGTAACGTTGCGAGCAAATTCAAACTCACCCAGATTAAATCGATCCGTAACGGACCCCCACTCCGTAGCAATAAACGCCCTCAAATTTTCAGACAAAATCGTCGGACCATATCCGTGGTCCACATAAGAATGCTCCTGATCAATGACCAACACATTACCAGCAGGGAATTGTAAATGATTAATGGCTTCCTGGCCACTCCCCGCCTCACCAGGTTGCTCGATGCTATAAGCGCGAAGAGGGTACTCGGGAGTCTTGCTCTCGCCCTCCCGAGGAGACATGCCCAGCAGCACCGAATGCATTCGCGTGCGCTCCTCCGACTCATGAAAGGTCATCAACATAGATCGAGTGCGTCCGTCCTCCGTAACCTTAAGCAGAAGCGCCGCAGCACCATCTTCGCCTCTCAACAGCCCGAACACAACCGGCGCCCCCTGGGCCAGAACGTGACGGATACTGCTGAGAGTCTTAACCTTGGGACTTGTCAAGACGGCAAGTCTGAACCCGCGATGCGCGTTCCGCGTCCCAGTACCCTCAGTCACCTTGACGTGACGCTCGAATAAACGAATGCGGCAACGCTCCAATGGCTCGGGTGGGAATGCCTTTTGCGCGCCCGGGTCCATATATTGGAATACCTTGAGGGTGTTTTCGAATACCACGGTCTCACCGGGTTCCGGCGAAAGACTACCCTCCGACTTTTGCGTGTATTTGACAATGTTCCAAAGGGTTTTGAAATCCTCCTCCTTGAACATGACGTCCAGTTCGAATCCACGGGGCAGCTTCACTCGCATTGAGTGTGTTCGGACTTGCCATTCGACATCGTCCCAGGTAGGTCCCTGCTTGCGGTCGGACTGGATCATAATGTTGACAAGCTGGCTCTGACTGGTAATCGCAGCAAAGACGTACCAGTCCGAGCGCTCTCGAATGATGGTCAGTGCGCACGGCATGGCGTATTGTTCGCCATCGTCCTCGTTAGAGCTGACACATGCCTGTACAAACAGGCTGCCGTAACTGAAGTACCTCGGGGTGTCGCCGAGGGGCATCATTTGAAACAAACTCGCAGCCTTGCCGGGCTTATCGGCTAACATTGATCGCGTCGCATTTCCCGATAGCACTGCGGATACATCCGGGGCAAAGAATGGATATCGGAGCCAGACGCTGGTATCCAGGTGACTGGGAGATTGCTCATCGGCGAGGATGACTGTGAGAATATTGTTACGCTTGATCGACATGGAAAGAGAGCGCAGGTGGTTCAGGGTAGTCTGGTGCAGGGTGAGGGCTTCGAAGAGTTCTTTATTAGCGGTGGTGCTAGCCACGGCGAGAAGAGCATCCACGCTCATCTCACCGTATTGAGCTAGTTCGTAATGCGTGGGGACGATGTTCTCATTGATCCAAAGCGATTTTCCGAGATCGATGACGGCTTGTTTGGCGTAGCTAGGAGGTGCCGTTGCACGCGATCGGGCAAAGGATTCCAACCGAGTCTTTCCACGCAAGAACCACCATACTGCCGCGCGGATCCATTCCATTAGCGAGGTTTCCATTAAAGGCTTCACGCTCTCCGCCGCCATCGTCAGAAGGCTATCATATCGGGCAATGTAATCCTTGAACTCGGTAAACGAGGTGTCGCCCACCTGGTTGGCAACATTTCGTAGAGAGAACTTCGGTGGTTGTGGGCTCCGTGATGGCTCGCGACTTTGCTGAGGGGAGACCAGCTGGTTCGCCGAAGGAATCTCGTGTGAGGGAGGCTTGGGAGGAGATGAGGCTTTGTTGGGGCTTCCTGGAGTGAGACCGGGTGGGGGCCCTCGAGGGTCGACGGGACTGAGGTTGGCTGGGGGGCGATGGACGGCCGGGCTGGAGGGGTATCGAATGGATTGGACGATCGATTTGAGGGAAGGTGCTTGATTCGAGCTGCTCGACATTGGGGGTGTATCGTAATTCGCTGGTGACGCGGCATGCGGACTAAATGCCGCAGGTAGCATCTCGGGGGGGTGATTCAGGGCTAGGCAGATCATCCTGGTCGTCATCCGCCGGGGATGCGACATCATCTGTATAGTGTTTGTGTAAGGCCCGACCTTCCTCGGCTTGCATCTGATTCCGTACGCGCTCGGCAAACGAATGCGAGTCTGGCGACCCACGAAAGGAGAGTCGCGAACCGGGCTTGTCGCTAATGCCCAGGGTGTTCAAGAAATCATTTTCCTGCACATTCTGTGTGGGGGGAGGTCGTGAATTAGGACTGGTGGCACTGCCATGAGGGGAACCTCCGCCCCGTCGACGCTCTTCACCTTCGCCCAGCGTGGTGTTGACTCGGAGTGTCGGGAGTGGGGAGCGTGAAGGGGCCCGCCGCGGGGGGGTTCGCCGCTTGTCGCTCCAGAGCTCGCTTGCGATTATAAGAGATCTCGATGGTGGGGGATTCGGACTCATCACCTCCCTCTCCCATTATCTCGGGGGCGCGATCCGAGAAACCGACGCGGAGGCCCTTGTTTTTGCGACGCCTCATGGTGGGTTTCCGAGCTGGTTCGGCGGGTAGGGGGCGTGGTTGAGGAGGGGCATCCTGGAGATGAGGAGGGGCCCCCTGGTCGAAATTGAAGGCGGAATAGTTCTCTTCGGAGATGGGAGGGATTGAAGGAGGAGGGGCATGTTCACGATGGTGAATGGGGAGGGAGACTTGAGGGGCGCTGGGATAGTCTTCGGGGATGTCGGCCTTGGGCGCAAGGCCATCAGGGACGGGTCGTGAGGTCGCGAGGAAGTCCTCGATCTGTTTGTCCGGGGTAGAACGATTCTTATCCTTTGAGAACAATTTATCCCTCCAGTGAGGTTTCTTTGCAGGGGCAGGCTTGGGCTGCTCAGCAGCCAGAAAGGCGAATGGGTCATCGGCAGGCATGTCGGGGAAGATGGCACATCGCAGAGCTGAAGGGAAACAAGGAACCAGTCCTTGGGGGGGGGGGGAAAGTCGAAAGGGACAGTGGGGGTGTCAGTGTCAGTGTCAGTCACAATGACTAGGTAGCCGAGTGACAGAGAAGTGGTAACTTGAAAGACGAAGATCGTCAGGGGTGCCCAAGTGGTGGTAGATTGGGGCAGTGCGAAGGCGGGGAGAAGGTGAAGGGATGAAAATGAAAGTATGAAAGGCGGGAGGGGCGTGAGGAGCGTGAGGAGCCCGTGCAGTCGATCAGGAAGAAACCCTGAGTACTCCTTAGCCCTGGGTTTGCTTGTTGGTCCCTTTTCGTCCTGGTGGAGATGAGATCGGCGGGGAGCAGGGAATGTAGTACTCTGTACGGAGTAGAGAGGACTTGGAACTTGAACTGTGGTTAGTTAAGAACTGGAAGTGGGCTGCAGGAGAGGAGAGAGGAGAGTACCTACCAGTATTCTAGATGAAGCTGTAGGTAACGGAGCTTAAAGCAGTAGGGAGGGTAAGGTAGTAGGAAGGAAGCTGGTGATCCTGATAGTCCTGATAATGATTAGCCTGATACGGAGTACGGAGTACGGAGTATCTTAAGTTACTAGTACTATAGATGTACACACAACCAGCTATATACAAGACTTCTAGTTCTAGTTCTAGCTTTGGTGATACTATACTATATACTATTATACTTATACTATCCTTATACTACCTAGGTATAGTTACTAGTACTTACATACCCTACACGCTTCACCCACTTCTCCGGACTCAAGTGGACCGTCTCATCATGAAACTGCCTAATCCACATTAAGCGATCTCACTGGGGCGGTGGGTCCGCTGACGAGGCACGGTTGATATTCTGAATACTATCAGAGTATAGTATACGATCCTATACTATAGAGTACCAGTACTCTATATTATCTATATCAGTATATTCTGTTATAGTAGTATATCTAAATCCTAGGATATCTTAGGGTATCTCAGTCACTACTACTACTAGTAGTACTACTAGTAAACATCACGGCTTCCCCCTTTGGTCCTCCCGCCAAATATGCGGACCCGGCGCCACACCTTTTGGCGCCCATTGGTGGCCTTTGCAGCTTGGTGCCATTGGCTGCACCCTGCGTCTATTCTGGGCACCTGAGACCACCCTAAAGTAAGAACGAGGAACCGTTCTCTACCACTCCTTGCAGGTTTAATTATAGCCGGCACAGCGTGTAGGTACTATGCACTAAGTACAAGCGAGTACCCGTAGCGGTCGCAAGTGATATACTAAGTGGAGTGCTGACGAGCTACTACTAGCCAGCATTTTGACGACTACGGAGAACGCCGTACTACTACTGTACTAGTTAATCTAGTTTCAAATTACCTTATTCTTATAAAAAAAAATAGTAGTTTGGGGTGCAGCCCTATACTAGTACTTCGTGGGGGTACTACCTAGGTAGTAGTACTAGTAACTAGTAACTAGTACTCCGAGTCAGTGACCCTGTTGCCAGGTGGTGGTCAGTGCTCAGACATTCCAGAAATAACCGGTGAAATATATCCTGACAAACTTCAGCCCTGGAGTATCCAGAAATGTAGTGTTGTCACGCGACATAACTTTTATCAAATTGCCCCCTTTGAATATGATCACTGACCTCAACCTCGTATAATGCCCTGTGTGTTGTCCACAATAGCGCCATGTTTCAACTTGAAGGTTTCTCATAATCTTCTACTGATATTTCAATGTTTCACCTCATTCAACATGTCTCCAGCCCGGTGCCATAAGACTTGATATGAAGGTCGTTAATTTTTCACTTGATTACTACAGTAGTATCCCATACCTACTAGGTATTAAGTACTAAAACTCACAGTCTACTGACACCTTAATACCTGTATATCTAGATATAGTGACTCTCACCTTCACGTCACCCTCATCATTGCAAAATCCACCAAAAGGCATTAAAAAGACCTAAAAAACACCCAAAGAAGAGAAACAAAGAAGAACAATTATTGCTATTCCAAAACTAACATGAAGAAAAGTCCATGCGCGGGAGACGCAAAAGAAGAAGGAAAAAAACACCCGGGCCTGGAGTCGAACGTGGATCACTGTCGCAACACTCGAAGTCTGGGAAGGGCATTACCGTTTATGCTAATCCGGGTAGATTTGAAAGGATGGGCCAATTTACTTTCATCACCAAGCAAATGGCCAAATTGGGCGATATTAATAAATCCCATGCTATCGGAAGGCGTTCCTCCACCGGTTGCAAATACGTGACTGGTGGTGTCTGTCACCGATGAAAAGACGTTGTATGCGAGCAGGTTTAGTGTTTCTGGAGCGGTTGATGGTAGGAATATATCGTGGCAAGGGAGACAGATGCCGCGATGGATGATGGAGGAACGATATTCACACACGTATGACGAGAGAGTTCCGAAGGAAAGTATGTTTGGAAACCCGAGCAAGGACGGATAAGGCAGGTGCGGGACGTAAATCAACAGTCTGCCGATCAGTAATACAGTAAAGAGATATCCACCATGGTAATGGCACAGAACTGTCAGGGTTAATATGAGAAGCAATGGGAAAGGGAGTGGACTGTAGAATGAAGGAAAACACTAATGTGGATGCTGAGCTGCTTGCGCCGTTGATCTCTTGCCCACATGTGGCTCTGCTGGACTGCCATTGAGAGATAATGGGCGCAGGCGCCGTGAAGGTGATATAAATATGAGCCCTGCAGATCTCCGTTCCAACTTGTCAACTCGAACGGGGATACTGTAGAAGAACTAGTAGTAGAGGGACTATTTTGGATGAAAATGAGGTTAGAATGGATGCTAATGTGGCGACCGGCTATGTGCATGGGCCATATTTCCGGCAATATTTCCGGCTGAGCACCCGGGGAGATTAGGGACTGAAGACCCCATCGGTGAGGGATTCAGATGGACTGTGTGGATTCTTGGCTGGGGCATTGTGCAGATAATGGGCCTCCCATATGCAAGCTGGCTGACCGCATGATTGGGGATGGAAATGCAGGGTCCTACGTCGGTATCGGACCCGGTAACCATCAAGATCCGAATCCGAATCGGCAGACCCAGTGTACAAGCATCCTCGTATAGCAGCTGAGTGGCTGGCTGCATTGACGCGAGGCTCACCAGTTCAGGCATCCAATTCGGATATGCAGATGCGCCACACCGACAGCTGTGCATGAGAACTCGGAATTGAGAATTAGGGCGAAGGGTCATCCACATCCACATCATATCGATTGGCAACAAGTGTTGAGTGGTCTGATCCACCTGGCTGAAAAGGGTCAGCCACAATTCCACAGCCACTGAGACATGGTGCCAGGTTAAGCTTGCTTGAACTCGTGGGTAGGCGGCATTGGATGGGCGGAGACAGTTCTCGGAAGTAGCAAGCAGCAAGCAGGAGATCCAGTGAGATGATTAGGCCGGACATAGGAGCCGAGCTATACGGGATCGAGTGGACGATCGTGCAGTGGAAGTCCTGATCGACACGGGGTCATGACGGAAAGCGAATTGAAAGAGGATATGAGGGCAAGATTGCCTTTTAAGGCGGATCAGCGAGTGAAGTGAGACAAGTAGTGGGTAGGATGGAGTGAAACATGGGAGAGGTGAAGTGGAAGAGGTGGAAGAAGTGGAAATAGTTTACTCCGTAGGGGAGTAGCGTAGTAGATGTTAGGTTAGTCAAGGTTAGTCATGGAGTGGTCGTGGAGTTAAGGAAAGAGCGATCAGAGTGGAAGTGGAAGTGGAAGGTGCGAGTGGAAGTGCGAGTGTTGGTTAGGTGGTGAAGGAAGGTGCGCATCCATCGCACCTGCCCTGCAGTCCCCGGCTTGGCTTTCTCGGCCAGACCCAACAAGGCGCAGCAGAGCAACAACATCGTTCATTCTCTTACTTTCTCACTTTTCTTCCTCTACTGCTACCACTACCACCACCACCACTTCCACCGCTTCTATTATCATCCACTAGGGCTTCCCTAGTTTCTGTTCCCCCCCGGATCCTTCCGTTTCAGCCTGATCTGAACTGAGCCTGCAGACTTACGTACTCTGCGTTCGCGTTCCACTCCCTCCTCCCCTCCCTCCATCTCCAGTCAAACAACCCTGGTTCCTCGTCTTGTTCCACCTACCCCCTCCCTCCTCTCGGAACCGTGTTATTCGAGCTTTCAGATCCCTTTGCTGGGTGTGCGCAAGCCCACTCGCCAGCCCGCGACCCTTCCCGATTGTCAACACAACGTGGATTCGATCTCCAACCCCGGGGGTTGACCCCCCCCTTAGGAGGTCATCCCGGATGCCCGATCCAGAGATGTGTCGCGACTTAACGCGCCTGGGCCGACTGCCCAAGGGGACTGCGGATATCAAGAGAACCACCATCTCACCCCGTGGGATTCTGCGACATCCTCTCAATCGACAACGGCCGCGACGAAGGCGCCTATCGCTGGAGCCTGGGCCAATCACCAAAACACAAACGGCCCATGCTCGCTCATTTTGGTGGATCACCCTGCTGTGTCTATTCGTCTTTATATCACCCACCACCGCAGCCCTCATCGACTTCAATAATTGCCTGCCCACATCCATCTTGAAATCGGACCCCTTGCAGCTCCAATTCATACCCCTCGACGTCTCCGCCACATACAATCTCTCCGATCCCCTCCACCCGCTCAATGTCACAATTTACGGCAATGTCTCTGGAACGACCGATGGTTCGACCTATAGTTATTCCCCTAGTGACCCCCGGTGGACAAATTCCTCGTCGACATACGGCAAGATTTGGGATCTGGGGACAACGACCAACAAGTACACTACCTTGTTGACGGACTTTGACGTCCTGAGTTATGTGCCCTGGCATAATGGAACCCCATTTTGCTCGACCGTGAACCAAGGGGAATGCCCGCTGGGGCCGGTCTTCAATGCCAACAGGTAAGCATATGTTGCTGCTTCTATTTATTTTGTGATGATTTGTTCTGACCCAACTCTTCTACCCAGGAGCGACTTGCGAACGCTGAGGTCCTTCTCTGTTCAGCATGATATGGCTTCTACCTATCGATTCTCGACCATCACTCCCAAGTTCACCATCCTCCTTGGCGATGCCGCCGTTTCCGAGCTCGCCTGCATCACAGTGCCGATCACCCCGGATTTCGGCACGCCGCTCAAAAATGCCCTTGGATACGTCCCCTTGGTGATTCTGATCATGGTGGGAGTGGCGACTCTGCTAGCGTCCATGTACACACCCTGGGGTACGACCGATATCTTTCGGTGGACGAGTAATTATGGTCGCGATGAAGATATCCTCCGGCTAGTCACCCCCGGCTTCGCGGACTGCCTGCAGTATCTGCAGTACGTCGTATTGACCGGGGCGCTCTCCCTAGACTACCCTGGATTCTTCCAACCGGCTGTGAGCCACGGTTCGTGGTCAACCCTCATGTTCAACCAGAGCTTTGTCAACGGAGGCGGCAACAACCCCGTCCAAGATGGTATCTATGCGATCAACGCCACATACGGACTCGATCGGATGAACCAATTGGTTGGAATGGGCAGCACTCAAGATATGTGGCCTGGCATGATGATCTGGCTCCTCGTGATCCTGGGCTGTATCACGCTGCTGATTCAGTTGGGGTTTGCTTTGCGCTGGCTGCATCGTGAACTCGCCCACACCACCGAGCAGGACCTGCGCGCCAAAAATATGCCGTTCACCATCGGCAACATCATCCGCATTGTTTTTAACTATTTTCTCCTTCCTATCATCTCCCTCTCTTTCTTCCAGCTCGTCACTGCGAGTGGCTCCCCTGTATATAGCGTTGCCCTGGCGGCACTCGTGATCGTCATTCTTCTCTGCTTCTCCATATGGATGGTTCGAGTCATTGTTTCCACGCGCCCAAAGTCCCACCTTTTTGACGACCTTCCTACTGTTCTTCTATATGGTCCGCTATATAACACCTACTGCGACGATGCCGCTGCGTTCGCCATGGTCCCGATCTTCCTCAATTTCGCCCGTGGTGTTGCCATTGGAGCCCTGCAGCCGTCGGGAATTGCCCAGGTCGTCTTGTTGGCCATCTGCGAAGTGGTCTCCGTGCTGACGATCATCGCATTCCGACCATACCCTTCTCCGACACACATGAACCTTTATCAATGCGTCTTCTCTCTCGTTCGGTTCCTCACAATCATCCTCAGTGTGGTTTTTGTGCCTTCTCTGACGATTTCCTCCGCCGCACGAGGCTGGATCGGCTACGTGATTCTCGTGTTCCATGCTTTGGTTCTGATATTTGGGTTCTTCCTCAATGCCCTACAGGCCTTGATCGAGGTCTTGGCAAGAATGGCCGGTGCTGGTGGTTCCACCCGTGGAGGTCTATCTAAAGTCTTTGGCATGCGTCAGCTTTCAAGGCGTGAGGCTCGTCAAGGTCTCTCGCGCCAGAGTATGGGCTCGGAGGCTGCCATGCTGGCTAACGTCGATGGACGGATGTCTTCTCAGTGGGAAGGATCTCGGCCTCGCAGTCTGTCCGGAAGCTCGGCCTTGCTGTTGAACCGTGCCACCGCCAGTGAAGGACGTGCTAGTGGCATCCTTGAGTATGCAAGCTCGCAAGGTGGTGGCTCACATAGCCGTGCCCCCAGCGCCGGTATCTATGCTAACTCCCCGACTGCCTACACTGGAGCCGGTGGCATTTCACCAAGCAGCAGTACCTTCATGGGTGCCTCTCCGCGCGATCCCTATTACAGACCTCCTAGGCCTGGTGCGGCACGAAGGTCTACCCAGCCTGAACCTGGCGATCGGTCGAAGAGGAACTCTCGCAGATTCTTAAGCTTAAAGCACAGCCGTGCGGGTGACGCTGACGATGAGATTGGAGAGGGCGTCCCCATGTCTGGTCGGGGTACACCGGTGCCTGCATATCTTCCTGCACCCAAAGATGACCTGGAGGTTGAAGATTCTCAACAACCAAAAGACTACGCAGTCCGTGAAGTTGACTTCTACTATCGAGTCCGTGGTCCGCCTCTCTCGCACATGGGCACTCGGAAGTTGAAGACAGGTCCTGCCGACCCCACTGGGCCAGTGTCCTCCGCCACGGGATTCTTCCGTGGTTTATTCCAGGGAAAAACTAAAGACAAGGGCAAGGGCTTTGAGGTCGTGCGAAGCGCCCGCGCCCCTCCACCTGGTCTATTCCCTGCCGAGCGCTACAACGAAGCGCCATACCAAGACGACCCCGAGGACCAAGTGGCCAGTGAAACCCCTGGCGGACACTCTCGCAACGTATCTGCGGGTGACGAGACGCCATATCGGGATTCTGAAGGAGACAACACACCAAAGCGAAGCGATGCGCGCGCCCCAATTCTCCCTCAAGTCAATTCCGTCGGCAGTATAGAGCTTCCTAGCCGAGTGGGCTCTCGTCGCACCCAAGCAGCTCCCTCAGAGCGTGGTGACGGCGCCACTACGCCAGATCTCCCTACAGTCGCAGAAGCCGCCTCGCCAACTCGAAGCACCCCAGACCCCAGCCATCTTCAGGCGGAATCTCCTGGGACCGCACGTCTGCCTTTCAGCGGAAGCAGCTCGACATCCCGAGAACGCGGCGACTCCCTTGCATCAACCTCCAAATCCAATGCATCGAGCCACCGAACTGGCCGCGAGGGATCCCGACGAGACCGACCATCTAGCATGGGCTATGTCGCACAATACCGCACGAGGGACAACATACACGAAACCAGTCCCGAAGAAACTTCTTTCACTGGGAGTCAAGCAGAACTAGTGATTGAACAGCTGCACCGTGAAAACACCCATACCTCATAACCAAATGTACATCCATCAACTTCTTCCTTCCGCTTTATCCCCCTCACGCACACTCTAGATGGAGTCCTGAATCACCATCCATCTAAACAAAAACTCCTTCCTTGTACGCTACCTCTTGGACCCGAAGCATAACGAATTTCCTTCCTCTCGATGCTCATCTGGCGATCCTCAAAAGATCCTCAAAACCGTCGCGGGCGTCTTGCTTTACTTTGATTGCTTTAGCTCTTTGCTCTCTCTACCTGTGGCTTGGCTTAGCTTAGCTTGGCTTGGTCAGGATTTTTTGGCTTCCAATGCTTGCGACTCGCTTGCATCCCAACCGACTTCCAAGGTTTAATTCAATTCCCTCTTGTGCGAAAAAACAATGCACTGGACATTAATTCTCCCCCACCTCCAGTTTTTCTCTTTCCTCTCAAGTCTTCTTTTACTAGCATAGCCTGTGTTTTACCCGGATTGAGATTTGGTTTGGTTTCATTGCTCTTGGGCTACTACAATTTCTTGCTTTGTACCACCTTCAATATATGAGTTGGAATATTATTTTGCTGCTCCAAGTTTACTCAGGTATAGAACTGGAACTCGTATTGGTTTCGTATGGAGTCTTCTGAGTAATACCCAACGACAACCAACTACTATCCAGTGACCTCGAAACCCTGGAACTGTTCTGCACGATACTTGCTCTTTACAGGGAGGGCACAGGCATCACCGTGACTGTAGAAGTGCCAATCCATGGACAACTATATGTGGGAGTCCCCAATACTTGACCACCCCGTCAACACCGACTAGAAACCTGAAACATGGTATACTAATACATAATTTCTGCTCCCTGGCCTCTATCGGCTACTATAGTCGTCATGTCGGAACAAAAACTCAAGGAAATAAAACGTCACAATCCGCGCCCTACGCAGTGGAGATACGAGAACGAGTGGATTTAACTAAACTTGGCAGCACGAACGAGCCAATGAAACTCGGTCTTCGGATCAGATTAGTGAGTAGCCAAGGCAAGCCTTTCCATTTCACAAAATTCTGGACCCTCGAAAATTTATCACCATTCGGAAAAGACCCTATTAAGGGTCCAGACGCCTGTATTTGACCGAGCCGGTGGATAAACGAATAAGTAACAGTGCTGATAAATCGCAATGGGTCCCAATGGGGGTATTGTCCGTGGGATATTCCCAAAAGCTGCAGAAAGCCAAGGTGCCAAGCGCCGTACTAGTAGGGAGAATTGTCGGGTTGAAGGAGTTGGATAATTTTAGTAAGACTGCCTGTAATCAAAAGCAAGCAATGAATGCCCTGAGCGCCTCTCCGAAGCAATTCGATAATCCTCATCTCATCAGATCCGATCTAATCTGATAATGCGACCAATTGCCACTGCTCGTGCGGGAGTCTCATCACGACCACGACATACTGGAGATCATCAAATAAATACGAAAGCCTAAAGAATCGGACCAAACTCCATTCGCCATACTTCGGTCCACCGGCCCACTCCCATTGAGGCTATGCAGGCTACTCCCTTCTCCATCCGAAGACATATTTCCCCGATGTCTCTCGCAGATGCCGATCTGATTAGAAAAAAGTCCGTTTCAATGTCCCGAATGAGCTGGTGAGACATGCAAATCCGCCGATCCTGCCCGCGTCCGGACTTTCTAGATCTTGGCTTTATACATACATTCAGGATAGCCGTGACGAGCCAAGCGCGGCGATGGAAGTGAGAGATGAAATTTTGCTCTTTCCTCAATCTAGGGCAAAACTTCGGAATTAATAAGATGTGTGTAATAACCCATTGATCATCCCCCACTGACCTGGCAATTTCCTGTTATGAAAGCCGTTACGGCGTTGTTTATGTTCTGCGCGGATTCAGGATCCAAGATCGTTTCTCGTGATGGGGTCCTTTTTTTTTGCTTTCTGCTTATGGCTGGCTACCGTCGTGGCAGACACCACTGATCTGAACACTGCATGTGCAACTGGATGTCAAACAACAGTTTCCGGGGTCTTGTTTCCGGGATTGAGCTCCTTGTGCGGGAACGAGCTCCTGGTGAAGTCGACGTTTATCTGCATGCGGGAATACTGCTCGGGGGATGGACTTTCGGAAGGATGGAGAGGCCTCAATAGGGTTTGCGGAGAGGATGAGGGGATGGAACTTCTGCCGTGGTCTATTGTGGATGATGTTACGGACGCAGAGGTGCAGACTTGGCCTATTCTTACCTATGAGGATACTCAACTCGGTGCGCAGTTTAATACTTCTGTCTCGGTTGATCGAGGTCTCTTTCAGATTGGATATCAGACCATTGTGAGTGATGTGATTTCTGTTTGATCTGAATTGATACTAACTGGTATTTAGTTTGACTGGGAAGATCAAAGAACAAGGCGGCATAATTATGGGTAAACAATCAAACTCCACACACACACAGACACACACTTCGTCCGTTTTTTGGTATTTTCTAACATCTGGAATTTTCAGGTATGCGATACTCGGCTTCTGGGGACTTGTCGTCCTTTTCGGTACCATTCATAACTTCGTTCGATACCTGACGAGCTCATCTATCCTTCGGTCAAAAACGATAGCTAGATGTCAAAGCTTTCTCGGCCGGTACTTTGCCGTGCCACCCATCATGACAACTAGGCAAACAAGTCAATTTTTCAGCATACCTTCCACTCCAAGACTACAAACGATCATCATTTCGATATACTTCATCATCAGCATTGTGCTGATGTGTGCCCCCTACCATGCATTCTCCGAAAACCTTTAGTAAGACCGTTCCACCTCCACTGACAAAGAGCTAGCTGAAAGAATATTCGCTAAACTCCGTGACCTATCAGTTTTACCAAGAAGTCCACACAGCTATGGCGGTACATCGGAGATAGAGCGGGTGCTTTGGTCATCAACAATCTGCCCGTGATGTGGCTATTCGCGACGCGAAATAATATCCTCTTATGGGCAACAGGTTGGGATTTTGCCACTTTCAACACATTTCACCGTTGGATAGGCAGGGCGTGTGCCATTTTGATCTTTCTGCATGGAATGGCAGTTTGTATTTACCAAAATAAAGGTAAATTGAGAGTTCTTCATGAAGGTGAATCAAGCTGATCTTGTTAAAATGAAGAGCTGGGAACGGAAGTTTTCCTTCCTCTTTGGAAAGATGTCGACTGGTATATGGGTGTTGTTGTAAGACATGTTCCCCGCAACTTTTGGGAATACTAGTAACTCAGGCTGAATTCTCTCCGGCAGGCTGGTTGCTCGATAATATTGACAACTCTTTTCGCAAGCTCACCAATTCGCAAGGTGGTTTACGATCTATTTTTGATCGTTCATCAAAGCTTTGCTGTTGCTTGTTTGGTTGGATTGTGGTAGTGAGTATTTTCCAATCGTATTTTAATATGTAGCTAACGGAACATAACTATCTAGTCATCTACCAGTTGACGGTCCCGACTACGTCAACTTCATCTGGCCATGTATTGCCGCCTGGTCATTCGATAGATTGATCAGAATATTCCGACTCTTGACCTGGAATAAATTCGCATCCTACTCTTCTGCGGAGTACAACCGCGACGCGAATGTTATCCAGTTGAAGACCAGAGTACGACAGATCACCTCTCCCTACCCTGGAAGCTACTACTATGTTTACGGCTGGCGCTCTCTTAAGTTCTGGGAAAGCCACCCATTCACCTTAAGCGGTTGGAACACGATAAACACGACAGAGGAGTCATATACGGAGCTCAAATTCCTCATCAGCGTGCAAAACGGATTTACCTCCAGGCTTCGAAGCCAACTCCTCCGTCATGAGAAACCCGGCATCGACGTCTCATCAGAAGCGAGAAAAGCCTGCATCTCTGTCGAGGGCCCTTACGGCTCTCATTTCCGCCCGTGGAATTCCCAAACCGCCCTTTTCGTCATTGGTGGGGCCGGAATCACGGTTGCAACATCGTTTATACAAGATCTGGTCGATTTGGTGCAGAGTGGCAAGCATGTTGATCAGAGGATCAGGGGGGGTGAAGATCATCTGGGCTGTGAAAAATCCGGCATTCTATCAATTTGTCTACGAGCGGTATATGGCGGCTTGGGAAGACGTCTTTGCGTCAACGGATATCGAGCTATCGCTGGATGTCTACTTCACAACTTCTCCCAAGAACGCTTCGGATGATGAGATATCGGGATCAGAGAATCATGTCGAGCCTAGCGAGAGTATAAAGAATTGGGACACCGTTATCTCGCCGTCGTCCTCATCCAAGTCTCATATTGCGACGGAGAAAGTGCGCTCTGAGGAGGGCCCTCGAAATCCGGGCGCCGGGCCTCTGAAAACAACTTTCTTCCAAGGAAGACCGTTGATCGACGAATTGGTTAAAAGCCAGATTGAAACTTTGCAATCCTCTGGGGTAAATCATCTCGCATTTGTTGGCTGTGGTCCGGCAACAATGGCCCATGATATACGCCTCTCTTATGTCAGCTCTTCGGATAATGGGCAAGTTGCGGTTGACTTTCACTTGGCCCCATTTGGTTGGTAATAGTCAATAAATGGGAAAAGTTCGAAATCTATGGATTGATACTATCCGAGAATATGGAAATTTAAGCAGGCACAGTGAAACCAAAACAATCAAAATGACCACTGTTTCAGCCAAGTCCCCATCAGATCTGGTGTAATTGGCGGCATTGACCTCATGCTTGCACTCGCGAGCTTTGTATTCTCCATTGAAAGAGGAACAGACAAAGCTCCTTGGCCTTCAATTAAGCTCCGATAGAATTCAAGTAGCTTCAAAGCCGGTTTATGTGCAAGGTCTTCCGGAATTACGGCTCGGACTTGATCAAGCTCCTCAATCCAATCTTTCATCTCAACTACTTGAACCGCATACATGGCGTGTATTGGCTCGAGAAGGCTCTTCCACGTTGTAGTTGTAGGGTTGACAAGATGGAACACGGCAAAGAGACTTTCTAGCTGTGTTTTCCGGCGTGCGTGGACAATTTCCAACACAACATTCGCAAGTAAATCCTAAGAAGAACGAAGGAAACTTTGATTAGTTCACCATGTCACTAATTAGGTCGTGGTATCTTACCACTGGAACCCAATCAACCGGAAATGCTCCGAGTGTCGAAGGAATCTTGCCAAGGGACTTGGATGTAGCGATGAGTGCGGGGATCCATTCTTGGGGATTCCAATATCCGCTTTCAGTACTGGGGCCAGCGATTTGTCCTAAACGATGAATGCTAGTCGGCACACCGGAAGTTCGAGAAGCAGCCAGGAAGATTCGCTCGCAAATATGCTTGGCCTCTCCATACCCCTGACGGAGAGTTACATCGCAATTCTCAAATGGAAGCTCGGGAATGACGGGACCGTCAGAAAGCGTCCAACCTCCAACAGCGCCAATAGAAGAAAGAAAGTGGACGTGTGTGCGTTTCGTGCTTTGGAGGCTGAAGCTTATCAGATTGCGTGCGGCCCGAATATGCACTTCCTCGAAAGAATCGACAGAAATGTTGAAATCCATTTTCCAAGCATTGTGGATGAAAATATCAACAGAACGAAGCATTTCTTGATATTTTTCGCTGTCGATTCCGAGCTCGTGTTCACCAAGTGAAGTTTTGACGAATTCGACTTTTTCAGGAACGGTTTGGTCCAAGCCTCTTTCTAACAAGACCCTTTTTTGTCTTGCTTCACTCCCATCTCGTGTCAGGCAGTATACCTTGTGAACGAGTGGGTCCGACCGCAGTGTATCAAGTAGGTAGCTACCAAGTGACCCAGTGGACCCAGTGAGTGCAATGGTGATTTTGTTTATACCTTCTAACCGTGGCAGATCAGATGTGTATTTCTTGACTAGATCATCGATTTTTTCATGTCTCGGAATTTCCTTTCCCTCAATCTCATCCAACATGTTGTGGAGAAGAGTTGCAATTTTGGAGATACTTGGATGCAGATAGATCATCTGTGCAGTGATTTCTTTAAATCCGTTCGCGTTCAAGACCGAGACCAATTGAATCGTACGCAATGAATCGAGCCCGGAATTGTATAGGTCAGCGTCATATTCACATCGGCCAACGTCTGAAACATAGGATATGAGATTTCGAACAAATTCAACGATCATTGGAAAGTCGGGAGAGACTGGCAGGCTGAATGGAAGTTTCTCTTCACCGGGCAATGTGTATAGCTGCTCAATCTCATCTTTATAGTCCTCGGCCACAATCCTTCGCTGGGTACTTCCTTTTGGTGTTGTGGAGAAGGGCTTGTTGCGCGATGCTAGAGCGATTTTGCTTTTCAAGACATGTCCATGGCCCACACTGATTTGATTGGCCTTTTGAACTGTAGGCCAGATGATGTCGATTAAGTTTGTCTTCAAGTCAACTGTATCTAGTTGACTCCAATTCGGCTCAATCAACAGGGCTGTCTGGAATCTGCCGAGTCCGACAACAACTGCTCTGGCCACCAAAGCCTCTCCCTCGATGAGCTTCTCCATCGTCACAGGATTGAATTTCTCACCGTTACTGAGAACAATGACGTCATCCAAGCGACCATGAAATTTCCATAGGTCCGGATTGGTTGGATGTTCCAAGTATAAATCCTTCGTGTGGTAACACTGGAGATCGGGGAACGTATGGAAGATAGGCTGAAATTCGGGGTTTTCGTGCCTGTGCAAGACCATCTCATGTAGTCCATTTTCGACATGCTCTAACTTAATCCCAAAAGTAGGACTCCATTCAAAATATTCCCAATCTCCGTTTTCAGGGAGAAAGGACAGTACAAACCCACCCTCGGTCATTCCAAGGAAGCTGACTAGCTGAGTGCGTTCGCTGACCCTGCGGCCCACATCTGGCGAAAGAGGTCCGCCTCCAAAGTAGACACGTCTCAGTTTAGAAAGAGCCTCCATAGACCGTATATTAGAAGCTAACTCCTCTAAGATCGAAGGGGGAAAGAGTGCTGCCGTTGGGCGAGTACTATCCAATACCGTGGTCACCAATTCGATTGACATGGGTCCGTCCGGAAGCATCACGCATGGAATTCCATGAAATACAGCCATTATAAGTAGCGAAAATCCCATGAGATGAAAAAACGGAGTTGAAGAAAGAATCAGGTCATCAGGAGATAGCCTGTCTGGAACACCAGCAACTCGGCCTTCTGGAAGGGGGACATAGGCTCCATGATCCAAGGCACCAAAATATCCAAACGTCAATTGAATTGGCTTAGGAAACCCTGCAGGATATTAGTAAACGCCAGTTCTTAAGATTGTCCAATTGGAGAATATTACCTGTTGTTCCTGAGCTGTGCGCAATAAATGCCACATTATTCTTTACTTCCTCAAACGCTCCTTGGAATGGATAGACACTGCATTCCTCAGCCAACATTTGAGTCAAAGATGGAATCTCGAGGCTTTTGATATGAGAGCCTGCTGAGCATATTTCTTCTGCCATCTGCTTTTTCTCGGAGCTATAAGCTAACTTGGAACAGTTTGTCATCTCGAAAAGACGAATATGGGCAGCCTGGGAATTGCGGGTAGAGGAGAGCAGTGGCTAGAAAAATAGATCAGCATTCAAACTTCATTTGATGAACACACAGCTATAGATGAAAGTCGAACCTTATGGCCCGTTTTATTACACGCAATCACCATCACAAGATATCGGACATCATTGGCTCCAAGAAATGCCAATGTCTCGTCAAAAGAGGCACATGTTCCGAACGATCTCTCAATCCACCAGGCCATGTGGTTGATTGCCTGGGACAATTTCCTAACATTCAAATCCACATAGGTTTGCGCCCCCTCAGAGCTTTCGGGCATACTGCAGATCTTCCTATCGGGATCGGTTAAGGCCAGATCATCAATGACTTGGGTCATAAGCCGTTTACCGATATTTGGGATTCCAAAGTCTGCCATTTTGACATATGAAAAAGTCACTGAATATTTGCTGAACTAAATGCTGAGCTTGGGTGAAGTAGGATTTCAAGAGAATGGTGGGAACAACTCATTTTTATCTTCTGGTATAGGCGAATCTGAGGATTCATCGTATTGTATTGGTATTACAGTACCGTACAAAATTACCTCATATTGGAAATGGGTGCTCACCCACCTGCACGTCGCCATCACGGCCAGCCCACTAACCCAAAGCGAGAGGGAATATTCACAAATTTGAATTCGTTAGCAACGGATTGAAACAAGAAAAACTTGGAAATCTTAATCTCACTGACGTGGCATGATCACCGCATGCTAGGGACCTTGATGCATGAAGTCAAGGGCTAACTAATGGAAATTCCAAGGTTCAACATAGTGTTTAGTAAATATGAACTGGTTCTCTTGCCATTGAATGTGGTCCAGACTCGGAGATGGCATTGCATGAAGAAATTCCATGTGACCAATTACCTACTGGCCGGTCGCTCAGCCCGTGCATATCTATCGTGGAGCTTGTAGTACGGAGTAGATTGATCGACATTGTCGGTGGCTAAACCCTATCACCAACCACCTGACTGGGGTCTCATTTTGATATTGAGGCCGTGGAGCCCATGTATGTTCTGGAGGGTGACCTGCAACCTGCAGGGGATTGATTCGGCGTCCCCGAGACGAAATTGGTCATCGCCAATTCTCCCTTTTTTTTTTTCTTCCTCTTCATGCTTATGGCTGATGTGGCGGTGAAACGGTTCGAAGTTGGCTTTTTGACACCTCATAGTAAACTATACCTTACCTAGGTATCACTAGGCGCCCGTTACTAGTGGGTCTCAGGAAAAACGAGCGGAAAGTAGATATCGTTAGCTGGGGGGGTTACATGTTGAAACTTTGTGACGTATTCATATTTGGCAACCGTTCAAGTCTACACAGTTTGGAAATTTCATTCTTTGTACTCCAAAGTTATCAAGAAAGGAAAGGCATCATCGCTCCGGGGTCGCAACTGTCAAGTAAGTTAGTAGGTATTGGGTAGTAGGGAAGTTATGATGAAATATTATAGCAATTCCCTAGTTGATATGTCGAGCTTGATACCTTCAATACCTCAAGAATTCTGTAAAACCTATATTGAATTGGATGGAAATCAAAATTTATGAATCAGACGCCGGTAGCCTGGTGAAATCATCTGAATGATGCCCAGGTGTGTCTCAGGTAAAGTCACAAATTGTACGTACTGGTACTAGACCTCAGTAGTAGGCTCGCCAAAGTATTAATATACTACTGGTCGCAAAGGGCTTCCTTTTTCCAAGGTTATATCTCCTTCGAAACTCTTTGAATATTAGAAGATAAATTAAGTCAAAATATAATGAGTTAATGTAAGATTTATTGAGACGTAAATTCAAGTTTCTACAACGAAGCTGAAGCTCTAGCACTCAACTACCAACTTGAAAAAGTCATATGTTGTATTTGCTAAACTCCTCTCGTTCAGCATGCTCAAGCTCGCGGAGGATTGTCTTTTGCCTTTCCTCAGACCGAGGCTTGATATCCACAGCGTAAGGCTTAGCACACCTCAAAAATCCATCAGTATACCCAGTAACTGGGTCGCAATCAATTGGAATTGGAACGCCATTAGAGTCTATCTTTTGTGTTATATTGAATGCCCACAGAATTTTCGCAAAGGCCAAGAAAAGACCTCTTTCCGCTAAATGAATCCCAGGACAGATACGACGTCCAGAACCGTAGGCATAGTGGTCACGCTTCTCGTATTCCGCCGAGGATGCGTATTTTGGAGCAAGTTCAGTGCGATCTTTGTATCTCAAGGGATCGAAAGAATCGGGATCATCATGTAGGGTGCTGTCATGGTGTAATCCCCAGACGTTCATAATAACGGTGGATCCTGCCGGAATGAGCATCCCATTGATTGTGCTTTCTATCGTGTCAATATTTAGCAGGAGGGAACTCAAGACCACGAAAGATCTATACTTGGAAAGGGGATCTTACCTTTGCTGGTAGCGTGTGGAAAGGCTGTGGGCATCACAGGTCGCCACCGCAGTGTTTCCTTGACTACCATGACTATATATGGCAATTTAGAGAAATCGTTCCATGTAGGGGTTCTATCTGAGCCAATAATATCGTCAATAGACCTCTGTGCCTCTGCCTGGGCTTTTGGATATAACGCCATGGCTTGTATAAAGGCGATAGTTGTAATAGATGTGGTATCGGATCCGCCTTCCAGCAGATTTCCCAGCATCAGGTCAATCTCGTGCCGAGTCAGTTGCAAACTTTCTTGCTGCTCAAAAATCATATCCAAATAACTTTCCCCTTTTTCAAATTTAGATTTTTCACGACGCATTAAGACACGATCAACCAATGGACCATAGACAGAGTCCATCATTTTGGCAAGGGCAATAGAGCGAGATTTCCAATTATTGAAAACGCACTCCGGGATCCACGATAGAAACGGAAATAATTCAACGGGCGGAGTACCACCGATCTCAAATATTTCGGAGATACTGTCCAGCACATTATAGAGACCTTTCATATGAGAAGTGGCAGAATTTGGCGTTCGAATACCCGTAACTGGATCCCTGTTAGTCAAAGTAGACCCCAAAAGAAATCTAGACTCACCAAGACTCATAATAACGCTGTTTGTGAAGCGCTTGCAATGACTCATGAATTCATCGGGGCTGCGGCAGAGGTCTTGCAACAGCTGGATAGCCTCTGCGTTCTGAAGAAGATGATGACTCTTTTCACAACGAAGTTCATTGAAGAATTGATGGTAAAGCCGCCTCCCTCTGCGCCACCTGGCATCAGGGCCCAGAAACATAAGATGGTCGTTGTGAAAAACCAGATTATCCGCTATATATGATTTGGGTCGATCGCTATAGATAGCCGACTGTTTGTCGACAAGGTGCTTGATCATGTATGGGGAGCTCAAAACTATAGCCGTTTGTGATCCTAGTTTGAGCGAGAATATGGGTCCGTAGATTGATGCCCACTCTGTGAATCTGCGGTAAAGTATTAGCTTAAAGAATATTACGCTTATTGAGGGAACAATGAGTACTTGAGATAAGCTCCCGTTTTTGGAAGCTGGTGAAGATTTCCAATGATGGGAAGAGACGGCGGGCCTAAAACAGAAATTGGCTTCAAATTGTCTGACAGCACAAATACTCTATACGCACCTGGAGGTAACTTGAAACCTCTCTGGCCTGGAAATTGGCGACGAGCGAAAAGTACAGCAGTAATTGCCGCAAGTACCACAAGACATATTATCGGACCAGTGTACATGGCGGGTTTGTTGATGAAGAATTAGGTACAAATTTTTGAGCAGTGATTTAATTGGAAACAACTTGAACTACTCCGAGTCAGATTTTATGACTACACGAGGTGAATTGCCCTGCGCCACCGTACTGCATCCCACTCGGCTCGGATGCACGCCGCCGATCATGAAGATCTCGTTTCTTACAAGGTTGGTAATGCATTAACAATGTCATTGGAGAGGCAGCTGAACCCCACTACCTATAATTGCAGATCAGTGCATGATCTCCATCAGCCTATCGCTCGGACCTTTCTTCCTGCAATATGCAGCTCGATAAAACTTATTCCATATTTGGTGCCTCTATGCGCTGTTTACTTTCACACACCTGCTCTAGTAGGCTCAGTCCCGTTTCTCCAACGACGCCTTACGATTCTCAGTCCTGGCTACAGAAATAGAGAGGCCCCCTGTGTTCCGTTCAAGTTCAGCTTCTCACCATATCACCTCACTATGGCTGCCACTTCATTCCTATATTCTCAGCTGTTTGTTTCTCTTCCCCAGCCCGACCATGACTTCACTGGTCAGACAATAGTCATCACGGGCGCGAATGTCGGCCTGGGTCTCAATGCAGCTCGGCATCTTTTGGAACTAAATGCCTCCTATGTCATTCTAGGAGTGCGTGATATGACCAAGGGAGAAATTGCCAAGAAATACTTAGAGCAGTTTGCTAAGGAGACCAGCCGAATCGATGTCTTCGAACTTGACATGGAAGATTATCAATCAGTCCAGTCATTTGCAAAGAGGACCTCAGCCGTACCACGCGTAGATGTGGTCATTCTCAACGCAGGAAAGATAGCGCAGGAATTTTACATTGCCGAGGAAGATGAGAGCACAATTACTGTCAACGTTGTTAGCACAATGCTTTTGGCACTCTTGTTGCTTCCTAAACTACGCGCCTCGGCCCAAGCAGGAAAGCAATGCCCACGGTTGGTGATCGTATCCTCCGATCGCCATGTTATGACCAAGTTGCCAGAATGGAAAGCACCTGATACATTCGAAGCTTTGAGAAACAAGGCTTACTATGGGCCAGATGATCGGTAATTGCTCTCTTTGATTCCGTTTCTCTTTTGGTGAAATTTAACTTTCAATGTCAGATATTACGCATCCAAGCTCCTTTCTGTCCTCTGCATGAGGCAGCTAGCAAATGAAATCGTCTTGAAAAGTCCCAGGGTAGTTGTTAATGGACTCACACCTGGCTATTGTGTAACAAATCTTGTCAACGGGGTGAAAGGATTCTGGGGTTGGCAACTTTGGTTCATGAAACATTCAGTGGCTCGCACGGCAGAGCAAGGCTCGCGTACGTTGGTCCACGCGGCAACTTTGGGCTTTGAGAGCCACGGGAAATATCTTAATGACTGCAAGATCGACGAGTAGGTTTCTCACGTGCCACTTGATCTCTAAGTTTCTATTTTCTGACTTCAAATTCAGTGGCGCACTTTCCGATTTTGTCAGAAGCCGAGAGGGATACCAAGCCCAGCAGAAGATTTGGAAGGAATTGCTGGTTAAGTTAGATCGAATTGTACCTGGGGTAGCGGAGAATCTTTCTTGATCTTCTATCCTGCAGATAGGGTCCGCTAGTAATTCATGACGTAGGTGAAATGAGAACTTAAGAATAAGACTTGAGGCCTTATAGCCGAAAAAAGATACGACAGTGCATACTGGTATGGAATTTATATATTTGGAATTTTGACACGTAGTAATATCTTGGTGCATATTGAGTGAGCATGTATCACGTATTGAAGCTAGTATCTTTGTTAGTTGGACTCATAGATCTACGCTTTGTCAAAGTCGGTATTGCAAGACCTCCAGTCTCCACTTTCCACATTATTAGGTTGGGATCGACATCCCCTTAGTGACTTGAAAGATACAAGTGGAAAAATTTTAATCCTTGGCTCATGCACCATGACATGGGTCATTTTTCTCCCAATATTGTGCCAGCAAGGCTATATAAATTCGCTCAAAGTCGCCAAAACTACCATTTCCATATATTCATTCCCCAACTGAGCAATAAGCTTCGAGTCCACATCCGAGCGGATCTCAATCCACGTCATGTTCACTTTGGAAGGAATCGCTTTGGTTACAGGCGCGTGTAGGTAAGTCATCAGTCAACTCATGGGATTCGGCTAAGCTCTCCAGCTAGCGGCATTGGACAAGAATGTGCTTTTGCATTTGCGGGTCAAGGTGCAGATGGTGTGGTCTTCGTAGACCTTGATCTCGCTAAAGTGCAAGAAAACGCCGAAAAGAGTGTTCAGTTAGCCACAAACTCTTCGTATCGAGCCCTTGCCATTTCTGCCGATGTGACCGATCCAATTCAAGTTCGAGAAATGATCTGTCAAACCCTTAACTCGTTCGAAAGAATCGATTACAATGTCAATTGTGCAGGGGTGCTCTCCCAAGGTGCATTTTATTTTGATAACCTCTGTGCTAATATTGTTGGCAGGTATCGATGAACACTGCAATCTCAATAGAGGATATATCCCTAGAGGAGTGGGAACGGGTCAGCCGTGTCAATGTATACGGTATCCTAAATTGCCTGCAAGCCGTGGGTAAAGCAATGAAGTCCCAGTCACGAACTACTGTCACTTGCCGAGATAAACCGAGAGACGGTGGCAAGGGATCCATCGTCAATATTGGATCCATTCATTCCTTCTTATCTGCTCCCGGGACTGCCCAATACACGACATCGAAACACGCTATGTTGGGCTTAACAAGATCTGCAGGTATACTAAATTTTCCGCACTCTGATAACTGAAATAAATGCAAAGTCTAACTTGAACCTTGGAATCTGCTAAAAAGCCGTTGACTTCGCATTGAACGGAATTCGAGTTAATGCGGTCTGCCCCTCATGGGTCAATACTCCGATGATAAACAACAACAAAGAGCTCGCTCAGGTGCATCAACGAGTGCCTTCTGTCGTTCCTTTGGGACGCATTGCAGAGCCAGAGGAGATTGCGGATATTGCTATATTTCTTTGTAGTCCCATGGCTAGCTACATTACAGGAAGTGCTTGGACCGCAGATGGAGGTTTTACCTCATGTGTGAAATTATAGAATTCCATTAGGGTCAGATCTACTAGTATCACTAGGATTACCGTTCAAGTTCAAACAGGCTTAGATATAACGTGTTTCGCCACCGAATCGGCCGCCTCAAGAACACATAGAACCTTGGAAATATCATGATGATAAATTACAACTTCAAATATCTCAACAACCAAATATTATTTTTGATTTACTAAGGAGAATAATATAGTACGAACTTGAAGCTTTTTCAATCCATGGTTTTAAGTAATTACTAGTATTTTCTACTAGTAGTACCTACAACTGGGTAAGATTACGAACTTTGGAAGAATACAGAATAATTTATACCATCAAGCTCTAAGTACTAGTAGTGAAATATTTTTTTAATTAGGTATAAAATCCAAGGTTTACTTACCACTCGTAGTAATACTATTGAGAATATAGCATAGTCTCTCAAATCGTGATAGTTGTTGAGTTATAAAGTTTTAATTTATCATATTTCTGTGTTCTTGGGGCAGCCGACTCAGTGGTGAGATACCTAGGTACGTTAGTAACTCAGGTCAACAGCCTGAGTGAGGAAAAGTCAATCTCTGTCATGAGATAATAATCCGACGCGATAAACTGTAAAGTTACGAGTGGTAATGCTCAGAATACCTTCCAAGCCACACCCATCTAGACAAGGACTGTCTTCTTATCGTTACAGAGAATTAAAATATAAGAAATCTACTTCTGGGAGCTGAACAATATTAGAGGGCCATCGAGTTTTATTGAGTTCTCTAATTGTCACATCTGGATTTTGCAGGTAGAAGACTCGAGATACACTGCATTGGGGTGATAAACCGATTATGGCTATAAATGTGCCTTTTCTGCAATAATGGTTGCTAGAACCGCCATCACTGAGGCGTCTGCCTTACTGGAGCTTACCAAACCGGTTTATCATCTTTAACTGAACCGACAGCCATTCTCATTATCTGCCTAGTAGCTTATATAAAGCCCAGGTTGTGTGAATGGATGCTGTGCGCTGCAATGCTTGAGGGGCAACCATACAGGATATTGTATAGATTTTCTGCACCAACCATATCGTATAATAATTCGTCCGAGAATTCCACATTCTCCAGCATACTATGTGAAGGTGGCGTACCGTTTATCAAATCGATAAGTTGGTCCCTTTGGCAGTTCCACGGCATCTGGCTCTGAAAGCTCGACGCTTCGATTGAGAAATTATAATGAGGCAGTGAGACGCCACGCTGTATTGTCTGAGCTGCTCCCACATTGGAGGTTTGAAAGCCGTGGTCCGGTCTGGATACGTTTTCTCGGGCCTCTTGAGAACTGGAGCTCAGCCGCATACAGGGAATTTGCAACTTATAGCACTTCGAACAAGGATCTCCCGAGTCGCACTTGATCTTCCGGCTCCGACAGGTTTGACATGCGATCGAAACCCTTTTACATTTCTGAGAAGCTGTCTGGTGATTCGTCATGTGTCGGCGGAGAGTATCACTGGTACGGTCAAATCAATATGCTTCTGGGATATTCAACCATTTCGGTATGTATTATGTAGCTACCTCCGCGTAAAGCCACGAAAACATGTCTGGCATATGTAGAGTGAACGGTCTTTGTGACCAGCCTGGTGCCGGCTCAGATGCTCTTTGTGCTTGAACGACCGAGAACAGCCGGAGAAATGACAATGAAAATGACTCTCTTTGAAAATATTACGATCAGTCATCTTTGGTCAAGTCGTGCGAGGAAGATGAAGAAAAATAAATGAAAAGAAAGGATGTTGCGTTAGAGCCGGAGAAATTGAAAGAAGAGAAATTACACATGAGTTCAAAGTCGAAATAGCAAAAATACCCGATAATACTGCGAGGTAGTCGAGAAATGCAGGAAAAACCTGCTATTTACCCGATCTATGCAGTTCGGAGTCTTACGACAAAGCATTGCTTCTGAAGTGCACAATTTACTTGAAACCCACTACTCCCGAGAGCTCAACTAATGAAACGCTTTTCCAGGCGTGATCAGCCCCTTGCTGTTGTTCCAAGGTTTTTCTTTCGCTTTTACTTGGCGTGGCTCGGATATCCAACGAAAAAGCTCCCAACATCACCTCCCACAAAATTTAAGATTTCTGACGAGAAAAAACATGAATAAGAAAAATCAAACGCAATCAAGCATGCATGCACATACAGCATGATATGAGGCTCCGGGTCCACTGGAGTGCAGGTTCCTCACCAACCTTGGAAGAAATCCCAATACAATACGTACTAGTATTGTACAGTACGGCAGCTGTTTGATACGGCTGCGGGACATTTGAATACCAGCTCCTGTAGAGAATTCCAACGTCATGCGTGAACACCGGAGAATTGAAATGCATTCAAGTTGTCGAATAGAACGGAATACATTTTGATTTGCTTCCATATATTCTATGCGGTCGGATTTCCAAGGACTTGCAAAATCATTAGGTCTACTTGAGGAAAGGGTTAGAGGTTGGAAATCATAGTCCGTATCTGGATCGGATGATCTTATGTGACGCCTGACAATATTGGGCTAAGATTAGCAGTATGAAATGCACACCCCACCAACCCTCAGCTTCCCACAAACTTGGAAGGATTATCGGATCGGAATCCCCATTTTGGGGGATTTAGTAGAAACATGATCTGCAAAATCCCACCGCCAAATGGCCCAAAAGACTGATCATATTCTAGCCTGGCAAGCAACACTCCGGAAGTTTGCCTCAAACTCCGAAGAAGCGGTGTCCGGCTGAGATCACTGGGGACATGCAGAGGCTCGAAACTGAGTCGTACCGATATCCTGGGTCAATCTATTGACAGCAGGAATTAGTTGCCGACACTTCGATGTGCTGCAATCCGCCCGAAAAAAAGAGTAACAAGAAAAAAAAGAAACAAGGAAAAAAGAAACAAGAAAAAAAGAAACAAGAAAGAAGAAAAAAGTAAAAAAGAATTACGTTTTTTTTTCTTTTTCTTTTTTCTTTTTTCTTGCATGAGCGATCAATCCGTTTCCTCAGGAGCAGCGGGTGCTTCGCAGAAGTTGAACATGATGATGGCATTGCTTGGATCTGGAGGTGTACTGGTATAGATGGATAGCTGAGGTAATACTACTACTGGTACCCAGAGTGATTACTAGTTATTGTCACTAACAAATTAAAGTGCCTGGAGGGGTTCCTCTAATTTCTTGGATTTCCAACGACAAGTAACTTAAATGTCCTTGGCTTCGACCCGCTGAACACGAGCTTGTCTTCCAATCCCATAAATTCCTCACATTACCATTCCTACAAACCGACCGATTCCAAGGTTCTATCTCAGGCTATTGGAATTGATTGAAGTCATCATGTCATCCACGCCTGTCTCTTCATCAAGCTCAGCTGCAAATGACTCGACCTTTACGGGATATAGCAGCATGCTTGTAAGTAAGATGATTGGGCATCCTAGTGAGCACAGAGCTAACCCTGACAAAAGGACATGTGTGATGGAGTAGCGGTAGTAGGTATGGCCTGTCGGACTGCTGGAGGTGTTGATAATCCTGAGCAGCTCTGGGAGTTCCTCCTTTCTAAGAAGGACGGGTCCAGCGACATTCCGCCTGCTCGCTGGGAGCCGTACTATAATCGAGACCCTCGAAACAAACCAATTTTGGCCAGCGCAATTACTGCAGGATATTTTGTCAAGGGCTTAGACGATTTTGACCCTCAATTTTTCGGTATATCTCCAAACGAAGCTAGACAAATGGATCCACAACAGCGCATCTCGCTTGAGGTTGCTTGGGAAGCATTGCAGAATGCTGGGATAACTGCAAAATCATTGAAGGGCACCAATACATCCGTCTTTTGGGGAGTGAACTCGGATGATTATTCTAAGCTCCTCCTGGAAGACCTTCCGAATGTCGATGCCTGGATGGGAATTGGGACAGCATACTGTGGAGTCCCGAATCGTATTTCATACCACCTTGATCTGATGGGGCCTAGCGTTGCAGTTGATGCCGCCTGTGCTTCCGGGCTTGTCGCTGTTCATCATGGAGTCTCGGCCATTCGAGCCGGGGAATCAAACATTGCTATCGTTGGTGGGGTAAACGCTCTCTATGGACCTGGTCTCACCACCGTACTGCAAAAGGCTGGAGCTTTAGCACCCGATGGTCGTTGTCGGTCGTTCGATAATGAAGCTGCAGGTTATGGGCGTGGAGAGGGAGTAGGAGCCTTGGTTTTGAAGAAACACTCCCAGGCTGTACAAGATGGCGACCAGATTCTCGGCATTGTCAAGGGAACATCTGTGGCTCATGATGGCAAGACAAATGGAATCATGGCCCCAAATGCTGCATCACAGGCTTTGGTTGCAAAGAATGCACTGTGTGTGAGCAGCCTGGAAGCCAGTAGCATTCAATATATTGAGGCGCACGCAACCTCGACACCATTAGGTGACCCAACGGAAATTTCGGCTATGAGCTCTGTGTACGGACTAGACCCTGCCAACCCGTGTTTCATCGGCAGCATCAAGCCGAATATTGGACATTTGGAGGCGGGTGCCGGAGTCATGGGCATGATTAAGGCTATTCTTGCTGTTGAGAAAGGAATCTTGCCTCCACAGGCCAATCTCAAAACTCTCAGCAATCGTGTAGACTGGAAGAATTCCGGTCTAGAGGTTGTTCGGGAAAAGATGGATTGGCCGATGACAAATGAACGACGTCGAGCAGCCGTATGTTCCTACGGATATGGGGGAACAGTATCACACGCCATTGTTGAGCAATGCCCTGAAATGTACATTACTGGCACGCCGCAAATTTCCAAGGATGGTGAAAAAAACCAAATGATTCTGCTTGTGTCCGCCCCACACAGGAAGCGACTCCCTATCATTGCCGACACTCTGTGGTGCTGGATCAAGTTGAATGCAACCGAGGAGAATCTGGCCCGTATCTGCACCACCCTGGCAGTACGTCGAGACCATTACCAGTTCCGCTTTTCAGCGGTCATTGAAAATGTGAAACAAGCTCTGCAAGCGCTTGACAGTCTCCGCCAAGGTTCAACCGAGAAGTGGATGGTTGAAACCCGTTGTCTGTCCAATGATCACAGCAAGGAAACTGTGTGGGTATTCTCTGGGCATGGCTCTCAGTGGACCAACATGGGGAAAGAGTTACTCCAAAATAAAGACTTTTGCAAGGCAGTTGAGCCACTTGATGACGTCGTGCAGAAAGAGATCAACTCATCTCCTGTCGCGTGGCTACAGAATGGAGATTTCCAGTCAACCGATCGAGTCCAAATTCTTACATATATCATGCAAATTGGCATCACTGCGGTTCTTCAAGCCCGAGGTATCTTCCCAGATGCAGTCATTGGTCATTCAGTTGGCGAGATAGCGGCGAGTGTTGTTGCTGGTGCACTTTCGCCCGTCGAGGGTGTATTGATTGTCACTCGGCGAGCAGTCCTTTATCGCCAAGTCATGGGAAAAGGAGCTATGGTTCTTGTTCAAAAGCCTCCTCGATATGTCAATCAAGATTTGGAAGACTACGAGGACGTGGTTGTAGCGATCGAATCGTCTCCATCGTCTTGTGTTGTTGCAGGGTTGAAAGAGAATGTGTCATTGATTGCCGAAAAATACAATGCAGAGGGTGTCAAAACATTTCATATCAAAACGGATGTCGCATTCCACTCGCCTATGATGGTGTCATTAGGCGAGCGTCTGCGTGGTGTTCTGTTGAATACATTGAGTCCAGCCGAGCCAACCGTCAAGTTATACTCGACCGCCCTTTCTGATACCCGGGGGCAAGACCTTCGAGATTCCGAATATTGGTTGAAAAACATGATGAATCCAGTGAGGCTTACTGAAGCCGTGGACAGTGCCATCCAGGATGGATACCGGATCTTTCTGGAGGTTTCGAGCCACCCTATTGTGTCTCACTCGATCACCGAGATCTTGCTAGATCGACAGATTGAAGAATTCTTCGTTGTCCCCACTCTGCACAGGGATCAGCCAGCTTATAAGAATATCCTCCAATGTCTTACTCGGCTACACTGTGGTGGACTAGACATTGATTGGGCTGCACAAATGCCGGGACCTTGGGCGCGTGGCCTACCAACGGGGCCGTGGCTTCACCAACCACTGCTACCAAATGTCAAATCCAGTGGTGGCAGTATGGAAACACATGAAGTCAAACAGCATAATATTCTCGGACACCGAATTGCAGTAGCTGGCACCGATACTGTGGTGTTTGAAAGTCTCTTGGATAGGAATTCAAAACCATTCCCCGGAAGTCACCCTGTTTCCGGCACCGAAATTGTACCTGCCGCTTGTCTTTTGAATACCTTTCTGAAGATATCAGACAGGAAGCAGTTGAAAAATATCGATTTGAAAGTACCCGTTGCTATCGATATTCCAAGGAAAGTGCAAGTCGTGGTTCACGGAAACCAACTCAGGATCATGTCACAGATTATTCAAACGGGTAATTCTGATGACTATTCCTGGCTTACCCATACCACTGCAACATGGAGCCCTGGCGCTAGCCTGCGTATGGAAATGAGCGATCTCAATATTTCGGAATTTCGAACCAGAAAACAGCTGCTAGACAGTTTTGCAGTGAACTATTTGTCTAGTGTGGGTGTTCCTGAAATGGGATTTCCTTGGAAAGTGATTGAGCACTACGGTGATGAATCCGAGATGCTTGCAAGGGTGGATGTTGCCCCTGACAGAGAATTGGTCGACTGGGATCCATCATCCTGGGCACCATTGTTAGATGCAGCAACATCGATTGGATCTTGCATTTTCTTTGATATACCCCGCTTGCGAATGCCGTCACACGTTCAGCAATTCGATAAACTGACGGAAAGAATCCCACCAAAGATGGCCTGGATTCGTGTTCAGAGAGACCCAAGTATGAAATTCTGTTCACACATTGAAGTCCTCGATGAGCAAGGTGGTGTACTTGTGAGGTTCACTTCCATGCAGTTCTCTGAAATTGAAGGGACTCCAAGCTCAAGTACAGCAGTTGGTGGCCTGGTGCATCGCGTTGCTTGGCCTCCAGCTACTTTTGCGGAAGAGCCTGTCCAAATCGCACGAGTGGTTTTTGTTTCGAGTAGTGATGGACTGGCGCAAAAATATGTTCAGTCATTACCTGAACACATCAGCTCTATCCAATTCTCAAGCCCTGCGGATCTTGAGTCCGCTTCGACAAGCATTTTCCGAGAGGGAACAATCATTGTGTACATACCTGATGAGGTGGATTCCACTGAACAGGTACTTCAAGCTACCGAGAATCACGCTTGGGAACTTGTCCGAATCATGAAATTTGCTATACATTCATCTACCGGGGTCCAGGTGTTCGTTCTGACAAAGGATTTGATGAATTTCAAATCAACAGCATCACTTGCAAACTCTGCTCTGGTGGGCCTGAGCAGAGTGATCTCAAGCGAGCATCCCGAAAGTTTTGGTGGCCTTGTCGATGGCGAGGATCACTTGTTCCCTCTTACGACCATAAAGTACGTACGAAATGCCGATGTTATCCGAATCATTGATGGAGTACCACGCATTGCTAGATTGCGCACTCTTCCGACGGAGTTGCGAACGCAGAAAGTATCCAGCTCTCTTCCTCAACCTCGGGGGACCTACTTGATTACCGGTGGCCTGGGTGCTCTTGGACTTGCCACTGCTGAATTTCTTGTCCAGAATGGAGCCCGGCGGCTCGTTCTTTTATCCCGTCGCTCGCTTCCCCCGCGGACATCCTGGGATAACTGTCAAGGCGATCTCAAAGCAGCAATCGACAAGATCCTAGACCTGGAGCAAATGGGAGTTTCAGTTCATGTTTTATCCAATGATATTGGTATCCCCAATGCTTCGAAGGAGCTAAAACATTCTCTCGAACGACTGAATCTTCCACCGGTTTTGGGTATAGTCCATGCAGCTGGGGTCCTGGAAAATGAATTGGTCATTAGTAGTACTAAAGCCGCATTCCATCGAGTTTTCCTGCCAAAGATTTCTGGTGCTCTCACCCTACATGAAGTTTTCCCCCCGGTACTCTCGATTTCTTCATGCTTTTCTCCTCTTGTGGACAACTACTTGGCTTCCCGGGCCAGAGCTCATATGGAAGCGCAAACACTTTCCTCGATGCAATGGCCACCCATCGCCGAAATCTTGGCGAAAATTCAATTTCTTTCCAGTGGACCTCTTGGCGTGGAATGGGCATGGGAAGTGACTCTGAATTTGTCGCTGCAGAACTGTATGGCAAGGGGATTACTGATATTACTTGCAGCGAGGCATTCCAGGCCTGGAATCATCTCGCACAGTACGACTTAGACCATGGAGTGATTCTTCGTACGCGTCAAATGGATTCGAAAGAGCCGCTTCCTTCTCCTATCTTACATGATATCATCGATCGAACGTTGTATGATCATGCTACTGGCAGTGAATGTCCGGTGATGGAAGCTTCCAGCAAACTACCGCCATCGGGACCGGAGCTGACGACCTACATTGATGAGAAGATACGCTCATGCGTTGCTGGTGTACTTCAGCTTTTACCGAGTGATGTCGACTCTCGAGCTGCATTGAGCGATCTTGGTCTGGACTCTGTTATGAGCGTCACATTCAGACGAGAACTTCAGAAAACTTTCAGGATCCCTGTCCCCCCCAACCCTGGCTTGGAACCATCCTACCGTAAATCATCTGGCTCGGTGGTTCGAAAAAAAGCTCAGCATCACGAGTTGTTAAGCTTTGTTGAAAATACATAGGGCAGAGATAGGGACTAGTCACTGGCTATTGTACCTTTGCAGCCTATAGGGTCTTCTAGAGAAATTCTCCAATGAAACTTTCATTTACATTCCTAATATCAGCGGCCTCAACAGCAATAATTCACTGTCGGGCGCTACGAGGCTTAATTTTATTAGAGAGGTTGTGACGTTGCTCCAAGTATCTATACTGCGGCGGTCTATTCAGTTATCTAACTTGGATTCGCGCATGTGTCAAGGCACTTGTGCTTCAGTTAGTAACTATCCAGCATCCGCCTTGACCTTACTGTCTCCACGCATTCACCACTCATGGATCAGAGCTTCTGTCAACAGGAGCTGCCAGCGGTGTAAACTGCCAAATATTACCATGAGCGCCCAAAATTAGAAGAACATGATTGTATGAAAAGCGTAAACCTGTACAAATGTAACCTCTCATTTTTGCTGCTGCACCATAGATTGCTACCCAATCGCTTCTCTCGCCGCATATTTCTGCGCATGCTGCAGTATGTACAAGGGTCCACCATCTCGTATCTTCTCCGCCCGTTATAGGGCACTCTTCAGAGGCAAAATTTCGATACGAAGAGCTTGAAAGAGAGGATGATCTGACATATCGGGAAATATCATCACGCACCAGGACTCATTCCCTTGCAGATGCACTGTTCATGTATCACGCAGCGCTAAAGCAAGATCATTTCACTAGCGTCGATTGCCAGTCAGTGATCGTCCATGATCGCCCATGATCAGCTGGGCAAGCAAGAAACACAGCGGTAAGAATGACGAGGCTTTTTGGTGATGAGAATAAAACCAGTTTTGCCTACAAATTTTGCTCTGACTGGTGTCTTGGGGTATAATATGTGGTCTGCCCAGCGCCAACATCGAATTTTCGAGATAGTACATGAGTCAAACTGCAACCTTGAAACGCAGGTGTTTTCTCGGCAATAAGAAACGCATATTCCTCATGTCTTCTATATCAGATATTCTACCCAGTACCGTATTCGGTGGATTAGTCCGCTGGATATCAAAAGGTCGGGTCTGTCGTTTTTCAGAAGAGAAACCCGAATTTCAACTACCTCCGGGTTTTCTCGTTGTTTCTAGCTCCAAGACACCAATGTCGGCCGACTGGATGAACCAGGAAAAATTGAGCAATGAGAACTCGAATGTTGATACACGCTCAATAAATTCAACGCCTACGGGGATCCACCTCAAAGGCACATTCGGAAGTGGAAGTACTATCTTGGCCCCCTGGTATGATACTCGAGACCAGGGCAACCCACAGTGTTGGCCATTGTGGATCAAGATCATGGTTTACATCCAGATTAACTTCTATACTTTCATTGTTTATATGGCTTCTTCAATATTCACGGTCGCGGAGCCTGATTTTATAGATAGCTACGGGGTACCTGCCACGGTAGCTTCACTTGGCCTGGCGCTTGTTCTCCTTGGATATGGAATTGGTGCCTTGCTGTTCAGTCCATTATCCGAGATCCCAGATGTTGGTCGCAATCCACCATATGTGATATCCCTGTCAATTTTCGTCCTTGTCAGTGGAATTGCTGTTTCTGTGGATAACGTGCCCGGGTTCCTTGGTCTGCGCTTTCTACAGGGCTTCTTTGGCTCACCATGCCTAGCAACAGGGGCTGCCTCTTTGGCGGATATCACGGACCTGGTCAATCTCCCGTTTGGTCTGTGGATCTGGGGTACATGTGCCGTGGCGGCCCCTGCCGTGGCGCCATGTATAGCTGGATTCAGCACCATGGCAAATGGATGGAGATGGTCAATGTGGGAGATTATCTGGGGCGCAGCTCCATGTCTAATTATTATGGTATGTTTTCTTGTCACTATATTTGTGGGATGATTTGAAACCCCGCACCGAGCTCAAAGCATTCAATTCACAGCTCTTTCTTCCCGAAACTTCAGCGGCTACCATTTTGCATAAACGGGCGGCACGTCTAAGAGTCTTAACCGGAAATCCAACTTTCAAGTCACCATCTGAGCTTGAGGGCATTAAATATTCAACCAATTCAATCATCCATGATGCACTGGTCATGCCTTGGAAGATCAACGCTTTGGATCCAGCAATTCTTTTCACAACCTTGTACACAGCCTTGGTTTACGCTATATTCTACTCATTCTTTGAGGTATTCCCACTTGTTTATCAAGGCATATACAAAATGGACTCTGCGCATATGGGCCTAGTGTTTCTAGCAGCAATAATTGCTGTCCTTTTCGTGATGCCATTCTACTGCCTTTTTGTTCATCATTTCATCGCCAATCCCATGAGAAATGGCACCATCCCACCTCCCGAACGAAGATTGATTCCTGCATTATTCATCTCTCTCTTTGTCCCGGCGGGGATGTATCTTTTTGCATGGAGCTCTCAGCTCGATATCCATTGGACTGTGCCCACTGTTGGATTCATGCTTATCATTATGGGCGTGATTACGATCTTACAGTGTATATTTGGCTACATGGCAGTTGCATACCCCATTCACTCGGCGAGTTTATTTGCCATGAATGACTTTGCACGGTCGACTTTGGCATTTGCTGCGATATTGTGGTCGGAACCCTTGTACCGAAATCTTGGTGTCGCAAAGGGAACTAGCTTGATTGGGTCATTGACGGTGCCTTGTGTTTTTGGAATTTTCACTTTGTATTGGCTTGGGCCGAAATTGAGAAAACGAAGTCAATTTTCAGGGCAATCAAGTTGAAATACAGCAGTAGATGAGCCTGAAGTCTGATTGGGAGCCCTTCACCCGGGCAATTGAAACCTTCAACCTCTGAATGTTCAAGTACTGCTAGCGTGAATGATGCCAGGTAATTTCCAACTTGAACCTTGAGGGCTCAACTTTTGTCACCTAGGCATCGTACTCGAAAGTTGTAAGCTCCAAGTTCAAAGGTTTGCAAGCTCCGAATCCGATTTTATAGTCATGGTCTGGAAGACCAGGCTCGACTTGTATCAGTAGTAATCATTTGATGATAAGTAACTACCTAGACAGTTATATAGGTAGTTGCCTCTCTAGCTACCTCACCTCACTCTAGAAGAATCTCTACATGAATTTAAACCTCCAAGGTAATTACAGGCTATAGAACTCATTACTGGTTCCTGATCAAGAGCTTGAAATGGAAAGAAAGCCTTGAGCCGTCAACTCGAAAATGGCATAATATGGCGGATCAGATTGTATTATCTCACGCAGGCCAAGGCCAAGAAATATCATGATCATGATCGTTTTCAGTGTTGCCTGGGTGAGAGGCTGGGTCAAGTATCCGTGACGAATAGGCGCAACGGCAGCGGAGGTTAGGTGCTATGTGAAAAGTTGAGTCAGAAATTATTCCAAAATTCTCCTAGGCCCCTGAGCTAGCATATAGCGCTGAAAATTTAAGAGGAAAGTGAAGACAAATGAAAGTGCAAGGTAAATAACGAATAAATGCAAGACGATAGACGCGTCCCAAGCCTGATTGCCAAGTATTTTGCACCATCAAAGTTGAATCGGGACATTTGCCTGACTATCTCAAGTGCCGTACATGATTAACCAAGACATGACTGTTGCATTTTTTACGCATGACAGGTATGGGTGGCTCCCAAATGGCCCAATGCAGTAAGCGGCTTGAACTAATGAAGCTTCACAGAGCGCCAATTTTGCCGAGGGTCCAACCAGCGACGAAGCCCTTAGAAGCGAGGGTTCAAGCTACTACAACTCTCCAGACTAATTCGGTTTGAACTGAAAAAAAGCCATAGGTTTCCCATGGACTTTGCACAGGTCTAAGTCTGACTGACACGACTGTGGCCTCAGCGGGTGCAGCGGACGTACGGACGCTCGCCTAATTAGGTTTAGCTCGTCATATTATTAGTAATTCCGACCTGGATCTCACAAAATCTTCGTGGATAGCTTCAGTGATCACCAGATCGGGTAATTTTGGAGTAATAAATTGCAATTCGCCAGAATTTTCGATATTACAGCCTGTAGTAGGAAAACCAATACTCTTTTAATTATATATCCCTCACTTACCATAATAATTTGTACGGCAAGTAGAGGAAAGTTATATTGCAATAGCAAACTAGTATCTACTGTTGGCAAGAATATGAATCGGTTGAACGTTGTTCACCTGGTGCTGATATATATTTTGAATGTGGAGGTGTGTCGTGCCGCAAATGGCGGTCTCTTATTGGCCAGGGCTCAGATGACTAAGGTCCCGCGACTAGGATTGGCATTATCAGAAGATAATATCGTATAATAGTATCTATATCGTTATCGTATCGTTACGACAACGATAATGACCTCACGAAGATTTTCGACCACCAGCGATCTAAGCTAGCGGAGCTCCAGATGACCCAAGGGCCAAGATACAATCGCGCGAATCAGAGCTACACGAGAGCCCCTACGGCACCAATATACTAAGCGACAAATTAAACCGCTTAGCTAAATCGGTGCGCTATCGCCATACGATGCGAATCCATCAATTGCAGTCAGAATGGCAAAAGAAGATGCGAGCCTCGAGAAGCGGCTACGAAAGCAGTGGAAGGAATTATACGGCGAGGAGCTACAACCAACGCCTACGAAGCGAAGCGAGGCATCAATTGAAGCGGACAGGGCAGCACAAGAGCGTGGTAATATTTCTCTTATTGATAAAGAGCCATTGCGTTGATCATTTGTGTAAATAGTTTGATTTTGGTGAAAATGCCCTTCCGCCGTAGCGCACCCACAACGAGAAGCGGTGTGGGTGGGCTGAAGGTAGACCAGAGGGCACAGATATCAGCCACCCTTCGCGACGCACCCCCCACCCCGCTTCGAAGGACCGGTTTCACGATTTAATCCTTCATTTAAGAGACGCCATACCACACATTCAGCCGACCTTCCACCTACGTATATGCGACTGGTCTTCCCTTTTGTCCTTCCTTCATTATGCATTTCCTCCTTTCTTCCAATTCAACTGGGAGTCTATGGTGCGCCTACAATTTCCGCGATGTTAGATGTCTGATTATCGAGACATGAAGAGTGGGTACCCTAAAAAGCACAGACTCGGGTTCAAACCCCTCGTACATTCCTGGCCTTACTCAAGAGACCCAACTTTGTTAAACTTACAGGTATATAGTATGTATCAATCCTATGGGTGTTTTTGGTCCGCGGCAAGATAGAAGCCGTCGTGAGCGCCACTAAACTCTGGGCAGGATTGGCATATTTACTAAGTGCTGGAATATCAATCAATCATAGCAATTGCCGCTCCATTCCATAGAAACTACATCTTTACCCCACTATAACTATATCTTGGCTGAGCTTTTGATGGTTGCCGCCAAGGCTCCGCCGGGCTGGGGGACTATCTGGGGAATGCGGGGTTTGGCCATATATAATTATACCAGTCCGGGGGCTGAAGTCTTCCTTGGAGGTCAAAAGTTGAAGACACTTCTGCAATAAATCACCTTGTCAATCTTCGCCAAAATGACTGAACTATCGGCACCCAAAGGCGTCTGTGACCATATTGACTATGTCAACGGGGCTGACCCTTCGATTATCCAGGCTTCCTTTGACACCTTGCGGGGTCTAAGCAGGGATGATCTAGAGGCATTAGAGAAGCACTTAGTGCGCAAGGTGGATTGGCGTATGATGCCTACAATCACCGTCATGTTTCTCATGAGGTAGGCTTATGCTGTTGCCGGAAGGAATTCCTCACTAACTCAATACAGCTATCTCGACCGCATCAACGTCTCCAATGCACGGCTGGCTGGCCTGCAGGAGGATCTTGGGATAACAGACACGGTGTGGAATACAGGCATATCGATGTTTTATGTGGGCTACCTCATCGGCCAGCTTCCTGGGAATATGTGGCTAGCAAGATCTAATCCCCGGACGGGGCTCTCCGTTATGATGTTGTCATGGAGCATCTGTACTATATGCATGCCGATCATGAAAAGGTAAAGCTGCTCCGAGTGGGGTCAACGAAAGCTAAGACTAACGGTCTCCAGCGGGGTAGGATTCTGCATCTGTCGATTCTTTGTGGGTTTGACCGAAGCCCCATTCTTTCCCGGAATCGCTCTCTGTAAGATAATCGAACCATCTGATTTACTCCCACTTACTGTCGCCAGTGACTTCTTCTTGGTATAACAAGAAAGAAAGTCCCACGCGAATGGCCATCTGGCATGCAGGCAACACGATTTCCAATGTTATCTCAGGATTCCTCGCCGCAGGCATCCTTTACAATATGGACGGAATCCTTCAATTGCACGCCTGGCAATGGTTCTTTCTTATCGAGGGAGCAGTTTCTATCCTGGTTGCTATTGCTGCCTTCTTTTTGCTCCCCAACTGGCCCCATAATACCAAGTGGCTTACCGAGCAGGAACGGGAGATAGCCCAGTATCGAATCCTGCTTTCCAATGGTGGGTATGAAGAGACTCAGGGGGGGCACGTGGGATGGAGTCAAAGCCGCCATCAAAGAGCCCTTCACATGGATGTTCTGCGGTCTTCATTTCTCCCTCGTGAATGCGCAAAGCTTCAAGGACTTTTTCCCATCGGTACGACTTTTTGACCTCATGGTGCAGTGCATTTCCGAACGCTGATCCGATCTGACATAGATTCTTGCAACGTTCGGTTTCTCCGAGCTGACCACATACCTGGTTCAGGCCCCTCCATATATCATCGCGTATATATCGGCCCTTGCGATTGCATACTCGTCCGGAAAATACCAAGAATCATGCTACCACATTATCGTGCCGATTGTGCTAGGTGCAATAGGAACAGCGGTGCTTATATCGACCCTGAACGTGGGTGGTCGCTATTTTGGCATGATTCTCCTAATCAGTGGGACTTATTCGGGCCTCAATCTTCAGCTGTCGTGGGAGACGACGCTTGTGCCCTCGCCACGAAGCAAAAAGGCCGCCTTGATTGCCATTGCCAATTGTATCAGCCAAATCAGTCATTGGTTCAGCCCCTACTTCTTCCCCACGTCACAGGAGCCGTTCTATCGTATGGGAGGTGGTTTAATCCTGTTCGGGTGCATATGCACTGTGTTGTTGTGTTGGGCAATTAAATACCGGGCCAAGGTCCTCAATCGAAGATTAGATGCAGCAGAGGGATGGTCCAGGGATTGCGCGGTCGAGCGGGGCTGGCGGTATGTGTATTAGTCGGGCGTGTGTAGAAAAACCGTAGGCTGCTATCTAGCTGTAGGAGAATACCAGGTTGGATGGCGCCGGGTGATTAGGTGAAGGATACAAGATGGACTAGGGAAGGGAGGAGGATAGTGTGTTCTCATGTAACAGAGACTAACGCTTAAGGAACGGAGATTCTTCCTGCGTGAGTCGTATTTACAATGCGCTTCCCGGGTGACCCCTCACCCCAGAGATCTCTCCCAAAATTGACTATCATCGGCCTTCGTTATCGTGAGTTCTTTGAATAAGTAACAACGTGTATTTTCTAACTTATTTACTAGCCCTACAAATCCCCTCTTTTAAACCTTATTATAGGAACCAAGCGATATGGTATTCCCACTTATTTCCTTTCGGAACTACCTAAAGTTTGCCCCTTTAAGACTTAGATTATTAACTTTCATTTTGTCTTATATTGATAAAGATATTAGGTATACTATAGTACACTTCTTATACACAGACAGTTATAAAATAGTTAGCTTACCTCTTAGCAGAGGTATGTTAGATCTTGCTAGAGAGTATAAAAAAGATATTTTAGTCTACTATGTATTAGGTCTTACTAATCTTAAAGTCCTTACTTAGTAAAATATATAGTACTTTAATGAATATTTTTCTATTGTTAAGATATTATAGGTTATAAGGGATATTTTTTAAGTCTCTTTGCTAATTAGTGAAACTTAGCTTCTAGGTTATATTTAGGAAAACTTATAGTAATAACTAAGGCCTATTAATCTAGGGCTTAGTTTATATAAATTTTATGATATTATTAGTTAAGATTATTAGTTAAATAATATAGTAATAAAATTAATCATTAAGATACTATCTATTGTAATGGGGATTCTGCTCTCAACATCGGAGTCATGTGACTAGAGCCTTAGCAACAAGGTGTCTGCTTACAGGGAGATATTTAGTTCGCGCGATAGCATTCTAGGAATACACACACCTGTCAAGTGTCATGATTCAGTCTTTTCAGTTCCTGCGGCGGTGGCGGTATCGGTGTACTGCTCATAAAGGCTCGGATGCCTTAGGAGGTTATATCTTAGTGGCCATCGCCTTGCCTACTCTCCTGCACACTACGTGTGTGGTGGTTTTGTCCCTCTGCGATCGACCCGTCTGCTTGACAGACAGCCAGCGAGCATTCCCATCTTTCACTATTTATATATTTTCTATATAAGATTAGTATAGTAAGCTACTTCTTATAAATTAATAATATACTAATTAGGCTAAACTAATATTTTATATATTATTAGTAAAGATACTAAATAATATTATCTTAAATAAATCTCCTTAAGAGCCTATCTCTAAAGCGTCTAAGCCTGTCCTAGAAAAGACTAAGTCTTTTATCAAAGAGTCTAAGCCTATTCTAGAAGAGATTAAGTATTTCCCTAAGCCTGCCCTTAAGCCTGCCACAGAAGAGACTAGTATTAAAGGAAATAGTGAAGAGTGGACTATTCTCTAAATATCTACTAATACCAATAGCTAACTATATATTTCTTTAATACTAGAGGGTATACCTAATACTAAATTATTATAAAAGACTTTTAATCGGGGCTATATAGTAAATATTTTAAACTTAGACTTAAAATCTACATAAGAATTAGAAAAATCTATCTTTAAAGAAAAAAACTAAAAGAGCTAGTAAACCTAGGTCTAGAGAATATCCTATCCTAAGTAAGACTAGTTTTATTTCTATAGTTATAGATCAAGAGTAATTTAGGATATCTTTAGCTAGGCAATCAAACTATTTACTTTCTAATTATAAATTTATAAGATACCAAGAAAAAGTATGGAGGTAATCTATAGGCCTAGAGTAAGTTAGAAGTTTTTACTCTCCAGTTTAATAGAGATAATAACAATTAAGAGTAGCTTTTATAAATTCAATATATTATTAGTACAATATTACTCCTTTCTCTACTTTAGAGTAACTTAGTCTCTCTAGGAAGTTGAGACAGTAAGTACAGATGGGTAATAGATAGTGTAGAGTAATAGCTAGATATAATTGGCTAAATAAGACTATCTTTATTACTAAGAAAGCAGCTATTCAGACCACAGTCTAGATTATAGGGATCTTCACTGATAGCTTATACAAAGACCGAGGCAAATTCTAGGAAACGGGAGTTTAAGGGATCATCTCTATTGAGGGATCTCAGCTAAATTCGAGGACCACGGCCTATCTCAGGAAACAGGACTCCGGGGATTGTATACACAATAAATACCAGGAGGCTCTTGGGCTCCCTGCCACTCTGGGCGTATCCGTCAGCGAGGAATGCGCTTTCTAGATGAATAATGATTAAGTCTACTGTATAGTCAGGGCTTATCATTGCGTTATTTTAAAAATACCCCCCCCCCCGGCGAAATATCATGGCACTAGCTCATTTCAATGATCGTGATGACTCCCGCAACCATTAAAATCTGCCCCTTATATCAGTAAGACTTTCGTAACCGTCAACAAGCCATACTTGGCGGCCTAGGACAGGGTATACATCCCCGATAGCCACGAGAATCAATATCTTAACTGCTTTATAGAAGAAATAGAAGAAGATTTGTACAGTTTCCCATAACTACATAATAAAGAAGAGATCTCTCATAACAATCCAGTCACATAAAGGATCCTCGGGACTCAAGCGACAGATAAGCCTTTTCAACGAATACCGTAATTTCTTTATTTCTTGATATCTCCTTACTAGTTCTCAGATTATCAAACTCAGGGCCAGTAATTAGCCAGTCAACAGCAAGTTTTACTTTCATTGAAGTAGAATAGCTCGGAGTATCAGAGCTCAAGTTACTATTATCGCGTAACAGTCTCAGGTAAACCAGAAACACAAGTCTAACAGATAGGGTTAAAGCAAAGGCAATAATAAGTAAATCCCCGAGAACCCTTTCCATAAGTTATTAGAGTAAGTAGGCAAGAATAGCATTATTAGGTTCTATAATGCTCAATCTCACTCAGTCTCACAAAATAGTAGCGAATCTCGTAATGGCTAGAGTTTGACTAGCTAATGCCAGGCCTAATATAGAGAAAGCCATAATAGTAGAACAGATCTGGATTATATTGCGGGTAGGAGAGTTTGTCATTACAGTATAAGTAAGCTATTTTAAAGCTAGTTAGGTGGTACCTTGATTCAAATCTTATATAAGGGTAAAGGTATAGATAAGCAGTATCAGAGAAGGTCTGTCGAGGCCCCTTAGTATATCTTATATACACCCTGTAGCATCTGTAAGCGGAGCTAATCATCCAGATCCGGGCAATATCTAGTATAGCTGACAAGGCTTTGCTTTTCTCGTTATAACTTTATCCCAGAAATTAATAGAAACAAAGAAACTTGGGCTTTGTAACTGCAGAAGTGGGTCATATTTTGTCACACGGCTAGCCTTTTGACACAAGTGAATAAAGAAACCTAATGAATTTGTCAATCATGGCGGTCGCCTCGTGGTGGCTCAGGCTTATTAATGAGATTTTGGGCTTACTTCCTTTTAGGTTTAACAGAAAGCCCAGTATTCGTATCCTCAATGATTTACGGTTAATATCGCGAGTCCAAACAAAACTTATGATGAGCCAGGCTCGGAAAATTATATAGCTCTCTTAATTATACTTTGTGGTAAGTGAAAAAAAAATATTCGGACTATTTACAGTAAATTCGGTATCTCTATACCATAGTTAAAACTATCTTAGATGATATCTATCGCTATCGACACAGCCATCCGGAAGGAATTTTATCCAATAGGTCAGTCTTGCCTTTAATATATACTGTGTCTCAATATATTCTGCTATCCAAGACAAATTATGAGCAGAACTCAAGTAGGCTATACCCTAATCAACGGACGCTATAATATGGTCAGAATTGGAGGGCTCCCTAATAGCTTACAAAGCAGTAGGTATTCGGATAATTACCCAAGAGTTAAATCTTAGTTTCTTTTGAGTTCAGTCTTAAGCTTCCAAGGTTGAAGAACTGGATAAAAGATTTGTGAATTTCTTACCCCTAGGAGCTCTTTGTTTTTGTTTTTCATCTCATGTGTCCAAATGTCGGTGCAAATGAAACTTCGTAGGTTGAGGCGCTACTGGGACGTTTGGAGCTCCACACTAAGAACTTGAAACTTTTTCTTCATTAATCGAAAGACTCCATTATGTGTTTTCGAAGTTTCCCAGTAGATGTAGTGTGATTGTTGTATTTTGCCGTATACTTCCAGGTGGCGACGTCATGTGCTTTTCTGTCAGGACAGACCGCCCTGATAGTGGGGCTGATACCGTGACTGCCCTAATTAGGAAAGGTCTCTCCTTATCAGTCCAGCCTAACGGGGCCGCCTCTGCTGCCTCAACACTCAAACAAACCAGCCCCCTTTGCGCCTTGGGAGATTGTGGCTATCCTGATACTTGCAGCTGGTGGGACCTCGCAGCATAAAAACTTGGATTGAGATACCCAAGAGCCACCGTCTTTGCCGCGCCCCCTTGACTCCTGCATCACGAGACCACTCCAATCTGCATCCTTGAGCCTCATCGTGTGATTGCCACCCAGGATCGCGCATAACGAGCTATATCGAGCGAAAGATCCAGTGACACGCCCGTTCTACCTTTTTAAACTTTATCTCATGAAGAAGGAACTGTATGGTTACGGCCGAGAGTGATCTCGCAGCCCTCTTGACACATTTTTGAATCTAATATACCCCCGAGTTCCCTGGATTGGCGCTCAATATGTCTCTCCCAAGTACCGCCTCATCCCCAGATCCTGCGACAAGCCCTCCTGGCGAGGATATTGACCTGACCCGCGAGCGGGCGTCACAGACAAACCCTCGTGAGAGTGACGCCCCAGCTGAGACCTCAGCCCCCATCGTCCTCGATTCCGATTCCGACCCCGATGTTACCGAGTTGCCCACACCCCCAACACACAATGTCCCCGCAAAACAAACTCAGACCCGAGCACACTATGGTGAAGCGACTGGCCCCGAAGCCTATGTTAGAAGCCTGCCTCATCGATCTGCCGCGCCACCATGCAATGGTTCACAAAGCCGGCCCGGACTGGTAGGATCGACATACGATACCGCAATAGATATTAGCTCTTCACCTCCGGCACTGAGCAGAGTCGTTAGCGTTCCCCGATCCCCGCCATCCTTGTCTCGAAGGGTTTCGCAGCGATCTAGCTACATCGGCGACGAGTACCCAGCACCGCATAGAGGTCCTCCATCCGCTACATCTATATTTGATGTCGATATGCCTCAAACACATTGGCTTGGGAACAGCCCAGGTCGATTTAGTGCGCCTGGAAGACGATTGTCCCGGGATACTCTCGAGGCGCCAGGTGTCTATGGCGGTTACAGATTTCCCGACATGACTCGGTCTCAAAATGGCGCCGGCGAGGCAAGCATCCGGGATCCAGTATCCCGAAGAAGACCGTCATCTATGTTCATGCCTCACCCGTCGCGAGATTTGGTCGATGGCTTCGAGAATATGATGTATGGAACGTCGCCTACTTCCACCAGACGATTTTCCGGGGGGTCACCGCGCTATTACTCCGATAATGCCGGGCCACCACGGCGTCAAAGCTCGGATATCTATGACCCCAGCTCACGGAACAGGTCCTTTTCCGATCGATACCCAGGCGAGTCGTCCAGTCTATCTCGACCAGGTGCCCACCAGCGATATTCAAGTATGAGCACGCCAAGATGGCAGGGTGCCGAAGGACCTAGTCGCAATCGTCGTGACAGGGGTTCATTGCCTACATCAGGGCAAACGCTGCGAAACACGACCCTCGACGATATTTTCCAAGATATCAGTCTTCCGAGATGGCAACCTGACTCGGAAGTATCGACCTGTCCTATTTGCGAGACAATTTTTAGCTTCTGGCATCGAAAACACCATTGTAGAAAGTGTGGCCGGGTCGTATGTGCTGCATGCTCACCTCATCGTATCACAATTCCCCGACAGTATATTGTTCGACCACCGGAGTCCACAACTACCCCGCCCCCTGGTTCTTCGCCACCTTCCTCATCCAATGTTGTCGATCTGACAGGCGATGATGTCCCGACTTCAAACCCCGTTCTCAATCCTGCCCTGGGAGGTGGGGAAGAAGTCCGCCTATGCAATCCTTGCGTACCGGATCCCAATCCCAACCCACTGGGATATGACGCTTTACGCCCGCATGGTCACCGCTCCACTCATTCTTTGTCGTCGACCATGGGAGGTGCCTGGACTGTGAGTTCTTCGGCCGCATCTATCTCTTTGCCCAACCCTCAAACTAATAATATATTTCTCTAGCCCGATAGTCGCAGTTCACGACAAGGCCGACTAACTGTTGGTGCGAATGACCGACCGTCAGCACTGGGAGGACTACGCCAGGACGCTCAACGATCTTTCCAAGCCCCAACAGGAGAACGAGCCTCACGAACTAACTCGATATACCCGGTATTCAATCCACCGGAACAAGCGCAGCGTCCTTCGGCAGTTTCTGAACGAGATCTCTGTCCCATATGTGGCAGCAGGTTCCCACCTCTCGATGACGAGCATCCTGCTGAAGCCCGCGAAGCACATATCCGGCAATGCATCGATGGATACGGGGCAAGTCGTGATTCCCCCGGCAGTCAAGGTCCCGCCGAGGGTTCGGCACTGAATTCTCCGCCACATTCTCCTCCTATCGCTCGTATGCTGGCATTTGTTGCGACAGAGAAGGACTGCCTCGGTGATGATGGCGAGGTGTCAGAGTGCACGATCTGCATGGAGGATTATGAGGTTGGGCAGGTCCTAGCCCGGTTGGAGTGTCTTTGTAAATTCCATAAGGAGTGTATTGTGGATTGGTTTGGGAGAAAGGCTGAGTGCCCGGTGCACAAGCTGTCATACTAGTAGAGGTGGTTAAATTAGACATTTGCTGGGGTGATTGAATATGGTCAAAGTACTAAATGTAGGGTTGAGGTGCAATTTTGGCGTTTGAATTAGGTGGTGTTTTGTTTCTTCTCTGCTTTTTGTATATTCCCCTCATCGCGATGAATGAACTTGAGATTTCTTCACTCTCCTGTCCACTGTCTACTGCATATCAATTAGCAGTTATATACTATTCCATGGATAATCGATAAATATATTTCTGTTCTTTTGTCAGGCTCGGTCACGTGCGCTGACCGATCTCACTTCCCTTTTCGTTTTCCTTTTGACTCTCTTCGGACTCCATCCAGGTTGCTTTGATTCATTACAGCAGTCCAGAGGCTAATTCATAAATCTGACAGCTAGCTCACTTATAAAACGCGAACGCCCCTTGCTTTAGGTCAGCGCCAAGTCTCCACAGACATTGCTCGACCGCCCTGAAGGCCACGAGTTCGACGTCGGTGATCGGTGCTTGCGTCCGCCGTGCTCCGCTCGTCTCGAAAAGTCCCAAAACAATCTCGAATCTTCGCGGGGGACAATCCACAGCTGATATTCAATCCATTCCACCTCTATAGCGAATGACTTAGCCGCAGCCACTTTTCCACCCACCACGCGCGCTCCACAGGCCGATCAATTGGGCCCCGCCGGAGTTTCCATCTCCGCACCGTCGCACCGCTCGATCTCTCTCACGGACGACGGCATTTTTTTCGCCGTCCCGACCGACTACCGACTTCTTAAGAAACAACAATGTCTTCCGACTATCCGGAACCCCCGTCACACAACTTAGCCGACTCACACAGCCATGGTGCACCACTGGGGGATCGGCCCGGTGTCGATATGTCACACGCAGCCGAGACCTCCGCCGAACCCGACGACATCAAAAGACCACGCGCCTGTGAGCCCTGTCGCCAGTTGAAAGTCCGCTGTGACCCGGATCCAACGCACCCACATGGCTCGTGTAAGCGTTGCGCTAAAGCGCATCGCACATGTATCACCACGGCGCCGACTAGGAAGCGCCAGAAAAAGACCGATAGTCGTGTGACGGAGCTGGAGCGGAAAATCGACGCCCTGACAGCCACCCTACAAGCTTCCCATAACAAGCCATCCATGGCTCCGCCGCCACAACCGCAACACTCTTTGTATGATACACATACCAATGCCCCAGTTGGAGGAACTAAACGCAATCATGATGGATTTCTTGCTTCACAGTATGCTCGCTCAGATAGTCCTTCCGCGCAACAGCTCCCTAGACCCTCGGAGTCTGTGCACTGGCGTGGCCCGTATGCTGGAGACATTGTGCCTCCAGAGCCGGCTGCAAATGCCTTTGCTGATGTTATTGATAAGGGCATCGTCGATATTGAGTCGGCCAGTGCCGCATTCCAGCGCTATGTCACCCGCATGGCGCCGGAGATGCCATTCGTGATTATTCCGCCAGGGACTACCATGGGTGATGTGCGTCGGGACAAGCCCGCGCTATTTCTGGCTATTATCGCTGCGGCAATTGGTCCGTTCAAAAAGGATGTACAAGTCACACTTCTTAATGACGCTTACCAAACAATTGCCGATCGCGTGGTTGTCAAGGGAGAAAAATGCTTGGAGTTAGTACAGGCGTTGATGGTTTGCTCTATCTGGTATCTACCGCCAGATAAACTGGAAGAGTTGAAATTTTACCAATTGGTTCATCTCGCCGTGATATTATGTATGGATCTTGGTCTGAATCGCCCTGTTGGCAATGAACCGAGGCCTTTTGTGAAACTCCGCGAGCACCTGATCAAAAAGCCGCCTGGAGACATGAAAGGTCCAGAGGCGAGAAGAACGTGGTTAGGATGCTATTTCATGTCGGTACAGTAAGTTGGTCTCCACATTTAGAATGTGTTACTCCAGGTACTGACCTCGGCAGAGTTTCTACTGCTTTAAGGCGAACCCAGCTCCTGAGGTGGTCAAGCTATATGGATGAATGTGTTGAGACCCTTAAAAGCCATCCCGACTCTTTACCCACCGATCGCCAGGCGATATGGTGGGTGAAGTTGGCTTTTATTATGGAAGACGCTAGTACGCAGCTTTCCGATGATACCGAGACGCTTTCGTCCTTCATCGATAGCAAGGTCCGCTATACCATTCGAGGATTTGCCAATCAGCTGTCACAATGGAGGAGAGACATCCCAGACGACATTTATTCAGGTTTGTATCTCCACACTTCTGTGTTGTAGTATTCTTGCTGACATCCTCCAGACGTTCTGGCGCACACTTATCATGTGCTTAATCTTTTTGTACACGAAACCGCGATGGGCATCGACTGCAAAAATAACGGCATCATAAAGTCACCCTCAGGTGATCAGCTCCCATCATCCGCGATTGCTCCACTCATCGATGCTTTGACCACTTGTATCAGCTCGATTCACCAAGCATTTGACATTATCATGAGTGTCGATCCGGATAGACTTACATGTCTGCCAACAGTGGCACTGGCCCGAACATCGTATCCCCTTGTGAGCCTGATCAAGATACATTGTCTTCTCACCGTGCCGGACAGTCGCATCGGCCAAGTCATCGACATAGAGAGTTTGAAGCTGGAGTACTACCTCGGCCATATCACAAACCACTACCGAAAAGCCGCCTCGCTCGGCGGCGGTCGCGCGGCCGCCAAATTCGGAAACATCATCACCATGCTAAGGACTTGGTATATCAAACAGAAGGACAACGGTCCCGCATTGAGAGAAATATTTGCAACAGAAACAAATGAAGCCGCCGAAGTTAAGCAACCGGTATGTGTCCCAATTTCCTTCAAAGAAGGGAAGTAACCCAGTACTAACAAATATCTAGATGCGAGGAAGTACCACCCCTCTCGAGCTTCTCAGTATAGTAGCATCCTCCGGTCGAACAAAACAGGACACAGTAGATCCCTTCTCCGAACGCCGAAACCAAGCAGTCTACACACCATCAACCCTAACACCCGGTCTCCCATCAACCCAATCACCAAACCCAGCAACCAGACTAGACCCTCTAAACCACCTCCCCAAGCCAGAATCAACCTGGGCAACACCCACCTCCTTCTCACCATCCATCCACAACCCATCAATATCATCAATGACACCAACCTCGACCACCGAGACAGATCAAACCCGAGGATTTTACCAATACCCGCAGCCCTACACAACGCCAAACCACAACCAACAACCACCATTGCAAGAAATGCCAATGGCCAGCGGCACCGCTGCCAGTGGCAGTGCCGGAATGCCCATGGCGCCCATGATGGGCGTGCCCGGTAACGAAATGGCCATGGATCCCAACTTCGGTCCGGAGAGTTTCTTCGCGCTGGAAACTATGATGGATGAGGGGTTGTTCACTTTCCCGCTTTCGTTTGAGAATTTCAATGCTTTGCAATTTTAGGTGGTGTCTACCATGCCTAGTTGCAATTTTCTCAAGTACGAGTGTCCGTGCTAGTGTATTTATGGATATCGTCTATATTATTGTTGTTTTTGTTTATACGTGGCTCTGTTTTTCTATGTTATGATGGATGAGTCTCTACTCCATGTATTATATACCCAATGAAATAAGCCAATTGCCATGACTCGTACCGTTTAAAGTGACAGATAAAATATTGCCTCCTGCCAGTGCATTTCGAATATCTTGTCATCTTGAAAATGAACTTCCAAGGATTTGGAACTCAAAACAATTAGACTCCCAAATGTTCCAAGAGTAAAAATTAGTAGAGGATGCTTCAAAATCAATCCCGATGGACAAACCAACGATGCTTATTTACATTATCCTTGTGATTGAAAGACCGGATGTCTTCAAGATGAGGGCATTCAAACAGCGCGGTGCCGCGTCCAGAGGCGCCTCGTAAACTGGGTTGCCATCTCAATCAGGACATTATTCATAAATTGATTCTGAGCTGACATATCTCAGTTTGAATTCCTTCAAAGGGCCTCTTCTTCTCGCCGTTCTCATCGCAGACCTCTAAATCTTCAATCACATACTCCGCCATAACAGCCACTCTACATGGTGGCGGCAGATTCTCCCAAACTCTACGCACAATTGAATTTGAAACTGGAATCTCAATAACTTCAAACCCACATCGTTTCGCCTCCCCGACCAGCCAAAGTGCCATACCCTTCATAATGCCCCTTCCCTCATAATCACCCCTCGTAACTGACCCCTTCCTCATCAACACCTTTCCCAATGGCGCATCTCTATAGCCATCCCTAGCCGACGCCGGAATGAGCGAATCAAGGTGAACACATGCTTGCTTATAGCCTGGCCGGATATCAAGATAGCGCTGCATTTTACGCTTATCGGGTGGATTTGCCGCATCATAACTTAATGCAATAGAGACAAGGGGAAAGTCAATTTGGTGAAGGAGTTGTTCCGACGACGCTTCGGTATCGTTCTCGTCCCAGTGGAGCTTTCCCCCCATTTTGATTGAGGAGGAATAACGATAAGAGTATTCAGTGTCAAATACACCGAAAGACATGTTTGAGTTTATTGCGTGGCGCACTAGATATTCAACTGCATGGTATTGTTGGTATGCCATAATTGTTTGGTTTCCAGACTCCACAGCTGGGCAGAATGAGGAGGGAGATGTCTTGCTTTGCACAAAGAGAGCTTTGACGGCATATATGTCGGCGAGTGTGAGTCTGCGGATTTGGTATCGTGGTGGAAGAGTGCTCGGAATTTGTACTCTTGTCATTTTGGTCGTTAACAAGGTAGATAAGTATATAGAACTTGATAAGGTTTGTGGAATTGATGGATTATCGTGTGATTTTCAGTTCGAATTGCGTGATCAGGGTCTGCGCAGGCTTGGTATTTAAAGCACTATTCAAGTTACTTCAAATTGAAGGAGAAAAATATCGGCGATGAGTCCCTGACTCGGGTTTCAATTGTGCGTCGTCATGCATACCTAGCTAGTAGGTTGGAAACTTGAAATGTAACGCCAAGGTTTGTGGAGTCCCGATGTGATTGTTAGAGCCAGCGCAAGGATCGACACTAGTGCCTGATCAGTTGGAGATCGGTAGCATTCTCACATCATTGATAGGTCGATTTGATGGTCCCACTCATTAATCTATGTATGTACATACACAGCATGCGCTTTAATGTTAACTTCCCTGAATGATGTCATTTTCTTTGATTTAGGTGATGTATGCCCGGGTGTATGGTCATGCACTTTTAATGCTTCGCGTATAAAGCACGCATGCTTTCTCAATTGAGATTAGACCGAACGGACGGCCGATCTAGTACATGCGTTCCCGAGGTCTCTGCAAAATGACGATTGGAACCAAATCGATGGCATTTAATACTCCGATTGCCCCCGAGATAGAAAGCTGACCGATGTTATGGCATCTCATGAAGTAGAGAGTGCTTGAAATACAAATCAATCAGCAACACCTAAAACATGTTCACGAACTAGATTCCAGTACGCGCGTTTCCACCAATATACTGCATAAAGGGGGGTGAGATTCGTCGTCATTGTTCCTGAGCGACCTGATAAGCATCATGCAGCATACCCCTATCTGCCCCTTGTTTGGTGACTTAACTTGTTCCCAACTCTTAGCTTACACTGCGATTTGCTTTAACAAATTTAAATTCAGAACCGCATGATGGCGAAAGTCGACTTTTCCACAGACAATGATGATATCTATAAACGATTCTCACCGGGGCGAAAGGTGGTTATCACGATGGTCCTTGTTTGGTCAACATTTCAATGCACACTCGCTACTACCACGGTTGTATCGGCCATCCCAGAAGTAAGCTCAACATTTCATACTACAGAAGCCGTCATCGCAGTCTCCAATGCCCTTATGATTCTCTGCCAAGTCGCTGGGCCCATCCTCTATGCCCCAATCGCCAACACCATTGGTCGCCGACCCGTTCTCATTACGACAAATGCCATATTGCTGGCGTTTACTCTGGGCACCGCATTATCTCCGAATCTCCCGAGTTATTTTATATTTCGATTTCTCACCGCACCTCAAGTGACAGCCAACCAAGTCATTTCAACCGTCGTCATTGGAGACATCTACCCGGCCATCACGCGCGGCCGTGCGTTAGGATGGATGATGGTGAGCACAACTCTCTCGCCAGGCTTGGCACCTCTCATTGGTGGAGTGATAGTGAATTATGTCTCGTGGCGTGTAATATTCTGGGTACAAACCGGCACGGCGAGCCTGTCGGTGCTTTTGCTAGCCATATTGCTGCCAGAGACGATCCACGAAAGGAAGACTCACTTGTTCGCCGACTTGTCTCCTTGTAGAAAATTCAAGAAATTCATCCGCCTGATGGATCCATCAGAGATAATCACTCTTTTGCTTTCGTCCCCGGGTCTCTTGGTTAATGCTGCCACAGTAGCTACCCTGCACTGGAACCAGTATTCCCTTCTCACGCCAATCCGCGAGGTGCTGAATCCGCGCTTCCATCTCAGTTCACCCCTGCAGGCAGGTCTTTTCTACCTGGCACCATCTGCAGGATATCTGACCGGGCTACTCTGCGGCGGGCAACTTTCAGATTGGGTCGTGGGGCGGTACATCCGACGTCGCGGGCGGAGAGTACCAGAGGACCGACTGAATAGTACAGTGGGCGTGGTGGGCATAGGATTGCCAATCTGCTCTATCATTTATGGATGGGTAGTGCAAAAGGCTGTCGGTGGCATTCCCCTAGTGGTGGTCGCGCTGTATCTGCAGGGTGTGTTTCAGGTGGTGGCATTCATCAGCCTGAATGTATACTGCGTTGATGTGATGGAGGGCACAGGCAAAAGCTCACTAGCTGTCGCGGGAAGTTATATGGTTCGCAATGTGGCCGGGGCAGCTGGAACAGCTGCATGTCTTCCTGCTATTGAGGCAATGGGGGTTGGATGGTTTATGACTATCGCATCGGGCCTTTTGGTGATCGCTGGGGGGTTGCTGTGGTTGGCGACGCGACGAGGAGAGGAGTGGCGGATTCGCAAGGAGGAAAAATCCTAAAAACCTGGAAGAACGTTTAATTAAACTCTTCATAAAGTGTCAAGACCGTGCCTGAACTTGAACTTGAACTTGAACTTGTAGTACGCAAAAGCTCCCACATCAAAAAAGGCTCGAGGATATCGTATGGTGATAGACTTTTTCTTTGTCATTCTCGATTCATAATCGAACAATATGGGTATATAACATTTTTATCGCGAATTTCCCTGCCAGGTATGAAGAATCCGTTGTTCCACATATGCCCATGGCCATCCATTCTCTCGTTCAGTGCGACGAAGTAGATCGAATAATAAATTTTGGGCGAGAGGTTCGTCTATCCATGAGCTGCCTGCAAGGATTGAAAAAAAGGATCGTTAGTAAACAGCCAATTGCAATATCTTGAATATGGATATAGCAGTAAACATACAGGCACATAGGGCATGGCATGCCATAATGCGCAACGATGGCTCATCATCGGCAGATAGTGCAATGCCGAAGAGATAGTTGAGGTTTTCAGTAATTCGTCCCTATAGAAAGCATTAGAACAACGCCCAAAGCATCACAATCACAGCCAATTTTTACCTTGATTTCAACTCGCTGTTCGTGTGAGTTTTCATAAACCTCTGTCTCGCGAATCAGCATTAGTGCCTTGGCGAGACATAAATGTTGCATCGCGGTAGCTGCCAAGGAGAAAACAATGTTAGCCACAAGCCCCACTCTGCCCCGACGCATCCGCATTCGCATTCGCATCGTGCAAAGCAATCAACAGGACACTTACAATGCCATAAGCTTGTGTATAGCACAACCGGGAACGGCTTCCCTCGTGCGTGGTCGGGTGATGAGATGTGTAACGGGACGAACGTATCGGGTCGTCCATGCTCCCATTCAAGAATTCTCTGCTTCAGAGCATTCTCACCAGCAATACCCAGATGGCCGCCATAGTTTTGCCCAGAGACGTTATAACAAAAGTCAATAGTCTCGGCAAGGATCCAGATCGCCCGGTTGACCCAGTCGCCGTCATTGAGGACCGGCTTGGTGACCCACCACTGGCGGAGGCGATCGTCGAAGGGGGCAAAGGTTAGCCGAAGACATTTTTGGTACGTAAGTGCGAACTGGATATCCTGAATTACGAAGACCCAGAAGGAGGCCGAGGCGAGGCCACCGGAGATAGCGCAGTCCACATGTGAACTGATGTAGACAGACCCTGCGAGGAGGTGGCGCTGCGGGTCATTGGAAGGAGTGTGGGCTGGGAGTAGGGGTCAGCCGGGGGGAAGTCGCTTGTCGGAGATTATGTGGGGGTAGAGGATTAGTTAGGGATAAACGTACATGAGATTTGTTCGAAGAAGCGTAGGATCACGGTGGAACTGAGGAGAATGTCAATGCCAATGTCGAATTCGGGTTTGTCGAGCACTGGTAACATAATCGAGATACAGCGCTCGTGATAGCTGTCGGCGACATCCGGGGCGATCGTATTTGCTGTTCGAGATAGATGGCATGCTGATACAGCAATACATGCGTAAAGAAGTAGTGGGCATCGACTGGCCAAGTGGGCCACATCCGAGGTAAACCGGTGTTCCGGGTCTCCGGCATCGAGCTGATTAGTTAGTCAAATAGGATCGAACAAGTTTGTAAGAAAAACAAACTCACCCATGGTGCAAGGTACTGTTGGTAATGTCGAAGCAAATACGCCTCGTTAATACTTGCCAGCCTTGGCTGAACAATGGGCGTGTTTGAGGAGAGGGGTGAATTTGCAGAGGTTGAACGTGAGCCACGAGAATCTGCGACATAGAGAGGAACAGAATTGCTCAGACCCTGGACAGAGGGGTCCATGGTTGAGGATGAAGTCGAACGAGCCTCTGAGGGTGATCTAGAAGCCGATTTAGATTCTCTCACGGACACAACATGATACTCTGATGCAGTCTGGTCTGTTTCGTCTTTGAAGGAATCTGCAGGTCTGAAAGTTAATTCTCTGTTTTTCTCTGTTTATTTTTGTCTTAATTTTGATTTCTGCGTCTCATTTGCCGACCAAAAAATGCAAAGTTTGGACAACTATCGCCTCTCACTTACATTCAGAAGATGTTTCGACCCAGACCTGATCATCTGGAAACGCTAGATCGCTCTCCCCGTATCTCGGGGGGCCCTTTCCTCGTAGAGACGGGTTCTGGCCGTGGCGAAAAGAGACCTCTTCAGATTTGCCGGGAGCCGGCACACATTCGCGACCAGATCGCTGGCATCGCAGGCATTTTGCTCCCGATTTGTCACCTGTACAGCTTATTAGATATCGCACAGAGTCATGAAATAAGGAGGAAACAGTATAATACATTTCAAATGGCGCAGCCGACAGGTGAGGCTAGACAAGAACTTTGTCAGTAAACTTGGCGAATTGGGACTTGCGTAGGCATCCGAATTTGTACTCACCATCCCCTCATCACGCGCGACAGTAGCGGGGAGACACACGAAGAAGGAAGGTTTCCAGAAAGGAATCATAACTCGGTATTCCAGGTCCGAGGCTTGGGGATAAATAAAGACACCCCCGGAAACGGCCAGGCTACGATTCTGGATGATGGGATTGATGGAGCACTGCTAATCAATATCTCAAGCGGAGAGAGTGGAGATCACGAAAGGGCATGGGTAGATCATAGCGAGTTTACGTGGATTTTTTTTTGGAGTACCAACCAGCCAACGCCCGGTCTGTTGGAGATTAGCTTCAACCAGGAGGGGAGAATTCTCTTTGGCTTTGCCCCTCGACCACCCCTTAGCGTGGGTGTCTTTTGGTCTTGTTGGGTCGAGCGGGTTTCAAGGTTAGGCTGAGCTTCATGCGAATTGGTCCTGATAGAAAAAAGAACCCGCCCGGGAAGGTCCAGTGGTGGCCCGGCTTTGATTATGATTGCAACGCTCCCCACCCGCCCAGCGTTTTGACAGTCTCCTGCTAGATTTGGTTGGTACACACACCCCCACGCATCCGCAACAAACTTTTGCACTCACCTCCGATCAAGACCGATCGTTGCCCGAACCAGAAAGATCTAGGAAACAGGGCGTCGCCGAGACGCCGCGACAGACCTCGGGAACCCGGCAAGGTGAAAACAAGCGAGTCAAACACGGTGAGGATTGTATCAGAATATTGACTATAATGTGCCTAGGTCATACGGCCGAGTCTTCCTTGCTCCCCAAACGGCCCCCATTTTGGTATGTTTGTATTTTCCCTATTTTCTTTCCTTTGTGCTGTGTGGGAAGGTTGATCCTAGCGACAAATGTTTAGCGGTATGCATCAGACCAATCACAGTAGGGCGGTACACGGCTGGCTTTGCAGTCGGGGAATTTTTTATGATGTTGATTGAATCCAGTGGAATTAGTCATCAAAGGTCATTGTCATGCTTCACGCATTCTTACTGTGGCTTACTTGCTGGGAGGTAATGCCACGGCAAGTCCAAAGTTCCAAGTGTCTAAGCTTTGAGATGCAAATTTAGCGCAGCCAGGGGCGACAAGCTGTCACCCACTTGAAACCGGGCAGTTTTCACCGAATTACCTGGTTCAGGGGACACGTCCGTTAATATCAGCCATATTTCCGGGACCATTGTTCAGCATTGTTCAGCCGCCGCCCATATGGCAGCAGACAGTGTTGGTACTAACTCTAAGAAGGAAGGCTAGACGTACATACAGACTTTCCCGCCCCTCCTGCGGACCGAGTATCGCTAGGAGTGCGCTATGCCATCACAACAATCATTGGATCGGCGACGCCGGAATCGACTCCTGTACCTGACAAATCCCGCAAATCCCGTAAAAGTTGGCTGAAGGTTGGTGGCACAGGAGATTCGGTGGCACAGAAAAAGCCGAGTGGGGCGAATCGAACAAGGTAATTCGGCACTGACCGTGATTGCTTCGGGTTTCATTTTACTAGACCCCGTGGATGGCGTACTCCGGACCCGTCGAACCCTGTCGATCGTTGGGGGGGTTGGAGGCGTACGAAGCCGATGATGTGATTCGATGGATATGAAGGCTGTTGCGCTCGAAAGATTCCGTGACGCGTCTGCAGCCCACAAAGTTAAATGAGCTTTGCCGGAGGTATAACCAGAGTAGTGTGAGTTCGTCCGTGGATGGTGTGGGGAGGACCAGATGCCGAGTCTTTCAGCTGCCTTTTTTAGATGATGTGCCGGAGGTAGACCGAAAGAGGCATCTCCTGACAATTGGGAGATTAGTCTCATATGCGATCGATGATGAAGTATATTCCATGATCCATACCTAGGTAATCCACCTGGGGAATCCCCGAGTTCAAGTTCATTCGGGGACCATCATAAATGTAGTAATGCAGTTGGCCAGTGTACAGTAGATGGTATCAAGAGCATGTGGGAAAGTCGGGAACCAAGCACGTGTTTTATGCTTATTTGATTTGTTGGGAAGGCGTGATGCAATTGAGCGGGGGAGTCAGGTGACTCCCCGGATTCCTTGTTTTGGAACCCATTCTGACGCCCGCGTCCATTCTTTGTCCCCAAGGAAAACATGTCGCTCAACCGCATCTCGTTCCTCGAAGGGTGGGAGCGGAATCCTGCGGCTTTTCTGCGGGGACGAGTGGAGGAAACGGGTTCCGCGGCTTCTGATGAAGAGTCTGACGTGGATCAGGACTTACCAGAGTCTCTCTCCTCTTCGTTTCCCTCGACGTATTCCAGACTCAATTTCAATCCGTATGCTGGCCCCGCCTGGAGTGAACGAGGCGATGATCGTGATGATCGCTCACTGACTGGTATATCCCCCACGAGGACGCGGGAAGCTCCTGCGGAGCGGGGGTGGGCACCGGGGCCCGTGGCAGTGCCCGAGCCCAAAGCCAAATCCAGGGACTGGCTGTCGGAAACGACCGGAGCCTTCGAAATAAGCCCCGCCAGAAGAATCGGTATGCCGAATCCCTTCCTCCTCATTGCGAAGCAGAGGCTTTAAAGCCGTGGACGATAGAACTGCATCGCTGATCCACTCCGCAGTCCAGGTTTGTTTGGCGATCGTATACTGCTTCGTCTCGGCCGGCATTGTCTTTGGATTTGCGGCTTTGAAGCCGGTCCTCGTCAGCGAGAATGTGTATCGAAACTATTGCTCGTTGGAGGAACTAGCACAGAATGTTCCCGTCTGTGACGGGCAGGAAATTCGGTATGTCTCGGGAAGAGTGTCCTCGTCCTCGTCCTCGTATCATGCTCACCTCTATACGAAAGCTTGAATTTGATGTTCACAATCGCCGCTGTCGCAACCAATGTTTCTGCTCTCCCCGTGGGAACCATTCTAGATTCCTGGGGCCCACGAGTCAGTGGAATCATTGGGGGGTTCCTCCTGGCTTTTGGTGCCATCATATTCGCATTTGCTGATCTATTACCCTTCGACGGATACATCTCGGGCTATCTACTACTATCTCTAGGCGGGCCCTTCATCTTCATCTCATCCTTCCAGCTATCAAATACTTTCCCCTTGCGCTCGGGCCTAATCCTGTCGGCATTGACCGGGGCGTTTGATGCATCCAGTGCAGTATTCCTGGTATTTCGCCTGATAAATGAGCGCTCAGGTGGCAGTTTCTCTGTCCGAAAGTTCTTCCTCCTTTATCTCACAGTCCCGGCGTTGATCGTCGTTGCACAACTCATTCTGATGCCGATAACATCATACAAAACCACCGGTGAACTAGTTCAACATGCTGAGACACAGATAACAGAAGAGAGAAGAGATCAAACTGACACAGCAATGGAGAATCAGCATGAAAGTGAAAGACAGCGGCAAGATCGCCGCGCTCACCGGCAAAGCATCGTCTATCAAATTCAAGACCTTCTAGATGACGGCACAGATTCTATTTTCTCGGCGACTGGGGCTGATGATACACTATTCAGTGGTCTTTCAAGCCCTCGCCGTCCGCTTTCCCCACGGTCCACTCGCTCGCGACCTGACAACCCCAAACCTCTGCCAATGCCACCCAATGCGCCAAACACAAACACCAGTGGAGTCTGGGGCGTCTTACATGGACAAAGTGCATTATCACAAATACAGACCCCGTGGTTCACGTTAATCACGTTCTTCACCGTTCTAATGATGCTTCGAATCAATTATTTCGTGGCATCGCTCCGTACCCAATACACCTATCTCCTCGGCTCGTCCTCGGAAGCTCGAACCATAAACTCTGTTTTCGACATCATGCTCCCAGTCGGTGGCCTTTTCTCGATTCCATTCATCGGAACGTTCCTCGACAAACTGAAAACACGTACTGTTCTTGCTGTTCTCGTTTCCACGGCCACCGTAATGGGTGTGCTCGGCTGCATCCCCCATAGCACAGAAGCTGCCTACGCGAATATAACCCTTTTTGTCCTTTACAGGCCTTTCTACTATACCGCAGTCTCCGACTACGCAGCAAAGGTATTCGGCTTCCAAACATTCGGGAAGGTCTATGGACTGATCATATGCCTTGCTGGAGTGGGCAACTTTGCGCAAGCTGGACTTGATGCGCTTACTCTGAAAGTCTTTGATGGGAACCCGGTGCCTGTGAATGCCGCTTTGACGACCGTGGTCGCTATTGTCGGCGCCTCGCTAGCTGGATTTGTGAGCTTGAAGACAAGCATCCTACTTAGCTCGGCATCGAAAGTCGAAACTCGAGAAGATCACCCAGGCTTGGTTCGCATAGACTGGGAACGAGAGCCACTCTTGACGAGATCCGGGAGCATTGAAGGAGGTGGTCAGCGGGCCTATGGCACATAGGCGATCTACTGTGCTATGATGAATCCTATAATGCTAGTAATGAACAATGCAAATAACAGAATGCAATAAGACACCATTTACATGAAAGAATCATGGATTGATATCAACAAGGTATAGTAGGTATAAAACATAATCGGGGAACGCGTCGTAACATCGATGCCCCCCTCTGGGTATTTTCACTCGAAACCTCGCCATTTATACTATAAATGAATTCAACATAGCCTTTGTACAACGCCCTCGCTTCCATAGTTTCTTCAAATGCTATTCCGAGTCGACGACTCTGCCTCGCGTATGACATCCGCCACGACCTTTTCGGACAATGACCAGCCATCACCATTCCGTTGACTAATCCCATTCAATATGCGACGCGCCTCGTCTCCAATGAGATTCACATCGGCCCCGTAGGAAAGCAGCTGGCCGATAACCTTGACATGGCGCTGGTTGGAGTGTCGTTTTGAATGTTCGATGATTCTGCGAAGAGCCTTGATGGCCACAGCGAGAGGGGTCAGACCCGTTCGTTGCATGACATTCACCCTAGCGCCATTTTCCAAAAGCACATTTGCCACGGAGGGCCAGCCTTCCCGTACGGCATGCATAAGCGGAGTTCTCAGGACGAGGTCCCGAGCCTCGATATTCGCACCATGGCGAAGTAGAATACGGACAGTCATGTCTTGACCCCTTGAGGCAGCCAACGCCAACGCTGTCCTGCCCTTGTGGTCTCTGTGCTCGACCTCGGCGCCCTGTTGTAAGAGGAGTCGCGCCATACTGCCGTCGGTTGTTTTGAAAGTATTACACGCGTTGAGGAGCGGCGTGCGGTCCATGAGATCGACTTCTTCGATGCCCGCGCCGTTCTCAATCAACAACTGAGCGCCGGCGACAAAGTCGGAAAATGCCGCGGTGTTCAGTAATGGTGTCATATCGAAGGCCGTGCTGCGGATGTTCAGCTCGGCTCCGTGGTTCAGGAGTAATTTCATCATGCTCAGCGAGGCCTCGATCGTCCCCTGGCATCCTGATTTGGGAGATTGGATATCCACACACAAGCGCAGCGCGTTGTCGCCGATATTGCTTGTTGCAGTGACATCGGCGCCGTATGCTAGCAGGATGCGCACGGCACGATCGCGTCGGTGATATACAGCGTAAAGCAAAGATGTCAAGCCGCGATGATCTCTATGGTGGATATTCGCGGCCTGGTTGAGGATTGATCGTAGTGAGTCCTCGGTGCCTAGCACGGCGTAGAATAGAGCGGTGCGACCGAGATTATCCATGTGCTCCACATCCGCACCCCCAGCCAGCAGAGCCTTCACGACATCATCCCGGCCACCCTGTAGCGCGAAATGCAAGGGAGACTCGCACAACGCGGGTTCGGAGTCAAAACCAGATCCTAATCCAGGTTCTGATGCAGGTCCAGCTCTATCGACGCGGGTGGGACAAGGATCCTGACTCAACCGAGGTTTCTTCCGGTGGCCATCGCTCACCCCTTGAGACTCGGTCAGCCCATCTTCCGAAGCGACATTCCGCTTGAGAGTCTCCATCAGCTCGGGCCCCATTTGAAGCCCGTCATGAGCCCGTTCTGATGAAGACGTGCTACCTTGGCCGGTACCTGGAGTGGCAGGTTCAACAAGTTCAACAGATGGCGTCAAAGTCAACGTTTGCCGCCCCGCGACGGGTAGACAGCCGCTAGCCGCTTCGGGAGCGGGGGATGTCGGAGCCGCGTCTGTTTTTGTTTTTGACGCTTTCGATGCCTTGGGGATAGGCGATTTGCATCGCAGCCATTTCCAGCAGGACGGCATTGATGTGTATTCAAGTGGTTTCAACTTCAATCAAACATAAAGGAGTTGGAGGTAGATTATCTCCAGCCAAGGACTAATGAGACATCTTTTGTCGGGGGTGATACGCTAGCAGGTGATCCGACTCCTTGTGGCGTCAACGTGCATATCGCGTGGTCAGGATGTTAGTAATACTGTCAAGTGATATCGACGGGGTGTGTAGTACCTAGTGGTGATTAGCCTGGTTCTATTTGTTTGTTAGGCTCACTCAAAGGTTCAATAAACAAACTTGAGCCCTGGAATCCTTGGAATCCACACTTTCCAAGGTTCAACCTGACAGTTCGGACACCTCGTACCTGGGCAGGTTCCGAGGTTCTCCTACTAATACTAGCAGTAGTAGTTTATATACCTGATATGCACCTGGCAACAGACAAGACAAGTCGAGCGGAGATTTCATAATTCATTCAAGTCGTGCCATATCATCATCTACTTCGAGCTCGGTGGAAACGGCCACATCTGCGTCGCAGACTCAGCGTCCATATCCTTGCTCAGCGTCTGAACAAAATTCTCGTGCAACTCTTGATTCGTCTTGACCATCTCTTCCCATTGATCACTCGCAATCCACCCGATAGCATTTGTGGAAAGCTTGTCTCGCACAATGTCCTCCACATCAAGTGACGCGATCAACTTGTCTTCCTGCTGTCTCTGCCACTGCACTTCAGCCTCTGTGATGGAAAAAGGACAAGCCCCCGGGAGCTCAAGTGAAGACCAGTTCTCAAACAAGTGGTGGAGTTGGGTGCGGAGTGGGGTTATACTCCCCGAACTTTGTATCGAGCAAACTTGGAAGAGCCGCCACAGGTTGCGGCTCACTTCGTGCGGCCTATTCATTTTCTTGACCTCCTTATACCGCTTCATCTCGTAGTACTTGGTTATCGATGCCATGTCCAGTTCCTTCATGACAGACTGCTTGGCGTCGGGATTTAAAGTATCGAAATCATCCGGGCGAGAATAGGTGTGCGCACCGTACGTGTAGAAAGCAGGAGGCGGGACAAATTGTGCTAAGTTAGCCTGCTCGAACAACGGCAGTATCTTGCTGGTCCGCCAACCGATAAATCCTTCAATCTTGGTCGGATCTTCGGGCGAGACATAGATATCCTCGAGGTCCAACATGTCGTTTCGTAAGATCGGCTCTGCAATGTCGAGCACCCGTTGATCGCGGGAGAGAATCGGCAGCACGCTTTGGGCTTTCTTCAGCAGGTCCTTGTATTCGGCGAGCGACTGAGACTTGTCAAAATTCTCAAGGCGTCGTTGAATTTCGGGTGCTGTGTTCTCGTTTCCGATGAGCGCAAGCTCACGTTGCGTGATCGCATCTCCATACTCTGCAAGTGTCGACCCTGTGAGAATGGTTAGGTTATTAGTAAGTCGTCCTCTTCATGGCCTTCATCAATTCGGGTAACATATCCACTTACAAGGGCCACTGTCTACAATTCTGGGCTGATTGCCATCCTTGTCCCGAAGATACCACCAATCGGAATCAACTAATGGTCCAATAGCGAAATTCTCGTCTGGATCAATTGACGAGGAAAGTAGGCATGCGCGGGTCCCCCATTTTGACAAAATTTGAGGAACAAGACCGCCATACGCCGGGAATTTGAGGTTAGCAAGCTCCTTTTCCATCTCCACCACTTGATCGATGATCTTCATTCTAACTTGAGTACCCAGAGAACCCCATTTATGTGTCAAGGGAATCCCTTTCATCTTTTCCATGAGTATGTATTCTGCGCCGAGTTTTTTATCGTCAACTTCGAGACCATAGACGTGCGGGACTCGGATGGATGTCATGTCATCAACTAGAGAAGAAAAATCAGACAAATGGAACAAATATCCTCCAAAGTGGGACATTGTAGCAGAGACATACGAAATGCAAGCATCGTCACCTCAGAAAGTGTCGATAACATCATCACACCGGTGATTGGACATTTGATCTTCGCTATGAATTCCTTCCCATCGCTCATGGTCAAAAGTAAGACCCGGCTATTCACCGAAGGCAGCTTTTCCACGCGAATGACTTTGGTTCCATCACCAATGTCTTCGGCAGCACGGCGACAAAGTTCGTGGACGTCAAATTTGACGTAACGCAGTTCTTGTTGGAGGTCATCGCCAACTAACCACCGACCTTCTGTGTATCGGAAAAGCTCTTCCGACGTGATCTTGATATCTGGGGAGTTGTATCTCGCCGAATATTGACAAAATGAACGGTTGTAGTTGACTATGGCTGACTTCGCGAAGCCAAACTGAGCTGAAGCTTGAGTGTTGCTCAGGGTCAAGCCTGCATTTGAATGCCTAGTGAAAGATCGAACTGAATTTTGTAGACCCAATCGAGTCAACATTTTGAAACGGCAATATGAGCGCGTGCAATGACGAAAGATTGAGGCTGAAAGGTGACGTGAGTGAAGCAGGGGCCAAATGAAATGAAAGCAAACGCCGTAAACATGCAAGGGAGCCACGTGACTCCCTATACTTCCTGCCATTCACTGACAGCGAATCATGCAAAATAAGTAAGATTCGATGATAATTGAAATAAATACTAGAGACCAGGAATGAATGATATATAATGACCATAGATCAGAAACTATCTCAGGCTGATCTAAACAGATCGAAGATATAGGAGTGTGGACTGACAAAGTCTGTGCACCAGCCACACTATGAAATACGCCATCATAACCAGGAGTCAGTATTACTTTATATCGTGGATTGAATGATAACTCAATAAAATAGATCGGAATTTTTCAATAAATCCACATGGGCAGACGATATAAAAAAGAGCTATCCATCAACTCTCTCTATCAAACATCGCAGAAGTTGGATCCCACCCAAAAATATCTCTATCACAGGTTTCCGACAAGAGGTCACCATCAGTCATTAACATCCAGTCTAACTCTGAGTCGGCCCCCAAAGCTGCACCAATATTACTATTAGCACCGGCTGATCTTTCCGGCGGGATATACGCGGAAATCGGATTTCGGGCAGATGTTCGGGGACGTTTATTCGACGGCCATGTAATACCGTCAGCCCGTCGATACATTTTCCCCGAATGCGTCCGAAGTTCCCACTGATGCTGTAGCGTGACCAGTAAATCCTTCGCACGTCTTGCATTCATCCAAGAGAGCGAGAATTCGTCGAGAGCTCGGAAACATGTACCCAGATGGGCGACTATCTGCGCCTTGGAATGCGAGGCATAATTGGAAACTGCGGCAAAGAGAAGGAGGAGGACGGCGGAGGATGTTATTGAGACTGCTTTAACGTTGATGCGTCGTAGAGTGTATCTAGTTTCGTAAAGAAGAAGAATATTGGCGATTGCGATGGCGGATTGGATGCACATTTGTCGTGCATGGAGATAGCCGGGTCCCTTAGGTGGTTGTGGTTGGAGATAACTCTTGGACATCCAGGGTCGGTGGGCGTAAATGATATTTTGATGATATTGCATGCTGTGATGGTTAGAGATGTTCCCGCTGACTGCAACTTGAAAGCAGAGGGAATTTCTTACTGTAGTAGTAAAACATGAGGAGGGTAAGGAGATACATGGTCGTTTAGGTCGATTCGTAAAATTTGTGGCAGATTGCCTTTCCATTTGCAGAGTTCCGCCACAATTCTTTCATTGAACTCTTGCATCGCGGCCTTATCAATCTTGGACGTTGTGTATCTGAGACAATTAGCTTTTGACTCGTAGATTGATGAGTCGAGATTCTTACAAGACGTATCCACACGGCGCCATGATTTCACAGAGAGAAACGAGTTGTTGACTAACAAGCCCTGTGCAATCATGACCATCAGATCGCTGAATTACGGATGCTGGATTCTCGTAGGGTATCCACCCCTGAGACTGGTTGCAACAGTCTTGAGAAGGCTTGCCAACTGTAACATCGTCCATGTTCGTGCGGAAAGGCCTGCCAAGATGGAAGCCCAATTGACTAAAAGGTATAAGCTTCGATAAATGAATCGGGATTTTCAACTTACTGGTCAACGATATATGCAGCCCAGAAGACGGTTCGACGGAGATCCGCATCTGCAGCAGAAATAACCCCTTTCAAAACGTGCGAGGACATGTCAATGTGCAAAGCGAGATCAAAAGCAAGCCGGATTGCCATTCCTTTGAACAAGTCAGCACACTGGATGAATGTCTCTACTATTTTCCCACTCACCACTATAAAGCCACCCTCGAGAATCCATACCATTCCCAATCTCATGACTACTGAGAATAACCATCGCCTGAACAGTCGCCACACTCGGGAAGTCCAACTCAGCCTCAAGCAATGACCGCGCGCGATCTCCGAAAAAGTCGACCAAAGTCTTCGGAAAAGTAACAAAACTCGGATGGAATCTTGTTTCAAATGCGCAGCCGATCGCACACCTATTTAATTCTGGTCAGAAAGATAACTCAAGCATCAGCGGGATAGAACACTCACATCGCATTCCGCAAAGCTTCGGAGTATAAAGAAGTATCCTCCATAGCGAACCATTTCTCTTTTGCATCTTCATACAATTTCCGATCAACAACATGAAACGACGGGTCCTGCCAACTGAAGTACAAATTGATCAAATGTTCCTCAAGCGCGGGGGGTACTTCCCTGTCAGCATCGACTCGATCAGCACTGTTAGAATCATAACCATTGATTCTACGATGAGAGTCAAATGTCTCCGAATGCGGCATATCGCGTAGGTTGAATGTAGAAGTTGGGCCGAAAAAGTGAGTTTTGCCCCCTCGACCGATCCGTAGCGTGCCAACTCGATCAGAAAGGTCGTCGATGAGACCTTCGATATCAGCAGTGGTATTGGCTTCATCAATCAAGGTCGACCCATCATCGCTTGCGGTCGGAGTAGCGACAGTCGCTGCAGTATTGGCAGGTTGGGCCATCCCGTCCAAGTCGAGACCCAAGGCGTCGCGTTCAGAAGTGGAATCAATAAGTTGCTGCAAGTCAATGGGCGCGGAAATTACTGAGCCACCATAAGCGAGGTCCATATCCCAGATACTGAGGATACTATCCGGGGTATCTGCTGAAGGGGTTAATTTTCCCTGCTCCGGGGGTCCTGGCAAGGGGGAAGTCTGAGAAGCTGTCGGAAGCAAAGCCTTGTTAGGTGAAGTCGCAGTTGAGATCTTTGGAAGCGCGAGAGCTGCAGGAATAAGAGGAGGCCCCATAGAATTTTGCGATTTTTCACATTCCAGATTAGGATCAATTCGCTGAAGAGGTGATATTTCTGGCTCGCAAGAGGGCGCCTGATCGAGCCCAGAAATCGGTTTGGTCGGCCCAAGGGCATTTAAAATCTCCTTTAATGCCAGGTCCTTGTCTTTCGGGCTACAGGGAGGCTGCAGGCCACTTTGGCAAATGAATTCTGAAAGTTGATCGACTCTTGCGATAAGCAAGTCAATGGCTATTCGAAGAGGAAGCCTATGATCCTGTGTCAAATGCTGTGATCTGGACATGATGATATAATATACGCATCAAGAAATAGACTGTACTCACTTTCTTTTATCGACCGCCTGGTAATGACAACTTCGACTCTTGGTCATGCAGTTAGAGCAAGTTGGCTCAGAGCCATCGCACTATTCGCGGTTATCAGTTGCTGAACAGAGCTTGGTGGAGAGTGGCAAACCTTTGCCTACCTTGATCTTGCTCTCTCGGCAAGGAACACAAGCCATAGAGGCATGCTTTCTTTTGGATGCAGTCTTTGGTAACATATCGCAGTCAAATGGTCATTGCATGGTCAATGTGCTATGCCGAAATGCGCAAATTCAGCAGTAAAACTCGGGTGGCGTGGATTTCGCGGGGAAGAAAAGAGTCCCGGGGTAAAAGAACTGATAAGAAATCAATCAAATAAGAACGAAAATTCGGCGGGGATGCGATCGACGGATCCTCTTAGCCTCAATGAATTTGTTGAAGTTTAGCGACCTGCTGGCCAGTAGAAATCGTGCAGAAGACGGTCTTCTCCAATGGAGGGGATTGATGCCAAGATTTTCGGTCGGTGATTGAATTCCGAAGGATCGGCAGATCGAGAATGACGATGTGCCCCGGATTTACCCCGAGTTTTCGTATTGGTGTTTCTTGTTCCACGTTTGACTGAGGTCTGCTGCTAGTTAATAAAAATTGGGACCAAATCAGAGATACGGGCTATTCTTGTCATCTTGATTGGCATGAATCAGCTTGAAATCGGGAACGGAATCAAATACATTCTACTCTAACCGACTGCTTCAATGTCTTCTTATCTACTAGTAGATACAAAGATACCCCGGAAAGCCAAAACCAGATAGCTTATTCGACTTGAAAGTTCACAAGAAGATCGCCAATAGCAGAGAATGATGATGATGATCATGATTATAATGAGGATGATGATGATGAATGAGAGTAATCCAGGTGATGAAACCGTGTGATGAAACTATCTATGGCGGAGGGAAGTAAACCAACAGTGTTGATTAGGTAGAGCTAGCGAAACTGGCAGCACATTCCATGGCGAACCCAAAACATCGAGCGTACCAACCTTGCGACCAATGGCTAAGCTCCACACAATGAGGCGCGCCTCTAAGCAAACTCCCATCAACACGCACACTGCTTTTGAATGCCTTGACGCATGTTCCAATTTCCTCGTCGGTAGAAACAAAAAATGGGTCATTCTCCACAAGTGAAAACATCACAGGCGCTGAAACGTGCGCTGCCCACTTCTGTTTCCAGATTGGGAGCCAAGCAGCAGCGAACTGTGTTGCTTCTGAGATGGGGAAAGCCACATTGAGGCGCTCACTGTGTCCCAGAATATCAGGGTCAAAAGTCGCGGGCTTGAACATGGTTTTGTCTTTTACCTCCGGAGGGAAAATCACATAATTCTCATCGACGGGAATGAAAGGAGGATCACCACCTTTCATGGATGAAGACTGCTTATCGCCCATGCCACTTGCAATTAAACCGCCAAGAGGGTATAGTGGTGTCTTATCCTGTGCATGCAGAGCTGCCGTGATAATGCCTGGAATCACTCCTAAGCTATGACATAATAGGACAATGCAATTGCAGTGGTTTGGCGACCCGATCTTCCGCCAAAGTTCAGGGAGTATCTTTTGGTGGAGCGAGATAGCAGTCTGTTCGAAGAAGTCGGTCCCCTCAGGAATAGGCAAGATAGAACTTGTTTGCCCATAGGAAGGACGATCTATAGATACAAAGGGAACGCCAAAGGCAGCACTCGCCATGGAGGCAGAGAGTTGTGGGGTGGCATCAAAATACTGGTGATCATAGGATCCTCCATGCATGCCGACGATCAGAGGGCGGTAGGCGAGAGTGGAAGTCGAAGGTAGTGGAACAGAGTGTACACCTGCCACGGTATCATTATCGGAAAGCGTGTATCGAAAGGGCTGCATCATGTATAGAATGAAAAACGAAAGCCACTTCAAATACTGGTTGATGATTGGAAGGATTAACTGGAAAACAAACAGGAGGAAATTGCGACCGCGAATTTGGTTTTTATGTATAAAATACTAGTAGATATTGACCATTTCGGACTCCGGACAGCAAACCGTTTTTTAGCCGGCTTTAAGCCTACCGCCGAATACTTGAAATAATTCGGAATTGCGCAAGGTTGGGACTCGGCATCCCGGCCCGCTGGAATGCCAGTGATTTGATTACCAAACCTCTTTCAAGTGACATGTAATGAATTAGCCAAATGTCTGGTGGTGGAACTCAACGCGTCAGGAATCATCTTGGCTCTATTAAAGTATCGACTAACTATCTAGGTACACAAAATGGATGGGATCCAGTAGCAAAAATATCTCGAAGTCAGCACACGTATCGAATACCTTCGATGCCAAAAATTACGCGCATAACCTTTTTTTCACGGATCTCCATTACCTGTACATTACGTTGACTAGTTAATCTGCAGTACCTGCGGCCTGAGGCAATATTGTCACCCGGATTTAGCCGGAGTTAGCGAATCAATCGTCTCGTTGCAACTGGTTGAGATGGAAACTATAAATCTCTGAACGAACACCTTTGTCTAAGAATTTTTTCCGACAAGCATTGATAGCTTCAAGTGTCTGTTTCCACCTGGGGCAGTCTCTCTCTTTTCATCTCCGGAGGTCTTATTCCTCAGGAATCCCCGGTATGCCGCAGACCATCAGTCTACCCAAAGGCCGGCGACGCCCGTCTGACAGAGCTACACATTATCAATGACGAACGCATCTAAGATAGCTTGAGTGGTAAGACAATTCTCATCACGGGTTATTCTTCCGGCTTTAGGGTCCACACTCCTCGCCCGGGCGGGCACGCTACCAAACTGGCTCTCGGGATCGTGCTCAATTTTATCATAGGCGAAAGTACTAGTAGCAGAGGGGTGGGCAATAAAATAGATATACAGGGCTTGTAAATGGTATATATTATGGTCCAATATGTATATACATGAAAACAGAGTCTAAAAGAACCAATGCAAGATGATAGACGCTATAAAAATGACACCAGTAAGTCACATGAAAAAAGAAAATGAAAACGAGAGAGTAGTTATTATATGCCTTTTTGGTGGAAGTAGAAGCCAACGCAGCCACAAAGCTTAGTCGTATGTCACCATAACTTGACGGTTAACGACAATATCAGCTTGACCAGGCCTTTGTCCATTTTCCAAAATGTCCTTCTGGCTATCGCCATCGCTCGAGCTGCCAGGTCGGCCGTGGTCAACCTCGGTGGTGGTATGGTTAAGGTTCTTTCCGCTCTCGAGCTCGTAGTTGCGCGAGAACATTGCGCCTCCGCTGCGCGAGCCAGTGAAGCCGGGCGATTTGTTGTATTTGTCGTAGTCGGAGGTCTTGCCGTCGCGGAGGATGCGGAAAAGCGGACGGAGAGTTGCGATGTTGCCGACCATCATTCCGATACCATTTTCGGCGAATCCCCAAATGACGACGTTGGCGACTTCGAAAAGGTAGTCGTTTTGGCTGGTGAGGGCGACTGTGTATTTGAGGCGGATACATGCGGAGAGTGATGCGCTGGAGTAGAGAGAAAATGTTAGTAACCGCTGGAGTAGATTGAAGATCGGGGGATAACGAACAAGATTCCAAGGCCCATGAGTCCAATAATCGAGATCTTGGTGTTGCGATTGATCTGCACGTTCCAGAGCAAAGGTACCGGGCTATGAGATTATTTGATCAGTATCATTCACATAGTGCAGATCGATGTGGCAAGGACTTACAGGAAAGCAGTCACCCAATCGGTAAAGATGTTGACGGCGGTACATGCGTAGTAAACGTTGGCGAGGACATAGCTGGGCTGACAGTGGCCACCATTTTTGAGGAGTTCCGTATCCCAAGCAGCTCTAATATTGGATTAGTATTATTCTTGCATATGGTTTCTGTACCGAGGTCATACTGGACGGGAATGCAGTTGATCAGAATGAAGATCAACGCGATGATGTTCATCAAAACAAACATGGTAATTACGACGTATTGCACATAAACATAGATTTTCCTTCCTTCGGCCACACGAATCAACATCCAGCTGATACTGAGTTTGATCGGGATGATAGCAGCACAATAGCCAACCTCGAAGATCAGGAAGAACTAGTTGATTGAAAATTAGTATCGTCAACGCTTGTAAGTATGATCAGAGTGATAATTACCTTCTGTGCCTCTGCTGAGTATTTTTCATTACCAGGCTTTGCAAGGGTGGTAGTGTGAGCACCAATTCCATTGAATGCTCCCCCAAGACATCCAGCCACAAGGACGAAAAACGGTGCCTATTTGTTACATTAGACGAGTCCTATTAAGTTTTATGTGAGGGTTATGGAGAAAACAAACCAGTGCTGCAGTCATAATCCAGTCTTCGGGTCCCCATGATCTGCGGCTCAATCTGCAGTAAGCGCGCAAGCCGAATGTGATCAGTGCCAAAGTCGTAAGCAGGATCGTTGTGGCTGCCAGCCCTGGGGCTGCATCGGCGTAGACGACCATTATCTCGTCCTGTTAATTGATTTTCACTTCCAAACAGCCTTGTAGTACTGTCAAGAGTCGCTAACAATGGGGTAGCACATAAGCATTGAGTGTAAAGTGTTGTGGAGTGGAAGGAACAGGATCGTACGGGGTAAAGCACGAATTATTAATATCCGTCGGATCTTTTCCGACGTCAAGGAAGTTCTTTCCTCCTGTTAAGCTAGCGTGATACTCTAGTGGTAACGGACAAGCGACGAAGACAATGGTCACTGTGTGGATCTGGATCCTGTGGAATACAATACGAGGCTCAACAGGGACTATAACTATTGTGATTTGCTATCGAGTGCTAGTTTCTGACAGCTTTGACATCGACCAAACCGGAAATGCCCCCTCGACCCTCAGTGGATCTGCACGCCTTCGGAGATGAAAAACAGTGATCTCCGCACAGAAACGTGGAAGCGGCAAAATGCCGTCCCAATTGCCGGCCCTCAATGGTACTGAGCTGACATTTGATTCAGAGAGAGCTTAGTACGGATACACCATGTAATCCGTAACTGTACTTGTTCGCGAAGCAGAACTTGTCGATATCCAGATGGTTACCATGAATGACCCGCCGGTGTCAAAGTCGGCTCTGACACGATACGCTATAATGACCTTGCACCCTAGATCAAGGACCATGCATGGAAGCCGAAGTGACTGTACGTAGAAGGCGCCTTATCATTGAGCTAAACAAGGATAACCCAATTTTCAGAACAGCCTTACCAATCAGCACCAGCAATACCATCACCGAATTGAGGAAAGCCTCAGATCGGCACGCCCCACCACAACGGAGAAATTTTCACACGTTTACACGGTACTCCGTCCAGGCCCACCCCATTTCACCCCTGCATGAAGCACTATTGCCTTCTGTCTCGAGACAAAAAGGAGGAACGGGCTGAGAAGACGAGGACAATGCGCAAAAAGCCTTGGTACTGGATGAGAATCGCGATGGGAATCGATTTGAGCCCGATCTCCCCGATTCCCGGGACCCGCGCTCAATAGTCATCGAAGATCCCTTCGTAGTGAATGGAAGAAAATACTCCGGCAGCAGATCGAGCAAACTTCGCGTGAGTCAGTACCTGCCGTGGTTTTGGCAGGGTGGTTTAAAGAGTATTACTCGTGGGCCCCAACCCAACCTAAACCAACCCAGTTCAACACAATCCAATGCAAAACCTGACCCAACCAACCAGCGTCCAGGGGGTCTGTTCTCGCGGCCCAGCCTTTTAGCGCGGTCTCGGCTTTTCGTACGCAGAATCTAGTTTCAAAAATCATCTCGCTTAGGCGGCTCGCCAACGGCCCTGTTCTCCCCGGCCACAATCGTGCACATACCTACCAGTTTGGTCAGTTGGCGCTGCTAGTGCATCCGTCGAAACATATTATTCGTTTGATCTGCAAGCCATGGTCGATCTCTATTTGCCTCTTTGGTGCCAATTAGCTTTTGTTCACTTTTGTATATAGGGGTACTCCGTACGGAGTACTAAGGACATAGAGCTTGGCCTTATCGGCAGACTCCGATGTAAGGGGTTTTGTCAGGGGGGTTGGAGGCTGAGCTTTGCAGCACGGACTTCCGGGTGAGCGATGTCCATTGATTTCCTTCGGTACTCCGTAGTTGATCCGTCTATTCTTGGAGTGACTGATCGCTGTTCGAGTTCGGAGTACGGGTGTGTTTGCCGGAATCCAGATATTCGGAGCTTGCATTGCAATTTAGCCCTGGAGGGACGTCGTTCCGAGGTCGCGGTGTAGGAGAACTTCCTACCTAGACGGATTCAAAGTTGAGTATGTGAGATAGTAGTCTACCAGTGGTGTTTTTCAGGTAGATCCTATACCCATAACTCAAAATCCAGGCTTTGGAGCTGCTTCAAGCTTACCACCGATTCTCCGGAGCTTCTGTGCCAGTCACCATGGCCTCGGGACGAGCCCTAGACCTCGGGAGGCAAGGGGCCATCCTGCCCAGGTGGGCTTGGCCAATCTCCAGCCTGAGAGCTTGCTATCCGCGGGCGCGGAGCGATATTCCGACCTCGGGACATCTATCCATGATGATGGCCGTCCTCCCGAGGTCGGGTATCTTCCCGATCTTGGAACTTCCAACTTGGAGCCCGCCCTGGAGGTTGAAGACCTCGAACATCCATCTGGGCAGTACTAATCCATACAACGTGTTTCACCACCGAGCTGCCACCCCTACCGAGCTGCCAGCCCCAAAACATATAGTAAATATGATAAATTACAACTTTGTAACTCATAACCCATTTCTATTTAGGAGGTCATCTACAGGTATAGTATTCTAAATAGTATTGCCAACCTTCCAAGGTTGGGAATTTCTTTTTAATATAGATATAGGTATGTCTTAATCTCTGAGATGTATGAATTACCAGGTATTTTTTGTAATACTACCAAACAATTATCCAAAACAATTTTTCCTAGTTATATTATTATTTACTCTAATTAAACCCTATCTTATAAGTTGCAATAAAAAATGAACTTCCGTTGTTGAGATATCTGAAGTTGTAATTTTGATATTACTGCATTTTATGGGGGTGGCAGCTTGGTGGTTGAACACGTTACCTAGTATTACTACGAGCAGTATCGTGCCCAGGTGTTTTGTTACTTCCGAGAGTCTAAGGTTCATTATTCCAAGGTTTCATGGAGGGTTGACATTATAATGTTGATTTTATACCTAGGTATATATTCAAGAGCATCAAAGTAATATAAGGAAACTAGATACCAGAGAAGAGAACTTAAAAGAGAAGCTGAAGAGCAGATACCACCCATGGCCGCGAACATGTATATATCGATAGGCTGCAGACTACCTTAATGTACCATGGATGGCAGGTAGCAGATTCGGAGGATGGTGAAGTATGAGAGAAGATGATCATGATTCCATGAAAAAAAAAAACCAAAATGCCAATATCAACGCCACGCCAGAAATTCAGAAATAGGCCAGTCAGTGCAACATGACAATCATAAGTAACGTTATCCATCAGTCGTATATAGGTCTCCGCGGAGGCAGATAAGTTCCATCCTCAGCAACGCTGGTCGGTATGAAACGCTTCGCCGCAGGGTTTCGGGAAGGACTTGTCCAACGCGATGATCGGGAGTAATAGCCCGCACTACTAAAGGAACGGGGTCGTTCAGATCCACTGCCTCCACTATTAGGTCTACTCGCTCCCGCACTGCCGCCTCCGCCGCAATAACTGCCCCGGCGCCCATCCTCGGGCTCAAGATTGAAACGGTGACGGGGTACTGCGCGGGGCGGAGGTGGGGGTTGCGTATATTGCGGTGGGTCTGGTGCTGGAGCGGGCACAGGACCGTCGAAGGAAAATTCGCGGAATTTTATGTCGGGTGTTGCGGGTGTTCGAGAGTGAGAACGATCTTCTCGGCGGCGACTTCTTGCAGCTGCTTCGGAATGCGACATTGTCGGCCTTTGCGGGCGAGACTCGTAGCTTCGCCGTGGTGCTGTTGTGGGTGAGAGTTCCCGTGCTGGTTTACGCATGTAGGCGTCGTGGGAGTGGCGACGGGCTCGGGAGTTAGAAGGGGGCGACAGGTTGTGATTGTGAGATCGGTGCTTGGGCTTAGGAGTTTCGGGGTCTTCCACGTGCGTTTGGGGGTCATGGTCTATTATATCCGGGAAGACTGGCCCGTCTGCCATCCCTGGACTTAGTGGATGGCCATACCAACTTTCGCGATCTCGACCTCTTGAGCGAGGCGGACGAGTTGTTCGTGGCGATGGCGATCGGACGCGAGGAGTTGACATCCCTGATCTTCCACCGTTGGGCCGTTCTGGCCTTCGCGAGCTGGATGGAGGGTGCTCTCCGCTCGAGCGTCGGTGGTGGTGATGACGTCGTCGGCTTGGTCGATCTGAGTCGTATTGTCCACCATGGCGATGCGATGCCGCACGACGGGGTGGGTGTGTGAAATAGTCTTCATCATCGGGCAAAGACTCCTTACCGCTGAAGTGATAGTGGTATGCGCCGAAGTTGGGAGGAGATGCGCGATGGGCCTGTCTCTTCACAAAGTCGTATTCGAGTTTGCGAACACACCCCTTCATGCCACTGAAGCATTTCAGGGTCGGGTTCCGATGGGAATGCATCTCGCGGGATGTCCTTTGGGAAGATATCACCTTTCGCATCGACAATATTCCACTGGCTGACCGCGTTCTGTAGATAGCGTGCATGCTCATCCGGGTCCATTAAAAGCTGTATTGTCTGCCATCGTACAAAACCGAGTGGGAGGAGCGAAGGTACCGAAGGCGACTCATATGGGTTATTGGAGGGCTGGAGGCTGTGGAAACATCCGACGGATTGGTATATAAACGAAAGGGCTTGTGATTTGGTGTCTAGAAACAGCGAGTCGTAGTTCCCGCCAACCTTACGATAGAAAGAGGCGAGCCGTTCGGGAGTAAGATCGATGGTACCGCTGGAGTCAAAGGAAGGCTGATGAAGAGGAAGGAATTAGTACGGGGCGCATGCAAATCGAACGGGTGAACCGTGGGCCCCCGGAGAGCTTCCAAAGTTCTCGAACATGGGGCTGGGTTTCAAAGAGTGGGCGTACCATCAGTTGGGCAATCCCCAAACATAACTGTTCCAACAGCGGCGCAGGGCTCTTGTCAGGATTGATTAGGGTCCCCCCAGGAGTTCGCCGCTGGAGACATGGCAAGATGGGGACTGGCGCAGTTGGAAGAACATGTAGAGGAACTTGAAGATTCCAGGGCATCGCCGGGCGCAGAAGCAGAATAAAGGCACAGGGCAGTGCGCTCATCCCCAGGCAGCGAGGAGCGGTCAGGCACGCACATGGACCCACTGCGGGGGATTGGAGAGGCTCGAGGGGGCGTCACGATAAACAAACGCGAATTAGATGACTCCTAGCGTGAGTCACAATAGGTAGGGGGTGCGAATGGCGTAGGCAGCTGGGCAGGCAGTGCGAGGTGTCAGTGATGAGGTCTCAGGGTGAAATTGAATGGAAGAAGGACGAGGAACTCAGCTGAAGACGAAGTCAGCCGTTCCTGCCATGTGCCAAGTCACGGGATATCAGGCCATCAGTATAAATAGTACTAGTACTAATAGTACTGGTAACAGTACTAGTATTTAGTATTGGTAAACCCGATAGAGTAGACTACCTAGGTAGATATGATTATATATAGACTTATCCTATACCAGGTATCCTGCACTGGTACAATGTTGTACATGCGCAGGTCTACATATCAGGCACAGTCGGGCTGAGAATAGATGCCCAACGAAGCATGTCAGAGCTGGCTGTGCAAATAAAATGCTAGGAATACCTACACCTGCATGAAAGAAGACAGTCTAATTGAAACATTTGCATTAGTATATATTAAACTTGCATGGTTGGCAGCAACATTCAGGCAGCAAGATCGGAATTTTCGCGCATGCATCTTGTTTCCAGGGGCATCTCCACTGGTTGAACAGCTGTTGAAATTCTAGAACCTCGATCCATCCAATCTAAAGTCAAACTTGACTCTGTCTAGGCTCGTTCCAATTCTGATAATACCTAACCCAGCATGAACTGCACAAAAATCCTACGCCGTCCAAAGCGAGAAATTCGGCCACGAATACACCGCATCCGCAACATTAACAGGTAGCCCCGAAGGATCCAAAGGCCCAAAATCAACATCCGGCTGAGCCAAAAAGTCCTCCATACTTTGATCCAAAAATATCATGTCGTCTGTGAGACTCCCCGGCACCGTACCATCATGCAAAATTGGATTGTCAGACACAGAGGGATCACTGGGTCGCTGCGCCGGGTCAGGTAAAAATGAAAGCGGACCAGAATTACCTTGTCTGGGAAGGTGAGCACTTGAGGATATGTGCCGGGCTGTGGGCCCCTGAGTCTCATCCAGACACCCTCGCACGCTTTCTAGATTGTCATAGAACTCTGTCGCAGCAAGGTTTCCGTGGTCGCGCATCATGCGCAGAATCTCATAAGCAGTTTCGAACAAGGCGAAGTCGCCATCATTATCTGAGTTGATTTGGCTCGATATGACCATAATCAGTGCGCAAGAGAAAAGGTAGTGTGCGTAGAAGTAGCCGTAGATTGGAAGGGAGCCGTTTGCCCACTCCTCCACGATCAGCGAGTGTGTATGTCTTGCAGCGTGAATGCATGCGTCACCCAGTGTCTTGAGGGCTTGTTCTTTGGGGTTTGCAGATTCATTTGAATCTTGTACTGGGTCTTTTCTCGATTGGATCAGCGTGAAAAGCAAAATAGGCCGAGTCGCCAACATGATGCACTGCACACATTAGAACCCCCAAATATTTCGTTATTGAACAACGATGAGTCTTACCTGATTAAATTGAAGATGCAACGATACTACATTCTTCGCGGCATGGCTGCTTCGGTTGAGTCGAAGATGAGGAGGAAGGTTTTGCGACCATTCTTTCAATGAGATGAGCAGCTTTTGCTCTCGCTGCAAAAATGAGTCTGGCTGCTTCTTTCGGCCATAGACCTTCTCGATGACCTGGCCTGTGATACGAGCCAGTTGGATACTGGCGAGTAGAAATTTAGTATCAGAGAATTGCTCCTCGTGTGGATCACAGGCCATTTCGGACGGCATTTCGACATGGATGTCATCGTCGGCGATTTGAATCGGCCAGCCTGTTTTTGATCCATACATTCGATCAAAGACATAGATTGCCCACCAAAGACGAATTCGGTGTTGGCGCTCGACAGGATCTGGGCAGTTGCATTCGGGAATATCATGATTCAATCCTAAAGTCAAACCAAGACGCATTGCATTACCGACGAGGATGAATGCCGAGTGGCGTCGGTTGAGGAAGTAGGAGTATAAAGACTGGGGGTCAGCCATCGCGTTGAATCACGATAAAGATGTGCTTACCAAAATGAGTAAAGACTCGATGACGGTCATACTTGGCCTTTCGGGGAGTATGGGAATCAGAGTCATCGCATTGACATAATATGACACACCTGGAATTCTGCAGTCTAGCTTGGAACTTGAACGTGCGGAATAGACTTCACCCAAGGCGAATAGCGCAAAAAATTTTGTCTTCAGTATCGGATCATCGAAACTTCCTTTCCGATAGACATCTTCCAACTCCTGAATTGTCGACTTCCTCAGAAATAGGTGATACACACGACTGACCTGATTGACGACTATTTGAATTAACAAGCGTGCATTTGGTAGACTCGGCCATTCCAATGTTGGATCTCGAATTCTGTACAGCGTTGCTTCGGGGGTATATTGTGTTCTGTGCATATGAGACGCCTTGCTCTTGGTGAGGACTTGACGCAAGCGAGTTGCAAAGGCAGTGCAAGCTGCTTCTCCGATATGAACTGGTGGAGCAGACGGGTCATAAGGCTGAAACCACCCTCGTTCACCGATCATAGGGTTCTGTACGGCTGCGTCACCATCCGAAACATGGCCATCTGCCAGAAGTTAGCCTCGGATTTAGTAGAACACTCGCGGAGGGATATTCTACCTTCATGATAATGAGGAGACTGACTTAGATTTGCCGGTGACTGTGAAAGTTGCTCACGCAGACGCTCATTCTCGGCGGCTAATTGTTCAAGATAACTGCAAAAGCTTAGTATCAATAGAGTAGGTGGAGCAGCATCAAATCACACCCACCTCTCGTGGACCTTAATCTGACGATCCCGATTAACATAGGTGCATTCGGCAGCGCATCCAGCATTCCGGCACTTGGTGCACGGTTGTTCGCCGGAACATTTGATCTTGTGCATATGACATCTTCGGCAACTGGGCAAGTCAGCGGGGGCGTGACCGCAGCGAAAGCAGGACTTACGCGATGGACTTTTTCTTCTTTCCCTTGACGACCAAATGATTCGGTCTCTTGGACGAGGGGGTAGGCATTTATGCCGAGCTCGATTGTACCAGATCAATATGCGTAAGTAGGTGTGTAGTGGTATGCGTTCGGTGAAATTCTTCTGCTCGGTGGCTGTTTCGGCGGTCGGTAAGATTAACCTTTGCCGAGTGGCGATTCCGAAAGTTCCGGATTGGCACAACCCCACAAGAATTAGATGGTCGCAGAGTATAATTAATATATTCGTTACTATATATTTGAACTAGAGGTTGCGTCTGCTTTGATTAGAAGGTTGAATTGTACACAGAAATTTTGTATCGGGTTGTTTACCGCCAAATGCGATTGTTTTCGTCGTTGCTCTTTATAACGAGTATGGTGTTGCTCTTCTATCCTTATTTCTAGCTTGTTCATTTTATTCGATGCTTAGAGTCTGTTAATCAACTTCAGGTTGAAGACACCCTGTCTATGCGGTCGGTCGTACCGCCCGGCAACACTAGCCTAGTATAGGATTCAAGTTTTAAAATTATCGTTGGATCACCTGGCAGGCTTACACTTCTATTATACATATCAAAGATGATCACCATTGTGCAGTTTGACCAATCCATTGCCCAGGTTTATACATAAGACTCAACACGCGGTGATGCAGCAGAGATGATCGACCCCACGCTACCCACCTCTAGAACTTGCTTCTTTCTATGCTACAACACCTCTCATGCTACAACACCTCTCAAATATGCTCCACACATAGTTGACGCCCCATAGGACTTAGGGAGTCATAAACTGCAAGGGAATATGCACCAAATATTAATATTAAGTAGAGCTGCATAACGTAGAATGTGACTATTCACAACTAGCAAAATACCCTGCGGCGATTCGAGTCTTGTGACGAAAATTGGTTCTAACTATTGACTTATGTTCTTGGAAACACTCATTATCATTGACGATAACGAGCCTCTCTGGAAATACGCCGAAATCTAAGCAAATGACCCTCTGACATCTATGATTTGAGGACCTCGCGGCAAATAACTCTGATTCAATACCAACTCGGTAGATCGGTCAATTCAACTACTAACTACCAGAAGCATCTGCATACATGAAAATTTCCAAGCTTCAAAGTTCCAAGGTTTACATCTCTTACTAATACGTCATTAATATTTTCAAGCCACTATGCGCATGTGCTGTGACTGTGAAGAGCTACTCGTACAGTAGTACAGACCCACACTGTTTCGACCACTACCTCGACATCACCACCCGCAATCCAGGAGGCAACCATCAATATACCCTGTTCTAGATATGCATTACAGCCCCGGAGATATTAATCGAGTCTTGAACGGGGAGGGGCTATAATGGATATCAATCTTTTTAATTGAGGATCTCTGTCTCCTTGCCGCACATGATTTCACACTGCCTAAAGGATGCTGTGTCACGTTGAAGAGAGCCACAAATCATACCGACTCTCTGGGTTCAAGTGGTATTTCCTGGTCACCAGTAATTGCAAGAGGCATATAATTCGTTCTCCAAACTACTATCGCCATTCTTATCCTAGCGAGCTCAAGAAACACCCTATGCCATCGTATACTTCGCAGTAAAGCCTCAGCTCCAACTTCTTCTCGATGCCTTTGTCAGTCGTCACAACCAAGCTCACGCCTGCGGATAATTCCAATTATATCTGAGATACCTTTCATAATAAGGAGATTACTACACAGAGAACTCGAAATGCCTACTAATGTAAAGGCTATCCAGTAACCCGGTTGACCACATCGGTATCATGATAGACAAATTTCATAGCGCCCAAGACTGCGCTCATGTTTGCAATTTTCGCGAAGAGTGTACCGGCAGGATGTGGTGCCAGGATAGCAGTCAATATTGGCTCAGTTCATCTGACATCGATACCGCCCCTCTTAGCCCTAATGCAAAAATCCCAAATATGCGATTCAATACTGCTCTTTCCGACTGTTTAAAAAGTCACGCGCAGTATCGGGCTGACCTTTCCTCGGGATCTGGTAGAACAAGCCTCCCAGGAGACAATGAAGGTGGCGGCGGTGGTCCTCTACCAGACCCACGATGTGAGAAATCCAATCTCCACCTCATCTCAAGCTCTCGCTAAACCCAATTTAAATGAGGCCCTAATCATCAGAAACAGCTCGGACTAACTAACAGGTAATTGGCACGACAAAATATGATGTTTACTGCCTATCCAATAGGTTCAGCGCCTATTAACGTATTTCACCACAAAGCTAACACCCCCACCAGGCTGCCAGCCCCAAAACACGTAGTAAGATAAAATACAACTTTACAACTCAATAACTATTTCTATTTAGAAGGTCATTTAAAGGTATAGTATTCTATATAGTATGATTAATCACTAGTAGTTTTTAACTGGAGTATAGAAATATTTTCCTCATGTAGATAGGTATATTAATCTCTGAGTTGTATAAATTACCAGGTATTTTTTATAATCCTATCTAGGTACCTAGGTACCAAATAATTATCCGAAACAATTTTTTTCCAGTTACGTTATTTTTTCACTCTAATAAAGACATATTTTATGAGTTATGATAGAAAATAAAGTGCCTTTGTTGAGATATTTGATGTTGTAATTCTCATATTAACTGCATTTTATGAGGGTGGCAGCTCGGTGAAACACGTTACTCTGCGGTTAGAGTCAGATCATCCCAAATTGTAGTAGATTGGGAAGCAGCCTAGAATGCTCAGACCAGGGTCAGTGATTAGATTATAGTTCTGATCGCAGCCTCCCTGATTAGATGGGGATAGCTAAGTACTTAGTAAGCAAAAGCGGCGAATGGTGAGTAGAATAGAAGGAGAATGCTAAGCGTTGCCAGAAGTTATCTGATATGTATACGTCGTGAGCGGATGAGCCCAATATCTTTGTGTTAACTATATACCCGATTGTTTCTTTACTTTATCCAAAGCCAATAGTACTAGCTAAAAGGGGTCTTTGATATTTATGGTTCATCGAGAAGCACCGGGAAGGAGAAGAAACTAGGTTCTTTGTTGATTCCACGCACCATTGGCTCGAAATGTAGCCCTTGACGCCAACGATCCATGAAACCCGTAAATTAAACTTCTGCCACAGATCCGAAAACCATAAAGTTCGAAGAATCATTGGCCATGTTTCGATTTTATACACGGGGTAGGAAATTTTAGATCTTTTCTCGCGATCTCAGCCAATACATCCTCTGCATATCGAAAGAGATCCGCTTGATGGCACTGCACTACATCCAGCCACCAGATGTGCCGCATGTCGATAGTCGATCAACACGATATGCATTCCAAAGGGTTCATTCATGACCCTTCATTGGCTCGGTTCCACCGACCACTTCGACAATCGGCAGGCAATGAGCCCCTTCATTCCGGACTGACATACCTCATTAACGGGCGGTATTCCTCCAAGGAATAGGAGTCTCTCATTGGACCATATGGAAACCATGACAACTATCGACGTTCAAATGGCAAAAACTACCACTTATCGTAGTGTTTATGGAAGAATACTCACATATCCAAGCCGGGCCAGACGGGCCAGATATGAGCTGCCTTGTCCGCCCAGCCCCCAGACAAAGGTAGCATGACTGGCACTGGATTCCTCGGCCTGCATCTGATCGCACAGTCCTTCTCTCCATCAGTTAAGTGTGCCTAATCCCCTCTATCCCTCTATCTAATCTTCGGCACTCCCCGCTCACACTCCATTTCTACGGTCGCAATCCTCCTCACTATACGCTTTGTCCATCCGTTCAAGATCATTGACACAACATTCACACGATTCTGAAAGCTTCAAACAATTATCAGAGGTCTTTGTCAACAAGTACACTCCCCGAACCGCCGTCAAGTTTCAGCAAGGGGTGTCAACAACCCGCCTTACAGGGCAACAACCGAAGCACATACAATTACTTCATCTTCCCAACAATCTAAAATGGCACTCGTTCGAGACCCATTCTTTTGGAAGCGATTTTCCACAGCTGTCCACCGAGACGACCAAGCCAAAACACAAAGTCAACTGGATCTCGAACAAGCCATCAAGAAGTAAGTTCCTCCCACTCAGACTGATTTTTATTCGAACACCGTGACTAATAAGTTACACAGACAACCTGACTCCTGGCTTGAGCGCGAACGTCGCAAACGTAAACGCTCGCTTATCTGCGGATTCATCATCTTCTTCTGCATTATCCTGGCGGTGACTGGCGGTGTGGTTGTGTGGTGGCTAGCCAGACACAACTGGCTGCAATCGCCAGAGCCCTAGACCAGCGAGACTCGGAGCAAAAAAAAGAGAAGAACAAGAACACTATTGCATCATTACTTTCTGGGAATTTTTGTTTTCAAATTATGCATTTCTAGCGATTGCTGGCGTTGATTTTTCCAGGGAGGAATTGGAGATATACCCGCCGCAACTCCAGCGGCACTAAGATGGACTGGGGACTACTGGGGTTTATAGAGCACTAAGATAGTACCAAATGAAAATAAATATTACTAGTATACCACTTTACTTATCAAACCAGTGCATATTCATGATAATCAGCTATCAGTGGGTCCAATAGCTACCCCTAGTACAGTAGTACCCAGGTATAAAGTGAGTCCCGATTAGGTAGGTGGACGCATGCAAGCTCACCTCTGATATGTAATAGTGCTCATAGTATGGAAGTGATACTAGTAAATCATACTAGTATCAAAATAAACCAGTTAGGTTTAATTCTAGTCTCCTGCTACCTAAGTGATAGCGGCTACTCTGGGGTATCAGCGGACTAAAGCCCGCTGCGGCCAGCCTCGGGGCGGACAATCGGAAGGGACAGGCTTATCGCTCAACTCTCCCCGCCTTCCCCGCACATTCGTTGCTTCACCCCTTTGCTTTCCTTTCTTTGCTTTTCTTTTCTTTTTAACTCTCTCTTCTCCCCATACGTGGATCACATCTGTTGTATCCTACTGCAAAACCCATCATGCTGCCTCCATTTGACTATTTCACCTACCGGCGTATACGGTATGTCCTTTTTCGACCTAAAGCTCCCCCCCAACTTCCCCACACTCGCTCCATCAGCTCTAACTCCACAACAGCAATCAAAAACAAGCGGAACGCGCCGCCCGTTTCACCTCATTACCATACCCTTACCACCTTTCCATCACCGAGGCCGACAAGGAAATCATCGACCAACCAATCGAGGACTTGGTGCGTGATGTGCAAGCCGACACCACCTCCCCGCTGAACGTCCTGCGCACATACGGCAAAGTTGCGGTGAGAGCACAAAGGCGCACAAACTGCATCACGGAGCTACTCCTCCCCGAGGCAGAGTCATGGCTCAAGTCCGATATCAACCTGAGGGGACCTTTGGCGGGAATCCCCGTCTCTCTTAAGGATTCGATCCAGGTCAAGGGCTTCGACACCAGCGTTGGCTACGCGTCATTCGCCAATAACCCAGCCCAACAAGATGGTCCCATGGCGAGACTCCTCAAGGATGCCGGTGAGTGCCTTGAAAAAAGTTACTCGGAATACCAGCATCGCGTCCATACTGATCAGATCACAGGAGCCGTGCCCTATGCGAAGACCGCATTGCCTATTACGTTGCTCTCCTTTGAGTCTGCCAATGGCCTCTGGGGCACCTGCTTGAACCCTCATGTCCCAGGCTATTCCCCCGGTGGCTCGACCGGCGGAGAAGGTGCCCTTCTGGCACTGGGTGGTCGCATCGGTATTGGCTCTGATGTTGCTGGATCAGTCCGTGTCCCAGCCGCATGGAGTGGAATCTACTCGCTGCGCTGCAGTACTGGTCGCTGGCCCAAGGCTGGTGTCAGCACCAGCATGCCTGGGCAAGAGGGTATCCCCAGTGTCTTCAGCCCAATGGCTCGCACCCTGAACGACCTGACCTACTTCACCCGCGCGATCATTAACATGCAGCCTTGGAAGTATGATCACTCAGTGCACCCCATTTCATGGCGTGGAGATCTCGAAACCGAAGCCCAGAGCAAGCCTCTCCGCATTGGTCTGATGAGCAATGATGGTATGTCACAAAACTTATTCCAATTCGCCACTTCCTCGACATAGACTAACTCACTATCCAGGCGTGGTCCCCCCAACTCCCGCCATCGAACGAGCCATCGCAACAACCGTCGCCGCCCTAACCGAAGCCGGCCACACCGTCTCAGAAATCACACCTCCATCCAACGCAGACCCATTCACCGGCTTAAACCTAGCCTCCCAACTCCTCAACTCCGACGGCTGCCACCACTTTGAATCCAACCTCCACACCTTCGAGCCCTCAGACCCAGGCGCAAACCAACTCCGCCGCGTGGCCCACCTCCCCCAACCCATCCGCTACCTCTACTACCTCTACGTCCGCTACATAAAACGCGACAAAGTAACCGCAACCCTAATCCGCAACTTCGGCCCCAAAACCGCCGCACAGCTATGGCCACTAACCGCCGCCCGCGAGTCCTTCCGCGCAACCTGGCACCAATGGTGGGACGCAGAAACCCAGCAATACGATTTCATCCTCTGCCCAGTCAACGCCACACCCGCACTACCGCACAAAGCTATGCACGACGCCGTCTCCTCGTGTGGCTACACGTTTTTGTGGAACCTGCTTGATTACTCCGCCGGCGTGATACCGGTCGGCCATGTGGATGCTGTGCGTGATGCGCTTGTCGCGCCTTACAAGACTGTTCTTAAGCGGCTTGGTGCGGATAATGGTATTGCCCGTGGCGCGTGGAAGCATTATGATTCTGGAAAGATGGCGGGGTTGCCTACGGCTGTGCAGGTTGTTGGTCGAAGGTGGCAGGAGGAGCAGGTTCTGGGGTATATGGCTGCGGTGGAGAAGGCGTTGGAGGTTTATATTGATCCGGTGACTGGGGGGAGTGCGAAGTATTCTTTGTTGGAGATTGATTAGGTGAGCGATATGGTATACCATCAGCACTGAGAGTGTAGTATTTTGCAATACCTGGTTAGTTCCAGGTTAACAGCCCTGGAGTCACACGCGTGTTAGCAGTATAATCAATGAAACATTCCAAGAATTGCTTCACTGATTTCTGGTCTTAATTGCCAATATTAAATCCTAGCTTCCATACAAAACTGTGAATACTAATAGCACGGTACAATTGAAAAACACCGCTATCCTCAAACCCGTCTACGTGCAAGTAGTATTAGTAACCTTAACGTCCCCAAACTCCTCCGGCAGGCCGTACCCGCGACTACTAGTACGACCTCGTATTACAGAGGGGTAACCCGATCAACAACCAATCAGTGACAGAATGAAATGAACCCATCGTGCCTCCCGCAGGGCTAAGACGCAAATCTTAATCCAGCGCATCGAAAGGCAAACAAGAGAAGTCCGCGTCTGTGCTACCCACCATCACCACCGGAATTGCAGATCCCTACATGCACCTTGAACCCGTGACACGCCCTGTCTTGAAGGTTAAGTGGAAGATCAGTACATCCTAGAAGCAAATGTCGACAGATATTGTCAGTGAAAGGGTGGAAAGGAAACTCGGAGCTCCTGGGACGCGATTCAGCCAAGCGTGGGTAGAGAAGTAACGTGACCTTTGACCCACCTTCGGCCAATAATTATTCCGCGATTCTACCCATGGTGGAGCAAAGTCACGTTACTTTTCTACTCACGCTTGGCTGTCTGCCCCTGGTGGGATATACAAACCTCGGCTAAAATAGCGGGGGGAGCTGGATTGGACCGGAACGAAGCTCGACTTCTCCGCATCACATCGCGTCTCCACTAGTGATCTAGCCAAGGATGTGTGGGATCTGCGGTGCCAGCTGTCATTCATTTTCTGTGCGTAGGCTGGCCTGGAAGCTGGGCGTAAGCCATGGCTTGTTTTGCAGGGGAATCGATCGGATCGAGATGATGCGGATAGTTCTTTGGCCACAGAGTACCGTAGCTCTCCTCCGTAGAGCAGTGGTCGCCCTTGTCTTTAGTCTTTAATCTCATCCCGTATGCCGCCCCTCCTCTCCACTCCCCGTCAGAGCGTCCCGTGGAATGATCAATATGGTACAATGTACACATTGTGCGAGGAGACTGTGAGGCGTGTACAGGGCTGCAGATCTGGATATTTGCTCCCGATTGGAACATCCCGGTCAATAGACAATAAGACAATGCGAAGGAATCGCGGAGTTGACAGGGGCACGGTCTAATGCGGCGCTAAATAGGGAGCTCCACCAGGGAGACAGGATCCAATGGCGTGCTCATGCGAAAAGGTTCAGATCAATTCCAGTGAAGTGATTGGAATCAAACCTGCAGAAGTTGATGGAAATGGAGAATGGTGAACGGAGAAGAGTTCCTCTGAAGGGAAAGTGCGAGGTGAAGATGGAAGTCACGGGGTCAACGTAGGACCAAAGTCAACTTGCACTTTCACTTCCACTTCCCTCTTCTTCGACTTCATTCCAAGGTTGAACTAACCCTTGTCCTTATCTTCGTCCTTGTCCACTTTACCGCGGTCGCTCTCTTGTGTCTTCGACCCATTCTCTGCGAATATACCCCTCTATTCTCCACATATCTTACAAACTCCCCTGTGACCAGCAACTTGCGACCTGCGATTTGTGCCTTAGACTAGCAGGATGCAGATCCTGGACTACTGCATTTCCTGCCGTTGGTGATGGTTAGGCTTCAAGTTTAAGGGAGAATGGCATCCAAGAAAAACCAACGAGGTGGCATTCGCAAGTCGGACGGGATTCATTTTGTCAATGCCCGACCTTCGTCCGAGACTGAACGAAAAAAAGCCCAACACCTTGTGCGAGCACATGTGGGACGATGGATCTCCGACCAGAGCAGAGATAAAGATCGTGCGACGGAGGCAGCTTCGAAGTCACTGTCGTCAAGTTCCTCCTCGGCTTCAGCATCAGCATCAGCATCGACATCGGCCTCATTTTCAACCGGCATATCAATTGGCGCGTCAATAGGAGGGTCAGCTCCTCCCAATAATCCCCAGAGTGCACATGCACAAGCTGCCACCCGGCCCCCATTGCCGAACGATGACCGCGCACCAACCTCATTTATTGTCGTCTCGCGTCCCTCACCCCAGCCGACCCGCTTTGCCCCCGCCCCGCGCCGCGGTATCTCTCCCAGAGGCTTGAATCAGCGACCGACGCGTGTATGGCAGAGATCACCATTTCCCCCATCCCACGCCAGCGATAGCAGTGATAGTAGTGATGATGCGGCTTCGCCAACGGAACCAATAGCCTTTATTCCATGGCACGAGGTGACCCGCGTTGAACCCCAGATTTCCGGCCTCTTCGACCCCTTTGGCACATATCCGACGCAATTCCCGCCGGACGTCGTAAACCCATGCGAGACATACCGTTAGTATTCTTGAACTCCTGATGATTCTGACCGAAATGGATCTATTCACTAATACCTCCCCCAGTTACAACGGTATTATGGCCCGGGCTCATCCCTAGGTCGAGACACGTGAAAAAGGCTGGCGATGCTTGGTTTCCTCTTTCATTGTCTGACCCTGCCCTCTTTACGGCGTTTATATACGGATCGCTCTGTCACCAGCGAGTCCAATGGCTTAATCAGGCCACTCCGAGCTCCAGCTTCGGCCCTAGGCAAGAGCGTCTTTTACAGCAGTGCGAACTGGAAGCAATCGAGTTGATCAACGCGGCCATGAAAGACCCCTTTCGCCGAGTTAGCGACGCGGTCATCTTGAGCGTGATATGTATGGCTCACCACCAGGCGATGGACGACACTTTCAGACGAAAGCTGCCCACTCCCTTCAAAGCCCCGTTTCAACGCCTGCAATGGCTCAACGTCTATGGCTGCTTGCCTCCTAACATGATCCATATCCAAGGACTGGTTCAACTGATCATCATGCGTGGTGGACTGCAGAGTATAAAAACGGCCGGGCTGGCGGCTACTATATCTTTGTTTGTTAGCCCGAAATTTCGAACTTCCTATCCCGTGCGAAAGCTAACCAGCCCAAGTTCTGACATATTCACCGCGAGCGTACTCTGCACCAAGCCAGGCTTTGAGTTCTGGCCCGTAGATGAGTCCCGCTGCGGGATAGAACTCCAACCTCTCCTTGGATTTGATCAATCCGACATCAACCGTGGCTTCGGTCGACTCGGCAGCATTGGAATAACTCCACAAATGGCGGAGGCATTCCAAGCCGCTCGCATGTACATCAACATTGTTCGAGCTAGTCTCGAAACAAGCCACGATCCCTCACTACTAGCAGACCAAAGAAACCTAACACAATATACCATCCTATCTCTTCCACCCGCGTCGACAATATCTCACCATTTCATTCATCCTGTACATGCGATCACGTACGAGGCTTGCCGGCTAGCTAGTTGGATTTTCGCCGTCGGCGTTATTTTCCCTGTCCCGGCTCAGAGCACGCCCCTCGCCAGGCTAGCCCAGCAATTACAGGGTGTTCTCCGCGACCCGGATGCTTCTGGTTTATGGACATCACCGCAAACACGAATTCCTTTATTGTGGATCCTCGTGTTAGGCGGGATTGCCGCCACACAAATGCCAGAACGTCCATTCTTTGCTTCAGCCCTGGGACAGACCTTATGGAGGAGCAGGATCTCCTCCTGGCTAGGTGTCAAGCGTGTTCTTGAGATCATGCTTTGGTACGATATGGCTTGTGATGAATCGGCGGAGGGTCTTTTTTACGATGCAATTCACCTTGCGAACAGCGTGACCGAGGCGAGAAGTTGAATGCGATTCTCGAATGTGTACCTCTGCTCGACAGATTTCAAGCACATTCTGCACATATTCTCGGACTTTCCATGCTCCTACTTGGACATCGGCAATTTACTTGAAACCATTTACTGCCTTGTCTACTGCGTTACCGGATTTGTAGGCACAGCACACATATACTGATTCTAATGCCAGGACTGCATTTTTCTTCCCAGATGAGATATCTCGATTGCGTGATCAGTCAAGCTGCTGGCAAAGTGTAATCTCGGTCTCTGGAGAATCTATATTAATACCATACATCAAGACTAACCACTTTCCTTTGGTTTTAGCGATTTAAATAAAGAAACTGAATACTTAAAAAGACCCAAATAAACAAGTTTGCAACTTCAAGTTCCAAGATTCAATCTAGAAAAAGTCCAAGGCAATGCTACAAGACCCTGCTCAGGATCCTCCGCTGATATTAAATTGCCGATCTTGATTGCGATACGTTGAGTAGATCTGGGGATGGACAATGGTTTGGAATATAATTTCTGGTGGGCCCTTTAATTGGGTTTACTGCCCAGGTGTTTGTTGTCGGTTTAAACTGGCTTGAGGTGTTTGAGGGCTGGCTTGGTCTTCATTCCCAGGTGAGATGGACATACCCTCTGTTTCGACTCCTGACTAGTCAATTGTCTATTATTCCATGGCCCGGCTTTCGAATTTTGAATCTGCCCACCTGTCCTGTTGAAGCGAGTATTACCGCGTATTTCTTGTTCCATCACTTTACCTTCACTTTGCCAGCATCAAGATGGCGATTGATCGTCCCTGAGAATACCTCTTTGATTCTCTTCTCTAGAAGATCTACCGGTCTAGATTCAGACGAGCAACAGGCACAACACTATACGGTGGTAAGCGCAAATCCTATCCTTCTGACTGGTGTTCAACAACAAACGCACATGCACCCTCCCACATCATTACGTCCTTTGAAAGTTTATCGAGAGCCCTTGCTCTGACTCATCGCTCGATTGGTAGCTGATTTTCAGGATTCAGACGTCAATAGACTCATATCTTTCCGTTCCAACAGCCTCGGGGCTGAGTGGTGACAAATGAGGCTCAACAGATTAGCGTCGGACTAGTCGATGAGCTAGAGAAGGAAGACACATCCGACATTAGCGCCATTGCACCCTGCAAGGCGATATGCAAAGAATGGGGGCTGGAATGGAGTCCTCGATCCTTGGCAACAAAGAGATGGTGAATCCTGAGTGGCATGGCCAATCGAGTCTGGGCGCGGGTGTCATCCCCCCTAGGCCGACAAGAGTCCATGCTGGGGCCCAGATCTCGTCCCTAGCTTGTTTCGCTTTAGATTATTGCAGCTTTTGGTCGGGCCCCAGGATCATCGCTTCGGGCGCCATCCCGTGATTTTGGCATCCTGCAGATCAGCGGGTTCGGCTCACCTCGTGGTTGGTCGACGATTTCTCCCTTGAGAGGCCATGCAGCTAAGGCGAGACATGCCGGCTCGAACTGGACTCATTTGCTGCAGGCGGTATGTGATGAAGCTATTTCGTTCCTCGGGTAGCCGATATCATCTGCAAAGGCTGGCTCGACTGGTCGAACTAACCATGGTGTTGCTCGCAAGATTGCTCTGGTGATGGAGTTCTCGGGCAGCTCCGCTGCGGACGGCGCTGTCCGACATTCATGCATATGCATATGCATACAGACTTGTTTCAAACCGGCGTTGCCTAAATGTGTGATGACACCGGCGTATGTTTCAATTCCAACAACGCTTTCGACAGGGAGTAATATGTCATGCGTTTACAGCTCCATGAGGTATCATGTGTTTTGCCATGCTAATATCTCCTTGAAGAACCTTGGAATGTGATAAAGTTCCAGCTAATATATTATTTTGTTTTTCAGCTACGCGGCCCGGAACGTTCGTGGAGTTTTAAAGCTACCTACCCACGCGACAGTACATCCTCGTACTCTGTAGACATTCAAGCTACACTCGCCCCACCATACATGCATGAACTAGTCTAAGTAGATCCGTGACTCTGGATGATCTACAAGCCTTCAGCCTTGACCAGTTGGGTGGGAGCTGCTTCCCCGGTTTTACCGTATCTACCCTGGAAGGACCTTGGGCACTCCACACTCCAGCACGTCCGATTCGTTGGTTCAAGTTTCGATAGACATATTCGTTTTCTCGATGCAGTGTGAATGCCCCCTAGTCCTGGCATTCTTCTGCAAGAGGAATCGATCTGATGTGTTCTTGCAGCTTTGATTTCAACATGATTCTGAAGTAGTGGAGCTTTCTTCTGCCGATTCTCACGGCGATTATTTAAAGCTCGCTCTTTGGAAAGATTTCCGCTCCGTTCACTCTCTATTTTAGCTCTACTGCAAACCAACGGCTCTGATAATTCAAGATATTTCTCGCACACAAAATTCGTGCCACTGCTTGCATAATGGCGGCTCCCTTGCACAACGGTCGCTCCAACGGCCCAGCCCTGTCGCCAAATGATGAAACCCGGGGCCCAGGGTACCCAGAGGTTTCCTGGACTAACACAGCCTACTATCCCACTCCGGCGACATCGGTCGGACAACACTGGCTACACCATGCGCCAAATAGCAATTCAAACACGGGTATATCTCCTATCTCAGCATCTCCTTGCTCCAACCCAGCAGTCACACCACCTTCCTCTTTCCATCATCCCAATTGTATCCCCTGGCCGATCGGCAGTCCAAATGGTTACATTCTACCAGATGCGCACAACGCAGCCTGTCATCCCAGTACTCCCAAGAGTACCCCAATGGCGAGGATCTCATCCTTCAACTCCTCGCCAGAAGAACCTCTCGACATAGCGAGCTACGAAAATACATGTGCACATAGCACAGGGGTTCAACCCCGCCAAGCGGCGAGCATCGAGTATGTGTTTACGGTTATATCTCATTACTAACATGTGCTTTGCTCCAAAACTCTCTGACATTACTCAGTGTCAACCACTATGGTCGATACAAGTGCCGATGGGAGGGGTGCATGTATACCAGCACATTTTCCCGACAAACGTGTCTCTGGCGACACATCAAGTCCACTCACGTCGCTCCAGAGGAGTTCAAATGTCCTGTTCGTGAATGCAAGGAATCCTTTGGTCGCAAAGATAAACTTCAATCTCACATGCGACTTTATCATGCTACCCACAACAGGGCGGATTCATGCTCTTGCCATTCTTAATTCGGTGTTGGGATTTTCCTCTCTGTTCACTTCTTTAACTTTGTTTTTTTTTTTCTATCCATTGATTGGTTTGGCTCGTTCGGGAATTATTTTAGACACATCCCTACTCTTTTCTTTGGTCTTCAGTCTTTCGTTAGGGGTTTTCTTTAGCTTGGGCTCTCGGGGACTATGCCATGCGTTAACTAGTTTATGCAGGTTATTAACTGCGCAAGGATTCATGTTACGTTTTGATGTCGTTTATATACTGCCATGACTAGTATGATGTAGTAGTACTCAGGCAGAAACATGGTGAAACTGCAGCTTTGGAATACCGTGATCTTGCCACTTCGAGTTCGAGTCGGGATTCGTAAAAACGATAAGCACATACATATGACCTCCTGTAATGAGTCACTAACTATTTTAGGTTATAGTATTCCCTGCAGCAATCTTGAATTAACTCCACACGATGTGGGTCTTCTCCTGCCAAACAAAATTAAAAATTCTCGCCAGATTCTCCAGGCGTCCAAAGCGTGGCGCTCAGTTGTCCACGGGTCTCGGGAAGCCGAAAGTCGCCACTGCGTTCGCCTTCGAGATTTCTTTCCGGAAGCACCCCATCGTTCTGCTCACCGAACTCTTTGATGAAGTATTAGGCAATTCTTGATGAGCGGTTTTATTGTTAATTAACTTTCAAAGGAATGATCAAGACATTTTGGAGGCAGATGGCGTGCAGAAAAACGCACGCTTATTTACGTAACTCGATCTAGCCCGGTGGGTCCGAAAAAGATTTCGGCATCTGCGATTTGATTCCATGGCATCGCTATTCTCGCTTAGGCCATAACAGTGCTTGGCAATATTCCCCTGTTTGCACACAGATCATGCAGCAAGAATGGAGAAATCGATCTTCTTTATTTAGATGGAGTTCTCGAGTATAGAGTGGGTTAGACATGAACTGGGTTGTGTGTAGCTAAAATGAACTATGGGGGACCATAAACTCGGATCTGAGCCGATAATTTAAGATTTTGCTCGCGTGGTTTTAGGCTGTCAAAGAAGGAAGGTCCCGCTGTTGCAGCTGCTAATTTTTGAGCACGCAATCGCCCCTCGCGATTTTTTGCCGTGGCTGTCCCCGAATATCATTTGCATGGCTCACCCCCGGCCGTCCCCATTTAATATTTTCTCGCGGAAATCTCTCTCTTTCCTTTCTTTATATCTGATCGTCACTAAAAGTGTTGAATCTTCGCCATCAAAATGGGTTCAACTACTGCCGATGAAGAAGTGAGGGATGTCGCTGCCCAGTCTGTTGACACACAGGTCTCGCAGCAGAGTCGCTGGCGATCGGTGTACCGATCCATTCCCTTCCAGATCGCCATAGCCAGTGCTGTTTCCTTTACAGCCCCTGGAATGTGGGATGCCTTGAACAACCTGGGAGCCGGTGGAGCTGCAGAGCCATATGCAGTTTCCGGAGCAAACGCTCTGGTCTATGGTCTTTTCGCAGTCGTTTGTGTGTTGGCTGGAGCTATTAACAATCGCATTGGTCTTCGCTATGGCTTGGCCATTGGAGCGATCGGTTATCCAATCTACGGCGGTGGTTTATACGCCAACAGTTACACATCAACCACTTGGCTGATGTTCTTCGGGGCTACTCTGTGTGGTATCTCTGCTGGTTTCTTCTGGGCTGCGGAGGCAGCTATCATTATCGGATATCCTAGCCCGAAGGACCGTGCTTTCTATCTTGGTATGTCAACCGAGACTCGGAACATTCAAAATATCACCCAGTGCTCTTGCTAACATTTATTTCTAGCTATCTGGCAGACAGCAAAGGCAGCCGGTCCCATCGTCGGCGGTGCTATCAGTCTCGGCCTCAACGCCAAGAACTCCGAAAAAGGCACCGTCAGCACCGGTACTTACATCGTTTTCATCGTCATCATGTGCCTTGGTCTCCCTTTTTCGCTCTTCCTGAGCCCCGCCGATAAGGTTCAGCGCAAGGACCGCACTCTGGTTGTTGTTCACAAGAAGGACAGCTGGGCTGCCGAGTTCAAGGCCGCCCTTTCACTCTTTAAGACCCGACGCGTCCTTCTGCTCCTACCCGCCTTCTTCATCAGTTATTTCTATAACGGCTTCATGAGCACTTGGGTGACCAGCTACTTCACCGTTCGTGCGCGTGCTTTCAACTCCTTCTTCACCAACTTTGCTGGTGTCGCGTCGTCTTTCATGATCGCCGCCCTACTTGACCGCCAATCTATTTTCATCAAGACTCGCGCTCGCATCGCTTTCATCTCTATCGTCGTCATTCTTAGCGGAACTTGGATCTGGGCATCAATTCTCCAGAGCCAGTTCTACGATATGCCCGAAGCCCCTACCTTTGACTGGTTCAAGGGTGGATTCGGCAAGACCTATACCCTGGTCTTCTTCTGGCAGTTTGGAGGACAAGCTTTCCAACAATTCCTCTACTGGCTGGTTGGACAGTACAGCACCGATATTTCGTCACTCTCATACCACACCGGTATTCTTCGCGGCATGGAGGCTCTTGGCCAGACCGTTGCCTGGGCCATGCAGTCCGAGGGCAATGCCAACCACTTCGTCAGCATTGGCCTGAACTTTGGAATCACTCTTCTGTGCATCTTCCCCACTTGGCTTGTCCTATCCGATCTGGAGCACAGTCATGAGGTGGAAGTCACTGCTGAAGACCTGCAAGATGACACCACCAAGCCAGTCTAACTGTGATTCTGGCATGACACCATCAACTTTGTGTCATTGTATAAAAAGGGAATTTAACATTCCTCTACGATTTTCCGATTGTACTTATAGAGCGTCTATACATTTCAACATATACCCCAGTCGATAATTTTAATCAATATTTCTTCGCGATTTGCGAAGAATCACATGTTCGATTCAAAATTTCCATGATACCAACTATAAAAACAAGAGAGGGGAAGGCGATTCCCGACTAACTTGAAGCTTCTCTGGGTCTCTTCTCATTGTCATTGGATATGTAAAGACATAAAACGCTCCTAATCGTCTCGATCGCCTCATCATAATGGCTATCTGTGCGAAAGTTATATCCTGCCCATAACTAGCGCCTCGTGCTATGGGTGGGCTGCAAGACACGGCTATGGTCAAACGATTCATTGATTGACCGGTCGCATCTTCCATGAAAGGTATATCTGCAACTTGAATGGTGCCAAGAATACGCCGTAAGAAATAACTATTACCCGCCGAATTGATTAACTGTGGACAGGGGAGGGGCAGCCCATACAACTTGAAGTCCTCTATCGCTATTTCGTCCGGTAAGAACTTGAGGCTGAATGAATATGTGATAAGCGCTTTTCAGCAACAAGCCAAGAGCTTCAGCATGATTTGCAAGATTACGCGATACACAGGGTGTTGAATTTCGGAGTTATGCCTGAAAGCCACGTCCACCCGTCGGTCGCCACGCCGACCCCCGCGCGAAGTAGACCGAGACCCATTTTTCGGCAATCTGATATGACGGTCAACACGACCAACGCGGGATATTTGAATACACATGCCTTGTCTGGAACTAAGCACCTGGCAGACATTCAATTTCCTTGATTTTGGCAACATGGTCTCCAGTGAGTCCCGTATCATTATCATTGGCGGCGGTGCTTGGGGTCTCTCGACAGCACTTTATCTAACGGAAGCTGGCTATTCCGATGTGACAATATTGGACCGTGCTGAAGCTATACTTTCACCCTACTCAGCGGCATATGATTTGAACAAAATTGTTCGCGCAGAATATGAGGGTGGCTTTTATTCAAAGCTTGCATTGGTATGTCATCATTTCATAAATGGAATTTGAAATTGAGACTGACGACTCTCGTCGAGGTAGGAGGCAATTGAAGGCTGGAAGACCCCACTGTTTGGGCCATACCATCATCAAACCGGCCATGTGATAGTGACAACTGGCAGGGCACCCGAAAAAGCCGTCACTTATCTCGAGAGAGCGTTGGCCTCTATCGAAAAGGACCCGGCACTTGCCCAACGAATTTAACGGCTAGACGGCGCAAGCGAATTTAAAGATTACATCTGGCAGGACATAGGCCTCCTTTCTGAATTCAGAGGCTATTTTAATCGCCTTGCCAGATATGCCATCGTCAGATACTATGAAGGGAATTTGGGATCATATCTCGGCGCGAGGAGTAAAGTCTATACTGGGTGAACGCGCAGAGAAGGTAGTCAAGTTGAAATATTCAAACGGCAAGGCCACAGGTGTCACTACAGCTGTTGGACGAACCCATAATGCTGCTTTGATTATATCCGCGCTTGATGCTGCCGGTGCAGCAGTACTTCCACAGATCGGTACGTCTTCTGCTGCTCGTTCTTGGCCTGTGGCCCATATAAAGCCCACGGAAGACGAATGCAATCTCTTGCGAGGTATTCCGACGACAAATATCCGTGACCTGGGCTTTCTCTTCGAACCATATCCGAAGACAAAGCTCTTCAAGCCTTGTCCGCTTGGAATAGGGTAAACAAATACAAAAGAAGATGGAATGTCGTTGCCACCATCTGAAAGGTTTCACACTTTCCAGGATTTCATTCCGAAAGACGATGAGCAGAAGCTCAGGCAGTTATTACGGGAGACTTCTCCGTGGATGGCTGATCGGCCTTTCGTTGATAAAAAAAAGCTGTGTTGGTTCTCAGACAGCCCGGACTCCAATTGCTGCCTTGATTTCGTGCCCGATACAAAGAACTCGGCCATTTTCCTGAGCGGAGATTCGTGACATGGTTTCAAAACGAAAGTGGGTTACTGATCTCATTGCAAAAGGCAAACAGAACGAAGGTCGTTGGAAGTGGCGCAGCCCAAGTAAAAATGTATCGCAATGGGGCGACTCCGTGAGTTGGAGAGTCGGTCAGGAAGCCGAGTTGAGGGAGCTCGTTGGCCTAAATGCTAGGCTAGCCCCCGCTAATTTATAGTGGTTTTTGGTAGATTTTAGGTGTGAGCAATGAACACAGGTACCTTGTGACCTTGATTAGAGTTATATCCAAATTCTCAAAAGCCTCATGATGCTAGATTAATCACCAACTATCTTGATTTCAATTTCGTGGCATCACAGCTCCTGGTACTTGTGAAACCCTAGAATGCTGCAACCTAGATTACTGCTTACGTGTGAAGAGTCTCATGCTAAGGGTTGTGAACGTTATCAATAGAGTATAGTATCCTGTTGTGTGTTTCATAATTGACTAATAGGCGGACTTTGACAATTGACGGGGTTTGGAGATCTGAATATTTAACTCTATTACTCGAAACTTAGTATACCCAGCCTCCATCGACATTGTGTACAGCCCCAGTCACAAAGCTTGACTCATCGCTCAGTAGAAAAGCGATGACTTTAGCGACCTCATCCGGCGATCCAACTCTTTTCTGTGCATTCTCCATTATACCCGACTCCGATCGTTTTGGGTCGCCGTGGGCAGACATTGGAGTGAGTACAGTTCCTTAAATATTCTATTAGTATTTTGAAGTGAATTATGGATGAAAAGTAGAGCTATTTTGCTCGCAAATGAACTGCAAATGACGTGAACTCACCTGGGGCAACGCAGTTGATTCGAACATTCCTGTCTTCCTTTGCAGCCGACTTTGATAGGGCGATCACAGCTGCTTTGCTAGCGCAGTATGCGGAGGAATTGGGCATGGATATCTGTCCGAAAGTACTAGCTGCCGAGACCTATATTTCACATTATCTGTGTCAGCTTGATTCACTTCTTATCTCAGCCGAAGAGTGACTCACAATGCTGCCCTTCTTCATAACCTTAAGTTGGGCATGGAGACAATTGAAGACACCAGAAACATTCACTGATAGAACAAATTCAAACCTCTTCTTTGTAAGCTCGGTGACTGACGCGGAGGGTCCCAAGACTCCGGCCATATTCACGGCTCCGTCAAGTCTTCCATATCGATACATGGTCTTTTCTATCCATGCATCAACTAACCCTTCATCACGGACATCAACGCGGGTAAGGATGTGCTTCTCATGTCCGCCTGGAAGTGACTTAATTGCTACCTTCAGTGCTTCCTCGTTCAAATCGGCGAGGGATATTATAGCGCCCCGTGATGCCAGTAGCTGAGCAGTAGCTAGTCCCATGCCACTTGCTGCGCCCGTGATTGCAATCTATTCAGAACATCAGAATGAGACGGACTTAATGCGAACAGAGATGGTGGTATCCCAGGGGCTTGAAGTAACTTACCACCTGACCTTGGTGAGAAGCCATGGCTACGCTTTTAGTAGACGCGAAGTTAGAGCTGAAGGCAAGTTGAACTGAAGTTCTTTCACGGCCCTTCCCTCCGGTCGCGCTGTATGAGATTGAGAGACTGTGCTCAAGGAGAGATTAAATACCCCGCAGCTTTCGAGAACCAACATACTCCGAGACTTATCAGCGACGGGCCGATCACCGAAGATACACATAGATCCTGTCGGACTCCGAGCCGACATAGGGAAATGTGGAGAAGTGAATCTGTTATACAATGGCACTTTATTCGATCTGCTTCTATGTCTGCTGGAAGATTATCAATCGCTCAGGCCTCAATGGACCGAAAGATGTGGATCTTGTTTGGGAGCGTTTACAAGTCGATGCTCACGAGGCCACCGTTGTTGATGAGGAAACAACATTCCGGGGCGAAATTGAGCAGCTTTTCTACATAAAACGCAAATCACCCTCTCCTACTTGAGATATGTATTGAGATCATGATGCAGTACGCATCGCAATCAAATTTGGAAGTATATCCTAGTTGGTAACGAGGATCCTATATATTATTTACCACAACTTTTGATAAGTATTTCGAAGCATCATCGGCATGATGGTACGTCAGAGAGGAACCCAGCTTATCTATGTCACAATAGATACTCTTTATGGATAATTAAATTGACCTTGGTGCTGGAGCGACCTCCTGCCTCTGTGTTACCTAAATACCAAAGGAATGTCTCTAAGGACAACCGGGTTCGTTCTGATAGTAGAATTGGCTTATCAAAGAGGTGCTTTCTTGCCCAGTGGATCAAACCGTAAAACAAAAATCATCCTGCTCAAGCTGCTCCGCAAGGACAAGTATATCGTCGGGACCAGTTTCGAATGGATCCAGGATGTCATCAGAGCTGTTCCAATTTATTCTGAACAGATTTTGCTCCTGCTCATCCGGTAAATCGAAGGTTCTATTCGCACAGAATATTCGTCGCATACTTCCACCTTCACATACGCTTGTCAGCTCGGCATTTGGTTGAACTGGCATGCTTGAACCATGTGCTCGATAAGGTTCTAGGAGCGCTTCCAAATGTTCAAGCTCGGCTCTTCGTAACTTTGCCACAATATTCCCTTTCTGAATCATCTCCTGAAATATAGACGAAGCTGCAGCTTGCCATCCGGGATCTGGGACATATGACGGCAGGATAGCATCGAGGATAGAAAGGAGCACAGCCGAAGAAAAGGCATATTCTAGCGTGAATGGGAGAAACGTTTCTGAAACTCAAATGAGGAGGATTTTCTTGGTTGAAAAGGGGAATCTGTTGGACTAACCAAGCGTCTCTCGTTCTGAGAGATTTATCAAAATGAGCAGGGTAGTGGTCGCAGATTGTGATGATTTTTCAAGCAGCTTCGCGATGGGTCCGGATAATATACGTGGATCGAATCTGCAAGGTGGTAAACTCCGAATGAGAAGCCAAATCACCAATGGCCGCGTCGCAAGAACAATGCACTGGGATGCCTATCGTCAGCATTATGTCCCATGGGGTGGTGTTTGAGACGGAGAGCCACATTCGAGATACCCACATGATGATGCGATAGAGTGATATTGTAGAACATTTGAGGAAGTTCTCCTTTACTAGCTTTGAAACCAGATGTGATCTCCTCCATTTCGCGAGAAACCTCCGCCAGTTTATGCAAAACAGATGTGATGCTAGAAATGAAGTCAGATCCAAGAGTATCGTCAAAGCTGTAGATAGCTGCAAAGAAGAAGTTGAATCAGTCATAGAGTCACATTCAAGTTCAAGCCGGGGTGCTTGAACCTCCAGCCTTGGAAAACCTGGGCAGGTACTCCCTGGGACACAACCTTGGAAGAGCGAACATACTGCTATAAATGACGGAGTTGATCTGCGAAAGGCGACTCCTTAATGCTAGTGCCTTTGTCGATATCGAATCAGATTGGATATCTGGAAGAGATGTAGTGATACTGTTCAGTGGTATAGTGGGGGGACAACCTAGTCCAGCAGAGAGGGACTGGTCTAGAACATAGATTGTCCACCAAACGTTGCTAGCATGTGTCGCGATGCCAGCTTCCGTGATATCCTCCGGAAATCGGCGGTGGAGACCATCGTGGAAAGAGAGACGGAGAGCTTGGCCAATCTGTAGTCGCGGATGTCAGAAAGATGATTGTAGTGACAAACAACTCTAGGGTATACTGACATATTGATAAGCTGGGGATCGCATGTCAATCGATTGGAAATACAACGCAATCAAGGCCAAAACCTCCATCGCAAGCAAAGCGGGGCGCTCATCCTGTAGAAATGCCACGTCTGGGAGTAAAGATAAGGCTCGGACAGCAAGTTCAGAGCCTGGTGGTGCGACGGTTGTGGTATTCATATAGGATGTGAATGCTTTCCCAAACGCGAGCAGCATTAAATATTCAACAAACCAGAGCCGCTCCATCTGTGCGGTCTTCAAGGGGTTTTTGTGAAATTCATCGAATATTCGCAAAAAGTTTGGCTGATCGACAACACTGAAAATCTCGCCCAGGCGGAATTTGACTGTATTATACAAAAACAATGCCTGGTCAATTGGTGGAAGCTTGAGCAGGTCACTTGAATCAACCTCTGCCTTTGAGTGCCAGTGAAGACGGAACGCTGCACCGTCTAAATTGAGAGGTGCGCGAGGGGCGGTCGAATATAACCCAGCATCTTCCAACAGGGTGAAGACGCGTCGACAGAATGACCACGTCGAAGTATGACCAAGAAATACTGCAAGATTCCATATGTGAGTATGCGGAAGATGCCGATTCCAATGAAGGAAAACATACAAAGACGGCGATCATCAGACCCGCTTACATATGCCACATCCTTGGACACAAGGGGATTGAAGGCCTGCGGAAGATTGCATGATTCATGCTGATTCGTATCGGTCGGACCAGTAGCCAGGCTCACTGATGTAGAGCTAGCGTTATTCACTACTGGCGATGTCAGACATGGGTACAGTTTCCTAATTTCTTCCGAAGTAAGCTCATACCGTGATCATTCCGGCGGGGAATTTCAGGCGAGGTGAAGCAGTTTGGTGGGTCTATCTCGATGGTTCTCGCCGATCTCGCCGGTCTGTCCAGAGATCTCGGCGTTATCACCGATGGATCGGTATCGGAGACCGAGACCGACCCCCGCCAGGCCGGTCGCTCGGTCTGGATAGTTGAATTTTTTGTTCCGGTCGGCATTGCCTTCAGCTGAGCAATTTCCCGCTGTAAATCTTGGAGGTATCGCTCTGGAACGGAGACGTGGGCCTCGTCGGAAGCAAATGCGCATTTATCTCGGCGACGAGTGCATCGTTCGCAAGGCCGCGTTCCGGAGCATCGTACCTTCGATGCCCGACATTGCCTGCAGCTAATGGATGTTAATACATGTCACTTTTGTCAAACCCTCGGCTCTCACATAAACACTTACGCGCGAATGCGGCGAGAGTGGCGCGACTGTGCTGTAGCTTCATTTTTTTCAACTGGATCCATTGCTCAGAAAGTTGAAAGTAGTAAGCAGTCTGTGGTAAATCTAAGCTCCAGGGGCGGATGGTTATCAGGAAATCCTATTGAACCAAATAGTTATAATGTCCTGTGACACACTATTGGCCAATTTTTTTAGTTTTGCTCCACGACGCCCACCCATTTAGCAAAGTTAGCTCCGCTTCTTTCGGTCATCTGCGGGGTAGGAGATAAAGTGAATAATCTCTCCATCAATAATATTTAGTAACTATTAGTAAGGGAATACTGATCCCAAAGGACACATGCACTGAAATCCGACTTCTCCGATTCTTTCGTCCATTGGCTAGCCTAGATCAGCATAGATAGGAAGAAGAAGTCGCTTACAGGAAGCATAAAACCCATAAACATTTTGTCGACCATTTTGACCTGCTTGATAATACCACAGAAGCACCCCCTTGTTCCACTAAGATTGTTTTCATCCTATTCTCAAGCAAATCATGGCTACATCCCATGAAGAATGAGATGTCTTACTCATCGGGGGCCCGAAAGTCGAGCGATGTAACGCCAGGAGGGCGTCACGAGCTCTGGGAGAAGATATATGCGACTCGGGAATGGCCAAATAGCTAGTGCCTTCAGCGACACCTACTAGTATACGGATCGAACAGCAAACCAATTACACTCTCAATTTATGACCGACAAAATTAGAGGCCGCGTTAACGACTCGATGTTGCTGAGAGTTTGGTTCCAAAAGATCACGGGTTTGGTCTTCGGCGTGTTCCTTTGGAGAGTGGATATTTCGAGGCCTACAACCAGGCCAATGTCCACTTAATTGACCTCAAGAAAACTATCATCCACCAGATTACCCGGAACAGTATTCGGCTCCGAGATGGTACAGAGCACGAGCTAGACATATTAGTTTATGCTACCGGGTTCAACGCTATCACCGGGGCTTTTGGGAATATTGATTGGACTGGGAATAACGGCGTCCCTCTCATGGGTAACAGTGATCCGAAGAAGGGGGATGGAGAGGAAGCGGTTTGGGTTGACTATCGGCCACGAACGAACCTTGGCCTAATAGTTCCTAAGTCTCCCAACATGTTCATGATCTTGGGTCCCCACCAGCCACTGGGTAATGCACAACGCAGTACTGAACATGTATTTCAGGTTATTGTGGAATTTTCGACGACTGGTGGAAGCAAATGGCTATACATAAGTCGAGCCAAAAGAAGAAGCAGTCAATGCCTGGACTGAGCATATAGCCGACTGCAGCGAGGGTGCGTTATTGAACGAGGTTGATGGCTGGATGACCGGAGTAAACAAAAACGTCGCAGGGAAAACAGTGAGGAATGTCGCGCGGTATGCTGGGAGTGGGATTGATTTCAGGAGGAGATGCGAAGAGAGTAGAGCGGCAGGCTGGGACGGGTTGGATTTTGCTTGAGGGGAGTCCATGCCGAAGCTTTAATTGACTTAATCAAATACTTTTCATGATCATCGTCGGACTTGAAAATAATTGAAACTAGTTTCTTTGCCAATGCACACTTGGGCACCAGCAGGTTTAACCCAATGTGTACTAGTGGACTGGAGTGTGTACCAATATCATAAAATTCTATTCAAGCTCTGGGTTGACAATATGAATCTCTGAATGTACCTACTAGGCAGTGCTGGAAATTTGAAAAATTCCCCAACCTAAGGTTGACAGCACACCTGGGCAATGAATGTGGACCTTCGAGTCTGACCAGCTTGATAGTGTCTCAGCCCGGAGGCATTTACGGTAGAATTCAAGAACTTCCCAAGAGAACCACTAAAACTTCAGGTTTCGCGCAATCATCTCCGGTCGGAATGTTAGGGAAATAAAAAATGAAGATCTGAAGGCGGGCCGGCCACGGACCGGGGCAAGGAAGGCCGACTCGGGTACATGCACCCGACCAACAAAATCCGTTTGTCATTGCATGTAATGCATGCAAGATGAACACATAGTAGAGAGAAGAAACAGATATTGCCTCACAAAGAGATTTTGCAGGAGGCTTCCATAAATTTTATCGTTTCGAAAGTGAAGAACACCGATCGTTTGGGTCGCATATCAAGTGTCGTGATGCCGGCCGTGAGAACACGGCCCGTGTCGCAATAGAATCGGACCCACCATTAAACAAAAAGCAGGAGACCATCTCCCCAATTCCATTGTCGCAGTTTAATTTTCATTCCATTTCAGAAATTCTCTCATACGGCCTATTCGCTTGATTTGATGTCATATTCTGATCACCTATTGAATTATGACCACGATGGGCAATCGACTGCGACACCTTCGGAAAAGACGCAATGATACCATAGCGATCGACTTATGCGAGGACGCATTCAACACAACTCACTCTCGAACGACCGGGGAGGAGATTTGCGGCTGGGTTTGGATCCGAACGGGATCGAGACTTAGTCCAGGGATGCTTGAAATTGTATTCCGAGGTAAGGCGGCACTTCTCCAAAGATAATGTCTGATGCTAAATAAGTAAACAAGGTCGCTCCCGCGTTGAGAACAATGCGATTTTGCAACCAGTGCGCACATATCGACAAAGAAATTTTCTTGAGATGAAGCAGCCCATTGAGAAGGATGATTTCACGCCATACGACGCTCTGAAGAACGGGTTCCTCTATAGGTTCCCATTTACATTCATAGTACCTGGAAAGCTTCCGATCCATGCATGCTGCCATGATGGGAAGTTTTGGAATGCTCTAAATTCGCATTTGGTTCTCCCACCGTCCATTGAAAGATCGAGTGATAACAAAAACATGTCACGGTTCGATGATATGTGCCCTGAAAATATCAACATTGCCTATGCCGTGGAGGCGACGGTTGCAAGTGAACGGGCAGGAGACTTTCGATCGAAAGAACCGTGGAACTTCGCTTCGAAAAAGATCACCATAATTCCATTATCCAAAAGAATAGACTACTTGGATTCTTTCGACGACCTCATATCGTCTCTGCCGCCTTCGAAATTTTTCGCTGCACAGAAGAAACAAACCACGGAGCTCCATCTTGAATACGTAGCAGCGACATCAGCCACTATTTTTCTACCTCTTCAACATAATACCAAAGATTACACGACCATCATACCTGTCAAGGTAACATTTGAATCGAATCACGGTGGAGTACCGCCCAAATTGAGTCGAATCTCTCGGAAGCTGGTTGCCCATACCACGGCGAAAGCCGTACCATTCCGAGCCTCTGACTCTGGGCCTGTTCGTCAAAGCAAACATGGTGTCTATACGTGCGATGTGTCATTTTCGGATTTAGATGTTTCTTCCGTTCAATGGGAAACGTGCCCATCCGCCATTGATGAATCCGACTCTCTCACGGGCCCAGCATGCAATTCGGGTGACCTAATGCACGGAAGGGAAATATTTTCATTTGAAGCGATGCTTCAAGTACCAGTATCACTTTCACTGGGTACTAAGCTAGCGCCAAGTTTCGATTCATGTCTCATATCGAGATCGTATACACTGGAAATCAGTCTTTCATATCGCGCTGCAGGCAAAATGGGGCGGTCCTACGCCGATTTGAAAATTCCATTGAGATTAGTAGCGCAAAATTAGAGACGGACGCTTTTTCACCTGGGCAGTCTGCATTCTTTTTCTCTGGGAGGAATTCTCTACTTGGAGATTCTGTATTATATATCCGTAACAAGCGAATAGTGGAGTTTATTAAATGTGCTTTTGCTTTCTAAATGAAACCTGAAGGATTAACCCATCTACCAGTGGGCAATAGGCTGTTCTTGCAAGGTTTTTGGGGCCTCGGGGGCTTGGATTCAACTTACGGGAGAAGGAAACAAAAGAAGAAATCTCAAATCCTTGTCCATTAAAGCCTCTTGCCCCCTTTTTGGCTCCCGTGAAATATCAGGCACGAATTAAGTTTGAAACTTTGCCAATCCAACAACCTTGGAAGATCACCATACTTCAAAGTATTCATCGTCCCATAAATCCGACTTCTCACTAATACTACATAATGCGAGAGTAACAGCGAAAAGCGATTCTCGAAGTTCAAATTTCTACTTGAATGTATTCTCCGAGACAGCCCATGGACCAGGAGGTACCTCCTTTGTCCACTCCCCTCGAGGAGGACGCCATAAAAGTAGAATTCCAGGCGGCTTACATTCATGAACTAATCTAGACCACTCATCACTCGGATTCGGCTTGTCAAAATCAACATGCAAACCCATAACTCTTCTATATCCATATTCCTCGTACAGCCACCGTCCGATAGGACTACCCCTCGATGAAACTCTCGTATCCCAGCGGGTCGATCCTCTCATGACCCCACTCCATAAGAAGTCGGCCAACCCCGCGCCGCCTATAGTTCGGATGCACGCCCATGGCATTGACACCCGCATGCGGGCGCTGAAGCCATGACTGCCTTGGAAAAAAGGCCTGGGAGAGCATGCACTCGGCGTACTCGGCACGCTCCGTTCCTTCGGGATACCAGGTGCACTTGATAGGTTGGGGTCCATTCGGAAACGGATTTTCGCGGAAAATAAGCCATTCGCAGCCGCCCGCTACTTCGCCTGTACTGTTATCGATGACATAGATTAAGTGCGAGAATGGATTCTTCTCGCTTGCATTCCAGCGAATCTCGGTGTCCAGTGCTTTGTCTCGAGCGCGATCTTCGGGGGTGTGACCACTGATTGGGTGGACAGCAGTGAAAATGGGACTGGGCAAGAAGCATGCGGTTAGATTGAGGGTCAACAGAAAGACACTCGTACTAATGGGCGGGGCAGTGACTGCGCTCACTTGTACGGGTTGAAGTTGGCCGCCCACAGCACATCGACAAGCCGGGCGTACTCCTCTTTTGTCGGAATGATTTTCGCTTCAAATTGCGGTTGGCTCATATCGGAGAATTTTCCAATATGTCGAACAAAAAGAAGAGTGTTGAGAAATCGGGGATTGATAAGAATCTTAAGGGTCGATTTATAACTGGGAAATGCATAGAATGGGGCCAAAACTACCTCGCACTCTTTACTCGTTTGCGGCTGAACTCAAATTCAAAAACAGGATGATTTCGAGTTCCTAGGTTCTTAAATAAAAACATAGTAAAAAATACAAAGTAAAACTCAATTTCAACTCAGATTTAAGCAACAGAAAGTCATCCTCAACCGTCCATGCGACTTCTTCCAAACGTCCATCTAATTCAACAAAACAATTTCGACAATCCGGGCATGTCTGACTAGAGCTTCGTCTTTCTGCCGACGTCCAATAAGCTGGACATGGCATGGAGCTCCTTCGATTCGCTCGGGATTATCTGTATGGATTAGCAACTAGACTAAAATTATTAGCGATCGCTCTGGACTCACAAGGTGGATAATAATTGGCATCACGAATGAATTTCGCATCGGCAGCAGCGTCAGCCTTGCCAAACGGTATAACACAGGCAGGATACTGGCAAGATTTGTTAGCCACACATTGTATTCGGAGCAATTTAATGCTGAGTTTGGCCTCATACATCTACCAAGTTGGCAAGAACTGTATACATTGGTACTCCATATGTGTCGTGAGGGACAGCCGTGGTCTGGAAGCCAGGTGCAATTATCAAGTCAAGTTTGTTATCAAGGTATACACCTCGAATTTGGCTTGATATTTTAGCTTTTTTCGCATTGAAGTCGAAGAAATCACGCAATGTCGTTTCAGTCCCCTTTCCTTCCAAATCGTAGGTGAAACGAAGAGATGGGATGGCAGGTTCACCACTAGCGCTGAGACGCTTCAACACAGTCTGGTCGGGGTCAACCCTGAAGAAATTGAAAGCCAAATCTGAAGCCTCAGCGATAAAGGGGACTTGCCCAGAAAGATCGACAACTTGATGTCCTGCAGCTTTCAACTTTTCGATAGCAGTCGCCAAGGTGCGTTGCATGCTGGGATGCAAGGGCTGTTGTGGGTCTTCGGGCAGAATTCCAATCGTCAAAGAATCTCCTGTCCCTTTCGCGGGTTCAATCCAAGGATACGCAAGTGCGGAGTCATCCATATCTTCCATAGAAGCGTCAAATACAACTCGCAGGAGCATCTCAGCGTCTCTGACTGAGTGGCACAAAGGACCCGCAACGGCCGCGATGCCAGTCATTCCAGGCCGACCAGCACTTTTCCCGGTCGGGGGTACACGACCCACGCTGGGCTTAAATCCGACGGTGCCACAGCAGAGTGCAGGAATCCGAATAGATCCCGCGATATCGGTTCCAATCCCCAAGAGGGACCCTCGCATGGCGACGAGCGCGCCTTCACCGCCACTGCTCCCTCCTGCGGTTAGGCTTGCGCGGTAGGGGTTAAGTACGCGGCCAAACACATTGTTGTGCGAATCTGCCGTCATCATAGTCTGTGGGATATTGGTCTTGACATATAGTATAGCCCCTGCTGCGAGAAGTACATCGACCAAAGGCGAGTTCTGGCTGGCAGGCGGGTCGTCCAAAAACGAAACTATCCCCAAGCTGGAATGAACTCCTTTGAAGTTCAATGATTCCTTAATACTAATGGGTACCCCATGTAGGGGCCCAGATGGCTTCCCAGTTGCTTTGATATGCTCATCGAGTTCTTTCGCACGAGCAAGGGCTTGGGGAAACATTGTTTCTGTAAGGCAAGAGGTAAGCTGTTGAGCAATAGCGGCGCGCTTGCAAAATGCAGTCGCAACCTCGAGAGCACTCAGCTCTTGTGCGGCAAGTTTGTCTCGTAGAGTTGTTGCATCTTGAATTTCGGTGATCAAAATTTGCGACGGGGTGAGAACACCACATTTTGCAGGTATATCTAAAACGTTGGCATCGCCCTCATCGTCTTGCGTCAAAAACTCAGCCGGCAATCGCCATTCGACGGGGATCTTCGCGGCCGCTTCAGCTCGCTTAGCGGCGGCTTTCTCTTGCCAGGTAGATATAGTCATTTCGTTCAAATAGAGTAAAGTGGGGTGGAGTATAGTAAGAGTGGCAATAATAGAAATGGGATACACAGAAGGGCAAGCAAGCTCCCTCGATTTATAGTCGGGCATACTTGGTAGGTGTATGCGGGGGTGGACCCTCTAGAGTTCAATCTCCAATCAGCACTATTTGCGCGCAGCAAGCCACCTGGAGATAACTGGAGTCAACCGGTAAACCATTCGGCACTCCGCACGGCGCTGAGGCGGATAGTTCCGCTGCTGACAATGCATAAGAGCTTCGACTACCAATGATAGGAATTATAATTTCTTTCATTATCTTGTGTGAACAGTCCCCAAGAGCAAGAAAAATCCGACATGACTTCCCCCTCAAAGACCGAGGTTCAGGCCGCTATTGGCGAATACATCAAGCAGCTGGCAGAGCCACTGCGTGAGTTGAATCGGAAGGTCGGTACTAGACTATCCTCCGATTACTGCCTATTGTGTCTTTTTCTGACGACATGTGGCAGATTCACGAGAACCCAGAATTGGCATATGAAGAGCATCACTCCCACGACGTGATCTGCAAATTCCTTGAAGCCCAGAATATACCCGTGAAGCGACATGTCTACGGACTCAGAACTGCCTTTGAGGCTATTGTTGGCGAGTCGAGTGGTCGCTGTGTAAACTTCAATGCTGAATACGATGCCCTTCCTGGCATTGGGCATGCATGTGGCCATAATCTCATTGCCACCGCCAGTGTCGCCGGATTCATGGCCCTCGCATTTGCGATTCAAAAGTTTGGTCTTCCTGGACAGGCCCAGCTCCTCGGAACGCCAGCTGAAGAGGATGGTGGGGGTAAAGTTGATCTCATTCGCGCAGGTGCCTTCAAGAATGTGGACGTATCCTTGATGATGTGAGTCCGTCACATTCTCATTCGCGTTTTGTTCGTCACTAATCGCTGTACTAGGCACCCGATGGCCGAAGATGAGTTCTCCAAAGGAATTCTAGGAATCGGCGGTCGATCAACCATCGCTTGTTTTGACATTACCGCGGCGTATCACGGAGTCAGCGCCCACGCGGCTGCGAGCCCCTGGGAGGGTGTGAATGCACTCGACGCCCTAGTTTCAGCTTACAACAACATCTCCATGCTTCGCCAGCAGATCGGACCAGATGAAAGAATTCACGGTGCCATCATGCAGGCGCCGACAGTGACCAATGCAATCCCTGAGTTAACGCGAACCAAGTACACCATTCGGAGTCGCACGCAGAAGGGAGCGCGTGCTCTGGGTGAACGCGTTCGCAAGTGTCTCGACGCCGGCGCGTTGGCCACTGGCTGCAAAGTTGAATTGGAGGAAAACTCAGATGTATGCAGATTTGGTTGTCATTCCGCCCTTGTGTGAGGGTTACCAAGACGCGATTGGAGATTTGGGCGTCCACGTCGTCTCTTGTGATGATACTCTCATGCCAGGATCGACCGACCAGGGAAATGTTTCCCAGGTTGTTCCAGCTCTCCATGCTTTGGTTGGTATTCCTGTCACGGACGGAGCGCATAATCACACTCGACAATTCACTGCTGCTGCAGCTACGGATGAGGCACATGAGCGCTCGGTCACTTCAGGGAAGGCTATGGCGATGACAGGTTGGCGGCTTCTCGTTGATGATCAGTATTATAGCAAGGTTCGCCAATCGTTTGACGAGATTATGGGGTAAACTCGAATCAGTCCGAATTCAATGATAGTACATAGTAAAGTCCACGGGAGTATTTCAGCTCTCTGGCGGTTTTTCAATGCATCGACTCTATACTAAATAGACAGTATATGGCTATGTACATCTGAAAGTCTTAAACCTTAAGGCTCAATCACCAGGGCACTCAAAATTTGCCATTGCAGTCTTCGCACGGTAACCATGAAATATTTCTCCGAAAACAAATCGAAATTGATGAATCGCGTGTATTCTGAGCTATTCACTCAGCATCCTGTGTAATCGGGTACTTTGTTCGCCAATAGTATTTTTTCATTTCTTTAATCATAAAAAATCTCTCCCAGTAAATTGGATATTGCAAGAAGTCGTCGCTGCCCTCGATTCGTCGTTTTGTGTCAGCCCATGACCCTTCACCCCTCTGCCACTTATACCTTTGTGAAATACGCCCCTGTTCGGATTCAGGGGTTCGTGATGGTGCGTAGAAGTGTGGACAGCGGGCATCTTCCCAGAGACTGTCGTCGATGTTCTGAGAGGGAATTAGACTTAGAAAGTCTTCGTGCTGGTAGCCGCGAGCTGAGGCGACATCCAAAAAGATCTTTACAAGCTCACAGCGATGCTTCTTAAAAGCCAGCTCAAGAGGGTTCTGCCTAAACCCAGTCTTAAGGAATGGATTTGCACCTGCGATTAACAGCTGCTTAGCAATGTCGATTTTATTTCGTGATATCGCTTTGAGAAGTGCCGTTTCTCCTCGCGAGGTGACCGCATCGATTTCAACATCTCGTTCCAGAAGTAGACGTATTGTGGATTGAGCCCGGATACTATGTTTCGGGAAAGGGGTGTCCGATCCAACTACTCGGACAATCAGGGGTTCGGTAGACTCTCTTGATCCATCCGGGCCAGTAGTTGTAGTAATTGTAGTGGTGTTCACTGAGAGTCCTCTATCCAGAAGATCTTGAATGATCAAAGTTTGGAGACCATTTGCAGCACGGAACAAAGCCGAACGAGCTATGTCATCGTTTTCAATATCAACGCTTAATGAAACGATCTCTTTGAACACTTCAACAGGGCCATATTCAGCGGCAAATTCAAGCAAACTACCGCGCCGGCGTTTCAGGTAGAAGGAGGGCGATAAGTTGAAGTGGCGCATTATTTGAGTCATAAACTTATAATTCCCATCTTTCATTGCCGTCTGCAACGTGGCGTTTAGGGAGTCTCCTTCAACGAAAAGTTTCAGAATCCCTCTTTCCACTAGGATTGAAGATATCAATTGATTTCGGAGGAGGAATTTCTCAGCATGTAGTCTGTTTACCACCAATGAAAGAACGTCCTCTCCACCGTGGTCGAGTATCATTGCTAGAGTTGATTTCCGGTTGCTGTCGACAGCAGATGATACGGCCATCACATAAACCTCGTTCATATACCTGGGAAACTCTTCCGCCACCTTGTCAAGTAGCAGCTTCAGAATATCTGAATTTCCGCGCTTTGCAGCTTCCTGGATTGGACTCGGAGACATCTGTACGGACAGAGAGTCAATTTTGAGTAAACGTCGAGTGAGATCCTCGTCTCCAATCCCAGCGGCGAAGATGAGGATATAACCTCGGTCACGACTGTCACTCGAGGCCAATCTTGCTTCGAAATCACTCTGGGTCATGATCAATTGCGCGATATCCTCTGCTCCACAGACGACTAAATGCGCTAAAGCTCTTGTTTCGTTTGCTATCACTTTGTTTAAAGCTGCCAGCTCCTTTGCTTCCTTTGATACCTTTGGTCTTGGTTCACCCCAATACGACGAAAGCGATGGAGGTCTTCTCAATGATTCCGGTATGGGCCGACCCGAAGAAAAGCATGCGCCATGTTTCGGTTCGACCAAGCGCGCACCGTGATTCAACAGACACCGTACCACCGCCTCCGAGCTCCTTTTGGTATGTGCCGTCGCAGCATAGTAGAGAGGTGTGTTTGCGACTTGATAAGACCCCCTTGAAAATTTTTCGGGATTGGGGTCGGCTCCAGCCTCAAGCAAAAACTCCGTCATATCTAAATGAGCGCCCTTTGCTGCCATCATGAGTGGTGTCAGTCGTCTCTCACTGAAAGAATTGACGTCGAGACCTCCATCGATCATGCATTTCATTGAGGCGACACTTCCACGGGTAGCGGTATGCTCAATGTATTCCTTTAACAAGCTTTTCTTCACTTCATCGGGCACACCGCCATGAAAAAAGGGCTTCAGAACGTCAAGATCCCCCTTGTTTATCGCAATGTTCAAATCGCCAGGTCGCACGATATCAGGCCCACATACATCGCGAAAGACCTGTAAGACATCCGCGAATCCTCCCGATGCAGCCACTTCCACTGGCCATCGACGATCCGATTTTTCGCGGAGAAATCGGCCATATTCAAGATATTTCTTCAAGTCTACCCCGTTAGCCACGAGTCTGCGTAAGCTGTCTGCATTCCCATTTGCGACCAAACGATCCAAGCCATGCGGGGAACAAAGTCTGGCGTATTGAGGGTAAAGAAAAGGAGACGTGGCGATTTTGCATAGGTGACGCGATGTCTGCGCGAGTGAATTCACCTCGGATGCATATTCAAGGTGTTCAATGACCAGTTGCACGATTTCAAGAGGTAGTGAGGAAAGGTGATCCATCTTCACGTTACTCGAGAAAACGATCGATTGAGGCATCATCCCAAGGGTCTGCGTTATGAAATTGATCAGCTGTTGCGGGGTTCAGCCTCGCAAGGCTTTGTGGACGCGCGTTCACAACCAGTGCGTAGCCCCACTATTGACACTCTCGAATGGCGATATGCAGGGAGGGATGGGTTTTGCCTGGCAAATCATTGAAATTCTGTTGAAGTTTAATAATGGAGAACCCATTTTCCTCGAAGTAAAATTATTCTTGTTATGAGGCTCAATATACTCCGCAGCCAGTAATATTCAATGTCTCCATCAACCCCAGCTGGGAAGATACTCATATATTGTCATAAGAGCTTGGTAAACATTCAGAATTTACTGGCATAAGTCCCTTCTAAATTAATAGCAACAAGATAAATCAATAATTAAGCTTTCCCGTGATTCAAGTGTATTTCGTCGTCCACTTGAATGATGTCATCTCCGCTATATCTAAACGTCAGAGCTATTAATTGCCTGGGAACGAAGACAACGCAACTCCCCGGAAAGACTACAACTACTCAGGGGCCAAAACACGCATCTTGAAGTGTGTCTAGACTATATAATCTCAAATCTGAAGAGAAAATGTAAGTGATAAAGTCTGCTATATCTCATGGTCACAGATCAAGTCTCTATAGAATTTTGTTCAAGATCTTCTAACAACGAGCTAAGGACCCTGAATCGCGTTACTGCACCCGTCGTCAGTATTTTTGGAGTTATAGGAGGCACTGTTATCATATTTCGATACCTTTCCCCTAACAAAGACGGCTCTTTTGTATCCGACGAGGACCGCCAGAGAGTGCGGGGCGGGAGTAATGGACAATCGCCATTTGGAACGGTCGCTGGCAGGCCCCCACGAAGCACTGGTGGCTCAACAAACTGAGATCGGATTTCTTATTGATCAAACATTTGAAGAAATCATACCAACAGTCCTCTGTTTACTCTATGGGAGTCCATATCAACCTGGCTTGCGGTATGCGGAAGTACACTTCAATCCACGCCTCCGATATAAAAATGAAAATAATTAGATGGAAGTAAATACTGGTTATATTATTGACATTTAATTGATTTAGAGTCAGTCATAAAGGTAGAAAGTGGTGTGTGTTTGCAAGGACCGCTCCTCGCGTACGTCAACATTCTCGCTTCGCTACTAACTAGCGAATTACCTAGTAAGTAGGCACCACCAGGCATCAACACAACCTTGGCAACTTCCCTTCTACATCACCCTGCATCAACGCCAGCCAAGCAAATTGAGAGGGACGTCAGACCTCATTTCAATCTCAGCGACCCTTTCTTAACACCTCAACTACGGACCGTACCGTCGCATCACCTGCAGGGCACCTCTGTTCTTACCATGCCGGCTAGTGAGTTTCGCGCTCATCGCCAAGAAGCTTCCCAACCCGGTCGATACGCTCATCTGAGGGACGTGAAATCTGGAGATTTGGATTATTCCATTTCTTTCATACTGAAGCTACCCGAAGTCCACCAGTCCGAAATTGAATTTCTACTTGTGGTTAGCGGTGGGTCGGGTGAATGCCTGCAATCAATAAAATGCTGTGATTAACACCGACCAGATGCCCACGATTACCCCGACAATCACACTTTCCTCGTCAGTGCATCCAGTCAAGAGATCACGGATGAAGTCGCAACTATCATCGAAATATGTCAGGAGCCACAACGCTTCTCGGGCATCAGTATCGACGACTCTTTGATGGCCATCGATGGCCTATCGTTTGCCGCCTCTAAATCCCCAAGTCATGCAGAAACCTGTTCAGCATCTGGTGGAGAAATTCCTGGATTCGAAATTTCAAATGAATCCGATGACAGCGTTGATTTCGACGATGGGTACGAATGGGAACCTTATCCACAAGCCACATCGCTTCTTCGCGAGATGCGCAATCATGATCTACACACCGCCAGTACACGTGGGTTTCGAGTCGGATACCTTGAGGATACAAAGGGCGAAATGATAGTTTCAGTCTCCTGTCAAATCTCCAAGCTGGACATATCCAACGATGCGCTGCAAGCCTGGGGCGTTGAACGCTCGGAGAATCTCGTCCTATTCATCCGGTATCCCAGATCATACCAAACCCTGCAACAAATCTTCCAGACTCGTGAGATTTCTCTCTCTGGGATTGAGATGCGGGTGGGTCTCTGTGAGCACCATTTCACCTCCCCGCAAATTGCTAGAGATCTTTTCAAGGGGGGGGCAGATACCTCGAAGTGGAAATGACCTTCTCTCTTCCGACCCAGACAGGCAACCAGGACTCAGAGATTTGTTTATCTCATACTCTCTGCATCACGTTCTAAACAAGCGATTTATCTCCATTGCTAAGCTTCGAAGCGACTTCAACCTCTCATGGACAGGTGCGGAGCTTTTCTCTTACGAAATGCAAGGCAAGACAATCGATGATGCCGGGCTGGAAGAAAAGCATTGGGCTCAAGATGAATGGTCGACCCCTGTTCCTTATCTCATGGAGTGCGATCACTTTGCGGATGCCGGAGGAAAGGTGGAAGATTTGTCATTACCACTTCTTGCCATGCAATACACCCTCCGGCACTTTGTCAGATGCCCGGAATTTTGTCTAGTCTGCCACTGCAAGACTGGTGATGGGTTTGAATCACTGAAACCCTATGTCTGTTCCCGCCCACTGTGTCTTTTTCAGTATCTGGAGCTAGGGTTGGGTGCTAGCATTGAATGTGAGGTAAGGTCAAAGCCGATGGTAGTCGACCTCTTAGTATCTCTCGCATATGCGAGTGCAGCATCTGGTCAGCTTGACACATTTCCAGACGGACTGCGTCTGAAGGTCCCGCTCAAGAACAGGTATGCTTTTGATCAAACTGGGAAGATGCAAATTATCGACTTCACAAGCCGTGCACTTCTAGATCCAGTGAATATGGTTCTTTCCGGGTCGAATTTGGAAAATCTTCATTCAGAAGATTGGATCATGATATGCGACGCAGAGCCTGCCAATCCCACGGTAACTTGGCATTGTCAGGTTACGCGAGTTCCTCTCAAAAACGAGGTTGTTCTATCCTACCCGGTTAAGATTACCAATGAAGTGACTTCCCTATCTCCTACAACGACGCAGGGCTCGGTGCTTCCCCCCTCCAATACTACAAAACACCACATCAAATTCTCTCGTTACCATCACGACTTTGAAGAATTGTCGCACCAAGACAAACGAAGTTCAATCAAGCTGCTGCTTGATACTTTGCCAAGCATTGATATAATTGCAGATCTCCTCAGTGAATCCAGTACCCGAGGTCTTCGCTCATGCTTAAAGGGTAGAGTTAGCCCAGCAGCCTTCGACTTGCTCCGTTGGATCATCGCCTCAAACCGATCATACATTGTGCATGAAACCGAGAAATCGGCCCATATCCACGAGCAGATGAGTAAGCATCTCAGATTTCGGTTTATACAGGGTGCTCCTGATAGGGAACATCGCTTCCTGAAAGCTGTACAGACCCACGCAGACAACATTGAGCCTTCAACAATTTCCGCATGGCATGGAAGCCCACTTCACAACTGGCACGGCATCCTGAGAGAGGGCCTTCACTTTCGCAAGATTACACATGGTCGTTCCAGTGGGAATGGGGTTTACCTTTCGCCAAATTTCTCGGAATCATTGTCCTTCTCTCAAAGAGGTGCGGGAGGTAAGAATTGGCCGCAAAGCGTGCTGGATATCCAGTACGTTATCTCTCTCAACGAAATCATCAACTGTCCAGACAACTTTGTCTGTAGAGCGCCACACTACGTTGTGCAATTCATAGACTGGATTCAACCAAGATATCTTCTTGTTAAGATTCCTACTTCACACCCAAAATCACCCCGAAAGGGAAAGCGGCCAACCTCGAACCCACGGACCGGTATGACTGACTTGACGAAGACGGATAATAAAAATAACGAACAAATTCCAACTAAAGCCAAAATAGAAACCGCTGGAGAGGTTCTTCGGGAGATTTCCAGTAACCCTGCTGTTGCTTTATTGCCGTATTCTCTACTTCTCTCCGAAAGTAGATGCTAAACAGGCAGAGGAGGACATTGTGACAGACAGAGTGTCAAAGAAAGCGCGAAAGTACTCCGCTGGCCAGTTGGATTCGATCTGGAACTCACTGGATGCTGAAGATGGAGGCCCACTCCTTCTGTAGAGAATTAATCTTCGAAGATACTACTAGGAGATCCATCTATTGTTACAACGATGTGTCTTCACATAGAATTGAATTGAATTCCATCCCCCCCATTTGAACAAAATCACGCTTCACTAAAACGTGTAGTACCTGAAAATAACAATATCCAAATTCAAAAACGCCCTGGTCACTGGCAGATTTGGATTCAGGCCTGCTGTCCATAGTCTGGGGCTCCGTATAGTATGCAACATCCACCACCAATCGGAGATCGAATAGACCAGCCCTGCGACCATGATGTTGGGGCTATCGCGTCAAATGTTCCCTAGAGCATCCTCTATTTGTACCCAGGCCCTCGGCAGCAAAGTCCCCATAAGCCAATAATTCCCAGCAAAATCCTGACCAAGCATATTGAAGATATTGAAACCAACATACCCCGGCCCGATCGCCTCATTGTAGTAGTTGACCATCGTTCCTGGAGGGTTTGGCCGTTTCTCGCTAACATCGCCTCTTCTTACGACGGCTGGCGAAAAGTCGACAACTTTCATTAATTTTGCCTTGAGCAGGTTGTTGAAAATGATCGGGACCATATTTGATTCTCCAAATAGGAGTTTTGGCTCCCTCCCCGCATCTTTTTCGTGGAATATCTCACGGAGTAGACTCAACCCTTGATTCTCTGTTGCTTGTTCAGTGAGATGTTGTCGATGCTGCAGGGCAATGGAGCCGACAGTTTCGGAGCCTGCTTTCCCAGATAAAAATGTGTATGTGCCCAAGACCATATTCTGAATGAAGACGCCAGTTGGTTGGGCAAGGAGAGGAATTCGATATCGGGCATTCATCAAATTTAAAATAGTCACCGGTCGATTGTTAGGTTCGGATGCCGTGAATGCTTTCGCCACCCAAGCTGTGAGTACGTCGCTATCGCTAACAAATGGGGGTTTTTCCTGGTCAAAGGTCATCTCGGCGACCTCCCTATAGGCCTGCTCCTTCAATCTGGAGAAGGCATCTTTTGGCAAGAATATGACGCGTCGTTCTCGATTCGAATTCCATAATTTATCCCACACGAACCGAAGCATGAATATCATGAGGCTTGAGCCCTGTAGACGCTTTCCTTCCACCTTCAACTCTTCCAGGGAGTCGTCTGCGCCGGTGATCATCGGGTGTCGACAAATATCTTCTCGCGCTCCAAGAACGTCAGGAACTTCGTTCTCGCGACCAGCCAATACTGAAGACCATCCAGCCAGCAAGGCATGTCCACCCATTGCGTCCATCAGAAGGTGGGGCCATGTAAGCGCAACTGTTGTCGCGTCTGCGAAGTTCGTCACATGTAGCGACATAATAGGCTCATTTTGACGTATCATATTGTCGAATGTTGGGAAATTTGGCCGAGCAATGAATGGTCGTGTGTCTGTGGTGATTTTCTGTACAGAGGGACCTTCGGTCTCTTTGGGGAATTGCCTGCCGATCGGGTGATCTTCCAACCTGATATCGTGGGAATTATGCGTGAAGAAGACTGTTTTGTGTTCCAGTCCTTCAGATCTCGGGACATGAATCTCCAGTTTCCCATTATCCTGCTCGATGTCAGTTATTTAGGCCCCATCCATTACTAGAAAGGACTCTCTCAGATCGCCCTCATACCTTGAATCGTAAACGCCCACCTAGTTTCTTCCAGTCGCCCCTCCGAAGCAGCGTCGACAAAGCCTCATTCAATTTTTCAGCATCGAGAACATCATTAAACCGCATCATCCAATTGACGAAACAATGATTGACCTTGCTGTCGTCCAAGGAATGTAAGGGGTATACATCATGGGGAATTTCGTCGCCGCACGCCTCATCCATCATAACAGAAGGAAAAAATGTTCACAGTAACATCACGACTTCTCGATGTTGGGGCCAGGGGCAGTTTTGAAGCAAGCCGCCAAGGGCGAAGATCGAAGTCAGAAGAGCCATTATTGAGCCAGTTCCTGATTTCAGAGCAATGGCGGGTCTCACAGCAGGGGACCCTTGATGATCGCCCACGTCGGAAGGGGGAAGAGATCGCCGGACTAAGGAGTTTCGACAAGTCAGTCTGTGAGCCAGGGGATATTGGACCGCGGCTCGTCATTGTTCAAAAAGTTTATGAATGGCGTACCCACTCTTTTCTTTCTTTTTTGCTTCGAGACGTGGAGTCGCCATCGTCATTTTCGTCTTTGATCCCGCTAAGAAGCGATCCTCATCTCTACCTTCTGCATGTTCTAGTCTGTGATTTCTTTTTGCGAGGTCTCGAGCAGCGCCGACCGATGGAAACGGTAGTTTTTAACATGAGACAATGGGCTTTTTTAGTCACGTTTCGTATCTCGTCTCATGGACCAAGTTTCGGGTGTTGCGATCGACTCAATTTTCAGATACCTCACAGAAGCTTTTATCTATGCTTCCCAAATAATGCGCACCTCGACACCCTCAGGGATTTAATTGATTTCCCCGCAGCAAGATTTAAGCTACTACTTATCATTCCAAGGTTATTGATTTTAGCGGGGCCACATTGGGGGCTGACCGGCTTAACTAGCCCACCCAAGGGTTGCATGCTGCGGGGAATCCCTAAACATCGCATCTTCAAACCGTCCTTAGGCAACAGCAAAAACTTACAAAAAACCGAGAACCGGGATTCAAAATGGAGAATCGCCGACCACTGAACGTAGCAGTCATCGGCGTCGGCCAGATGGGCATCAGCCACGCTCTAGCCTACCACCACAATCCAGGCTTCGAGATCATCGCTCTTGTCAACCGAAGTCCCATCAAACACCTCCCGGAAGAGCTAAAGATTTACAAAATTTTCGACGATATACAAGAGGCCCTCTGCCTCACGCCAGATGTAGTATCGATTAACACACACATGGCGACACATGCCAAATACGCCGTGACCGCGATGGAAGCCGGCGCCCACGTCTTCGTGGAGAAACCGTTAGCTGCGACGGTCGCAGAAGCAGAGAATGTCGTGAACGTCGCACGCCGCACAAATCGAAAGTTAGTGATCGGGTATATCCTTCGACACCATCCCAGCTGGGTGGAATTCATTCGACAAGCCAGACAGCTCGGTCCGCCCTTCGTAATGCGAATGAATCTGAACCAGCGATCAACAGGCGAAGCATGGAATATCCATAAACGACTCCTTCAAGACGCGAAGAATCCTGTCGTTGATTGCGGTGTCCATTATTTGGACGTCATGCTTCAAATTACCGATAGCAAGCCGGTTCAGGTTCGTGGTATGGGTCTTGCTCTCAGCGATGAAATCCCGGCTGGCGATCAGGTTAATTATGGGCATTTGCAGGTTCTTTTCGCGGATGGTTCGGTCGGCTGGTATGAAGCGGGCTGGGGTCCGATGATTTCTGAGACTGCGTATTTTGTCAAAGATGTGATCGGTCCAAGGGGGTCCGTCTCGATCGTCATGGATGAGGGGAAGTGGCAGCTGCCGGTGGCTCGGCTGATGTAGATAGCCACACGAAGACTTCGAAGATACGCGTTAGTACCGTAGTCGATGGCATTCCACGGGATGGTATCATTTCGACAGAGGATGAGCCGGGTCATAATGAGCTTTGCGCCCGCGAACAGCAATTTTTGCTTGATGCGATTCTCGAAGATCGCGATTTGTCTCGGCATATGGACGACGCGGTTCAATCACTTGGTGTTGTACTTGCTGCAGATGCTTCGATGCGTTGTAATCGTGCAGTTGATCTTTCTTGATCTTATGGTCGCTTCCATAGCAATCAGAATTATTATCTGACACTCAGCTTTGCTAAACTAGATCCAAGCCTACGGTTCTGTTGCTATTTCTAAGGCTCGCAACTTAACTGAGTCGATTGGATACCAGTAGTATCTGACCCTTGATGATTATTATGGATTTGAATGACTAGTGGTAGACTATGCGAGCTGATGGGATCCTATTTCATTGATTGACGCTGAGATGTATCAATAGTTAACATTCTTCAAGTTCGAATCGCAGAGTGATAGTATCCATAACCCCAGGCCACGAAACAATCCGTGAAATCCGCCGAGTGCCCCTAGAAAACGCACCCAAAACAAGATACCCTACAACCTTTCCAATCCGCGTTCCAAGTATCGCCTGGTACTCCGTGGTCGCGTACTCCCAGATCTGCCGGTCAACATCGGGCCAGGAAAGCCCTCGCCTTTCCGCGTAGAGAAGATTCTTGATCAGATGACTAGTATCTTTATTAACCACAATGTTAAAAAAGACATGACGAAGCGTGTCGATTGAAAACTCATTTTCATAAGCAGCTTTGATAAGTTCTGAAATCCAGGGACGTGAGGCTCCGAGAACTCGCTCCATGTGTGTGATAAAAATGGCACCCTTAGCGATTATTCCATCAAAATGATGACTAGGATGATCGTGACCCTTCGTCTGGAATTTCATCCTGATTCCAATCGAGTGTCGATTTGGCTCGCCAATGGCTGGTGCGGTATATGGTACGATTCCGAGAGTGATTGCCTCGTGCAGACATCCTGTCGGGAAGGATGTAACGAGCTGCCGAATTGACCAGCGCTGCTGTAAAAGATCCGTGAAATTGAGAGATATTCGAGTGACAAAGCAACCTTGCGCACTTGAATCCTCAATCCATCGATGAATATGGGCTCCTGCTTCCATATATTCTTCCCATTTGGTATGCTCCGGGCTTTGGCGAGACCTGCCAGCGGATCTCTCGGGACTCGGAGGATTTGGAGGAGTGAATTCGTTCGGCATACTATTATCCATGAATAGTCAGTAGTTACTATCACTTCAGAATTTAAGGACTCGTGTATCTCCTCATTTATCAGAGGACTTGTCGAAATTGAATTTTAAAACCGTGGAAAGAATCGATCTCGATGTTCGACACACTCCGGCTCAAACTTTATGTCTGAGGTTATGCCGATGGTTGGGAGAGATGAGAGCTCTGGAAAGTGGTATCTCTTATATTGAAGGACTTTCACTTGAATATGGCAAGTGATAGACGTCAACAAAGAAGATGAACAATGAAAAATCATTTCTGCACAGATCGCCAGACAAGTGAATAAAGCCATTGTTTACCTACCTTGGGGTCAAAGACGCACACATGAGCAACTTGAATCAGTGATCAACTTTTCGTTATCCATGGCCGGCCTCTATTTCTATATTACTACTTCTTTCAGGTACTCTTAAATTATAATTCCCCGAAATTTGAAGTGACTTTATTGCAACGCTAATCTCCAGAAGCCCTGGAGGGTTGTAACAAATCGATAACTTGGATTAAATACGAGACTATGAATTTACTGGTAAGACGTTATGGTTCTACTATATACCTATATAGTACTAGGTAGGTACCTAGCACTAAAGCCAAGCTTCTTGAACTTGAAACTTTTCAAGATCCTCACCTAAAAATGACAAGAATCTCTGCATCCTTTCCGAATATACGTTTCACGAGTTGGATCTCCTCCATGCCGAATGATCTCCCACTCCCCAATACCATACTCAGCGCCAACTTCCTTTACACCTCTGCCACCACCCCCGATAATCATGTTTGCCGGGCGGTACTCCGTGTTCGATTGCAAGCGATGAACTGCCGATGCGTGAATATGAGCGTGGAGGGGAATATCTCTGGCCTGGCCACGATGTAGTGGCCAGGAAACCATTTTCCACGAACCATCAGGCTGCATATCTGACCGACGGATGGGAAGATATTCCATCAACCGCCACGCCAGAACGGAGAGAGGCGATACGCCCTCCCCAAACCCGATACGATCGTGCAGTAGGCCTTCCGTGCTTGACTGTCGAAGCGCTTCGCGGAAGTGAGTGCTTGCCGAAGGGTCTTCTTCCCAGTGCTCTAAGCATTTGTATTTGTACAGCTTTTCCTGGTCAAATTCAATGCCCGCGCGCTGGGCCTCCTGGACCATCCAAACAAGTGGAGCGTGGCTGAGCTGGAACTCCTCGTCTGTCTCGCGTTGAAATCCACCGCCAATGTCTGCATGTCCACCCGGGAACCAAAGTTCTTGCAAGTCCTGACTTCCATCGTCGGGTTTCTGCTTTGACCCTCGGATTGCGGAGCGCTTTTCATTAACATCGCCATCATCGCTATCGGAATCATCCACAGATTGGGGGACACCGGGTACAACTAGCGGCTCGGTTTTGACAGGATCCAGCCGCTCTTTGTATGTGGTACTTCGGCTACCTGCCGCATTGCTTTTCTTCGCGCCTGAATCCAGCAATACCGGCTGAAACTTGACTCTGCGTTCATCAATGCTAACCGCATGTCTGATCACGCGAGCGGTCGGCATCGTGTCATTGTTGATTTCGAAATCAGCAATGCTATTGACGGTATCAAAGAGACCTAGGAATTTCACCCTAGTGACTGGGCGACACAGCGTCTCTCGGCAGTTATTCAAAAAGTCTGTCGCCTGTTTCCTTTTCTCGGTTCCCTCGTATCGCGTTAATTTCCATTGGGAAAAGGCTTCCCATATGAATGGGACCATCTCCTCGTTATCCGGGCCCAGTAGCCCAGCGTAGTCGAGCATCTCTGCGAGAAATCGAGCGGTATAGGCTCCACGAGAGAAGCCGAAAATAAAAATATTTCCATCTCCCCGGTAGTGTCGCATTAAAAACCTGTAGCCACCCAGGACGTGCTGGTCAAATGACTCTCCCAAGGCCTGGCTGATTGTCTTGCTCTTTCCTAGATGGCTGCTTTTCTTCAGCGTCTTTGCTGCTAAGGAACCCGGTGTGATTTCAGTTCCGATGCCAGCTGAGTCTTGTTAGCCCGGGAAATTATACTTGTGGTGGGGTGTGAGGCTCGGATCGAGATCATACGTTGATAATAAACCACTGTTCAAGTATTTGATTAGTCTCATTCGCACGTGTAAAGGAAGACAATCCATCAAACTGACATTGTTCATCTGTTCTCTGTAACATGCGACAGATCTTCAAAATATTGGTCTCCGTGCCATCAGCACGAAAGGTATTCCCCGTCCCATCAAAACAAAGGACGATTTGAACCGGCTTGGACTGCGACATTTTTATTCACTGAACCTGCAAGACTAGAAGTTGAACTTGGAGATTTGCGACCGACGGGCGCGGCATGAGCGATCATTTTATTAGAATGCACCGACCGTCAAGGTTCGTGTCCAGCTTTGCCTATCATGACAGTTTCGGGTTAGCTCTGCTTACAATGAGGACCAAGTTCCCGGCTGGCTACCTTTCACCAAGACTCTATTCAACCTATTGCCGGCCATGATTTGGAACCAATACCTCATTGTGGGGCCACTCAATCGACGTGTGATGTCCTACTGACAGTAGTTGGTGGAGCGAAGGGCGATCATGGCTGTTGCGATTTCTTCACCCCCTTGGCACTAACTCCTTCCCGCCCCACGGTTCACGCCCAGTTTTCACCTGCAGACGATATCCGCCACCATCTCAATAGTCACCCAGCGAATATTGGTTTCTAGGTTAGAACATATCGCCAGGGGCCAAATATTATGGTTTCTGGGGTCTAGGATGTAGTTTCTTGTGACCAGTCTGCCCAGATGTCAACCTGAATGGTCCGACAGCAATTATTTCCAAGGTTCTCCCCGAGGGATTTCTAGTTGAGGATTTAAAGTTCCAGTTACAAGTTAGTACCTACCTAAGGTAATTGTTAGGAGCCCTGCTTAAGATATAGGTATAAATTAGCTCACATCTCATGCAACAATAACGACACTTTATCTCGCTGCTTCTCACCGCCAGTGCATATCACACTTTATCACACTTTCAATCTACTTGAAAGATCCCTATCACTCAATAATTATGTAGCATGTACGTATAGGAATTCAATGTGATATCGCAGCTCTGGAGTGAATCGACCACCAACCTTGCTAAATCAGTAACAGACGCGATTTCCTGCTCACCGGTATCCCTAGAAGCTACTAGGAGAGTACCGATCTGGCAATGACTCGCTCCCTTCGCCGCTTTTTTGACCGCTTGAACTATTCATCTTTTCCCACTCCGTAGTAATATTTATAATTTGATCCTAGGTCGCGGCAAGGGTAGCGACGAAAATTGATTGTGCGCGAGGTCTAGATTTATGTTGGGGTATGACTCGGATCAATGTCCGAACTCCGGGGGCGCGAAAGCAAGAATAGGTATTAGAGATTCGAGGTCGACATCTTTGGAAGGATGCGATGCACAATGCAAATTGAAAAAAGGTGACTCCATGGCGTCTACTACCTACCTAGGTACTATCGCGTACTATCAGCACTATAAGCTACGAACTTACAACCTTGCCCAGGCCCAGGTACCTACTACCTAGGTAATAAGACACCTGCCTAGGTAGGTGAGCAGTTGAATTCCTTCACGAATATATATACCACTTCTCACCTATTAACCAGTACTAGTAGTCGGTACATTTTACCCTTTGGAAACGCCCCCCGGCCACTAGACCAATTGGGGAGACTCGAACAACAAATCTTGGAAAAATGAAAAAGCAATTTAAACCGTGTTGATCCCATATTGTAAATTCACTATAGCTTGGGCCCGAGTCATAATCTGAGCCTTTTTGGTGAGCGTCTGATGATTTTAAAATGCCACGTGACATTTCCTCTGACTCGGGCACTGACCCACCCGAAGGCGATGGGATTATGATTGCCTGGAGCAATGTGTGGTGGAGTCTCGGAGTTGATTCGAGACTCCGAGCCCATCGGAAACATCCCATTAGACATCCATGTGTTGTCAACAATTCATCCCGGCATAGCCGCGCTAGATGCTGTGTAATCTACGGAGGAGGCGAGAGCATGACGGCCACGCGTGTATTTCGTCTATTCATGGTCTTCTCGATAATTTTTTTGGCCTTATAGATCCTGGATTAATACTATAGCCGGGACCCCCTTGGAGCGCTGGGGGAAAACAAACCACGGAGGACTCCGGGGTGAACCCCAGATTTCAACTGTATGCTTAATTAAATGACATCAATGTTACTATCCTTTGCAACCTCGCTTCGATTTCCATAGGGAAACACCCCCTTTGTATATGTGCATCGGAGTCAGACTTCCTTCCGCTCCATGTGTTATTCTGCAACACCCCTCAAGCACTAAGTGGGCCAAAAGTTGCCACCCTTGGCATGAGTCAAAACAACTCCAGTTCTCAGGGGACTTTAATTATGATGACGTTGCTTAGCCGGGGATTACTTAGGGAACAATTTTCTCCCCAGAGCCTATCTTTCAACACTAAAGAGTTTGAAAACTCTAGAATTTAAAAAGATAAAAATCAAACTTTGAAAAGAGGCGATGCGGCTCCAAGGAAGGAAGGTGGCTGATTTGACTGCTGACTAACGAGTGGCAAGCGCGATCTGAAAGCGCATAACCTTCCGATTACGGCACAAGTGGGTCCTACTAGTCCTAATTCGGTCAGCATCGCCTATATCGGAGGCAATTTTTTGGCAGAAGCTCCATTTTCGAAGGTTCTTCTTATGACCAAAAATTTCCTAGCTTTCTTTTTCTTTAATAGCATTGATCAGCGCTGTTTTTGACAACTTTATTTTTCTTATATTCCTCTTCGCGTCTTCATTTGTTGGCCTTCATACTCGCCCAAAATGAGGTCTCATAGCGGCAGCGATGCCAAGAAGGACTTTTCCGCAGACACCGATGGCGTCTTGCCCGACACTATGAACGACCGAGAGGCGCAAATACACGAGCACGGCATTCAGAAGTTTAGCCGCTTAGGGTGGAAGCGTCTGACAGTTGTCCTTATTACTGAAGCCATCGCGCTAGGCACGCTGTCTATTCCTTCAACATTCGCCACTTTGGGAATGGTAGCTGGTGTCATCTGCTGTATCGGCATCGGTCTCATCGCGATCTACACGAGCTATGTCGTTGGCCAGGTTAAGGTCAAATACCCTCACATCACCAACTATGCCGACGCGGGACAGGTGCTCTTCGCTAAACTTGGCTGTGGTCGATTTGGATACGAGCTCATTACTATCATGCTAAGCTTGCAGTTGCTTTTCCTAATCGGATCGCATTGTCTTACCGGCTCGATTGCACTCATTACTATTATTGACACCAATATTTGCTCCATCGTTTTCGCTGTTGTGTCAGCCGTCATTCTTCTCCTCTTGGCTATTCCGCCTAGCTTTACAGAGATGGCTATTCTGGGCTATGTTGATTTCGCCTCGATCATCATCGCAGTCGGTGTCACCATTATCGGCACCGGAGTTCAAGCTACCAACAGCACAGGATTGGCCAACGTGAATTGGTCAGCGTGGCCGAAAGAAGGCATCACTTTTGCAGAGACCTTTATCTCGGTCACAAATATCATTTTCGCCTACACCATCACCATCTGCCAGATCTCTTTTATGGATGAGATGCACACACCAACAGACTTCACAAAATCTGTTTGCACACTGGGCGCTATTGAGATGGTTGTTTACACCATGACAGGTGCTCTGATCTACGCCTTCGTTGGCCAGGACGTCCAGAGTCCTGCTCTTCTCTCCGCTGGACCTACCCTCAGCCGGGTTGTCTTCGGCATCGCCCTCCCCGTCATCTTTATCAGTGGCTCCATCAATGCTGTGGTCTTTGGCCGCATGATTCATGGGCGCATTTTCAAAAACTCCTATATTCGCTTCATCAACACATCCATGGGCTGGATTACCTGGCTTGCTATGCTTGTGGCTGCGATTATCATCTCTTTTATCATCGCCGAGGTCATTCCATTCTTCGATGACTTGCTATCCTTGATGTGTTCGCTTTTCCTGTCAGGCTTTACATTTTACTTCCCGGCCATGATGTGGTTCCTCCTTATTCGAAAGGGAAGCATGTTCACGCCGAAGAATCTTGCACTAGGTGCCCTGAATGTCTTCGTCTTCTTGATTGGCCTCGTGACTCTGGGCGCGGGTATCTACTCCTGCGTCATCGATATTGTATGTTTGCTTTCCCCAATCGCTTCTCCGTCGAAAGTAAAAGACAAGCAACTAACTAATATTTACAGAGAAACAAATATCGCGATGGCACAGTTGGAGGTGTTTTCAGTTGCTCGTCCTGATAACTTCCTGGTCAGGAGTTTTGCTCTTTGGTTCAATTTTGAAATCTTTGTATAGATAATTAGACGTTTCAAATGTAAATATAGATTTTGCCATCCTATTGTGGGTCTCATTTATGGATAATACTCATCGATATGTATCAAAAACCGGTCCTGAATGATCATTGGCAGGTGAGTCTTTGAGAGATGACTGTTAAGGTAAACTTGGAATTGGCATGAATTAAGGTCTACTAGAAGACAGGATTATCTTAGTGCGCAAAGACCTTGGAATGCCAGAGATCGCGCTCTGCCTTTTGGACATAACCATCGAAGTTGATTTCAACTCTATTCATGGCGAGCCACCCCAATAGCTTTTCGATTACCTCAAATTCCAACCTTTCGTTTTTGATACCCCAAGGACAAGTCTACTCTACTGAAAACCAATTCTTTTTAGGTATTGTTGAATCTTAAAACAAACCCTGCTTACCTTTTCAAGGTGGGGTATCAGCCGGAAGCTTGAAAGGTAGTTTAAAAGTTAGAGACTGAAATTTGGGAATGTGAAATGGATTAAAACAAAGTATCAGCCAAATTCGGAATTAGAAAGATAGATCAATGAAAGCGCATATCATTAGATAACATACAAACCTCAGTAGCATTACAATAGTGAGTATTAACACAACTACATCGCTCATTTTAAACCGTGCCATGCCTTGCGTGTCTAGATAGCTTTGGTCCCTCTCGCTAATCCTACTACGCTATTTCCTTACATACCGATACTAGTATAACTACATATGGATGTCGAGATAAATCTTTTTATTAGACATCCAGCAGATGCTTAGGTATGAGTCAAGAATTGAATTACAAACTGATTTGGCGAGAACCACCTTCAAAAGTAACAAAAAGCATTGTATAATAACTGCCCAGGTGCATCATGTCTAGGTACAAGTTGACTCTCTGGAGCTATAACTCACTCCGGGACCCTCCTTCCTCTCGGCGGCGGATATGACTGACCCATCCCAAATGCGGAATTCAATCCGATTGTTTGATGCATGGCCTCAAGTGGCGTTTTTCTAGCAGTTGGACCGAATTGATGAGGATCTCCGTCATACGGTGACCCTCTTTTCTCAACTGGAAGACTCTTTGTCAGGTTCATGGAAATTCTTGAAGTCGAAAAAGTAATGTCAGGCTTCTCGACTGGCGTCGTGGAGGTAAAGAGGAGCCAACGTAGAAAAGGTCCGTCTAATCGATCTGTCGCAGTTGTTGTTGGATGATGGCCTGGCCGCAAGTTGCAGATTAATCTAGTCCATTTCGTCATTCGCCTTCCCTTTCTATCCAAGACCGTGGCCTCGATCTCAAAATAGCTGTTTGTTGCAAGGCCATTTGCAGTGTGCACCACGCCATCTCCAAGGTTTGGAATAGGCAGAGGGTTTCCGATGTAATTAGGGCCAATCAAAACGTCCAGATCACCTTCGTAGATGCTCATATATGACGCCCCTGTATCATATACAAAAAGCATTTCAGCCCACCAGTCGTAACCAGGTAGCCTAAGAGCAACGTTGTACTATATTGCAATTCTTTAGTGATAAGATACGAGTTTGGTTCTCATATAACATAATGATTGGATGGAACAAACATTGTATACATATGAATCGCGTAGTCCCACCGTCAATGTCGGACACTGTACCATCGGAGCTGGTCCTAGAAGCTACAACCATTCAGAATCGCAAATTTTCGACAGGAGGGTTTGATTCTCTTACTAACCCCTTCTACCCAGAAACCTTTATCGCCTCCATTTGGAGCATTGATAGCCTCAAATTCATCCCAGTTGAAAGGGCGTGGCTGACACAATTGCTTTCCTTTTGCCCAGTATGTAACGAGACCTGTCACCCAGGGAAGGCTCTTTGTTCTATATGCCTCTAATATTGATTTGATATTTGCCATTTGATTATTCTTGTCGCCATCGGTCTTTCTTGCTTGGAATATATATTCCAAAGCGTCAAGTCGCTTATAGACATTTGAATCCAATCCGGCGCGCTCTTTTCTTGCAACTCCACTAGTGCCATGTTAATCAAGAGCTTATCTCTTTCAGGTCCTCGAGACCGAATACCAGAAATTGCAGAATATGGAAGCATTAACCCACTTTGCATAGTCCCTTCTTCCTTTGTATTCGGTCAATCTTGCTTCAAACAGATGAGGCATGATGCCATCTTCGATTCTCTCTTCGCATCTTACTATCTGGGCCTCGATGTCACTGAACAAGTTAGATAAATGCGTGAGGAAACTGGGGGTGCCAGCCATAATAACTTACTTTGGATCAAGATCTGGCTCACGTGCATTCCAATCATGGGGCAAGTCTTCAACCTTTGTTAATGGGGTATTTCCCTCCCTTCTCCATCTTTTCTGACGAGGCAGAGCTTTGAAATTTGACTTGGAGCTCGGCGTAGAACCCACGAATGACTTTTTAAGGTCCAGGTCCTCTACCATAAGTCTTTTTCTAATAGTCTTTACCCATGGGGAGCCTCTTACCGATGAATCATTTCTGACAACTACCTTCCTCTCCTTCCGAGGGGAATATGGACCCTTTGGTTCTCGACCCTTCCTCTTCCCTTTAAGTCTGCTCATAAATGATCTTGAGACCTGTTGAGGAGATCACGAAGATAAACTTGCGTCATCTAAGTCATCTGATAATATTTCAGCACTCATCCCGTTGATATCTCGATAAGTCACCGGAATATGTGGAGCAGCTCTTGATCTGGTGAGACTGGATTATTATCACTTATTGATTCATCCGACCGATAGATAGATTTTGTAAATGAATACCGGCCCCTCGAAGAACTCGAGCTATCAAATACCTTCTCACAAAATGCATGGACCCGGGCTTTGAATAGTACTATCTCAGCACAAAGAGCTTTGACACAAATCAGTACCGACTTAGTACAAGTATGGTTTAGTCTAAACTGGCAGGGAGAAAATGATCATGTGCGTAACCTTTGGACCAACCTGGATCTTCCTTTGAGCCTCGATTTTCTTTGTGAGCACATAGTCCGCCTTTCCCATTTCCTTTCCACGAAAAAAGTCCGAAGGCTGAGTCTTTGGGGAATTTCTGCTTGCCTCTTTATTTTGAGACTGTGATAGTTTGGAAATCCCTGATTAACTTCCCATTGCGACCTCGATCTCCCACATGTCAAGCCCTCGGGAACTTCTTTGTAGCAAATATCTAGGCATGCATCCTTGCAATAATCACAGGACTCCACCTGTCTTTGTCCTAGTCCTATAAAACATGTCCAGGTGGGGCCGGCTATCCGCATATGGATCCAGCTGCAGGGTACTCAGGTGTAGAATTCAAGCTCATTTTGTGGCATGGCAGTCAAGACAGTGACCTTTTTAACAATGCTTTGTTCTGATGTATTTGAAGTCCCTATTTATAAATTTCCAAACCGCCCAGGTTATTTGTCAATATCCAAAGGAGTAAATTAGCAGCCGGTGAAGCTAGCAGAATCAAAGAAATGTCTTCCGCTGACGTGCATCATATGATTATAACCACATAGTACCATCCAAAAATAATTGTTCCAACGTACATGGATCGGGTTATCTACTCCGTAGAGCCAGACAAAATAATGTTCCCACCGCAAATTAGATACGTTAAAAACTTGAAGATGACAGATGCCCAAAATCCCCACAATCGTTGTCCGTCGGCAAGCTCCCGCAACAAAGACCCCGCTTACCGACGCTACCCCCGGTCCCATCGAACCACCAGATAATGTCTTAGCACTGTCTTGAATCATGAGAACCCCAAAACTTGGATAAAATGAACGAGTTCGCCCATCACCCATTCGCAAGCGATCATTGGCTGAAGTAAGATTACTAATATTTGGACAGGAGGTGATGCACGTGATGAGATCAAACATACTCAGTGCAGAGTTTTAAGTCTCAAATTTCAGTCAATGTGGAGGTTTACTGGAATTTTTCTAGAACTTTTCCCATGCACGAAGAATTTTGATCCCCAAATATCTCGGTATTTTCAAGTTGCCATGCGTGGTTTTGCCAGAGATATCATGATTCTTTTTGAACCATTTGCCACCCTTCAAAAACAGCCTGGGCTTTACCAGTAATATTACCAACAATACTACCCATGGAATAATGATCAGTATTAATTCATTAAACGATAATTAATAGTATCGTTGTTACATTACTTGTATTCATGAGCGATACTTGACTCTATGTAGTGCAATCAGAAAATTCGTCCTAGGGCAGCTGGTGAGAATAGAATTGCTCGCTGAGCGATGACCGGTGCCCAGAAGCTATGCAGCTAAAGAAGCAAAATTCCCTACCAATATAGGAATGTGAGAATGTAAAACAATTGAACCATTTCTTTCTAGTCCGCACACCGTGCAAATACGTCAGTCATGCCCAAATGAATCTCAATGCAGAGGAGATTGTCGGCGGAATACCTGATGCAAAACGCGGCCTGCCTCACTTTAAAATATGCAGCCTGAAGGCCCAGTTTTGTCGGGGTGTACCGGGCACAGTAAACCGCGCATTGATCGTCATTCAACGAATTTGAGGTGGACCTTCCGAGGATCTACCGACCAGACGATCCTCGGTCAACCAAACTAGGAAACAAGACCACCGGAACAAACTTATTCTTACCTCCAACTGTTCCGCCGAAATGAAGCCTAGAAACCCCCAAAAACAACCGGAACATCCATAGAGTCCTACATTTCCAAGCCTGATACAGGAATAATTGAAAAAACCTCATCTCTAACAAAACCGACGCGCTCCGAGTCGCCATTCGGCATGCCGGTGGTTTGGCGGTGGGGCCGAGTCCCCCAGGCATGCCGAGAAGGTCGGCGAAAGCGGCATCGGGATGTCATCGGTCTTTCTTCGCAGTTATTAAGACCTTGCCGAATAATCGATTCGCGGTGGTTGTCCGAAAGTGGCCAGTTTTCAACAGGTGGCGTCCTTGTAATGAACTACAATTCGCCCAACGTTATCGTGGTCCACACGTCTCATGCGACAAAGGC